ACTGTTTTCGAACATTTGCTCTTATGCCTGCGACCGGTAATCAGGTAGGTCCTTCCCGAGTCGTCTGATAGTTTAGCTATCTAACGAAGTCACAGCACAGCACATCATCTTCAGGGTGTATATATGGCTGATATCAGATATGGCAAAGAGATCCAACGACGATACGCTGCGTGTGGTCGATTAATATATAACGCCAGTAGCGTACGAAAAGAGCGGAATTGATGTGCGCTTCCGGCGACAAGTTGAACAACTTGAGACAACCTGGAAGATGGTCCGGACGATCCTCCTTAGTAACCGATATCCTCGTACAGGCTCCCCGTTCATGAGTGTCTTGCACTCAAGAAGCAGTTTGCTTATATACCTGTTCTCGTTGTCACCCTTGACGGAACCATGGCCGAAAGGCTTGCAAGAGCCGACTGGATGAGACGGGAGACCACCTCTGGTATCTACCGACAAATACTGCCTACACTAGGAGATACCTGAAGATCATGTTTGCAACCGAGTATTCCAAGAAGGCTTCAGAGGATCAGAGAGCTGTAGTCTTTGAGAGACCGGATAAATGTCCTGCCTAGACCTAGGTTGCCGTGCGAAACGGACAGTTGACCGCCTTGCGATGTCTGAGAACTACTATACATGGACGCATACCTGATTCCTCCAAACTAAAACCATCAAGAGCCTGAGGAGCATAAAAGGTACATGGGAGTGTGCTTCTATACGGCGTCAGGTATAGCTGTGATGGATAGTGGGAAGAGTAATGTGAGAGACCTATGGACTACCATTGCTTAGTCTAGAATCACTTATCTGCCGGTTCAAGCTTCCCATGCTTGCGTTTCACACAAGAGCGCAAAGAGAGTTGCGAGACATCGCCAACGAAATATTACCCAAGATACTGGATTCATTTCTTTTCCGAGAAGAAAGAAAATATCCAGCCCAGGGACAAAAGGAACCATCACTCTATATCTAGTCCAAGAACGCAAAGTTCCGCAAAGACGAGAATCCAACACCAACCCCCCTGATAAGTTGTGTCGACGCTTAGGCTATATATAACTTGGTCAACCTACATCTCCGCCGAACAATATGGTCAGCTTTTTGTTCATGCATCAAGACGAAGAAGAGTTTCCGGGATTCACGGAAAAGAGTCAGTTGTTGATACACCACAACATATCTCTACCCTCATGGGGTTGGGCGTGAGTACTATATACGAACAGCTACAGAGCTCAACCCCACCTCCCATCCTCGACATACAAGAGCGAAATGTTCCCTCAAAATAGCTGTTCTCATCTGTGACGAGGCGCAATTCATGCGTCGAGCCACGGGTTCGTACTCAAACCTTGCTAGATTGATTCGTTGGGAGAGACTGTTGTTTGTAACTGGGACACCGCTGGCATCGTCGCTTCGCGATATATTATCCAGCTGTCTTTCCTCCGTCTCTGCCGTCAGTTTGAGACAACCTTGGGTCAGGTCTGGCTGCACATGTTGGCATGTATCCTCAACATTACATACGATGATATACCTTCAACAGAAATGGCGACTCTACAGAGATCGCCTCCTTACGACCTGTGTTAGAGGCGTATATATAGCGATTGTCTGTCGCTCGATTGCCACTGTGAAATGATGCCTTTGTTTCCCGTCCCTTTTCCCAAGACGCGGTCGCATCAGGCGTTAAATACATTTAATCCAACACCAAGACGCCGGAAGAAGATTGTTGTGTATAACCAAACCCATTATAAATATACCCAGCACCGTCCGGAGTTCACTTCTGTATAGGTATCCCAGGAGAGTGGACAAGAGCTATCTGCTTCCCAGAATCGACGATAGCGAAAGGCCGCAGGGAACAAAGCTGGCAATGACCACAGTCAGAGTGGCTGCGCTCTTGAAAGTCACTATCATCGTTCAACGCAAACACAAAACTTCTCGTCGACTCGAAAATTCACGTCGCAAGCAAACATGTATCGAGGGCATTCGTCGAGCATCAGTCAAAGAGGCTCTCACGCGGTTGAGGCATTGCGTCTAAATATATCGGAGATTATCGGTGCTACAATTCGATATCTCATGAATAAGAAATGGGTCAAGAATGCAGCTTCACCCGGTGAACTTAGCCTATCGATGTAGGCTTTCCCACAAGGAAGCAAAACATAATCACAGTGACCGTCGAGGACATTCATCACCAACAGGCCCTACTTGTTGGAAGTATGATGGCGAATTTCCATCTATACACATATTGTCATGATATGTGATGCCCATAAGTATTCTAACTTGGTTCAACCAATTAATTGCCAGAATTCGAACCATTCAGCATTCTATTCGTGATCATATCTTATGAACACTACAAAAGAGCGAAAGGAAACGCAAAAAGGGGCAGACCCAAGCCTTTCTTCCCCGACCTTATCATTGTCCTTGTGACATTCAAGGGTAATAACACACTTATAGACGAGTGTTCGGAATACTGGGTTTTCGAGTTTTCCAATTTTCATATTATAGACATCAGTCTCCAACCATGGAGATGCTCAAAGCCAGTGAAAATGGCTAGAGTCTCGGTTGACCTCTTCTATGCCAAATCCAGGTCACAGACTTCAATCGGCCTAATGAATGGTCTGTGAGATTGAGTTCAACACCTTTGGCGACCTCCTACTTCAGAATTTATATCGAATATATACAATCTTGCACTGCATGCGCTTTTCCCTCGCATCTCCCTTTGATGTGTGCTGGGTTGAGTCCGAGATAAAGAGAATTCCTGTATGGATCTCGAATGAAAGTGTGTTGGGCTAAACCCAAATATAAAGAATCCCGTCTGGATGTCCCATGTCAGCCCCTAACTGAGCCGATGGAGAAAACATAGCCAAGCAAAGAGACAAGGCCTACTCAAAGATGCAGTTCCGGATTTGGAGAAGGACCCGTGGCTTCTGCCAAGGTACTCGTACATGTATGAGAGACTCCTGATGCATGCAAGAAGACCCAGCCGAAGAAATCGGAGATGTTGAAAACTGAGCTGGTGCATTATACTCTGATGCCCGCACAGAGTTTCCCTTATATAATCGTTCAACATCACGGTCAGATTTCATCCTGTCAGCGACCCACGATATTCATACTATATTCTTCTTACCGTGATTTATCGCATCCTTCCTTTAAACTGGAACATCGAGAACCTCCAGGTCTTCGGACCGGACATTGTTTGCTTGGTAGTCTTAGGGACTGTCGAGTGAGATCAAGCAGTATCGTTGACAATACACAGAATGGTGGCAGAATAGCTGTTTCGGAAATGCCCTGGATAACTGTCGATCGTGGTACATGGGCCCAGCTATGCTGAGAGACGGATATCTGAGCGGGTAATGATTTCCAACTTCGTGTTGAAGAGAGAGAACACCATGTTTCAGTAAGACAAGCAGCACTGTCGGGATGACTGGGGAACGGCGAACCACTACATGGGTGATGAAGACAGCCTAAAATGTGCACTGGGACTAAGAAGACTGGTTGTAAACATAAACTGAATGCCTGATGGCTCATATATCATCAAAATGATGAGATAGATAGTTACAATAGAGATCACAATTAATACCATCCTAATCAAGATCCCAAATGCAACCATAACAAGGATCCTCCCCCATCCCGATGCAACGGCTCAACGTGCATGGATCACCCCGTCCCTGCGGCCCCCGATATCGCCGGCCGGGACGGGGACAAGTAACCCTTGCAGCCGGCCGGGTGAACGGTGGTCGATGATCAGGGGGGGGCCTCTCAAAATATCGGTGAGATAATGCCTCTTAGGTGCATCATTCGCTGCTTTTGCTTTTTGAAGATGGGCTTTATGTAGACGGCAGGGTCGCACATGTCATACTGTGCTTGGGTCTTGGGTCCGCGGGGCTGACGGGAGAAGACGCCAGCTCAGCACATCATATCCCGTGGTACAGGGGGCGTTTGTTTGTTGGGACTTGTCTTATCTTACTTATTTTCTCTTCTTTCTTGTTTGCTTTCTTGTTGTCTTTTGCATCTTCTACTTCTTTGCCTTGCTATACCATGATTCTAACCATGTATTCTGACTCTTCGTTGCCCGTCGGTGGTTGTAGGGGATGTGCCAAGATAACAGAGAGTGAGAAGCAGCAGTCTGAGGAAACAGTCATATCTGATGATGGTGAGTCTAGCTTCTCTAGTGTCTTTACTTCACCCAAGGTGCCTTTCTTTCTCACAACTGTGCTCTCTCTATGCCTGGATCGTGTATGGTGCTCAGCTTCTCTCAAAGCCAAGCGGCATTGACGACAGCATTACAAATTATGATTCAACTTATCCGAATTCCCATTGTTCCCATCTTACATCTGGCAGCCCTCTCTTGTCAAATGTTGACTTACAATCCCCAGAGGCTAGTGCGGATTTACTCCAGAGCGTCCCAGCGGCCCGCAAGGCTATTCTAGTGAGCTCCGACCTTGACCAATCAGTGCCCATACATTGCATAAGGCTGCTGCATATTCCCCCTCCCTTATCAACCATCGACCGAGAGACTCATGAAATGTTGAAGCGTGTCTGATTGCGAATCCTGAACAAAAGTGGTACAATTTGGTCCAGTGACTATTGTACATGCTTTTTTCTGGCTTTCGGGTGAATTGCTGAGGCTTTGATGCGGAAGAAAGGGAGAGAGAGACCCTGGGACTGGGGATGGCGCAATCGCGTCATACTTGACCGAATTTCTGAGCGGTCTCGGCGCTGCAGCTAGGTACCGTTCAGTGCTTGTGCTCGGGCACTGACTCTTCAATTTGCCCTGCCTTTTCACAACACCACACACTTGTATCATAGTTGGTGATATTCAAGATTGCACCTTTCCTGATTTCAAGCGTTGCTATTATTCTCAGCAGCCTCGGTTGGCAATCAACTCTACCACGCCATCTCCCCCCTCAGAGCGCCCTGTCTACGCCTCCCTCGATATTCCACCTCGAAAGCTCGCTCCTCCATCAATCTAACAAACCACCACAGAGACCCTCACGATGCCTTCACGGACGGTCTCCCCGACAATGTCGCCCGGCCCTTCGTCTCCGATTCTCTCCCCCCTCGAAGCCGCCGAAGACCCCGCCACGAGGCCCGATCTCGTTCACTCCCTGTCCCACACGAGCACCGTCCTCGCTCTCGCCGTCAGTCCACAGCACGAGACCATCTACGCCGGTACACAAGATGGAGAGATCGTAGCATGGTCTCTCGAAACGTTCCGCCAAGTTCGCCGCGTTCAGGCCCATAAACGTAGTGTCCTTTCGTTATCGCTATCACCTGATGCATCCCTGTTGTTCTCCAGCGCCGGAGACCCCATCATCAACGTTTGGGATCCCAAGACCTTGACACGACTTTACGAAATTTACGGCTCCTACGACGTCGGCGATATCTTCTGTACTGCATACAGTCCTCAACATGAGACCCTTTACATCGGTGCTCAGAATGCCACCATTCAATGGGTTGGTCTGAACGACGTTACGGCCCGCGTATCCCCCGAATCACAACAACATCCTGACCGACGCAACCATCGCTTTTTCGACTCCAAAGCTGTCGGTGGCGGCGCAAGTACACCCCGACGTAACGACGACCGATGGGGATTGATTCCCAAATCACATAATGTTCTCGAAATGCACTCTGGCTGCGTTAGGAACTTTGCGCACTACGGCTATGTGTACTGCATGATCATGGCCAAGGGTCCGACAGTGGACGTGGGTACTGACGACGATGTCCTGATCTCTGGTGCGGGCGATGGCACTATCAAGCTTTGGAGTTTGGGGCATAAGGTTGAGGATGATGAGGAGCTTAGTGGTGGTATCCAAGAGATCATGACCCTAGGCGCGGACGATGGCGAGTCAGTCCTGTCTTTGGCACTTGACAGCTCGTTCCTGTACGCCGGCAAACTCGACGGCATTGTTGAGCTGTGGGATCTTGACACGGCACAGCGATTGAGGGTCATCAAGGCACATGACTGCGATATCATGTCGATTCAAATGGGTTGGGGATATTTGTGGACTGCCGCAACTAATGGTTGGGCCAGCGTAAGTCTCACTCGCGATGGGCGACTGCATCTTGCTAAGTCTTTACAGAAATACAGCACCACTCACTACGGCAAATATCAACATGTTGCGTCCGGGGCTGTTCCGCAAAAATACCAGTGTCTTCTCCGTTGGGAGGCTCATCAAGGAAAGGTCCTCGCATCAGCAGTGACCAACTACAAAAACAAACAGTATTTCATCACCGGCGCCAACGACGATAACATCTCCATCTGGTCCATCGACAGTGACAAGTGCAACAATAGAGAAAAGGAAGTCTCGCAGGCTTCGGACAGCCTCTTACTATCGTCTCTGCGGGAGTTTGTATCATACAAGACTGTATCATCTCGTCCCGAGTTTGCAGAAGACTGTCGCAAAGGAGCGACCTACCTCGGTGCATTGTTCAAGCGCCTGGGCGGAGATGTCGAGCTGCTCAGCACCGAAAAGCATCACAATCCCGTTGTCTACGCCAGATTCTCAGCCAAGAAGGAAACGGCCAAGAAGCGAAAACAAATTCTGTTCTATGGCCATTACGATGTCGTTGCCGCGGATAGCCGCAAGGGCAAATGGGAAACGGACCCATTCACCATGCAAGGAACCAATGGCTACTTATACGGTCGCGGAGTCAGCGACAACAAGGGGCCTATCATCGCAGCTCTGTATGCGGTGACTGATCTGATAGAGAATCAGCAGCTGGAGAACGATGTCATCTTCCTGATTGAGGGTGAAGAGGAGTTCGGATCGCTAGGTTTTGAAGAGGCAGTCAAGAAGAACAAAGACCTGATTGGCGAAGTGGATTATATCCTGCTTGCCAACAGTTACTGGCTGGATGATGAGGTGCCATGCCTGACATACGGCCTCCGTGGTGTCTTGCATACAACCGTGTGCGTTGATGCGCCCCGTCCAGATATCCACTCGGGCGTCGACGGCTCCTACATGATGAACGAGCCACTTTCAGATCTTACACAGATCCTTGGCAAACTCAAGGGACGCGGCAACCGTGTGCAAATTCCTGGATTTTACGATGGCATCCTGCCGGTGACACCTGAAGAGGAAGCCCGCTACGATGATATTGCACAGATCTTGATTCGCAGCAACCCTGAGAAGGGCCCTGAAGAGAGACTCAAGCAGTCCCTCATGGCGCGATGGCGGGAACCCAATCTGACACTCCACCGCTACAAGGTTTCTGGTCCCGATGGTAGTCTGGTGAGCAGTCACGCCAGCTCGCACATCAGTGTGCGTATGGTACCAGGGCAAGAAGTGGATAGTGTGATCGAAGCTCTCACAAAATTCCTCGAAAATGAATTTGAACAGCTCGAGTCACAGAATAAGTTGACCATCACCGTGGACAACAGAGCTGAGCCATGGCTCGGAGACCCCACCAATGCCATTTTCCAGACCCTGGAAAAGGCCATCCTGGAGACATGGGAGGACTGCTTCGAGACATCAGCCTCATCCGGAGAAGCTACACCTGATGAAAGCAATACCAAAGCAGAGAAGTCCAAGGAGGAGGAAGTGCTGTCCGTCAAGACCAAGCTAGGCAAACCCCGTAAGCCGCTCTACATCCGCGAAGGCGGTTCCATCCCAGCGATCAGATTCCTGGAGAAGGAGTTTGGAGCACCAGCTGCTCATCTTCCCTGCGGACAGTCGAGTGACGCTGCGCATCTGGACAACGAGAGGCTGTGTTTGTTAAATCTTGTGAAGGCGCGCGAGATCTTTGGCAAGGTGTTTAGGCGGCTGTAAGCATGTTGAAACAGCGGGGCCGGTCTCGCTTGATGATGAGGTGAGATATGGGATTTGATGTATTTTAAAAAATAGAGAAGCATGTAAAAATTGATACCCTAGGACAAACTGCGTTGTGGCAATTGAACATCATGATGTGCCAACTCATCCAAAATGAGGCAGGATGACCGACGGCGTAGAGATTACCGTAGGAGGAAGAGAGGGTTCAAGTAAGCTTAATGCCAAGCCTTGATGCATTGCAGGGCTGTGAATAATCAAGGATTGACCCAGATAAGACATGAATGCGATACCTGCAGATGATTAATAACCCACTCAACGAGGCAGAATCATCTTCAATCGTCTTACCCTGTATCTTTCCGGTGCGATGCAAACAACTAAGCCACACTCCAAAAACGGTTAGCCGACCAACACGGACAACTAAAATTAGCCGACTACTCTGCATCTCAGCCAATCACCACCTTCAAAGTCGATCCTCACTGCGCCATGACGAAACTAAGCCAGCACGGTCGATCCCTCTTTTAAGTCACACCAAGCCTGACGGGTTTGGTGCTGACGAGAAGGATCGTCGCTTTGAGAAGAGGGAAATTAAATTAGGACCTTTCATGACCGAAAACTCAGTGACACTATGGGCTGGGCTCCGTCATTATAGGCCTGTGCTACCTATAATGCACTGTACCCCACGGAATATGTTTCCGGTTTTTGCTCTCTCTTTTTCCTTCTCCTCTTTTAATTCTTCATTACCAGCAACCGGACACTTTTAATCGATACCGCACTCCATCACTCGCTATTTTTCCTTTTTGTCACTGTTTAATGTCATTCGCTTGAGTAAAGAGCTTGGATTTGGGGTGTTTTTCTTAATGAGCTATTGATCAATCATTGACTCCTTCGAACAACCTGGTGTTTTGGTGGCTGGAGCTGAAACTGGGACTACCAACAAGACCTCTTTCTGTCAGGGGGGCATTCGCAGCCTCAACCAACACTTTTCAACGACATCCACTGTCCAATCGATTCACATTCGCTCTGTTAGCTCGTCGCCATGGCGTCGCGTTGGTTCACGCTCGCTCTTCTTCTCACGCCAGCACTGGCGCTCGATAACAACTTCGCATTCTACCCCAAGGGCGCGCAAACATGCCTCAACAAAGCCGCCGACGACGCTTCCTGTACCGGCCAGGATAGCAAGGAGCTCAACTACTGCCTGTGCGGTCTGGGTAGCTACAAGAACGATTTCATCCTCGGTTCCGCGCGATGCATCGGCGAGGAGGCACCCAAGGATGTCGATGAGACATATGATACCATGAACAAGGCTTGCGATCAGTCCAGCACGCCCATGAAGGTTAGCAAAAAGGAGTTTCAAGATGCTGCGCACGAGGGATACGTGACCACCACCGATGCGACTGCATCCGCAACCGCGACTGCGACAGGCACCGATGCGCCTACCGCTTCCACCACCGAAACCACCGCTGCTTCTACAACCACCGCCGCCAGCAACGAAGACACAGGCCTATCGACCGCCGCAACAGCCGGCATTGGCATAGGTGCAGCCGTCGGCGGTGCAGCGGTGCTAGGCCTATTCGTCTGGCTCTGGATGCAGCGCCGCAAGAAGAACGCCGAGGAATCGCACCCTATGCTACCCCACTACGAGAACGGTTCACACTCGCCCCATAACGAAGCCAAGGCCGGCGGTTGGTCTGCGGCAGGAACACCACAGCACGGCTGGGGAACACCCGACCCCCAGGCCGGATTCTACACTCCCCAGAAGCCCCACGGCCCGGTCGAGCTGCCGCCCGACACTGTCGCGGCGCCGAACCCGGTGTACGAGATGGAGGGCACACCGGCGGCACCTATCGAGATGCCCGGATCTCTACCCGTGATGGCTCAAGAGCATACACCTGTGTCGCCTCGAACACTGCCTGGGTCGTCGCATGGATATCCCACATCACCGCAAACACTCCCTGTATCACCAATGGTGCAGCATGGCGACATGAACCGGCCATAAAATAGGTCTAAGGATAATACGGAATCTGGGAAAATGATAGATAGAGATGGGGTTATAGCCTCAGGAGTTTGGGTTAATACATTGGATGTGTATAATACCGATTGCTATTTAGCGCACATATTTGACTATTTTTTAATTCTGTGTTTTATTCCTTTGTGCTGGATGATTGTGATCTTGTTTGCTGGCCCAGGGTTGTCTCATGAAAAGGTCTAAGTCTCCATATTGTCCTTGCTCCTCAAACGAGACGAACTGTTGTCCATTGACCCTTGGTCGTAGGATCACTCCCTTTTAGATCCTCATCAGTCATGCCCATCCAATCCTTCGCAAACTTACGTAACTTCACCTCAAACTCATTTCCTTCAGCAGGAGCATATTTTCTTCGAGCGTTAATGACGGCAGAATCTCCCGCGTCCTCCTGACCGACTATCCGCTCTAAGGAGAAACTCCCAATGCGCACAAATGATTTCCCATCGTCGCGCGACTGAACTACCAGACCTGCAATGCGTCTCCATTTGTCCCGCATCTCGTCACCTATCTTGGATTCAACAAGCGGTATGATAAAACATATCGGATTGAAGTCTTCGCACACGTCGCAGGGTACTGTGAGTAGCGCTCGCTGGTTGCGATGGGAGTGCGGGTGTGGAAGAGGGAGCACGAAGCTATCTGTGCACACATACACGCAGTGGTCTATGGCACAGGGGTCTTCGATGGGTTTGAAGATGTCGACCTTGGTGTTGAGCTCTTTGAAATGGGCGGGAATAAGATGACAGGAGATTTCCAGGGTGGTTGATTTGGGCGGGCCGCAGATGTCGCTCACCAAAGCTCAATAGTCGTGTTGTGTAGGTATGCCAGAGGAACATGAGTTTGCGAAATATGTGGTAGCTCTGGTATTTGATCAAGGTCACTTTCGTGATGCTTGAGTGTCTATACAACAGGCCTGAGGGAGGACGCCCATGATCATGAAGGGGCGGTATCATGGGGACATATATTAACATCTCTGGTTCAAACTTAACGCAAGGATGATTGAGATGGCAGACCCAAGAGCGGGACATGAAAGAAGGACATGGATCCAATTGCTTTTGCGCAATCCCGCCAAGTACTCACCATCAGTCCCACCGAAGAAGAATATCGACAGTCCATCGACTAACAACGTGAGGGTTTTGAGATCCAAGGTCACCATTCGGGGAATTCCCAGCATATACTGAACGTGCATAGGGCGTTCATATTGACATTGCCAATAATCATTACTTCTCTGAGGAATTCTTCTTGGGAATCTTGAAATATGCAGAGGGAGTCTATCCAGATGTATCGAACACCGAGGGCTCGACAAAGAATGAAGACGCCTTGGAAACTTTGTGGTACAGAATCGTCGGATCGGCCTCGTTGGAAAGAGGGTTGAGTCTCTTGTCATAATTGAGGCGTGTGCCCGATCTCTAGTACAATAATGCTATGCAATTTGATCACTCTTGATCGTGGTTCTTGGTCTCGATGACGGACCATTTCTTGGAATGGCTGTCGTGTAGTCATCATTTCGGTCTAAGCTTGAATATAGACTGTGACAGTGGTTGTAAAATTCTATGATAATCTACGAGGTCATTCATTACGTTGGGTATTAAGAAGGTGGTTGGAGTATTGGGTGATTTTATGGTGCAGTAAGTCTGACAGTTTCTTACCCTGAACTCTAGTAAATAACTATATCATGGAACAAGCGCACACAATATTATACAACCTTGGCCTAAGGATTCATATAGAATTTACAGTCATTATAGATAATATCTATTCCGATTATTCTTGTAAGTCAATATCGTTTAGGCACTGAATTCTCGTGGCTTGCGCAGTTCGGTCTAGCTGGCATATCTGCGGTATCTCCCGTTCCCAAAACAGAAAGCTTGTCAGATCAAAGATATGCATATATAAAGTAAGATTTAAAACACATGGAGCATCTAAAAATAATGCTCATAACGTAAATCTCACAACATTCACCCTTTTCCGGCCACAAATGTAATGTTTTCATCGCAAACTCAATGTTTTGAATGGCTTCGAGCAACATGTGGCTGGTGATAACTGTGGCTGTGGATGCCAGACCTCGGGACCCACGGCCACCCGAGATTTGGCCATCACAAGGAAACAGCTTTACACATAAACTGAGGTTGCGCGTCTCGACTTTGTCCTCCCCTCACTGAGCTTCAATTAACCTCAATTGACGTGCACTCACTGGATATCAGACTCAACCAATCTTTGTGCTTGCTACCGACAATCGCGAGTTATTATTAGATCGTCTGAGAAAACTTTGGTAAAAATGGCCGGAAAGACTTGTGTTCTTATTACAGGGTAAGACAACCAAGCGCTGTGAGAAACGAGTCAGGTTGCTGATAAGAATAGGTGCTCGCCTGGAGGCATTGGACATGCTCTCGTGAAGGAGTTCCACCGTCAAGGTCAGTCTTATGACTCAAGAGATACGGGATATGGCTAATGTGCTGAAGGCTGCCACGTCATTGCGACGGTGCGAAACGCCGACATGATCAAAGACCTTGAAGCTCCCGGCATCAGTGTCTTTCCCCTTGAAGTCACCGATCCCAAGAGTATCAGCGAGTGCAAAGAGAAGGTCTCTCAATTGACCGGCGGTCGTCTCGACGTTCTCGTCAACAATGCGTAAGATCACCACCAACCCTCTCACACAATAGCTAACCACCCCCAGTGGTCGAACACATACCATCCCCTCCCTGGACATTGACCTCGATGATGTGCGCGCCACATACGAAGTCAACGTCTTCGGCCCCATGATCATGGTCCAGGCCTTCGCACCTCTTCTTATCGAAGCGCGCGGCCTGATCCTCAATATCTCCAGCACATCAACCCTCGTGCCCTACATCTTTGGCTCCATCTACTCCTCCACCAAGGGCGCCATCAACGTGTGGTCCCGCGCGTTGCGTCTCGAGCTCAAGCCTTTCAACGTGCGTGTCATGACCGCCGTGACGGGCACGGTGCGCTCCAACATCGCGAGCCGCACGCACCGCTCGCTCCCCGAGAACTCGCTTTACATGCCGATCCAGGACTTCTTCGAGCGGCGGTTGACGTTCAGTCAGCGCACGGCGACGGTGCCGACCGAGGTTTATGCGCGCAAGCTTGTGACGCAGGCGCTCAGGGGCGAAGGGTATCTTGGTGGGTTGATTGGAGGGACGCCGGATTGGTTCTATGCGGGAGGTATGGCTACCAAGGTTTGGATTCTGTCGTGTTTGCCTCGGTGGGTGAGTGAGACTGTCATCGGGATCTTCTTCAACATTGGGGGTATGACCAGGAAGATCCAGGCTGCGCGAGCGAAGAGGGATTAAGTCTACGACGTGTTTGGACTAAAGATCGGGTTATGTGCTACATTTTGATCATAGACCAGTAAAGAGATCGATGTAGACAACTATCTATCTAGGGTCTGGGAACTGAGGTCAAGGGCTGACATTGAGTAGTCGCATCAATGGTCTTCCAATGGTTCGCAATCAACGATAAATTAAGCCCACTTTCCAAGCAAGCTCATGAGAACCATTCCGCAGATTAGACCAAACATAGCCAGAACCGTGGTCAAGGGACTAGCATCGCTAAGCTCACCTCCCAACATCCAATCCTGAGCCCACATCTCGACAAGACCGACCCAAACAAGGATACCAGCGGAAAAAGCATCAAGCGTACCAATGGCGATGAGCGTAGCGGGGTTATTGCCGTTGAACACGTTGAGAACACCAATGCCGATAGCCATGCCGATGGGAGTAACAATGGCAAAGCCAGAGGCGAGGAGGAGCTTCTTCCACAGTGGGACACTGGATGTTCCTGTTCGTTCAATCGACGGAGGAGGGGAGTGTGAGTGCGAGTGGCCCAGGGCGAGGGGCATCTGGCCGTAGCCGAGAGAAGCGATTCGTGTACCGAGGGCGATACCCTCGAAGAGCTGGTGGAAGATGATGACGATAGAGAGGGTGATAAAGAAGGAGTCTCCTGCTACGACGAGGGTGATACCAATGACTGACGATATTAGCAGAGGCCAATGCGAGTGATGAATAGCGACTTACGAAGTGAGTGGAAGATAATACCAGCTTCCATGATGCTAATGTTTGCCATCTCAGCCTTCTCTATAGCCTTGCGCGACAAGATAGCCGAATCAGTCTCGGCCTTCTTAGTTGCCTGCCAGCGCATAGCACGATGGACGCAGAACTCGATGAGGAAGGAGATGAACAAGCCAGCCATAACGATAGCAGCCGTCGTAGCCTCGTAGAGTAGCTCGCCAAGACATTCATTGCCAAACATCATCGACGCATGAGTGAACAACTATACGGCGTTAGTTATCGTCGCAATCGGTAAGGGAAGACGTACGTGAACGAAGGCAGTCGAAATAATGATTCCAGTGCCGAATTGCTTGAGGATCGTAAGGACAACGTTGGAGCGCACGGGGATGAAGGTGGACATGAGGATAGGACCAAAGACACCGACTGAACTCGCCACGAGAACAACGAAGAGCATGCCGATTCGAATGCCGATCTTGTAGTCTCTGTCTTTGCGACCGCAAGATGGTGCGCCCTCGCCTTCAGAGCCGTTGCTTCCGCCTACGCAGTGTCTGTTGAGTGTCAGAGATGTAAACAGTGGAAGATTGGGACGAGACTGACTCTACGCCGGCGTGGAAATGGCAGTGTTCCTCTTGGGGATCAGCTTCGCCCGATTCAACGTCTTCGGCAGCAAGGATGGGTGCTTCCCCGTCGTCGGACATGCAGTATCTGTATTGTTAGCTAAAGATGGGTGTTATGGAGTGATCGCTTACGTCTCTTCGCCATGGCTGTGACAGCTGGTGAGTTGGGCGGGATATTCTTCTGTGTTGGTGATGGTTGTTTGGACGTAGTACTCGGCCGAACTGGGGCCCATGCAATATCTACTCTCGTCAGTGGAAATTCTTCTGATGCAAGCGAAGACTTACAAGGACGTCTCGTGCATATGACAGTTCGACACAGCGGTGATCTCGTCGGCTTCGGCAGAGGCGGTTGCTTTGGCGGTTTGCGAAGGAGTGGCGTTTTCGCCGAGGACTTGGACTTCGCCGCCATTGGGGTTCATGCAGTATCTAAACGGTCAACTACAGTCTTGCTTTTGGAAGTAAGTGACTTACGTGTCGGATCCATGGCTGTGGCAGTCTGTGTACGAAGATGGAGGGTCTTCGGTGGCGGTGGCTTCAGAGACGATCTGATACTCGTCCGAGCCGGCCATGCAGAACCTGCTGATGTTAGCAGTCCGTAGGAGATAATGTATGGGAGGGTATATACTGGGTAACTCCATGCATATGACATCCCGTCAAAGACTCAAAGTCCAGGGAAGTCTTTGTCGCCGTCGCAGAAGCCTGTCTCTTGACAGCCCCAGGCGCAGTCGCAGAGACAGCGACGAAGAGAAGAGCCGCGGCAAGAAGGTTCTTTGTGCGAGCCATGATGACGAACTAGCGAGCTTGAAGAGTTGACAACATATCCAGTGCGGAAGAATGAGTTTATTATGTATTCTCCTTGACAAAAAGGACTGTGTCTGGAGTGGGGGCTACTGGGAACATCAAGGTCCTCGTCTTTGTCAAAGAAACAATTCCTTCGGGTCCTCGATGCCAAGAAAGGATGTTTAAAACCCGCAGTAACCTGGATGTCTACCAAGAAATATCCTACAGAGTATCTGCAGCAAGTGGCAAGCAAACGGCCATCCCATCTGCCAAGCCGCCGACATGCAAATGGGCTCCTCAACTAAGACTTACACCACCGCTCAGCTCGTAAGACAACCGATCCGATTCGACGCTACGCAGAACTTTGTAGGTAAGCTTGAATCAAGGTTAGAGACATCCGCGCTACTCATGTCCATCATTCCCACTTCTCACCCTGCATATCCACCTGTTGGCGTGCGTGGTGGGCAGTTGAGAACCTTGATGGATAGCATGGGCGAGAGCCAACCGGCGAACTTTTGCTTGAGAGATTTTTTAAAGGAGGATTTTCGGACGAATTTAGCGGAGGGGTTGGAGGGAAAACAAGGTTATGTTTATGGATAAGTTCGGCGCGGAGCTAGGGACGCTTTTGACGTGTGTTGCGAGAGCGGGTTGTGAGGGTGTATGCAGTGGCGATTGAGGCTCAACCGTGACAGTCTGTCGACATCAGACTTTATTTAGGCAACTGATGAGTAACTTAACCGAAGAGAAAACCAAGCTTAAATGATCATGTCTGTCTTTTCCATCATATTGTACATCTACAATTACATCCATCATGCTCACATCAGGCTCAACGACATGTTGAAGGTTCAAGTCATAAGTGAAAGTCATCTCAATTGATCCCAGATTTGCAGTCCAGGTCTCTATAATGTACGAAGAAAATTGTCGCATCAAATGTGTCTTTCTATCCTCCACTGCTTCAATCCAGGGCTCGACACAAACATCCCCAGACCATCTCTATTTTGTTGCAACTCAAGCTTACAGGGCCAGAACAGCAGCGGCCACCATTCCGACGAAGGGAACCATCTGCATAACCGCAGCATTATCGGTGACTGCAGCTGAACCGCTGGTGGTGGTAGCAGAACCGCTGGTGGTGGTAGCAGAACCGCTAGCTGCAGCAGTCGCGGGACCATCGCAGTGCCAGTGGTCACCATGAGGCTCACAGCCAACAGACTCGGTGGGTGAGGGAGCCAGAGACTCGGTAGCGCCAGCAGAGTGGGAGTGATCAGCATCGGTGGTAGCAGCAGCAACGTCGGTACGAGCACCCTCGCAATGCCAGTGGTCGCCGTGGGGCTCACAGCCGACAGACTCGGTGGGAGAGGGAGCTAATGTCTCGGAACCAGAAGCGTCGTCGTGGTCATGATCATGCTCAGCCTCTGTGGTGGTCTTGACCTCAGAAGAAAGAGTAGATCGAGCGCCCTCGCAGTGCCCTGGAGAGTCAGTTTGAGTTATAAGCGAGGAGTGAGAAGAACTTACAGTGGTCTCCGTGAGGCTCGCAGCCTACGGATTCAGTAGGTGAGGGAGCGATAGAGTCGCTTGCACCAGCAGAGTGAGAGTGCTCCTCATCGTGATCATGGTCGTGATCATCATGCTCAGCACTAGTGGTAGCAGCAGCGCCGGCATCAGTACGAGCAGCCTCGCAATGCCAGTGATCGCCATGAGGTTCACAGCCAACGGACTCAGTAGGCGAGGGAGCCTGAGCCATGATGGTGGGAAAGAGGCCCAGAAGGGCGACGGCGAAAGTGGCGGTCTTCATCTTAAAGTGTTGTCGAAGAGAATATACAGTAGGAAGGAGCACTTTGGGGGAAGACGTAGACGCACTTCTCTGAGGTGAAGATGTAGATGCAGGAACAGCGATGTAAGGGAGAGGAAGAGGCAGTGGAGTTTTATACTCAAGGCTGAGGGAGTGGTACAGGAACAAGTATAAGCGCATTAAAGACGTGCGCTAGACATGCCAAGATAATTGACTGCCACAGTAAACGGCTTGAAAGAGTGATAGGCTTGCAGGGAACTGGCTCCGGGTTAGGCATGGAGGTGTAAAGAACGCATTACGAAGAAGCCATTGTCAGCGCGTGGGGGCATTTCACAGCTCTACAGAGAATTAGGGGGCGTGCAAAGATGTAAAAAGCCTTGAATGTTGGCTTGAAGTGTTTGTCTGCGTTTCTTGATGGCCGTGATGGACTTGTGTTGACTAACATGTTGCTCAAGAGCACATGGCACTCTAACACAATAGAACCACCACCATTGCAAGACCTTTCACTCCAGCAATCATCCCTCAACCAAGTAATCCTTGCCACTGGAACAATAAACAAAAGTTCTTCCATTCTTAAAAAGGGCCTGTCCTCCTCCATCGTGAAGCTTGTCCTTGGCAGTCTTGTCTTGGCACGCCCATCAAGGTCCTCACCTTAAAAACTGGAACCCCTGCAGAGTAGAGTCCGTCTCCACTGCGCAAACCGGGAAGACGCTACCTTGTTTATATCCACTGCGGTTTTACTCGGAAGAAAAACAAATCGGGCAGTTCTTTTGTTTCTTGAGTGTAAAAAGCGATGGGCCTTTGGTGACGAGTTTGTAATTGGTGTGCTAAGCTGGGCTGCAGTCTGACCAATTAAAGCCTGTCTGTGAACTTGCTTTGGCGTTGCGGACCGTTCGTTGGTGTTTTTTCATTCTTCACAGAGTGATTCACAAACATACCTCTCCAACTGCATCCTCAGTAATACCATTACATTCATGATCAGCCATGAAGCCTCATTTCTTGCACATCTCAGCGGCTCTCATAGCCCTGCTATTCGGGCCATCATGCACGGCCGCAGACGAGAACATCAAGGTTGACACCGCGCATCAAAGGAATCCCATCCTAGCCTCCATCCCCAACGACTTGGTTTGTCTCTCACTCTTCCTGCTCTGTCTCTGCCTGTTACTACGAATCAGCATGCCGAGCAGAGCAACAACCACCGCATCGGAACAGCAGCTGACCCGTCGATCCAAACAGTCCGGGTCACTCAACGGAGCCATCGTCACGCTGGAGCAAATATCCAGCCATCCTGACACGCCTCGCCATGTCGAAGCAAGAAAGAAGCTGAACAAGAGCATGCAGAGAGGATGGGGAAATTGGAATGCTCAACATCCTCGCCATCGTTTGCTGGATGCCCTGTATGGATACAGCAGGTATTACGAGCGTCAAAAGGTTGAGCTTGATCGAGTGGAAGGACTGTACAAACACATTTCCAAAGCTCAAAGATCTGTAAGTTTGTTTCTACCAACGTTTAAGGAGTGAATCTGACAAGCATGCAGTTGCTGGAGCATCAAGTCCAATACTCCAAGAAATTCTCCCGTATAGACGGTCTTTTGAAAAAGAACCAAGAGCTGTGTGACAATATCGTCCAGTATGCTATGGATTTCTATGAAATCAGCCAAGAAGAGTTTCAGAAACATGTCAAGACCTTTGAGACATCAGGAAAGCTCGCCGATAAGATTTCTGTGTCTCAGGCTTTGAAGCATTATGTTCGGGACTGGACGGAGACGGGAGAGTCTGAAAGACGTGAGACGTTCTCTTGTTTGATGAAGACTCTTCAGGGGCTTTTCCCTGAGAGAGATGGTGCTGCGCCGGTCAAGGTTTTGGTTCCGGGTTCAGGCTTGGGACGACTTGGGCATGATATCGCAAGACTTGGAGGTAAGACTTGTGACATGAAACGACCCCCTCGAATCACTTCTTGGACATCTCTTTACTGACATTGGAAAAGGATTCGACGTCACCATCAACGAATGGTCGATGTATATGAACATAGCCTACCGCTTCATCGAAGCCAACCGCGCCCGCAACTCGCACTCGTTCCACCCCTTCATCGACGGCTGGTCCCACCACGCCACAGAAGAAGACATGACCCGCGAGCTCATCTTCCCCGACACCTCCATCAACTCCACCTCCGTCGTCCTGGCTGAGGGCGACTTCACAACTGCCTTTGCCGACAAAGCCGGCTTCTTCGACGTCGTCGTAACATATTTCTTCATCGACACAGCTCGCAACCTAATGAGCTATCTCGACACCATCAAGAAAGTCCTCAAGCCCAGTGGCCACTGGGTTAATCTAGGACCGCTACTTTATGGCACGGGACCTTTCGTGCAGCTTTCGCTGGAGGAGATCGTGCAGGTCACAGAGGCGATGGGGTTTGAGTATCTTGATACGGAAGAGAGTTGCGGGCCGTTAACGTTTCCGGGGAGGAAGGTTAGGAGTATGGAAGCTGTGTATGGGTTTGATGATAAGGCTTTGACGAAAAGTGCGTATAATGCGCAGTTTTGGGTTGCGAGGAGGTCGTCGAAGCCTTGAGGGGATTGTGAATGGAAGGGAGGAGATCCGAAGGAGCGATGGTGTCACTCAGATATTTGAGTGTTGTTCAAAAGAGGGTTATGCATACACGTGCAGCAGTGCCAGTCTAGACACGAGATCCGTTCATCTCGCGACCACCGCCTTATTGTTAAATAGAGGATTAGATTTTGAATCTGAGGAAATATTTCCTTCTAGGCTGTAAGCTAAGAAATAGACAAGTCCAAACTAAACAGTACATCCTACCTAGAATTAGACAATTCGACATCACAATACGAGCCAAAGGCAGATAATAGGTGGCCACAGAATTTGATATAACTCGAATATATTCCCCTGTGTCTTCTAAACCGTTCTTTCTGCATTAGATATTAACAAATATTCGTTATGCCAACATAACCATCCCCTCATATTCCTCGCACCCAGCCCTCCACAAGTCCTTGAACCTTATCACTGTTCTTTTCCATAAACATCATATGCCCGTTTCCATGGATTCCTTCCTCGCCAAGCTCAACATGTTTAGTCTTGGAACACCCAGCCTGCAGAAGGTACTTAGCAGTGCAATAGTCGTATGGCATATGGTATGAAGCTTCGCCCGTGACAATAAGAATAGGCTTATCCTGGAGATTCGCTAGTTGGCGAGGTGCAGACTTCTTGGCTTGAAGCACACACTCGACAAAGTCTTTGCCACGGCTAGTCTGCACCTCTTGGACAAGGTCAAGGGACGGGTCGGAGACTGCTGGGCTGTATGTAAGGGCAATATCAGTTAAACCCCAAGCACGAGATGCTTTCGTACTGAAAACGGCCTCTCGGAATGGGGGGCCAGAGGGCTCAATTAAGATCAACGCTTTAGTGAATTCGGGGCGAGCATCGGCGATTAGGATAGGCATCATACCGCCCTGGCTGTGTCCAAGGAGAATGACAGGCTTGCCAATTTTGTCAAGAAGAGCAGCTCCAGCATCTTGCACTGCCTGTTGTTGGTATGTCGCATTGCTGATGAACTGAACATTTGAGCTATAGAAAGCGTCGAAAACCTCATCTCCTCGTAGGCCACTTCCAGGCCACTGGGTGTGATTTTTAGCCTGGGACCAGAGGCTAAACTTTTGGGGCGCGGTGAACCTCTGTTCGATAATATCGGCTGAGTATGTCGAGGGCGTCGCAGCAGCATTGGAGGGAGCCCATGCTGATCGCCCTCGAAAGGTCTGGTCAACGATGTAGACTTCGTATCCCTGGCTTATGAATTGCGAAGCCCAACCACGGCCACCGTCGGGCTTATTGAGGAAGTTCTACTTGTATCAGACTCGGTCAAGAACCAATGCTATATCCAAAAGTGAGTAGACTTACAGTGCCTGTCTGGGCTTGACCATGAATGAAGACGATGGGTGTAGTTTGGGAAGCGCCTTCGACTGGCACGAGCCTCTCCACGTACATCTGACCACGGAAGATTTCTCCACCAGCACCATCATTAGCATACCCTCCGCCGACCATAAAATATGACCGAACGGAAGGGACTTCGCCCTGATTACTATTTGCGGCAGCGAGACATGGGCTAAATGCCGCTGTGATAGTGATGAGTCTGGACACGATGTGCATGGTGAAGGGTGGCCAAGGAAGTTATGATGTGATTACAAACTAAACTTCCTAAGTAGCAGGAAAATGCTGGAATAAAGACAGAGATAAACATAAATCGCCACAAGATGCGGTATAATTGGAGGTGCCGAGGTTACCTAGCAACGAGCGAAATAACTAGGATTATCGTGACACCTATCCGTTCTTGAACCTCGATGTAACCTGAGTCGTGAAGACCGCTCCTAGACCTGTGTTCGTACCATGATCGTAACCACTGAACAAAACATGCTCAAAATAAGACGAGTGGAATTGCCCATTATTAAATGACTAGCTGTTGACCTTCCAAGTTCCGCGTGAAATTTGAACCCAGAATAGTGAATGCGGTATGGTCCAGTGTTGAGTCATTTATCAACGCGAGGCAGACAAGCGGTTTGAGCGTGTTCTATATAGCTATGGTTGTCGCGCTTATTATTTGGGGCCTAAGGTCAAGACAACTCTTCGTCAAGTCCAGTGATGCAATGGTCATAGATGGTAGTTTGGGCATCAAGATCAAGCAGGTTTTCAGTGGTTAAAAGCAAGGCGGTGAGAACAATTCCACCACCTACTCGACGTTCTCAAGTTGAGGATTATCACAAAATATTTCTCGAATCTCATAATTTATACTAAAATTCAATGGTACACTCAAATGAGTGTAATTCTAAACTTACAGGGTAGTAATCACCGTTGATCAGATAACAGTGTATTCCGATCTTGGCTTTATTACCGAAACCTTGGGCGACAATGGCGTCAGGCCGTCTCCACTTAGCCCACGGCTAGATCCGCCGCCATTGGACAACATGATCTTATCAGATTTCCGCATTTCTGTCACAAGGCCAAGTCACACCCAGTTTCAGGCAACAGGTGACAGGGGGTCATTAAGAAAATGCCGCTGTAATCAGATGATCAATAAGCAAGGGTCTTTTATATCCCTGGGAAAAACCCTCATCAAATTCTTCTTCACTTCACCATCTGCTTGAGACATTCTTCGTCATGTCTGCTGAAACAGCGCCTTTGTTAGGCGTCGCCGGACCGTCCTCTGATGTTTTCCAACAGAATACCTCTATTCGGCCGCCGAATAGCAAGAGATTATCAGCGGGGGTGGCGCGTATGGTGGTTGTTTCGCAGAATCTTACTACAGCGCACCGCATATGGCTTTTCGTCGGTATTTTCCTCGTCGGCTACGCATACGGTCTTGAGAGTCAAGTACGTTTAGCGTATCAATCCTACGCCACTTCAAGCTTCGATCTACACTCATATCTTTCTACGATTAATGTCCTGCGCAATGTCATCGCTGTGGCTGTCCAACCGACCGCTGCCAAGATCGCTGATGTCTTTGGGCGGTTTGAGGTCATCGCAATCTCCACGGTTCTCTACACACTCGGAATCGTCATCGAATCAAGCGCCCAGTCTGTGGAGGTGTTCTGCACGGGATCCATCATTTACCAAACAGGATATACTTGCATCGTGCTCCTTTTGGAAGTTCTCATCGCCGACTTTTCATCCATGCGAGCGCGCGTGTTTTTCAGTTACCTCCCCGCGGTTCCATTCTTGATCAACACCTGGATTAGCGGGAATATCACTTCTGCGGTCTTGCACGCGACGAGCTGGCGATGGGGTCTTGGAATGTGGGCTATTATCTACCCTATCGCGTCGATGCCTCTTCTGTCTTGTCTTTATTTCCTGGAGCGTCGAACGTGGGAATCAGAAAGTGGCAAGGAGAGTGACGAGGTTGTGCTGGTATCTCTCAAGACCAAGAAAGGAAGGGAAGATCTTTTCCATCAACTCGATATCGTTGGACTGGTTCTCTTGGTCGTCGCTTTCTCGCTGATCCTTGCGCCCTTGACCGTCGCCGGTGGTACTGTCAGCCACTGGCGCAGCTGGTACATCATCCTCCCTCTGGTGCTGGGAGTTTGCTTCATGGTTGCTTTTATCACATGGGAGCAGCGAGGCGCAAGACATCCACTCATACCATTCCACCTTCTGAGAGACAGGGGTGTCTGGTCTGCGTTAGCAGTTCGCAGTCTCCTTAACCTAGCGTGGTGCACACAGGGAAACTACCTCTACACCATTCTTATCGTGGCCTTTGACTTTTCGATTGAAAACGCCACTCGTATCTTATCCTTCTTCTCCTTTTTCGGAGTCATTACCGGAGTTCTAGCGGGCCTAGTCATCTTCAAGATCCGACGACTCAAGTTCATCATTGTCGGGGGAACACTTTTATTCATGGGCGCATTCGGAGTTTTGATCGCATACCCAGGCGGAGCTTCGATATCTTCAAAGAACGGAATCATCGCGGCGCAGATCCTCCTAGGAGTAGCCGGTGGATTCTTCGCTTACCCAACCCAAGCATCGATCCAGGCTTCAGCATCCCGGGAGCATGTGGCCATCCTCACAGGTCTTTACCTTTCCTTCTACAACGTCGGTAGTGCCTTTGGTACATGTCTCTCCGGAGCCATCTGGACACAGACTCTCTACAAAGCTCTAAAGAGGAATTTGGCTTTCCAACCTGACGAAGACCTCGCAAAGACGATATATAACTCGCCATTTTCGGTGATTGGACATTATCCTGTTGGAACGGCTATACGCGAGGCTATCATCGATAGCTACAGCTCTGTACAGCGGCTGCTTTGTATTGCAGGGATTTGCGTTTGTATTCCAATGATCATCTTCGCACTGGCGTTGAGAAACCCTCGATTGTCGGAGCAACAGATTCAGACGGAAGATGAAGAGCACCAGGAGGGTTAACAACAAGACATCTGGTTTATTACATAGAGGCATAGCGAATGATTCAATCAGTTTTGCATGGTTTAGAATTGATAGATAAATTTCATATATTTAACGCCATTTCCACTAGAAAGCGATTTCTTTATCACGCCTTTGCTAATAAGTGGTACTAAGCCTGTTGCTTCCAATGTGCCTGTAGCCTTCCAAGCATCATCTTGATATAATCCACATCCGTGACATCCGGCACATTTCTCAAAGTCTCACTATCCTCCCTCGACCTTTCAGTCAGATAATCCAATGGCCCCTTCTCAGCCGAAGAAGTGACCTTCTTACCATACTTACCCTCGAACCAATCCAGTAGCTTGATAGGAGGGTTCTTGGTAGGGTCGCGCTCTGAATTACGTAGACGCTCCATCCACTCGCTTGTGGGGAGAGTCTCGAACTTGTAGCCAGCCTTTTCCATAGAAGGGAGCATCTGGCGTGCCCAGTGGAATCGAACCGGGTTTATGAGGTGGTAGACTAGATCTGTATCTGAAGAGCGGTCTGTGGTTGGTTTGCCGCTGAGGTTGGCGAGGTCTAGAATTGCGGATGCGGCGAGATCGACTGGCAGCCACGACATTTCCTATAACAAGTTAGTCGCCATCTTCATACCACGTGAGAAATATTCTTACCTCGTTCAAAGCTGGCAAAGCACCAATCGTAACAGCCGTCTGTATCATCAAAGGAACACCCTCGGTAGTATTCCACTCCCCGACCTTCGTATCACCCACCAACTGGCCCAAGCGTAGCACCCTCGCCGGGGCACTAGCACTCTTCCGTGCGTTACCCGTGATATGCTCAGCGACATACTTCGACCTCGCATAACCCGTGTGCTGGGCATGCGCAGGGGATGCAACAAGCGTTTCAAGGACTTGTCCAGGTCGAGGTGTTCCCGCTGCAGACGAGACGGAAGAGCAGAAGAAGAAACGAGCTGGCTTGGGCGTTTGCACGGAAAGGCTTAGCTGGATGAGGTTGTGCACGGCTTTGATGTGTTGGTCCTCAAAGCTCTGAACGGAGATGTTGAAGTTGACGGCCCAGGCGCTGTGGATAATAGTTGTGAGTTTTGTCTTCAGCTCTTCGACGCGAGTTTCACTGAGACCGAGATCGGCGCGGCTGAGATCGCAGGGAAGAGCAAGGACTTTGCCGCGCTGTTCTTCATTCAAAGAAAGACCTCGGGCGTCCAGAGAACTGTTCAATCTCTCGGTCGCGGCAGAATCGCTGGTTGCTCGGATTAAAGCCCACACAGCGCCGACGTGTGGTTGAGCTGTAAGTTGCGCAAGGGCATGAGCACCTAGGGCACCGGTAACACCAGTGAGTAGCTAAACCTGTTAGTCTCAAGTCTTCCAACTGTGGGCGTTTTTACTCACCACAAGCTCTTTCTCGGGCTGAGGCGCAGAGCCAGCAACATGAGGCCTGAAAGAAGAATACTTCTCAATCAGCTTCTCCATCACCGCGAACTGATCCTGCTCTTCATCGCCCGCACCGCTCCTCAGCCTTTCAACCTGACGAGCGAGTAACTTGACATTACCAGTCTCGTAGAGGACATTCTGGCCGAGCTCGGATTGTCTACCACCAAGGTCAATCTCCCGCTTGATGAGACTCCACATCTGGATGCACTGCAGACTATCCACTCCCGAAGCGAAGAAGTCTGCTTCTGAAGATTCTAGTTCAACTCCGCACTTGTTCTTGACCTGTTCGAGGAGATAGTCTTCCAGCTCTTTGCCTTCGAGGGTGAGTGAGCCGGCTTGGTCGTCTTGGCCTTCGTATGTCTTGTATGCAGCTTCGATCTCCTTCTCAAACTGGCGGTATGTGGGAACTCGAATGAAAGTACCCTTGTCTGTTCGGGGGTATGCCACATCAGATTGGACAATAACGACTAATTCTTTCGGGATTCTTGAGAACGATTCAGCGCGAGAGTTAGCATCTTCGACAGAAGGCCAGATGGCCTCAAGGAACTCATCGTCAGACATGGCAGCCGCGCGATCAGCCTTGACGATCAGAATACCAGGATATGTCTTGCCATCGCCAAAGACAATAGCCTCCTTGACAATCTCCTCTTGTCGGATGCGACCCTCGATAGGAATTGGTAGGACCTTCTCACCATTGATGAGAGTAAACCGATCGTCAAGACGGCAGGCGAATTTCCATAGCGTAGGTCTTGTGGGATGCTGCGTAAAGAGATCTCGGGTGCGGAAAGATCCAGGCGGGTCATCTGAATTCGTCGTGCTCTTTGAGGGGAGACCGTCTAGAGCGACGCATTCGAAAAGCCCTGGGGCGACTTCATCGAACACTGTGTATGGTTCTGCTGGAGGGAGCACACGGATGTAGTTCCACGCTTTGTCGCCTTCTGGGCGTGCAGACGTGGCGAGTCTACCAGTCTCGGTACTATTAATCGTTAGTAATTATTCCTCCGTTTGAGACGATTACTTACGCTCCGTAGTTGCCACAAAGGTTGACACCTCTTTCTACCAAACGATCGCCAAGATCATCAGGACATCCACTTCCGGCGTATAAAACCAGCTTCATATCCGCCAATATCTGAATACCCTCTTCACTCTCAGCCAAGAGCTTGATAACATATGGGACACAGTGAAAGATTTCAGGCTTAGTCGCCCTGAGCTGCGCAAGGACAATTTCTCTCGTCAGAGGCAGGCCGTAGTTTGTAAAGTAGAGTGGCTTGCCCGAGTAAATCGCGCGGAATGTCTCGTAGAACCCATGACTGTGGAAGAGTGGCGATGTGAGAAAACCTCGCATGTTCATGTGCACCGCAGAAGCGCCGACAACGCTAGCATTGGTGAGGAAGATAGGCTTGGGCAGGCCTGTCGAGCCAGACGAGTGGATGATGACAGCGACTTTACGAGACTCAGCGTCGGGGTTGTAATCTCGTGTAAAGCGTGGTGCATCCTGGTCATAGAGATCGGCATTCTGCAATAGAGGTAGAATCTCCAATTGGCGATTTTGCTGTACTTCTTTGAGAACGGGGTGGAAAGGTGGTGTTGTGAGAATGACGTTACAGCTGGCTAGATCGAGAAGTTGTGTGATTGCCAGGCTCGCAAGGCGTGTTGAGATAAGAAATGCACTATAGCCCAGACGATTGAGGGCGATGATCTGGATAACAACGTGAATGCCAGATTGGCCCAGCATGCCTACCACGGGAGCTTTCTCCAGCGTTGGATCCTACAATAGTCAGCGCATCATCTTGACACATGGGGATAGTTCAACGTACCACTGACTTGAGGCCCAAGCTCTGAAGTTTCGCAACAGCCGCATCAGCATATCTATCGATATCCACAGCGCTATGCTCTCTGAAATCATCAACGCCACTCTCCGGCGCACCGAGTAAAATCGTATCTCCCAATTCCGCAGCGCGCCTCTTGATCATCTCATCGAGCGTAAACATCTTCGCTTGTGAGTGCTGCTGCACCGCGGGCTTCTGCGCCTCCACGGCGTTGGAATCGTGTCTGATAGTCATGATTTAGGCAATATTGTTGTGTTAATTACAGAGAACAAGAATAGACGCATCTCAGATACAATGTATGTAGTTATATCCAACTGGACGGATATTCGGGACTCCACCCCCGCGAATCACAGCGCGCTAAACGGACGGAAAAGCGAATCCCCCTCATTGTCGGATAAGCACATCTCGGTCCACGAACCAGCGGGCACCTATATGAAATAATCAAGATATGATATCCGTACTTGGATTTCCGACGATAGACGAATGGCTACGGTTTGAGAGTTATTGCGGACGTCTCGGCGATAATAGTAAGTATTTCCAGGTTACCCGTGATCGATAAAAAAGGTCGGAAAATTGAGAAACAGGATGATAATCCGTACCCGTAATGAGGCTAACCCCCAGGTCATTTTCTTACAAGAGTTTTCAAATGGGTTAATTGTATTCAATTATAATGCTAGAGATGTTATCATCCCTGCCGAGTTCATGCCTGGAGTCGACAATACCGATCTTAGGAGCCATTGCTTCCAACACTTCCGTTCAGAGCAAGAGCCAAAAACGGATCACGGGTTATGTAGGTATCTATTTCTTCTGTTGGTCTCATATGTACTGATTGATCGTAGCGTTGCTGAGTATAGCTTTGGAAGTAGTTCATTTCAGGAAGATGCCGTCCGAGCTCTGCAGGGGGTCAGTGTTGAAGCAGTGATTTAAAAAGGATTTGCATTTATCTATGTGCTAGTTCCGCTGAGTTGCAGGATACTGCTTTTAATACTCCCCAGCTGAAAGAAACCAGCTCAACATGGGCTTGTTTAACCTATAGATACAGGAACCAAGATTACGACGTAAGATCGAGGCGAAAATAACTAGGTCTGTTCATGCACATCTATTAACGAGTGACATTAGTAATGCACCTAATGGCTATCTCAGAACTCATAAGCGACTCAGGACCTGAGGGTGCTAACTAAATATCCTATTGATATGCCGAATAAGTGTCTTTGTAGTTTCTGCCACTAGAGCGTAAGCGACTTCTAGGTGAAAAGTGAGTCATTACAGCTAATCAAAAAAGACGTGAACCCTCTGAGCATCTCACGTGTTTCCTAGCCAGATGCAGCGATAAAAATCACTACATGCATAGCATTCCTTCTTTATGCTCTTGAGGACCTGATGCTGCCTTCACGAGAGAATCTAGACCTAAGATTGCTATACTCGGATCTCTTTCTCCATCTCACAGGAAGGATTCTAGGAGATGTCTCTAGCTTTTAGAGACCACGAGGTGCAGTGAGAGCGACTGAGTTGTTTGAGAACCCTTGACTTGTCATGACAAATTCAACAACCGATGACCCCCAAGCCACTAACCAATTATGGCAGCCGCAATAGACTATGCGAGCAGTGCTTATCTCTTGGCGAGGATTGCAACACCATGGATGGATGTGGCACAGCATGGGCAAGGCTAGCGTACGAAAGAGTCGAATATTATTACTAGAAGCTATCCATTGAATCCCGGTCCTGATACTGCACCCTCTTCTTCATTCGCATGCATTCTTACCGGAGTCTCAAGCAGGGTTTTGCCACCTCCATTCTCAACCAACTCTCAGCCTTTTAGGTATAGGATCGTTAACCTTGCTATGCATCCATTGGAGGACGCAGGATGACAAGGTTAGTATTCCTGCTGACCCAATGAAGACTAGAATGCGTTGAGTGACAGTGAAACGATCCATCAACGGATAAGGATACCTATTTGCATGTTAGCGCGTAGTAAGCCGGATTCTGACATAGCACGACATAGATAAACCTACCAGCCATTCTGAGAAAAGCATAACTCGCACCAGCACCAGTATAGCAGAGCCGAGATCGTACTTAGGGATAACATGCTGCGTGTAGTGATGATGGCATGTGGGCTTAGCAGTAAAAAGTCCACTGCTAAGAATGCTGCCGGCGCAATATGGAACCCAATATCTGGCCACGGATCCAGTCCATTAAATAGCTCTTGCGACATAAGTAACGCAGGATCATGCGATCGTATGGACCAATATAGAAAGGTAACGAGAACCTCTAAAGGCGTCGCAAGGATGGTGACAGCGTTTTTAGCCCTGAAGAACACATCTTGGAGCGTAAGGTCGGCAGCAAGTCCGAAGACAAATGTGATGAGAGATGTAGCGACGCCTATAACCGTAAGGAACTGGAAGTACCACCCGAAAGCTCGCGCATAGATTGAGTCCCAAGTCGTAAGGAGGTAAAAGCTATAAATGAAGGATAGAGACCCTGCAGCATGGAAAAGCGTGATCAAGGAGTGGTTACGCAAAGTCGCGCTTCTTGTTGAAACGTGTGCCATGTTGCCAAGATGTCAGAGTGCAACAGAGATATTAAAGTGCACATTGGAGACTTTTATAGCTATCAACGCCAAGGACATGTGCTTGTAACAACCGCAAAGAAGGAAGGTACTCTTTGATAGAAGGAATCACCCCATGCGCGCTAGGCGGTCTTAGGCAGGAGAAGATAACACAATCTTGACTGACACTAGAGGTATACAAATAGCTAAGTATTATCCTCAGCAGTTAGCTACCCCTGCCTTAAGTAATCCTGATTCCCAACCTTTTAAGACGTGATGTTCACTATCTTCGCAGTTGACGAACGGGCAAAAGATACACCGGGCCGTGTCGCGCTCGATTCTATGTGCTCTCCGTACGGTATAATACGCATCAATAGGGAAAGGTTTGGCCTTCATGTCTTAGGGGAAAAGGGACGTATATTCTCCTACCAAGGTTAGATTTAAAACGTAATTATAATATACATGTTAAAGTACTAGTAAGTTAATGATAGCTTTATAAAGATTTTTACATTATTAATTTAATAAGACTTAATCTTATTATTATATCTATGAAGATATAAGACCTACTATAAAATTACTATTGAAGTATTATATACATTATAATAATAATAACAGGAATATTAAAATTGCTAGTAGGTTAACTTTATATACCTTCCCTAACTATTAGCTTTATATAAACCTATGTTGCTAGTATATTATACTATCTAGGTAATTTTACTATTATAATACTAATACCTAGAGGTAATAATATCTTAGTAATATTTAAAATGGATTTCCTTGTTTAGTTTATCAAGGCTATCTTATTATCTTTTACCACACTCTAGGCTTATAAAACATCTGAATCTGTGTTTTTACATGGCATTATATTAAGATATAATATCCGGACCTAGAATTCCGACGATAGACGAATGGCTTCGGTTTGAGGGTCATTGCGGACGTCTCGGCAATAATAGCAAATATTTCTACGTTATCCGTTGTCGGTAAAAAGAAAAAAGGTCGGAAGATTGAGAAGAGCACCCGAGTACCAAGGCTACTAGATCCTTCAATGTATGCTTTCGGTCTGCAACCTACATCTCCATTCATCATCTAAACTTTCTCGACATGCACGTCATAATATCGATGTTCTTGGGGATGATGCTTCTATTGTCAGAGGGGGTAGTTGCCACAATATCGGTGTACTTGATGTTCTTGGAGCCTACCCTAGCAGGGTGAGTCCTTGAAATGAATGCCCGAAACATCGATATTGGTTAGGTTCTCGGTGTAGAATAGAATCGGACGGTAGTACTTATTGTCAGGATCGAGCATCCTGGACAAAGGAGGTTAGTATACGTTAATCCATCAAAGGGAAATCAGTAAATTCACGAACCTGGGCCAGACTCAAACTTGTTCCACCAGCGTTGTGTGTGGGTGTCAGTCAGGTTATGCGTCTATTAGTCTAGTATTGATAAAGCATTAACCCTTAATAACACCATGACTGTATATCTTATTGTCTGTTCCTGCCCACTTCTAAAACATAATGGACTTTTGGACGTCAAGTTAAATTGTAACAAATCACATTTTTAATAGGGTAGTATTATTCTCATGTAAATACATAAGGATATATCCACTCCTGTCGGCCCTACAGTAATAAGGTAGGCTCTAAGTTGAAACCCTTTCCCTTTTCGCGAATCTCTAAAGCTTGGCCTGAGTGCTCAAGGCATCTGGCTGTTTCGGTTTCTGTTCCGTTCTGGATAGGGTATCGAGTTGAAAAAGCCCTACAACAGAAATAGCATTCCAAGGATCATGCTTTTCGGCACTATTAAGCCAATTGCTCATCGAGTAGCTAATAGTATCGTCCTGCTTAGGCTGATCTATATTGCATCATTAGTATGGCGTAATGAAATAACACATCCTTAAGATCTTACGTTTGTTGTTTTCTTTATCCATTTGTAGTTCTGTATTCTTAAATGGGTGGGTTATAAAATAATGGGATAGAAGGGACTGACGGAGAAACCAGATGGCTTGGATTATCATGGCTTTAAATACCCATACAGTCTACTTAAACAACCATCTACGGCGAGCAATACCTTACGCTACCCTTGTTTAAATCATAGTATATTACTGCTTAAAAATCAGGCTAATTTTGATGATGTGTTTTCAGATTGGGTATTGCCAGATACCAGGGTTCAAGAATGGAACGTGATCGCAGATCCTGGGGAAAGGCACTTTTCTTGATTGGCCGATCCAACAGGTGTCTCTAACGCTTTAAAGGCATGGGTAATTGTCTGGCCATTGAGGAAAAGTGCCCAAAGGAACGGGCCTGTTTTGACGGCTTATAACACTACGGCACTAATCTCTTAGAACCCGATAAAGGTCCATTTTGGTGTGAGCTCACGCAAGCAGCCAACACACTAGTGGGAGGGAGGTAATCAGCAGAATGCACTATCGGTACAGATCGTTACATAGGTACCTAGGTTTAAATGTACTTCCTCTGTGTATAGCAATAGGTGACATTTTGGTCGTGTGACAAGTCTAGCTACGTGTCTAGGTACTATGCAGGGAGAGATCGATCAACCAGTAAGGAAACGTGCCATCAGATTATTCAGCTTCAAGGTGGACGCTAACAGGCAGCGGCGAATCAGAAAAAAAGTGCCCTCGTCAAACATGTGGTAGCAAGGTCACAACCATAATGCTCCGGGTGGGCTTGCGGCTTGGAAACGGTAGCATTGTGAGTGTCATTCATACATAAGTACATGTTGATGCCAAGGGCACGGTCCATGGCATATCAGCTCTGTGATCCAATAGTCGCTTGTAGGCCCATAGCTTGTCGAGATGTCAGCCTCACAGTTCCCGTGGGGTGGCTGAGACCAGAGCCTGGTGCAGCTTTCCCCTCTTCTCTTCTCTTCCCCTCCCCTTCTTTCTTCCTTCTTTTTCTCTCTTTCAACTTCAGATCCAGCTCTCTGCTGTGCAATCTGTGTCTCTTGGACCGGATTCTAGCTAGCTGTGAGCGCAGCTGAGTCTGGACTGCCACCGCTAGCCAACCTTCTTTCTTGTCTCCAGCACCTGCACCTGAACCATCGAAACCCATCGTATCACCAACGCGAGAAGGAGACGCAGTACAACCATTTTCGACCAGAATTCGGTCGGAGTACGCAAACGTCGTATTAGTTGAGGCGCCGGGAACTCCGGCGCACTCAACATACTAGACAACCACTATGATCATCACCTAGAGCATCGTGCGTTTGGCGATTGCGACCTCTGCTGGAACCTCTATACTACACCTTTCTATACGTCTACGCTTGATAGCCAGCCTGAGACCTCCATACTTGACAACACTTTGGCCACAGCATGGTCAAGTGACGTCAACTGCGACGTCTCTTCTGAATATCTTGGTAGTTGCGACTCTTCTGGAGAGTTTTTATCCACTTATTTTGACCTTTCTGCTGCTTGTTCGACTCCATCCCCTTCGTGTCCATCCCAGACAATTTCCGACCCGTCAGCCTCTCCCTCAACCCTCACGAGTATTAGCTACCCTACCACTCCATACCAGGCCCAGTCACGTTATGCCTGCGAGTGGTGCCCGGCGGCCTTCGATCGCATCTCCCTGCTTGCGTGAGTAGCTATTCCTCTGCTTCTGCCCAAGCTATTTACTGACCCTTTCAGTGAACATTATAAATCCTGCCACAGCTCTTCACCTCTTGGTATTTCAGCACAGTATAGTTGCGGCAGATGTAGCACCTCGTCCAAGCGCTGTATCGACTTCATACGCCATCTACGAAGCCAAGCCCATTTCAATGAATACCATCAATGTCGTTGCGATAGAACGTTTCCACGGGATAGTGGCTTCAAAAGCCATGTCGAGAAAAGTGAATGCCAAGGTCCCAATGCATATACGTGCCGTTGCGGTCATTCTGTTCAATCGTACGCAGAGGCTTTGACTTTGGTGATGACCGGCGGGCACATATACACATGCGATGGCCGGCGTCCACAGGGGCGACCGACAAAGAACAAAGACGAACAAAACCTTGCAGTCAGCAATTAAGTGAAAGAAAACATTTCAGAAGAGGTTCTGAATACCTTGTTACCGGGTTTGGTCCACGATAGGAACTGCCCAACGAGTGTTATTCACACCTCATTGAGTACGTGTTGCGACACGTGTGTATAGCGGTTCTGGCGTTGTTTCGATTGTCCAACGCATATGCAATTCGTTGAATGATCACCATCAGTCAATCTGGACCCTGACACTTCGCCTGCCTGCGGGTAAAAGTTCCATTGGGAATAAGAGGTTGAGAAGACCCAGGCAAGTTCTCGCCAATGACTGAAACGACAAGTATCTCAGGAACCAGAGATAACCACGAACTTGAAACTCGTGTACATTCTTGAGTTGGGTTGGGCTTCATGCACTTCCTTCACTCATATTATCATACCTACATCACTGTTGGCTTCATCGCCAACATGAGCAAATCTCCGTTAGGTTCGGCGATGTCATGCTTGATGTAGCACTCCAAGCACTCCTAGTCTGGCTGAACGATAGGGCAACCAGCTACGGCAGTCTCATATACGTTGTGACAGTTCAATTGATTCGCTTATTTGTGGAAAGAGTTCCCAGCGTAACAGACACTTCGTGCCAAGCTCTCCGTCTCACAGTAGCTATTGCGCCTTTGCTAGATGCCAACAAAGGTGTCCATATCCTTTCTAATCAACGCTGATGACCTCGTGACCACGGAAGATAATAAACTCTTCACCTAGGGATATTCTATTTGCAGTAGCTACTTGTAGTATAAACCACTTTCAATTCAACGATTCAAGGGTTAATCTCTCCAGTTCTTGTTCAACACAAGAAATATCCTCCCCAATCTTGTAGTAAGATGCGGATCCTATAGTGACATTTGAAGTCCATCTGTTATAGTTTTTGATTGTTTTCTCCAATTTCTTCTTACGCAACCGTCGTGCTTGCTTTGCGTCACGGCTTTCCCTAGCTTTGCGAGCGTCAAGCAATCTGGGTCTCAGTGATTGAACCGTTGTTTCTGCTTTTGTAATCAGGCCTGGCAAAGCATCCAATCCTGATTTGAGAATCTTGTAACGCTTTAGGAATAATGGTATGTTCTGTCCTTGTAGTTCAGTAGAGCCTATAAGCCTTTGTCGCAAAGCGTATTCGAGATGTGTGTGCCAATTGCTCAAGACTGGCTGGTACTGGTTTAGTGTTCGACGAAGAGAGACAATTTCTCGCTCTTTAATAGAGATGAAGTTATCCAAGGCATCTTCATCGTCGAGCACAACTTCTTCTTCTCTTGCTTCTATGTACCTTTCCAACTGGAATCTGGTGGTAGGCGGCAGTTCTTTTCGAGATTGTTCGTCGCCATTGGCAAGGTATAGTAGTTCGAAGAATACGAAGCTACCATCTACCTCAATCGGATCTTTGGGTGTAACTGGAGATTCTTCATCATCCTGATATTTCGCGAGCTCAGTTTCATCCTGCGAAGCCCCCTCACCTAGCCTGTTCTGTTTTCGGGTCCTCTCCCTACGAGACTTTTGCCGAAGTCGATTGGATTCTCGTCGACGTGTTGTCTTTTCTTTGGGTTTCCTATCACTTGGTGGTATGTCAGGGATAGTACTCGGCACAGGTCCAGTGGTTTCCTCTGGGTCGTGTTTTTTGCAATTTTGTACATCGCCTGTTCGATAGATGATGACTTGTAAATCTTGCCAAGTCGTATTGAGAATTGTCCTTTGTGACATTCGACGTACGGCACGTGCTCTGTTGGCCTTGACATTAGGTTCAATGTCCAGAAAGCTGTAGGAACGTGCTTCGTATGTGATGTTTGCGTCTGTATCAGGTTTGTTTTGTTGACTAACGGCATAAATGTCTGCATGTTCAGTCAATCCAATCCTCTGACCGATTACAAAGCTGTCAAAAGGTGTGCCTTCTGTAATCTTTGCCCAGGGCAGTCTGTCCGGGCTGTTGTTGGACCCCAGACCAGATTCCATATCAGGGGGGATAGGTTTGCAGATAAAGTATTTCCAATAACAAGATATTATAAATATGGCCACAGAATCCAAGGTCTTTTACACATTATTATAGCAGTGGAATAGTTACGTTTTCACCCCTGTACACAAGAATAAGGCGAACCATATTCAGCATAGCCTCATTGCCTTAAGAGGGCACTTTTTAACATCCAATCATTCTTCCCACCCCGCGTAAAAATTCTGAACCTTATTGGGTAGTGCTAACTGGTAAGTGAGACATTATTTGCGGCAAACCACGGTAGACCTAGCGTCCAGACGACACCCCTCAATTTAGGACTAAACTCTTACACTGCTTTGAACAACATAGCCAGTGCCTTCAATCAAAGGACCCTAAAACCTCCAAAACACAAGCTTATATAGTATTTCCAAATATTACTTCCATACTTTGTCGCGAGACTGGCAAGTGAGTTGCAAAGAGTACACATAACTCTGGTTCCACCCACGTTAATTGGTGGCTACCCTGGACAGAAGCTATTTGTTTACGGTCAGGCGCGTGCACTGGTGTACCATATCACCCATGCCATTTCATCGTCACAACACCAGCGCCTCAACGCGATGGCGTCTCGGCAATGTTCAAATTTTGTTTCTTTCTTGGGATCCAAAAGGCCACTCCATCGTATCTTGCCAATTTCTAAAGCCACGAAATGTCCAAACCCGTCTTCTCGCATGTCATCGTCTACTTTGAGCAAGCTGACCAGTTCCCTGGTGACTCGCTTCGTACGTGCGCCTGAACAACCACGCTCATTCCCAGCATCTGGATTTAACTCAATCGATGAGAAAATCAATGTAGAAGAGGAGGAAATTCCAGATTATCTCGCTTCACGTTTTTACCCTGTTCATTTGGGACAAGTCTTCCAAGACCGCTATCAGGCTGTAACCAAGCTTGGTTTCGGAAGCTCATCAACCATATGGCTGGCTCGCGATCTCAGGTATATCATTCTTGTCTCAGACTCCATGTTAAAAGCTCCCTAACACAGAACGACAGAGAACACAAATATGTCGCTCTAAAAATCTACGTCCACACTTCTCGCGTTCATCGCGAACTTCCCATATATGAGGCCATGTCTCCAATCTTCGAAAAGACGAAGAACCCTGGACGGAACAATATCAGACGCCTTCTAGGCTCGTTCGAAATTAATGGCCCGGACGGACGTCATGTGGTGCTTGTAATGCAACCTGCACAGATGAGCCTTCGGAACTTCAAGTCTGTATTTAGAAAAGATGGTGGATTTGACGAGGCCTTTGTGCAAGGTGCCGTCCAGGAGCTACTTAAAGCTCTTGACTTCATTCATAACGAGGCGAAGTTCGTACATACAGGTCTGTATTCCCAAAGCCTCTTTTGTTGATTGAGACTAACAATAAAAAGACATCCATCCAGGCAATCTTCTTCTGGGTCTGGATGATGATTCGCAGCTTCAATCTCTAGTAGATTCAGAGTTCAAGTCGCCTGTTACCCGAAAACAGATTTCAAAAGACCGAACCATTTATCTTTCCCGTTTCATGCGACCAAAGCCAGGCCCAATGCTTCTGTCGGACTTGGGTGAAGCAAGAACAGGCCCAGGACCTCACGCAGGCGACATCATGCCTATTCAGTACCGAGCACCCGAGACCATCATGTGCATCGCCTGGAGCTACCCAGTGGACGTATGGAGTGTCGGGCTGACAGCATGGGATCTTCTCGGCCCCAAACGCTTGTTCACTGCAAAAGACAGCGACGGAGATATGTATGATGCAGCGCATCTAGCTGAATTGATAGCAACGCTTGGTCCCCCGCCCCTGGAGTTTCTGCGAAGGAACCCTGAGAGGACAGCTGACTTTTGGGATGAGAAAGGTACGTTCGCCTGTTAATACATGGGAACCTGTGAACAGGCTGACACACACTTAGGGAACTGGATAGAGTTAGCCCCAATACCCGCCAATCGATCCCTGGAGGATTTGGAGACAAGACTTGAGGACAGTAGCGGCATTATTGCATTCTTACGGCGTGTTCTCACGTGGATACCTGAGGACCGACCAACAGCGAAGGAATTGCTACAAGATCCGTGGCTGCAATGAAGGACAGCTGTTGAGGTGATAGGAGAAGCTTCATATCTTACATCTACTTAGCGCCAATTCAGAAAAGAAACATAATATTGCAAACAAACCTCGTACCAAGATGAAACTAACCACATCACACATCCTCACCACGCCTTGCCAGAGATAGACTTCTTCTTCGTCGCCGACTTCAGCCTCCCAAAGAAATTTCCCCCCACAACCGCCGTCCTCGCAACAGTCTCATCCCTCTCCCGATGCTCAGCGCACTTCCCAGGCGGTATCTGACCCTGCGACTCGTAGTAAAACCTCGATACATCAAACTCATGATCCGGCCCAGGCGCAATACAGACAATCTTCTCCTTGGTCCTTTCCAACTGCGGCCAGCACGTGTCGCACCAGTTACACCCTTGATACTCATCTGATTTGTTCGCGCTGGCGACACGCACGATCTTGCCGCAGAGTTTGTTGGAGCAGCAGACTGTGTTGTCCATCGTGGGCCACCATTCGCGGAACTCGGCTTTCTCCGAGGTTATCATTGAGGCTTTGCTCTTGAGCTCGAGCTTTTCACATATCTCGTTGCAGACATGTGTGGCGAAGAAGAACTTAAACCCCTCTTTTCCAAGATTCGTGTCAGCGAGCTTGAAGCGCTCGGGGTCAAGAGTGTGAATAGCCGGGTCGGTGAGAACATGACCCACGCCTTGAAGATCACACACCAGGAAGCTTCCCCACGAGCGCTCGTAGGTAAAGTGCGAGAACGCCTGGGCAGCTTTGTTGAACTCATCATCAGGGTTATCCTCGTTCACGTAACTGCAGTTATTGTTGTACTTGACATAATCACCCTCAATGAACGGTTCGAGCGAGATGTAATCACTGTCCGAATCTCCATTTTTACCCTTCAGACAAGTCGTCACGATGAAATCGATGGCGTGCTTATCACCTGTCAAAGCATTAAACTCCAGCGCAAATGCCTTGCAAAGAGCCTGACAGCGCATGTCCTCGGCTAGATGCGCAAGACGCTTGCCACTGCGCTTGAAGGTCTTGACGACGTAGGGGTTTGTTGAGTGTCTTGTCTTCGCACAGTATGCTAGCCGGAGAGCGCCTTGGGCGAAGGGGCGTTGGCGCTTGTGCACGGTGAGTTCCATGACGCTGAGTTTGATGTTGTCATCGTGGGCCATCATATCGTTGAGGGTTCCTGAGCGATGGATGACGGTGTCTGGTGAGAAGCCTTCGACGCGGAGCATGTCCTGGAACCAATCAGGATTGGTCCATTGCTTTTCAAAATCTTCAAGCATGACTGTGCTCTTCATGCCTTGTTTCTCATTGATTTCATCTTCATCTTCCCCAATAGCATCGAGATGAGGCGTCAGAGTACTCTTACCACCCTTTTCTCCAGTTCGGGAAGACGAGTCTGACATTCGCACCGCAGTACGAGAAGCAGAGCTAGTAACACTCTTGACAACTAAATGGCGAAGAGCACTATAGGTAGTACCCAGCTCCGCCTCTTCAAAAAGCAAGCCGCCCTTCGCAGACCCCTTTGAACTACTCATCCCACGGATACTGCTACGTGCCTCGGAGTTGGACTTCAAACCGTCGAGATAGTGGGTGTTGGTCTTGAGGAGCTTGCAGTCCGCTGATGCAGATGCATACTCTTTGAGAAAGAGATACGCCATGGTGTCGGTGTACTTATTGATGCGAAGCAGAGCGTAGTTGACGTTGAGACGAATCATTTTCTTGAGAAGAGGCTTATACTTGAGACCGTGCGGTTCGCTTCCGACGGTATGGTAATCATCACCCTTCGTGCCCCATTTATGAAAGATACTCCCATGGGGAGGTGCATCGGCGATGTGAATTATACATCGTGTCGGATTCTTCCAGCTCGCATTGATGGCTTTTTGGATACCTCCAAGAACATCCTCCGGTACATCACCTCCACCACTAGCCCGCAGCCTATCAATAAACTGTCGGACTCTTTCCACATCAGTGGTAAAGTCAATGAACTGGATATTGATACTATCGCAGTGATCTTTGTATCCAACCACAGCGATACGAACTTCCGCCTCGTTGTAGAACGTCTCGGTGATATCCTGCATGATCTTCTTGACCTGCTCCTTCGCGGCATCGATATACGGGCCCATAGAAGACGTGGTATCCATGAGGAAGAGCACATCCGTGGCACAGGCTGTTTTGAACATACCCTCGTTGGAGGGTTTCTTCATCGCAGCTGCAGCCTGTGCTTCACGCTTGAGTTCGAGGACGCGCAGTTTCGCTTCGGCGGCGGAGAGGCCTCTGAAGCCTGCATCGCGGGTGCTCGAGGAGGTTGAGCTAGAGGTACCCGAGTCTCCTGGGGATCTCAACCTCTGAAGATGGCTCGTGATGGACGGCACGGATCGAGGTTCATGGTCTCTGCTTACTGGATATGGGGGCAGGATTGTAGAAGTTGTCGAAATGCTGGATGCCGAGGAACTATCGCTGGTAGAAGCTTGGCTCAAAGAGTCGGTTAGAGAGCGGATGTCTCTGGGTGTTGGAGGAGAGTATGGTGGAGGAGCAGTCATCTTGTTCTGTTGTCGTCAAAGTATGTCCAAGTTGAACGATATTGCCGTGTATCAATTGCAGTATATATAAGTTATTTTTATAATGATGATAGTTTGCTATCTCTCGAATTAAAGATTGCCCAACTATCCCATATCCAAACACCTTACCAGGCGATTTCCCTTCCAAAATCTGCCTTTTGATCAACAAGGCTCACATCGCCTACCATTCTGGGCGACTTGAAGCTTGGCATTGATCTCCATACAAGTCGGGCGTAAAAGCCGGCGCAATTCCGCGCTGTGATCGACATTCGGCCAAGAGCGCTCCAATGAAATTCCCCGGGCCCCTCTAAATATGGACGTTGATCGCCCGAGTATTGCTTATCAGCCAATAACGTCAATGCACGGATCCGCCAGCTGAAATGTGGTGTGCTCCATTTCCATGGTGTTGGTGGACTGACTTGTAAGTCAGCCTGTGCAATTGTTTAACATCCAGCTAACAGAGCTTTGCGCCCGGCTTCAGCCAATTTCTGCCAGTGGAATTGTTACTCTGTAGAGCCATGGGATTTCATGTTAAAAAAAAAGCCTGGAGCGGGGTGCCTTAGTCGTGCTGTGCCTCGTCAAGGCATCACACTGATTCACTGTTGGTTGTCAGCCCAGCGATTCGCCCTTGCAAGTTGGGAATGCGCCCTGGTCTTTCAGTTAGGCTGAACCTGCGGGCTGTTCTTGTAATATTCGCCTCTTTGTAAAATCTTCATCTTTTGAAGATATCTTCACAGCAGTAGACAAGGTCATCAACAGGTGCCTGATGTTTGCCAATCTCTCTTTCCCTCACTTATGTTTCTTTTCCTTTCCTACCTTTTCTTCTGCATCTTAGTATAGTCACAGCCAGAGAACCAAAATGGCCAACAGCAACCGCATCGAGTGGTTCTTTAGCAGAGCCGGCCTCCATCCTCCTCCCCGTCTCACCCGCCTAACAGAGCCAGCTGCTCAAGACTTCCTACCCTTCGAGGCCACAAACCGAGACTTAGCACGCCAACTGCTCGTGCAGCAAAGAACAGCTGATCCCAGCTTCACACCACCCGAGCGACAAAAACGACACATCTTCCGCTCCAAGGACCAAAAGGCTGAGGTGTGCAACACAACGCAATGGAGCTTCACAAAGCATGAAGTGGCCCAGGCTTTTGACACAATGATTTCTCGGCAAACCCTTCCTCCTGCGGGTGTTGCGCAGGCTTTGCTACTCCATACGACCCTGACATCGTTGGATGAACTATGGGGGCATTTTAATGATCCACAGCTGGAGAAAAAGATGAAAAGACAGCGGATGAGTTTGAATCCGACTGAGTTTGACTCTCAAGGGATGACGTGGTTGGACAAAGCGACCGCTTATGAGAACTTCAACTATATCCTCCTTCTTTGTCAGACGCAAGTCAGTCAATACGTTTTGGATAGGGCATTTGGGATCGCACTGTCCAAGTCATCGCTTCAGACGATGAAGATTCTACTTAGTTTCGGGGCCAAGGCGACCACTCATCAAGAATCCATCAACCAACAAATCCAGGCGAGAAATTTGGATTTAGCGAGCCTATTGCTATCAGCACCCAGTTCCATAACAACAGAGATTTGGAAAACCTGTCTTGAACAAGAGTTGGTCCGAGCAGAAGCAGGAGAAATCTTTTCGCTGTCATTCCTCTTACTACTCTTATCCAACCATCCAGAGCTGGCTTCAGACTTAACCCTTCTGAGTACACTACGGCTGCAGAACTTCCAAGCAACAGCTATAGTACTAGCTTATGCCTACTCCAGCGAAATCTTCTTCAGTGTCCGCCATCAAGCCAGTGAGCTCGTCTCCTGTTACGAAGACGCCAGCCGCAGAATGGCCTTCTTCACACTACTATCTGAGTCTGGACTTGTCAGCGATAACCTGATTCTTCGCGAGGAGCTTGTCAAAGACGTACTCGCTCGACACCTCTTACTCGTTAAACTTCTCGTCCAAGCCGGTGTTGTCATTGACGCCCCACCACATAACGCTCTGCACTGGGCAGTTGGACAACTAGACTTTGAGATGATGGAGATTCTCAAGCACGGAACCTTCTCATCCCCACCAGCACAGATACTAAACTACCTACCCGAAAATATCCCAGAGCATGATATGATCCAGTTTCTGAAAGTGTTCGGTCACATGAGCATGGCGGGACGTGTGCTTGACTTTCATCTTGTACGCGCTGTACAGAAGAAGCAGATCGATCTGGCTGCAACTCTTCTACATTGCGGAGCGTCGGTAGAAACTGGAAACGGCGCTGTGATACATGCAGCCTTAGAATCCAACGACTTGGATATGCTTGACTTGCTATTGAAAGTTGAATGTCCACCCGCTATTCTCTCAAGTGCCATCCCGCGCGCCATGACGATACTTCCCAAATCCACAAGGCTATCTGTAATGAGAGCTCTTGTCACGAAAGGGGTCGAGAGCTCAGCTCTGGGGACGGTTCTACAGAAGTTGATGTGTGAAGATAACATCATCGATTATGAGTTGGTCAAACTTCTCCTCAATCACGGCGCGCCGCTAGGACACACCACAGATGTGATAGACTCCCCCATTGTCCAAGCTACCACCAGAGGAGACGTCCTAGTCCTCAAGCTCCTCTTGGACGCCAGCCCCGACCACGAGTCTCTGGCCGCTGCTCTTTCCATCGCATACAACAGTATCGAGACTTTGGGAAATGAGGTCGGGCTTGAGATCATGACTCTTCTCCTCGAGAAAGGGGCATCTGGCCCTGAAGTACACGAGACCTTACTGAAGGCGACAGCAGATGGTCGAGTGGGATTTGTGCATCTACTTATTGACCACGGCGCTGATGTCAACTACTCTTCTGGCGAAGCCTTTGCGCAAGCCGCTAAGATGGAAAACCTAGCGCTTTTGGAACTCTTGTGTTCATCTTTTCCTCCCAGCCAGGAGAGCGTTGATACAGTTTTACCAAAGATTCTCAACCCCGAGTTGTACAATCCGACCACGCTCGAGCTCTTTCTCAGTGCTGCATCACGAGGTTCTCCAAGATCGTCCCTCAGGTCCGCGTATCCTCTTATCGAACGACATCCACAACTCGCAGAGATCTTACCTTGTCTTGTAAGACATGGTTTGGATATCAATGAGGAAGATGGTGCGGTAGTTCGCTTGGCTGTAGAGGGACAGGACCTACACCTTCTGAACGCAGTCGTCGCATTGGATCCCACTGTTGAGACACTGCGCAATGCTTTCGATGTGGCTTCCCAGATCGATACCCCAGAAATTAAACTAAAGATCATGAGAAAGCTACTCGACAAGAAATCTCCAGCCGAGATTGGGCAGTCAAAGATTCTCTTGCAAGAAACTCAGATAGCTTTGAACGGAAGTATGGACGGTCTATGGCTCTTACTCGGCCACAAAGCTGATGTCAACTTCAACACCGGCGAGGCTATCCAAGCAGCAGCCTCAAACGCAGCAGGATACCCGATCATTCTCAACATGCTACTATCAGCCGGGGCATCAAGCACTACTGTTGAAGCTGCATTCAAAGCTGCAAGTTGTGCAGACACGTCGCCTCACGTCAAACTGGGTGTATTCGGTAGTTTGTTTGCGTTCAACAAGGAGATCTCAGTCGAGGTTGTTTCTAGAGCTTTGGCCAAGGTTATGGAGATGCATCCTGAAGATGATCACTTGCCCGGAATATTGCTTGAGCATGGTGCACGGGTTGATCTTCCAATATTAAAGGCCGCAGCGGATGCTTCGCCTGGGGGAACCTTCCAGAGACTGATCTGTCGCCTCGATGATTTGGCTACTCGTAGCAGCATCTTTCAGTATGTGCGGGACCATGTTATAATGGATCCGGCACAGAAACAAGAAGCCTATACCACTCTATTGAAGCAAGGCGTTGATCAATCTCGAGTATCGGATGCTTTAATAGATACAATCAAGAACGACCCTGATAACCTAGAGCTCCCTAAACTACTACTCGACCACGGTGCTCAACTCAATCACGGAGGTAGCGCAGCCTTCATTGCAGCCTTTGGTTTCAGACACCTCACAATGGTCGAACTTCTATGCTCCTATCTAAAGAAGGGAGAGCATGATGGGGCAGCCGAACTTGTTTTCGAGCACCCATACCTTCGAGAGAATCCATGTGTGGATCCGATCATTCGAGCAAGCATATATCGCAGTGTTATCCCTTGCAACATCGACAAGAAAGATCTTTATAGGTTTCTTGTCTACACACTGAATTCCCGAAGCGCTATCCTCAGTATCGTGCGACTCCTTCTTGAGAATGGCGCCAACCCCAACGATGAAGAAGGTCACTGCTTCTACCTTGCGGCACGAAATAAGCTAGATTCCCATTTCCGAGCCATGTGTGAATACGCAGATCTATCCGTTGTCCTTCCTACACTTCTGCGGCGTTTTGACAAAGAGACTCATGTAACCCGCTGGTTCCGCATCTACTTCGATGTGCGGAAGCTTGAGGGCGAGAACGAGGTACTTGAGAAGCTTCTGTTTCAATGCATAAGGAAGTTCAAGGATGGCGACATGCTTCTTGGTTTGTTGCTGGACATGGGCTTGTCGAGTGCGGCTAAGATTAATTACCAAATTCGAAATGAATGGGATCAAGAGGAGATCACAATACTAATATGGGCTATCATATCTCCGCTCAAGGTCAGCAACATGGTAATTTTAAGACTCCTGGAAGAGGGGCAGGCAGGTAAGTTCACAGCTTTCTCTCCTACAATGAATCTTGCTGACAAGGAAAGCCCTTCCTGACTACGTCACGCCGCTCTCCAAGATACCGACAGTCTTCTTTGCCCTCTTTAACAAGAGCAGAGAACCAGTTTTAAAGGCTCTGCTCAAACTTGAGGGTGCCGATAACATCCATAGCACCATATCCGGATCAACATTCAGCTCATTGGCTGCCCCTAAGAAGAAGCCAAAGATGGAGTTCTCGAGTCTTTTTGAAGACGACGATGAGATATCACCCCGCGAAGCTTCTTTATTTCTAGGAAATCTCGAAGCCTTCAAACTCCTCAATACGTCCAATACCCCTGACGATGGAACATTACACCTAGCCTCACTCCTAGCGCTCCCCGACTTCGTCGCCTGGCTACTTGAGATTCACGAAGCTAACTACGAAGAAGAAAACTTCGGCTTCATGGTTCCCCTCGCACTAACATGTTTCTCCAAGCCCTTCCCCTGGTGCAAGGTAGCAAACGAGGAGAAAGAGTGGATCATCCGCTTAGAAGAGACAATGAGGATACTTATCCCCAAGACATTATCGGGGTGGAGGTACAGACAGAAACTTCCGTTGCATCTTGCGCTTGAGAATGGAAGTGAGGTCACGGCGGCTATGCTAAGAGCTTTAGATGTTAAGGGGGATTCGAAAGGGAAGTATGTGTATACGGATAAGACCGGGATGGATTACTCGCCGTGTGAGTATGTTGAGACGTTTGTGGAGGTCAAGGATAAGGAGAAGAGGAAGATTGCGAAATGTCTCGAGGAGCATGGACTTCAATAAACATCGGAAATACCCGTTCGCCTGCCAGGAACTCAGCATTAATTTCTTTACTTAGTTTCTCACGAAATTATAATGTTTTTGTTGCCTACAACAAAAGTCTTGAGTCATTGACTGTGCAAGTGGCTATGCAAGTTCTTTGTGCTGTGCGTATCGATGGCACGGCAACGCCAAGGCGCCCTCGTGAATGATTCGCAATTATCGCCATATCCAAATCTGAAGCATATTCATTCATAAAGTGATCTCTATTCTCGTTGGCAACCGCTAAGAATTTCCCCAAAGCTGTCTGAAAGTTTCTGTGGCTTGAGACCTGACCTGTACTCATGTGGTTGAGCCTCCAGTAACATCGTACTATGTGTAGCAAAGCCAATCACCACGCACCACAATCCAAGACTGTCCCAAAGAAGATGTTTGTCTTGTGGGGATTAATCCAACCAAAGCCGTTCTCATGTATTGCAGAAATTGGCCCCTACGGAGCCAAACATATCTATGTTACTGGTTGAAGAGCAGTGCCTGAAGCTTCATTACTTAGTTGTAGGTAGCACTACAGAAGCCCCTCTATCAGCATAACTAATGGGATCTGGTAGTGTTCCTAAGTCCTCCACTAGGTCAAGAGCCTACCTAGCTACTTTAGAACACAACAATCCACCTGACCAATTGAGAGTGCATGATGTTCTGAAGCGATGTGTAGATGTACGTTCCTCACCGCTCACAATTCCCATCATGCAATCAGTGTCTGTTGGGGTAAAGCGTTCTGTAGTCTGCATGGCCATGGACCCTGTGACTCCTGCGGTGGGTGTCGCTATCATTTGCTCCGCCTTGCTTAATCGATCGGTCGAAGTCCCATGTAGACTTGTTAGCCCTGATCTTTCAAAGATGCCAAGGCTGTGGGCTGTGTAGAGAATACCTAGTGAAAGCGCCACGTGTCGGCTTCTGGCATGATCTTGTATTCGTATCCGAGCGATAGTCCCGCGACTAGAGTGAAGGGGTCGAAGTGCATTAGTCTGGATACCAGAAAGCGTCAGAAGGTGTCTGAATAGACAAGATCCTGGCCCTAGTCTGAAAGATGCAGCCGATGGCGACCTTGATACCCGCATCTTGAGAATGGATACAGCTTGCACAAGGGTCCAATCCTTCTTCATCGTCAGTCTCCACGGGGCGGAGTCATAAAGTAGGGTTCGGGCCGCCCACAAACATCCGCTTGAAGAGTAGACACGAATCTAGCTTGTACGAGATGACTCGGGTTGCAGTTCTAGCATGTTATAACCATGTCAAATTGTAAATACTGTAGAAAAGGCAGTGTAAAATCATTACCAAACCTGTGTGGACAAAAGGAGGATCAAGGTTCTGCGGGACTATCTTCCAAACTCATCCGGCCCAATGGCGGATCTGATTGTCAACTTTTACGACCCCAAGACGTTCCCTGAATGACGTCGCTTGGATACATGAGCGACTTATCATACTCGGACCCTTTCAACTGTCATTTCTCCACCTGACAGTTTGAGTGCATATGTCGACCCGGTTTGTGGGTCACGGTGAGGTTTTCAATCCTCGCTTAGAAAATGACTAAAAAGATAGTAGATATGTGACCTGACCGGTGCGGGGTTATTTGTTAGACATGGTCGGTTACATATTCGAGCATGGTTAGAGAATAACAACGCATAGCTCCAGCATGAAGTCAAAGACTTGGTAGATCTGCGCGACTCGGAAGCTCCACCTACGATGCCTGGTCCGACAAAGAGTGCCAAGATTGTTGCCAAACGATGAAAATCGGGTTAGGACTGATTAGGACTGCCTAGGACGAATGAAATGTAAATCGTTTTAATTATGATTCAAGTGAAATCTAACAAATTCCGATGAAAGTATGCGATAGCTGCTTTGTGTTACTGGCGAAAATTAGTCGACTGCGATTTTAAATGGTTGTACTGCTTTCCCCTATGAAGGACTAAAAATTGCTTGAACTATTGAAAGAACATGTATCTTATGTATTTTATGTAACTGCCGTGGTTCTTTGTCGCAGCTGTATTCCCACATTTCTACATTCTTGTGGTATCTCTAGTACAGAAGCTGCAAATTTAACATTCAATCACAGCGGAGTTCAGTCACACTGTCATGACTATTTTTTTCAAAACTATCGTGTAGTCTATTCCAAGGCTAATCCGTAGTAGCCGCGCTACCAAAATATCTATGTAGCCAAAAGCCTCTCTATATCAGTTGTGACATCAACGGCACTTGCTAACGTCGGGCGTTTTTCTTTTTCGCCTCTCTCTCCTTCTTCTTCTTCTTATGGCACTCATCGCAGGTTGTTCCTTTATCGATAGGCTTACGGCATTCGGTGCAGACCGCTTGCCGCTTGATCTTGCCATGGCTTCCATATGCTTGTCTGGCATCCTTCCTCTTGTCCAGACAACCATTGCAACAGAACTTCCCTCTGTCCACCATTACCACAAAACATTCTTTGCAACATCCATGCTCGTCTCTCAGGGAGTTGAGCTCATCAGCGGTCAGGAGGTAGCTCTTATCCTCATGCTCACTACAAACCACCGAAAGCCCATGGGCACGCCCGTTGCATACAATGCAGTGATGTACTGGTGGAGGCCCCATACTATCGATCATTCGGGTCATGGTCTGTTGTTTGTGTAAGTTGCAGAATATGCTGAAGGGATTGGAAGCAGCTGTAGCACCACATTCATAGCAATACCGCCGCGCGGGTTGCTGAGCAGGAGAGTCTCTGGTATGTTCTGTGCCTGGGGTCCGAGTCGAAGAGGGTCCAGTGAATGAAGCCTGGAATCGAGGATGCTGGCTAACATTGCCCTGAGAGTCGTAGCTTGAGGAACCAGAAGCCTCTGCACCATAGGCTTGCGTACCAGAGGGTCCAGCAGCTGAGGGCTGGGAGGAGGAAGACTGCGCTCCATATATGAACGAACTAGGAGATGCTGCATCGGTCATCTGGGCATCATAAGAATAAGTGATCTCAGAACTGGTGACTGGATTCTCGTAGCCAGAAGCTGAAGGGTCATTTCCCTCCCGAAAGGGTGTTGGCCATCGATTGTACCAGGGGACATCTTTTGTTTGAACGGGTGGACGATCATAGTCCCTCCCCTTACCTTTCTCCCTTCGACTACTAGACATGGTTAGCTAGATGTTGAGTTTCTGAATTGTCTTTGCTTTGGAGTTGGGATGCTGTAGTTGTGCTTGCAGATGAGAGTTGATTGGTGAGTGATTGTGCTTGCAGATGAGAGTTAATTGGTGAGTGATGGAAATGTTGAAGCCCTCACCCTCATATATTTGATCGCAATCGCGTCATGATGTGATTCAAGGGCTTGAACAATTCCTATTCACGAACGGGCGCCGTTCTCATTCACTATGGATTGACACGCTTGATATCCTAGTAGTGATTGACCGGTGCCACATCACACTTAGTCGGGTGACTCAAGCCCTTTTCCTCACCTCTGCTTCAATGGCGAACAGTCTTAGCTCTACGCCAGCACAATAATGCACATAAGGATATCCATCATAGAAATTAACTACTGTGATTTATCTGCTACGTAATTCCAGCTGTCCACTATAGTCTTCGGGATCATGACCCATTCGACCTACCATTCCCAGGATAGTATCTAACAACTATGATACCTAGCCTTGAAATGCTACGAAAGCTCAACGACGAAGTTCAATACGACTATTTACATAGTCCCGCACATATAACACAAACCATGAGACCCACAAATCGCGGGTTTCTCGCATCGGACACAAAGTTCAAAATGACTGTTCAAGAAGTCCAAGCATTCGCGACACATATGCAGAGACCCAAAACTCCCTCGTTCCTCGCATCGGAAACAAAGATGTTTCTGGGGGCCTGTCTCTGTTTCGTCCACAATCAATTGTCCCGACCTAGCTCTGCAAGAAGCGCACCGGTCACTTCCCCGCTCGGCCTCCTCGATCCAGCAATTGCAGCACATACCCTCCTTTTCCAGCTTAGATTTTCGTTCTTGAGTGACGAATCCTGTGTCCTGTTTGTGTTCCCTGCAGAAAATATCCGGATGGTCGATGTCAGCAGTGCAACGGATGCAGAATACTGGCTCGCGAGAGCTGTCCCCACTGATCTGCCGATTGTAATGCCTACGGTAACAACGGATACAACGTAGGCTGAAATATTTCAATTCGCACTTGCAGTTCATGCAGTACGTGACAGTCTGTGCGGAAGACGTGTTGTGACTCTGAGCGTGATGGGGCTGAGCCTGGCTGACAGATTCCTGTGGGCTGCCAGGGACTACACTATTCGCCCACGATTCAACTCGATTTCTCTGGGCGGGTGTAAGGTCTCCTTCAGAACCGTCGTAACCCAGGTACTCGTAAGTACGGTCGGAGGGGGGTGGAGCGTTATGGGGGCGTGATCTGTGAGTCCGTCGCCCGTGATGATACCGAGGATGAGGACGGGAAGCCTCAGGAGCATATGATCTTCTGTGCCTTTCGGGCGGGTATCTTGATTCTTCAGATTGGCTTGGAGTCACAGAGCGAAGCCTGGACAAAGTCGAATGGCCCTGACTGGGACGTCGATAGTCATTCAAAGGTGGGGGGTAAAAAGGGTTGTTGTGCGCAGGTGGCTGACTTGGGTATTCGTCGTATTCACAATCTGTTCTGTATGAAGACACAGGCGAATGCCTATGGGCAATAGAAGCTATTCCATTGAGTACAGGATTGAAGACGCTGGTAGTTCTGTTCTGGTGCGAGTTCCTAGTTTGAGAGTCATACGGGTAATACGGTGTGCCAGGGAGAGGAGGTCCGTCATCGATTATATTGGCCCAATCCAGGTGAGGGGGATATCCAGTTACCTCTTCGCTGGCCGGAGTTGGAATAAGAGGCGAGAGGCTCCTTTGACCACTGCGAGACGCTTGGGGCGGGTTTGGAGGTGGAGGGGCGATGTAATTCGGTTCATAAAAACGGCGGTAGGGGTCCATTGTGGCGAGATTGTGAAGTTAGAAGTTGAGGGTGGTATTGTGATTTGTTAGAAAGAAGAGGGAGGGATAGGAGATTGGTGGTATTTATACTCGTTCAGTCAGGGTGTCTGTGATGATCATCGTCCTGAGCCAACGTTGATTCATGCAATCGTATGTTAATATAGTGAGGTGATACAGTTCTATTGTTGCTTCATGTTATGGTTAATATGTATATCGTGACTACCTCCTTTCCGCTGCATTCCCACACCAAGTGAGTCTCGAAAATATTTAGGAAAAGATGCAGGATGCAAGATTCAAGCTAGTAGATGCATTCCAGAATGTCTGATTTAAGGTTTCACTCAAGTGAGACCTGACTCAGTAACGTGCCACATGTACAAGAGTGAATCTTATCTTATCTGATGCCGACTGATGCTGTGATTGGCTTCGCCAAGAAATTGGGATCCGCCAGTGCTGTAAAAATTCATCAACCCCCTTAATCATCCATAACCACACTAGTCTTCATTGGTCACCGCATCACCACGACATCAGCAATATCTACAGAGCACTCCGTAGCTAATTAAGCATATCAGTCTCACCCAAACGGACTACTCAATCGGCCTACAGATACGCCGTTTTATCGTAGTGAAGCTGTTGAATTTGCTGATATTACTGTCCAACAATGTCTACCATCGAGCAGCATACTCAAGATGCAGCGCTACAGGAACTGTTAAATCCTTTTGACGCCAGTCAAATATCGGATGGTATTGAGGGTTCGAGTCATGGTACTGATTTCAAGACATTTCTGTGGGAGCTGTACTGACGTGAAAAGACAATCGTCCACCTATCCCTGGCCCGGCCTGCGAAATCTTCAAGTTCGTGGACGAAATAATCGTACCCTCAACACCACCAAAAACTCACCCCTATCTTCTCGTCAACATCGGCTCGGGAGTATCCTTTTTCCAAGTCTCGGAGAACAGCCAATGTCGGCGCATCTCGGGCTCATCTTTCGGCGGTTCGGCCCTTTGCGGCCTTTTGCTTCTTCTCACTAGAGCCCGCACCTATGAAGACATGCTGGAACAAGCAGAGAAAGGAAACAACGCCAATGTCGATAAACTCATTGGCGATATCTACGGAATGGATTACAACAGAATCGGAATGAAAATGACGGCTGTTGCATCGACCTTTTGTAAAGCCTTCAGCTTGGAACACCGCCCAGAGGCCGAGGAGCAAGACCCGTCAAACCCCACGCAAGACATCAAATCCTTCTCTGATGCCGACATCTGTCATTCTCTGGTATTCGCAGTTTTCAACAATATTGGCCAACTGGCAACACTGCATAGCCGTATCCACAACAACCCGGATATTTACTTCACTGGCCCTTACATCCAGAACTGCCCCTTGATTATCAGAACACTGTGCATTGCTGTCCGTTACTACTCCCAAGGGGAAAAGATGGCGCATGTGGTAGTTACCACGGAAACTGCCGATGCCAGTATCTGAAAAGCAGTGAGCGGTCCGGATAGATAAAGTAAATTTGTTCAAACGAGGAAAGTAGATGGAATAATGGCGTGGTCTAATGCTGCCCGGTTGAGGTCATTTTGTGGGAGCGAATCATTCATCGTGATAACACTCGATACTTGAACCTTAACAGGAAAATCTTCTTCTGGAAGGACATTTATCTGCACTCACAAAGCTTAAAAACACTTGTCATCAACACTATTGGTAGATAGACTCAGCCCTACGAGAAGCAAGCTTTGGTTCCTGAGCTGAGGGCTTTCTTATACTTTTGCTTGAGCAAGACTGCTTGGAGATGGCATTGTCGTGAGGGAATAAAGCAACTCTATAGATAATCACTCACATTAGGATCAAGTATAAATATGAAATATCTGGGTGATGTCCGAGCTGATGATTCCTGACTTGTTTGCATTACGGCAACTGCATTCACGACAACCACATCATCAACCAACTGCAATCATGACTAGAAATATCAATTTGCCCGACCAATCATGGAGCTTCCAGCCTTCCTGTCCCCTCGGGCCTAGCAGTGGGAACCTCCCCTCATGGAGCAATGCGAACAACGGCTTCGGAAACCAGGCCATTTTCCAGCAGCCTGTGCATCCTCTCCCGGTCCAGATTGCATATCCTTCCGCTGGACTGATCGGCACTTTCACGAATAATACGTCGTTGCAGCAAGGACTACAGCAGGTTGTACCCATTCAAGGTCCGCATGTTGTTGGACTTGCTCAACCTCAAGGGATTTCAATGAACTTTTCGCAGAATTTCAATGCGCAGAATTTTAACGCGCAGAATTTCAATGCGCAGAATTTCAATGCGCAGAATTTCGATACGCAGAATTTCAATGCGCAGAATTATAATGCGCAGAATTTCGATACGCAGAACTTCAATGCGCAAAATTTCAATACGCAGAATTTTGTGAACATCCCACTGGATACCAACAGCCTGCCTGCTTTCAATATCCAGCAGAATGCAAACGGCAATCCTGGAACTTCTGCATTCCAGAATATCTCTTCCGACTGCATCCCGATTTCTCAGGATATGTTGCAGAGGTCCAACAGCCAGGATTTTGAGGATACCTGGCATAGTTTCAACAGCCATTCCATAACTCCTCCATTGCAGAGTCTCTCTTCCGACTCTATTCCGGAGCGTCCCAGACCTCCCCGGAACAATCAAGGACAAGTTGGAGCTCCCGGCATCAGATTTTGCGTGGGATGTAGGAGCCAACTGGCCTACTGTGCAGTGTGGTGTCATTCGTGCAAGCAAGACATTTCGAATGGCCTGCCATCACCCCGACACTGCAAGTTCTGCCGGAGACCTGCTTCCGGACCAACGAGCATCGTCTGCCCAGGCCACCTGAGAAGGGGGGTCGGTTTGCCCGACGAAGAGAAGAGGGTTCTGGAGGGGGAGGGTATTTGCAAAAGATGCTATAAGGCTGACGCTTGTCCTGGGATCCTAAAGTGTGAGAGGTGCCGTGCTGATCAAAAACGATACGGCGCGACGTCAAGAGACACTCGTGCAGATCGCGGGATTTGTATGAATTGCAAAAAGGTTGTGGAGTGTACTCCGAACAATACTCCGCACAAGAATTGTGCGGCGTGTCGCCAGAAGAAGGCCACAGGGAGCAAAGAATCCCGTCGCCGCAAAGCCAATGGTGGGACTGAATAACTTCTATTACTCTATAATGTAATAGTCTAATACTAAGATCCCGATAGCGGCCTAAGTAGTAATAAATACAATCATAAATAAACAAAAGTTATGACATAATTTGAATGTTTTATGGATGATCTTATGAAAGACTAATGTAAGATTATATAAAATATGAAAGTTTATCATACTTTAAATTCTCTTAGGATGGATTAAGAAATACTTTGAATATTTTATGAATGATCTTATGGAAGAATAATATAAGATTATATAAAATACAAGAGTTCATCATAATTCATATTCTCTTAGGATAAATATAGAAGAGAGGAAGTTATTGGAATCTTGCCCACATAGTTTACAGAGTCCTCACAGGATGTCCCACACACGGTTTCACAGATGAACTAGGTTGTGGAATGTACTTGAATAGAATAGTCCTTGTAAGGACAGTGAATATTGAGACTAAAGAAATATTATGAGTATGTGAGCCAACCATGCCAAGCATTCCTCATGCGCTCCGCCCGGTCCACAGTCAAGTATGCTGAGTTAGCCAACCTCTGCTGCAACTCCTTAAACTTGGCTGTCGGGGCTCCCTTCTCAAACAACATGTCCAATTCAAGGTACGAGAGACCCTTAGTCTCAGGGAGACGGAAGTAGCAGTAAATGAAACAAAGAAGCGCTGTGGCCGCGTAGACAAAGCAGGACTTGCCCTGCATGTTCCACGCGGTGGGGTTCAGCATTTGAGGAACAACAACGTTGTTGATGATCATGAAAACATTGTAGACAACTCGCGCAAGGGCGATGGTCTTGACTCGGAGACGGGTAGAGGGAATTTCGGCGACAATGACGTAGCAGGTTGGGCCGATGGTCAGGTTGTAAAGGAAGGTTGTGGTGATGAGAATTGCCCCGAGAGACCAGTTCAGACCTTTCTGGCCCCCGAGCACGACGGAGATAATGCCGCCGGTCGTGAGCATGATAACGGCAGCAGCAAGACCAATAAGGTATAGCTTACGACGGCCGATATGAGATAGCAGAAACCAAGAGATGATGCCTCCGACCAAAGCCATGCCGTACATGCCAGTTGACAGACTGAATGACTTGGAAGAGTCAAAGCCGGCCTGCTCGAGGAAGTAGGGGGCGTAGCCAGTCAGGATCCAACCGCAGAGAGCCTGGACGGACCAAACCATGCAACAGATCTCAGTACGTCGAAGGTTAGCACCCTTGAACAGATCCAAGTAGGAAGAGCCACCGTAGTTGAGCTTGCGTTCAATACGGTTGGTATGCTCCATGACAGCAATGGTGTCGTCGATGTCGAGCTGAGATTGCTTAGTAAGACGCTGCAAAGCATGTCTCGCCTCAACCTTTCTCTCACGACGGATGAGCCACCCTGCGCGAATGTGTCAGCTTTGAATACGGGATGAACATGGAAGGCAACTTACAAGGACTCTCCGGCGCAAATGCGATGCCGATGAGGAGAGGAACTGCAAAAGCCCACTGCAGGGCAAAGGGCAGGCGATAACTCCATTCCGAGTCGTTGTGGACGAGGGAGCGGAGGATACCAGTGCCAAGAAGTTGACCGATGACCCAGCACATGTTGACGTTACTGAGAAGACAGGCACGGATGGCTGATGGGACAACCTCGGCGGCGTAGGTAGCTGCCAGTGTTTGAATGACACCCCATGCGACACCTGTGATGATTAGTCTTGAGTACTTGTGAGATAGTCATGCATGTTTGAGGGTCTTTATGAGAGCAAAGAGGAAGAAGTCGAAGGATGGACTGGTCAAAGATATGAGAGGGGGTGAGTGACGACTCATACATACCACAAAGAGCCTGAGAGGCAACCAAAACAGCAATGTTATGCGCAAAGAAAGCCGGGAACACAGCAAGACACATCCAAGCGAGACTGATAAGCATCATCTTCTTGTACCCAATACTATAGGTGATCCAACCATGAAGCAAGAGACCGATAACCTCACACGCAATAGCCGAGACCTGGAGAGCCGTCTGCCACAGTGGTGAGATCTCATACATGGGCCCATTCTCCGTGTCGTACAGCTCTCCATACCGCCGTCTAAAAGCCGGAAACGCCACGAATCCAGCAACGAGACTCTTGTCGTACCCCTCCATCACGACCGTGAGGAAGAGTAGTAGCGACCAGAAGATGGCTTTGGGGAATTGCTTGCAGCAGCCCAGAATCGTCATGTCCTTCTCGTTGTTCAGCGCGCGACGGACCTTCTCGCCCGTGTCGTCGGAGCTGTGAGACCCGCGTGGGAGCCATAGCACCTCGATGGCATTTTTGTTAGGGTGGTTGTCGGGGAGGTCAAAGGTCGAGTCCTGGACGGGGACTTGATTGCCGTTGGGGTCGTGGACTTTAGTCTCGATCTCGGTAACGCGCAGGATGCCCGTCTTGGTCTCGATCGGTAGCAGGACTATCTCGTCCTTGCTACCGTTGTCGGAAGACGAGGATTTCCCCGAGCCAAACATTTGGCTGACGGGATTGCGAGTAATCAATTATTATAAAAAAAGATCAAGTTGAAAAAGAACGGATGCCATGTGGCAGATACATGTAATGATCGGCGTCCCCAAGTTGAGGCTGCTTTCTCAAAACAGCGTTACATCTTGCTTCCACAGGCTGGCATATATAGGATCGGCATAAATGGAGTGCTCTCCTCCTCGGCTGCAGCGGTTCCATTGTACTCTGTTAGGCTGGGGTAAATCACCCATGCACCCCAGGTTTATTTCGTGCTCACACACTTCTAGCTTGCAACTATCACGGCGGTTCCTCGGCGGTGGCACATTTTACCAATGGCGGAGGTGGATACCTAAATACTGGAGAAGTCGGACGAGAAAAAAAAACGAGGGGGGTTTATTATGGAGGGAAAAAAGACCGCTAGCTGAACTTCTGCCCTAAACGGTTTGGGCGTCCGTTGGAAGCAACCAAAAGGTGGGAAGAAAGCCGACAATTGCTTCTGACTTCCATGTGGGCGATTCCAGAAGCGATGGTGGGGTTTTCTTCTTTATGTCGATCATTACCACCCGATGCGGCTCTTTGGAGACATTGCTCAAGCTCAAGCTGTCAAACGACGCCGATCCTGCGAGGGGCACGATTCACACGTGGCGCTCGAAAAGCACAACCTGATTTTCAGCTAAGCGGCCAGGGGATCCCAGATCACAGCACCAACCTGTTGGCTCCAAGACAAGACGCGGGCGCAGTAATATCGTGTCATCCTTCGCGTCTTGACACTGGGCCCTAAGCAATTTCCTTGCAGCAGTAGTAAGCATTCTAGTGCAAGCCCGTGGCCAGGAGACCTACCCTTTCGGGCGATGCGTATGTCACAGAGAACAATACTTTAGGTAAGGCTATGCTCCAGAGCCTCACTACGGTCCCTTCTAAAGAAAATCACAAGATTATTCCACGAGTTTTCCTCGTCGTCTCACCATCGCCAGCCGTATTTAGCCGCCACTCCCCCAGGCTACGATTTACCAAATCGAATCCACTCTTCTCCATGGGGAAACGTGCGGGGATTGGCTCGCAAGTAAGGAAGCCCTGCAAAAACCAGTTTAGCTCCCCAGGACTGCCCCTTATTAACTGGTTATTACGTATATAATTCCACGCGCTGTGGAATGGTCCTTTCCTTCACTTTTGGAACATCTGTTCCGGGCTTCCGGGAGCGTAGAAAGCGTTGACAAGAACGCCACGTTCCGGTCCTGCTTGCTTCGGTTCTAGTTACTGACTGTTAGTCCACACGCCTCGACCTCCCAAGCTGCGGCTGAGGACAGGTGATCAGTCAAGGTTTAGCGAAGGATGAATAGTCTGTCTTCTGGTCTCCAAGACAGGAGAAAATGCACCGGTATTGTAAGGCTGAGGAGGCTATACTGGTGTTCTTTCCCAAGCCCAGGCATCTCGACCCCTTTCGCGTGCCTGTGTCATGCACACTCCAGCTGAAGGACTAAGCTCCATTTTGACAGGTTTTGCCCAGGGGCACATGCAGCTCGCTGCTAACAGACGGTGGAAGTTCATCCGAGGTTACCTGACAACACCTGAGCGCCCGCTCCACAGCCCCTTAAGACCATGATCCCCGAGCCTAGAATCACTCCAGTTTCCAATATTCTCCGGCTTTAGGTCCATCTATAGCTACTCTCACGACCCAACAGTGGGTTTGACGCATCAGACATCGCATCACCGGATAATATGGATATAAGAAAACCAAACTTGAGTCATTGCCTGTCTCCGTCTTGCTTGCTGTGCTCCACCAATTTTTATTGTTAGCCATGCAAGCGACTGATCTGACATCAAGCACCCAGTGGATGAGCTAACCATTTGCGGGCACTGTTTTCATCAAACATGTGCGCGCTCGGGTTCTATCGGTTACATGATTCAGGTACCGGAGTATGCTTACATGAGTGAATCATCAGTCAAAACTATATCCAAAGCCTTGATTTCCCATGGCATACTACGTATGTTACGCGCTGTAAAAGGAGGGTAGTGATAGCAGGGTCACATCAGGTTATTGTTTCCATGCCGCTAACCTTGCACCTTCCAATCGCTGGCCAACTTTTGACTTTGGCTAATGTTGTTGTTCAACTTGGGGATTGGCTGCAGAATGTGATATGCGTCGCAAGTGCAGCAGGAGACAGGGTTCCGGGACGCCTTCGGCCCGTATTTTAATGAAACACATTAAACCGTTGAAATGGCGATGAATATCATTCGCGCCTCTGGGAGGAATATGTTCCAGAAAGTTGGTACATACCCTGTAGCTATTGTCGCTGGATTAAGCAAGTTAAACAAGCGTGGAATGTGCGTCTAACCTAGCTTCATGACTCGATTTGAAGTTGGATTGAAATGAAATACCAATCTAGGTAAACTATTATGCCACTATTACTTTTCGCCTGCCGCAGGTCTAGCATTGGGGTCTTGGCGGCGTGGGAATAGCTTCACCTGAATCGGAGTCTTACAAGTTCCCAAAGCTACTGCTTCCAACACCGGCATAAGTGAAAAAAGGATTTGTTTGATTCTGACTTACTGCTTACCCAAATGTCATATTCTCATGCTCTTTGAAAAAAGAATCAGGGAAAAATAGTGTGGTTGACCTTCTCGTCGCCTCCGCTGCGCGCTTGTTGTCGTAATTGAATTTCAGAAAAAGTCCAAGCTAGAATGCACCCCAGATCCCCCGGAATCTGTCTCCTCATTTTCATTTCAGCCAAATCGCTAGTAAAATGACGTGTGCCAGTTTTGTTGCTGGTATTCGGCCCTTCTCACAGACGATAGAGGGGAAATAGAGTTGACGCTGTAATGGGGCCAATGTGGGCTAACGGGGGCATTTCTTCTAGAATGAGGAGGCGGGGAATTATCGATCAAGGGTCTAATTGAGATGGAAATTGCTTCTTATGAATTGAAAGCAGTTTTTCAGAAGGATGCGATAATAAGAAAGGAAAAGGAATGAGTGTCGAGAGAATAGTGCGTGGTCGAAGGAAACTAGTGGTTCCCGCTTAGTACTACGCTTGAGAAAACACCAACTTCGACAAATAAAAAGCAAAATCAGCGCGTGTCTACGTGGTGACGATACTGATAGATATACAGTCTGAGCTTTACACTCAATTGTTGAGCTGATAAGAACACAACGATGTCAGTACCCACTGGATGTGACTATTATAATCATCTTACTCGTTAGCGGCAAGGATTAATCTTTAATTGCCAGTCCCTCTCACGATATTTGTTTCCGACTGTTTGACCCAAAACCCTAAAATTCTTTTCCATATTGTCCTAAATTGCTCTATAGCCCAGCTGTAACTACGTCGAAGTTTACAGGATCCCTACGTAATTCCGACTGCCGAAGCAGAGTTGAGAGATAGAGTTTCTAACTTGAGATATTAATCTTACCTAAGGTTGTATCGGCAACTGTTCAATTTACTGTGGTGACTGCCCATGGATGTGATCTACAGCGATAAGCCTGTCAAAGGTCTCAATGGTCACCACATTGTTGAGGCTGAAAGCAGACTTGGTTATAGCTTGCCAGCGAGGAATATCTTAACGACGTGTGTGAGGAGGTCTGCAGCTTGCGCTATGACAAGCTTACCCGGTCATAAGTCTTGGAGGGAAAGATTCATGGTTGACTTGACATACTTCGTTCATCAAAACTAAATCTGATCCTATGAAAATAACTCGCCTACAACTCCGTACCCCCAAGATGAATATTCCTCTACCGGTCAAGCAGAAACTTGAAGAACACAACGGCCCGCAACCTGGCCAGTCGCCAGTTTATTGATCCACTCATCAAGATCCTCCAGCTTACCCTTTGACAAAATTGGCTGTGGCAGTTAGTACCGGCATACCATACACGACCAAATAGCAGAGTACTCACACGAACAAGGCCTCTGGCGGTAAAGTCGAGAGCCTCCTCAACATCCTTCATACTACCAGTGACACTACCCACAATCTTTAAACGCCGCAGCGCAACAGCTATAGGTGGCGCACCAGCGATGATAGTAGGATCCTGAGGAAGACCCACCGCGACGACAGTTCCGTTAGGTCGGAGGAAATTAGGCGCGCTCTCGTATGCCGCTCGGGTAGCAGCCGTTACGATAACGCCGTGAGCGCCATATTTAGTGATCTTCATAACCTCAGCCGGGATGTCATTGGTGGTTTTGAAGTCAATGAAGACCTCTGCGCCAAGCCTCAGACATAAATCTCGTTTCTCATCTCCACCGTCGATGGCAATGACTCGCATGCCCATGGCTTTGGCATATTGGATAGCAAAGTGGCCAATACCACCACCGGCACCTGGGAGAACAATCCACTGTCCGGGAGCAACACCGGAACTAGGGTTATGTCAGTGAACCTTTCTGCGGCTTGTAGCAGTTGACTCACCGTTTGCAAGCTGTGTAAGCTGTTACGCCTCCACACATAATGGGTCCCGCCTCCTCATCCAAAACACCATCTGGTATTCTAGAAGTATATCTCCCATCTGCCACAACATACTCCTGGAACGTTCCCGCGGCAGAAAAGCCGCTGTTAGTCTGGTGAGGACAGTGAACTTCATCAGAACCAACTCTGCAAAAGTCACACTCGCCACAGATACTCGCAATCCACTTAATACCCGCGCGATCACCGATCTTCCACTGTTGATCCATGCCCTCACCGACAGCCACGACGTTGCCGGCTCCTTCATGACCGGCTATGCCTTTGCAGACGTCCTTCATACTAAGGCCAAAGTCTTTCCATTCGTTGCGAAGAAGAGATTTGTCAGAGCCGCAGAGGCCTGTCCAGTTGATCTTGACGAGGATCTGGCCCGGGCCTGGCTTGGCGACATCAATAGTTTTGATGGGGGCTTTTGCATCTGGGCCGAGACCTTGGCAGACTGCGGCGCGTTGCTGTGATGGTACAGACATTATCGAAATGTGTTTCTTGGTGTAGTTGTGGTGGTAAGCAGTAATTAGTTGTCTGATCTGAGCGTTGAGAGTAGAGAAACTGGACTGTTTTGAGGACATCGAATGGCTCATAAATGATCCTACAGATGGTGCCACTTCCGCCGCCTAGCCGAGACAGCTGTTACACAGGTGACACTGCGGACAGTCTTCCGCAGGATCTATCAGCGCATAACGGGAGCAGGGTTGTTGTCGGCGTGATTGCGGAGGGACAAATAGGGTGATTTCTAGTGGATCAGAAAGGGTTCCACGATCTGCGATACGACTGTTCCAGTAAAAGATCTGACGAGGAGAAGCGGACAAGAGGAGATGATTGGTGTCTCTTCTCTCACTAGATTTTCAATTTGGCATCATGTATGCCCGTTAGCCCGGTATGCATGATGAAGGAATGCGGGGAAGTTGAAGCTATCTCATGGTCTTCGTGGTGGACATCACCTGATAGCGGAATTCTAGAAACTCGAGTCAGAGCGGACTAACTCGGAGTCAAAGCGCGAATCTGGGGTAAAACTATTCTGCAAGAATGTAACAACATGGTTCAAACTAGAGATTGAGTTCATCGTGTATCTTGCTGATGCTGGGATAGCCGCGGAGGAGGAAACGCTGTGGAGTCGTACAGTCACACAGCAAGGATGCACATGCACCTGTTGGGAAACAAATCACAACAAATTTCTACCCTTGTGCGGTAAATTCCATGTTCTTACCGATATCAAGATATCACTGTCACTCTACTCATATCGTGATGGCTAGAAGCATGATTGAAGCAAATAACAGATGATCTCAAAGGCCAAGTGTTTTAAAACCAGACAGTGGGGCTACCTGACGGGAACAAAATCCGGGAAATGCGAAACCTGGTGATTGGATAAAGTTCCGTGGATAGCTGATATGCACTCGAGAACTATTCGTCCAATTACAATCTTTTAAGAACGCTTTGACTGGTTATCACCATTGAATTACAGCAGTATTCCCGGGTATCGAATTCCCGCGTGTGGCGTGTGCCGAGGGCCTCGTTCGGGCCGTTCGTGATCCCCTCTCTTTATCGGATGATTTGCAGAGCCATTCATATTCTGGGAAGCATTGAACAACTGATGGCAAGTTATGTCAGTCTGCATTTTTGAACATCTTCGTTTGGTTAGGGAACTCGTTTCTAAGTCGTTATACCTCGATGCTCAATCACCTTTTGGCCCAAGGCTTTCTTAGGACTAGTTCCAGGGTCTTCAGCATCTCAAGTCACAGAGAGTACAGTGGGTGTGCAAAAGTTCCAACAACTTCCTCTCTTCGAAATTTATCTAAGATGATACTAATAATGAACTCTTTTATTTTTATGATCTTGTAGAACTTTAGCATGGGAATATACGTGACATATCCTAACTGTGATTATCTTATATACAACATTCTCATTACTACATGTTCTATAGATCTATAACGATATTAATTCTGAGCTGGCTCGTTGCCGAAAGTCTTGCCAGGAACTGTTTCTCACGATCAGATCTCGTCTCCACTTACAGATCCATGCTGTTGTCCAGTGAAAGAATGTTCCTTCCCTGCCTGAAAGTTGCATTCACTCAACCCGATGGGGAGTGCCTTCCTGCACAGCATTTCAACTGGAGAAAGAGATTACGCAGCTGATTCCCTCCGTTTTCATTTTCATTTCTTCTCCATCATCACCAAAACGCATCACCATCCAGCATCACCAAAACACACCATCATCCAGCATGTCTAACCACGTTGACGAATCATCATCTCCAGACCAACCTTCTTCCGATGAGGATTTTCCAGATGCCCCCTCTTCACTTGAGCCTTCGTCTTCTTCGGAAGAGCCTTCAGAAGAGCGTTCTACACGAGAGTCTGATTCATTGCGGAGCACGCCAGAACAACAACCACACCCAGCGGACAGAGTGCACCGGTTCTACCCAGGAGTCAACAACAGATACGGCGGCATAGCCCACTCAGACCTCGTCGTCCAGGATCCCGAGACTCGATTGTCACATCTCCAATATGCAGTCCAAGAGTCCCCGGGCACAACCTCCTTCGTTACGGACAAATCCACGATCGTGGCCATCATAGAATTTAAGTATCGAAACGACGAATCCGGGAAGCTTCAGCCTTATTGGGATATATCTTTTGGCCACGGGTGTGAATACAATCACACCGAATCATATCCTGCTAGCACCGCAATGACGGACACGTGCGGCGATGTGCGTGCCTTTTTCGCCGCTTTGATGATCATCAAGGCTCGTAGCCTGGGCACCCCTCTGCGTTCACAAGTCTACATCGCAACAGACTCAGAGACACTGGTAGGGCTTTTGACAGGGCCTGAAGAACGAGATGAATCGCATGTCGGCGAATAGTGCTTCGTGGATCGCACTGAGAAGGTCATTGAGTTTTGTGGTCGGCCGGGGGAGCCAGGGAGGTTTGACGTCAATTTGTGGATTGTTCCTTGGGATATTCTCAAGAAGCTCACTACACCTCCTGCTTTGCCTGCCAACCCCCCCTCCAATCCTGGTCGTCATCTCGCTTGAAGAACAGACAATGACCCCTAGAATTCCATACCCAGTCCTACTTTTGACAACGAATGGGATGCTTGATCAAAGGAAGAGGAAGCGAAGGAGTACGAAGCGAAGGCGTATAGTTACATGATGAATCAAGGTTGTATTCTTTGAGAGGATTAGATTACTAATAGAAGCGTTTACACTGATAGACTGCCCGGCTAGTCCGTGAGCCTGCACGGTGTCCAGCACCAGCCCTGTATCCGTCGTTCACCATCGCCGTCTAGAATCTCATATCCAATTTAGTCAGACTATCCTCAACGATATGAGGTGCTTGAAGTGGCGATCTAGTTACATTCAGCATCCGCAGCACCACCTCCCTGGAGTTTCTGGAGAAGGTTTTCGACGAGACCACGCTTCCCCTTGCAAGCAGCGTTGCCCTTATCGGCACCAGCAGCAGCTCCATCCTCAGCAGCCTTGTCGCCGTTGGCACCGCCATTAGCGGCGTCGTTTCCGTCTTGAGCAGCATTGTCACCGGCGTTCTCTTTCATACCGCCCTGTTGGTCTGCGGCTGCGTCGTCGCCGTTGGCTGCGCCTTTGTGAGCGTTGCCTGCATCGGCAGCACCATCTTGAGCGGCATCATCCTCGGCCGCGCCATCGTTGGCTGCGTCACCATTTGCAGCACCGTCGTTTGCAGCATCTCCGTTGGCAGCGCCGCCGTTAGCAGCTCCGTCGTTGGCAGCATCTCCGTTGGCAGCTCCGTCCTTAGCAGCGTCGCCGTTCGCAGCACCATCATTAGCTGCACCGTCATGGGCATTTCCGCCGTTGGCAGCATCATCCTGACCGGCTCCATCGTTGGCAGCGCCGCCGTTAGCAGCTCCGTCGTTGGCAGCGTCTCCATTCGCAGCACCGTCGTTGGCGGCATCTCCATTGTTCTCGTTCGCATTACCATTGTTTCCCTGGTTGTCATTTCCGTTATCGTTCGCGTTACCATTATCCTGATTGTTTCCCTTGTTCTTGTTCTTATGCTTCCTGCCAGCGTTGCAACCGTTGGAAGCATCATTGGTCTGTGTAGCAGCGGCAGTTTCGGTTGCGGCAGCGGTCTCGGTGGCAGCGGTCTCTGTGACAAGCGTCTCAGTGGCAGCGGCAGTTCCATTCGCAGCGTCGGTCTCGACAGCAGCGCCAGTTTCGGTGACGGCTCCGTTCTCGGCAGCGGTATCAACAGCAGCTTGGGTATCGGCGGCAGCAGTCGTCTCACCAGCGGCAGCCTCGGTAGTCGTGTTGGCGTCATCGTTCTGGTTGCCTCCGCCGTTCTGGTTGTCTTGATCATTATTACCTTGGCCGTTGCCGTTGTTGTTTTGACCATCGTTCCCTTGGTTGTCTTTACCCTGATCATCTTGACCCTGGTTCCCTTGGTTCCCCTTCTGTCCCTTGTTGCCCTGACCATCTTGTCCAGCTTGACCATCCTGGGCATCTTGAGCGGCTTCTTCATCCTGGTCGTCCTCGGCATCGTTCTCGTCATTTTGGTTGTCTTGTTCTTGATCATCCTGGTTCTGTTGCGCTTTGTTCCCTAGGATCCGTAGATCTCGTCGATGGCGCGGCTTTCTTTGTTAGCCCAGAAAAAGATGTGGAAGACAGGTTTCTACTCACTGATCGTGGTTCAATAAGACCAATGATGGGTGCGCCAGAAACTGGCAGAGCTGCAGCAGCCATCAAAGCCTGAGAATTGGTCAATGGGGTCCATAGAGGATCAGATCAAGGCACGTACTGCATATTTTCCAGCCAGTGCTGGGCTCGGCCTTCTGTCGCCTGACAGGGCCTGAGCTGCTAGAAACCCGACAACAACGTTGGAGAAGTACATCTTGTAGGTTCAGAGTGATAGTAAGTAAAAGCGAAAAGAGTGCTGTTCAACAATTAAAACTTGGTAGAGTATTGCAAAATAGGTCCGGCCTAGGATTATGAAAGGAAGAGTAGGAAATGTCGCGTCAAGCGAATCTAGAGAGTCTGAATGAAAGGTGAGTTGGATAATGAAAAGACAACCCACCAGAAGACATCAGCTTCTTATAAACATTCTGCTTCGTCACGTTTTGCATCTAAACATATCCGCAAATAGATCATCTACCGAAAGCTTAACTCGAGCTACCGCTGAGACAACAAACGCCAGTGTTGAATCGTAATACAGTATCAGGTGTCTTCGGAAACACTCCAGACTCCTTGGATCTTGACACAAGTCCAAAACTGGGGATCACCAGCTAAGCTTTTCCTTGGCGATCTTAATCAACTTCGGCGGCTCCGATCATCTTGGGGACTTGGCTATAGTGGAGCGACGATGCAGTGTGGACTCGGCAGCGGGAGTTCCGAGTTTGGGGCCTTGTTTGATCTCCGTGTATGGGGTAGTATTACTGGGGAAATAGCTGGAAAGAAGCGAATTGCGACGTTGTGGCGGGCTTGTTTCATGTAGATGGGATGGGGTTGAGACGGACCCTGGAGATAAGCTTTACAACAGGTGTGTCAGATTGGTGATGAAACTTTGCTACGTAAGCTGTTCCCCTGCTTAGGCCTCATTCTATTCATTTATTTTCAATTATGTGTTGGGATTAAAGTATGTCACTGCCATGATATGTTATTCTTGGCCGATTCCATGACCTCCGCATTTGTCATTTCTCGGGTAGCACTCCGCCGTGTTGCAAGACGTGGGGATCCGTTCTTATCCGAGCATCACAATGGTTTCAGATCAAGAAGGAAGAAAACATACAAAAGTTCAAAAGGGTTTGTAATTCATATTCAACCCTTGAATCTATTTGTAATTTAGTTGTGAGAATATCGCTGAGGCTGGAAATACGATTGACGATTGACCACTAGTTTATGAAATCACCAGGCGAGCAACATGCCAGTCCCTGCCAATACGCCCATAGCCAACCCAAGTACACTCACGACCCCGTGTCTAGACATAGTCGAAGCCGCATTCTCATCACTCTCACTCCCTCCAGAACCACTAGTCTGCCCATTGCCTCCAGAATCACCACCCTCACCATCCCCCTCGCCCTTCCTGGTGTCGTTCTCAGCTTTGTCCAAATCAGACTGCTTGTAAACCAACGGTACAGCTGGAACGTAAGTTGCAATGACCAAATCATTAGACGACCGTGACTCGGTCAGAAAAGCGCCCGTCAAGACCGTCTCAACTGGTCCAGTCCCTGAAACAATGGAGAGAAGATCTTGCGTCAACGTAGTGCCATCCAGTGTACCAATCTGTGTAAGATCAATTGGCGCGTAAATCAGACAGATCTCTGAATAGGTACTGGTGAATGAACTCCTGGGGCCAAGTGTAGAAACGCAATTTCCAAAAGTGTCTGCCGTGTAATCGCTACATTTATTAGATATTGTTGTTGTGCTTGAATGTATCTATCAACCTACCTTGGACAGCAATACACAAGCGTCTCTTCAGGTTCCAGCACTTCCTTCCAGACTTCCGTTGGTTGCATGAGTCTGGGCCGCTGACCGCCTGTATTTTTCGATATCGGGGAGAGCAAACTTGATAGACTGGCGATGCCACTAGCACTAGTCGCAGTACTGCCAGAGTTACCACGATCCAAAGACCAAACGGTCTTCCAGCCCGAAGGACACGCGAGGCCGGGCGAGTAATAAACGAACTGGCCCTGAACAAACGTCGTGCTCTGACCATTCACAGAATCCCATTTCTCGCCGCTGGGAATACAATCCGCAAAAGGCACAAGCCCACAGGTAGGAGCACCAAACAGTACAGGCTCAGCGTTCAGACTCGCGTATACGATGTGGTCAGTCCCAGTCGAGCATGACGACGGTGCAGTGAAGGTCGTTGTCAAGGGGCCTAGGTTATGGACGCTGTAGCCAAAGTATCCAGTCGCGGTCGGCATATTGGTGGATGTGGTGATAAAACGCGTAGTGAAAGTTGGAAGGGTTTATGCTCAATGGATGAAAAGGTAGGATTTATGTGCTTGCCTCGCCCCGCGCTAGGATGAAGAGCCAAGAGATTTACCGGGTCAAAGGGTGAAGATCGCCACTTTAGGGGAAACGTGATCACAATTTATGAGCGAGGGATTTGCTAGTGTCTGGGCAGAATGAGAAGTATTGAGGACTACTCGTGCCAAGGGATATTATTGAGTTACCGTTTGAATTTGTGATGTCTGCCAAGTATATTCCTCCACTGAGCTGAACTTTGCTCGTCCAGGGTATATTGTTATGACGACCGGACTGAACGTTCCGTCTTTTTTCAATCGTTGGTGCGGCTGTCCTTTTACTTCAGACCGAGAACCCAGAATCAATGATGATGTTCGATCCAGTCATTGACTCCGACTTGATTAACAAGATAATTTGATCTGCCACATCCTGCTTGGGGTCAGTATTCAACTAATGTCGTCAATTTATTGCTCACTTACCTCGACTTGAGTGATTTGTTTGAGAAGGGTCTTGTCTCTAGTTTCATCAATCTTCGATTGAGGAAACCCAGCGATCCAGTTCTGTGATATCTCGTTAGTGAGGACGTTCCACGGCAGAATTGTGGTAGGCTACCGTCTCCATGAATCCCGGAGAGACAGAGTTCACGCGAATTGATGGCGCCATCACCATGGCCAGGGACTTTGATAGGTGTAACTGTGCCGCTTTGGTAACTGAATATGCCTGTAAAATTAAATCAATTAGCTCAATGCCGTAACTTGATAAAATCATAAATATGTCAATTCACTCACGATAGAACTCCCACTCGGCTTAACACCCGCAACAGACGACGTCATAATAAACGCGCCCTTGGCATCCTCCAGATACTTCCTCGCAGCATGGCAGAGGAACAAATGCGACTTGACATTTGCCGCATAACACCGATCCCAAATATCCTCATCGACGTTATCGTCAATGTCAAAAAAGTTGGCAAATTTAGTCCATCCAGCGTTAGACACAACGGCATCGATTCTGCCCATGGCCGCCACTGTCTCATGAACCAACCGATGGATTTCTGATTTTTTAGTAACGTCCGCTTGTATAGCTAAACATTTCTGTGAAGATTCTGTGCTCGCAGGGATTTCTGCTGCTGTTTTGCGAAGTTGCTCGACGACGTTGTTGGCTCGTTCTACGTTAGAGGCGTAATTGACGACTACACTGGCGCCGGCTCTGATCAGTTTGTCGGCTACGCAGAGGCCGAGGCCAGACGTGCCTGCGGTAATTAAAACGACTGAGCCGGGGATGGAGAAAGTCATTGTTCGTGATGGTAATAGTGAGTTGTGTATTTTGACCAGTGGTTGTAGAGGCGGAGATCGGCTGGTGAGGGGAGCCCGGGATAGCTCCGCATCTCGGAAGTAAGTCTCTAGTCTACAATATCTCCGTGAAATTCCGGGGAGCGTCCCGGCTAACTCCCATATAGAAAATGAGATAGACTGAGTATCATCCTCGCATGTTATTAAGTACTCGGCCTTGGTATGGTTGGTAATGTATATGCATATTATGTTATTAATCTATTTTATATACCCACGCATTAAACGTCAAAATCATCCCGTCTGTGTACCATGCCATGAATACTCTCACTAGACACTGAAACCTGATGCGTCATCAGGATCCCATTCGTGTCATTCAACTGCGTCTCACTCTCCATCATGAAATCCGACCCCTTGGCGTTTCTGCTCTTGCTGCCCTGCCAATAGTGGCCGGAGCCTGCTGTATACATGGAAGGTCTACGGGATTGCCCCACTATAGTCGTAGGGGCTCGTGAGCGTGCGTCGCTGATTGTGGCGCTGGTTGATATTGTGTTGCTAATCTGTCGAAGGAGTGGTCGGAGGGCTGTGAGAGCTACAACTATGACTGAGATGCAGATCTCGGCTGTGGCCCAAATATCTAAAAAGCTTGTTAGATGAAGTGATTCGTTTGATTATACTGAGCGACGTACATATGGAAATGTCGTTAGAGACAAAGGTCGTGGTGACAAATCTCCCAATGCTAACAATAATCGTGATAATACCGAGTCCGAAGATGACGGCGACTCCAGCCTTCTTACGGCGTGAAGCCATGATCAGACTTCGTACCAGAGGAATCGGGTAAAGTACGTCTAAAACAAACAACCTGTCAGTAAAATTCAAAGCGAGCCAGCCTGGCTTGATACAGAGCACAACTTACTGAGAACCTCGCTGGTGAAATTCATCCCCCAGTTGAGCCGCATCAAGGTCATGGACATGAAAGCTTGGCAATTATCCTCTCCTTCAGCCCTATAATCCAAAACATCGTCAGTACGGTGTTTGTGATTCAATCGTGCCGGGATGTGACGGACCAGTTGACAGAAGGATCAGCTCCGCACCAAAACGTATCGCCGAAGAAAGTAGCCAGCGCAAAGGATGTCGTTATCGCAGCCAGGACGTATAGCGCAGTTCGCATCTCCGGGTGCGTGACGGGCACGAGGTTCGCGTAGAATGTAATGATGCTGAATTTAGGAAAGTAGATGCCCGTGTCGAAGAAGTAATTCGTCGCAAATCGAATCTGCAGGGGATGTTAGTAAATGCGCCGCTGGTTGATTTGATCCATTCGTGACAAGTCGAGGATGTTGCTATTTCGGTGAGTCGCGCACCTTTTTGAGAGAGACGTTATTCATGGTGAAATTGTCCATGGCATTCATTCGAAATGTCAAAGTATCGCATATCAATAATCCCTGGCACGAAGCCAGCCCAACAAGCAGCCAGTAATCAGCGGAGTATAGTTTGGCGCGTTTTATAACAACTCGGACGTAGATGCGGCAAGCGACCATGAGATAGGCGAGGGTCATTAAAGTCCATTCAAAGCCCTTGAAAATCAAGAGTTAGTTTTTGTATGTCAATTGTCGATAGTACTCAAAAGTGGCATACCATCACAGCACGGCTAGATATCATCTTTACGGGGCTATCCAGGCGAAGCCTGCCGGTCAAACATGGGGCAAGATTTTAACAGCACCAAACGTCGTTCATGGTGAGAAGATTTGAATGAAACCAAGCAGGAACCTGGAACTGTCAGCCGCGGCGCAGCGTAAGGCTCGATATATAGGTAGCGCAGCACAGATAGTTACAGATCAGAACCAGACAGGGTTTAGAGTTTGCGCTACTAGAATTAAGGCCGCCACGATCTGGGCCGTCCATTCCGGAGCGTGGAATGCCCTGCTCCTGCATTAGCGAGTCTCGCCTCCAGCGAAGATGACAGCTAGAGCCGAGTCATTGCCTGGGGAGTTTGGAGTTGTTGTCGTAGATAAGTGGATAACACTGCCCGTGTTTGGTTGTGGTGTTGAGGGCACAGACGAACGGGATTGTGATATTGATCTTGGCGACGCATGTCTTATCTTTTTCGTACAATGTGGGAATGGGCACGAATAGGGGCAGCCACAACGGAGATAATACGGTTGGAGAGCATTCTTAGTCTACGCCATGAACCAGGTCATCGGGCTACGAGAGTGACGATCATAGCGACGGACTAATTTCGCGGATCTCTTGAACGTAGCATTATGAATATGATGCCCAATGATATGTACAATGATCCTTGAGTGAAGATAAGCACCTGACTCACAAGGATGCAAGCACGGGCTCGGTCATTACTCAAACAAACCATGCTTCAAACGCCCGCTAGATGGATCCCCAAATAACCCAACGATGTACATCCCCCGAAAAGACTAGCGAATCGGTTCCAATCGTCTAGCCCTACGGTATTCCCGTGCTGGCAATCTTCTTCAATAGATCAAGCGAAATGACAGTGTCGCACTGCTATTCCCGCCATGGTGAGGAACGTGTCTTGGATTTGACCCCTGTGGCTTGTGGGTTTAGTCCGGCTCCTCGCCCTGGTAAACTCTGTTTATGGCGCAGGGTGACGTTTCCGGACGCCAAGTTTTGGTCAACAGCAACGATTAAAAGTCTGTTCGAAACATTCCGTGTTCCGGGTGATAATAGATATCGGCTTGTCAAAGCTTATCGTCGGAGAATTACGAATGGTTCGTGGTGAGGTTCGTTGATCGACCTTGGGTTTCTGATTTAGCCCCATCTCTTGAGCGTAGAATGAGCGGCGGTTTGGGTAACAGCTCTAGGTGTCAACTCTCGTAGAGACAAGCGTGAAAGAACAAACAATGTTAGTAAGCGTATGTAGTCTGTTCCGAATTGCATTGCTAAATGTTTACGCGACAGTTTAGAAAACGAGATTGGTTGGAATGATGTACTCATAGAGAACAAAGATCCTCAGCTTGGTAGATTAGTAGACACCAGGTGCATTTCATGACAGTACAGGGTAGCAATGTCCCCAACCCGACGCTAGCCCTTTTCCTCACTTCCCAATGCAGTGACCGGTTCCGATTTCTCCTCAGTCACGCATCAACAATGCAACCGACACCTCGAAAAGTCCACTCAGACAAACGCCGCCGCCAGCAGCGAAAAGCATGTGATTTATGTCGTCGTCGCAAAGTCCGCTGCGACATCGTAGATAAACCCTCGGGGCCCTGTTCCGTCTGTGAAAAGTCGGGGTTCGAATGTCGGTAAGTTTGTCTTCCGACGGCTCCGAGACCGCAGCACACTTATGAATGGGATTTGTGGCTGATACTTGGGTAGATCAACGGCGAAATGGGCCACTGCACGTCAGGGTTCTGTTGCTTCCAGACGCGGCTTTGCAGAGTCGCATCGATCGCCAGGAACATCGCATCCGGATCTGGAGCCGGGTGCCGTTGAGGCACGGGATAGTACCATCTCAATCGTCGGACCCGAGCATGGCCCCTCGGATCCGCCATCACAGCTCGACAAGACATCCGCTGATCTATCCCGCGCCGATGGCCAAGAGAAACTCGCTCGCGAAGGTTTAGCACGCTTCTTCAAGCATGGCATTGGCGCTGCTGCTTGGGCTGTGTTTGCATCTACAAAGAGTTTTCGGATTGCCTACGTTGGGACCGCTGTGTCCAATCTGGTGCACCTTGTTGATTTGCACCGGTCGTTTAGGCAGCCTTATTCTTCTATCCTTGGAGATGAATCTCGGCCATTATCAGGGCCTACAGGGCCTACGGGGCCTGACACCCATGGCTCGTTTCCAGAGTCCGCTGCTGATGGAAGCACGGGGAGTGATAGAATAACGGGCGGAAAGCCGCTGCATTATCCCTATCCTCCTATCCGTCAGGTGAAGTCTTGGAAACCAACTCCCAGCTCATGGGGCATGACGCAGGACTTGGTCACAGAGGTATCTTCCTTTCCAGCTCAGGAAGTTCGCGATGCTTTAGTCACAGCCTACTTCGACCACATCCACCCATTTCTCCCTATTGTCTCGAAACCAGAATTCCTCGCCCGGTATCGCACACCTGACAACCCTCCGCCGCTTCTCCTCTTCCAATCCGTTCTCATGGCCGGTGCTCACGCGTGCGCCCATCCCCTTGTCGCCAACGACCGTCATGCAGTCCAGAACAGACTCTTCCGCCGGGCCAGCATGCTATACCACATGCGGCACGAGTCAGACAGGATGCATCTCCTCCAAGCAGCTTCTCTGTTCACATGGCACATAGGCGACGGGGACACAGTCGCCGGCGGACCGTGGTATTGGGCGGGAATAGCAGTACGTATAGGTACTGGACTTGGTGCGCACCGGAGAAGTTCTCAGCTTCCGTCGACGGAGATGGCTCAGTATCGACGATGTTGGTGGTCGGCGTTTTTCTGCGAAGTATTCTCGGCGCTTGAGACAGGGAGACCCTGTGCGGTTAGGGCGGAGGATATAGATCAGCAGCCGCTTCAGCAGGAGGATATCACCGACACGCCAAGTAGAGATCCTGCTATCGCTGAGGCTCCCGGAGCAGGACCTGACTTTTTGAACCATCTGGTTGATCTGGCTTACATTGGCCTTGACATCATCTCCATCAACGCGCCGGCGAGAGATCGCATCATAGACATCGCCTCAATCGACGCTCGTCTCGGCCTGTGGTCTCTACGCTCGGGCATATCCACCGTCGCTGAAGACGACGACTCCTGGACATGCCATCTCCGCATGCACTACAACCTCCTCTTACTACATCTCCACCGCAACCTCTACGAAACAAGCAGCCAGTCCATCTGCTCAGCAGCCGCCCAAGCCATCGTAGCATCTCTGGAAAAGCTCACCGCGCGCGACGAACTACGCCAATGCCACTTCACATCCGTCAGCGCCGTAACAGCAGCGGGTATCCAATTCGCAGGCGAGATCCGCGCCGCCGTGACATCGCAAACCTTCCTAGTCGCCATCAACGCCCTAGAGCGACTATCGCGATTGCTGCGATCCACGATGATGCTTGCGCGGCACTGGCCGAATGCCGAGGCTGTGCACAGCGTGTTTGAGGAACTACATCGGGAGTACGAGACGCTTGTTACGCAGCGGTTGCAGGGCGAGCAGGTCATGGTGCCGGAGAGTCCCCCGGATTGGAACCGGTTGTTGGGAGGGGAGGGGTTGCATCAGTTTAGTAACTTTACGTCGGATCAGGATTGGATGAATATCAATAGCTGGACGGAGTTGCTGTAATGTGAAAGGATTATAAAAGTTAAATGATACCAGATATTAAACTATCTTTGATGTTCCCAAAAGTTCCCCTCAGAGACATCATCATGGAACAGAAAGGAGGGATACAAAGTCTGTCACATAATCCCTGTCAGATGTGCCTGAATCGTACCAAGGACAAGGGAATAGAGGCGAGTATTGACAAGCGTGCATATTGAGAAAGTGATGTTTGGAGGAAGAGACCTTTGCTGGCGAGTCTGGACGATCCAGAATAGGGCTTTGGGGGTCTTGGATGACATGATGAGTTATGGCTGTCGAGATGGATGCAAACCCACTTTCAAACATATGGCAGATATGCGACGAAGAACCATCTCATTGTTGCCTATTGTTCTTGTGTACAATGTTACTGATGCAAGACTTTTATGAGTTGCGAATCATTCGAGTGTTCAATACGTTCATGTTCTGTCTAAAAACGGAGTTGTTCTCCCAGGCCTCTCGAGTCAGTTTCAGCAGTTTTAAACATATAAGTTGACTCGGTACAGCAGATGGAAAACTATACCCTACCTGAGCACCCCTGCCATGGCTCTTGCTGTGCATTCTTTCAGCTCTACGAACCAATCGAGGTTTGGTCGGTCCGCCAGCATGTTACTCGTTCTCTGACGAGTTCTTACCTGGCGCTGATAATACGTCTGCCCACAAAAGTGTTCAACATGCCATTCTTTATCTACAAGTCGGTCAGACTTTTGACTGAGTCATAGATTGCGATGCAAGATCGAAGCGATATCGCTGTCTTCAAATAAGACAAGCTGACCTTCAGCTTCCTGAATATGTAAGCCATAAGGAGTTCAAGGAGCACAAGATTAAAGCAAAAGAGACTCATTTTCTTATCAATCATCATTTCATAAATCTCCTGAATGAGATCAAGCAATAACATATCAACAGCCCATGGACATATCATCGACGTCAAAGCAAGATCGGCATAACAACCATTTTCACCGAAACGAATCTCGCCGAAAACCGGGTTGACGCATTTAGAAAAAGGGGATCGGTATCGGCCCTGTTTCACGGAACCGTAAGACCGTGCAAGCCCCTGTCGATTACGATCCAAGCATCGCAAAATCTCGTCCGACTAAGGAAATTCCCTTGTTCCTTCAATCCTTGCCCCTGTTTATGCCCTATGCACTATGGCGTTGTCGAAGCTTCTAGCCCGGCGTGTACCGAATGGGTGTGAACACCAGAGAACGACATGTAAATGATTACAGTGGGTGTTATTCTACATCCCGGAGAGGGCATCTATCTATGAGGGCTCTATAGTCCCTTCTATGGCCTTTTGTCTAAACCTGTATATCCTGTATCCCGTGGTATCTCTAATTATACAATGCAAACCATTACTCCCGTCTCGAAAAGCAACTTTTTCAGTGATCATCTGCATCCTCGTCTTTTCCAGGATACATGATATCACGCACAAACACAGCTCTAAGATTGAACGAAACAACGACAAGAAACGTGACGATGAGAATAATGCTCATGCCGCTTGCAGCCCAGAGAAGTCCCTCACACTTGAACTCCTTGCCGATGGAGATGGTGGCAAGTGTAAAGCCAGTGTTGGGAAACACCATTGGCCACCAGCCAAGATGGAAGTACTTGGGCGGGGACGAGACGACAGCAACCAAAGCGATGAAGAACCACCAGAGACTCAACGCCCAGAGAAACACAGCGCATAGAAGAGCTACCGTGCGGACGGTGTCGACATTGAGAGCGAGATTGTCAGCCCCGGAAATAGTCTTGGGGAGTGCGTTGGCCATTCCGATAAGAGCGAGGGCTGTGAATGAGGGCGGTCCAACGTTCATGAACAGAGCAGTTCTGTGCTCACGGTTGGGAAGACCAGACTGCATCAGACGACCAATCATGTGAGCGTACATCATCATGGACACACAAAAGCCCAAGCCTTGACAAGTCAGGCCAGCAAAGATGATGGGAAGTGGGTTGATATGGCTCTGAGTGTCCAAGATGACAGATGCGACAGTACCAGCCAGCATGACAGGGAAGATAGGAAGCAACCAGCCAGGCATCATGGCTTGTAAGCTGAAGCTGTGTCCAGCAAAAAGGTACGAGTACTGCCAGATAGCAAGGATGAATGTGACGATGACATAGGTCCAAAAGATAGTCTGCGTCGCCCATACGTATGAAGGATCGTCTTTGGGGATGACATATCGCTGGGTGCTGGTGATAAGCGAAGCGATAGCCAGGAAGAAAGTCGGCAAGAAAAAGGCTTCTCGGTGGTGCGTAACCGATTTGGTAAAGTCGCCGGCGTTGAACAAAAAACGACATACCAGACCCAAGCAGCAAAGAGTGAAGAGGAGCAAGTTAATGCAATAGAGCACCATGCCAATAGTTCTCAGGCCAGCGAACTGATGAGGCTGCACGTGGATCAGCAGAGCCAAACCACCGGCACTCATAGGCAGCGTGAACCAAGCCCAAGTAAAATGATGCAGGCGTTGTCGGAGGGATAATTCCTGCTGTGAATCATCCTCCTGTTGGGCGTCGCTGACATCTTTGTTGCCCTTTTCGAGAAGTGAGGGAAGATCTGTTGATGCAGATGCGGATTTTGCTGCGTGGTGGTTCAGAAACGCCTTCGGGTCGTGTTCAGGCGATGGCGAAGGCACGGAAAAGTCAACCGAGTTGCGGCGCGTGGGGGTGTTGGAGTCTGTCCAAGAGACATCTAGATCTCTAATGCGATCCATGTTAAGCAAGGATTTGATAAACGAGTCAAAAAGGTTAGCGAGTGTGGATGTGAAAACATTGAATCGATGAGGATGAAGTAATCACAAGAAGATAAAAGAAGCGATGCGATAATATTTATATCTTCACGTAGCGTCAAAAAACTAAAGTTTTGCTGAGCTATGGCCAGGTAGTCGGCTCATGCAGTCTCGTCTAAAGGGGCGATTACGAAGAATGCGAATCATGATATGGCCAAATCTCGTGATGAAACCGTGACTCGTTAAAGCGACCGCGATGGAAGCTTCCATTCCCTGTCCAAAAGCGGGTAATCTCACGCCAAATGCCGTAGTGAATGAGGCTCATCGGGTGCTAGCACTGCCAACTGCAGGGGAGGGAGACCCGCTAAATAATTAATAGCAGTGCCAACACTTTAGTGGCCGGATTTTAAAGTCCAGAATGTCTGATTGACAGGTGATGCCAGGTGTCGCTGTCGCGGAAGAGGCCCCGGTGCGCCGGACCCGGGTCCCAGAGGGTCGGTGCCGTGCCAGGGGACGAGATAAGGCCGAGCCTCAAAAAGTTAAACAGGTTTTTCGCCACAGCACGTCCTTGATAAGAGTGAGGCCTCTTGATGTGTTGATGGCAGACATGCGAGTTCAATTCGGTATGGGCTATACAAGCTAATGACACCACTGCTATCTGACTTACACGCAAGAATACAGAACAGTAAAGAAGAGTGTTCTCTGCTTGTTCGTACAGACATTGCTTATCTGAGACAGTACAGTCAACGTTCAAAGTGGAGTGCTCCCGATCAGCGGCCATCCCGTTTCGCCGCCCAACGCAGGGATTAACAAACCCAACTACAGGGCTTGAAATTAGCTACCGGGCACCATCGGATGCATTTTGAGCCTCAAGCGCCCGGTTTCTCGACGCTCGTCCCTCAGAATTAAGAGTTTTCCAATGATTAGAGCCCAATGCCAAGAATGTTCTATGGAGTCGCATAATTAAGGCCTCTAATAATCTAATCTGTGTGATCTAAAGAGATATAATCCCTGACTTATCATTTCATTTACTTGTTTTGCTATGGCGTAGTGTTTCAATTGTAGGTTTGCTTTGGTAAGAAAACTTTTTACATCCCTTAGTTAAGCATGGGTTTTAATGAGCTTGTTTGTTACCTGATGCCAAGTAGATATCCGTAGTACTCTAACTCAAGACGCAGTGGCAGACTTAATTAACTAACGAGTCATGGCCTCCCTTACACGGACGGTTAAAAACGGAGAAGACCTTGGTCTTTATCTCCATCCAAGCTGAAAGCCTTCCGGAATATTCAAGGTTATCCACATCCAAATAACCAGGGTTAATCCCGTTTATCAGGACTGTATAGAAGAGACTCCCTACCTAAAGAGGTATCTAGGTAAATAGCTTAAGATATAGGAGAATTGCGAATGGGTGCGAAGGGGTGAGGTTACGGTACCTAATATCAATACGCACAGGGAAAAAGACAACTTTAAGACCTATTTAACTAGAGATATTATATAACAATACGAAGCGCATTTTAACTAATTAAAGCCTAGATAGATAAAAGGAAAATTACCTAATTAGATTACCTCTTCCTTAGGAATAGCATAAGGTAAACTACCTAAAGGAGGGGAAATAGGCAAGATAGATCATTAATCAAGACACAGATCAATTTGACCACATTTTTACGGTTCAACAAGGCTCAGCACGACCGGGAGGTTTTCCACAACTCAAGTGATATAATAGGTTGAATCTTATTGCACAGCCTCAGCCTTTGCATTTCAGCTTGCGCCTCATTTTACGTTTTCATTACCCCGCAATATCTCTCTTCTTCCCAAATCTCGCCTTCAAATCTTATCCATCTTGATTCATTACCGATTTCTCTTTCGATAATGGAGGCCACTGGTCTCGTAATTGGCATTGTCGGACTGGCAGGCATCTTCAAGATAGCCCTTGAGGCATGGGAATTCGTCGACAGCGCTCGCGGTCAGGCGGAAAGCTTCGAGTTTCTGAGGACAAGGCTTGACAACCAGCGTGTAATCTTCCTGATATGGGCTGGAAGGATGGGCTTTGGTACACCAGAGGGATATGGTAAGAGCCTCGATCGGCCACCCTTGCGCGCCCGACAAATCGAGAGTACGCTAAGGCAGATTGCAACTCTTTTCTCCAACACCGACGAATTGATTCGACTGTATGGATTGAAAATACATTCTGTGGAGGCTCAAATTGATGGCGGAGATGCTCCTGCAGCGATATTCAGGAGTCAATACGATCGAGTACGAGCAATTATTCGCAACAAACGCCAGCTGAGCATACTTTCCGAGCCCTTGTCACAGCAACAAAGTACCTCGTTATGGAAGAAGGCGCAATGGTCCATCCGCGACGAAAAGAAGACCCAATCTTTGGTCGCAAAGATTGGAGAATTGGTTGCCGACCTCGAAGGCCTTACCCAGGATATCCAAGCCGCCAAGACCAGAGAACAGTACGCAACTGAAGTTGTCGCAGATATTAGTGAGACGGCCCTTCGAGCGATTAAAAACAGCTGTCGTACTGGAGAAGACGTCATCTCCAGTGCTGCAAGCATTCGTCTCAGCTCGCTCCGTCAGGCACAGACTCTCGCCTCGGCTAGTATATCATCGGCATCTTTCTTTACTGCCAAATCGCATTCATTATCGCAAATGGAGCCGAAAGCAGACAAATCAGGCCGCTGGGGCACAGATACACAATTCGTTGACTTTTCAACTATTAAGAAGGCGCACGATAAGATTTGCGTGGACCTCGCAGCCAAGGCCCAGCCAGAATGGTTTCCAGACTCTACGCCTAACAATTCCGGAAGACATTTATCTCGCCTCTATAACGAAATTAACACGATTGCCAGCGAACCGCATGGTAATGACTGGTACACTATCTGCCCCATCGACGATCATTTGGATAGGTTCCTCAGTACCTTTTGCGGTCCAGCAGGGACCCCATATGAAGGGGGTATCTTTCATATTCGTATTAACATCGGCGCGGGATACCCATTCAAATCGCCACAGGCTTGGTTCCTAACTAAGATTCTGCACCCAAATGTTGATAAAAACGGCGCTATCTGCATAGACATCTTCGGAGAGGGTTGGACACCGACGTATACCATGTCCACGTTAACCGTTGGTATTGCGTCAATTCTTAACGAACCAGGTTGGGATAACCCTATCGAAGGTGCAATGCCTGAGGAATTCACGGTGGACAGAGAGCTATTCAATCTTCGAGCGAGGGAATGGACTAGACGCTTTGCAGTAGGGAGTATTATTAACCCTGGCGAAAGAAATGATGGGTTTTATAATGTGACCGAGAGTGTATTATAAGAGAAAGTCTTTTTACTATTTTGCTTTTTCCTCTAGAATAGTTATGATATAATGGTAAGTACTTCTAAGGTAATATACTAGTCTATCCTGGGTATTTATTAATATAATTATAAGATATAAGTCAAATAGTAATAAAGATATTTTATTTTACAATAGTTAATAGGCTAAATTAAGTATACTAATATAGAAATGTTATATTAATAGCTAGTAAGTTATTATTCTACTCTAAAACCCTTTAAGTCAGTACTATTCTTTAGGCACGTATATAATATAGTCCTATTTTTTACTTAAATAAAGACATACTTTTTGCCAGTACGACAGACTTTAACCGCCACGAACTTGAAGGTGAGCCGGCAAGGAAAGATCAGTCGATACAGGCGTGTGGTGAACATTAACGTGTAGACAAAACCCATACAGGCCGCTGCGGGCACATAATGGTAAGGTCTCGACACGTATATTATGTTCATTACAATGTAGAGCTGAGATTCTTGTCTTAAAATATTATTATCGGGGATTCTAAATGGCGTAATCAACATTTTGGACCTGGACGCAGATCATCGTCCTTTCCAAATTTCCTCCGGGGTATTGGTAGCAGTATAAAAGATACAAACACATATCCAGCCTCAAGTAAGATATTATGACAACATCAAACGCTCACATACACTCAGGCGGGGACGCTCATGCCCTCATTGGCCTTGTAGCCCTCGCCGGATGCAACGTGAGCTTCACGATACTCCGCCTCCTTATCCTGCTGGATCAAATCACAGCAACCACAACAGCATGCAGTAGCGAGATCGACAAGGCAGCTTCCCTGAAGATGATGCTTCTCGCGAAGGTTGGCACGCTGGAGAGCGAGAGGAATCCAATGAAGACCGACACAAGTGGATCCCCAAAACATAAGGCACTATACAGATGTGTTAGCACTAATAGATGCGACGCATATTTGCAGTACATACGGAGGTGTTGATGGGCTCATATCCCTCCAAGCTACCGTTCTTACGAAGACGGTGATGGGTCTTGCCGAAGGTCACGCAAGGAACGCAACATGTAATAGCGCAGAGGCTGATAGGGCTGAAGCAGCCAAAGAAGCTGTTCTGCCAAGGTTGAGATGTCTCGGGAGACTTGGAGTTGACGTGCTCGCTGGGACGGGCTAGGACATCGTTGAAACGATCCTTCCACTCGTTGAGGTCGTTGTGGTCGATGGGGCCGTTGTTATGGGCATTGGTCTGAGCTGGAGTAGCCATTGTGGAGAGTTGAGTAGGAAAATTGAAGTGAAGGAGTGATAGGAAAATAGCGGGTATGCAAGTTGTAGTTGAGAATGTAAGGAGTGTGCTGATAGACGGGACAAGAGGGAACAATCCTCGCGGGACTGTCTCGTCTTTATGAGCAAAGGCTTTCAGTCTCACAACCCAAACACTTTGACTTTGCCAGAGTGCCTGATACTAGCGTCGTCAAGGCATTCCGATCACACATTCCGCACGCCCAGAATCAAAGGCGAAATTACAGGCGGAAGATGCCCAATCACATTCCAGCTTCAGAGCAATCATGCGCAAATGTTTTTCAGCCCTGTGCCAGGGTGGAACTATTTGATTCGGCAGTTGGAGGAGCTGAGGCGCCACCAATTTACTCTAGTCTGGTCTGGAGATTGAACGTTGGAGGCTAATGCAGGGTTTTTGTTAGTAGCTCTGGTCTTTGACACCATGGCGTTGATGATAAGGCAGTCTTGCAAAATGTCTCCTTTTTGTAACGGAGATGCGGTAATGAAGGAGTCACTTCATTGTCAGCGGAAAAAGTGTCTCTAGATAGGGATATATGTCTAGCGAATGGGCTGTAACGCAATAGTCAAACCACTGCTTGACTCGAACTATCAGATCATGTTTCTCTCGGCAATCAAGGTTAAACGAAACAATCCGGGGCTGTCAGTGAACTGTAATCTGGCCCACACACCTGATACACTAGGCTTCAGGTGACAATCGTGAACGCCTTTAATGCCGCTGCGGCTGAGAATCGGCATTTACCTGATATGGTTTAAGCTCTGGGCTGCCTGGGCCTAAAGCAATCGAATGACTCACAGGAGGGTCATCTTCGATTGGTTACCTTTGGCTGAGCTTTTATCTCTACTTGATATAGATAACAAATTCCTGAAGTGATAGGTTCCGCGGCGAAAGCCCAAAGCCGGGGGTGCGGTGCAACAGAACGTAAATGCAGTCCTTATATTGAAAAAGGCTACCTTTGATTAATGTCAAATTGAGAAATATAAATATTGGATATCGACGCACCAGTAGTCAGACGGGCAGAAAGCATGGTGGAGTATAGCACACTAACTCAAACCTGACTTTATTCCTCAGTAACATGACATTGACATGGCAAACAGTAAGAATATTGAGGAGTATCATAGTATCACAAAAAGATCTTTTATAAAAACTCTTATTTACTGCAATCTATAGTGCGTTCCTTTGAGATATCGGCGATGCAATTACAGGCAAAATCACGGCATCTGAATACCCCCATCCACAGGAATCAACTGACCCGTGATGTAGCTCGACGCTGGGCTCGCCATAAACAAGATAACACCAGCCACTTCACTAGCCTCCCCTTCACGAGGATCAGCTTGATGAGACCGCAACTTATCACCGATCGGCGTGCCAGTCATGGTCATGTCCGTAGCAACGGGGCCCGGCGACACGACATTAATAGTAATTCCCTTGGCAGCAAGCTCTCCAGCCATAGACGCCGTAATAGACGTCAAGGCCGCTTTGGAAGCTCCGTACACCGTCAGCGCGGGAATTCCCAGCTTCGCCACAATACTGCCGACGTTGACGATGCGTCCTCCGCGGGGCATGTAAGGAAGTGCTGCCTGGATGAGCAAGAACGGACCGCGGACATTGGCGCGGAAAGTCTGGTCCCAAGACTCGATGCCAACAGCGGCGATTTCGGGGTGATACATCGGGATTCCAGCATTGTTGACGATGATGTCGATGGTCTTCGTGTTGAGGCCCTCAAGTGCAGCCTGGACAAGATCGGTACCGAAAGACTCTGATGACGCATCTGCTTTGGCGGCAATGGCTTGGACGCCTAGCCCTTTGATCTGAGCGACGACTTTCTCAGCTGCCTCAGCGTTGGAGGCGTAGTGAACCAAGATCTGCAAATTGTTTAGTAAAATGGTAAAGTGGAGTTTATCGAGATAACTTACGTTGGCGCCGTGCTTGGCAAGTGCTAGAGCTGTGGCAGCTCCGATACCATTGGACTTTGATGCACCAGTGACGATGGCAGTTTTGCCGGCGAGGTATTGTTCGGAACTCATTTCGAAGTATGGTTTGGTGGATGTCTTGAGAATCGGTTGTAAATGAAGTCTTGGGGTCAATTAGACTGGAAAGTGATGATGAGGATAAAGTCTGTTACTATTGACATTCTTTACCTTATATATCAAGTTGAGTGTCCTCACTGGGATATGATTCCTACATCTAGTGCATTGCGCTCAGTTCACGTTCACGATGTTGAAAATCCGGCCCGTTTGTCTCCACCTCCGCGGAAGCAAACTAAGCGTATTTACAAGCAACCGTCTCCAACGGGGCAACGCCAGCCCTATCGGGTTCCCATAATCGGAGGTTACGAATATTTCACCGTTTAGGTCATAATTTCCGTCGCATTTAACAATTTCAGCTTTATTTACCATGCGGGAAGATCTGTCACCCATGACTAAGTCCCCAGAGTAAGCATTAAGCGATTCCGCTGCACACCTCAATACACCGAAATGGAAGCTCATAGCATTCCAACTGCAACCACTGGTTGGAATCCCTGCTGGTACAACACCACCGTGCAAGGAACGTCTACGACCACCGCTTGTAAGAACGTGCCGAGTGCCGAACATCGTCTTCCAACGGGGGCTTACTCATTTTCACGGAGGCCGTGTTAATAATAACATCTCTCGGCCGAGATGCACACTTATCAAGCGGCCACTGTACCCGGTCTAGCGTGAACTGATTCCTGCTTTGAAATTCACGATAAGGCTAACGTTATAGTTATTTCGCCTGCTTGACAGAAAGAGATGCGACACTTTACATAATGGAGCAGCTGTAAAATAATACGGAAATTGACATATGTAACACTGTGCTTTAGACAGTATGCAGTTAGCACATGTTGAGTCAATGTCTGTTTGTCTCTTTTGTAAACGGACACGGAGGGTGGGGATTAGCAATACCTCACGTTATGAAGGTCAGCTTCAATATGGGTAGAAGGGGTGGTTCATATACATATACCACGGACCCCAACATATGTGATCACAATCATCATCACAACCATCTCCAACCAACTCAGGGCTTGTGTCATCCTATTAAAAATCTCTCGATAATTTAAACAACTTCTTGTTTAACATTTTAGCACTCAGTCACATCATCACGATGCCTTCGATCATCGTCTTTGGCGCTTCCGGCTTTGTCGGCGGTACGTAAACAAACCTCACCTGACTCTTACAAATTCCTAACATACATGTACAGCTCCCTACACAAGAGCCATCAAGCAAGCCCACCCAGACTGGCAAGTCACCGCCTACGTAAGAAGCACCCAGCCAGAAAATGAGCTCAAAGCCAACCTCAACGCCGACCGCATCATCGTCGGCGACTTCAACGACTTCGAAAAAGTCAAAAACGCCAGCAAAGAGCACGACATCGCCGTCAACGCTGGTAACTCCTTCACCGGCGAGCCAGTCACCGCCATCATTGCAGGCCAGAAGGAAAACGCCAGCAAGGGCAAGCTGATCCATATCAGCGGTGCAGGAAACTTCATCGACTTCGGCACCTCGGGGAATTTCAACCCTGATAGCAAGGTTTGGAACGATGCTAGTGAGGAGGACATCAGGGCTATTCACAAGGATATGTTCAACGGTCAATCTGATGTGCCTGTCCTGGAAGCTGATGGCGTTGATACCTACATCGTCTGTCCGTCGGTGGTCTACGGTGGTGCGAGTGTGTCGTCACCGTCTGGGGGCATTGGCTATAAACTTCTCACTGGCAATGCCAAGCCTCTGGGCTACGTTCCCTATGTCGGCGATGGAACAGCTGTTGTGAGCACGGTATGATCTCCTTACAAACAACTTTCTTCTCCTCTTACTGACTGATGAGTAGACACACATTCTCGACCTCATCGAGTTTCTAGTCAAGATCACCGACGTTGCAGCCCAAGGCCCCGCCCAAGGAACTCCGTACAGTCGCTACTACATGCTCGAAACCAGCAGAGTCGCGTGGAAGGACCTTGCAACCGAGCTTGCCAAGGCGATGCATGCAAGAGGCATCCTCGCAAGCCCTGAACCAAAGAGCGTTTCTTTCGAGCAGGCTGGCGAAGGGGAGGTCAAGCATCTTGTTGCTGCAAATATGCTTTTCAAGGGTGATCGTGCTGCGGCGATGGGCTATAAGACGAAATATCCTAGTATTCTAAAGCAGATCCATAATGACCTTGAGGAGATTCCTATTTAGGTTGGCGTTTATGGCCTTATGGGTCTTAGGAGATAAGTGCTTTATTATTTAGAAATAGCTATAATAAGAACGCAGTATCCTGTCTGTGGCCTTTAAGGCTGGATTACATTTCTTCCAACGCTAAAGTTAGGAGAAATAAACCTTTAAAAAGCCTTTTTCCTGCTTACAGGTCTGCCTTAATAACAATAAATGTAGCCATTACCGAGATAGCAGACATCTTCCATTGACAGCTTCATTCCGCCGCTACTCTTGTCCTTTTGAAGCAATTGCAGCAACCTCTCTGGCCGCTAAGAGTCGACCTTCATATTGCCGTGCTACTTGCCCTAGTCTCTGGGCCGTTTCCTTTAGAGCCTCATTCGAAATAGCTCCTATCAAGGCGCTACTTAAGGCCTCGACTGTCCAGTTCGGTGCCGTCGTTTTAGTAGGCCAAATACCGACGCCGACGTACTCAGCTGTTGCTGCGTAGTTGTACAGGTCGAACCATTTTGGAAGGATGATCTGAGGCACCCCGTATCTAGATAGGATTAGCAGGTTAGAATCGGGCGGTGCTGGTGAAACTCACAAAATCGCTTCGTGGTAACTGTTTGCACCCCCGTGATGAACAACAAGCCTTATATCTCCAGTCGCAAGCAACGCAGCCGGATCGGCCTTGATCCAAGACTCAATCCTAATTCTCCCACTGGCCATATACTCTCTAATAGGGTTTAGAAAGGAGTTATCGAAGTCATGGCGTTTCTTTATTTTCCACAAGACCTGATTGTTGGTGGTTTCGAGAATTGGGAGCAATGCGGCTACCATTGACTGAGCCTCAGCGTTGTCAAATTTGACGACGCTACCGAGGTTTATAAGTATGGTTGGCGCCTGCTTTAGCCAAGCAGCCATATGTGCGTCTTGCTCCTCTAGAGGAGCCGCCTCAAGAACAATGGGGCCGCAGAATTTGGCACCCTCGGGCACATGCATTAATGGGAGGCTCGCTTCTGGAAGAGATGCTGCGAGCCAAGGTACATCATGTCTCTGATTGCCCATGAGGTCAATCGGATTATTAATGCCCTTTCCCAAAAGGTAATTCCTCTTTTCCTTAACACCCGGTGCTACCAAAACACCATATATCATGCGTAGTTGAAGATAGATATTGGTCGGAATAAGTCTCCATGGCACAGGGAAAGGATGACCAGAAGCAATGGGAGGATATTTCCAGAGCATAGCTCCCCATGGCTGCTTGTGCGGAAACGAGTCGATGAGAGTATTTGGACAGATAACGATATACCTATACCTAGAGTCTTGCACTGCTTCTGCAGCTGGTCGAAAGCCGGTATCCAACACTACAACAGCAGGGTCAACTTGGTAGATCAGCTCCTTGATAGTTTGATACAGGTGCCAGTGCTCCTCGGCAGTCCATGGGGTCAACATTATCTGTACATCGCTCATCAACTTAGTAAGGCCATCAAGGCCAGGAGGAGCAGCAAGCCCATCGATACTGCCATACTCGCGATCGACTGTTTGTAGAATATCTGGAGGCGGTAGCTCGTGCCATTTGATGGGATTATTAGTAGACGAAACGCGTTCAACATCAGGCTTCAGCTTCGCAAACGACGCGTAGTGGATATCCAGCCCTGGATATGTCGAAGATAGGACGTTACTAGTTGCTAGATGCACGTTGGCGAGGCCTTTGGCTCCAGTTGTAACGAAAAGGACAACATTTTTACGGCCGGATATCAATGGTGGCAATGTTGCTGGAGGACGTGTGGCAGACCAAAAGCTCAGGATGGCTATCAGAATAGCTCCCACAACGATTCCTCTTCTTAACATGATGGTTTAGAAGTTGTTCATCTACTATGCTGCAGTGTTAGGGATGCGAGAAGGGTTGAGCAAGTGTCACGAGTTATCTTCATCTCACCTCAACATCGATTTAATTGGCAGAGTGAGAGCGGGGTCATTGATGACACCACAAATTGTAGGATACAATGTAAGGTGTAAAGATAAGCACCAATACGACGAGTCAGAACAATTCTGTGTTAGGTACTTTCCTAATTAATCTTGGGAGCTTGAAGTCTACCTTGCCTAGTGGGGACTATAAGAAATGTCCGCTTCCCTGATTTCTTACTAAAATCTCTATTATTTCTATGATCTACAATAGAATAAGGAAAAATACTACGTAAATAAAATAACCTATGTATAATACTACAGAGCCTATAATATTAATTGATATTTTTAAAATAATTATTAATCCAATGTTTTATTCTATTTATATAAATAGATTATTATATTCTTTAATTTTAATTTGAAACCCTGTTTTGACCTATGTTGGTAATATTGTTAAGAAGAATAAGTAAATGTATATATTGTAGGAATAGCTCTCAGGGGCGATCGTGTTACGGCAATGGGCTATAAGGCAAAGCATCCTAGCATTCTGAAGCAGATCCACGAGGATCTCAAGGAGGTTCCTATTTAGGTTGGTGTCTGGCAGGATGTTTTGGATAGGCAAGCGCTTGGAGAGGCGGGTAGAGAGCTAGACGATAAGAGTATCTTTTGTCACTAGAGAACTTCTTGATCGCAGAACATGTATTACGTCGTGGGTTTGTCTGGCTTATGTTCAATGAGTTATTGTGTTGTGCTTTTAATAGCTATCTAAGCTGCCTGCAGCCTTCTAATCATTCATAGAATGCTGTCTATCATTATCGTGAATTGTATCTCGGAACTCCAGTGCCCCAAATGCATGCATGCTAATTCTTTCATTTCGTATCTCTAATCCTGTAACCAAGTGCTGTAGATAGCATTCGTCATTGTCTACCAAGCATGTTAGTAAAGATGGCTCGACATGAGAGTTTGAACACATACTTCTCTGCTTTGTGCTGAATTATATTGATTAAATGATCTGTCGATCGTCCGTGACTGTGTCTTAAATTGTGTGCGCACGCAACCGCCGGCTATCGTGGCACTTCCGACCGTCAAGAGAAGAGGGACGATCCTTGGGTTCGTTAGTATAGGAGGTCTTGGCGAGGAACGAAAAGCTTACTTTTGACCAGTGGGGACAACTCTTAGTACAGGCTGCATATTGAAGGTTGTGAATTTTGAGATGAGAGTGAATGAGTTGGTGTGTAATTGATGTATGATACTTCTTGAGGTTGTTCTTGTCAATGCTGTGAGAAATGATGAGTAGACTCAGAAGCTTCTCATCAAATATTATATACAACCGCATCACAACCAGTCCCTGAATCTTGCATTACTGATCTCTGGCAATCGCGTGGTGAGACGGCGTTTCGAGGCCGCTTGGTGGTGCCATCGACATTGCCCGGAACCCCTGGTCGGGTGCTTCCGGGACGTGCCTGGACCACGGAATCGGGCCATGAGCAGATGGAGGCTCAAATTATTTGTGGGCTGAACATGAGATGTGCATACAATAATGAAACACGTACTTGAATTATGCAGATTTATGGACTTTTCGTTTCCGATTGCCGATAAGAAGCCGCGTTACGCGTTGGCAAGTGTCGGTCAGATAAGACTCACGATTGCAGATACGAAGAGCTGTATGGTGTTGTTTTTACGAACAGATTTTTATCTCGATGCGTGCTGTCTCAATGGCTAGCAAATACTCAATAAAAAATCTTCTCCTGTAGATATGAGTCTACTCTTAAGAATGTAAACAAGATCTTCAAGCGGAGCTCGCCATGGTAGAATTTTCAAATAGCAAAAAAACCATCTGATCGATCCATTACCGAGCCCACCAGTGCAGGGGTCTAACTGGATCGAATCTGATCCCAGATCGCCATCAGGCAACAGATTCACCGTTCTTTCCGATACTGGCTCTATCGTTGATAAGGCCCGATTCTATTTCAATCTGTGGCAGTTCCCAGTTTGTTGTTTCAATATCTTGTAAGAAGACTATCATATCGTGGTGAACCTCTTTAATAGTGGGGCATCGTTCGAGGTATCGAACTATGTCGAGATATGATAAGTTCATTATCAGTAATCTTTGAAACACCAATGTTTCGTTAATCGATGAACTTTCCCGTGTCTCGATAGCTTCATTCCCATGTTGATATGCAAATCCACAATGAATGTATTTCTTGGTGAAGACTTGGCTTATCACTTCAGCCACGCTACCACGCAATCTCGTGACGTCATGCCAAGTCGTAAAGCTCACGATATTATCAAACCCCTCCCTTGAATCTGGAATCCTTTCATTACATCCCTATTGAAAAGCACAACATCTCATACTCTTACTCTCCCGAAACATCAACATGGCGTGGAAAGACCATCTCAAACGTTTGAAGAATGAATTCGACAACCTAGTCGGTGAGCCTGGGGCTCAAAACCAACAGCACGCTCCCCCACCGCCCCAGGGAAATCCACCGCCTCAGCAGCCCATGGGCGGACAGCAAGGACACGTCTACTGGCAGCCCCAGTTCAGACCTGATGCTCCCGTCACGACCGAGTGGGACGCAAAGATCGGGAACGGTCCAGATGGCTGGGGTAACCAGGAGTTGCAGTTTTACACCGCTGATCATCAGAATGCTTTTTTGTAAGTTGAGCCGCACTCGTAGGCTGTGTTGATCTGACTTTGTTTGAATAGTACTCCAGACGGCAAGCTTGTACTTCGCGCTGTTGCGAATAATGCTTCACAAGACCATGAAAAGAAATACACCTCTGCTCGTCTCGTGAGTCGGCAGACGCTCGCCCGAGATCAGGGAGTTCTCACCGCCTACATCCTCTCACCCTGCGCAACGGGCATCTGGCCAGCGTTCTGGCTTCTCCCCCAAGAGCCATTCTCCTGGCCCACCGACGGCGAAGTAGACATTGCCGAGACCTGGAACGGCGACCTGGAGAACCACTCGTGTCTCCACTGGGGCTTCCACCACGAGCCACACAAGCACCGCGTCCTGGGCACCAAGATCCCCGACATGCAGCACCGCCCGGTGAGATATGATTTCGCCTGGCTCCAGTCGGGTGGGCAGGCTGGTCAAGGGCGGATGGTGTGGTACATTGACGGCAGACCTGTGATGAAGGGGGATATCCCAGAAGGGACGCGGCCGATGCGGGATATGAATATTCTACTGAATGTTGCCATGGGTGGAAATGTCTGCGGTGGCAAGGTGCCTGCGGATGGACACTACGATATGGTCGTGCATAGTCTTTACATGGGGAGTGAGCCTGAAAATGGAGGTTGGCATCGCTTTGAGGCTGATTATGCTGCGGCGCCTCAGGGAAATACCTACTGATGCTCGCATCAAGAACATTTTCGCATAAAGGTCTATACACTATATGCTGCGTTTAGGTGAAAATTGGAAATGGATCAGCTGTAATTATTCCTTATATCGTCTTAACTGCGATAGATAATACGACTCGTGTAAAATTTAAAAAGGCAGTATAATATATAGTGTATATCACCGTTACCTAATCTCAATCGCTAATTCAGATATTTGTTAATGGCGGCGATAAGTCCGCGATAAGATAAGATAACGATAAGATAGGATGAAATAACATGATTGTGTGAACAGGCAGATTTGTTAATTTGGATGTGTTTTTACATGGGACCAAACCAACTCAATCCTCTCTCAACGCCTGGCTCCGCTATGGGCAGTAAATAAACTTGAACTTACACTAATTCCTCAATGTCATATACAATCTCAATCCTTTTTTGGTTTCACCCTATCTCGCTAAGTACATACTGTACATGCAAGTTTTGTCATACCAGTATTTCTCCACGTCTCAGAGCCTACCCTAGAGTAGCAATGCTTTGATTCTATGAGTAATGAAAATTACCCCGCACACTCGGCCCCAGGTTTGATTACGGAGTAAGAGCCAAGAACAAGTTCCACTCCCATTATGCTTCCATGTAAGGGATATCGAAATGAAGGTTTGGACAGTATCATCATCAGCCAATGATCCAACACAAAAGGCCGTTGAGCCATCGCCGTGTACTATTTCACCTCGCGTGCCGTTGCATCCATGACTTTACCACCACCTTATCGCGTAGTAACACAGACCATCGTCCATTTGGATAACACAACCGACACCCAAACAAGAGATAAGCCATCGCCACTCGCTAGCGTTCCGAAACATCGATAACCCCGGGGAAATAAAACCAACGGCCTATCTCCGCGATTCCCCCAATCTGCGGAGAGATAAAGCCCAAACCGCTTTTGGAAGGAACATGCGACAAGCTAAAGAAGCGTCGAAACCGCCGTCTCGGTACGCGCATGGCGACCTCCCCCAGATATGTAGAATTAAAGAGATAAAGTCTCGACCGTCCCTTCTCTCTCTTCTTTGTTCTTTCATTCTGTGAAACGAACGATTGCTCAAAATGGATAAGAATACACGCCCCAGGGCGAACAGCACCGCCAAGCGAGATGACGATATCCACGACTCAACCATCAAACCCATCAACCATGAAATTCCCATCAACGCCTCCGGACACGTCCAGGAACTCCCCCAGAACTTCAACCTCCTCTCCCTAGCCGGCATCGGCCTCGTCGTCGGCACAGTCTGGCCCGCCATCGGCGGCTCCATCCTCGTAGCCATCTTCAACGGCGGCCCCCCAGGCGTGCTGTACGAGTTCATCGTCGTCTCCGTCTTCTACTGGGCCGTCGCCGCGAGCATCGCCGAGCTGGCCAGCGCCATGCCCTCGTCCGCGGGCGTGTACCACTGGGCGTCCGTGACGCCGGGGCCGAAGTGGGGTCGCGTGGTGGGCTTCTTCGCCGGGTGGTGGAATTATCTCGCGTGGTGTCTCGGCTGCGCGAGCATGTCTTCTATTCTGGCGAATACGCTTGTGCAGATGTATGCTTTGAACCATCCTGGGTTTGTGGCTGAGTCGTGGCATGTGTTTATCACGTATATCATCACGACCTGGCTCTCGTGCGCTATTGTTTGCTTGTGGAACAGTGCGATGCCTGGGTTAAACAAGTTTGGTGTTTTCATCGTCCTGGCTGGCTTTATCATTACCGTAATCACATGTGCCGTCATGCCAGGTCGAGGCGGTCGTCCACCGCATGCCAGCTCTGCGTTTGTCTGGAAAGACTGGACCGCCGATATTGGATATCCAAATGGATTCGTCTTTGTCGCCGGTATGCTCAACGGAGCATACAGCGTTGGTTCAGTCCACGCAACGACCCAGATGGCCGAGGAGATTCCCAATCCGAGCCGAAACGTGCCCATCGCTATCCTACTACAGGTCGCCATCGGATTTGTCACAGGACTCTGCTATCTCATTGCCATCATGTACGCCATCAACGACTACGACGCTCTATTCGAGTCTGCGTATCCCATCGCCGAAATCTACCGTCAAGCTACCGGTTCTGCCGCAGGTGCTACGGGGCTATTGTCGCTGGTGATGATCTGCATCGCCTTGACTGTTATTGGTCTGTACATCACCTGCGGTCGAACGCTCTGGGCTCTCGCCCGCGATGGAGCGACTCCTTTCCCAGGGGTGTTTGGCCATGTACACGAATCTCTTGACATGCCCCTCTGGTCTACTCTCATCACAGCTGTGTTAGTGTCTGTACTCGGTGCTATCTACGTCGGCAGTACAACAGCCTTCAACGCATTCGTCGGAACATTCATCCTACTCTGCAGCTGTTCATTCCTAGCATGCATCCTACCCAATCTCCTAAGCGGACGAAAGAACATCGCATACGGACCCTTCCGTATGCATGGATTCGTGGGCTTTGCTGTCAACGGCATCTCATGTGCTTACTTGCTTATTTGGAGTGTTATTTACTGTTTTCCATATGCCTTGCCCACTTCTGCACAGAGCATGAACTACACTTGTGTGATTTGGGGCGGATTAACATTTTTAGTCAGTGTTTGGTGGTTTGCGGGTGCAAGGAAAGGGTACCAGGGCCCTACGACGGCTGGAAGAGTTGTCTCGGGTGTGGCTGTTGGTGCAGCCTGATCTGTTGATTTGATATGCGGTGGCTGGAGCCTGAATTTATCGCCTCATGTATTTATCATTGCTTGTAAAACAACTATCAGTAGTCCAATAAGAGCTCGTGTATTTGTTAATTTCTCAGTCACATGCACAACAATCAAAGCCGCGAGTACATCTGAGGCTGGCGATATGACTGCCTACATGCGCTGTGCGGCACAAAATACCATCGACCTATGAAACCGGCACTGAGCCTAGTCATATCTCAGCTGGTGGCCTTTGCCTATGTACTTGTTATATCTAATCTGACTCATCAAATCAATAGGATGAAAGACCCTCAGACTGCGGACTGGCTGGCCTCAGAGGCAAAGCCCCAGCTGTGCTCAGACCTACATGGAAATCCACAGATGACTGCAACAAATATTACGAGCAGCAAAGCCTTATGCAAAACGCCTGACAGACATTCGATACGATCGAGGCCTCTGCTTCCCGAGCGCTTATCAAAAATTCATGCATTTGAAGGAATGTGACTTGTGCCTATTACTCCATGGGTATGCCCTAACCTGTGCTCAGTCACCATTCAGATGTATGATAAGAGATAAATTACATGGAGTTTCTCGCTTCTGTTGCCAGGTTTCTAAAGCGCTCAAAAACATGGGTGACCAAGATTTGTAAGAACCTGGTTCCACCTCGGCGAGAAAATGCAAGGAACAAGGTTGGGTGACGTGATAGGTATATTGCTACGGCAATCTACCGAAACCGAAGCAGCAGTAAATTCACAACGTTGCGTGCGTGTTCACGACCAGTAGAGAGGACCAAAGAAATACGGAAATTAGGCTCATTTAGCATTCACTACACACCCTCACCCAACGTGTTTAAAGTCTGTGACAAGCTTTCTATGAGGCGCCGCATGAACCTCAAAATGGGGACCTTTGATCAAAAGTCGTGAACCAAGAATGTAGTCTAGAGGTGGTTGGGCATAGACTCAGATACACGTGAAACTCTATTTGCGGGGTGGTGTCGCAGATGGAACAGATAAAGCCGAGATTGATAGGAGGGTGGCGAAGGATCTACAGTCGCGAATAGCCTCATTGTTGGGCATGAGGCGCTTGACGAGTCTTTTTACGCGCCAGCCACAGGTGAGTAATATCACGCAAATGAGTCAGAAAAGCCTCAATTGCAATGCCTCAGCTATTTTTACGATGCTCATTTTGTGTGTGATTAAATCACATCCAAACAATTCATTTTGCCTCGATTTAAGGTATCCAATTGTTAAACGAGCAAATAAACAAGAACAAAAAAGAATCGAGGGTTTAACCCGCGCCTTCGAGAAGGAATTGGCTGTCAACGAATCGGAACCCCCCACATAAACGTTGCAGCCCGACGCCTAAAAAGGTCAAGGTACGTATATATACCTGGCCTCAAAATTAACCGGGGACCCCCCTGGTATTTATCTTGTCGCCCAAGACGCTGATCTTTTACTGGATGCCCTGGCTTTAACGATTGGGCATCCTGAGATGTCGGGAAAAGCCTGTGGGAATTGTCTCTCTCGCACTGCAGAAATATCGGTAACGGGTACGGATTGCACAGGAGACGCCCGCCCTCTTTACAGCGAAGAATTGTTGTACACGTAACTCAAAGAATGGAGTCGTGCAGCTGCGGCCCTTTTCTTTTTGGCCCTTCCGGTCTCCCCCAGCTCCCCTCTCCTGCAGAGGGTCGAGCTTGACTTGGTCTAGTTCTTCAGGCCAAGCTCACGGACGCTCACAGCAGAGACCCTCAGTAGCACCGGGGTGAGAAAGGGAAGATTAATGCCCTTCAACCAGGCCAGTCCACATGGCCGAGTTGCCACTTTGATACTCCAGCATCTTTCCACTTTCTCCCCCCGCTGACTCCGGGGATGTGCATAAGCTCAGCAACGAGCCCAATCGAGGCCTGGTAGCATGTCGGGTCACCGACTAGGGCGTCTTCCCGCTCTCCCGCCCAGGGATGAAGCCTCACGCGTCATGGCAGCACCGAGAGCCATTCACCAGATGGTTATCCTGGTGATATCTTCACCTGAGATTGGTCCAGCTGTCCACCCTGCTGGTCGTGCTGGCAGTGGCACCTGGGACGTGCCCAATGTGGTTGTGGTTGGGTAGTGGATCTATTAGTCTATCTTTTCCGAACCAGGGTCGCTGAACAGGGTTGTCACTCTTGAATTGGGCCTCCTCGGGCTCTCTGGCCCGGCCGGCAGTCCCTTGTCAGTTGTCACTCACTAGAAGCAAGAGCCGAATGATTGAACAAAACCGGCGGGTAGACACATGATTTTCTTTCTTCCTTTTTGAGGTGATCTTCTTCTCTCCTCTTTTTACTTTCTGTAAAAGATTGCACAGCATATCTAATCTAGCGAGGGCCTTATTTTGTTTCTGTCCCCCGTTTACCCTTATCCCATATATGTAGTGAACCTGCGACCTCCCTCCCCCGACCTCACCGCCGCCGATCATAGCACCCACGGACCCTCCCGTAGCATATCAGGACCCCACGACCCACGGAGTACACCACGAGCAAAACTCGTAATCTCAACAACAATAATATCACAGCAACGAGTCTCACCTGAAAGATGAGAAAATCACAGAAGCCCACCAAGCAGGCGGCGCCGCCAACGCGTCGCCCTTTCGATCCACTGTCGCAGTATGAGCAGCAGCGCCAGCAGGAGACTGCCATGGCCCTCACAATCCGGGGTAACCCACCCAGGAACAAGTCCGACGACAGCACAAGAAACACAGGTACCAGCTCTGCCCTGACTCGAAACCGATCCATCTCTCGGCCACCAGCAGTTCGTCGACCAGACAATGATGGTCTCTCAACTGTGTCTGAGGGCAGCTCTGCAGCCTCAGATGTGTCCTCTGTCACCTCCAGCAGTGTCTCATCCGCTTCCACAACACCACCAGTACGATCACAGAACCAACGACAGGACTCTGGTAGAGGTTTGATGTTCCAGCCTCCCACACTCCGCTTCCGCACCAGCCAGGACACCCGATCACCAGAGCCTTCACCAAGAGGCTCTTACATGTCAGACGACAACTATGATGATTCAGCATCAGAACTTGGATGGGGAACCTCATCAAACGTCTCCGTCTCTACCGTCTCTACCAGAGCCACCACTGTCATGAGTGAGAGTGAGGATGACTACTCCAAGACCCCCACACGGTCTCGCTCCATCGTACGTGGGTCCAACCTGAACTCATCCCAACTGTCTCGACCTGTCGAGAAGAGGGTTGAGTTTGAGACTGATCGTCAACTGGAGCGTCAGTCAGACCGTCAGATGGAGCGATCTTCTGGACGTCAAGTTGAGCGTCAACAAGAGCGTACCAAGGAAAGATCACGAAGTCGTGGACGAACCTTTCACATCCACATTGAGCCTACTGCCCAGCAGCCTGCCAACAATGCCACCAATAACACCCAGCAGCTGCAACAGCAACCGCAACAACAGCAACAACTACAGCAGCAGCCTCAGCAACAGCAGCTACAGGCAAACACCCAACAGCAACAGGCTATCACTCAACAACCTGTAAACACACAGGGTGCCGTGGTTCACTCCATGACACAACAGACCACCACACAGTCTACCTACACTCAGCCTGCGGTTCATCAACCCGTCATGGCTCAGCCTATCATCAGCCACCAGCCTGCTGTTGCTCCCCAATCTATGATGCAACCGCTCATGCCAGCCCAGCCTATGATGTTCACACAGCCCATCAGCCCTCCTGCGATGCCAATGATGCAGCAGCCCTTCCAGCAGCCCATGGCCCAGCAACAGCCTATCATCCAACAGCAACAGTCACTGCCTGCTCCACCTCAAAGAATCCCCGAGGAACGCCAGCTTCCTCAGCCTGAGCGACCTCCTTCCCGCCCCAGGGCTCGTTCACGTCATGATTTGGAAGAGACCATGTCTGCTGAGCTTGAGAACCTGCGAAGGGAACTCAAGACTCTCAAGGACAAGCAGAAGGAGACCCATAAGGATCTCAGTGATGCTCGGTACAGACTCTCCAACATGCAGACCGACAAGGATGAGCTCAGAGAGGAGAGGAACAAGGCTCAGGCTACCAGGGATAGGCTTGTTAGCGAGTTTGAAGAACAGACACGGCTGCTGGAGAAGACAAGAATCAGACTTGATGAGCAGCGTCGCACATTGGAGAGATTCGAGAAGGACCGAGACATGTCAATCGACAAGGTCAAGAAGGATCGTGATCAAGTCCTCGACAGATTCAAGTACGAGCGTGATCAGGCCATTGAGACCGTGGCCAAGACCAAGAGAGAGCGCGACCAGGCTGTTGAGCGAGCCCAGAGAGACCTTGACTCTACCATCTCAAAGTCAAAGAAGGAGCGCGATCAAGAGTTGATGAAGCTTCAGCGTGAGCGCGATGATGTGATCCAGCGCATCCAGCGAGAGCGAGACTCGGTCGTCGACAGACTTCATAAGGACCGTGAACAAATAGCTGAGAAAGCCAAGAAGGACCTTGACATCACCATTGCCAAGTCCAAGAAAGAGCGCGACTCTGCCATTGCCAAACTCCAGAAGGAACGCGACTACGCCCTTGAGCAGATGAAGAGGGAGAAGGACCAGATTATCATGCAAGCCAAGAAAGAGCGTGATATGGTCGTATCCAACCTTACCAAGGAGCGAGACGAGCTCATGGAGACTGAGCGCAACTTCAGTAACAGAGTCAAGGAGCTGGAGGACCATCTCTCCAAGCACCGCGAGCTCAAGGCTGCTCTTGAGAGAAACTACGAGGATCTCAAGAAGAACAGCCTAGAGACCACCCAGTCTCACAGCAAGTTCGAGGCCCGGGCTGTCAACCTGCAGAGAGAGCTGGACGACATCAAGTCCATCCGCAAATCTCAGGAGACAGCCTACACCGCTCGCATCGCTACCATGGAGATCTCTCAGGAGTCGATGCAGTTCCGCGTCGAGAACATGGAGAAGGACCTGCTTGACAATGCGAAAGAGCTTGGTGAGCTCACAGTGGATCGGGATCGCTTCAAGGCAGACAGTGAGAACTCCAAGAACCAGGTCGAGTCCCTCAACAAGGACAAGGCTGGTCTTGAAGATGACAAGAGGCACATGCAGAAGCAAATCACTGATCTCACAAGCGACAAATCCAGACTCCAGGAACAGCTAACCGGACTCGAAACCGACAAGAAGAGCCTCGAGGCACAGGTCACGGTGCTCCAGGCCACTATCGACGACCTGAGGAAGGAAAAGGAGACCTGGACCAAGGACACTGAGAGTAAGGAAGCCCGCATCGCTGGTCTAGATTCCGAGAACGGAGAGCTTAAATCGCAGATCGAATCAATCATTAGGGAGAAGGACGCGGTGACCAAGGAGGTGGAGGAGGTGGAGGGCAAGCGGAAGAAGCTCAAGAAGAAGTACGAGCAGCTGCACGGGGACAAGGAGTTGCTGAAGGAGCAGGTCAAGGGGCTGCTGAACGACCAGGACGACCAGACGTCGCAAGTTCTGCGTCTGTCGGTGGAGCTGAAGACGCTGAGGAGCGAGAACTCGAGCCTGAGGTCCTTCTCAGATGCTGGCAGCGTGGTGTCGAGCGGCATATCGACCATCTCTAGCTCAGTGAGCACGGTGGACGACACTGCCAGTGTGGTGTCTGATGCCACTGAGAAGCCTGACCCTGCGGATGTACCTCAGCCTGAGTCTGAGGAGGTGCCCGAGGCGAGTGAGGAGGTTATTGTTGTCGTCGAGGAGAATGGTGAGATTGCAGAGTCTGAGCCTGCGCCTGCACCTGAGGCTGAAGCTGTTGTTGAACCCGAGGCTGTCGTTGAGCCCGAGGCTGAAGCCAAGGCTGAGACCGAGGCCCCTGCTGAGGAGAAGGTTGAAGAGACGGTACCTGAACCCGAAGAGCCTATTGCTGCCCCAGAAGACCTAGCCCCTACTCCAAAGGAACCCAGCCCAGCTCCTGAAGATCCCACTCCCACTCCCGAAGAGCCCGTTGCCACCCCCGAAGATCCAACTCCCGCCCCTGAGGACCCAGCACCGGACCCAGCTCCCGAGTCTGAAGAGCCTGCCCCTCCCACCGTCGAGCAACTCCAAGAGAAAGTCGAGACTATCACCACAGAGCGCGACGACCTCACCTACAAGCTCACCGCCACTGCCGAAAACGCCGGCAAGCTGCAACTCGGCGTTGACGTCCTCTCCGCCGAGCGCGACGAGGTGACGAAAAAGCTCGACACTGTCACCGCAGAGCATGAAGAGGTAACCAAGAAGCTTGCCACCGTCGAGGAAGAAGCCTCCAAGCTGCAAGAGAAAGCCGCCAGTGTCGACACCATCACAGCTGAGCGTGACGACCTCAAGGGTAAACTCACAGCCGCAGAGGAGAAGGCAGCCAAGCTCAAGGAGAAAGTAGCCAGCGTTAAAGAGCTGACTAAAGAGCGCGACGAGCTGAACAAGAAGCTCGAGTCTGCTGAGCGCGAGGCCGTCATCCTGAACCAGCTGCGCAAGGAGAACAACAAGCTCATGAAGCAGCTGGACGAGGCCAAGAAGGCACAAAAGGCAGCCAATGCGGAGATCAACTCGCTGCAGACGCAGATTGCTGCTCTGGTCGCACAGATCAACGGGGGTAATATGACGAGGACGAAGAGTGGTGGTGGAACACGGAAGCCCATCAAGGATCCCAAGCGTCGCGAGGAGTTGGTCATCGTGCGGGATCCTCGGAATGGAAGTGGACTGTAAGTTTGACCGTATCCATTGTTGAAGTGAGGATACTAACATGTCACAGGAGTCATATTATACGCCGACGTAACCTCAACTCTTCGGCGACGAGGTCATCTTCCCAATCTGATGGATCAGCAGATTCATAGATGTATTAACTACCCAATGTCACGATACAATGACGATTACACTCATTTGAAACATTTTCCTTTGTTATTTTCTTTTGTCAACATATTTCTTTGAGTCTTGGACTGTGGGCATAGCAAGCGATGGGGTTCGATGTGTAAAGATTAAGATGAAGACGAAGCGATGCAATATCTGTATGAAGAACGATGCATGGAACAGGCATGAGAAGAGGTTTTGATCTGGGACTTGGTTTCCTTGTGTATGAGGTGTGAGATAATAAATTTGGATATGAAATACATAAATTGGTGGATTGTGATGATCTCTTTGATGGTGTGTTGATGTCTGAAGCTTGTGGTGACACCAGATAGCTCCCCTTTACATAGCGATACCATCACGGCATGGAAATTGATACCTCACTGTGCCGTGTAACCGCCATCAACTGGCAGACACACACCTGTAATCCATCTAGCCTCCTGGCTCGCAAGAAACACAGCAGCGCCCACCAAATCCTTGGGCGTACCAGTTCCATGAAGCGGATGTTTCGCTCTGATAGCATCCGCATCGTGGATCTTGGTCGTATCCGCAAAGATGGCCGTCTCCGTATCTACACAAGTCAGCATGAGAACCGAATCCAAGATTCAGGATACGTACAGCCCGGGCAGATGGCGTTGCAGTGAATGCCATCCCTCGCGTAATCCAGAGCTACGTTGCGAGTCAAATTCGACACGCCGCCCTTCGAAGCAGAGTATGAAGCTGAATTGTTAGTAGACAAGTGAGTTGAGGGAGAGGTGTTCTTACGGATGGTGTATCCTCCCACTTCGCCAAAGATGGACGAGATGTTAATGATCCAGCCTCGATCTCCAGACTCGGACTTTTCCTGCTTGAGCATCTGCGCAATGGTGTACTTGCTTGTCAGAAAGATAGACTTGAGATTAACAGCAATCGTCAAGTCCCACCACTCTTCTGGAGTTTCATGGATTCTACAAGGCTTTTTGCCCGCTTCGATGGAGATACCTGCATTGTTTACCAGTCTGTACCCATTAGCTTCATCCAAGTGAAAGATGGTATGTGACTTACACGTCAATACGACCAAATTGGATCACAGCCCTCGTAACAAGCCTCTCAACAGCATCGGCCTTACTAACATCCGTTTCAACAAAGATGGCCTGACCGCCCTTGGATCTGATCAACTCATCCGTGCTGATGTTGTCCTCCCCGTTGATGTCGGCACGAGCATTCTGGTGGAGATCGGCACAGACGAGGTGTGCTCCTTCGTGGGCGTAGCCCAGTGCTATTGCGCGGCCTAGACCGGAGGAGGAGCCTGTCACGATGCAGACTTTGTTCAATAGTCGGGGTCCGAAGGGAGATGTCATGGTTGGATTTGGGCTTGGAAAATGAAATGTAATGATAGAATCGTGCTGGTATTTATGCTCTGACAATGTGGGATGGACTCACGTTATAAGCCGCGGCTTGGTAATCTTTCAAAGCCCGTGTGCCAAGCTGTAGTGCGCTGTGTGGTGCAATTTCTCTCTGTGGTCGACATGTTGGTGTTGTGCCGTAAAGGGATATCAAGCCGAGTGACGTGTCTAAACCGACGCAACGCTACAGCTACAGCGTATGAGCTTGATGTGGTAACCAAGCCGAGAATTTAGTGTTAATTCTTATTCGCAGGCCCATTCAAACAAGGCCAGTAATATACAATTTAAAAGCGGTTATGGTAATAGGCCTTCTTCTTCTCCCTTTACAATACAAACAGAGCTGCTATTAATAATAAGGATAGTAAGATAGGAAAATACTATAATAGTTTATAAATAGATACTAAATAGAAGTTAAATTTAAATTGTTTTTTTAGTTATTATTAATTCTTTCCTTAAAAGAAATAATAAGAAAGTGGTTTTAATTAGATATTTTTATAAACCTTACTATATTTTAATTACTAGTTAGTATTAAAGCCTTTATTAAAAACCTTAGAGACTTAAAGAAAAATTAAAGAATAGAAAAAGAGGTAGTTTTAATAAATATTATTAGTAAAAAGTATTACTTTTTATTAATATAATAATAAGATAATATCTCTTTTTCTATATAGTTTAATAAGAAATCTTAAATAATATTTATATTTTAAATAAAAGTTAATAAAGCTTAATAAATTTAAAATCTATTTTTATTTAATAAATAAATTTAAAAATAAGTATTTTCTAATTATTATATTAATAAAAAGTAATACTTTTCCTTAATATATTTAAGGTTAAATCTTCCTTTTTTAATATTATATATAATTAGTAATATTAAAATACTAAATAATACTTTTATATTTAAATTAATAGTTTAAAGGGTAAATATCTTAAAATAATATAACTTACTTTAAATATTTATATTATTAATAAATAATTTAATATAAATTAAATAAGAAATGAAATATATTTATCTTAATTTTAATACTATTAAATTAGTCTTAGGTACTTTACTTATTTAAATATAATTATTTTAAAGGTTATTATATATTTAAAAAATCTATATAATAACTAGTAATATTAAGTTTATAATATCTTAATTATTTAATTTATATATTTACCTTTTTTAATACTATTCTCTTCTTAATAGTATTATTTATTATATAATATTAAAAAAGCCTTTTTCTTAATAATAACTTTAGAAAGTAATACTATTTTTAATTTTTAATATTATATTTTTACTTTTTTAGCTTTAATTATAATAAATAATATATATATATACTAAATAGCATTTTAATATTTATATATCTACTTTATATATATATTTACTTAAACTAATATAGTATTAAGTATATAAAAGTAAAAAGAGGTATTTCTAGGTAATTATATTAATAAAAAGTAATACTTTTCCTAACTTTAATTTAAGAAAAACCTTACTTTTTCTTTACCTTTATATTTACTATTACTATATAAGTCCTAACTATTATTCTTATATTAATATCAATAGTGTAAATAAAAGTATTTTCTATTTAGTATATTATTTTACTTATAAATATAAAAAGAGGTATTTCTCTAGTATTAAATTTAAGAAAAGTAATACTTTTATATTATATTTTACTAAGATAGTACTACTCTTTTCGATATATATATATTATATAGGTTATAGAAATAATATATAGTAAAGGAACTAATAGGGCTAAATTAAAATCTATATATAAAGAAAATAAAAGTTAATAGTTAAATTTAATCTAAAAGTGTATATTATATTATTATTTATTATTTAAATATATTACTTTTATAATAATAACAGTCTAGTCTTCTATTCTATTATATAGATTTATTTTAACTTATTACAAGAAAGCTTTACTTATATAAGTTATACAGTAGAGATTAAACAATAAAACAAACATCCAGTAAAATACAGACATTAACCTAATAACTACTACATCTTAAAGCCATCTCTTTATTCTGTAATACTATTAGTTTCTTATAACAATGAGTTATCCCTCTTCAAATTCATAGAATGGTAACGAGGTAGAATCCATGCTTAGCACCTGGGCCATCCAATTGTCCATGTCCCATTGTTCAACCATAAAATCAGATGCGTTCGTTTGCATTGACCCCAGTACTTCTCCTAGAGCTTCTACATCTCGTAACATTTTCTCGTGTCCTTTGCTTGCTAGATTGCCAGCTTTTACTAGGTCGTGTAGAAGATCTTTTGCTGTAGAGTAGGTCATTGGATCAGTGTCCTTCTCGCCAAAACTGCCGGGTATCCTTCTGTTAACCGACATTGCCAAAGAGAATATGGTCAAGCTCGAGAAAAGATGCAAGCTATCCCAGAACCCAAATTTGGCTGCCAAAGTTTGTATTAGAAGAGAAGTGGATTGCATTGATCTTGGTAGCTTACCAATTCTCTCACGTTGCCAAAGACCAATCTCGATAGAAAGGTTTGACCGAGCGGCACGGATACATGTGTCGCTAAGAACTTTGAGGTTGTGGTCCTGGAAAGGCTCACTCAGTTCATCAGAAACGATGTAGGTAATCTGCTTGAGGAAGAAAGGCCGGAGCAAAAGAATGAAACACTACAATAGGCAGGTCAATAAACGTTGTATATCAATGGGTCCCAGCACCTTGGGAATGTTACCTACCTGCTGCCACCGTAAATATAAAGAAGCCAGCGAGCGCATACTTGTCGCTTGTGCCATGGCATTCGGCATACCGACTTCACAATCGAACTTCATTGATGCAGGTAATTCGTGCAACCAATTCTCCAACTTCAACAAGATTGGCCGCACCCGTCGCTCGCCGTCAGGGATGTCATCTCTGATAGACTGCCAAAGGTCAATAAAGATGTCAGCTTCTGCCTTCATAAAAGTAAGTTGGATCGCACGCAGGAAATCTGCTTCGAAGAACTGATCGGCATCTCCTGGCTCAAGCTGTTGATCACTCGGGTAGTCCAATTTTATTTGGCTGGGCTGGAACGATGGTAGTAAGCCCAGCTCACTGCTTGTCATTTTATCCAGACAGTAGGAAGTCCAGCAAACGCGTTTGCGGTGTTCCTTGTCCAATTCGGAGTATGTCTGTGGTGGTGGTTGATGAAGTCCAAGCAGGTTACACATTCTGGCGCTCATGCCAGCATACATGTACGCGGCCTTTTTTCGGTTGAGCGAGTATGAATAAAACGTCTGTTAGACATGTGTCAGTTAGTGTGATATTAGATGAAGCTGGCATTAGACTTGCCGCAAGGTTCAAGATCTCGATATGCTCTAAGCTTGGCTCTTCAAAGGGCAACTTGAGTAGCACCAGTGCCTGCTCAAAGAAGGTGGTACCAGGAGGCGGGGGCGTTGTCGCCGCAGGTTGTTCTGGCTGAAGGTCTTGACCATACGGTTGGTTCGCAGTCGGACCCAGGTGAATGACTGGAGTATGGTAGCTAACAAAAGTCTCTCCAAGCGCGAAGACTATCAGCAGTCGACACAGCCACAGCCGGTCCCTTGATTCAGGCGATCCCGAAGTCTTGTAGGTCATGTCCATTCGCTCCTTGAACCTTCGTCTCAGGAGCCAATGGTAATCATGGCCCATGTATATTTCCATCTCCTCAAGTAGGTGATTTGCATAAGGATATGGCGGTAAGTTGAGAGAGATGGGAGAGTCTACTGCCACGGTTAGCCTTTGACCGTAGCCAGTCAAACACGATGTAATTGACGTACGCGATGTATCGAATTTCAGATTGCAGTAATCATAGCTAGATGAGAGAAGTGAAGATTTTGCGCTGTCGTTAGCAACCCATTGCTCAACTGGAGAAGGATCAGAAGTGGCAGAGAAGGTCGTATCGTGCCTCAGCTGATTGACCTTTGCCAGAAATGCTTCAGCTGCTGAGTTCTCAACTGTATGGTGTACCATCCCATCCTTGCGATGATCTGATGTAATGGTGCCCTTATCTTCAACCACGGCGTGAGAGCTTAGCTGAGGGCTATTTCGGAGCCTTCCCCGGTCAGCCTCTAGACTTCGTAGATAGCTCTCGGGAACAGTAAGCAGCTTATCGCGGCCGGCGTAAACACAGTCAACCTGAGCGGATTGACAGTTTCGACAAGGCCGTTCTGTGGTCAACTATGAGCCATCCACACGGAAAGTAACATTCCTCAAATCAGAGATAAACTGCATACCTCTGGAGCATTTCACTTTTTGCTTGTGGCAACGTTGACAAGCCGTACTCCGTCGCCCGGCGTTTCCGCGAATTTCAGGCAACGTGGTAGATGAGACACTCATGTCGCCGCCTTGGCTAAAACGTCTGCGTTAATTGTTGCTGATTAGCTTGCAGGATTGACCCAGCTCGGCTGAAATAGCACTGATCAATGAAAGGAAAGTGTGTGGCTGGCATCAGGACAGTGAAAATGCTGTGGGGGAGATGACGTTACTTAAGTTATCTCTCAAAGCCCACAGTGGGGTCATCAAATACAGGCTAACTTACAGGCTACAAGGGCACCAAAAGTTAAATTCCACGATAAAAAAGGTATTTTTGCTTCAGCGGAAATATGTAGAAGATATCTCACTGAGTACCTATGCTGATTCATATTGAAAGACTGAGACGTGATTTTCTGATCCATACAGGTTATTCAATAGAAGAAGTATATGATTTAACATTTGGAGCCCTTGTAGCCTGTACTATGTGCAAAGTTGATAGCAAACCTAGGTAAGCCGGATTTGATTTGGACAGCTACAAAACTACCCACGACAGACGCCGTAAATGGACCTCATATTGTCTCAATCCTATCCTATATCAAACTACCAAATCCGGCTGCATTCCGACAAAGACCCTTTGCTCCACAAAATCTTGAGATGTGGCCCTTGTCCTTCTCATGTGGAATACCTGAACAGTGGGCTGCGGTCGCCCATATCTGACAGCTGTTGCTCAGAGTACTTGGCTTGGATTTCCTCAACTGGAATTGCAGCCCTTTTCTTGTTAATTCCCTTCAGGATGAAGTAGTAAATGACAGGCCAGATAATGCCGAAAACAACAAGCATCCCAAGAGAGATGCCAAACCCGACCGGATAGGTAGGGGATTGGCCAGCGATGTAGATGTTAGAGCCCACAATCTAGAAATCAGAAAGTCAGTCAAGGAAGCAGGAATTCGTTTTCAAGAAAAGACCACTTACCCCTCCGAGTTGAGAAAACGAGATCATGGCTCCGATGCCCACGGCACGCTTCATTGAACCGGCACAGTTGAGTGCAATCCAAGCTGTCACAGCAGGCGAAATAGGATACAGGCCAGCTGTAGTGAGAAACACTCCGAACACTAAAGAAAACTGTGTAAGTTGACGTGACAAACTCAAAATCACTAGGGTGTTTGTAACTCACATGTCACTCCAGGTAAGTTAGGGTACCGGGAGGTGACCATCATAATGATAAAACCGCTATCAAATCATGTCAATATTTACCCAAGCTGAGAAGATACTTGTACTTTGTTGAGAACTTACCAAGCAGCTAAACTGTTGGGCAAGACGACTGAAAGCATCCGCTGCTTGTAACGGTCTGCTGCCCAGCCCGAGAAGACAGTAACGATACACGCAAAGATGTAAGGCGGAGCTGTCATGACCTGGGCAGTAGCAGCCGTATAACCCAGGTTCTTGATACTTTTTTGGGCATTAGCTGTTATAGTTCCTTTTGGGAGTCCTGCATTATCACTCACATGGTGGGTAGAACGAACGAATAGCCATAGACAGTAACACAAAGAGTGAACTCCATTAAGGCTCTGCGAGGGTCATTAGTAACTCTGCACTTATCATGGGTAGTACCAAAACTCACACCGCGTAGATGTGAAATGACTGCAAATATGTTAGTCCCAGTTGGGTAGAGCATATTAGGTGTAGGCGAAGGGAACATACCGTGAAGGCATCCTTCACAGCCTGCCATGAAAATTCTTCCTTTTCGGCGATACCGGTTTCTCCACCTGCTGCATACCGGTTGCGTAAAATCAGGAATTTCTTCTCTTCAGGAGTGAGCCACTTTGTAATCTTGGCCGGTGTGTCGTTGAGGATCCAGAAAGCGGCCAGTGCGAGAAGCAGCGAGAAGAGACCTGTGGAGCGGAAGGTTAGCATATGGCTTGGTACTTATAGCCATGCTTGTATCTACCTTCAATGCAGTAGATGAAACGCCAACCACGAAATCCCCAAGTGTAGTCCAGGTGCCCAATACCGTAAGCCAAGATTCCAGAGAAAGCACCGGCACTGTAGAACTTGTGAGTATTCTGACTCAGTTTGTGATGTTGTCAACTTACGCGGATGCACCACAGTAGAAGATTGTCATTCGTGAGTGAATCTCAGCAGGCGAATACCAATATGTCAAGATGAACGAACATCCGGGAAAGATGCCTGTAGTTTCGTTAGCTAGGTCACAATGTGCGTGAGTAACTTGTATATAGTCTCATACCCGCTTCGAAAAATCCTAGTACTGTTTTTGATCTGTCAGCTGAGCACTGTCATGGGTGTGAAAAGCGTGATGTACTTACACACTCGAAATGCTGTCCACCCAGCTCTATTGTTTTGCATCGATGAGAATATCAGGACCAATGACACGGTTGCCAGGAGTATAGGTAGCCAGATCTACATTCAAAGATTGTGTTAGGCAATGTGTCTTCCGATCGGCGGGCAGTCGCACCTTGGGGCCGAATCGTTTCAGTGCGATGTTCGAAGGTCTAGTAGGCCTCTTATCAGTATATGCACTCACTTCCGTGAAGTATTGGGTTTCAAACTTACACACCACCGGCCGCGTAGGTGATAAAAAACACAGAGAGAGCAGTATTCCAATCCTGTCCCGTCATGCCCATATCTGGAATCGCACCAAATAATTTGGCATTGCCTGCGCATGTGTCAGAATGTTTGTACTGTGGAGCACATTATCTTTGGGAGAGCAGCGGTAACATACCAACATTAGTACGATCGACGTAGGACATCAAATAGATTATGATCAACTGCGGCAGAACATGCCAACTATTTTCATGGTTAGTATGGTTGCCGTGTAGGTTTCAGCCGAAGGACTGAGTATTGAACTTCAACTTACTCGACCTTCCGGACAAGCTTTTGTAGACGGTGACCGGTGAACCCCCGGCATAAATCTAGATATTCGTCGTATTCGGTATGCCCACGAACTGATCCTTTGCCGACATCCATCGCAGTATCATGTATGTCTTTCACAGGAAGTTTGTCGTCGGTGATAGAAGCCATTGCAGAAGAGCGAGAGTCGATGTTCAACTTCTTGCTTGATCAGGGTGGAAGGAATCAATGATGAACATTAAATTGAATGACAAGCCAGCGGTTCGCACCTGATATATACTCGACAAGCTCAATGTCACTATCGTCCAATCCCAGTCTGACAGAGGAACGCTTTCAGCCCACTTATCTTGGCTCATCTGGGGAAACCCCGTATGTGCGGGGGATGCAAAGCCTGACATGCTTATCGGCGGAGTCGGGAAACTCAAGCGAGTCATCTTAGACTCGGTGGTATTTGCCTAGTGCAAGGCTTATCCTCTTTGTGGCTATGTGATTGGCCACTCAGCTATCAAGAAGAATCCTCTACGGTGACATTTCCCGAGAAGCCCAGACCTCACGGCGTTGTTTATCAGCAGCCAGTCGGACATATTTACCGCCCTGTGTGATAGAATGATTCTGGGACGTATTAATTCTAAAAAGTTGGCTGATACGCTCGAGCCACGGTCTTCATATCATTATTCTGGATCCATCGGGCCTGTATGTGGAGTACATGCAGCATCCCTTGTCGTCGATATGTCCTCAGAAGAAGATCCCCGAGTATAAAGTGGCCCGGAAACCATTTCTCCCCGTTTGTGTTCATGACAACTACAACACAAAGTACCATTACTGACATTATCAAATCACCCCTACCCTGGCCTTACGATTATCTGAACACGAAATCTTTTACGTTCAATCAACATGGGCAAGATTACTATTGTTGGTGCCGGGTAAGCTCTACTGAGAAACACCAGAAACATCATAACTAATTGGTATGTAGCATTGTTGGTATGGCTGTTGCCAGCATGCTATCGAGAGCTCATGAGGTGACTATTGTTGCTCGAAACCTCCCTGGTGATGCTGAAAGCCTGGATTGGGCGAGCCCTTGGGCTGGTGCCGTCTTTCTTGGCCTGGATGGTTCAACACCCAGGGAACAGAAGATGCAACGCGACTCGTTTGCTTATCTTTGGTCACTGGCAATCACAGACCCAGAGTCTAGTGTTAGGGTAAGTTACCTCCTCTCACAGCACAAGTTTCAAGCGCATTGACTTACTCTATCATAGAGAATTGAAATGCAAGACCTCCAAGACAGCACGACCCTCGATAAGATTTGGTATCGAGATCTAATGCCTGAGGTAACCAAAACTAAGAGTATGACATCATGACCCGACTCGTTGACGCTTGGCTAGTTCCGCGTGTTGTCACAAGAAGAGCTTCCCAAGGGTGTGGTCGTAGGAATGAGTTGTGAGTCTGATCCTTACCACCTCCCTCGCTTATATATCTGACCGCATTCTGTCTAGACAAGACTGTAGTTTTGACCCCTGCGACTTTTCTTCCATGGATGGCAAAGAGACTCGAGAACAGTGGAGTTACCTTTCTTCGACAATCGGTTAATTCGCTGGCGGATCTTAAAGGTCTTGGCCATGATGTCCTGGTCAACGCAACGGGATGTGGTTCGAAGTTTCTCCGCGACGTTGCCGATCCGAACATTCAGGAAGTCCGCGGGCAGACGATTCTCGTAAAGACCAACTACAACAAGATTATGATGAGGCACGGTAAAGATTATACATATGTCATTCCACGCCTAGACGGCACAGCAATTCTTGGAGGGATCAAACAAGTCGACAACACGTGAGTTATGATGTGTCTCCTTTAATCACATCGGTACCCCATGCTTACACCTACTAGGGACCCGGTCGTGGATGTAGATCTGAGGAATGATGTAAGTATTACCCTCAAATCATGCTCACGATATGTGCTTTAATATTTATAGATCCTGCGTCGTGTGCATGAGAATGCTCCTGAGGTTTTTAAAGGCCAGAAGGTAGAGAATGTGGAGATCATCCGCGATAACGTTGGAATCCGCCCCGCAAGAACAGGTGGTGTGCGTGTTGAGAAGGAGGTCACTGGTGGCCAAAATATCGTCCATGCATACGGTAGGTCCATTATTAATCTATTTCCCACTTAATTGTGTGGCATCCACTGACAAATACAGGCACTGGTGGTGGAGGCTATGTTTTTAGCTTTGGTGTTGCTCGGGCTGCTGGTACATTGGTCAACGACTATCTGTTCACACCGCCAGCAAAGTTATAAGAGCTAGATTTGCAGAGATACATAGTTTCATTTTTTAACTACTACAACAGTAATATAACTGGCCTACATTAGTTTCTCTATGTGAAGATATTAGTTAAACTACAATTAATGTTTACTTCTACTGGCTAATTAATGTTAAAGAAAATATATTTATTTCACTATTATATATTAAGCATATACCTCTTTTTCTATATAATTTAATAATAGTATTAAAATAGTACTTAAAGCTTAAATAAAAACTACTTTAGTCTTAAAGTCTTGAAGTTTATTATTGTTTAATACATAAAAGTAAAAAGAGGTATTTTCTACTTAGAATTTTAATAAAAAGTGGTTCTTTTCTCTAATTTTTAATAGGATAAATCTTACTTTTTTAACTTTATTTATAATAAATAATACTTAAATACTAAATAGTATTTTAGTAATTGTTTTATTATTCTACAAATAGTTAAATTTAGTCTTATATACTATTTAACATATAGAAAAAGTGAAGATATTTTTTAATATTTATCTACTAAAAGGTAACATCTTTTCTTAAGTTTTAAAAAAGAATATCTCTAGCCCTAGTAGTCTTTATAGTAGTTTTTAAACTATTAAACAATAGAATTATAGTAGGTATAGTAAGTAATCTTATTGAATCTAAGATATTATTGCTTTTTAGTTTATATAGCGACCTTTATTATTAATATATAAATACTAAAGAAATAATTATATTTAACTTAATGTCTAATTAAATATCTTTAAGTAAGAATAGCTATTCTTTACTTGTTATATTAGTAAAAAGTCATACTTTTCTTTAATATTTAAAGCTAAATGTCTCACTTTTTTAATATCTTATTTTATAGAAAATAAAGAAATATTATATAATACTTATATATATACTTAAATACTAAGTTTATAGTTAAATTCTATTTTTATTCTATTACATAATTATTTAAAATAAAAAGAGGTATTTCCTTAATATTAAATTGATAAAAAGTAATACTTTTATTCTAACTTATAGTAAAGTAATATTACTTTTTTAATACCTATATATTAAAAAAGGAATATATATAAATAGTATGTATTATAACTAATAGACCTAGTAATAGAATTAATAGGACTAAGTTTGAGTTTCAAGTTAACTTTAATATTCTCTTTTTAATAGTTTCAAGGAGAAAGCCTTTTTTATATTTTATAAATAGTTCCTTAAAGAATTCTCTTCCTTTTTTATTAATTCTAACTATAGTAGTCTCCAAGCCTTATTAATTTAACTTATATAACTAGGTCTTCTAGCTATAGCAAGGACTTCTATAGGCAGTACAGCCCTATTCCTATTAAATACGTGATTAGCGTAACTAATAAGAGCAACCTCCTCTGTCTCCCTATAGAAATCTTCGTTTAGTAGACTCCTTGTTAACTTGGGGAAATATTAAGAACGAATGTAAAAAATAAAATAAGAGTAATAAGAAAAGAAAGTAATATATATAGTTATAGGTATTTAAGGAATATTTCTCTAATTGCTAATTAAATATATTAATAGTATTTAATAAATTAAAGTAAAAAGAGGTATTTTACTAAAATAAAATTAATAAAAAGTAATACTTTTCTTAATATATATATTAAATAAGTATTTCTTTTACTTTATAGAATTAGTTATAATAATAAAATAATAATTAAAGGCTATCTAGAGTATATATATAAATATCTCTTTATAATATAATTTAAAAAGTAAAAAGAAGTAATTACTTTATATTATATTTATAAAAAGTAATACTTTTTCTTATTAATAAAGTAAGAATATATATTTTTCTTAATATATTATTACTTATAACTATGTTAGTACAGTTAAGTATTATTAATTATACTTTAATATTACTAATTATTTATTTATATAAAAAGAATTAAAAAATGAGTATTAAATCTTATGTAAATTAAAACTATAATAACTTTATAAAAGTAAAGTTACTTAGTATAGTATTTATATAAAGTCTAATATTACCTTTTAAAAATAGATCTAACTATTTTAATTAAATCTATAAAAATATTAATAATAAAGGTTTTTAAATAAATTAGAAAATTATAGTATTTTAAATCTAATAAAGTTACTTACCATATTAACTATAACTATATTTCTTAATAGACTTAATCTAGTATAGATTAATAAGAAAAGTAAAGTTACTTAATAAATTATATATAAGTAGAAAAAGAGGTATATTATATATACTTTATCTATAAAAAGTAATACTTATTTCTTATAATCCTTAAAGAGAATAAAACCTTTTCTATAAAACTTAATAATAATTTTGAAATAATACTTATAACCTATTTTAAACTTAAATATATTATAAGCTTAAGTTTTCTCTTTTTATATAATATATAAAAAGAAAAAGAGTCTTTTTATTACTATTTATTTTATAAAAAATAATACTTTTCCTTTATATTTTATTAGACTTTCCTTACTTTTTTTATTATATATATAATATATAACAACGTACTTAATAAGCAAGCATTATAGATAAGTAAGTATTATACTTTTCCCTTTTATATTATTACTTTTATCTAATTAATTAATTTTTAATTAGAAATTATATTATAACCTTTAATTAAAGTTAAAACCCTTTTTATACTTTAGGCCCTTTAAAATACCTTAAAACTAACTATTTAATATACTATAATATTATATAAGATCTCTAAGTATAGATTATATTATTACTATAATAGCATTTAATTATAATACAATTTTATTCTAAACTTATAGGAACTAACTAATCTAAAGGAATAAATAATAGTTTAATTTATCCTTAACCTAGATTTATAAGGATTTCCCTTATAATTACGTTTTATAAAAGAAATAGCTAATTCTCTATTTATAGACCGTAATATATTACCTATCGGTAAGTATTAGGCTTATAACTTTATAAAATAATAATTAAAGTTAAAAATATATTTATTTTATAAATATAACTATTAAAAAGCTAAATATAAAGATCTAATTATTATTTATAATTAGTTTAGGCTTATATAAAATATAATCGTAAAGTATAATATCTAATTAAATAATATCTAGAACTTTAATAAGACTGGCTTTATAATAGGTATTATATAGTCTGGGATAGTTATTATAGGGTTAGAAAGGTAAGGAAGATTTAAATTAGTATAGCCTAGAAATTAAAAATAGATTACTATAATTTAGGTAATTAATATAGAAGGTTAATAAATTATACTATTTATTATTAATATAGGCCGATATTACTTTATATATTAATATTAAGAATATAACCTTTTAGGTAATTAGGTTATTATAATAAATTAAAATAGGTAGATAAATAATAAACTCGGTCTTAAGTAGCTAAAGTATTTTAATTAGGCTATAAGTAACTAATTAACTAGTTTTTATTATCTTTTTATTCTTAATAGTTATAAAAGTTATTATTTTATTAAATTTAAGAAATATTATAAGGTTAATAATATTATTACGTTTTATATACCTATTTATATATCTTACTTACTCTAGCTACTTAATATTAAGTACTTTAGGCTATTTAAAAAGGTATATAATTAAGAAATAAAGTATTTAATTAAATACTTTATAATATATATTATTAAGACCGAGTTCCTTCCTATCTTTTATATTACTTTTTAAGTTATTATTATAAAAGGTAATATCTAAGGAGGTTTTAAAGGTATTAAACTTATTTCTTTTAATTTAAAAAATATTATCTTAAAGCTTAATATATAATTATAGACTTTAATACCTTTTAAGGAGGTTTTTAAACCTTTAACTTCCTAGACTTTAAGGACCTTAATAATAATAATTAAGATTAAATCTTAATTTAAATATCTTAATAGGTAAATTAAATAATATTATAGTAGCTCCTTAAAGTTAATTATTAAAGCTTTTAAGTTTTTTTTAAAGGGAGTTAAGGTAATTATATATAAGGTTACCTTATTAATAGTTAAAAATAAAGAACTTTAAGAAATAAATAAGATATTAAGCCGGCACTAAAAGGTAAAAAAAATTAAAATATAGAATAGAGGGGCTATAAATATATAAGATATATTATAAGTAATTAATTAGATAGATATTAATATATAGGTAGTGGCCGAATTATTAAAAAGTAGTAGTTAAGGAAGGTCGGTTAGACTAGGTATTTAGCGTTATAATATATACGGTAAGACTAGGTATAATATAAAGACCTATTAGGTAGTTCTAAAGTTATTTAGGTAAGAGTATAGTAAGTAATTTTAATTAATTAAATAGATTATAGTAATCTTATTATATAGATAATAAAGGATATAGGAAAAAGTATAATACTTACTTATCTATAATGCTTGCTTATTAAGTACGTTATTCTAATTTAAATTTATCTTATTAAAATATTTATAAATTATAAAACTATATAGTATTATATTTCTTATTAAATAGACTTTTAAAAGAGCTTTTATTCTAATTTATAATTAATATAAAGTAAGATTCTTTTATTTAGCTTTTATTTTAAAAATATAGTACTATCTCCTTATTTATTTATTAAAAAAGGAATTTATAAAGATACCGTTTAAAATTAATATAGATAGTAAAGGAATTAATTAGGTTATATCTTAGCCTGAAAGTAGCTATAGTATCTTCCTTGTAATAGACTTAAGGAAGAAGGCCTCTTTGTATCTTATAAACACCTTCTTAAAGAACTATTCCTCTTTTCCATGAATTCTAATTGCAGTAGTCTCCGAGACTTGTTGGTTTGACTCGTATTAACAGGTCTTTCAGTTACAGTGGGGACTTCTGTAGGCAGCATGGCCCCATTCCCACCGGATGCCCAATTATCATAGCTATCAGAGAGGGTCTAATTTCCGTACTCGACCTGACCATGTTCAACCTTTCTGTTGGTTCTGCGTCTGTTTTTATATAACAGCCTCTGCTATCTCTCTTCTATTGAAATTCCTGTTCGTTTTACCTCAATCGAACATTACAATGGCCATACAATCGCAACAGAACGAGAGCAACCTCCTCCATCTCCCCACAGAAATTCTCGTCAAGGTCGTTCAAGAACTGCGATTTATAACTGTCCCACACCACATCGAGTACCCGTACGTACACAAATACATAAAATATCCGTTTCGTGCTGACCGCATTCTCCAGAGAGATTAAGATCGAGAAAGAGACGTATCAGAACCTAAAGTCCTTGAGGTTGGCACACAGAACATTCGCAGAGTGCCATGACTTCAAGGGTGTCCTATTCAACAATATTGTACTGGAGCCTACGCGTGCAGCACTCAGGAGTCTGCAGCACGGAGACTTCTCGCGCATAGCCCCTCATGTGCGTTCAGTTACATTCACGACACCACCCAGTTGGGCGCTTCCATACAAAGCGTACGAGAAGATCCTCTGCAGTTCGCAGGAATCGTCTGTTCTTTTTTGGCCTAAAGGATTAAAGTCTGCATATGATGCATATATGAGCGATGCTAGAGATGCGGAGACATTGCTCCAGGATCCAGAGGGTGAGCTTAAGCAAGCATGGACAGAAATTCTCAAGGCTTTGGGAGACCGCCTTGAAAAGGTAAAGCTTCTCAGCTATGATTGTGAGAATATTCGCCAGGTCAAGTATCTTGACGTGCTCAGCAAGGGGGACATCGACATACCGTGGAAGCTTCCTCGACACGACCACAAAGAAGACGAATGGGCAGCAATTGGGCTCCGCGACGAGGACTCTGAGCCCACTGTCGAATATCATTGTAAGCACGCTACAGCCGTCACTGGCGATAAGCTCATTGCCATGGTCTTCACATGCTTGTCAGCATCGGGTGTTGCTATCCCTAATCTCAACATCCAGTTATTCATGACGGGCAACGTCGAGTGCAAGGATATCCCCGGCTGGGAGAAGCTCGACTTCACCAAGCTCAAGATACTCCACATCTCCCCTGAGATCCCCTCTGGCGAGAACGGATTGGTTGAGCGACACCTATGGGCTATGCCGGACTCGCATGCCGAAAAGATGAAGATCAAGGCAGGTTTATTCTGCCACGATCTGCTGGACAAATGTCACTCCAGCATACAGCATTTCGCTTATGGAATTGATCATGTTGGGAAGGGTGTTCTCTGCTGGCCTTTGCGACAGCCCAAGCATGAATATCCAGCGTTTACGCATTTGACACAAAGGGGAAACACTTTCCCACAAGGCCTTGGATACTGGGTTTTCATCTGAGGAGTCTCCGCCATCTCGAACTCTCTGGTGATGTGTCTCGAGGACACTCCAATTTCGACTGGCGCTTTGTATTCAGCGCCATACGTGAACACCCTAACGTATCAGGTGAAAGTCCGAAGGGTCTTAAAGTCGATATTAGAAAACTCGACATGGATATCAGTCTTTCGTATAGCGGTATAGTTTGCAGAGAGACTAGTGTCGCTACGAAGAGACATAAGCGCGATATGAGTCTGGAGCACTGGAACGATGTGAACTGTGGTATTGAAGCTCATTTTTATGGTGCGATGAAACTCAGCGAGAACACTGCGCTGCTTTACCGGATGGGTCGATGGGAACCAGAGGATGACCGGGAGGAGGATGGGGAAGAGGAGGATTCTAAGAGCGGGATAGAAGAATAGACTCTCGAATTTCATTGATAGCTGAGTACAAGCTGCTAAGCCGGCAGTGTTATCCTACACATAACTAACTGTCTTGCTAATCTAAGCAATCTCTCTTAAGTAAACTCGTCCTAATTTACACAAGTATATATACTAACTATTATAAACAAGTTCTTAGCTTTTAAAAGTTCTTATTTCTTAATATAATAAAGTAAAAAGAGTTACTTTACTTACTGTTTATTAATAAAAAGTAACACTTTTTTCTTATTAATTAATAATAATATATAACTTTTTTATTTAAAAATATAGTTTATATTTTATACTTTATAGTTACTAAATTTATAATTTAAATAAAGTTAATACTATTTTATTTATATATTCTTTAATATACTAACGGAAAAAGAGTTATTTTACTTGCTATTTATTTCTAAAAAGTAATACTTTTTTTAATATATTTACTTTCAAAATATTACTTTTTCTATATTTATATATATAATTTAAAATATAAATTATATATCTTATGGAAAGGGTTTATTTATTAACTTTAAAAGTAAAATAGAGATTTAAATTTTATTACTAGCTAAATATAAGTAACTAAGCCAGTAGAGTTGTTTTGTATATAATTAATTATACTATTAATTTAAGTATTAATTATTAAGATAACTTATCTAGATTTAAATAGGTATAAATGCTTATTTTTATTAATAGGTTTAAGACTTATAATATACTTAAATTATATATTATTAATTCTAGTTTCTTTTTATATATAAATAGGAAAAGAGGTATCTATCTTACTTTTTCTTTAGAAAAAGTAATACCTTTTTCTTATTTATTACTTTAAATATATTTCTTTTTTTTATAAAATAAAAGATTAAGATATAAAAATATATATTAATAAAATCATAATTAAAGTAAGTTTAGAAACTATTTATATTAATATTAATTAATATATAAGTATAAAAAGAGATATTAATCTTAATATTATTTAATAAAAAGTAATACTTTTTTTTAAATATTTTATTTTAAATATCTTTCTTTTTTCTTTTTAAAAAGAAATTTAATCTTATTATATAAATTAATAAGCTTAAAAGTTATAGAAATTAAAAAACTATTAACTTTAAAATGTTTTACTTATTAATATTAAAAGAGGTATTTACTTTATTTTAATTTAATAAAAAGTAATACTTTTTTAAAATATTTTATTTATAAAGTATTTCTTTTTCTATATAAAACAAGGTATATATTAATACTATATTTTATAAAAAGGCTTTATCTTTAAGTCAATTACTATTAGTATTAAAAACTATTTAGTTATTACTAAGTTTGATATTATTATTAATTTTATTTCTTTAGTACCTAAAGACTACTATTAATATTTCTAACCTATAAATTAGTAGAATTGAATATTACTTATCTTATAAAATCCTCCTCCTTAGGCCACTCATCTATTAACTTCGCCCTATGAAACCTCGTCGTCCATCCCAAATCCCTCTCAATATCACCCAACAGCTCCAGCACGGCATCCTGCTCACTCTTTTCATAAAATACCTGTCCCGCCACAAACAACGCCTGCACCGAATTCGCCCTCACGGGGTCCGATGCATCCGCCAGACTAACACCGCATATCTCCTTCGCGTAGCGATGCACATCTTGTTGAATCTGCCTGTAAGACTTTAGACGCGCTGAGACCGTTGAGCGAACGAAGGTTGACTCCTGTGGCTGGTTTACAAGTAGGAGAATCATCGCCATGTGGTAGTTCTGTATCGTGGCGGCACATATGGGTAGTTCGTACCAGATCTGCTGGAAGATGTTGAAGCATGACCTTTCAGTTTCTGGGTAAGGCGTCCTTGCGTAGGGAGTAAATGTTGCAGGGAGACTATCGTGCCACTTCTTAAACTCTGACATCAGCATTCTCCAGCGCTCGAGGAGCCGCTCTTGAGTTACCCCGATGGTAGGACGTTGTCCGATTGGCAGGGCATAGTCAGTTGGATTTATGGCATCCCCCGACGTCAGATGATTAGAGAGCTTGCCTATCAGCCAGGTCAATTCATTGCTTTTGGTGTCCTCTTCGATATCAGCTGAAGTGCGAATGTCCGCTGAGCAGAGCGGACTGAAGGGCATTAGAGTTCCGTCTTCGGTTGTAGCAAGGCCCGCGTTTTGCCAGAGGCGGACATCTTTTAGATCAAGCCGAGTCTGCGTTTCGCTTATAACTGAAAATAAACGTCAATAACTCGACAAGAGGTCGTAGGGAGAGTTCATACATGCACAGAGTAGATCCTGACGCGCCAAACTCCACAAAATAGGACCTTGAATGGCCGTTCTCGGAATCACTATCGGCGTAGCAGGATGCAAGGTATCCTCTGCGGGTTGAAACAGCGGTAAAGCACTCAAATGTGCCCTCCAAGCCGTCCCAGGCGCATTCATCAACTCGTAGATACAAAGAATCGCAACAGCCGCCAGCATATCCTCTTTCTCACCCAAGTCATTCTCATAGGTTTGCAAGTCAACTGCGTTCTTGAGATGGCGGATGGCTTCGTTGTAGTGCTTTGCCGATTCGTAAAACCAATCGTAATCTCGCCATCGGGAGTGGTTTGTTTGGGATTTGTTGAGGCTGTGTAGGTGTTTTGCAGAGATGGCGCAAATGGCTGATTTGAGGAGGGGGCTGGTTGCTGCTTTGACGGGGACTTTGCCTGAGAAATAGCAGCCGGTGTCGAATATATCGAACCTGCATTTGTTAGCCTTGAGGGCTTGAGAGGTGTGTACGACTTACCAGGTACCGGGACCTTCTTTATAATGCTTTATAAGGTGAAGCGTTGCCAATCTTGAAGTGACGGGATCATCAACAGGTTCGGGAGAATGTTCTGGTTCGATATTTGTAGTGTATGTTTCTTCTTCGACGATGAAAGAAGTCTGTTCTTCAGGTGCCCATAAGTCCTCTGAATGTGTCAGGAGTTGAGGAGTTTCTTCTACGTCTTCGTCATCAACTATCGTGTCGTGTTGTTCCGCGTAAGGATCCTCAATATAAACAAACTGAACTAAAGACACATATCAGCATAATGGCACTCAGATGGACCAAGAACGTACGATCATCTGGAACCTCCAGCCACACATGGTCGTCTTCAAAAACATCATGGACATCAATTGAGTCAAAACTCTCATCCCGACCCCGTTTCTTCGTCGCCCCAGAATAAGTCTGAAAAGGTCGAAAAACAGATCTTTTAGAGTAGCTGCATGACCTCGAACTCTTGGCACACGCTCCACAAACCGGTTTTGCTTCGTCGCATTTCAGTTTTCTGCTTCTGCACGTTTGACTGTTGGTCGTCAGTCCGTTGTCATGACGTGCAAGATGAGGGAATTCTTACCAACCTGAGAACGAGCGCATGGTTTTCCGAGGGATGAGAAATTGGATTTTGGGTGATTGAGCCGAGGGGTTGTATATGGCTAAGAGTCCAGATGCGTGAGGTTTGAACAGTGGAGGCTTTCGGTGGTTGATGGGTAGAATTTGTCAGGCGTGGAAGTCAAGCCGAGTCAGAGATCGGCGGATGAAATGGGGTATCAAGCCGAGACCGCAACGTGGGGGGTTACACTGGCTGATGCGACTACGGCTACGGCTCCGCAGGGTGAGGCCGGTACAAGACAGTTGTTGATGGACGTGTTCAAAAGAAACTATTTATAGAGTCCATTATTCTTCTATTAATTCATGAACTAACTACATACATTGTGGTTACTAGAATACACACCGTACCCAAACGTTCATCATGTCGTCTCAATCAACCAAATCATTCTCCGTCTCTGGCAAAACAGCCATAATCACCGGCGCCGGCTCAGGTACAATAAAACCCAATGGTTCCAAAACGTGCTAACTCGTATCCAGGAATCAACTTCGAATTTGCGCAGATTCTCCTCTCCAAGAATTGCAACGTTGTTTTCGCAGACCTGGCATTGCGACCAGAAGCCCAAGCGCTGGTATCTCAATACACCAAGCCCGGCTCAACACCCCGTGCAGTTTTCGTACAAACAGACGTCACGTCATGGAAAGCACTAGCAAACGCTTTCAAAACCACCGTGCAAGAATTCGGCGACTTCGACATCGTCTGTCCCGGCGCAGGCGTCTACGAGCCCAACTGGTCTAGCTTTTGGCACCCCCCAGGCTCTCCCGAAAGCAAAGACGATGTTGAAGCTGATCACTACAAGCTACTCGATATCAATCTCACACATCCCATCAGAGCTACCCAAATGGCCATTTCCCACTGGATGCACGGTAGTTCCGTTAAAGCCTCTGCGGGGAATCCAAAGCGTCTGATCCACATCTCATCTATAGCCGCACAACTCCCCGTCCTGCGGGCCCCCATGTACGGCGCGAGTAAATTCGGCATCACGGGTTTTGTCCGGTGCCTGACAGATCTTGAGACAGTAGGCATCCGCGTCAACGCTATTGCGCCGGGTGTAGTCCGCACGCCTCTTTGGACAGAACATCCAGAGAAGTTGAAGAATGTGGACGAGACACAGGATGCGTGGGTTACTCCGCTAGAATGTGCCGAGGCAATGCTGCAGTGTGTGGAGAACGATGACTACGTTGGAGGGACGATTGTTGAGGTTGGGAAGGGAAATACTCGCCGGGTGCAGGTATTTAATGATCCTGGTCCTGATATGCTGGATCGGACCAAGGGATTTACTACGAGTAATTACGAAGAGGGGAACCAGAGCGTTTGGGAGGGCCTTGGGGACAGGTCTATCTGGGGGTCTCACTTGTGAACGTTTAGTCGGCCATACGGTTCTATTCGACTTTTACTAAATACTGCCTCATCGGATCATATGCAGTTTGTCAAGAGAATCATTGACCCCGCACTTGCGTACTTGAATTGTAGTTGTGATATCTCTCATGCATGAGTCCTTTCCCCAGATCAAAAACGGATTACCAACTTGGGTAACCGGACATAGTCAAGTGATCCCTGTGTATGAGTTGTTCCCCGGTTCCCCTCTTGTTGACGTCTGCCACCTCAGCACTGGTTGCACTAAGATGCAGTACAGCTGCAAGCCCCATGCAAACACGACCAATCAAGTGTTCATTATTTCTGGATTCCCCAGCTGATCAGAAGCGGCCAACAGAGTACAGCATGGAGCGAATTTCTTTGAAAATTGAAGAAGCTATGCGTCCTTGAGTGCCAAAGCTGAGACGCCTGGGCTCGGCTTGTTTTCCCCAAGATGAATATGCAGGATTTCAGCGCTACCACCACACTTCGCCTTGATTGCCGTTTTGGGATATGATGAAGTCAGCGCAACGACCACAAATATATGATTTTGGAGGCATTGGATGCAGAGTGTGAAGAGTAGGCAATGGAAATATCTAGCAGAAGACCATATATAAATGACCACCTTGGAAAGGTCACATAGCGGTACAGTTGAATTTGTTACGAACAATCAACATCATCCCCCACGAAGACCATGGCCCAAACAGACATCCTCATCATCGGCGCCGGTATGTCAGGAATTGGCCTTGGCATCCAAATAATTCGCAAATACGGTACCAGGAACTTTGAAATCATTGAAAGAGACGCTGGAATCGCCGGTACATGGCGCGTCAACAGTTATCCCGGCTGCGGCTGCGATGCAAGTGATAATCTCACCGAAAATGAATAACTACTGACAAACTGCTAAACAGGTTCCCTCCCATTTCTACTCGTATTCATTCGCGCCCAATCCGAACTGGTCTGAGAAATATGCTATGCAGCCCGAGATCCAAGCTTACTTTGACCACGTTGCGAAGAAGTATGGTATCGAGAGGCAGGTGACTTTCAACTCTGTTGTGGAGTCTGCGTGCTGGGATGAAGCTTCCGGGACGTGGGAAGTGGATATTCGGAATCTCAAGACGTTTCAAGTCATAAGCCGTCGCTCAAGAGTGCTCATATCTGCTGTTGGCGCTCTCTCTATTCCCAAAAGCTGTGACATCCCTGGTGCCGTGGACTTCCAAGGGGCTATGTTCCACACCGCCAGATGGGACCATTCTTTCAACTGGAGAGGCAAAGAAGTTGTGGTTATAGGTAAGTTCACCGTAGGGATAAAATGTAGCCACTTACAAAGAACAGGAAACGGGTGCAGCGCAACTCAAGTCCTTCCTGTCATCAGCGATGGAAACGGCGCAGTCAAGAAAGTTACTCAATTCGCCAGACAAGCGCATTGGCTTGCTGAACGTCCTAACCCAACGTACTCGACCTCTTTCAAATGGGTGATGAGATACGTCCCGTTTGCTATGCGTGTGTATCGCGCATGGCTGTATTGTCAGAAAGAGCGTGACTTTGCGGGCTTCAAAATCGCCCAAGGACTCGTCACGCGAAATCGATGGGCGGAGGAAACAATGGAGTATATACGAAAGACTGCGCCAGAGAAATACCTTGACTTCCTTATCCCCAAGACCGAGGTTGGCTGTAAGCGAAGAGTTAACGACACGGACTATCTCGCCTGCTTGCACCGCGATAATGTTGAGTTAGTGTATAATGACCCGATTGAGAAGATTGAAAAGAACGGTGTAAGAACTGTTTCAGGGAGGTTCATACATGCCGATGCAATTGTTCTTGCGCACGGCTTCGAGACTCAGAAGCCTCTGTTTCCGATGAAGATATACGGAAAAGGCAGAGTCACGATTAATGAGCACGTAAGTATTCCTTTTCTCTCACCGTATCACGTTACTGATCAATCAGTGGGATCAAGTCAGCGAAGGAGCAGCATCGTCTTATTTCGGAACATGTCTCTCGCAGTTCCCAAACCTGTTCATCATGATGGGTCCAAACACACTAAGCGGTCATCTCTCGGTGATCTACACAACCGAGTGCCAAATCAATTTCACCCTTAGAGTTCTGCAGCCGATACTAAAATGCCAAGCCGACATTGTAGAGGTCACTGCCGAAGCTGAGAAGAGAGACATCAATAGAGTTCAGGAAAAGGCCAGAGAGCTTGTCTGGGCTACGGGGTGCACGTCGTGGTTTATCGATGAGAAGACGGGCAGAAACACAATCATGTTCCCGGACTGGCAATACAAGTTCTGGCTGCGGAGTGTGTTTGTGTCATGGGGTGATTTTGAGTATCGCAATGTCAGCACTAAAGGTCCCGTCAGCAGTTGGCGGAACAAACTACCGCTACTTGCCGTAGCTGGCCTTTTAGGGTTTGTCTCATTTTACCTCAGATACTGAGGTCATAGTTAAATTTGACAAAGGTCGGCAGCAGCACCATGATCAAATATGAGAGATATATGCTACAATGAAAATGTTTATAGATGATTATCCAATCTTGAATTACTGAAATATGCTAAAATACTAATTAACGTATCCAAATCCCATAAACTCATAAATGCTAAAACATGATATCCAAATTTTAAGTTTACACCACACCTAGACCAGACGGATTACATCATAGCCATCTACAATCGGGGTATCGTCTTCTTCGCACAGCAAGAAGCAGGCTCCTCCTTCTTGGCCCCAAAGGCATCCTTGGAAGCAGCATCAACACACAGAGCTGACGGGGGAACCCACAGACCAGGGTTCTTTTGGTAGAAATTTGACGCGCGGAGCATCACGCTCACGGGCTCGGCAGGCATCACAGGGAAATCCTCTGTGCGGGGGAAATGTGTCAGGCCGAATTGGATGTAGCACACGATGTCGGTGTTCTCGATGGACTCGTCGCGTGCGACCCAGTCGAGGATGGTGCTGTTGTGCGGGTGGTTCTCGGCGCCTGTGGACTGGCACACGTAGTCGCCAGCGGGGAAGATCTCGTAGTCCTTGTAGGGCGTGACCCAGAGACTCTTGCGGGCGAAGGCGGCGCGGTTGTAGACGACGCTGCCAGGCTTGGCCATGAGCAGCGGGCAGTTGTTGTTGAGGATCTTGTAGGCGACGGGCTTCTTGGCAGACGGGTTGATGCTGTTGGGGTTGGTGATGGCCCATGAGCGGCTTGTCTCGTGGCAGTAATTCGTCGCGGCCTCCTTTGATGTGCGCAGCGGGGTGTTCTTGGAGTAGAAGCCGTTACCGTAGGGGTTCTCGGCGGATCCGACCTCTGCTTCTGAGGGGAGAGCGTCGCTCTGGACGATGGAGTTGTTGGGGCCGTCGACCTCGGGGTCCACGCGAAGGGAGAAGATGTGCTGGTGGTTGTGCGCGTTGATCGTGGGCGCGACTTCCGTGCCGTAGGGAGCGGCTGTCTCGGAGGGGTGCATGCAGTAGGTGTTGAGCATGCCGGTCAGCTTGATCTCCAGCTTGTAGGTTCCGTCGAGGGTGAAGGTGTGGTAGAAGCCGTACTCGTAGTTGGCAGCGGTGATGATTTGCGAGATGATCAGCTTGCGATCACGGGCGGAGATGACGCTGCCGTCGCGGTAGTCGGTGTGCTTGTACAGAAGACCGTTGTCCTCCTCGTGGATACAGATGGCGTTCTTGATGATAGCAGGGAGACCCTCGCCGGTAGCCATGACGGCGTCCATGTAGTGAATGGCACCCTTGCAGTCACATCCCAGCTTGAGCGAGTTGGTCATCAGACCAGTTCCATACTCACCAACGTCAAATGCGTGCTTCCTGTGGTGAGGAGGATCAGGGTTGCCGTAAGGAACAACCATCTCGACAACGCTGATACGGTTGAAGAGTGTGCGCTCACGGTGCTCGTGGTGGTCCTCCATGCGGACATCGGAGAGGACAATACCCTCGCGGTAGTTGAAGCCAATGTGCATCTTGTAGCCCGCCCACGAGATCTCGTTGCCGTTCATGCGGAAAGAAACGCCCTGGGGCTGGGTGATGTTGATGGGCTTGAGCGTGCCGTCGATGTAGTTCTCGCCGATAAACTCAGGCATGTAGTTATGCGAGGTGAGAGGAACCTTTGTTCGCTCGCCATTGACATAGCGGATATCGACGGTGAGAACCTCCTCCTTCTCTGTGTCCACGACAACGGAAAAGTCCAGTGGGTGCGCATACTGGTTGTCGTTAGGCGAGGCGCGGTAATACACCAGACCCTGCTGAAGACGTCGCTCGTAGCCCCAGCGCTCATCAACACCAATGGCCCAAGCATCGATGTAGATCTTGGACATGTCATCGAGGCCAAGATCCTTACAGGCCTGAATGACACGGGGATCCGCAAGCGCAACACGCTCGCAAACGTCGAGGTCCTCAAGGGTAAGTGTGGGACCGACCTCAGCGACGGGCTTCCACAGCTCAACCTTGCCCTCTGAGATGTTGGCGACGGCCTCAGAGACCTCGCCGGTGCCCTTCTCAATGACGATGGCAAAAGCGCGACGCGCAGGACGGGGGCCGGTGCGGGCGCGGAAGGCGGCGTATTCGGCCTTGAGAGGCTCACGGAGGGTGAGACAGTTAAATTTCAGAGTCTTGGGCTTTGCATGTCCGCGGATGATGCTGACAGCAGCGCGAATCTCATCAATTGATAGGGGATCTGGAAGTTGTAAGCCAAGGCCAATTGAACGTGGAGGTTGGGAAACATACCGAGAGGATGCAAATGCTGAGAATTTGACAGATCGGGAGCAGCGTCATGTGGCTCGTCCCGAAGGATGGTGTAACCGGCGACGGTCTGTGTATCTTCAATCATGATGTGCGATGTGTGAGACTATTCCATACGAGTATATGCAAAGGTAAGTGGTCCGAGGAGCACGAGTAGATTATTAAGGCGTTGGAATGGTGGAATTTGGCTTGGAGAGTCGAGAAGAAGATATCACCAAGTTGAGGATGACAGCTTCTTATAGACAGTGACCAAGACAAGAATAAAGAAGAAACGACGACAGAACGAACGGATCCCACCGCCCGCTCCGTGACCGCTCCGCTCGCTCATTCTCCACCCTGTGTCTCTCCCAGTCCGGGGCGGGAGTCGAGTCCGCTGCGGGTAAGACAAAAGCAAATCTCGGCCAAGATCTAGCTTGGAGAATTAAAACAGGGTCATTCTCTGTGTCTGCAACCGAATAATGCAATCCTTCTGACACAAGCAGTATTTCACCCTGTGCCAAGGCCCTCTCCGGCAGTTACAAGCGCCCAGCAGCTATCCCAACAGAGGCATAACATTGCTGTACTGATCATAAAGGCCCCGCTAATTGCCTTGTCCCGCTGTTATCTAGCAGATTAGGATGGTTCCGCTGGGAGGCTCCGTGGTCACTTGACAGTTGACACATTATTACGAGACGACCGTGAAACATCCAATCATAAGCCTTCACTTTCCCCTCTTTGGGCGTCTAGCCGTTTCCAGTATCTGATTCTCAGCTTTGCTCCCCTGCTCATCCGCTAAACCCTTCTGAGGTAACGTTTTGCAGCTTTTAGCAACGGCCGATAAGGAGTTTACGGCCGAGATAACCGAAGCAAAAGGTGATGGCATGGATGTGATGCCACCCTCGCCACGAGCTGAACTTCTCTCACTCTCACCTTGAATCCTTGAACGTCTCCCGGCCCGGTCGACGTTATACCCCGTGGGGAAAGTCCTCTCAACACCTTCAAACCATCACGTAATAGAATGCCATCGCCCTCGTCTGATGCAATTCGCATCGCTCTTCCCCATGGGGTACCGTGGCTCCCCCGCAAACAAGCCCTGGAATGCATCGCCAAACCTCTAATTGTATGCGTCTCTGCCACAATAACTATACAGCGCTGTGTTCACTGCCAATTCCACCTTTTCACGCGTGCGTCGGCGCTGTAACGGGCCCAAAAAACACAGTCTAGACACCATGACTGGGGTCAGAGATAACGGTGCAGGAACCTTATCTCTGCCCCCAGCTAAACCTAATGCGCCCTTTTTTGCTGCGTACCAGGTTTTTCCACTGCCCCCTCTGTCTTCAGTGGCCTGCAATCAGTGTACAGTAATGAGCTACTACTTCGGTGGACTGCTATCACATCCCCCCGAGATTGGCATGTCACACGATTCCAACACCAGTAGATACCTAATCTCAATCCAGTCTCCGTGTGCTTCGTAACGTATGTCGTTGGTCCGTTCATATCCCGGCAAACTGGATATAAGCACCTTGCCAGCGTTCTTTATTTTCACTCTCTTCCCTCCTTATTCACGTTCTACATCTTGCATCCCCATCTGAGTCACAAAACGACTCCCCTCAAGGCTGCCCGTCGCCTTTTTCCCTCCCCCATCTACGTCATATTCCACCAACCCCAATAAACACCTCGACTCGGTTCATTGTCAGACGCGGCCATGAACAAAGACGTCGAGACCAATTCCGCGCTCAAGCGCACAGATACCACCAACGAGGCCATCCGCGATGCGCAAGACCTCGCAGAATTCGGTCATGACCAGACCATGACGCGCAAGTTCAGCATGTGGAGTATGCTTGCGCTCGCCTTCTCCGTGCTGGGCACCTGGTCGACCTTTGCCCAGGGCATAGACAGCGGCTTGACCAGCGGAGGCCCCATCGCCATCCTCTGGGGCCTGTGCCTCGTCTTCGTCTGCAATGTGTGCGTTGCTGTGTCGCTGGGCGAGATGTGCAGCAGTATGCCCACGGCGCTGGGCCAGGCTTACTGGATCTCGCGACTGTGGCCAACGCCGTCGGGACGCTTCTTTTCCTACCTTTGTGCGTGGATTAACATGACCGGCTGGATTACGTTGTCAGCGTCGCAAATTGCATTCATGACTGAGTTCATGCTAAAGATGAAGATTCTCTTCAAGCCCGACTGGACGGGTGCGGATAAAGGCTGGGTTTTATTCCTCGTCTATCTTGGTGTAACTACGGCCATGACGCTCTTCAACGTGGTGGCTTGCCGAAAGGATATCGTCCTCCCATGGTTTAACAACTTTGTGGGCGTGTCCTTCGCCAGTCTCTTCTTCATCATCAGCCTGGCCATGCTCATCTCGGTCGGCACAAAGGACAACCTATCTTTCCAGCCTGCCAGTTTCGTCTTTGGAAAGTGGATTAACCAGACCGGCTGGCCCGATGGTGTTACGTGGTTCATGGGCCTTGTCCAGGCCGCCTACGGTCTCACAGCATTCGACGCCGCCATCCATCTTGTTGAAGAAATTCCCTCACCACGAAAGAACATCCCCCGTGTCATATGGCTCTCGGTAGTCATCGGAGCCATCACCGGTTTCATCTTCATGGTGGTCTGTCTCTTCTGCATTGTGGACATGGAAATTGTCACCAACCCATCTACCGGCCTTGCCTTTATGGATCTTCTCAAGCAGACCGTCGGCCTGCAAGGCGGAACTGTCCTTCTGACGCTCTTCATCGTGAACGGAGTTGGTCAGGGTATTGGAATCGTAACGACCGCTTCGCGATTGACTTGGGGTTTTGCTCGAGATGGTGGAATTCCGTTTAGTGCCTACTTTGCGCACGTCGACAGCAAGTGGAAGGTTCCGGTTCGTGCATTGTGGCTTCAAGGTGGAGTAATGGCTCTGATTGGAGTCCTCTACACCTTTGCCTCAACTGTTCTGGAAGCTATTCTCAGTGTCAGCACCATCGCACTCACAGTTTCTTACGGAATGCCGATCCTGACACTCCTCCTCGTCGGCCGAGATAAGCTCCCACCAGGAGAATTTTCACTTGGACGATTTGGTTCCGTCATCAACTGGATCGGAGTCGTTTACTGCGCCATCACCACCGTTTTCTTCTTCTTCCCCGGCGCGCCCAACCCAGCTGTCGCAGACATGAACTACGCCATTGCGGTATTCGGCATCATGCTTGTCGTCACGCTTGTCTTCTGGGTCGTCAAGGGCCGCATCACCTATCTCGAGACCGAGGAGGCGCAGGGAAACATCATCTACGCGCAACGAGCGGAACGAGCCAATTACGTTGACGTCGATGTTAGTGCCAAGCGGGATACGGCAGCCCCAAGGGAAGTTTCGGAGGGAGGGCCTAGTACTTGACTTTGATTTGGTGTCGAGAGGCAAATACCGGGGTCGTTTTGGTGTGTAGCAAATCCATGTAATTTAGATAGTAGTTGAGGTTTAGGTGAATAAAGATGGTACCTGCGCGTTGCGAGGATCGATCTATTTAAACACACTGTACCTTTTGTCCTATCTTGCTACCACATTTGGAATAGCTTGATTTGAGTGACAGATTTTCCCGTTGTAGGTATTGTTTTGCATCTGGTAAAAGGAATCATACGAGGTGGAATTTTACCGTTCGAGGTTACTTTCGTTTATGCACCCATGGTCCAACGGTCATACGGTAAAACAAGCGGTAGATATCAAAAGTATACTGAAGTTGCATCTTGCAATTCTCTGCCCGAATTCTGCTTAACATGCGGCACGATTGCAAAATGACTGCCCGATACGGTAGCGAGGTGCATTTCGATATCGATCCAGGGTATCCCCCGTCCGTACCCACACCAGCCGGATGACAGGATAGATACACTATGCCGAAACGGGGTAATACTTTTCAGCTTTCCATCTGGGGAAACAGGGGTGGTCTCCACTGATAAAGGCGCTGAGATGGTGACACAAGACACGTCAAGTGACGTTTCGACGGTATAGATATACAAGGATAGCTAGCTTGTCCTCCTCAGCTGATTTTCCCCAGAATCTCTTCGCAGAATCGAATCATCCACATCCACAATGAGTCTAGCCGTTCAACTGACTGCCCCCAATGGGCGCACCTACAAGCAGCCCACCGGTCTGTTCATAAACAACGAATGGGTCAAGTCCTCAGATGGCGGCAAGATAACTTCAATAAACCCATCGTAAGTCCTCACCAGAAATCATAATAAGTATCATGATTAACAAACCAGAAATGAGCAGGAAATCACATCCGTCTACGCCGGCACCTCCCAAGACGTGGACAAAGCCGTCCGCGCAGCCCGCCGCGCCCTCCGAACACCCGCCTGGAGGGATCTCTCAGCAACCGACCGCGGAAAGCTCCTCAACCGGCTAGCTCAGCTCGTCGAGGAACACAAAGAGGTTCTGGCCACGATTGAGACCTGGGATAATGGCAAGCCATACTCTGTCTCTCTCAACGATGACCTGACTGAGGTTGCCGAGACCCTGAGGTACTACAGCGGGTTTGCCGATAAGGTGTTTGGACAGGTCATTGAGACGACTGGCGATAAGTTTGGGTATACTATCCGTGAACCTGTTGGTGTTTGCGGCCAGATCATCCCGTAAGTGCACCCTCCATACGCCATTCGGGATATGGTATTAACGAGCAATAGATGGAATTTCCCCCTCGCTATGGCAGCTTGGAAGCTCGGTCCTGCTCTAGCATGCGGTAACACCGTAATCCTCAAGCCCGCCGAGCAAACACCTCTCTCAATCCTCTATCTAGCCAACCTCGTCGTCGAAGCAGGCTTCCCACCTGGAGTCGTCAACATCGTCAACGGCCTCGGAACAGTTGCTGGCGCAGCTTTGGCGTCACACATGGACGTCGACAAGATTGCCTTCACGGGCTCTACGCCCACAGCCCGGCAGATCATGAAGATGGCCAGCAACAACCTGAAAAACATCACATTAGAAACCGGCGGCAAGAGTCCTCTTATCGTGTTTGATGATGCTGATGTTGATCTGGCTGCTTACTGGGCCCATGCCGGTATCATGTACAACCAGGGTCAAATATGCACTGCAACAAGTCGCATTCTCGTCCAAGAAGGCATCTACGACAAGTTCATGGCAGCTTTCAAAGCGCAAGTGAAGAAAATCTCAAAGGTCGGCGATCCCTTCGACGAGAGCACCTTCCAGGGTCCTCAAGTCACCAAGGCCCAGTACGACCGAATCCTATCTTATGTCGAGGTCGGCAAGAAAGAAGGCGCCAAGCTAGAACTCGGCGGCCAGCCCTTTAAGAACGTAGGCGATGGCAAAGGCTACTTTGTCGAACCTACTGTTTTCACTGGAGTGTCGCCCAAGATGCGGGTCTTCCAGGAAGAAGTATTTGGCCCGTTCGTTGTAGTGAGCAAGTTCAGTGCCGAAGAAGATGCCATTGCTTTAGCCAACGATAGCGAGTTTGGCCTCGGTAGTGCTCTGTTTACCACGAACTTGACTAGAGCGCATCAGGTTGCGAAGAAGATTGAGGCGGGTATGGTGTGGATTAACTCCAGCAATGACAGTGACTGGCGAATTCCGTTTGGTGGTGTCAAGCAGAGTGGTATTGGACGGGAGTTGGGCGAGGCTGGTCTTGCGGCTTATTCTAATATCAAGGCTGTGCATGTGAATATTGCAGCAAAGTTGTAAGGATGTAATTGAGATAGAAATGAATAGCCTTGAGTACACTTTCTAAATAATGAGAGCTTTGCTTATGATCCAACCTTCTTGAGTACCTCTTCTGGGACACCTTGGCGTATACTCCAGATGGTGTCATGATCCGTCCCTTTGACGGTATTAGTCTTGTAGGTCACCATCTCTTTGGCAATGTCACCCTCCCAGCAACTGTTCAACCACTGCGGTCCCTGACCCCCAGGTGACCCAATCAGAGAATCTTGTTCAGCATAAAACACCTCCACAGTTAATTGCTTGCCAGCTCCCTTCAGCGCTTCTACCAACTTTGGCATCAAATCGTCATAATCAAGCCAATCACCCCATCCAGATACTCCCTCAACCTTCTGCATGAGAAACTGCAACTCATCCGAGAATCCCTTGATACTCTCCGAATGTACAAAGCCGAAGAAATGAGACTCCAAAGACTCCTCAAGCGCAGCATCCGCGTTGATCTCTCCCACCTCCCCAGGTCCAGACCGAGCTGAACTTCTGAAGATCTGGCTAATCCCAGCCGACGGTGCAAAGACTGGGCCCAAGGTACCGTTTACGAAACCAATGACCTTGTCTGCTTGTGCCATGATCGTATCTGGTAATGCTTGAATGAGAGACGTGGACCATAGGTGAGAGCGTGATGGTAAGATCCAGGGTGCTCCTATGGCGATGTATGAGCGCTCTGGGTGGAGAATCTCCGGGTGATGGAGTAACATGTCGAGCGCATAGATCGTTCCTCCGCTGTGACAAGCTATAGATACGTGCTTTATTTCTAGATGCCGAAGAAGGGCCAAGGTCATTTCTGGAAGGTCAGTATCTTAAATTGGATTGAGGACATCCACCTACTTCGACATAAAACTGCGCGTTTGTCCAACTTGACCGCGTCCGTACCCCCAAAACCTGGCCGATCCATTACAACAATACGAACACGGTATTTCTTAGCCAAGTCGTCCTTCGCGCAGTGAAAGATACGCGATGCGCACAGTGGCGCAAAGAAAAGCAAGACGTGCTCATCTTGAGGGCTCGTCGGGTTGTGATAGCCGTAGTCGGCGTATTTCACCTGAAGACTCCCGTGGCCGTCGGAAGGATCCGCTGGGAGTTGGAATGTTTGGGAAAAGCGAGGATCTTTGAGAAACGTCTCTGGGTTTTTGGCTTCTGGTGTGTTCGGCATGGTGGACAGAGCGAGGGTTTTGGATGATGGCTAAGTGAGAGATCTTGGTCCCTTGTGAAAGACGGAACATTTGAGGGATTACCAGGGGACGAAAATCATGTCACGTGTCCCATGAGCTGTTGTTATCACTTTTTATCCAGTTGGTTTCGTGATAGGCTCAATTGCAATTAAAGATCTGACATGGATACTTGAGATACAGTATCCACCGAATGACGACGCTCTATTAGCGGCGCGTTTCATGTGTTGAAGATGTCTTATTACTGGGTTACTTATTATTAGCTCAGCGTTATCGCGCTATCAACACATCTATAGGTGAATTAAGTTACTGTCATGATAGGTGTTGATGAAATGTATCTCTTCTGGAAATGGCGGGTAGTTCATTGGCAACTTGAGGTATTTTAGCTGAAATGGTTTCATTAAAGTAACATTTTGTATGCTCATTCAATTGTCGTCATGACAGGGGTTATGTGACTATGAGCAAAGCTGGTATCAGCGACGGAGGAGCTAACTAACGGCCAAATTGGTTATCTTTTTATCGTCGTCATTGTACCTCTGCAGTTATACTGGAATTGAAGTGGCGAAAATCGTACGGATCCGATAAAGTGACATTAAAGTTGCAACTTGCCCCTCGCGTTGTCTCAGACAGGTACGTGAAAGCGTTGTGCCAATGTGATGGTCTTGGATCCCTTCCGATAGGTCCTCATATCACTTGCCAATAATCCCATAACGCGAGACATCTCACAAGCTATCAGGTAAGGTGACAGCATCTGTTGCGTCCAGACTTCCCAATCAGACATATACAAGTGATTCAAATCTGCAACGCGGTATGACAAGGCACTGTTTCGTATACTTGATGTATGCGCAATTCTCCAAATGTCTGCGGAATACGACAAATTTCTTTGAAACCTTGTGCGTCACGTCATGTGCTACGTACGTTGTTCTCTGACATAAACCAAACCGATGAATAAGCCCCTGAATGGGAACCCTAAGCTGCCCCTTGTCACATCCAGTTTTACGCACGGCGGAACGATGTCTCTGGTAACATGTGCTTTGCGAATTGCCAAGAATTCAGAGAACTTGTGGTTACCAGCAGTGGCTAACTGTCAGAGAGACGGCATAATAATAGCTGTAGCCCCAAATTTACTATCTACCTATTTCTCAATTCGAAATCTTCATATTTTACTCTTAGGTCACCAATAGTTCAAGAGTAGCACGCACAATCTTTTATCATGGCACAAGCTGAACAGCTCCCAACTCTCCTACGAACCCATGAGATCGCCCTAACCCCATGGAAGACTCTGTATAAGTGGCTTCCACCTTTCTCTGACGACAAAGACTGGTGGTGGAAGACTCTCGGGCAACAACTCACCACTCTTCTTACTCAGGCCAATTATGACCTGAACGAGCAGTATGAAGCTCTACTGTTCTTGTACCGATGGGTTATCCCCGGTATGGGACCCAGACCACGGTCAACTGTGGCATCGTGGAAAAGCTTCATGACTGATGACCATTCTCCTATTGAGTACAGCTGGAAGTGGAGCTTTGGTAGCAAGAAGCCTGAAATTCGATATGCCATCGAGCCCATTAGCCCCCTTGCTAGAAGTGTGCAAGATCCATTCAACCAAGCTGCTACACAGACTCTTATGCACAATCTTGCCAAATTCATGCCTGAACTTGATTTGACTTGGTACGATCATTTCTGGCGTGAGCTTCTGGGCCCTGGAACACCAGCCGCGTCTACTGCTGGGGGTACGGGAGGCACTTCAACCATGTTCGTTGCCTTAGAGATGCTTCACGATCATTTATCTGTCAAAGTTTACTTTATACCGGTTGAGACACCTGAGCTCAGTGCCTGGCACCAGGTAAACCGAGCTATCAGAAACTTAGAATATCAAAGTCTTGAGTCTTTGAACCACATGGAATCATATCTCTCAAATGACGAGGACGGGTGCCAGCTCCGCCCTTTCATGCTGGCAATAGACTGCGTCAAACCAGAAGCTTCACGGCTAAAGATATACGCGAGGTCGACTCAGACATCCTTCCGCTTCATTCGAAACGTCATGACTGTTGGTGGACTACGGACCGGCTTGGACCAGTCTTTAGACAATTTCTACGATTTGTGGAAACGCACTCTTGGCCTCGACCCTGATTCTTCACCTGAATCAGAGTTACTAGCAGTGAATCACCCAACATCTGGGGCTGTGTTTCACTTTGACGTTGGCCCCAAATCGCCCATTCCTGACGTTAAGGCGTATATCCCTGTTCGTCATTATGCTAGAAATGATCTGGAAGCTGCACTTGGACTTCTTGGGTTTCTCGAAGACCATGGGCGTGGAAATCACTCGCAGTCGTATCTCCGCGCATTGCATGCTTTGGCGCCGTCAGGAAGTCTTGGCCAAACTATTGGACTGCAAACTTACTTTGCAGTTGCGTGTCAGGGTGATGTTTTATCTCTGACCTCATACCTCAACCCTCAGTTCTATGCAGCTTTTGAGGAATCATGAAATCAGGTACATCGTAAAACAAAATCCCAGTTATAAAAAGGGTATCATAGCTTCGTGGTAATATCATAACATTTTCCGTTTACTCTGGCTTCCTTACCCAAATGGGCCCTAAGAGAATGAATGAACAGTATTTGCATTATTCGATCTTCTGACTAAACTTGGTGTTATGCACATTAAAAAAAAACTGTTCTCTGAACTACAAAACACTCTTGATCTTAAGAAGCAGAATTATTTATTGCGATATCGCCTAGACTGGGCTTGCCATTCACACAACAGAAAAAGGGGAAATACAAATAAACCACGCACTTATCTTAAAGCCAACATTCTGTTGACCTTGGTATGTTGCGCCCTTTATGACGAATAATCTGTTCTTACTGCAGCTCGGTGCTTAGTTGACGATGCTCTGAACCAATCAAGTGGCCTGATTTATGTTAATGGTTGCTAAGCGCGCGCTTTTGCTTTGTCCTGTTTGATTGCAGCCTAAATGCCTTAGCATACCTGCCCCACCTTCTTATAGCCCGTTGACAAATCATTGCCCACTTTCTAGACTCAACACGACCCTCCACCGACTGTAAAGAAGCCACAACATTGCGACTTAGATCTGGACTAAATACTAAACACGATGGGAGTTCTTGCCGTGTTGATCTATGTTCTGAAAGGTTTTATCGCAGTCCCTAGATCTCAAATACCTTCTCTAACGGAATCCTCAGGAGCTACCCTGCGCAGGTGCGTGTCAATGCGTCGAATTGAGGAAGATTGGGAATATCTCGAAGTATTCGCCCGTATTCTCGTCGGACTCCAGATCGCTACCTGTAAGTAGATTGAATGTTGAGAAAAACAATTTCCCTCCCAAATTTGCTGACCCAGTTAAAGCCGACATATCGACGGCCTTGGAACAGGGTATCGAATTAGAGTGGGAAGATGTGTACGATGTTGTGAACCCCTTCGGTGACCGCCGTGGAGGCAAGGTCAACAGCGTTTGGACTTTCGATCTTCACAAGGGTCGAATTTTTCTTACAAAGTCGGTTCATATTTATTCAGCCCCTCTCGAACTAAGCCTCCAACGACCACTCACCTGGGACGACTTTCATCCGCTGGACCCTGAAAACCAAACAGCTGAGAGTCTTCAGTCTCTTCCAGAACCCTACTGGGATCTCAAAATGGACGTCGCGCCTCGGCAAAGAGCGTTTCTCGGTCGGATACTCGCTGACTTTGGCCACACCTGGCGGCACATTCTTCGGAGACAGATGAACAGCACCACGTTCATGAAGTTGGCATACGCTGCCGTCTGGATTTCAAACATGCGATTTGACATCCATGAAAGGCTGGGATTCGAACACGTAGGTGGCAAACGCCGAGAAATGTATGTTTGGGTAACAGATTTACCGAAGTGGGATTCACCACAATCTTCATTCTTCCAGGTGGGTTCCACCTGGTTTGTTTTTGTACAGCAAATCCAGGAAGGTATCGAGATGGCACGAGATCATGCGCGCAGTCTTCCGCAGTACACTGAACTTGAAGCCAGTCCTGCCACATATGCGATACTGACTCTTCGGCAAATTACTCTTTGCAAGATGGTTCATGGGGAGGCACTGTGGACGAGACCTGAAATTTTATTCGGCGATAGTCCTTCTGACACGGCAATCGATATGATGATATGGGCCTCCGACAGCTCAACAACAGAGCCTGGTCCAAGTCGAATTCACTCTCTACCAGTGGAAATTCAGGACATCATTCTCTACTACGCCGCCAGTAGTTCGGTGTCTGCGGGCATGCTGGGGTGTATTCTCGATGTAGGGTCGCCATTTCCGTGGAATGAAAGTGGACTGAAGATCGAAATTCAAAAAAGAAAGAGGAAATGGACAGAAAACTCACCAGTTGAATGGTATATAATGTTCCATGGTATTATGAGCGGTATTTCATACAAAAGAGAGCAAGGGTCATCGACTAAACGATCCAGGTTTGGCGGGTTTTCCAAGTTGCAGCCCGGCCCTCATGCCTCTCCACAAACCATTCCCAAGGACTGAATCATTGTACTCAAATTACATTTACAGCCGGGAGAGGGTTCCTCTTCATATAGCCCGCCCAGTCCATGATCTCCTGTACATCATTTCGAACATGTAGGATACCGCTCAGGGGGGTAAGAGTCCATGAGCCCCACGTGTGGAACTGAACGTTCATGCCAACTTGAACCATTGCATAGACCTTTTTGCTTTCGTTTTTCGTATTCCCACAATGCCTAATGCATTGATCGGTTGCATTTTGCCATGACACTTTGTTTGTCTTACACTCCACTATCAAGAAGTCGTACGCGTCGAACGGAGGACCTTGTATGCATTCAACTTTGAACACGACGTCATCAATGATACCGTTTCCGCTGTGACGGTTCTGGACGACATCGAAACCCTCATCTTCTGGAAAGAGCCATCGGAGAATGCCAGTTGTTACATTTCGATATGTGGACTCGTCTGCACCGGGTTTTCTCTCCACTGTTTGGAGATGGGCCATGACATTCCTTTTTTCAAGGTATGTCCGAGCAGGCGGAGGGTTCGGGTTTTCAAAGATGATCCTGCCGGTGCGTGTGTTTATCCTAAAGATCTCTTAACTCCCAGGGTTTTGGGTCCTACTTCCTCGAAGAACTTACCATTGCTGGTGTGCTGCAGAGTGATTCCAGTTGTCCTATAATGGGTATCAGTATCTAGGAAGGTTATGAAGGAGAAGCCAGCAGCGCTTACACCAGCCTGATCCTCCCAGCCTGAGGGTATAGCGTACTGGGTTGCTCCGGTGGTCACTTCGACATAGTACATCTGACCAGCGTCATTGGAGTATTGCTGCCACTGATTTCCAACAAGGTTGCCAACATAAGACATAATGACAAGGTTGATCGTGGTAGAAAAGATGACAAGACAACAAAAAAGGTTAAGTAATAGCGCAGCAATGATGACTAATAACAAAGCGAAGATTGGTTATAAAGTGGATTGTGAAAGATAGATGATATAAGCTCTAATAACGATATTATTTTCAGGCGTCCAATATTTGAGGTTATTGGTCTTCAGATTGCCTTGTGGAAGTCATTATTAGCGCATGCGACCTGGCTCGCGATCATAAGCGCCCAGACATGCAACGACATTGTGAAAGTCCAACTATGAGCACGGTTGTTGTGGCCGCGGCAACTTCTTCATTGAGAACCATAACGAAGTATAAAACCATCCCCGTTCTAAAAATAGGAACACAGAGCGCTTAGAAAACAAGAAGTAGCAGTTTTATGTGGAAATGCACAACCAGGACGGAAAGAGAGCATGCCGTGTAGTGAGGAACTTTATCCCAAGCCGACCAGTATTTGTTCTAGCTCGGGACATCCCAAAGTTGTGGTGACTGACGATGCGAAAAAATTCAAAAGCTCTGGGTAAAAGTCTGTTTTTTGCACAGGGCATTTTAGTGGGCTACCTGGAGTGCTCTGTAAGAGATTTAGCAACGGCTCACTATCATGCAGTTACAAATGCATGATCACAAAACGGAAGAAGTATGCTCTAGACTGAAAATTCTGTTGTGGATATGCTCAATGAATGGTGTGGTATAATAATCTTAAAAACTCGTAAATCGTAGGTAATGAAAAAAATACATAAAAAAGTCCAGTTCTATAATGGCTCAAATGCCGTGTCTTGCCGGTTGCCCTAACCTAAGCATGGGACTTTCTGCGGACATCTCCATCCACAGCGGTGGGAGTCTTGGCGCCAAAGCTAAACATGTCAAGAAAAGAGCCTCGCCTCTGCTCGCCAGCGCCAGCGTCCTGGTCGTAAGACTCCCGTCTGCTGTTGGCAGGCGAGGCTTTCTTCCCCGCACCGAGATAGTCCATGATGGAGCTCCTCCTCTGCTCGAGGGGCTTGGGCGGGGTGGAGACCATGATCTGCAGCTCGAGGTTCTCAATGTCGTTGTCCGTCTCGACCTTTGTGCGGCCGCAGTTGGAGAAGCTGGTGCCAGAGTAGAAGACGTAGCCGCTGAAGGGGCTGGCGAGGGCCGCTACGACGGCGCCCTGCTGACGCGCTACCTGCAAGGTTTGCTTGCACAGCGTCTTGGCGTATCCTTGGCGCTTCCAGTGCGGGTGCGTGATGACGGCATGGAGGAAGATGAGTTGGTTGTGGCGCGCGAGGTACGTTTGCTGCGTCTGCGTAATGCCTGATTGAAGTGCCGCAAGACGTTTGGCGGTTTTGCTCTCGCTGTCGCCGTTTGATAGACCAAATACTGCAAGAAGTCAGTCAATAACGGCTTTTCCAGGGGTTGAGTTTTTATGTGGTTCCCTAAAACTGGGGTGAGTGGGCGCTGTAATCTTAATCTTACCTTGCTCGACTTGCTCAGAGATGCTCTTTTGCTCGTCTGAGTTGGCGTGAAGGGTTTGACAAATGGCCAAAGAAACAGGATCGTGAGTCTTGGGAGCGTCAACGACAAAACACAACCAATTGGTGTTTTCCTTGTCGATAACTCTCTTGAGGACCGTCTCGACCTGATTTGAGGCTGCTTCTGAGCGGCCGGCTGAGGGGAAGCAGTACTGCCAGACTGAGTCGTTGGTCAGCCCGCTGAGGATGACCTCCTTCAAAGCGGGCACATCTTCCAGTGTAGCAATACGGACGCCCATGACTGGTATGTTTGATGAGTTTGTGAGTGGAATGTAAGAGTATAAGATGAGATTTTGGTTGAGTCAAAACGAAACACAAAGTATTAGTTAGGGTCAGCTAGCTTTCATACGAAATTTTATTCACCAGCCGAAAAACCAAGAAGTGGGCTTCCGAAGGGTAGAGCCACGCAACGTCACACGTGAATGCAGATTTCTGATCATGAGCCGATGCCAAGAGCAGCGGAATGAGATCATAGCGGTGTCTAAAGCAGGGAAAGTCCCTGAGCGGCATTGGGCGCATCGTAACGTTGACCTGGCGGCCTCTGAGGGGAACTTACAGTACCCCACAAAGGATCGACTTTGTACGCCAAGTGTGGTGCATTCCGCCTTAGCCGTCTCATGTTTAGGGTTGTTTTTTAAGCTTAACATCCTTAATGCACGAGGTTAATTGAGCCTGATGAGCCCATGGGCCGATGTCTGATTGTCATGCTTTTGTTGTATGAGTGGTTTTTCATGTCAGACTAATCAGGACAATTATAGATGTCAATAGAAGCTGTAAACCGGTACTTTGTGGATAGTTTCAGACGCTTCTTGGCGCGGGTACTTGCCAAGAATCAAGGGACTCCAGCAAGTTGATGCGCCGTGATGATTTTCGGAAAGGATGCAACCTACGTGGAACAACATGCATCGCGATAAAGGTTTGTTTCACTTCTCATAGTTATTGTGCGAGGATGACCACCGTGAGGTATTTCTCACAATGTCACCTCGGAGCGACGTTCCGTGAACTGCCGATCAACTGACGTCTGACTCTGCAATGGTTACCAGAACAGTTCAGATCGTCCTTTACGGTTACGCAGCGTGCCATGGTTAGTAATACTGCTTCCCGCACAGAAAATATCGCCCGTGCAAGCTCTTTTCACTCGTAAGCTTAATTTGACTGCATCGTCACGAATTTAGTTCGTCCCGTTTGCAACATCTACGTAGTGACTTGCTACAATTTTAAGCAGAGAACTAGCTAAGACGGCATCATAGATGCCTTCTGGAGCGAACAATACATACCTATCGCATACCCTGCAAGCGTTTGCCAGAGTAGTGGCTAGGCACGGGACTATCCAGCTGTAGATCTTAAGAGATACCCGAAATATGGCATTCCTTAGCTTTATCTCAGCTGGCGGGCTCAGCCCTACCGGGAGGATAGGTAAGAGAAATAAAAGGGGATTTGATTGGTTCGTGACAAGTCTGTTAGTCTGGGCATAACGGTCTTGGAAGTCTGGGCATCTCAGGGTGGGCCACCTTCATGATAGTTGCTCGGCAGAAGTTGGATCTGATAGGAATAGGTGAGCTGAGCACTTGGCATGGGATACAAAACGTGACATTACGAGTAAAACACAATTCGGACAAGATTTACGTGGTTATGAAGATCAATGAAGATCGCCTAGGTGGCAAAGCCCAGATAAATAACTCAAAGCACCGGACAGATACCGTTTATCAGTGCCACATATATAAGCTATAGACTATGATGTAGCAGGCAGCACACAGTCATCCAAAAATGATAGTAATGCCAATTGAGGCCACGTTTTACAAACATTAGATCTTCGGGCGCTTCCCTCGCGGTAAGTCACAGGAGACTGTGGGCAGTAACAGTCTAACAAGCATGTTACCAACAACTATGTCAAACGAATGAAAGATTAGTTAATTAATTATGTATCTAATTCAGCCAGACATATTTAACTCTCAAGAGAGTAAAGACTGGAATTTGGGTTCCTTTGTAGTGATTAATTCAGGGGTGAGAATCAACTGACATTTTCGTTGCAAGCTTGTGGATCCTGGCTGAGGCTGTGATTTGCGCTCTAGATATTGCTCAGTCTGACTCAGCGTAGGATCAATGGATTCACTTGTATCAATAAATCTTACCTTGCTATATTCAACTTCCTTTCCAACTTTAGACCAAGCATCTCTTTCTTGAAACAGATTGTTTGTTTTGATTTCCCCACCATATTACAAATTAACCGGCAAAACACCTCACCGCCCACCAATGCGACCAACTGACAACCATGGCAGAAGCATTTCACAAAGTCTACCGACGGAAATATGGATGCAAATCATTTGCAAACGGGGTTCCGGACTTTCACTCGTCGATTTAACGAGGCTTTGCCGCGTAAATAAGAATTTCCGGCAAATTGCCATGGAAGCTATTCTGGAATCTGAAGAATTGCATTATGTGGGATATTGGGATCCCATACGCAAAACGACGGTATGGTACAAGCGGAAGATTAGAAAAGGACGTTTTGTTTGCACTGTTCGCAATGATGATACCAACACCGACGATGACACCTATAACGACTCGGATACCGGATCCGTGTCACCCCATGGGAGTCTACCGCATCCTTCCACGTCCCCCGATGATTCGGAGCATAACTCATCAGACACCGCTATCTCGGAAGAGCAGGAGTGGTCCGAGTACAGCGAATTTGAGCATTCTGACGACTCTGGTGAAGCTGATAGTTTTGGAACGGAACAGCTTACTCCGGACCAAGACTTCTGGATCAAGCTCTTAGAGGCACGCACGATGGGAAAAATCAGAACCAAGCCTCCGACTCGAGATCACGTACTGCTCAGAAAAATAGCAGAATATGTCTGGCAGTGGAACGTCGATAACAATTCCCCCCAGGACGCACCCACTGAGATTGATTTTGAAGATATGGTGCGCGCGGTTTGTGAAGTAGCAGTCAAGTATGCTTACATCCATGACCGCCGCGCTTTCTTCGTCGGAGATGAGGCTAGGGGTTCTGAGGTCAAATCTACTGTTATAGATGAGTCTTGCGCTGTGTTTCGAGATGCGTTGTTGAACGTCGCAGTCTTCTTGAACAATACCAATCGTCTTGAGAATATACTTTCGAAGAGATACACGGTTCTGTGTCTGGATCATAGTGTCACAAACTTCACGTCCAATGAGAATAAGAAACACGAAGCTCCATTCCAACCCCGAATCCCTCGCGTGGAGAAGGTATCGCGCCACCGGTCGGCGGCATTCAAGCCGCCAGATTTTGGGAACAGTCTCATTAGACTTGGAAACCCGGTCAAAGTGGCGGTACAGACTGGGAACATGCAGTGTGCTTCGATGCTCCTGAACAGCCTAAAAGGAGACCTCTCCGAGCTAAACCTCTGCCGAGAAGATATCATCACCGCAGCATCTCTTCCCGACCGAATAGAGTTTCTTCGTCTTGCCATTGATGTTGGCCCACCACTTATCGCGTACAATATTCGTTTGCCGTCACTTACTGATCACTTGTTTCTTTTCGGTCGCAGTTATCTTAGCACAAGATCCAGAGCTGGCGTTGCGCTAAGCAAGATCCTCGAAACAACCACAGATCTCGAAGTCTTTGACCTAGCTTACAACACTATACTAGCTGGATACAACGAAGAAGAAGGCGTGTGGTGGACGAAGCCGCCCAAGACTTTCTCCTACGCAGCACTCACTCTATCGTCGTGGGGAACGAAACGAATCCAACGCGCGGTTCTGGATGATTGTCTCCCCATCGTGGAAAGGCTGTTCCAGCTAGGCTACAATCTAGGCCCGAACCACTCCTTAGCGGAAGCAAACGATGAGAATCGGGATCTGGTGAAATATCTGATCGATAGCGAGATCACGAGAGATAAAGCCCTCCTGACCGCTGTTTGGAATTGCAACGTCCGTATGGTGCAGCTACTCTTCAAACGGGGTGCAGGGAGAAATCGCAAGAGTGTTCGGAAAGCAATATACGCAGGCATGTATATAGCAAGCACCGGAGGAAGCACTGAGATGCTTCGTCTTGTTACGACTCAACCAGGCTTGGAAGGGTTGTTTAACCAAGGATATAGGCGGTGTTTTAGACGGGATTTTGACGTCGAAGGGAGGAGGCATGTATGGCAGTGGCTAAAGTCGTTGTAATGATCTTCATCTGGGAGTGTGGAAGGAGATTATCTGGTGAGATTAAAAGGCGATAGGGCCCAGCTATATCCACGCTGCAACCAAACAAAGCAAAGCACATAGTTTACTTTATTTATTCACACCATCTTCTTCCATAAAAATTATAACTGATACTTATTGTCAATAAAACCAATCCTTTCCTTTATTTCCCCTCAGTCCTTTGAAAATTACCTGCATCCAAGCTTTATGGGTGTGTCGCAGGCAGTTTTACTTGCCCCAACGTGACGGATTGCATCACACCATCACTCAACCTGCCAGCCACCTTATCCCACGATCCATTCTGATATTCAAACTGTTTTTCTTATGTTGATTATAATTATGTTGATTATAATTATGTTGAGTTGAGGGAATATATGTAGCCTAGATACTTCGAAAATGGCATGCCGGTTAAATGTACATACTTAAAGCGTGTAGACATATTCAGTTCCACATTGCCACTTATCAGCAAGCGCCTGAGTCTGACTACCACTCGGCGTACCCTCATGCTGAAGATCATAGTCCCTCGCCTTCTCCAACTTCTTATTCCTCCTTGCCAGAAAGAACCTCAAGATAGTGGCCATAGCGATACAAAGACCGCTGAAAGCCACATTCGCGACATTAGCCTGCCAGTACCGCGGTCCTTGTGAAGCTGGATAGAAGTACGATGCGTAGATCGATGCAAGGTTTGATCCAGCGTTGACAACGGCATACGAGATAGCTCGCTTTGTTGATGGACGCGGTAGAGACGATGAGACCCATGAGAGGATACAGCCGAAAGATCCATAGATAGACATCATCATGAAGGTTGAGATATACCGGGCAGCCGTATTGAGAGTGACGGCGGATATGATGAAGCCAATACTGCAGAATATCTGAGGCCACACCACATGCAGCCATCGCTCATTGACGCGATCGCTATGCCATGAATTTGTAATCCCCAAAGCAGCAGCAAAAACATAAGGCGGTGCAGAGAGAAGAAGTGTGATGGTGGAACTATACCCGAGAGTCTTGACGATGGTAGGAAAGAAGTTTGTAAAAGCAGCAGCCGTGTTGAGACCAAGCTGCATGATCCAAATCATATAAAGCGCTGGGTCCGTGAAGGCCATCTTCAAACCTTCTTTGCCTGACACGTCGGCTCGATCGTCTTCTTTGCTTGCGTCTTCGGCCATGCGGAGGACAGCGATTTGGCGTTCCTCGTCGCTGAGCCAACTGGTTGTGGCTGGGTAATCGGGCACGACGAAGTATGTGACGACGGCAGCAGGGTAAGTGGCACAGCCCTCAATGATGACTAGAAGGTTAGTGAGATCTCATCATGTAGAGCCATGTTAGGGGACGTACAAAGCCATCGCCAGTTGGCTAGACCAGCTTTTCCATCCATTCCAGCCATGATGGCACTTCCGAGCAGTCCGCCAAAGGCACCGGCCATTTGACCAGCGGCGTAGAGGATAGAGATACGGACGGCGAGTTCTTTCTTAGTATACCAACAACTAAAGAGAAACAAAGCACCCGCTGATATGCATCATTAGCAAGGAATACCAGCATTTATCTTAAGGTTGACTTACGAAAGAAAGGAGCCTCCACAAATCCAAGAATGAACCGTAAAGCAATCATCCCTTGGTAATTCTGAACAGCTCCAGTGCACGCACTGACAGTGGCCCAACATACCATGATGGTTGGCTGAAAGGTCAGTGATGATTTTGAAGTTACAGAAGGGGACGGTCATACTAAAAAGATAGAGGGCCGCATCTTATTCAAGATCATGTTGGTCGGAATTTGGGTAAGGATGTAGCCGACGAAGAAGATGCTGATAACAGTGTTGTACTGCTGGCCTACAAGACCAATGTCCTCTTCAAAGTTGCCCAGACGAGCAGTAGCGATATTATTCCGGTCGAGGTAATTCAGGATGTCTGTCAGGTGTTAAATATGATCGTCTCAGAGTAGACTGAACGTACACAGAAGCATCATCAGAGGCATCATTCGTTTGTCAATCCTTCGGAGAAAAGCTTTCTCTTTGACATCGCGGTTCTCGATATCAGGCGACGCGCCGTCCAGCGTCTCGAGGTGCACATCCTCGCCTATGTCCTTGACAAGATCTTCACCAGCCATTGTGATGTATAAGAATGTCGTAGAATCCGAGATCTGGCCTGATCTTGATACAATGAAGGAAGCGCCCCTTCTTAGGTATTTATCAACACTATTTCCCCGTGGCACAAGTTCCCCGGACAGATCACCGATGGGGTACCATGCGAACTGGAACCTGGGGAAAGGTCGGGGTAAAGTAGGTCAAGCGGGGAAGAAACCCTGCCAACGCAACCTCATGAATCGTAGCGGCTGCAGATCGTCGACATGAGCCAATCTCACCACGTTCCGATCGGCTTTTTGAGTGAAGGAAGGAACCCTAGTAGAGTAGTTGCAGTAAGGAAGCGAACCGATGAGATTGGCCAGTAGAGTTCTCGCTCGCGACGATAGCCGATGGATTAGGTGAGGAGTTGAGGAGTATGTTACAGTTTGTAGTCAAATGACGTCTACGAGTCCAATTAAATGTGCATGTGGAGATAATTAGATATATTGCTTTTACATCAGCTCATGGTACTTACCAGACTCTACGACACTTCTAGCATTGCCTTAAGAAAGTATCCTAAGTACACAACTTTCACTTGTTACACTGCCATTACTCCAACCATCATGACCCCAAGCCAGAAACCTACAATTCTCCATATTGGAGACCCGATCAAATACAACCATGATCTATACAAGGCCCTGGAACAGAAATTTAACATCATACGTCCATCGGAGGAAGAACGCCAACGAGGTCCATTTCTAGAAGCCCTCCGCCAAAAGAAATGGGGTGACTTCCAAGCTGTCATGCGGCCTTTCTGGATCACAGGCGGAGAAATGGGTCGTTGGGACAAAGAGTTAATTCCCCTCCTGCCAGAGTCCGTCAAGGTGTATGCCTCAGCCGGAGCTGGCTATGACTGGGCTGATGTCGACGTTTTGGCTGAAGCAGGTATCGTGTACTGCAATGGCGCAGCTGCATCCTCAGAGGCGGTGGCTGACATGGCGCTCTATCATATCATCTCTGTATTTCGAAATATGCAGTGGAGTAATATGGCCGCGAGGGGTAGTGAAGAGGACTTTCGAGATGCGCATGCTCATACACAGCTTACAGCTTATAACCCCCGAGGGCATACTCTAGGAATGGTCGGTCTAGGAAACATTGGCTATCAAATCGCTCTCAAGACCTGCAAAGCCCTCGGCATGCGGATTGTATATCATGACCCGTTCCGCAAGACCCCCGAGCAAGAAGCCGCTATTGAGGCGACATACTACCCCAAGCTCGACGACATGCTAGCCATCGCAGACTGTATTCTCATCGCTGCTCCGGGAGCAGGAGGCAAGAAAGTCATCAGTCGACCAGAACTTTCCAAGATGAAAAAAGGGTCGCGGCTGGTGAATATCGCACGAGGGAGTTTGGTAGATGAAGAAGCTGTGGCAGACGCTATGGACTCTGGGCATTTATTTGCAGTTGGACTTGATGTGTTTGAGGATGAGCCGAGACCTAACCCTAGGTTGCAGAAGATGCGGAATGCGTCTTTGACATGCCATACAGCTGGGGGTGCGCTTGAGACTTCGATTGGTTTCGAGAGGCTGGCCATGGAGAATGTTATGGCTGTGCTAGAGGGCAAGGAACCTATTACATCTGTTAATAGGCACTTGTTCAAGTAGTATGCGCGCACATATGTACTATTTGCACCATAGTAGTTCTAACACTGAAGTAGGCTTGAAGGTGATTAAATAGCACGATGTCGGAAATTGCGAAGATGTTGATAGCCTATTTGGTGGAGTTATTATGCGTTTCATCGTTGAATGGGTCTAGGATGGGTCAGCTCTAAGGTTACAGAAGTGGAGCATGTAGTAGGTTCCAAAGCAATAACACTTGTCTGCGGTTGGACAGTAGTACAAGTCGGTGGCAAATTATGGGGGGTAGGTTAACCAACATGTGGCAAACTAGTGAAGTAGTCTTGGATATGATTGAATAGTACGGTATCGGAAATCGGAAAGTGGGAATTAGAAAATCGGAAATCGGAAACGTTCCGATAGTCTGCTTCGCAAAGCTGATACAGCTCTATCGTCGAATGGGTCTAGAATGGTTCCAGTTTGAACTAATGGGCTCAATGATAGCGGATATGCGGCCGGCTTGTTAGTACGGCAGGAGTGGGTTTACCCCTCATAAATCCTGAAATGCTTTTACAAATTGTATCAATGACAGTTTGGGTTAGGAATTTTAACAATGCGTGTAGAACAGCATAATACTAGTACTGTGGGTAAAGACATGCAGTGCATCTTTGGGCACTCTTAGAGTCAACGCGCTGTAAGTTTACTATTCTAACTTACAGTCTGTATGTAAATGAATTTGGTGATTGATTTGATACTACATGTCAACATTGGCTAAGTATAATAAACAACCCAACCCAGCGTGCTTAGTGATTACTATCTTCCAGTTTCTCCTGCGATACTGTCTCATACCGCTTCGCAACGACACATTCCTTCGGCTGCCGATCCACACCAAGCCACAGAAGATCAGGTCTGCTATAATGGCCAACGATATCCAGGAATGCTCTAGTGGTCACTATCTTTGTGAGATCCAAGTCAGCGTAGAGGATACCCTCAGTATCAGCCTTCCCATCCCCGACAGGCTCGGTTAAGCGCCGTCCATCAGGGCCGATTACGCAGCTGTGTCCTCCACCAGGCTCACGACAAAGCAGTCCCTCTTTGGTCTTCAGAACATCGATGCCTTTGTCTGCACATACTGCAGTGCAGTGAAGCACGTAAGTGCTACTCTCGATTGCGTACGTCTGGGATAGGTTCTGGGCCCCGTCGGCGGTCATACTCCAAAACCCGGGATGGTCGACGCCCGTGCTCGGATCAACTGGAGGCCACATGGAGATGTGAATCGTCTCGCCTTGAGAGATGCTGTGGTACTTGAGGAGAGGCTGCGTATGCTCCCAACATGCCAGGCAGCCAACCTTGATTTTACCGTGCTCTGGTCCAAAGTCGACTTCCACGACGTTGTTGACGTCAGCACCTGTCCCGTCACCGAATACAGTGCGTTCCATGTGAGTAGGCTTGATCTTTCGTCTATGCAATAAGACATTGCCTTGTGGAGAGATGATGGCCTGAGAAATATAGACACTGTGTGAGGTAGTCTTCTCCGAGAATCCCAAGACGACAGCGATTGAGTTCTCTTTGGCAGCTGCCTTGATTAGTTCCATGACCTCCGACTCGATTGAGAGTGAATTGTAGATATATCGAGTCTGAAGCTCAAGGTCGACTGGGCGCGCCCTGCAGTTGCTTGTTAGTCTTGTGGCGAGGTGAAATTGGTGTAAACATACCATATCCACGCAGGGTATCCCGGCACCCAACATTCAGGGAAAGCAATGAGCTTAGCCCCATTCTGTGCAGCCTCAGCAATAAGTCCGCATGCTTTTTCTATCGATGCAGCCAGGTCAAGATAGACGGGCTCAGCCTGTGTAACAGCGACTCGGATCGGGGCTGACATTTTTGAATAATTAATAAAAGGGAAAGAGGTGTAATGGATGCTATGGTGTATCTGCTGATGTTGGATAGCTCCAGGTTTAAATACTTCAGCTCATTAAACCGCCATCCCCATTAGGGTGCCTTGAATGCTTAAAACTGCTTATCCATGGATTTGATTTTACCCCGCGGATGGACACCCAAATTTCCCTGACTGGCTAGCTTATCTAGCCCCACGTGGAATCGTGGTTTCCCCTCAAATCACACACGAGGCGCCCGTGCCCTTCGTAACAAGATAAGACTATGTTATATGACTCGTTATCAACGTGTCAAGGTTGAAAGTCACGCGACCTTCGTTCGGAATGAAAGTTGATTCCGGACAACGGAATCGATAATGGACTAAAGCCATTCCTCAAGGAATTGAACTCTCCCTCTTACATATGGAATCCGGTTTCAGAGATATCCTGGTAGATAGGCATAATTCTAAAAAGGGATATAGGGGGGCTACTTTATCTATCCTCTAAGTAACAGCATTTATACATAGTTAGTGCAACCTATAGCTTATCGTGCCAGGATCGTTGCATTTAACAAGCTGACATGTACAAAACATGCTATTGTATCACACATATTTTGGTTGAGTTCACATCCGGATGTTACGCTGAATCATAACGCATCTAATAGCATAAAAATAGGAAGATAAACATAGTCAGAATATCATACCACTGATGCTTACAGGATCACCTGGGTTACAAACAATGGGCGACGACAATAATGCATCGACGTATTATACACTGGCATACACATAATATAAACTTACCATCGCTTGAATGCTAGAAAAAGGAGAAGACGACCGAGAACTACACTTTGTAGCTCTATGGTCTGTAATATATCCAGATAACCACCGAATATCACAAGGAATAACAATGAAGCATGGGAACAGAGCAAAAGGTTTCGCACTCTTCACTCTTATTCACTTCATCATATTTGAGCCTCTTTTCAAAACTCCCAACTGTATAATGGCATGAGTGGGACATGCGACTGATAGAAGAGCCATTTATACCATCACGCATTGATGCCGCTAATGAAATTAGACTCATCACTTTCTGAGTTTTACACTATAAACTATTTGAATATGGCTCTAAAAATACCCTAAGCTCTTTTACCAGTTGACCTCCCCAGACTTTAAGAACCTGTCTATTTTCTGCAAAGCATGTAAATCCCCTTCCATAGACCCCGACAGCTCTTTGGGCACCCAGCCATTCGTATACCCTCCACCAAAGTCAATCAGCCATGCATCGTTGCTGTTGTCGATAAGGACATTATCAGGCTTCGCATCGCCCCAAATGATACCCGCAGCATGTAGTCGATTAACCATGTCATGGACTTGTTCGGCCCACCTTTGTCTAAGGTGAATCGGTGTATCTGGTCTTGCTGCACAGAGCAAGGTCTTCCGATCGCAATCAATATACGACAAGAGTAGGCCAAAAGTCTGACCGGTCTCATTTCGCACCAAACCCATAAGACGCGAGATTCGCAGCGACTCGTCAAGATGAGCATCGCGTATGCTCCTGTATTTTTCGAGCTCGTTCACGAAAGACCGATCGTCTCCGTGCCTCATGGGCTTGAAAAAAGCACTCTTGCCGTCCTTCAAGAAAACCTTGGACGGCATATATGAAGGGGGCCCATACAAATTCTTTTTCTTAGGCAGTTGAATATCCTTCGGGTCGTGTTGAGGCCAAGGAGCACAGCTATCGTCTGGCAGGCGGAGGCCAAACACGGAATCCACATCGTCGCCTCTGTCGGATGGAACAGCAACTAGGCTTTCTTGATCGCCTTGTATGTCATAGGTGTATGTTTCGGGGAAAAGAAAGTGTTGCAATGTTAGAGTTGTCGTGATCTCTGGCAGTTCTCTGAATTTAGGCAGAAGTGGCTCCAAAATCCAGTCGTAAAGGTCCTCGACAGTGTACCCATCTAATTCGAAATTATCGGCCACTTCTAAAAAGAACAAATATTTACTCTTCAAAGCGGTTGACTGGGAGAAACTGTCTGCGGAGACGGAGAGTGTGAATTGGTGGTAGTTGCACATAACCACCAACCTTGCGTCAGTATCCTGTGGATGGAAGCTGAATTCAATCACACTCCAGGGCGGTGGCGGTGATGCTAGATCCTCAGAAACCGCATCCATCTTTTTCGGTATTGGAGGGAGAAGATTGCGGGGACAGAATGGATCTAGATGTATGGCCTTTCCATAACCCCCCAATCGCAGCTTTGTCAGCATGTTAATTGCATTGAGGCCTTTCCTCAGACCTACGTGAGTTGGTATACACTTTCTCCAGTCACTTTAATTAAACAGGAGGAGTCTATAAGAGTTAAATAAATATATAGGCAATATTATTAGGCCCAAGGTTCTGCCATAGGCCAATTTAGTACAAATAGTTTTACAAGGCTCTCTACAAACTAAAAGAATTAGCAAAATGAGAATATAGAAATAATATTGTAAAGTGATATTGCTAGGGTTTAAAGCCACTTCACTCTACTACACACCCGCAGATATAGAATTATATAGCGATGCTTTAGCTACTACTCGCTATAAACTATCTTAAGAAATCTATTCCTAGTGGTTATAACAGTAATAACTCGCGATCACAATCTTTCTGCGCTCGCCCGCACTAATTCGCCATAGCCCAGTCGGCAGCAGCTATAGCATGTAGCTTCGCCGTGTCAAAGATAGGCAGCTCACTCTTGGCCTCATCTACCAAGAGTCCAATTTCAGTACATCCCATGATGAGACAATCTGCGCCCGCATCTTTGAGTCGTCTAATGACAGCATGATAGTCCTCGCGAGAGCTGTCCTTGATGATTCCGTTGCAAAGCTCACTGTAGATGATAGTGTGCACAGTCTCTCTATCCTTCTCATCGGGCACAATAACCCGCAGACCGTACTTCTCAGCCAAGCGCGATTTGTAAAAGTCCTTCTCCATTGTGAAACGTGTCCCTAAAAGGCCAACGGACTTGTACCCCGCCTTTATGATAGCCTCAGCGGTCGGATCAACGATATGAATGAGGGGCAATTGCGAGGTGGGTTCGATGCCGTGAGACACAAAGTGCATCGTATTAGTGCAGAGGACTAAACCGTCTGCGCCAGCGGATTTCAGTCTGGTTGCCGCGTCGTTGAGCATGGCGCCGAGCTCTTCCCATTTGTCTACGTGTTGGAGGGCTTCGATGCTGGCGAAGTCGAAGGAGAAGACTATGCATTGGGATGAGTGTAGACCGCCTTGAACTTGGCGCACGCGACGGTTGATTTCTTGGTAGTATGTTGTGGTGGACTCCCAGCTCATGCCGCCGATCAGTCCCAGGGTCTTCATGATGGCGTTTGTCGCTGAAGACACACGACTTGAGTAACTCGAAGCGAATTGTGAAGTTGTGTATTGTGAGTCTGTTGATGAAGGAAGAAAGCTTTGTGGTTTGGTACACTATAAGATCTCCCCTCCATGTGGTGGCTGACTCATAACTCTGAATCACCTACAGATTAAGGCTTTTGTCAGCGTATTGATTTACGCACGCAAACGAATCTTGCAAATGTATCAGGCAAAATCAATTGGCGCCAGAACAGATTCAAGCAAAACACAGCTGTGATCAACACAAGATCCAACTCTAGCGTCAGGTCCAGGGCGTATTATCGCACAGGGCATGTCATCCTTTCGAAAAAGCAGCAGAAGGGACAGGCGGGCGTCACTAGCTTCGAGGTCTAAGACACGGCAACACTTAGTCAAGGAACACAGAACGAATGAACATGTAGCAAATCAATTTTGATGCAACAAAGAACATAAATCCCTGTAGCAAATCGATAGTGCGGTCCCACATCGATCCATGGCTGACGAGAACCGGATACTAGGAGGCTGAGACAAGCGATAATACGATCATCACCATGTCGATCCATCGGAATGTGCCCAGATCATTCAAGGGGTATGCAAATTGGTATTAAGACACTGGTACCGCCAGACTGGGACACCAATTTCCCACCCCTCAAATAAATCTGGCCCCAGGCACACAATAGATACCGACTGCTGCCTCCTCTTCCTTTTTATCCTCTTATCCATCGCTTCGCCCATCCCGGCGATCGGGATACCAGGCCCGCCATGTCCGAGCGAACGCCACTGCTCAATCCCGATGGTGGCTATGTATCTCTACCTCCGCCTCCACAGGATGAAGAAATAACAATCATCGGCAAAGAAATCTCTTTCCCCAGGTTGATGATCATCCTGAGCACAACATGGCTCGGGGTCTTTCTAGCAGTTGCTGACACCACAGTTATCGCGACCTTGTCCGCAGAGATCTCAAGCGATTTCAGCTCACTCAGCTTGCTGTCTTGGCTTGCGACCTCTTATCTCATCGCCACTGCTGCCAGTCAACCTATTTCGGGTCGTTTAACAGACATCTTCGGTCGTGGTCCTGGACTGGTGTTCAGCAATATTGCTTTCGCCGCGGGAAACCTCATCTGCGGGCTAGCGACAAGCCAACAAGCTATACTAATTGGAAGAGTCATTGCTGGTATCGGTGGTGGAGGTCTATTGAGCATACCGATGTTTTTGGGCTCTGATCTTGTTCCTCTCCGTAGAAGAGCCATGATCAGTGGATTTGGAAACATATGGTACGGCTCCGGCACTATGGTGGGAGCTGTCTTTGGTGGAATCTTGAACGACCGTACCAGTCTTGGCTGGAGAATGGCCTTTCTGGTTCAAGTGCCTCCGGCTTTGCTGTCGGTTGTGATTGTGCACTTTCTCCTTAAGGTTCCACCGAAACAATCCGACAAGTCTTATATCAAGCGTATAGACTTTGCAGGCGTCCTCCTCGTCACCTCATTCATGGCGACTTTGGTTCTAGGTCTTAGCGTCGGCGGCAACACAGTTCCGTGGACGCATCCTCTACCAGTCGCGTGTATCTCACTCTCAGGGTGTCTCTTTGCTGCGTTTGTATGCTGGGAGCTCCGCGTATCTCAGCCGATTATACCCATCAGGCTATTGCAAAGCCGGACAGTGTTTGGCTCTTGCTTGGCCAGCATGTTCTGCGCCGCCATCGCCCTAACCAGCGTCTTTTATATACCACTCTACCTTCAAGCCCGCGGTGACTCTCCCACTGATGCTGGCCTAAAGATTGTCCCAGCATCTCTCGGTGCGGCTGTCGGGGGACTCATGCCCGGATTCATGATTAAAAGAACTGGCAAATATGTTGGACTTGCAATCAGCTGCCTCATGGCTCTGATTGTTGGTACCTTTATGTTTGTTCTCCAAGGTAGTGAGACTGCAACTTGGATGACCTGCGTGGCATTCTTCGTTGCCAGTATTGGCTACAATGCTACTTTTAACATCACTCGGACAGCCTGCATTGCTGCTGTCGATCACTCTAATCAAGCTGTGGTCACATCTATTGGACGTGAGTATCCAAACTCGAAAAGAATCTGACGCTGTAATGACGAATGTTGACAATAACCAAGACCTCGCCAGAAGTCTTGGTGGTACTATAGGAATAACGCTTGCCTCTGTCGTATATCAATCCAGCCTGAGCGCGGGTCTATGGGCAAGATTTGGTGATCAACCAAATGCCGCTAAGGAAATCCAACGAATTCGAGACGATCTAATGGAACTGAAGCGATTGCCGCATGGGTGGTATCCAGGGGTTCTTGAATCATTGATGACGGCGTTCGGGCACGTCTGGCTGATAATGCTTGCTTGGGCAATCCTGGCGTTGGTCGGTATCTCGCCCATCAAACAACATAGGCTTTACTCAACGTTGGAGAGAACGTAGATAATGATGATCCAGATGTATTTTTAAGTGTCCTTGTCGTCATGGAGGATATTCACCACTCTATTGTACACACTCAGAGACAATACTCTGTCCTACACAGTCAGCAGTCGGGTAAGTACATTAGGCCGGTTTTCAATTCTCTCATGCTTAACGATATGAACTATGATTAACAGTCCAAGCGTAAGATGGCCAATTCAGGCCGATACTTTGTCACATCAACTTTTCTAATCTCACTATCTGGCGTCATAGAATGATCCCCGTCGGGAAAGGCATCGACAGGGAATAGCCAGAATCCAATCACCGGTCGCACCGCCATTTCAAGATTCTCGTGCTTAAAGGCTGGAGTTTCCGAGGCGGGAGTCTGGTTAAGGTGCAAAGAAGGAAATGGTCCATAGGTTTTGTGTTTGCCTGTCCAGATGTCTTCTTACTTCTGCAGCCAGTTTGAAGCGTCAGCGCGGTTGTAGATTTCGACGCGAAATGGGCTGAAAGCGGATAAGAACCGATGTTGTATCCCTGGTGGTTCGATGTCGAACTTCTCGATCATCTTCTCCCAGGAATTGTATAGATAGTTCGGATTTAAAAGATGGAGATGACCCAAGTCGTTGCTAATGGCGCGAGGATCCGGACCTATCCGATCGAACTGGAGGGGCATGCCGGTGATGGGAACGGATCGTTCAAAGGAGGTTTTGAAAATGCTCGGCCGCCCAGTCTCGTAGGTCATAACCTGTCGATTGACACGCTGGATACAAACGAACCAGACTTCTTCTAGTCCGCTGATTATTTGTCGGAAAGTCAGTAACACTTCAGGACTGATTGTTGTAGGATCTATCGCGTGAAGACTTTGTGTGCATTTATCAAGTACGCTTCTGCAGAGTGCCAAGTTACGTAGAACAATATGGCGGGGGTCATAAACAGTCTTGAGCTTGCAAATAAACTCGATAATGTCCACGTTGTCTTGCTGAAGATGAAGAAAGTCATATTCCGGGTTGTAGTACATCTCGCCTGGAACCCATAGATTGCTCTTTGTTAAACTATGTGTCAACCAGCACGGTACTCGAACCCGATAGAATGCCAGTGCAGCTTCTCTAGACTCTTGGGTAACTCTAAGTAGCTTGCTCAAGACCTGAAACCCTTGAACGAGGGGGTAATAAGCTGGACCGTCCTTCCCACGCTCCATCGGCGGGACAGGGAGGCCATTATAAACGCGGTTTGCAACATATTGCATGTGACAATGGACATGTATTTTGATGATTCTCTGGACCTGCAACGAGCTCTTCCATATAGCGATACGTATCTCATATGGAAGTTTGGAGAAAAGCGTGAAGGAGGAGAGTTGGCTTGGGGTAGAATTGGGAGTAAATAGCTCTAGATGTGACTTGGAAGACATAGTCTCAACCATCTGAGGATTACCGACTGCATAGATGAACGGATCTTTCAAAAAGGTCGGGAGGTGGTAGAGAGAGTATCGAGAGAAGTGTTCGTTGGAGTAAGCTGACGGGTGCTCTATTGGTCTTAGTGGCGTAGCTACCCAACCTCACCAGCCACCACAACTCCATTTCAGACAAGGGCATTGGCTGCCGCGACATCGTGGGAAGGGGCAACATTACTCTATGTTAATCCGGTTGGTGTAAAGCATTCAAAATGCACTGGCGCTGATACATGCGGATGTATATGGATAAATAGATTTTTCGCTGTATGTAAGCCAATTGGCGCCGTTATAGTGAAGACTTTTAGCATATTGACATAATCATCTACAGATCCTTATTCTGTAACGATCCCCAACCCCTTGACCTCGCTCTCACAATCCCCATATCATCCATATTCAACAGCCCAATTTTGCTATCAATCAGCACCCGCCACGCAATATCCCTGACATTCGGAGGGTGAGACGGTGTATCCCAGTATCGGGCCAACAGCCCACGAGATGTAGCTTGTTCAATCTGTGTCGATGTCATGTCTCTTTCTCTTGATGGTAGGTTGTCCAAACCACTGTTGTTGTTCGCGCCGAATAAGATAGCGTTTTGGAACTTTGTTGAAGCAAAGTATGAGTTGGAGCGGTTGAATCTATAGATTGGTGGCTTTGTGTCGAAGTCGTCTTCCATCGAGAATAGCCGTTCTAGTTTGGCGTCCCAGAAAATATCCCTGTGTGTTGCGTTCATTGCGAGCACCGAGTCAAATGGGGCATTCCCGGTTGCAACGATTGTGAGAGGTCGCATAACTCTTGCAGTCCCATTCCAGTACGTTAGGTAGTCGAGATCTCGTAGTGGTTGTAGTTGTTCGTCAAGCTTGTCAAATATATGTGATCCCTTTGTTTTGAAGTCGATAAGCAGCGTCAGCGTCTGCTTTGGGGCCATATCGAAAAGTCCACGCAACTCTCCGGTACTTCCAGCATTCTGTGCCTCGATCATACGCTGCAGGGGCTTCAAGTATAACGATTGAAGGGTCTTTCCACTTCTAAGACTCAGTGTTGAGTGTCCTACTAGAAGGTCGTTGTGCTTGAGGTGGACATCGGCTTCGACGCTGATACAGCCTGAGCCGAGGGCATCGAAGAGAGGAATACTGCGTTCGTAATCGTTGTGGGAGTGTACCGGTACTGGACGAGCACCTCGGAGGAAGGATTGGTGGCTGTCGTCCCAGAGCTCGGGGCTTTTATACGTGAGACGGTCGAAGCGAATGTCGTAGGGATCGTTGGATATGCGGATTATTCCAGCATCGACACGGATGATATAGATAAGTTCGGCGATAGTCCTTCATTTGGTGAGTAGGAGACATAACAGGATATTGGGCATGTACTAACAGGAGGAATAAAAGACCCGCGACGTATCTGAGCCAATTTATCCGAAAATGGCGTCGAAGGAGCATCTTCCTGGAGGGGTAATTCCGGGTATCACGAACTCGCCCGTCCTCGGAACAGGTTGTATCGCTACAGACTGAAGCCATGATAATCTCTTCTTTGGTAAGGTCTTACAAGTAATGTCTCCATCAGAGGATCCAAAACGAATATTATATGCACCGGCTACAGACTGAAACTCCGCCTCATCGTCTCAGGTCTAGACTGCGGTCTTGCGTATCCAAATCCTACGTAAAAAGGTTCCAGTTTACTAACCAGGCAGCTCTATTTCCCTATTGCGGAAACACGGCACTGATACGGAGTGGGTTCGTAGTACTCCGTAGGCTTGGAGGATTTACGCTTTGACCAATCATACGACGCTTTTCGTACTAACACACAATACGATCTGCTTTGGCAACGAGGACAAGTTACGTACGCACTAGCTGATTTGAGAATTGGACCAACGGATTGATCAGCTGTTGGTTGGAATACATGCCATGGAAGAATACAAGCTATTCTTCTCGAAGGAATGGCGAGAGTTAATTATCAGGCATACCATATCTGTCCAGGCATCGATTTTCCTTCAAGACCCACTATGTAAGCCATGGGCCATTGAAGCGAGCTGCGCCTCCGCGAAACGTCAGCTCGGATTAAGTTTAACCGTCTGCCTTCGGCCGATACGAAAAAGGGGAATCACCGGACACCATTCCCCGCTAAGGGAACCTAACAAAACAGAATGACATCAAAGATAGGAAGGTGTTATGAAATTCTAGGCTAGGCTTTGATTGATCTTCTCTATAAAAAGTTATAATTACAAAACAGCATTCTTAGCTTGTAACAAAACGCTCTTACAACTTGGCCTTGGGTCCAGCCGCATTCTTCCTAAACAAAACATCCGACTCGGGATAAGGATCAAATACAATATCATTCACGGGGTTCACCTCCGAGGCACGATGGAACAAGTCCTCGTAGACCTTTCCGTCGTAACGACCCAGAGCGCTGTCAAGCTGCCAGTCGGGGAATGACCACGCATCGACAAGTCTCACGGCATGAGGTCGCACGTCCTCCAGAAGAGAGAGTGTTCGCTTGGTGCGCGCAAGCTGGATCTGTCGCACGGTTGTGGCAGCGCTGGTGAAGAACTCGGAGGCTGAGCTCTGTAGGTGGTGCAGGGCGAAGAGCTCGAAGAGCTTGTGCAAGGCGGTGAGGGTGCTGGGGTCCAGAGAGGACTTGGTGCTCTCCTCCTGGAGGGCCTCGTGGAAGTTCTTGACTACTTGGTACTGCGCGTAGGCGGTGGACAGACGCCAGAAGTCGATGAGCAGGCTGTTCCAGGACTGCTTCTCCTCATCTCTGTGCTTGAGAGCCTCGAAGGTCAGGAACGACACGCGCCATGCGAAAGCATCAACAAGATCTTGATCACTGTCGAGAACGTCGAATGCGGCGCCGATGTCCTGTCTTCGGATGAACTCCTTGAAGATTTTGGAGATGCCGTTGTTGGGGGCCTTGCCGGCGAGGACGGCGCGAGCGGACTTGAGGAGGTATCGGGCAACTTGCTGGGTAAGCATGTAGTTGTCGCCCTCCCATGTGACGGTGGGCAGGTAATCAGCATACCAGCTGCCAATGCCGGAGAAGGCGGAGTATCCGTGACCACCGCAGGCGCGACGGCAGACTTCTAGACCTTCGGCGGCTGTGGTGGATGCAAAGGCCTTGAGAGAGCAGGAGATGGCGTGCAGATCGGCGAGATGGTCGCTGCCGGGGTTAAGCTCCTCGGGGCCAGGCTGGCGCTTGCTCTCGGCGCCATCACGGGCTTGAGCCATGCGCTTCTGGTTGGCGTTGTAGAGGTTAATCATAGCACGGCCAGTGAAATGCAGGGCGTAAGAAGCAGCGAGCAAAGGAAGGAGACGGTGCTGCACCATGGTGTAGTTGAGGACCTGGTTCTCGCCAGTCTCTCCGGCGTCAGCATCGCGGTCCTGGAACTGTCGTCGCACGGCACAGTAGCGAGTGGCAATGGTGACACCACGGGCAAGTACAGAGCCTGATTGGAAGACGATGGAGGAGCGGATAAAGGTCAAGGTTCCGTAGATAAGAGCAGGGTTCGAAGGACGGATGTACTTTCCGGTATCAGGGTCGATACCAGAGAAGCGGTTCAGCATGTTGACGTGGGGGATCTTGACGTGGTTGAAAAGAAGGAAACCGTTGTCCATGGTGTTGTAACCGAACTTGGGACCAATATCACCAACGTGGACATCAGGGAGAGGCTCATGGGTCTTCATGTCGCGGATGGGGACGACGAAGGGGTGAGGGCCGTAGGATTTGCCGTTGAGGATCAGCTGGGCGACGACAACAGCGTGGTTAGCAGCCTTGCCCAGAGATCCAATCCACCACTTGGACGCAGTGAGATGAGGCGAGTGCATAGTGAAGGTCTTATCCTCAGGGTTCCACGTAGCCGTTGTCTCAAGACCGCGGACATTAGAACCGTGGCCCAACTCAGTCTGTGCGTAACATCCGATGATCTCATAGTTGCGCGCGCGCTCAAGGAAGAGCTTGTGCTGCGCCGGCGTGCCCTGCTCCTCGAGGGTCTTCAGAAACATGGTAGAGTGCAGACCGTAGGGAGTAGGCTCGCTGATGAGCTCATTGGCTGCATGGAAGTCGTCATCGTTCCACTGGTGCCTGTCGCGCAGACGCTTCAGGGCCTTTCCTCTGGCGAGGGCTGCTTCGAGTCTGTCTGTGCGGCCGCGGAAGTAGTTCTGCGACTTGTCGAAGACGGGGTCTGCCTGGAGGATCTTGAGGATCTTGCTATTCCTGGCGAGGACCTCCTTTGTGAAGAGGAAGCTGGCCAGCTGATCCACGTCAATGTCTGACTTGGCGCGTTCCTGGGCGATAAGCTCTGAGCCCTGGGGGCCTGAAGGCGTAAGGGCCTTGACCCAGTCTGGATTAGGAGGAGGCATTATGTAGATGATGTGTGAATTGTCTACCCCGGGTTGTGTGTGATGTGGTGTCTACCCCAGAGTTGAATGTCGGGGAAAGTGAATGTTAAGGGGGAGTTTGACTTTATGGGGCATTGCTCGGCTGGAGCGATGTCGGAAAATCGATGAGGCTAAGACTCCCAAACCTCGGTTGTTTATAAAAGGTGGGTCATGACGACGGTGGTTATCTTGGGGCCTCGGCTTGACCTTGGCAAATGGGTCTCATATCATAAATCACCACTACGTACAGATACAAGATTGATAAAACCGAAATAGAACCACACCGGCTTGTGCTCGGACTTGACATCGTGTAATCGACAACTTCTGATACCGTTTTGAGCCTGACGTGACCGATCTGGCAGCTCAAGAGAACTGCCGAACATTCTTCCGTTCCGATCTGATAAGATAAAAGATTGTGGAGTAAACCCCGTCGGACTTTTCCCCATATCCGTCGAATAATCAGGGGAAGGGTCCACTCGAGGCCAGACTCGGCAAATTGCCATCTTCTACTCTGTATCTATAGACTCATCAGTTATGAGACAAGATATTGGAAGGCCATTGTCCGCCAGGTTGAGATCTGAGAGGAAGGGCAATCGTCTCGGACATAGCAGGCTTTAAGCCCGATTTAGGCAGCGGCCTGGTGCCTACCCTAAAACCCAGCCCAACTTCTTACTGGCTTATCTTCTCAGCTTTCAACTATTTAGAGGCAGCTTAAGACATGTCGAGATCCGTCAGAGTTTGGTACGGGTACATACTCATACAATAATCTTTTAGTGTTCACAGTCCGTACGAGTCACCAAGATGACAACATCCGCTCAGCCGGAGATTGTCCTGTACGATCTCGCATGCACTAAAAACACGTGCTTCTCGCCTGTCGTGTGGAAGATCCGATTGATGCTCAATTACAAGAAAATCAATTACCGGACAATCTTCCTCGAATTTCCCGACATTGAACCCACGTTGAAAGAGCTGTGGGTAACCAGTTGCCTTTTCTCCATCTGGCTGTGCATGTGATAACGCAATCCAAACTAACAATCATTAGCGGCCTCGCGCCCCATGATCCAAGCTCGAGATCTCATGCCAGCTACACAGTCCCTGTCATTCAACATGTGCCCACCGGCAAATACATCATGGACTCACCATCCATCGCCGAATTTCTAGAAGCCACATACCCCAGCCCACCACTCCCTTTGACATCCGACCTCGGCCGCGAAATCGAAGCTCAAGCTCGAAGCGCAGTGGCTCCAGCGCTTTGCATTTCTGTTCCGCCACGTGAGATCCTCATCCTCTCACCGCGATCACAGGAATATTTTCGAGCCAAAACCGAAGCTCGGCTTGGATGTAAGCTCGAGGATTCTATTACTCCAGAGAAAGAGGACAAGGCTTGGGCGGATGTGCAGGGGAAGATGCAGGGTTTGAGTGGGCTGATCATGACGAACAAGGATGATGGGCCGTTTTTGCTGGGTGCTCAGCCAAGCTATACTGATTTCTTCATTGCGGGTTCGCTTCAGTCGACGAGGACTATTGATGAGGGGGTATTCCAAAGATGTGTTGCGTATCCTGGGTTCAAAGCTATTTATGAGGCTTGCCTACCCTGGATGGAGAAGAAGGACTAGGTAGGATGGGGTTGGTGCTATGCTTGTCAAGGTCAATTGCTACTATGGAGATTTCTGCTCTGGATTTTATCACCCTGGTTTCGAGTCTCGACGTACTGGTACAATGTTGTCGAAGGTGCGGCGCGCAACAGACAAGAACAGGAGAGAGAACATGGTGTATAGACCCATTTGCGCTGAATATGAAACTCTGGTAGTATGCCTCACAACCGAGATTATTGGCAGATGAATATTTGCACGCTATTTGAGAGGTCTATATATCCATAATAGATGAAAATCTTGTCCTGCGGGATGTTATGGTGGAGAATGGTCATGGGTATCTGGAGCTCTCGGATCGTTAAATATGGCAAGATTTAATTTAGCATTTTATCCTTTGCTTTGATCTTCTGATGCATTTCCGTGGTGAACGATCTGCGCCGCATCTAGCCCCAACGCGGCTCGATATCTGAAATTAGTTGTCTCTGTTCAAGAGGTTTAGCCTTGCGTATCAACAATTAAAGTAAATGATAGTAAACTCCAACTACGCAGCATAATCGTGTATATTCCTAGCTCTAAGAAAGTCACCTGCTTGCAGCCGACATAATTTCTGTTTCTGGTGAGAATGTATCAGAGCCTTTTGCCGTTATGTGAGCCTGTCATGCCGACTCGAATTTCCCACCCGGGATTACTTGATAGTTATCTATAGATTGATTTCTGAGCTGAAATATAGCACCTGTGAGCTAGAATGATGGAACCAGAAGTGGTCGATACGCAGCCAGTCAAAGTGGGGGACGAGCCGCTGAAGGCAACAACGATGTGACGGGCCCACAGTCGCCCTGAAATCGTCTTGTGCTAGGCCAATTTAGAACCCATCCGAGCAGCATACGGGGTATCCAGTTTCACGACCTGACTTGACCCTTCAAAGTATCAGTGAACATTAATAAGCACGCGGCAAGGCGAAGCCTTACAACCATGTTCAATTTCCACCAGAGCGCTAATACGAGCCAATCACCACTGTCACATTTAGCGAAAATTAGGTATTTCACTTCAATACTACCCCGCACCACAGTTAAGTGTGAGTTCTAAATCTCTCAGCATTTTTCTATATTTCGATATCCGTTTCAAGCAGGAAGCGGCTTGCCACAGATATCGCAATGGATCCCGCATCTATCGCCGGCATCGGTTTGGCGATAGTCCCGCTTGCAGTTCAGTCAATCAAATCACTCAAAAGCACCGTTGCTCGTTACAAAGGTCGTGATAACACCCTTGCCAGGCTATATCATGTGCTTGAGGATCTGGACAACATTATGGGTGCACTAGAACGAGCTGTCGTCGCGGAAGCAACAACGCGATCTCTTCTAGAAGGCCCTGTTAGCCGATGTAATCTTCTATGTCGCGAATTCGAGACCGCTATGCAAAAATTTAGCGGGAAGTCTAAGATGGGCTTTCTAGATTGGGCCAAGATGGAGTTTATGACGAGCGACATCAACGAGTTCATGGATAGGTTGGCAGGGTATAAAGCGACGATCTCGGTAGGCTTAGGCATTATCACCATGTTAGTCCCCTCAGCCTGGTTAGCTTGAATCCTATGTGCTAAACTTCGTCTTCCTGCTACCATAGGCAAACATCTACACTCTCCAACAAAGTATTGGAAGACTATAATGAGGTAATCCAGGACACAGTTTACACCCTCAATATGAATCTACAGCGCCTTGATGATAAAATGGAGCTTCTTATCCAAGAAAGCAATAGCACTAGAGCTTCAGATACGAGCATTGACCTGAAGGATGAAAGGGTAGTGACGGAGCAATGCATCCGAATTTGCAAAGATGCTAGCTCTTACATCGAGTCTCTAGCAGAACGGGAAGAATCTCTGAAGGATCAATTTCCCTCAGCATCCGTTACTGACAGCCAGGCTCCATTCGAGGCACAGCTACTTATACGCCGAACCTTGAATGAGAGTCGGGACAACCTTGCCCAAACCATCGGCCGGCTTCAGGAACGGTTGGAATCCATGGCGACAAGTGGGACCCCCAAGAGTGACCTCGGATACCAGCAGTTAGAGGAAGATCTAAAAACCTCAAAGCAATGTTTGGAGTTGTGCAAAAATGCATCCGAGCAGGTTGCGAATCAAAAGGTCTACACCGTCGGAGAGATGGTTGCTGACGGTGACAGCGATCAAGTCGTCATCACGACTCTTGCAGACCTCTTTGACGTCAGGAAAGCGTCGTCAACGAACAGATCAGCGCAGTGGATAGGGTCCTTGACGGACGAAACAGCGCGACAAGTGTCTAAAGATCGATACAGTAGTCGTTTTGGTGCTGTGACCACGACTGGGGCTGGCAATGGCATCAGTACCATGTCTTCGGCGTCTAACAGTCACGAAGTCAACAGTAGTCTGCCGCAACGACTGGGGAAGGCAGGGCAGCCAGCGGCGTCAGAGACACTACATAGGCGGCCGACCCCCAATGAGATGAGAAAACGAACAATGGAAGATGATGACGTAAAGGAGGAGCGTCGATAGGATAAAAAATACACCAATGAACCTGTCCCAGGAACAAGATTTCAAAACCATAATGCACATACTGATGCTGAACAGCAATAAATGGAACCATCTCTGATTTTCTCGAGCATATTACTTTCCTGACCGGTCATGTAGCGCGATACAGCTTTGACGTTGCAACAAGCCAAGTTCATCGCACTTCCTGGGCTTGCATCAGATGAAATAAATGACTGTCTGATCCACTGGTTCTACAATATTTTACAATAAATCGATAAGTGCTATGCTCAAGTCGAGTGCGATTTGAGAACCACAGCGTTGCGGTGTGACCTGCAAACCTCGTCGCGGAAAAGCGAAAAGTAGTCAATAAGCATTGGTGCATTTGCCGACTTCTCCGGTTTACTGCTTGTTTTGAACGTAATTGATCATTAATACACAGCAGAGCGACAGATTAAGATAATTAACCCAAGCTATTTTAAAATAGTAATTAGGTCCTGGTATTATAAGACGAAAACGTATGATGCGGGACTAACTGGTTTTGACGGCTAATGCCACCGTTCCACTGGAAGCTCATGACAAAACGATGCCCGGAAGCAGTCCAGCAAGTTGAGAAGGGGAAGTAAGTGAAACAGCTCCTTTCATTGGAATCTAATCTTATTATAAAATCAATACATGATTCGTGTCAGGAATATACCATGTCGAGCTAGAAAGAAGTATAAGTTTGACAACACCTGAAATCACGCTATAACGTCATTCTTGCTAGGTAGAAACCCCATATCATTCTAGGTAACATCTCCTATGGAGCGCCCGTTGTACCACGTCTCGAGCTGAAGCCTATGACTCCTCAGGAACAGGCACAGAATCCCCACGCAAAAGGGAAACGGCATCAACAAAGAACTCGTACGCATTACCCTGCGTTATGCTGGCAGAAATGCACAGATCCGTCGATTCAATATCAGGGCCAGTGTATCGGAAGACGGTGGAGTATTTATGATACTGGTTGTCCCAGTCAACTGGAAAGGAAGCGAATGCCGCCCCATCGATGCTCAGTTGAACCGAGTTAACATTAGGGTTGCAGTCGATGGGCTCTGACTCTCCAGCGTCATAAGTACAGCTCTGCCTGAGATATGCCGAGAAAGTGTACTCGTAGCCCTGGTCGATTCCGACGCTCTGGCAGATTTTGGCGGTGTTTCCGCTGTAGGGTCCTGGAAGTCTCCTGTTGAACGTTAGCAGACAAAAACTGCACATGGGTTGCTGGGATCACATACGCGCACTGGTTCTTCTCGTAGCAGTAACCTCCCTGGGCCAGAACTGCTGTGGTTCCTGTAGACACCCATGGCTCAAGGGTAGGGTCTTCGAAATCGCCGTTTGGCGGACTCTGTACGCTCTGGGCGGGAGATGTCGTAGTAGTCGTTGAGTCTTCGGTTGTGCGGGTTGGTGCCTCAGTGGCAGACGTCGAAGCCTCAATCGTTAACGTCGAAGCCTGAACGGTTGATATCGAAGCTTCAGCAGTTGTCGTCTCAAAAGCTGACGTTTCACCAGTTGACGTCTCCGTAGCTGAACTCAATATCGTCAGGGAGGATTCAATGGCGGTATCATACTCGGTGACGATCGTAGTCTCTTCAGAAGTGAGGCCAGAGGCAGTCGTTGCAATCTCGGTAGCGGTAGATCCTATCGCCGTTGAAGTAGCTGTTTCGCTGGTCCATGATAATGTTGTTGTTGATCGGGGATGCGGAGCGCAAGCCTAAACTAAAATGAGTTTTGGTAATAAGGCGTTGTCCAAGGTCACTTACGCGAGCGGCGCAAAGACCTGCGCTGAGAATTAGCGGACCTAGGGTGGTATGGACACGCATCGCGATAGATTTACAGTGGTAACGAGCGACGATGGATGCGGTACAGAGGAAAAAGAGATGGATCAAAGGGATGGGAAGAGCAGACTTATTAATTATTACTCCGAATTATCGAGTCATATTTGGTCGAAAGCCGAATAAACGAGTTGGGACTATTGATTCAAACTTGCGCTAAATGAACAGAAATGGCTAGCTAATTCAATAGTTTCTATATGACCCCTGAATCTAACTGCGTGTGCTAATTTCACAGCTGACAGGCGCCACAGATTCAAATAACTCCGAACTCTTCAATAGTCGGTGTAGATGCGCGGTAAGAACTATACCTTGAAGATACATATCATAGGTTTGATACTACGTCGACGGACTGAAAAACCTTAACGATCTCATTGACGGCTTTAGGACTTATGGTGCTACGCTAAAACATCAGACATACCACTGATCGCTTAGCCAATCCTGGTTGATTAATTGGCTAGCTATGGTGTTACCAAGACCCACAGGTTCTAGACCTGTTGATAAGCTAAAAATGCTTTTTAATCGGTTTTATAAAGAAAGTACCTGTGGCTAACCTACAGTAGAAGTTTTAAAGTTAATACGGAAGTGAACTTACTTTAATTGGTATAATTTCTAATAATATAAGAGACTACATAGTTGATTTCATTTAATCTTTAATATTAATATTGAAAAGATAATCAAGATTTTAGCTTGATTATATTGCCATTGCATCGCGTACGATTAACTACTTTACCTTTTAGTATCTTCAGTTAGAGTTGAAGTATCGGGCGAAAGTCTGTTTCTATATAAACCCTAGCTCTGGTGCTCGAGAAGGTCTAAAAAGATTAGGGCTAAGTTATTTAAAGCCAGGTGTCTTAAGTAAAGAAGCCGGATTGTCATACTTGATATCGCGTTCATCGAATATACAATTCTTTAACACCGACTAAATGCTGATCTCATTGGCACTGATATTGATTTCTGTGGCTTGATGATCCGCAGGAAAGATATAAATCAACGCTTGTTAGTGGAGGATGCCTCTTGGTGGAGGATGACTCAAGATTGTGATGAAATCACGTCATTCATTATTCTTGGACGGTTCAAAGATCCAAGCCACTATTGCTTCTCTTATTGATCCAAGTGAATAATGCTGTCCCATGGCTTGGTATAATCCTCCCAACTACAGGCTACCGGCCAGCCACGCCCCAGGGGGAATACCAGGACTTAAGGTAGGGATCCGAGAGCTGGTGTGGGATATAATGGCCTTCCATGTATCTCATGAGCTACAGGGCTCACAGTGACCCTATTCAGGCTTGGTAAACGTGACAACCTGGATTTGAGCGCGTCAGCGTCTCGAACTGACACATTATCATGCTGCTGCATTTCTGTTTTGTTGAAGACTTCATATGATCTATCCTCCATATGATTTAGCGGGGGTGCAACGAGTATTAAATGCTTCTTTGATATAAGGAATATACTAATGCTAATCCGAATCGAGATTCATAACGATACAGTTGTTCACCATACCCAGTTAGAGTCTAAGACGGTGCTTGTTCGTTCTCTGTTTGTCTGTCATCTAAGCAGAAGTACACTGTTTAAATGAGAACAAAGTTTGATGGCTTAAGTAGTAAGACTCCAAGTAGGCATATTTGACGAACTGCTACAGGAGTATATAGAGGTACAATTGGCTGATATAAAAGGCCACTTTGGAAAGATAATCAGTTATTATTAAGCTCTCCTACACAACAGAGTGCCAAATCAAGACACTCACTTGTATAGGACACTAACTTATAGGGCACATTATATAGCTACCTAAAATTTATGGCTGCTTAGAATGAGAGTTGCGTTCCGACCTAGAGTAGCCACTTACATCATACACAATACGGGTCTATGCCAAAAGTACAAGTTTGCCTGTACAATCAACCCCCTGTATTTTTATACGTGAGTGACTTCCCTACAGAGAACGTAACTTACTAATATTTATGCCTTATGAGGTTATTATTAGCTGTTGTTGTGAGATATCAAAAAGCAATTATATGTAAGCGCCATATAAAGATATCTCTATTAAGCTATAGAATATGTAGAAAAGTAAGTCTCTGGAGTAATAATCGTCTAGATTCTCACTTCTTACTCGCTATTAACGTCTCCGCAAGTCCGCAGGTTACATTAATACAGCGGTGGATTGTACAGCCTGATCTAGATGTGCAGCCTGGTTAACCCCTTTGGGGCCGCCCTACTTTCAGCCGCATGCCACCCCGCACTCGTCAATTCAGCTGACATTCTCCTTCTCCATCCTTCAAAACGCGTAGCACGCGATGGATCCGTTGTCTATCGCGACGGGCGCCGCCGGCCTGGCGATTAGCTGTGCGACAATCGTGAAAACTTTATACACGTGGATTGACGACACCATCGACGTCGACGAAAATGTGTCCAACTTATTCGAAGAGATTTCTAGTCTCTCGCGCGCTCTCGAGTCCATCAGAAGTGCTTCAGTCCGGGTTCCGCAAGCTATTCTGGCTGAGATTGACCCTGGCAATGGCCTTTGGTCTACAATTGGCGCTACCTTTATTGATATGAAAACGACCTTTAACAGACTCAATCAGCTAATGGCTGAACTCGAGAAAACGAGCTTTTTCAGCCGAGGCTTTCTGCGAAAACCAACAAAGCAAATCAGGTTTAGTCTACGGTCCAAAGATATCTCTACACATAGGGATAGGATCAAGTCATATAACACAGCTATGATTAGTGCTTTGCAGATGATCAACGTGTACGCGATAATCTCGCAGCCCAGAACGTTGACTAACTTTGATAGGTGCCTCCTCATCCATAGTAATTCATCGCAGGACTCGGTGTTTAGGGTTCTCTCTGGACTCAAGTCGCAGGTCAGGCGGGTGGAAGTCGCTTTGCAAACCAGCAGTTCTACAGATTCTGGAGATTCAGTTGCACGTGAGGAAGATGATCGCATGTTGCACAACTTACGACAGTTTGTCCAAGTCGCAGAAAGTTTCCACTCCAGCGCTAGCACTATCGTTAGAGATGGGCCCCGATCGACCATATGGGGAGGAAGTATTTTGGGAGTTCCTTTGACGGAAGCACAAAAATCAAGGATCGAAGGATGGATACGTCCACCAGTCCATGAAGAGCCATATACCCCAACCGATTCTGGCTCTCAGTCTGACACAGACAATGAAGCAGAACTTGCTCGGAGAATCGAAGAACTAGCAGTCCAAAACGACAAGAATGGGGATTACGCGAGAGCGGAGCAGTTCTACAGAAGCGCCATCGAGCACTGCGAAGCAAGTTCAAGACCGCCACGCGATCTCAAAACCATGAGAGTGCGACTTGCATATTCATGCATGCAACAAGAGAAGTGGACAGAAGCAGAGGAGATTATAGCTCCAATTGCCTTTGAGAAAAAGACGAACGACCTATTGGTATACCATAGCATGCACGCCTTGGCTATTGAAAACCTCGATGCTCTAAAGCTTCAGGAGGCCGAGAAATATTGCAAGCGTGCCCTTTGGGGAAAGAGGAAGGTTTTGGGTAGAGACCATTCAAGCTGCTGGGAGTCTTTGGCCCTCCTTGCTTCCATCTGTATGGCGAGGAATATGATAGTTGAGGCAGAAGCCCATAGAAGCTTTATCCCAAGAATCTCAGAGATCTCGGTTGATGTCAAGGCTCTTATCTACCTCGAACGCTCTGTCGGAGGTCCAGGATCATTGAGCGGCCTCGGAGATGACGATAAACCGACTCAGCAGCCACTGGATTCCGAACACCCACTGGACTCCGAACAACCACTCCCCATACAGCGTCCATTTTACTTCGAGGATCTGGAGGCTCCCGTAGACTTGGATGGCTCACAAAGTCTGCGGACACTGCCTTCCGAACGGACTGGCCTGATCGGGTGGCCCTTTCCCTTAGAGGATCCGATGCCTTTGAAGCACTTGGAGAATCGAGAGAGTAGACAGGATTTCAGGCCTCCAAATTCACTTCTCTCACTGACAACAAATGATCATTCCGGCGCAAGATGTTGCTATATGCAAGGCCCATTTGGTTTCGCAATGTTGAATAAGTTCGACCCCTCTTGGGATGAACATTTTGGCGCAGAACTTAAACTTCAGAACTTGTCAGATGAAACTTTCGAAAGGATTAAAGAATTTATTTTGCTCTTCCTAAGAGAAGGAAAAAAGACCGAGTCTCTTCATGTGGCACTATCACCATCACCATCTTGTTCAACAGCAGCAGAAACAGATGGCCTGCCAAAGTCATCATTCGGTACTTCTTCGCTAGATATACGGCAATATTACGAATCCGACACCAGGTCTTTCGCCCTTCCAAAGCCAAAGTTTAAAATCTTTGCTTCAGTAGACTACATACAATTGGGATGTGAGAACACTCAAGTTGCATATGTAGTCCATGGCCTTGAAAGACAAATAGCGGATTTGGTCATTGAATGGCCCGGCTCCTCCAATCATAATGCATCACTGGCAAGTTTTCCGCAATTTCCTATAAACATTTTTCTGAATTAATCAGGTTCCAACTATACTTTACTACGACAAATACGACAAGTTGGTCGGCTGGGGCCATGATGTCGCGCATGCGCTCGATTACAGAGGATACCAGAAACCAGGGATACAGAAAGTTGAATGCTTTCCTTTGCACCTAATAACACAGCCAAACGTGGTAGATCATAGCACACTACCCCCCCTTCCTTCTGGATTAGATTACTCTGATGTCTCAGCCGACTTCCTATGCGCGATCCGATCAGCAGTCCACCTTGCTATTCAGAAACGTTTGGGATTGACATTTGATCAAGATGACGTAAGCTATCACTGGAACTTTACCGTTCCAGGTATTATGGCAGAGGATAATAAAGAAATACTCCGACGGGTGATCGCCAGAGCTGGATTCCCCCAGGAAGAAATGGATGAACACTTATCCTTTATTAGCCACTGTGAAGCGACAATGCATCGGGAAATAGTGGAAGGTCGGGTCAACCTAGACCCCAAAAGTTCATTCATCTTCGTTGCCTGTGGGAAGACGGCGGTGGAACTGTCAGGTTATGAATTAGTCCAAATCTCACCACTGGCAATTTCCAAGCTCAGGGCGGGATCGATCCATGCTTGCGGGTAAGTTAACTCTTCTCTTCAATCAGTTTTATCTAACCCATCCAGATCCATCTCAATACAACGGAACTTTTACAAGCTTTTGTGCGACAAGGTCCGCTTCATGAAGCTCAGAGGTAATTACCGTTTGACCGCGAAAGCATATGCTAGGTGTATTCTAGATTTCACTAAGAGGATCATGATGACATTCTGTAATGATGGGTTCCGGTGGGCTGTCGATGTCGGAATTGCAAAAGACTTCTGCGTAGCAGGCTTCGAAGAAGGTTTTATGGTCTTCACGAACGATGAGATCTTATCCTGTTTCCGGCCCGTTACAGACATCATCGTAGAGATGATATGTGAGGAAATTCGCGAAGTCTCTAAAACGGGCAGGGCGATTGAGGTATTTAAACCCTTTTTTGTTTGACCAAGATATTAACACATATAGGCGATTGTCATTGCTGGAGAGCTGAGTTTTTCAAAGTTTCTGCTCGACGAAATCAAGTATGGTGTACCGTCAAGTTTGCGAGACAAGATCTTCCAATCATCAAATCCAGCATCAGAAGTCGTGACAGGGGCTGCCCATCTTGCAATGTCTCGTTTCGTGCTTAGCAATCAACACGCTCCCTCTGACGGTGGGAAGGTGAGTGTGTAGGAGGCCACCGGAGGCCGACTTTAATTACGGAAAGCTCACCAGCGGAGCAGCACCATCTATAGTTGACAAAAAATGTGGTTACTGCTCTTGTGAAGTTGGAGTCTATAAGCGGAAATTCCGGGAATATTTCTAATAATGAACTGTAAATAGTTCTTCGACCAAATGCGGCGGTTAGACCTGCGCCTCTATCCTTCAGAAAGCAGGTGGAGTATTAGTGTGAATACGAATCAGGGCTCATCAAACATTCTTGTTCATTCGGTCTGTGGTGCTTGTGCTTGTCAAAGGTTGGCTGTACCAAACCTGCAACTGTATCAACGAAGACTGTGAGGATATTCGGGTCATCAGGTTTCGTACTCAGCTCTTCCCTTCGGTGAATAAAACTGCTCTCGCGTTCTATTTAATCCCCCATTTGAGTATTGGTCCAAGCATTTATGAGCTATTAATTATTAATTGGAACGGACGGGTTGGCAGAGCTCGGAGTGACAGATCTCAAATCGTCTGGCTGACGGATTTAGACACTCCAGCTGTACAGGAACTTCATCATAGGTTTTGTGTAGAAGATGCCGAATCGATGTTTATACAAAAGGAGGGTAAGGAAGATTTCTACTGTCTTTATGGCCGGCTGCCGCTTTATCTCCCACGAAGCGTTTGGCGCTGAGTATCTAGTATTTCTGGTTTCTGAATGTCCAATATATATGTATCTGTGCAGAAGGACTAGCGATCGTCCCGTGGTATCACTTTTAGTGCATATCGTCCATACCTGGTCCCTAATCTTCGTATTTCGAATTGCAGTCTATTTTTCACGTACTTAAAGTCACAAGTAATACAGCTAATCTAATTTGTTCCACAGAACTTTAGTGAGATACAGCATATGTTCATCTCTCTTGAAATTATTACATAGTCGATAGATCATTATTCTCAACATTACGTGTTGAATAATTAAAGGCCTTCTTGAATGATCACATTATAAACTAGCCATTTCCTTTGATACGTCTCCTACGACAATGCTTACACTCATCTCAGCCCAGCGAAATAATAAACAACTGAATTGGCTATAAAAACTACAACGATTGTGTTCTTATTCCTACTTGACTCAACTTGTATACGTGGACTGCCTAGTCCCCGCGATCAAGTAAATACGCAGATAGGTAACAATACATGGTTTGCTGTAGCACATTTAAAGGGCCTTAAAAACTGCCCTTTGACAACGTCGTGCTCACTTTGACAAATTCACAGTCCAGACCCATCAGGTAATCCCCAAAATGGGGATCGACGGGTGCGTTGCCAGGCGTTGAGCGCACTCGGAGGCCGCAAAGCCTACCGTTTGCATCGATTCCATACAAAGCAACCCGGTTATTGCCCAATTGCTCAGCGCGCATGCCAAATGCCTTGTTCCCAGTCTGCGCAGAAAAAGTAGCTTGCTGACCGGAGAGGCTCATGTTCAGGGTGATTTCTTTGCCGTCATGGCTAAGTTGCATGCAACGGAAATATCCCTTGTCCCCAATCGGCCAACCCTGATTGAGCCGGTCGTCGCAATCGAAGCGTTGATAGCGGACGACCATCCCGCGGCCGGTAGGAACCGCCTGGATCTGGTATGGGTTACTTCCAGGATAGGAGATGCCGAGTTCTGATCCATCAGCGAGGGCGATTTTGTACCAGTTTTCTGGACCAGACCAGATGTTGTGGCCTTCGTTGTCTGTGAGATTCTGTGTTCAAGAGAATGAGTACGAAGGCTGGCACGGGGGTCTATCTCACACTTACCACCATAATGACAGGTGCTTCCTTGTTGATGGTCTGGTAGATGATATAGTGAAATGTGCTTGTTGAATAGGATGTAAAGTGAGTTTGTTATTTCTATTGTCCTGAATTGGGGAGGCTCCTTTCTTAAATACTTGTAGTTATCACTGCTGCCAGCCCTGGGCCAGTGCTGACATACCGTAATTATCACCGCATAGCTGGGTGGCGCCCATGGATGTAATCTCACTTCGTGTTAAGCGGGGTACTAGCTGAAATGATTGGTCTCTGGGTATGTTTGAGTTCAATATTTGGACGGTCATATTCGATAACTCATATGCGGCCCAGAGCGAGCTGGTGGGAGTGATTGGAGGGGACTGTCCGATTTATCTGCCGGTATAATCTGATTAGGCGAATGTGTGAATATTGCCGGAGTCTAACAGAGCTGAAAACAGCTCAACTGAACTTTTTTCAACAGCCATTTCCTCTTTGTTCCCATGATTTGGCCTGTTATTCAGGCAAGAGGCGTATAAGTCCCTGCTGGTGATGGCGACGCTGACCAGCCGCATAATGTATTGGAGGAAAAGGCATACGATCGGCATTTGAGGTGAGCTGAGGATGCAGCTAGTTGGCTATGCAGATTTGTTAATCGACTAGCCTCAGGCCTCGGTTTGATCAGGTTCTCACTCCATCAATGCATAAATGTCTTGATCAAATTCCGGTGCGTGTGATTCTTGGCTTCTAGCTCCACTCATAGACTTACACGTCCCTCTGCAGGCTATCCACCGTGCTCCTTATTGTCAGCAGCCTCTTTACATAGTGGCTGGCTGAGTTCAAATACGACTGTCAACTATCAACTGCGTATCCAATCCAAGGACCTCTGTTTCTTTTCGCTGTCGTCACAATGAAGCCGAGCGGCAGGTTTTGAAGTAGGGAGATCATCCTTTACGTCGCACCCACAGAGTTATTGTTATGTTTAATACCATGATTGTTAATCTCATATTAATATCTCCCTGAAATTTCGAGAGCTCGCAACTAATACCTCATAGCCTGTGTTATTCTGCGATATGCGGGGTGGCCCTGTTTGGTGGGGGTGATGTTTGGTGGGAGTATGCTCTGGAGGATATGGCAGCAGCTTTTCACTGAACTAAAGCGTCGTTGGTCAATTCTCAACGTGTTTCCACAATGATGTAGTAGTGCCAAATCATATCGTGTAAACAAGTCGAGTCTATATGAATTATACGACTTCTTTGTTACACTCAAGAGAGCCAGCAGTCCAATGACTGTCAAACTTGTCAAAGGTCTTGGAAAACGCTCCATCCATAGAGTACCTTTCTTCATGTTTCAATCGAATTCTATGAATTGAAAAGATAGTCACCTCCCTATTTATCCTCCTCTCCAGTGTCTGAAGAGCAAGTTTCCCAATCAAAGTCTTCGTCCACGTCTAGTTCTTCTTCTTCCCTACGGCAACTTTCGCAGAGCATCTCTTCATCGCTCTGATCATCGCTCTGATCATCGTCGCTGTCAGTATCGCTCATATGACAATATTCGCAGAATAACCCTTTCTCGGACGATGATTTCTTGTCGTATAAAGATTCTGTGTCGGATAAAGATTCTGTGTCTGATGAAGATTCCGTCTCGAACAATGACGCGCTATCTTCCGTTCGACTGTCAACCCCTACCAGCTCGAAATCTTCACCGAGGAGACGCAAGAGCCTCTTTGGCAATATATCTAGTTATTTGTTATCCTCTGTGGCTTGTCGGTTTGTCATGAGATACCTACATTCCTCTACACCAGCTGAAGCTTTAAATCCTCTAAACGCCTGGTGCTGCTTCATCTCATTGATGACTTGCGGGTCAGGATCATATAACTCGGAAATTCGCTTCCGCCAATAGCCCTTAATGAAATGTTCAAATGCCTCAGGGCATTGGCCTTGTTGAGTCAACTGTGTAATAAACTCTGATATTAAGTCTTCGAGTAGACGTGAGCTTGATCTTTCCCAGGCGGAGGAACGAATATCTCGAACCTTCTTGTCTCTACAACGAAGTATCGCAGCAGGCCTGACGCTCGCTGTAGAAACCATACTTTCAATGACATCCTCACTGATTGCATCAAATGTGCAGCACGTATGAGTCATGTCAAGGGCCTCAAATGTAAGAAGACGTAAAAGTTCAATGACAAAACCTGTGGGTTTCTTAGCCCCTGATGAGAGCGAGACATCGAATATTCTGTGATGAAATATGATGTGTCGCATTAAACCAAAGTCCATTCTTATTCCGGGCAGACGCTCGTCAAGATGGGACTTTAGAAGTAGCTTGATGGGCGAGCATCCATGATCTGTCGCGTTACACCAACAAACACATTCATCTTCAACTTTGATGCTTGAGAGTGAGTTTATCACCAACCAGGCATCTGATAGTTGTTGGGGCTCTTGTGATTCTCCGGCATCATAGAAAGCACCAAACATTGCTCCGATATAGTGATACGCGGTAGACGAAAGGTTGAGCCCTAGTTTGAGTGGGTCTGTTGGCGTTTGATTGAGGAATCCCTTCTCATGTAGCCAGTCAATCGCATTCAAGAATGCCCGGATTTCAAATACGTTAGGAGGCTTGAACATACGAAGACGATATGTCATTGCCGGCAGAAGACCAAGGTTATCAAAGCTCTTTATGTGATGAAATCCATTTTCCCAAAAGAGGTAAAAAGAATAAATAGGGACAGCGATACATGAATAAATCGATTTGTAGTCTCGTTCGACTCGAAGACTCCGATGGATATGAATGTTGGCCTTTTCGAGGTATTCGCAGATTTTAGCGGCTTTCATATCGGCAAAAGCTACTGTAGTGCCCTCGAGAAATTTGCCAAGCTTTTTCTGTGCCATTTCGAGTAATTGAAGTCTTCTTTTTGCGAGATTAGAAGCGAGAGTTGCCATGAAGGATCTTGAGATCCCAGAAAAAGACTCGCTTGTTCGCCGGGAGAACTCAAAAGAGCACCCTGCCCCCATTAAAATGTCCACAGACGCAATGAAGTTAGCATAACCCGCTAATATGAATGGTGGTCTATAGTAACTAGGCGACAAGCTATCATCCAAGAAACTCTTCGCCTCAGTTGATAGTAGATATCGCAAACCGTCTGGCCATGCGATAGCCAAGTGAAGAACCGTGTACGAATCTGTGTACGAGTCGACGGACGAGTTTCCCTGGGTCACTATCAATGATTCTGTTAACGTTTTCGGCTTTTGGGTGACATATTCGACAAGATCGTTGAGAGATTGTAAAAGGATCGCCTTGTGCAGCGGCGATATATCATCAGCTAAGAGATCAATTTAGTTAACATTCAATAGTGAGTTCTGCCGGATGATAAAGTCAAGAGTAGTAACTAACAGGCTCGGATAAAACTCTGAATAGGATCACTGAGTCTGTCGTTTACCAGAAGAGATATATCGTAAGGTCTGCAATTGGCCACTTTCGCTATTTGGGATAGAAGATACTGGGCATTTTGAGCCTCTGTCGCAGTCAGACTTCGAGTGTCCCATTTACTCTTCTCGTACAGTATTGGACAAAATCTGTTATAACCGAGCAAAATCAGCGGGTAGCACTTCCTAAATTAGAGACTGGGAGTTGAAGTTCACCACTTACAAAGTTCCGTCAATATCATGATTAATTAGGAGTAGCGTCTGAAAGACCCGCAGGATCGCAAAGAGAACTCGATCATCTTTTATCATTCGGTCAAGTAAAGTGCCGTCAGGATCAAAATTAATAAAGGATTCAAAGAAAGTCTAGATGGTGTTAGTACCTAAAAAAAACGTCGAATTGTAATCTCCTAACCTCGGCATGGTTCATATTGACCTCGTCTCTATCGTTTGGAGAGGCTGTTCCGTCCCGATACATGGACAAGACTTGACGTTCAATCGATTCAATGTCTTGAATGATTCGTGTTGCTGGCCTCGATTTAATGTCCCATTCCCAGATTACCTCAAAAGTTTGAAGCAGAGGACTGTGATCGCTATGAACAACGTTCCTGTACGGCACTGAAATGCCAAGCTTGCTAGTTCCAGTTGTATATTCGACGCAAGCCAAAGCCATGCGAGCGGAAAACCAAGCAACCTTGTAGGGGAATCGTGCCAACGCCTTTCGCTTGTTGTTCCTTTGGATATCGAATAACACACAGCCTCGATGGTGCTGGTCTTGTACTGCAAGTTCAAACTTCAAATGCCAGAGCATGAATGAAGTTCTTGATGTGGGCAAAATCGACGCACAATTGCACCTCGATGAAAGACTCATGCCTAGACCCGGTTCGTCTGAGATAAGGTGACCAAGTGCTAGAGGGTTTGTGGCCTGTTGCTGCGCGATAGGACCAGTGCGAGCATACCCCTGGACTCGTGAAATTTGTATTCCCTTTAGGATAAACTAGTTAGCTACTGCTCCCTTTATAAGCTCAATTTTTTAAGAGTGCTATACCATATTCGAGAGTGATTCTGAGTGGGAGGCTAATGTCTGCGTAATCTCTTCGATCTTCGCAGCCGTCACACCATTGTTATGTGCGATGGAGCTGAGCCCTGTTTCAATCACCGTTAATCGTCCGTCAACCATTTGGCCAAAGTCACGGATAAGCCATTGTGTCTCGTGTTGCTGGTCACCGATGCCCACAAGAATTCCAGCTATTGTGGACTTCAAGGATTCGAGGTGATCGGAATTATGTCGTACTTGGGTTTGCAAATTTTGTATACAGTCATTCTGATGCGTTGAATTGCTGCGGGCCTCATGTGAAATAAGTTGAATGTCTTGGCTGATGTTGTGATTGAACTCCCTAATTGTGATCAGCGAGAGAGAAAAGTAAGGTACAAAAGGGGCCGGGGGCTCTATACAGTGACACAATCTGAATGGCGAGTCTTAAATCGCTTAGATCCTTTCGTAAAGACTGGTGAAGTGAGTTCACTTTCGCTTGTTGAAATGGGTAAACGAGTGAATGTCTCGCGTCTCTGACTATCCGTGAGGTGCCACTGGATTGTTGCGGAGGGTTGAGCTTGACAAGAAAAGCCTGCAGCTTCTCGAGACTCGAATAGCATCTTTTGAGACTGGCTGCAAGCGATTCTGTGTATCGCCTTGTGTTGATACCGCGGAGTGTGTTGTTGAGGCTGTAGATTAGTAACACAACTTGTTGTACGTCCTGTATGCTGTCTTGAATCTCTTCTTTGCGTCCTTTCGCTGCTTGAATGTAATTAATGAGGCCCTGGCAGACTTGTATTCCCAGCGACACAATTCCAACAGCAGTACCTGCTACTGAGAGGGGATCGGACATGTTGGAGATGTGCCGGACCAAGGCAGTCAATCAGACCGACTCAGGTATGCACTACTTCCCTGGAAATGTGTTGATTTTAAGAAATGAAGTGATCGAGAGGGGTAAAGGGAGTATGGAGTAAACTAGCAGTCTTATTGGACAGATTAATTGGTCATCTGACCAGCGCCACCGCAGTTATTTGGTTTTTAAGACATTAACTAGAGGTAAGGCATACAAGGCGGACAAGGCAACCAAGGCTTGATCTTCATCTGCGGCTTAGCCAGAAGCTTGATGCGGCGGATCATTCTACGTGGCCAGGACTACACCGACTTCCGAAGTCATAGTGTTGGTTATGAAGCTTTGATATTTCATGAAGGATTCTTCCTTCAATCCTTAATGACATAATAAGGACGTAGGCAGGGCGATGATCAGCGTTCAGCTGCTCGAAGGATTTACCTGATGATCCTGGCCCCACACGACAACAAGTATAAGTATGAAGTGACTATATGCTACTGGAGCCATAATCGATCTTCTCTTCACAAAAAGTTCTACCCCTCCTTCCGAAGTACCAGATCACATAATTATGAAGCTTCTCGCCGCCCTCACCTTTGCCCTTTCAGCCCTGGGCTTAGCGTCTGCTACCAAGTGCTGTGCTGACAAGAGTGTACGTATCTCTTTGGACGATGTGAATCTTAGTCTATATTCTTATTAATAATGTATTGGCAGTGCTCTGGTGATTGCGTCCCCATTGCGGGGATGGAGGGCGAGCTTGTCTCTTGTCCCTTGCAAAAGCCCCAGCCATGCGAGGGCGACCCTTAGACACAAGATGTCAATGACGAGCCGGGGAGGATCTTACAAATTCTATGGAAACCGAGCCAGCCACCTCATGCAGTTGAGACGCGTTAACAAGTCGGACCTGGGTAGGACGTATGTAATTAGGTGGCATAGCATCAATTTGGATCGAGAGGATAAGACAGCCCAAGCGCTAGAAGAATAAATAACACAGGAAGCTTATCGAAAGAAAATTCCAGTGAAACGTATGAGTAATATTCCTCCTGTTTTATGATTACCATCGTCCCTTCTAGAGACGTGGATTTAGCCTCCCTGCTGAGCATCTTACCCAACATTCTGGCCTAGCAACCTATATATAATAGCTATTTACCATTTCTTTTTTTTGGCTTTGCCTATGCGAAAAGGTGGCAAATATTTAATTATAAGGACCTAAATCCGGATGATGATTATTCGCATTCAGTTAGATCCGCATTCTCATCGGGCAATGTTCGCTTACATTTCCTGATCAGGACTCTTGCATAGCACGCTCCGCTTATTGGTAAGGCGTAGTTCCAGGCTTCCTTGCATAGCCTCATTGTCATTTTATCATCATTCATGGCAATGTAATTTCAGATTGCCTGAGCCCATTCCCCTCTCAATATCCACCATAGTAGGAAACCATGATGGCTGAGGAGGTCAGTGGACAAGCAGCATTTTGGATTCTACTATCCCTTGCCACCGCCGCAATCGCTCAACCCACCAGAAGTTGGCGAAGAAAAGAGCGCGATCTCTTTGGCGGCCATGTTGACCTCGCCCGATGCATTCCAACCGTATGCTTCATCGACGCGGTATGCGACCTGATATTTCTAGGTATATCTGCTCGACGGTCGCTGTCAACTTCAGATTCAGCACCAGCGCGTCAGCGAATATTGCCGAAAGCCAGTGCGCTCATCGTCAAACTAGCTCTGTCGGTATTTACTGTGTTGCCTCAGACAATCAAGGTCTTTAGTCTCAAGGGCGTCCCGGGAACACAGACCTGTGCATTCCTCTTCTTCCTCGCCTTCACGACGAAACTACTCGTGGATATCTGCGGGTTGGAGGAGGAAGAGGAAGAAAACGAGGCTGATTCTGTGGAAACCAAGGATGATTCATTAGATGGCATCGTCCTGGCGGCTGTGTTGCTTCAAACTCCCTTTGAGGTCTGGATTTGGTGCAATATCAGTAACTCCGGATCACTCCAGGCCCCCCATGATTTGGCTGCCTTTTGCACATGGTCTGCATCGTGTTGCGTCATAATTATGGTCCTTCAAATAATCATCTGGATTATGTATGTGCTGGTACGTCAACGATTCGATGTTACAGGATCTCCTCATGTGGTTCCGATGCGTGGGCTCTACATACTTCTTTTGGTCTTGGGAGTAGCCAAGAGTGGTCCCGAAGCAGAAAAGTCCACCAGCACTATCGTGCCACCTCCGGATTCCGTCCGAAATTTTACTCATGGGCTGAGTTTGATGTCGCTCACTGGCATTCTGAGTCTCGCAGTAACCAAGGTGTTGGATTTTGGCATCAGGGCGCTCCTATCAGAGAAAACGCAGCCAACAGTCCCCACGCTAGATACACAGTCCACGATCAATGAAGACAGTACCGTAAGAAGCGAAGAAGAAACTTTCCCGTCACCCCCAAATAGGCTTCCTATTAGTTGGGTGGGAAAGATTGGCACTGTTATGGATCGTTGGGTTGAGCGCATTCTCACTGCACGCTCAGCAGCCACTGTTACTATGATGCTAGCGGTTTTTAACCTCATCACCACGATTGTATACTATCTTGTGTGTTTTGATGGAACGGGGACAGAGAATCCCAGCTGGACGAGTGTGCTTGGCTAGGGCTAGGGAGATGTATGGCAGTGAACAATAGGGACTGTGATTGAAAGCAGTTGTCGTTTATTTATTGGCCTTTTCTGTCTCATTGGCAAGAAAGGAATATACATTGTGCTTCACTATAATAAATAGATATATAAGCAGCTTTAATATCCCACAAATAAAGTTTTATCTTTTTGTTAGCATTGGAATCCTGGAGTTAAAGAAGACCGCTACTATCTGAATTTATTACACCCAGAAACTAACTATCACACTTCACAGTGCCCATAGGTGTGACATCGAGATGTGCCGCCTCATAGACATAACACTTCAGTGTCAAAATTGCGGACTCGCCGTCGGTTGGGAGAATGATTACCGACGATGCAAGATAGCCAAAGAACAATCGCGAGTCGCGCGCTGCCCAGACGACCGATGTACCGAGAGCTCCAAAACAAAATTGGTACACTGGAGTCCCTGCGATACCTGCGTTGATGCGTACAATGAGTGGCTAAGAGCCCTTGAGCGGGAAGAAGAGGAGCAACGGCTGCGATACCGGCAACAACAGCTGGAGCGGCGGTAAAGGCCTCTTAATACCTAGGATGGTGATAGATCGCGGCACTGAATCAATCTAGCAAGATAGCATACGGCTCTGTTAAAGAGCGCCTAATCAAAGCTGGTCTCTGGATCACTGAGATATCTGATTGTATAAGTGTTATTACATCTCCCCCGATAGGTTCTCCTTCCCTTCATCAAACTGTTAGTAAATATTCCATTTTAGGAGACCAACGGGATTATATTAAACCATCATCATCATCATAGTACAACACCCTACTTAACTTCTTCAAGAAAAGACACCATGTGCACAGTTACTCTCGTAACAAGTTCTTGCGGTGGCTGCGACCACCAATATAAACCCCAGGAAAAGACGACTCATTGCGAGCTAGCCAAATTCATCCCAGTCTTGAAGAAGTGCCCTGGTGATGAATGCTGGTATGCCGAGAGACACGAGACAATTACATGGGAATCTTGCAAAAAGTGTTGGGCTGAACATCTGGCAAAATTGGAGGAAGAGAAAAAGGATGAGGCACAAACAAAGTGATAGGAAGGCAATCAACTAGCTAGGGGATGCATGCGGTTATTGCTCTGTAGGATATGAATTTTGAACTAAACAGGTACGTTCGAGACGCTTTCTTAAGGCCAGCTGTCAAAATTGATAATTAATGATATACTCACATTGATTATTACTTATATGTGTTGCGCAGACTTTTGAACATGTAGACGAGAATGGATCAACACCGGCTCATACAAACCTCCGTCGATCACGTTGCTACCAAATACCCAAAGGTTACCAGGTCTTAGACCGTGCAATATTAAAAGTTCCGTCCAACTACAAGTGTTTCGCGTACCAAGCTCTCAAAAACAGATTGTTTTACAACCGCGCCAAACCTGTTTGATCATCAGTGAAAGAAACGCATCATCATTGCCGCAAAGACTGACCCGTGGCACTTTACAGCCTTCTTCAATTTCGTAGCAAGCGTGCCCAAGCTCCGTATATCAAACCCACCAAAATTTGGCCTACACCGGATGCTATTCCACGCTTGAATTGGCGTCATGTCTCCTTCATCAGACAAGTCCGGCGCCAGAGCTAGCAATCGATCTAGCATACCTTTCGGTATATTACCAAAGGCCGGAGATACCGGCGGAGGGGAATTGCTGTTTGGCGATAGGTAGTCGCACGCGGCGACAAGGTGTGCGGAGGCGGTCATGGCATGGTTGGCTGGTTCGTCGGGTTTCTTTGGGTCGCCGTGGAAATGGCCTAGACAGGGCTCCTCAATCCTTTGTCACTTGTTAGCAGAGATGCGCTGATATGGTAAGGGAAACATACTTTAACACAAACTCCATGCCTGCAACAATCTGATCCACCTCACACACGCGAGAGTTAGACAAAACCCCTTGTGCAAATAGAATGGGACCCGGTGAGCTCCCAGGCGAATTGTAAAAGTCACCGAAAGAACTTGGCGAGATGAGCTGCGGAGAGGGTACTATATCCACAGCTTGGCCACCTGTGCCATAATTGGGTGACAGGCCGCTTGATGATGCGGTTGTGCTGGACAAGATGGGCCATTCACTACTTGTATAGGTAGGATCTTTGGACTTGACTTCGGAAGGGAAGCCTATGCCGTGTTGGGCGAGCTGATCAACAGCGACTTGAAGATTCGAACGAAGCTGTGCGCATTCACGCATTAATTCTGCCTCGCTAGACCGAGATTTGGCCAACTCATCTTCGAGAGTTCTAGCATATCTGTCCTTGCGGTTGCGATATGATCTGACGAGTACAGTTTAGTAAGAAGTGACTGGGTAGTGCGGTGGAATATTCTTACTGTTGCGCTCGCCGGAGCTGGGCCCGTCTTTTCTCAACGGGGTTTTCCTTCGGCTCTGTTGAGGTGAGTGATTAACAAGACTGTTAAGTACTAGCGAGGAGTGACTAACCGCCAGGATTAAAGATTCGGAAAATAGTATTACTCATCGTTTAAACTGAGACAAGTCAAGATGAACGGGGGTAAGAAAGGTAAGGATGAAAAAAAAGCATAAGAAAATCAGTGAAAGTCAGAAAGAGTGAGTGCAGGTGCTGGAAAGGTTTGGTCCTCGCTCATGATTAGTCAAACAACGAGTCTGACTCCACTGGCTATGCCCCTAGGCGCTAGCGGTGCAACTGTAACGCTGTATTGCTAGTGGAGGCTGGGGAAACAGGACTTACGGTTACAGGGGGCTGGCACGAAGAAACATTCACCCATCAACCCTCTTCAGCATGATTAAGCTCTAAGAATCGAACAGTCTCATACTATGAAGACTATGCTGCAGGTAGACTGGATCAAAACTCGTTTTACCCATGTTTTGGAAAAAATAGTCACTAAGAAGCCGTTTGACGGCGTTGAACGTTTGAGTTTCAGCGATGTTTCACAATTTGGTAGGTCAGCGAGTCTCACCCACAGCAAATGATGAGAATATCAAGATTTCCCAAACAGGAATAGTCGCCACACCCAGGCATGCTTTCGTGTGGCTTACCGTGATAGAGCGAAGCAGGGCGGCACAACGGCCTACAAATGGTAGAACTAAGGTGCCGAACTCCGTAGGGTATCCGTAAACCATTTTTAAGCTTAGAGTGGCCATGGGGTGACATCATTAGTTGGAGAAAACAGGGATTCTTATTGTTGATCATTGAGATATTTGAAAAGCCTGGGCTTGATAAAGTTGAAAGTTAAAGCAAAAAAACAATACAACCAAAAGGACTGACATAATGAGAACGCGGTTGAAAACAAAGTTGTGTGAAGTTTTCCCTTTTGTTTGAGCCGACACACTGTGGCTTGTCACTCAGTTATGTACGGACACAGGGAAATGAGATGACAACTAAATCCTCACTTGAAAATCATTGATGACAGCAACATCTTGTGCCCTGCAGCAACATATGCATAATAAATTCCTCTGTTCCAGTGACGTTTCCTGTATCTTGCCTCACAACCCTTGCCTACCCTGTGGTTTTCCCCATTCCAGCGCGCTATGCCGTAAGAGGAAATTATGATTATGAGGGCAGGGGGACTTTGGTTTCATTGCGCACCGTTTCACCGTGGATTAAGTGGAAACTTGACCGGTAGCCGGTTGTTGGAGAGTTTGTTTGTATTCCCAAAAGGGTAACTTGGATTACTCGATTATTTGACCCTTAATATTGTGCGACCATATCGCTCGAACGGAATCAATGTCGAAGACTTGTATAAAGATGGATGTCGCCAACCGCTAAATAAATGATCACTACAGCATTCACTCAACAATTTACATTCACAGTCATTCATTCTTCGCAGCAGGCCTGCTTTCATCCCAAACCATCTTCCTCTAGACCCTCTTTTCAACAAATCCTACTCCACCCTTCAAAATGGTTCCCTCATTCAGATCTTGTTTCTTTCTTCCTGCATTGACATGGCTGGCGCAAGAAGTCAGCAGTCACCCTGCTTGTCGCCCATCCATGGAGAGCGCTGGCGCAATGGGCAAAGCCATCTACCTCATCACCAACGAGGAGACCAACGGCGTCCTTGCGCTACCTATCGGCAAAGACGGCACTCTATCTAAGGGTAGCATCACCATGACAGGCGGTGCTGGCTCTGTGGCTGTTGATGCTGATGGTAACCCTGCTACACCAGATGCGCTGGTCAGTCAGTCATCTCTGACCATCGCAGGCAAGGTAAGTCCCCTCAACCCCACCACCATATGTAAAAGCTGAATTAACTCCCATTATAGCATGTCTTTGCTGTGAACGCAGGCTCGAACACCCTTAGCATGCTGACCATCTCGCGATCCGATCCCACCAAACTCGAAATGGTCGGCAAACCGGTCGACATCCCCGGCGAGTTCCCCAACACCGTCGCCGCCTCGATGAAAAACAAGGTCGTCTGCGTGGGCTCAACTGGCGCCAAAGCTGGTGTTTCCTGCAGTAGCTTCTCCAAGAAAGGCCTCGGTGCTATGGATGAGCTACGACCGTTCGACCTCAAGCAGACGACACCACCCAAGGGACCTACCAATACCGTTTCGCAAGTCCTCTTTTCCGAGGACGAGAGCATGCTGCTTGCCATGGTCAAGGGTGACCCGGCGGTCAACAACACTGGTTTCCTCTCCTCTATGAATGTTGAGAGGTCCAACGGTGCTGCAGCCGTCAGCAAGGATGAAGTTCGCAGCTCCCCCGAAGGAACCGCCGTGCTATTTGGCTCCCAGATCATCCCCGGTACCTCAAAGGTCTTCGCCACCGATGCCTCTTTCGGCGCCGCAATCCTCAACGTCGACCCCAACAGCTGCGAGGCCACAACCGTAGCCACCGGAAAAGTCGATGGCCAAGCCGCAACATGCTGGGTGGCCATTTCACCCAAGACCAAGACAGCTTTCGTGACCGACGTTGGCAAGAACCGAATTGTCGAGATGAGCCTTGAGGACGCCAGCGTTATCTCTGAGCTTGACTTGAGCTGCAATGGCGACCCTGGCCTGATTGACCTGGCTGCTGCTGGTAACTTTATCTATGCGCTGTCACCTGGAAACGGTACCACTGAGGCTGCGGTGTCTGTTATTGATGTGTCGGGTGGTTCTGGATCAGCCAAGATGGCGCAGCACTTTGAACTGAAGGGTATGGCGGGCAAGACTGCCATGGGAATGAAGGTCATGGTATAATGGAGGTGGCTTGATCGAGGATTGTCGATTTCAGAAGGAATTTGTTTGTTAGAGAATAGAAAATGTAGTTAATGCCGGTTTTATTGATTCAAAGCTAATATTGCTTTGCTTGTGGATAAGAAAAGTGATTAAGAAGTCTTTATCTATATATTTAGTTTTAAAACACCTAAACAGTGTTTACAGACTTGGGGCAAAAGACAAAAGACACCGCTCTTCTTATTGAGGCTCTACGCTCCATCGCTGGGAAATGACATTGTTAAGGGCTAGAAATGTGGTGACTCGTATCTGAATAATTAACTTCGCTCATATAGCACTCTTGAATTAGTGACCATGTAATAAAATTCGTGATAGCGATACCAGCAGCATATTCTTCTTTTCCGTCCAGTCACGCGGTTCTACGATATGCCCTTTAGCCTTTTGTGACGCTGCTTTATTAAACATGCCACCTGCTTAGGCTGGTCCACTTACGGGTTTTAAACCTACCCTTGCATTGACCAGCGTACTCCCTGCAATTAAGGAACAATAACCTTATAAAATCCTAGTAGCCCAGCAACTGCTCACAACACGTCCCAACACCCTTCGATAAGTCTGATAATGTTAATTTGCAGGAGTAATAAATCTGTTGCTATAATCAATCGACCTACTAATAAATCTCAGTCAAAGACATGGGCTGCCAAGCCAGTAGGAGCTTAGATGCCCTGCCAGTTTATATGTCAGCGATGTCATACGAAAGGCGCCTATGACCCCGCTTTAGTCCCGGATGAGAAACAGCCTTCTTGGCTCTATGACAAGTTACCCTTGACGCTGCAGCAAAATGCCGTCATTTTAGTGATCCTTCAGAAAGGGCGCCCTTGAAACGCGCCCTTCATGTGATGTCCCTATAGGGCTGTAAGTCATATAAAATGTTCTCCATACTATGCTGCGATATAAAGGTCATTCAGATTCAGGTCATACTTTAAGCTCACACATTGTCTTCAATTGAAGACTGTCATTCTGCATTTCAGTATGGCGACTACGAGTACAATCACCCATTCAATCACACTATCCCCTCTTGACCGGTCAAAACCTCAAGATGACAATATTGAATTGTCCCTGACCCGCGATAACGGGGTCAACCCACCCAACAGTTCACAAGACGCCATCGCCAACGAAGAAGAAGCACCTGAGCATGCCACAAGCGCTATCCCTGACGGTGGTTACGGCTGGACCATTGTCGCCGCCTGCTCAATTCTTCTCTTCTGGATCAATGGCTACACAACCGCCTGGGGTGTCTTGCAAGCAGCTATAGTCCAATCACCCCAGCTAGACACCAATATTCGCACGATTACTTTTGTTGGGAGTTTGTACATGGCTTGTATGGTCGCGTTTGGCCTGGCATCTGTGCGACTTGCCAGATCGTTTGGTATTCGATCGACCAGTCTTGTAGCTACAGTACTCTTCGGGTCCGGCTTGATAGTCACGAGCTTCACGCTTGAACATCTCGCTGGGCTGTTCTGCATCGCTGGACTCCTCGTGGGATTATCAACGTCCCTCTTGTATACCGCAACCAACACACTGCCAATCCAATGGTTCAGTAGCAAGCTCGGTACAGCGAACGGCATGGTAAAGGCAGGAGGTGGTGTCGGTGCGACTGTCCTCCCTCTAGCAACACAAGCCATGATTGATAAGCTTGGCCTACAATGGACATTCCGAATCCTCGGCTTCTGCATCCTGGCGACTGGAATTCCCTGTGCACTATTCCTCCAGGAGCGCAACCGAGGTGGCTCAACATCACGATTTGACTGGTCCCAGTTGAAGAGCATGCCCTTTCTGACTCTTACCATGGCCGGAGCTGTCGGTGTGTTTGCATTATTTGTGCCTCCATTCTTCTTGCCCGTCTTTGCCAGATCCATCGGCCTCTCGGCGTCTACGGGCGCTGGGTTGGTAGCTGGTTTCGGTGCCTCAACGGCTGTTGGCCGGCTTGGAGGGGGCTGGGTATGCGACAGAATCGGTGCATTTAATGCACTTGCACTTGCAGCTTTGATGAACAGTGTTTCCATGTTGGCAATTTGGCCCGTCAGCTCATCACTCCCACCGCTGTTCGCCTTTGCGATCATCAACGGATGTGCAAATGGGAGTTTCTTCGTCGCACTCCCTACTGCCGTGGCCGCACTTGCTCCAGGCTCAGCTGCAGCGTCTATCAGCTTGATGACCTCATTCTGGACTCCCGGGTACCTGATGGGAGCGCCTCTGGCCGGTATTCTGATTGATGCTTCAAAAGCATCGGAGGCGTCTTCGATTGAGCCATATAGGGGAGCTATCTTCTATGCTGCAGGAGTTGGGACGGTTGCCACTCTTTTGATTGTTGCGTCCAGGATGATGTTGAGCAAGAAATTGATTAAAAGGCTATAGATATCGGCAGATAGTTAGAGTTTAGTAATTAAACGTTCAATTCTTGCCCCAATGGCAGTGCATAACCTCCTATACTAATGTGATATTGATCGGCAGGTTCCAATTTATATCAGCGGGGGTACCCCAGGGCTTTCCGCGTCGGCTTGGTCGGCATATGATTAGATAGCGCCTAGATAAACTCACAGCCCCCAACAACTCGCGACGATCGTGTCTAAGCCAGCCGCGACTAGCCAGAAGGGGTAAAACCATGCGACACGTCACTCTGTGATACGCGATAATCTTGTGTATTGGAAGAAGGATTCGGACTCGAGTGGCACAGAATGAAACAAGCAAGATTACTGCCTTGTCAACCTGTTTAAACTACCACTTATTACCAAATAAACCCGAGCTTGAGGCTGTGAAAGACGTCATTTCTGCTGTGACCGCTTACTTTTGGAGGCCACTAGCCGTTTGTCTCTCGTGATACCTTAGCGCTCACCCGAGTTTGCCGTGCTGAAAGCTTGTTGGGTGACATTGTCCATACAGCAATCCAGACCCCTGTCCAACCTTTAGTGCAGGTCTGAAAACTTATTTATATCATCATGCATCTGTCACTTCACTCCATTTCTTGTTCAGATAATCTCAGATAACCAAGTTTGAAGGATGAGATTCAACGTTCTTGCTTTGTTGCCGTTTTTGGCATTGGCTTCTGCAAAGTCTCAAGTGCATGATGGGAGCTTTACACCGGATTATGTGCTCGAGGCAACCCTGGATGACATCAAAGTCAATTGCATGTCAAGGTCTTCGGTGGTTTTCAATGGCACTTCTCCCGGCCCGACTCTGTACCTCAAGGAGGAGCAGACCACCTGGATCAGAGTATACAATCGAGTACCAGACAACAATGTCACAGTAGTACGTTCTCGATTCCATCTCTGCAAACGCATCAGCTCACAATAGCAGCACTGGCATGGCCTGAGCCAACGAGCCGCACCTTTCTCCGACGGTACTCCTCTTGTCAGCCAATGGCCCATTCCAGCGAATCAATTCTTCGACTACGAGATTCGTCCCGAGCGCGGAGATGCAGGATCATATTTCTATCATTCCCACGTCGGTTTCCAAAGCCTAACAGCTCATGGCGCCTTGATTGTCTGGGATGCCGATAAACCAGAATATGACTACGATGAAGATGTGTCGCTCCTTGTGGGTGACAACTATGTAGCAGAAGACGAAACAATCGAGGCTGGACTTCTCGCAGACCCCTTCAAATGGTCTGGTGAACCACAATCTATCACGCTGCAGGGAAAGAGCGGTAACAAAAGCTCTGACGATGCACCGGATCTCAGCTGCACGCCACACATCATTCATGTCGATCCTGGTAAAACCTACCGTCTTCGCTTCATTAGCGCAACTGCTCTATCGTTGATCAAGCTTGGAGTCGAGGACCACGACAACTTCACTGTCATCGAAGCTGACGGCTCATATACCAAACCTGCAGCTATCGATCATGTGCAGGTCTCTTCAGGTCAACGCTTCAGCTACCTCCTGACGACAAAGTCCAAAGACGAAGTTTGCGATGGAGAGAAGTCGCAATTCTGGGTTCGATATGAGAGTCGTGACCGACCAAAAGTGATACCCGGTTACGCCTTGCTCAAGTATCGATGCAACGATGAAGTTGCTTTACCGAAAGCCCTCCCCTCCTCGTCGCCTGTCGAGTTATCTAACAAGACCTACGACTATCTTGAGTATACCCTCGAAGGATTGTCTGAAAAGAACAACCGAGCATTCCCTCGCTTGTCGGAGGTCACGAGAACTGTTACTATCCAGATCAATCAGATCCTGACCACTGGTCAGTACGAGAACGGAACATTGAACGGAACAGTAGCCTGGGCGTGAGTTGACACTGGAGCCACATTCTGCTTTACACTACTAACAATAATAACTAGTCAAAACGGACTTCCGTGGAAGGAAAGTGTCCAGGCTGAACATAACCAGGTCCCGTATCTCATCCAGGTATACGAGACTGGCAAGACTCCCAACTACACGTTAGCCTTGGAGCACAACGGTTTCGACCCTGAGACGAAAGCCTTCCCAGCCAAGGTCGGTGAGGTTCTTGATATTGTATGGGAGAACAACAATGGACCTACCGGCGGCTGGGATTTCCATCCCATGCATGTCCATGGCTATCACGTCTACGATCTAGGTTCTGGCAACGGCACCTACGACGCGCAAAAGAACGAAGAGCATTTCAAGAACTTCACACCCGTTCTGCGAGACACCACGAACCTCTACCGATACGCCGTCAAAGGCGTTCCACACAACACTGCAGGTTGGCGCGCGTGGAGAATCCGAATCACCGAGGATAATATCGGAGCTTGGATGATGCACTGCCACGTTGCCCAGCATCAGGTCATGGGTATGGCTACTGTCTGGGTGTTTGGTGATGCTGAAGATATTCGCGGCAAGTTCCCAGCCGTACCGTATACGCAGGGGTACTTGAACTATGGTGGTAGCGCTTATGGCAGTGAGGACACGGAGCCTGTGGTGAACCATTATTACGCCTCTAAGGATGATTGAGAAATTTATTATTAGATATACTAGATTACGAAAGCTTGTTGACCTTTTGAATTCTGCTTTAGTTGAATAGAGTAAATAAAATCACTGAAATAACAATTCTGGCAGTGTTTCGATTTCCAACCGAGGGCTCAAAGCATCAAGTATCATACACAGCAGCTTTGTAAAATAGTTGTAAGACTAACTAAGGTGCTTCGTGTAATCCCGGAACGGTTCTGATGGGGTGGTCATAAGGGTTCCGTGAGTCGCCTGGCAGCTCAGCCTTTTGTTCCATAGAGTATACACATTGTTCTGGCTGGCATTCAATACCGTTTGCACTATCGCGTCCGTCCCTTTTCGTGATAAACCTCTTCCAAATCAAATATCCGAACCCCCCAAAGATGAAGAGTCCTCCAAGTAATGCGCCGATGGCTATGCCTGCAGTGGCCCCTTGAGATAACCCGGGGTTGGCTGTGGCAGTTGTGCTCGATTTTGTTTCCTCGCTCGAAGATATGTTGGTTGTCGTGGGTGCCGTGGAGGATTTTAATCCGGACTCGGTCAAGGGTCCAGTCGTGGATGATATGTCTCGGTAAGTCAAAGTCGTCGCGATGGTGACATATTTGGTTTCGTCAGGCTTTGGAGCGCTAACATTTAAGTTTTGAGAAGTTGCTAGCGCGCCTTTAATGCCATGCTCGTATAGCACGAAGCTGTAAATCGAGTCTTCATTGTTCTTTGATAGGCCGCCAAAGTTGTATTCAAAAGTCCACGACAAGCTTGTCGACTTGGAAATCTCTATGAGGTGAATTGTAATTAGCATAATGAATCACCAACTCAGTAGAAATTGATCCTCCTTACTGAGAATTGGACTGTAAATGTACTGGTCACCAACTTGCTGCCAAATCTGGAGACTGATTATGTCTAGATCTGTTTCCCAAAGGATGTTGATTGTATCACCGTGAATGTAACGTATGTTGTTGGCTGGTTCTGAGTCGGCGTCTTGGTTCTTGTCCAACTCTGCGGGACGGATGAATCTGCTGTCACACCATATCAGATGGGCAAATATAACGGAAACTAGAGTAAAGGTGGAAAGGAGGTGCATATCAATGAGGATGCCCGGCCTTGGCTAGGAATGTGTCACTGAGACGCTCGGATATGCTTTAGGTATCAGAGAGCATCAACTGTATTGGAAATTTCGGGTGGGGTATGGTGTCTTTTGAATATTAGGTGAGGTCGTTAAACGGGCCCTTTGAAATTACTCTGCAGCCAATTAATAGTTTATCATGTAGCTCATGGTCCATAAGCAGTCTAGTCGAGATCAACCAACAACCAACGCCACATCGCATTCACGGCCTGATTATTGGCACATCAAACTTGCGAGACATCTATTGTTACAGTTTAATACATCAGAAAGATCTTCAATCATGGTTAAAATGGAGAATCAAGTGTCTGATCAAGGGGGGATTAGCTTCCAGTAGTTACGAAATTCATCGAGCAGTCGTACATATCTTCGATCCCAAAGTTTTCGCTAAAGTTATATCTGTATAACCTTGACTACTGCCATTATCTCCAATTTGCGCCCTCAGTTACCGTATAATTCCAGGCGGTTACCTCGACTTGGCGGCCGCATTGATAGGTTTCCTTATTGGCTTCCTCGAAAAGGGCCGCCCGGCAGCTCGCCTTTTGACGAATCATGTGTCGAATCTAAACTTATCACGGCGCCTAACCACTGTCGGATGAAAATCCTTGTTTAAAGCATCTTAGTAGTATTATATCATGAGTACTGTAAGTCTGCTATACAATTGGTGGTCTTCTCCGTGCTTATTCACTATTTCAGGTTATTGTTCTTGTATGTACCATAACTTCCAGGTGCCTATTATTTTATGAGGAGATGCAGCATGTAACGAGATAGTCATGAGCGTCTACATTGATACTCATATTGGTTTACAAAATTCGAACTTCCTATGTTTCATGACATCTTTATAGTAGGATATAGTTATTTATGCTAGATCAATATTGGGGGTTGACAAGGTTGTCGGAGAGGTAAGTCTGGATTTAAGGGACGACGGCGCTTGCACGTTGGTAATGTTATAGGATGCAAGATTGTTCTTTTGGAAGAAGAGAAATTATCAAGCCAATGGATAATATCTATCATTAGCATTTTGCGCGTGTGATGCGACTTGCGTGTACCAGTTAATGGTTAACATAATTGTCGTTGGTCATGGCTTTGCTGGGTTGCCTACTCCGTAGGTAGTGCTATAATAAGATAAGCTATCTATAAGGCTGGGTCTCTCTTTTAAATCAATTAAAACGTGTTAATACTCTAGCAGATAATTCAATATTCTTATAAAACTAGTAACAGGTTAAGAGAACCATACAATGATAAATATCCAACTATTATTCATAACCTTTTCTTCTTATTAATTTCTTCCACTACACTTTATTCCCCCATTTATATTCTAACTTCTTCAAAACTATAACCCTTACCAACCACACCAAACTTCGGGCCTGGAAATGGAAACCATTATTAAACAGATGATTGACGAGGTATGGTTTTTCCCGCGCGGGGGGACCAAGGTTGGGCCTGGAGGGAGAAAAAATCCCGACAATTTTAAGCACTACCGCAAATGGGGCTTTACTGTCTACCGCACCTACTACGGAGAGGAGTCCGACAAGTATTGGCAGTCGCTTCTGTACTCTTTAAGACATCAAACCAAACTGGCATTTGGATCTTTTGAAGACGAGAAAGACATAGATCAGGATGATAGGCGACGAGTTCAGGAGCTATTTCAACTAGATGTCTGTGACGATCCTTCACTACTTGGTGGACTTGACGTCCGAGGTCTACGGGAAGTCTGCAACGCTCAATTACTCAAGGAGACCCAAGTTATACAGCAAGGTTGTCAGACAGTCCGCGTGACCACAAGGCCTCGTGAGGATCAAGCTATGGCGGACTATCTTTTTGGTTTCGTTTTACTCGCTGATGAAGCAGTCCTGAAGGATATAGAAAGAGGCGAATACATCGTCAAGGCCGTCTCATTGCAATGGGATGGTTATACTGGATGGGGATGGGTGAGGATCCCAACAGGCTATCTGGTGGAATTGTGGACATACCTCATGTGGCATGATGACCGATTAGAGAGATGCCTCTACTTTCACGGATCTGAAGAAGATCTCGCGGACCGAGTTTGGCCCGGAGATATGGCACTTCACAATACAGGGGGTTGTTCCGAGATTCGGTATTGGCGACACTACGAAAACCAAGACGAAATGTATTAAAGAAGCATATGAAAGTGATCACAATGGTATCAGATCACGCTGCAAACATCCATAAGGCCTAGCTACCCCGGGAGGCAAAAGTTGGCATATACGATCTTGTGAATTATGAGCTACATCGCACTGGGCATGTCTCCGGCCCTTTTCGCCTCGTCGGGCCTTTCAACCAACACAGCATTGCATTTGAATGGAGGGTTTGTTGTCACGGTGCACTACTGCGGCTCCGCTTTTGCTAGAGCCAACAGCTTTAGATCCTTGTAAGTCATGACTCTACCAAGAATGGACACAGACACAGCTCCACCTGTTGGTTTTGCGAATACGTAAAATCACGGTTATTAGCATTCACATGCTAGGAAAATTCACGCACCTGTTCCTGGCTGCTGCCTAATTATTGACTAGCGCCAACACAACCAACGGGTAAAACAGCCCCCCGAGATTGACTCACGGGGTAGGGGACGGGTGCTTTGATTATTGCTTGTTCTGCAATACCCCCATCAAGGAGTGTCAACTCTAAGCATTCTAAAATGCACCAGCAGGTACAAGAGAGACTTGTGTCATTTACTCAAAGCTCCCATTAAAGCCCTTGCCAAACAGGAATATATGCTGGTGAACCTACCTCGCCAGTCTTACCCTTTGCAAAACCGCCTTCCTTGGCAAAAGCAAAACGCTGCTCGTCAAGTGCAGAACTCCACTATGGACGAGTAAATTGGAGTCAAAGTCGGTTGTAAAACGGGAAGTTGGTGTCTGTTGCTCGCTTGACTCTTGTGAACGGGTCCACCTAAAGAGGCTAGCATCAACGGATCACTGCAATCGCACCCCTGCAGATACGAGGCGAATATCACATTTATAATCGCCCGCCGTATCCCCTAATCCTCAGTTGTTCCTTACGTTATCACCTTCTGTCAATCTTTAGACCCGGTGAATTTTCACGATGCATTTCTCTTCCATTGTCGCCCAAAGCCTGTTGGCCACTGGCGTCACTGCGGCTAGAAGCAAGAAGGTCCGTCGCGACATTGAGCCTGAAGGCCCCACTGACCCAGGCATCACATCGAAATGCACATATTATGATACATGGCTCGATAATAACATTGATTGTCGTTTGTGGCTCTCGGATTGGAATATTAAGCCGCAGCAGTTCTCGGAATATGTAAGCATTTATTTTATTCGCCAGATCTCGTTGTGATTCCCAGCACTTATAGTCTAGTTTCTTCTCTAGAACCCTGTTATCGGTGATGGCTGCTCTGGCATTCAGTTTGGCCACTCTTACTGTGTTGAGATAAACCATGGCATGCCTGAAAAGCCAGACGAGCCCGAAGAGCCTGAAGAGCCTGAAGAGCCCGAGCAGACCGCGGACCTGTATAGCCCTATGGAAGACAGGCTGATCGAGAGCTGTGTAGCTTCTCATAAAGCGGCCAAGGACGATATAGGTATCAAGATTGTCTTTAACTTCGGAATATTCAACTTTAATATCTTCTTCAAGTAAAATCTAGTTAGGAGATAAAACTATGATGATATCTAGGCTGGCTATTACTATTGCCATATTATTCTGAGAATACTAGTTAGTACCTTAATAAAGAATACCAATAGCCATTGAAACCTATAGACTCTAAGTAGCCTAGCATACTATAGAACGGATCACATAGTACTCGTGGTGAAAAGTGTAATGCAACATCTAATATATTATATCTCTTAGGATCCTGTAGTTACTTTTCCTATAGTCCTCTTATTTGCACTTTCTGCCATCTGCTACTCGCGCATCTGTAGGGGACTTCTATGGAATACAAATAAATATAACTTGTTTTGGCAGGTAGCGTAAGCGTTCATGCTGTTGCTGGTAGTTTTGCAGCATGTTGTTTGTACTCTTGGTTTGTTGTAGCAGTACATCTGGTTGCTGCCGATCTCGACCATGTCGCTTGTACAGGACGTCACCTTCTCGCATTTACAATCGTTATGACCGTCCCATCCACACTAGTAAGACATGATGTTGGGGAAGTCAACCGTGCTTTCCTGGACTTGGTAAGTTGAAGTCTCCTCTCGGCAATAAATAGACTTACCAGATACCTGATATCAAAGTATTGTAGGTACCAGTAGGATGCAGGAAGGGTGACGGTCAAACCCTTGTCGGCCGTATTCATCATGCTCCTCAACTTGGTCATGAACTTGGGAAGGTTATGTAATCACGTTCTTTTCCGCCACGTTTTCGTTCTCTGCATATTTATTGTAAGCGTGAAGATGGAATAATTTGTTGAGTTTTCAAACTCCGTTTTTGTCACCCTCCTCAAGGTATCCGGATGCTAACTTAGTCTGCTGCTTCAACATCTGCAGAAGAAGATTTTTGCTTCCGTCGTCCGAGCAGTGAGCGCCGTAGAGGCCGATCCTCATCCGAGCTGTTAGGTGAAGTGCGTTGTCTGTCCAGTCAAGTCAGCCATTTCCGAGTGTTTGAAGCAAGATGGATGTTTTTGGAAAAAAGATAAAAGCCAAGTGAGCTAGCTGCGCTCGGATAAAATAGAAGAGAACGGGAACAAGTGAGAAACGTGGTTGTAGTTTATCGACATAACCGGATGCTAATATCTCTTGGTACTTACGGATACAATTGCACAAAGCGCTGTTGGTTGTAGTAATGTGGGAATTTTCGGATCTCAGAATATTTCCCAGTGCCATCACGATTATCATCACCAGGCCAGATCCAAGAGTGGAGCTCTTCCTCAGAACCATGGAATTGTAGCGCGATTTCTGTACGGTATGGCCAATCACAAAGGAGAATCCACAGGTCCAATAGGTAGCCTGTTGGGATCCTCATCCAGCCCCCTGGCCATCCGTAGTCCCCCATCCATTGCAACGGGACAGCTTTAACGATAAATTCGCCACTCGCTACGTCCCTCAAAGTTGCCTCGTCGGCTAGCAGCACATATTGATGGACGCAGTCTGCCATGCCACGGCTTTTAATAGGTCTGGTGGTCAAGCGGCGCCTCTTACCCGGTATCTGTACTACAGCTTGCTCCTCTTTGAGTGACTCAGCATTGCAGAAATCCCGAATACCTTGAGCATCGAGTCCCTCTAGTTGCGAAGGATCCTCTCGAACATCGATTCTGAACAAGTCCTTCAGTCGTTGCACGTCGTCTTGATCAACATCCTCTCGTTCAAAGCCGCCGAATGCCAATCTGGTCTGATGTCTCAAGGAGCGCACCAGCATTTCCCAGGCCTCTTCAGACTCCTTAGCGTAGTATGTCCGGTAGACTGTAAAGCCCCATTTGCGGTAATGGTGATGATTGTCAGGGTTCTTCCTCCCTCCAGGATATCGTTTAGCCTCATAGTCCGGCCTATAGACATTCTGAATCATTCCTTCGATATGATCAGTCATTCTCAGAAGGCTTTGGTGGAGAGGGCTGGGGTCGTGATGGAGGCGGTGTAAAAAGTGGTCGATTGTTGAAAACAGAGGAAAGATAGGTCTGGGGGGTGTAACCAACAGATATTTTATATGGACTACACGGCCTTTGGTTACATTACTATTTCTGTTACTAAGATATTGCATAGGCAATAAGCAGGAGTAATAAATAAAGCCTAATACTATAGTCCAAAATTAATCATTACACAATTAATTTGATTTACCCTATCTTACAGGGGGTTGAGTTAAATTTTATTAAGAAATGGACTTGATATCAAGAAAAAATAGTCTAGTATTAGGACAAAGTAAACCTTAAATTGTATGGATAGTATGCAAGTAGTATAGTGCGATATCAGTAAATAGTTCAATAACAGTTCGCTACATATATTTATTATCTACGAGAATAAACTACCCTTGTATGCAAAGTAATAAGCAAGAGAGTATTTCTCTATGTGTCCCATTGCACCCCAATTCTTGGTGCCAATGTCTTCCATCGCCGCGTCCGCCCCAAGCTTTTTTCGTACCTCATCATAATCTTTCCGACTGAAAGATGTGGCTTGAAAGAGCTCACGAATACGTTTCACAATGGGCTCTCCATCTCCTGTTTTGATTGCTTTGAGAACCGTTTTCATCTTCTCATGATTGATCGGGTTTGGATCATCGTCCTTTGGAAGGCCGACCCTTTGGAGATGGCCGACTACTGGGTCAACTTCAGCAATATGGTCAAGAAGTGATACCGGCTCGCCTTGCTGTCGAGGATTAACATTCGTTCCGTTGGCTTGAGTAGGTAACCTACGTCAATAATTCTCCAAAGTTTGTATTCTTTGACTGTATTTACCCAAATGGTCGGACTGATCCAGAATTAACATTAGAACCGGAATGTTCGACAAGAAATCATATGAACAGACAGTTGAGAAAGATACGGACTTACTTTGAACACAGCGTAGTATCACCCCCCCTTGCTGTCCAGGCCATGCCGAGACTCTTGGTGGCATCACTTTCGCTGTCCTGAGAACCGTCTTTGTTCTGACGCACACCATGTCCTTGACCACTCACCCAGGGTGACTGGAAGCTAGCACCTGCTGCCTCTCGCAAAGAATTCTTGATCTCGGACACCTTACTCTTCTCCGTCTCCTCCGTGACACGACTGCTTTCAAGTCGAGCTCCCAAGGTCACATCGACACAAAAGAAATGGCCTGGTAAATGAGTATGGATAAACATAAATTCGATTCGTGCGGAGTACATACCGTATGCTAGGCAAAACGCTTCTCTATCAGCCTCAGATGAAAGATGTTTGGCATCCCATTTAAGCTCGTCCGTAACTTCGAGTGTATAGGGAGAAAACTCGATCGTTACTCTAGGGAACTAGACACATGGTAAGCTCTCTGATCCATCACGAGTCAAGCCTAGGAAGGTTATACATTATACGTTGTGTAGAGTAGAGTTTGGACGCCTCTCTCAACCTTATCTTCTATCGTTTCGTTGGTGTCTTTGTGTTCCAGACTAATACCGAAATACTTCTTGATTCCCCTTAGAGCAAAGGGTGTTAGCCTTTAGGCGCATTTAAAAAAGGCAAGTGGATTTATAACTCACAACGAACCCTCAATCTCGTGGGATTTGAAGCCGTGTGTGGCCAGCCTTTTTTCGAAGGCAGTTTGTACTTCCACAATATCTATGTTCGAGTCGTCGTTGATAGCAAAAGAGGGGAAACCCAATGGCTGGTTCTAACAGCGTGGTAGCGTCAGTCGTGTAGAATTTCAGTTTACACCACTATTAGCTCACAGTGAATGGTCTGGGCGGGTTGTGTAACTGCTGGCGAAGTTTGAACGCTAGGAAATTATTGTTAGATCCGGTATAAAGCCCAAAGTGGATAAATAACACATACCTGGCTTGGATGCTTTCTTGAACGTTTTAGTCTCCTTATTAATCACGTAGCCATGGAGAGCTCGATTGTTAACTATGAGCTCATCCCACTGTACTTCGGTGAAGTGGTAAGGGTGGTTGACTTCGCTACAAATCGTAAGTTTCCACAAATCCTACAGAGAGAAAACTTACCCTTCGGCAGTGGGAGCTTGTATCTTGAGCGCTTCAAATTCATGCAATAGCTTGACCGCGTTGATTGCCGGGTCCCCAAGCTTCAGATCCGGGGAGGTGTCTTTGATCTTGTCCAGTAGGTTCTTGGGAAGGTCCAATAATTTCCTTTCACTTTTTACCTTTTCGCCCTTCAAAATTACCTTGACAGTCACTTGCCGCACTTGCGGCCGTTTCTTGTCTTTGATGGTTTTGTCTTCAGATCCATTTTCCTTACTCTCTTTCTCGGGGTTGTCGACCTTAGTATTGTCGTTGTTTTGTTTGGTGTTCGCGCTGGTCTCCCCTTGTCCTGATTTTGCGGGATTCTTTTCTCCGGCATCCTGAGAGTCTTCCTTTTTGTTTCCCTCATCATGTTCCTTTTCGCCATATTCAACATCCTGACACCTATCAGTAGATTATCCGAAACATCGCTTCTTCCCCTACTTACCTGATCAGTCAAATCCATATAATGATCAAGCCTGGTCCCATCTTCTAATGAGCTTTTATCATCGGCGGTGAATAAAAGCTTCTTAGGTCTATTTCATATTAGCCAAACCAAGTTTATCCAGGTCTTTTTTGACTTGAGAAGAAAAAAGAAGAAAGACAAATAAACACACAAATTGATATGCTTCCTGATATCTCCAAGGGTTGGTCTTTCGGGGGCCTGAGCCAAGCTGTCACTGGAAATAGCTGGGAAAACACTCTTTTCGGAGCTGCTTATAGTAATGTAGAACATCATTTCCTTACTAGTTGGGTTTCATTCGCTTGTGGTAATCATAAACTCAAATGCAAGGGATGAGCCTGGAAATGTATCTATAAGTTTCTCCTCTCCTATAACTAGACCTTAACCCACTTTAGGAGCCAGAGCTTATGACATTACAGTCAATGACGCGGGACACATCACAGTGCAGACGTAGATCATTGCGACGCGTCAGATTATCGAAGTCTAGTCAGTGCATAGAGCAGCTGAAAGGCACATCGTATGCACTGCTGAGTTGGCACCTGTCTCAGAAGTAAATCCTTTCCACAAAAGGAAGGCACTAAAAGAAATGTCGTCGGGTATATAAATTGCCGGTTGAAAACCAAAGCGGCTGAAAGATAGGCACTGCTGAGCTGGCAAGTGGGTTGCAATTTGATCCGCACACCAAGCGAGGCTGACAGAAAGACTCAGTCCAATTTTGACATATGAGCGATCTATAAATTTTGTCAACATTCATATCATAAGGTGCTTCAAGTGCTTTGTTTTGGTATGCGGATTACTATGGTAGGGACCATAAGTAGAGGCCAAGCAAAGAAGAAAAGTGGACTGGTAATATGTAGCCTTACAGTGTGCAAAGTCGATAATACAGTACGAAGATTGAATAATCGGGCTTATAAGTAACTATCTTATCGATAATGGGACCTTCACACAGTAGAAGTACTAAAAATCGGGCTCAAATCGTAATGGGGGGGCCCCTACTTATGGTCCCTACCGTAGTATAATTCGACCCACCTGGCTGACCAGGTTGGCACTTGACCTGAAAAAGACCATTCTGATACACGGGAAGTCCTAACAGGTTTTGCCTCATGTGTGAACAAGTACTTGTATCCACTACTGCGTCATAGTGCTGGTGCGATTCATCTTTACGGAGTACCAGCACGACAGCTACGTTCTTTAGACTTAGCCCTCTATATAACTACGAATCACCCTCTATGTACTAGGTAGAGCACAAACATTCCCAACGCTCATTTGCCTTCCTACAGTGTTCCTTCTTCATTTTCCGAGTCCATGATGGTATCCACATCCTGGAATCCCCAAGCAGGGGCTGAACTCAAGTTCAAAAATGCCCTCCAGAGCATCAAGGGGCTGACTCAGAAAGCTACTGAGCTCGCTCCTGGGTCCAATCCCACCAAGGAGAAAGAGTTCCTACTTAATGCTAGAGGTTATCAGGGTTGAGCTTTACCTCATCAGTCTTCAAGAGTTAAACGATTAATTATTTCCAGATATCCAAGCCTATCTAAGCGCTGCCATTGCACTTCCTGCGACCGAGAGCGACTTTTCTCGTACATTCATCTCGAAATCCTCGTCTGGAAAAATTGATGATATCGACGATGGTGTAGTTCCGGTATTTGCCCCCCTCACTCGCATCCATGACTTTGCAACCATCTCACAGTCTTTTAGTTCCTGCAGAAAACGACAAAAGAAGTACAGAACAGATGTCTAAAGTTTCGTGATAGCGACTTGAGCGAAATGGGTAAGTGCTTACACGGTTACTTGTCTTTCTCTGTGATATTAACGTCTTATTTAACCTTGCAGTCAACGTCGCAAGCGATGTAAAGGCATTTGCCTTGCAAGCCCAAAAGTACCTTAGTGAAAGTGGTAGGATCAGTATCAAAGCAAAACTGAAAATCATCTATGATCCGACATACAAAGACGGCACCTCTGATGACAAGATGAAAGATGCAATTGCATCAATTAAAATTGTCCTCGACAGTTTAGCCACAAACTCCAGGCTGAAGGAAGAGAGAATTGGCAAGTCTGTAAAAAAGATAGAAACAGTATGTACCATGTACTGTCTTGTGTTTCTGCTGCTAATTGCGTTTCTCATAATACCAGTTTCTACTAGGTACCAGAGGCGATCACACCAACGTGCAGTTTATTCAACAACTGTTTTGGACTGGCCCCGTTGTTAATGTTACAACCAAGAAGGAAATCAAAGATCATCACGGCATAAAGGTCGAAAGCTACTCCAAGTACCTCGATGCTGAGTACACTCGAATCTCTCAGGTTGTACAACAGAAAATCAAAGATAAGGAGGAAGAGTTGCGTGATGAAAGGGTAATTATTGATCCATCTGTATTTGTTACCTATGCAAAGTAAAAGGCTGATCAGTGCTATTTTCACACGATCAGTTAAAACTTGGGCTTTGGATTGGCGTTGGGTGGGTCGTGTTTCCAATTTGGGGACTAGTTCTTCCTGCTACGATTGCCACCCAAGTCGATATCGCCAAGGAACTTGATGACCTAATGAGGCAAAGCAAATCTGCCTCTAAGGAGGCTGCAGAGATACAGAACCTAATCGGAACGACCGCCACGATGGAAAAACAATTCAGCCTTCTCCTAAAGGGTATGGAGAAGGCACTAGCAGCTCTTAAAGAGCTGCAGACCATGTTCGACAGCCAAGCTCATTCATTCGATGCGGCTGCCACGTCGTGCACTGACGCCTTGGATGCTCTCGACAAGTCATGGGCCACACGCAAGGAATGGCTCGAGGAATGGGTTGACACTACGACCGAGGAATGGCAACATGTAAGTGAGAAAGTTCCGGAGGGTGGCTGGGCTAAACAAGTCGACTCAGATTGCAGAAGCTATCCAAAAGTTCATGGATTACAAAGACATAACAATTGCCCCGGCCTGAAGAAAATGGTAACCTTCAGCAATCGGTTCAATATTATTACCAGCTTTTTCGCATTGTTTTCAACACATCAATAGTACTACATAACAAAACTAAATCCTTTAACTACAGTCTAGGGTAGTTAAGACTGTAACACTGTCACTGCTGTCAATTGTTGTAACCCTGCACCTATCTTATAGGCGATTCGTACTATCAGTGAAGTTCCCATAACAAATGAACTAGCAACTAGCAATGTTGAATGCTTTACCTCGAAAACTTTTCTGTACAAAGAAGAAACCAGGTTTTAGGTTGTACTATTCCTTTTGAAAAATCAATTACAAGCGAAAGGGTTCGACGAAGCTCCTGCTTTTGTTACCACAGTTAAATTACCCACATTTACAAAAGCTCTTCAAGCAATGCTTTATCTAAGTTGAGCACCAAACTCCGCCGGTCTAATAAAAAATCCGTTGCGCCAATCCACCCACCTTCCTAGAAGATTATGTCTTGTGGGATTAGAGGGTGCCAAGCCAAGTCTAGCAGGGTGGTTACGGAGTATGACTCTCTTTAAGCACCATATGCAAGAACAGGGGCTTCCCCCCGCCCCAATTTCGGGTAACGTCTTGCAGGTGTCCGATCCTCTTTCTGTGCCAGGATGACAGCTCTGAGGTCCAGGGCCCGTTGCATTGGATGGAACCAACAATAATTGATGGTTATCTCCGTTCGCTTTTCTTTCGCTTTCCCCCTTCATCACGACCCAAATTCTACTCTACCCAAGGAGCGCGTGTCTCATCAGAGAAACTTGAAGACAAAGCGCAGAACAGGCGTCATGTCTTTGGCAAAGTACTTTTACTGGCACTTTGTCGCTATCAGCTTGTTGGTAGCGACAGCGGCATGCAGTTCCCGGGACTCTTTTCGCAATAGATGTCTGGCCTTCAAACCCGCGCGATTTATCCGCAACTCGACTTTGACGCGTCAAGAATTTGTTTCGGCTGATACCACCTTAGATTTATCCGACAACGTCTCATCCTGCAACCGCCGCTCCCAGCTTGTCACAGTCGACCTCTGCCGCATTGCTCTACAAATCCCTACCTCAAAACGGTCCAGCATCAGTTTTGAATTGTGGCTGCCTCGTGAATGGGAAGAAAAGCGATACCTTGCGACTGGCAATGGTGGCGTTGATGGATGTAAGCTGCCGAATGCGCATGATAACAATGAAGCTAAACAGACAACCTAGGTATCAAGTATGAAGATCTCGGATATGGTACATCGCATGGATTCGCTACAATGGGTACCAACGGTGGCCACAATGGCACCACAGCAATTACTATGTTGAACAATCCCGACGTTGTTAAGGACTTTTCTTACAGAGCGTACGTAATTCCGTCATCACCACAGGCACACCAGCTGACCGTCTCAGTCTTCACACAGGCACCGCATCGGCCAAAAAGCTGATCAAGTCTTTTTACGGTAAGACTCCTGCGAAGAACTATTATATCGGCTGTTCTTTGGGCGGTCGAATGGGGATCAAGGCCGCGGAGAAATACCCTAAGGACTACGATGGTATCGTGGCTGGAAGTCCTGCTGTCGACTTCAACAACCTTCAAGGGCAAAGGGCTATGTTCTACCCCATCACGGGCGATGCGAACTCCGCCAACTACATACCCCTCACGACTTGGACTGGCCTCATTCACGACGAAGTCCTTGCACAATGCGACAAGATAGACGGTGTCAAAGACGGCATCATCGAGGTTCCAGAGAAGTGCTTGTTCAACCCCAAAACTCTTCTCTGCAAAGGCACGCAGACCAGCAAATGCCTAAACGCGGCCCAAGTAAAACAAGTGGAACGAATCTACGCTCCGTATACCTACCCTGACGGCAAACTCATCTTCCCGCGCATGAACCCTGGCAACGAGCTGCAGACGGTGTCCAAGCTCCTCGCCGGAAAGCCCTTTGACTATTCGGTGGATTGGTTCCGCTATGTCGTGTACAATGACCCGGAGTGGGATGCAAGCACTTACAGCGTCAACGACGTCCGAAAGGCTGACAAACTGAACCCATCTGACATCCGAACGTATCCCAAATCACTTCCAGCCTTCAAGAAACGCGGCGGAAAGCTGCTCAGCTACCACGGCGGCCAGGATAACCAGATCACCCAGTTCAACACACATCGTTTCTGGAATCACATGGCGGCCTCTGACCATAGTCTGCGCGATTATTACCGCTACTTCCCCATATCAGGCATGTTCCACTGTAACACAGGCCCTGGTGCCTGGGCAGTGGGGCAGGGCGGTGGTGCTCCCGCTGCGGGAGTTCCTTTTGAACCCGAGTACAACGTGTTGGCGGCTATTGTCGCGTGGGTCGAGAAGGGAGATGCACCCGAAAGTTTAACTGGTACCAAGTTTATCAATGATACATACACTGAGGGGGTTGACTTTCGCCGCAAGCATTGTCTGTATCCCAAGACGCAGACATATGTTGGTGGGGATCCCAAGAAGGTTACCAGTTGGCGATGTAAATAAGTGCAATCACTCGATTACAAATACGTGATTACAACTATTACAACTAAAGAGGCTTGTTTGGGCTAAGCGGAATCAGTAATATTATTAGATCATGCATCCACATGGGAATATATTTGAATGCCTCGAACTATTGAGAATTCTGATCTCAATTGAAGAAGCCCAATGTATTGAACACATTGCCTCGGTCTACTGTAAATACTGTGCGTATGTTGCGTCTTCCATCCTTGTGCGTTGCCTGATGATGAACAGCTCTGACTGGTGGATTATCAGTCTATCGGACAGCAGAAATTTAGAGTTTTGGAATCTGACTGATGGCTCGACCCTTGTCCATCAAACATGCTTCGGCACGCGCCGCAACAGGAGACCCAAGTCCAAATTTCGATTGAATATTCTCCAAGCTTTCCAAGTGGCGCGGTACATAGCCGATTCATTTTTTTCTCGTGAACCAACACCATTTGGAGGATCACGCCCCGTATATGCGCACTTGCGGCGCAGCCCGGCCATCAAGCGAGATTAATGGATGTGACAGCGTTGAAGCCTATGTAGAGGGTTGTGACAGGGGGCTCAGGGCATTTCATCAAGCCTCGTTATGTGCAAATAACGGTATGTCATGTTGTCATAGCTGTTGAGTCTCACTAAATGTTTTTTCAAGAGTGAAAGTGATCTCAGTATCGAAATTCATTAAGTCTATAAAACTGATACCTAAGACCGTGCAAAGCGGTGATCTAGGTAGGGTCTTTGAAGGCGGTGGATACCAAGTATGCAGGGGGAACTGTGCCTCCCTCATGTATACAACCTTGAGCTAACAACATAAACAACCCTTGTTCTGTTGCAGTATTTGCTGTTCGTACCGGCTCGTACGTTCCTATCTCGTTTGGTCCGCGCATAATTCAATTATTTACCGATGAGCCCGACCAATCAACAAGTTGGAAATTAGAGTGTATGTAGTAACAGAAATTCCAACAACGGCAAGGAAGCCGGCCAGCTTTAACTGCCTTGTGGGCTGGCTCTCCTCTGTTCAAGGTTATACGGCGTCTGACCATTTCGAGCATGGTTGGCAGTTGAATTAAAGACACCTCTTGCCCCAGATACCCGCTTTGCTCTCTGTGAAAAATGCCTGCGTCTGTCTTGGTTCAACGGCCATGGCAGAGTATTACCAAGGACCCAATAACTCGGCCCAGCTTAAAGCTGTGACAATTACTTTACCAATTGTTGCAGCTTTTTTTGTTACGTGGAGAATATCATGGCGAGCAAGGAAGAGAGTTATTGTGATTTCGGATTATTTATTGGTTCTTGGCTTGGTAAGATACTGCGTCTGTTTTGATATATGCTTAGTATTGACACTGATGTAGTGTCTGAGCTTATGCCTTGCTGGATTCAATCTGGACCGTAAGTTTCGTGTCTCCCTCGCAAACACCCACTAAGGCAACAAACAGCGTACTTCCGATGGGGATATGGATATCACAAAGCCGACTTACCGCCCGAGATTCAGAACGCTCTCACTCCAAAGATTGTAGATATATGCAATGCCTTCTACTCTGTTTGTTACTAACGATCACAGTGCTTCTGGCTTAATCAAATTTTCTTCAAGGCTACCGCAGGTGTTATAAAGCTCTCGATCTGTACTATATATATGAGCATCTTCAAAGACCCCGTCTTGTTGCGAACGAGAGTCGCTCGATACTGCAACTTTGTTCTCATGTGTATCATCGCCGCCTATTACACTTCAGGCAGCCTGGTATCAACCTTCCAGTGCAATCCCATTCGCAAAGCGTGGCTCAAGGATGTGGCCGGAGAGTGTATTGACAACAACAAGTTCCGCGTGGTAAATGCCTATATCAATCTCATCACCTCTGTTCTACTCGTTGTTTTGCCTTTTCCCGTTTTGCTGCAGACAAATAGGCGTAAAGAGACATGGCAGTTTCTCGGTCTTATCGCCATCGGTCTATTGTGAGTTCATCAACTTCTGCTGGCAGCCACTCCATAGCTGATATACTAGACATACGGCCTGTGCTTTATCTCGAGTGGTTTTACTCTATGTACCTAACCCAGGAGCCTCGAAGGATCCCCATTGTATGTTTATTCCCCCAATTTCTCGACCATTTTATAACACTACCAGGGTATAATACAACTCCAAACACCCTCGCCATGTCGGAGATCTTTACCGCCGTTATTGTTGCCACGATCATGACAATGCGGCCCTGTTTTCTGGTCTTTGCTCGTGGCGTAGCGTCCACAATTACGGAGGCGTCAAATTCGAGAATTACCACCAGTCGGTTCACGCGGTTCACGGAGACTGAATTGGATACCATAACATCACCGACTAATACCCACCACCAAAAGGCTGGCCGCCAAAGGTTGAGTGAAAGGGAAATCGCAGTTAGTAGAGAGCCATGTACGGTTGAGCTATACACAAGGGAATGTAGTACTGAGAAGCTATTTGTATCCGAGTAGGGTTTTCTTATCAATGATATACCTATAATACTACAAGCATTGTTACCAAGTATTAAGATAAACTGAGTATTTGGAAGAGTACTTGAGAGTAGTTACAAACTTCCAGCTCTTAGCTTGTCTAATAGTAGATAGAGTGATAGATTAGAAGAGAGTTATGAATAATACAACCTTATAGCTTTGTGAATATCATCTCTAGCTTACCTTATTTCGTACTAGTTGATCTCAATCTTATCATAGACCTAAAAGGTCCAGTACTTGTTTTAGCATTGCAGCTGAAAAAGGGGGTGCTGTCTAGCTTTTCAGAAGGCGATTCAGTGGCTGTATCCAGTGGCTGTGTTAGTGTAACTAGTTCCTAGAGGTGGGTAGAGTGGTTATGGCTAACCATCTCTTTTTAGCTTGACTTATCTATCATAATCGCAGATCATTAGTTAGCCTAATAGATGTTGTGGGTTCTTCTCACGAATTGTATATATTAAGTTCTTACTTTTCTTCTGTTTGATATAATTCCCTGTACTGTAACTATGGCAAGACTTGACCTTGAACACGTTGAGGCTAACAGATTTAGACTATAAAACTAGCTATAGTGGCGTCAGACTATTGTCTTTTTAAGATTAACAAGTACTCACTAAACGCTCAGCCCTAAGAGTATCTACATCTTAAAACCTTTACCTCACCTCATTCCTTTTTCTTTTCCTCCTTCCAACTGCATTACCTTCATCAACCCTCACTTTAGGTGTTTCTTGTTCTCTTTGTCTCCTTTCAGAGACTGCCATTCATTAAATATCTCGTCACTCGTTACATTCTCTGTCTATCATTCATAACCATGAATTCAAAGAAGCTTCTGTCTTTGGCCTTGAGCCTCTTTGTAGCAGAGTCGGTAGTCGCAAGTCCCTGCAAGCCTCCCTCATCTGCCACTGATAAGTCTCTTACCATCAAGAATATGATGTTCGATCTCAAGACTCTTACTTATGGACTTTAGGTTCCATTGCCTCGACTACACTATCTGAGTCTACAACCAAGATCATCTCCGTGGTGTCCACCACAGTCGCGGAGACAACCACGGAAACCAGCGAGGCCGAGACTGATACTACTACTACGCTGGCAACCAGCACTATTGCCACAGCTGTAGTTGACACTACCACTGCCGAAGTTGAAACATCCACTGTCCTAGTCGAAACTTCCACTGCAAGCAGTGAGGCTACTACCGCGGCCAGTGAGACAACCACAACAGCCGCAGAGGCAGGAACTATGACCGCAGCGGAGCCTTTCTGTGCCCAAACCAGAGTCCTAGCGAATCCCACACCGTTCCCAAAATTTGAGTCGGAAGCGGAACTTGGCGCCGATGATGACTACGATTCGGTCACGCTACCTTTCCCTGTCGGGATATTTGGTTATTCTTCGTCCACTGTCTATGTCAGTACGAATGGATTTTTGTTATTAGACTCTGGTTCATCCGCTTTTTATAACCGCGAACTGCCAAGCACAAATGCACCACTTGTTTCTATCATGCCCTACTGGACCGATCTCTACGTTCCCAGTAATGCTATTTGCGGGACCGGTATCACTTACGAAGTCCATGAAACATACAGAGGTCAGACGTTTACCGTCGAATACTACGTGGGCAGTTACTCTGCAACGGCCTTCAGTGAGCACTTCACGGTCAGTCTCTACGAAAACTCTCCTGGGTTAGTTAGATATGTCTATTACAAGACATCTGGGCATGGCGAATCCGCGACTGTTGGTCTACAGAACGGGGACAGCTTCTCTCAATTCTCTGACAGGTCCCCTGGCTCCATCCCTGATCAGTTCTTCATCGAGATTGATACAATCAGTGGAGATGCCGTCACCACAAGCGGCCAGCTATGATAACTTGCTTGGGCTACGGCGAGTTTCGGGACAACCGTCTTTTATAGACTAATTAGCTAGTTTTGATTCTCTATTGTATTATTAAGTCTTCTTTTTCATCCCGATCACTTTATTAAGTCGGAGGTATAAACATTTGCACCAGGTTTCCAGGTAAATGAGCCGGTACTTCTACAGACAGGAGATGTAGATAAGAGTACAAGTTATGTCAATTAGATAATACACTAGTCTTATGAATTATTAACACTACTTGGAAGGGATAAACTTGGAGGGAGTCTTTTACGGCAACCGTACGGGTACGATTCAGTGTAAACTAATAAGTACTATATAGTGCTTGAGATCGGGATCTACTACTATCCTTTAAAGTAATAAGAAGGCTATTACTAAACAATTAATAACCAGGTATTTGTTTTATTTCTTTAATACTTCTAGGCTTAAATAAACTAATAAATTTGAAAATCTTTTAGATTGAGAGAAATAAGCAATTACTCAAGTATGTTTCTAATTCTATTACATTCTCTTCTCAAACCATTTTAAGAAAAGAGTTCAGTATAGCCTGAAGCTAGCCATAGCTGATAATGAGCTCTATAGTACAGTAGGCAGGTAAAAGTTTTACTAACTTCCTCTTGTATAAAGTTTTTACAAAGGTAAAGCTTTTTATAATTTATATAATTCTACACAGTATTAAGATGATATTACAAATAAAAGATTCTAATTATATCATGTTTTATTTATCTAAATTGCTCTATAATTCCTAGTCAACCGGTTGCCGGAACTTTTCCATGGGGCTGTAGTGTGGAGCCTCCAGAATATACGCCAGTTAAGTACCAGCTAATAGAACAATTTACCTTTTCCTTTCAATAGCTATACAATCTCAATTTCAGAGAACATTCTTAATTACTCTTGACTTGGTAGAGAGCCGTAGGGTACACGCCTGAGCCTCATTATTGTAAATTGGCGGTCAGATCAGGGCGGTGCTACAGCCACAAACCTTAAAATCCTGCAGTGCCTCATGAGGCGTTCTTCGATTAATCGGACTTAATACCCACTTCTCCCACTTCTCAACTTCCCACTAAACTCTTCAATTATGATACACCTCTCTCAATAATGGACTCCGCTAGCGATGACGCAGGAACTCCAAGCTTTGAACTTGAAATCGAGCCCAGGTTAACGACACTCTCAGATTACCCGCTATGGGAGCCAAAGATGCGGCGACATGTCAGTTGGCTTAGAGAAACTGGGCTTAACGACACGATTTGTCGCGAAAGAGTATTGAATTCTATTTCAGATGCAAAACCATTTGAGCATCTTCAGACAACATGGGATATATTTGAGGCACTGTCTATGTCATACCGGAACTGCCTTTTCTATGGCTTTCGTCGCGATGAGGAATGCCGAGCATGGGGTGTCACGGATATTTGTCAATACTTGTGCTGCGAGCGCTGCAAATCTGTTAAAGCCTCGGTAGTCAATCTTATCGACGGGACATTACCAAAGGAAATCTCGATACGGGAGAGTAAACGCATCATGTGGCTTGGAAGTAGTGGGAATACTCTACTGCGTATGTCTCTTACCCTTCATGAAGAAGGCAAGACAACCGAACTACATACTTTTGAAACGATACCGCATTGTGGTGAGTGAAGTATCCACTTTAGTCGACAATGTCTTGGAGTATGCTAAGCTCTATCCAAGACAGCGAATGGTTCTTTTCTGGCACAGTTAATCGGATATGCGAGGAGAGACTGCAACTAGCTAATTGGTGGTTCCAAGAATGTACCAGCTCACACACCTGTCGTCCAAATAACACCGTGTTCACTCCTCGGCGTTTGATCCACATTGGAGATACAAACTAACAGCTGCGTCTTCTTGAGACTACCTCTGGTTTTCTGGAACCTGATCTCCAATATGTTGCGTTGAGTTACTGTTGGGGCCCTGAAGGGGGAACCTTAACAACGACATTGAACAACATTGAGGCCCATAAGAAGCGAATCCCTTTTGATCACCTTCCTAGTGTACGTTCTTCCACTAGCTCATATATCTTACTGGTAGTTCTAACAGCAAAAATAGACTATTAAAGACGATGTCTTTGTTTGTCGAAATTTAAGCATCAACTATCTATGGGTTGATGCTCTTTGCATTATCCAGGATCCCGGCAATGCAGATTGGGTGGAACAATCTGGGCGGATGAATTTGATATATTCCAATGCTGCCTTAACAATTGCTGCCGACGACAGCCCAACATGCACAGCTGGGTTCTGGCTTTCAGAAAACACCAAGTTTCAGAGGGTCAGTGAGGACTATTGGATTAGAGAAACTCCGCCTTCTAGCAGGGATATTCTTTCCACGAGAGGGTGGACCCTGCAGGAAAGAATTCTTTCACACCGAATTCTACATTTCTCGAACGCCCGCATTAGTTGGGAATGTGACGCCAGCTGTCGGTCTGAGGATGGTATAACAAAGATCGACTTCATAGGACTAAGCTACCGCGCTTTCCGCCTCTTAAACCGCTGTGCACCGCATGAAAGTATCGGGAAGTCTTTACTTGGAGATGGATTTGAAGATAGCAGGGAGGGTGACTACGACCCAGTGCATATAACCGACTTCCTCACGTCAGGCTCCTGGAAATCAATCTTCTTCGCATGGGCCTGTATTATAGAGAACTACTCTACAAGAGACCTGACGCAACTAGGCGACAAACTATCTGCAATATCGGGGCTGGCAAGCTTTGTGTTGACCCAAGCAGGTCTCGGGGCTGAGTCATATCTAGCAGGTCTTTGGAGGGAAGATTTGGTCGAAGGTCTACTTTGGTACGTTTCTACCGCTCGACCCTCCCGATCAGCGGCCCCTTATGTAGCGCCCACATGGTCATGGGCTTCAATGACGGGAAGCATTCATTACTTTCGCGACCGATACCAGTTCCCCTTCATGCCACACGTCAGTATTAGCGGTGCCAACTGTACCATATCCCCAGCCGATCCTACTGGGAGAGTAACCGGAGGGACCATTCATCTTGCTGGCTTAATGGTTGAGGTCGAACTTGCTGTCATTGCTTGCTCCCCCTCACTCAAGTCGAGCTACAAAGACACAGGAGACATTCCGATTCGCGCTCAAGACCAGCAGGTAGCATTTGTCCGACCCTATCAGAAAGCTGGAGACGACAAGACACGCTGGTATGAAGTGATGCATGATGAGGAATCTAAGATCAACAGGACAGGGGACCTTTTCTATGGCCGTGAAGCTGAGATCTCTGTTAATAAATCACTCGATGATAGAAGCGACCGTGGCACATACTTTTGCCTCAGTGTTGGTGAGCTCATTGACTCTTTCACGGGGGGGCAAAGAGATTGGTTCTTGATCTTACAAAAGGCCATTGGCAACGATGTTTACAAGAGGGTTGGCATCGGGTATTTTCAATATTCAACTAGCACAGAGTTCTCATTGTTTTTAAACGGTGATGTGTATGATATCGCACTTATATAGCATAACACCGTCCACGCAAAGAAGAATAGACTGGAATCCTTCGTCTGAATAAGAAATGCCTATACCATAGGATTTCTCAAATATAGCAATGATAACATCTAGACTCTTTAAGTAAGTGGCAGTCCAAGGTTATAGGTGAAACTAGTAGAGAATACAAGTGTTTCGTTTTCACAATTTCTTTAACGTGCAAATTTTACTTACGAGGATAAATTGAATGAGAGTGATATTTAAAGAAAACTTCAAGCTAGTCAGATCACTGCCCTGATATGAGAAGGTCTATTTGGCCCGTTCGCTACCTCATGCATCTTTCTTTCTAAATAAAAGAAGAACCCCTGTAACATCCCCTGGGACCATATCTTTCCCCTCATCCTCGCCCGCCTCAGCAAGAATCTTCTCGATCTTTCGCCTAAGCTGCCGCACCACATCATCCTCAGTACCGACTGCTCCAGGGTGATCCTCCCTCCATCTCGTCACCGGGCTACCAGTCCCAAGAGCCATCTCGAGCACATCAAGATTCATCGGCGGCTGTTTTTCATAAAACTGGGTTTCGGCATCTGGCCCAGTGTTCCATTCCTTTCGCACAAATGACTCTGGGTCGAAAGTAGAGACCGGAGAGGGTAAAGTCCACGGTAGAGCTAGTTCGCGGTAGAGATCTCTACCCAGTATGTTTCCCGGCAGTAGGTAGTCCTCGAGCGTGACGTCAAGCTCGTCAATTACCGCTTGGAGAGCTTCATGATTGGGCAGCGAGGTGTCAACGCGAATTGTTCCACCTGTCCACAATGCCACTGTCCCTCCCGGCTTAAGAGCCTTGGCTGCCCGCTGCCAAAATCCTTGCATATCAAACCAGTGGGCGCATGTCGCCGCCGTGATCAGATCGACAGTCCCATCTAGGATCGGATCCTTGAGATCCGACCCCAGCGATTCAGCAGTGGAAACTTCAAAGATCACATTGCCGCCAGTGCTGGAACTTTGATTAATCGAGCGGGCGGTACGGATCATACCCTCAGAGGGATCGAGACCATAAGCTGTTTTAAAATTGGGAGCAAGAGTGTGTGTTGCTGTGCCTGGTCCGCAGCCAATATCGACCAAGACGTCAAACTGGCCACTGCCTGATTTATGGAAAGAAAGAATTGAGTCATAAAGCTTGGGGTGGTAGTTCCGGCGATACTGGGCATACTTTGTACCCTGAGCCTGACTATAGCCTCGAAAAGTCTTTTCAGACTCCTGAGTACCGGAGGGCTGCTGAGCTTGAGACATTTCGAAGGAAATACGGCTTAGGCAGACAGTCTAGTTTAAGAAAGAGTAGGAGTCATGATCTACTCGTGGTATGTCGTTTGGGAGGATGCCCGGTGATATATACATACTTGAGTTCGGCATGAGTCATATCCGCTTGTTAAAGTAATTGCCGGTTCCGAACTCTGGGGAAGACAAATACACCGAGATAACCCATGGCCAGGGATCGGATTGCAGGCGTCCAATGTTATGAGATGTGCAGGTCTGATCGCTAACTTAGTGCTTACTTTGGGCTTTTTAACCACGGATAAATCGGAACAATAATATCATATTGTCCGTCTCAACCAACTTTATGTCGATGCCATGACGATAATACTATTTCAAGTTTAAGACACGCGAAAATGAGCGTTGAGAATAAATCGAATATAAAATGTACCGTACTCTATTGAACCATAAAACTCCACATTACCCGCGCATACATCATATAAGCCCAATTACCAGCCTGACCCCTCAACTCCTTTGTTCAAACACTTTAAACACCATGGCTAGCAAGGGGAGATGCCTCCTGAACATCATGCTTCTCAGTCCTGTAACCCTGGAATTTCCTGGCCGGTAATCCCATCGCAAACATCTGATCAATCTCAATCGGACTGCGTCCCTTCATCTCGGGGATGAAGAAGAAACTCAAAACAGTGCCGATGAGAGACAGAGCTGCGAAAGGGAATGCACTCTTGGCTCCAAGGTCTGCGCTGTCGCGACTGTATAGCAGGGGCATTATTACAGCCAGAATAATAGATGCACCCTTGTCAGCAATACTGGCTATGGCTTGTGTAAGAGAACGCAGTTGAAGAGAACTTGTCTCTCCCAGGACAGCGTATCCTGCAGGCCAGGCACCCAGACCACAGATAACGATGACAGCCATCATGATCCCTCCAGCTGCCCAGGTGAGCATCTCTCCAGTCCAGAATCCAGTGATGCCCATGACGGTCCACAAGAGAGTCGCTATAGCCAATGAATAGATGATCATGTTGCGACGGCCAGTGCGGGAAAGAAGCCAGAAACCAACGGCGTTTCCAAACATTCCCGCGACAATACCAGCTGTCATAAAGATCATTGCCGGCATCGATGCCATGCCCATACTTCTCAAAAAGACATTAGCGCTGGAAAGAAGTTCCAATCCGAAGAAAGCAGGCATAAGAGCGGCCAGTGCGACAATGAGTGTTCTTCGGAGGTTTGTGCCTTTGAGACAAGCCCAGTAAGACGCGGAAGCAGTGTTGGCCTTTTCCTCTTCGATGGTAGCGCGGATCTTCTCGAGTTGGCTGTAGGGGTTAATCTTGGGGGCGTATAGTCTCTGTGCTGACTTGATGGCTCGCTGCTCCTGGCCGGTTCGGATCAGATGGGCTGGACTCTCGGGCATGAAAATGGAGAGCAGGAGAGGTCCAATGGCGAGAATCCACTGCGACCCGAATGCACCGAGATAGCCGTTTTTGTTTTCGACGCCGCTAATGACGAGTAGTACGAGTGCGCCGATGAGTTGGCCGAGTAGTGTGAAGATGGGGAATAAAGCCATGGCGGATCCACGGAGCGCTGTTGGCGTGTTCTCTGAAACCCAAGTAACACACGTTCCTTTGATGACACCAACTGTGAAGCCCTGGATGGTAAGACCAGCGGTGAGAAGCATACGCTTGGTAGCCAAAGGTTCGGGGACATGAGAGAAGAACATGCAGGCAATAGCGACGACAGAAACCATGGTTCCCATGAAAAGAGTCCACTTGCGTCCGATTTTGTTCTGCAGCCAACCACCCAAAATGGAACCAAATGCTGCACCAGCTGGTGGGAGACCCATCCAAAGTGATAGCCAGTTCCCCGGGATATCCATTTTACCCTTGATCTTTTCTCCGTAGTCATTTACGAAGGTATCGACGCCGACTACAGATCCGACCACGACAAGATCGTAGCCCCAGCCAATAACGGGGATGGTCATGGCCAGACAGTAGCCTGCGATCTTGGGGTACTTTTTGAGTGCTTTTCTCAGCGGTAATTGATCGTCGCCGTCATCTTCTGATTTGACGCTTTGTTTTGTGGCAGAGTCCTTCAGGGACATTTGAGAAGTGTAGGGGTCATAGGCATTAAGCTCTTCGTCCTGTTGTGGGACTGTGTGCCATGATCGTGATGTTTCCATTTCGTGATAGGCTGGACGAAGATCACCCGGCATGGGGTCACTGTCGCGGCGGTCGTGGTAGCTCATGGCGGTGACAAAGAATTAGGTCGAAAGTCTGCTGCGCTGAAGGGAATGAACGCAATGCAGAAAAGGATGTTGACAGATGCGAATGCGAAAGAGATGATTTAAAGGTGAGATGTAGTCACTATTAAAGTATTAAAGTAGCTCACATTTTAAAGAGGGGCCCTCGGACTCTGTAGATCGCATCCTGTCCAAAGCCTACGGGCAGGAAATCGTTGGAGTCGCAATTATCTGAGAGCTCGAATCCTTCAGGCGGTGATGAGACCCTATCTTGCCAGTAGAGCCAATCACGTCGCGACTGGTCGACAATGAAACAAGGTTAGCTTGGGCTGACAGGGCGCAGTCGGTATTAAAAGTGGCAGACCCCAATCCTTAGGCGTCCGATCCCTGCTGGTGAGCCCTACGGACCTCGGACTAGGGCCTTGCACGGCACGGAGGTGGGCTCTGTGGCTGAGCCGGAAGGATTTTGCATATGGAAAGGAAGATTTGGATAAGATGAGAGTGGATAATTGATTCCAGAGTGATATCTGTGTTTTGCGTGATGCTGCTCACCAGGTGTTGAGCTCAGTCCTGTGAAGAATTGAATTTCCATCTGGCCACAGCAATGCAGCAACACCATCCAAAACCCAAGATAGACAACATTAAGCTAACGAATCTAAAGCCCCCGGCACATCGTCCAATTGCCGTTCGCTAGCTGCTAGTGTGAGACTGTCATCATCCGTTGGGGATTGATCCCTGCGAGGCTTGTCCGTCGGACTCTGTTTGCGAACGTCTCACCCACAATCTGCGGGGTAAATTTTGCGATGGCCGCTCCAGAGTGCGAAATCCGCTTCAGGGTAAGGTGATGGGTTGGCTATGTAAGGGCGATGAGGTCACGTAGGACGAAAAAGAACACATAATTCTTAGAATTTCTTCATTTTATGTTGATCCCGACACTTGTGTGCACAGAAACACTCCATATTGTGACTATTTGAAGATGCTGTTGGTTACAACCAAGGCGGACACAACAATTGCAGCCAAGGTCACATCACATTGCCAGCAAGCTCTGTCACAGCCCCCAGCCGATCAACTTCAATATCTTCGTCCAATCACACCCAATCGATCAAAACCATCCACCTGATATAACATTTTTCTGCACGACCATGGACCTCAGCCCGATATGTCAGATAATTACACCAGTGGGCATGCTGGGATACGGCTTCGACGAGACCCTCACCCACCACGAACTCGCTGGTCTTGTACAAAATGGCATTCCAACAGCAATCATCCTAGACTCGGGATCAACAGATAGTGGACCGCAGAAACTCGCCCTAGGGTCCATGTCGTGTCCTCGCGAGGCATACGCCAAGGATCTTGCTAAGCTGCTTCGGCTTGTGCATAAATTTCGTGTGCCGCTCATCTTTGGGTCCGCTGGCGGGGATGGAACGGATGAGCATGTGAAGGTGATGGAGGAGATCATAAATGAAATTACGGCGGAGGAAGAAAATAAGTATGTCGTGAGTCACAGTATACTAACAACCGCTGACTGACCTTGCAGGGATTATTTGTTCAATACGATATCTTTATTCTCCAACATCGACAAAACAACCATCATCGAGCGATTTAGACAAGGTCGTGTAACCGGATGTGGTCCATGCGTCCCTCCAGCATCAGAAACCGAGATCGAAGCATCGCTCCGAGTTGTAGCTCAGATGGGATACGAACCCTTCCTCGACGCCATGAACGCCAATCCCGAATTCGACATCATCATAGGCGGCAGGGCATACGATCCAGCTCCATATGTCGCATATTGCGTATACCAACTAACCCGACAGTCCGGATCTCTCAGCACCGAAGAGCTAGAGTCTAGTCTGGGCGGCTTCTACCACATGGGCAAAATCTTGGAATGTGGAGGTCTATGTGCCCTGCCGAAATCTCACGGTGCTGTGGCTACTGTCTATGCGAACGGCTTATTCAACGTTAGACCTACAGCCACAGAGTCTATATGTACCCCTCTATCCGTTGCCGCTCACACTCTGTATGAGAATACAAGACCCGATGTTCTGAAAGGACCTGGGGGCTCCCTCCATCTCCAAGATTCAAAGTACAAACAGTTATCTGATGAGAGGTCAGTGAGGGTTAGTGGGAGTATATACCGCTCTTCAGAAGCCGATGGGAAACCATATCAGCTCAAGCTCGAGGCTGCACGCATCGTGGGCTATCGCTCAATGTTCATGGGTAGCGTTAAAGATCGTATGAATCTCCTCTTTTTGGTTTTCAAACGTCTCTAATATTCACAGACATCCTCGTTTCCCAGATTGATAGTTTCCTCCCACGGGTGAAAGCATATGTTGACCAACAGCACCCCGAAATAAAAGGTCAATACAAGCTCGACTTCCATGTGTACGGCAAAAATCAGTTTACTCCAAGTGGACCTGGCCAATTATTCATCGTTGCAGAAGCTCTTGCGCCGACGCAGCGTTTGGCAAACAGCATTGCATCCAAGGCAAGAGTTGGCATGATCGTAAGTCAACCCCGGCAAGCCTTGACGCAGCTAACATATCGTAGCATGCTCCTTATCCAGGCCAGAAGGCCACAGCTGGGAACTTTGGCTTTGGGCTTGGTGGACTCATGGAAATTGAGCTGGGACCTTGTGCTGAGTTTTCTTTGTATCACTTGATGGATTTGGAGCCGAATGAGCAGAGACTTTCTCTTAATCAGAGCGATGGCACACTCGAGGGTTCTTTGTTAAGAGGCAGGATTTCTACGATCGGAAGAGGGTCTCCGATGCAGACCAGAGGAGACTACGTTGCGCCGCAGACCGACGACAAATCCGCTCAGCAGACACCTAAACGTGATCAACATGTTGACAAAGACACCCTAAGCCAACCTGTCCAAAGGCCCCAGACACTGTCAGATCTATGCCACATCATCCGATCCAAGAACGCCGGCCCGTACGAGATCACCATAGACGCAATCTTCTCCTCAGAGGCGGAATACCAAGAGGTCAAAGCTTCTGGATTTCTCTCACCGCGGAACGTGGCAGATGCTCTTGGAATTCCGGAGGGAGATATTATCTGGATTGGGTTCTTTGATCCTGCCATATCGTTCAAGGTTACAATCCCGAGGGTACGTTCAGGTAGGCAGAAATCGGCTGGTGGGTTCATGGAGAATGATATCCATGGGTCGCAGGAGCATATGGGATTGGCGAGTCTTAAACTCCCTGGGGCTGGCTTTCATCTTTAGTGATTGTATATATATTGTATCTTACTTTATTTGATGTCGAACCGCAAATAGATTGGCCTATGTTGTCCTTTTTCATCGCAGCCTTCCATGGTCAAACTAAATTACCATGTTGGAGAATAGTCTGCTCCAAGTGACGCCGGATCAAACTGAAGTAAACTCGTATAGGGATCACTCCAGAAGCTCTTGGCAAACTCTTGGTTTCCGTCCATCTGGTTGATAATATCCCCTTGAGCCTCTTGGGATTGACCCGGTTCCTCATCAACATATCGTTGCTCGCCATCACGCATCTCCATACGCCGTCCCCGGATTTTGCCCGCCGTGTTAACAGCATCCAGCATCAATGAAACCCCCATGCGATGATTCAGGACCAACTTGGTCTTGTCTTCATCATCAGACCCTTCTCGCCCCAGGACTTCAAAAACCTTGGAGCTCCTGCTGAACTCATCCTTGGCATCGATTGTACAGGCTCGGCAGAGCGTCTGGGTCATGGAAACATGGTTAGCGACGATCTGCCTCTCTTCCGGCGGATCCACATTCTGTCGGATGAAGAACTTGAGAAGGAAGATTGTCGAGAAACCGAGACATCTGTGGCGATCTTTCGGTTGGCATCGTTCGCGCCGGACAGCAGTGGCGTCCTCTATACTAGTGGGACTGTTACGTATGGCCCGTGTGCCAATGTCGACTACTCGCAGCGCTATATCTCTGGCTGTCCTCAAAAGAATCTGTCGAGAAGATGAGTAGTTTGAGAACTTGGTAATGACGAGTGTGTAGATATGTATCTTAGCGTCCAGGATGGCGTACTCGACAATGCTCTTTGCTTCTTCGTCGTGAGGCATTTCATTCTTGAGGGCATCGAGCTCGGTGTCGAATAGTCGAAGAAAGGACGAGCTTGTACCATCTGCTAGTTCATGGTTTAGTAATGAGGTGAATTTCGCCACGACGAGTTGGATCCGAACTTCGAGGGCATATGCAGGGGGGACAGTATCTTTTCTCAGAAACGCGTGGATAGAGGAGAAGTCAAGTTCGGACTCGATTGGGCAGGGGAGGCCTAGGTGGAGGCTCAGTCTGATACATTAGCACATGTTGGTCATATTGTCTTAAGAGGTCAACTCACGAGGTAGACACCTTGAAACACACCAGCCAAGTATTAATTCTTGATCGGATACTCCCCGATGTGACTCCAATGACACGCAAGGAGGGAATTGTCTGCTGGCGATCAAGGCTCAAATATCTCGCTGCTTGAATAGCTACACCACAATAGAGCCAACTGGGATCTTTCCACTGCTTCTCGGTGGGTAATGGCCAATTGCAGAGTAGCAGCAAAGCCTGTACTTTGAACAGAGGCAGCGGGGCATCGATCAGAGTCTCTTGTATAAGCCTCTCATATGGACTCCGGAGTAACTGGAATAAGGCTATGTTGTGTTGCTCAGGCAGGCGACATAGAACAATCGTCACAATTGTCCAGAAGAGAAAAGGCTGGTTTTCATAAGCTTCTTGGGCGTACAGAGCTCCGACGACTGGGAGTCGGGGACGCATATATTCTGCGAATCTGCCGCACAATAAGCAACATCATCCGGACGTGGCGGAATGTAGTGTACGTACACTATAAATGCCTCCGTTGCGACAGAAGAATCAATAAGCATACCCTTCAAGTCCAGAGTGAAGGACGATAATCGAAAGTCATCAGCGCCTTCATCCTGCATCGACGGAGAGCCAGTCTCGGCCGAGGAGTCGGTCGCACTCGTTGCATCCTCACCGCGTCCTTGGTTACGTAATTCATGGAGCTCTTTACTCATAGCTTCCAACCGCCTGTCCTCTGGTTAGTCAAAATATGCTAAACCTGTGGTGGCGTCGTGCGAAACTGACTTTCTTGCTGGCGTTCTTTTAAACGCGGCGTCTACCGTGCAGAATAAATGTCTCGTGTGGCATCGTGTGCACGGATTGGGGAACCTCTCTTTGGAATCACATCGTAGCTAGACCAGTAAGTTCTTATCTCGTTTTTAAAATGGTCTGAGGGTACCTTGGCTTGCTTGCATTCTGTGCAAGCCTTGACGGGTCGTGATGCTAAGTTATTATATGACATGATGTAATTCGTGTTGCTGCCTGTGAAACGTGTTTCGCGGGTGTTGATTGGTAGGTGTTACAAGGCTGGATTTAAGCGACAGGTGACCTGCCATATATTACCGCTTTTATGGCTGGGTGGCTAGAGATAAGCTATTTTTAGTACCTGTTAGGCTAAGTTAGCTGAGAAAGTTATTACATAGAATCACATAGCGAAATTGGCCACTAATAATAGTAGAACTAATAAAGTAACTAATAATTAATAAAAACGAGAATACTTAGAAAAAGAATACTAAGAATAATTGTATTAGAATGGATTTAATTTCTTAGAAGGCTTTTACAAGTCCTAATTTAAATACATTATTCTTTTCTTAATATCTTATCTCCTGTAATAAAATACCTGATAATTAGTATAAACCAAAGTATTTTATCAAGTACCATAGCTAAACTATACAATAGTATTCTGCATTCAAGTAAGTAGTAATTGCAATACCTATCTGAGCAGTAGTCTTATCAGTCTTAGACGCTTAAGTCATAGGCTATTAAGCTCACTTCTATTTATAGATTAATCTATTCATTACTATGGTCTTTCAAAAGTTACAAAATTAGCAGTTTTTAATTGTTCCGTAATAATCCTCAATTAGCAGTTAAAAATACAGGATAACCTAGCCTGACGCTCAGGCACAGGAATCACTCTACTTGTAAGTGCATCTAGACTGTTCTAGTTTCTCTTCACTTCCCCTTTTGATAAACCCCTTTGGCCGTTCCTTCAAGTGCGGCCTTGACGTAATCTTCAAATTTGGTAAATTTAAAATCCGGATACAGTTCCTTGCCGTCGAGGTACCCCAAGTATTTGGCATATTCAGGTGTGTTATCTCCACGGATGGCCCAAGAAAGTAGAAGCTGGCTAGTAGAGAGACGACTCAAAGCGTCCAGGCTCGACGGATCAGCTACAAGACCCGATTGAGCTTCCTTGATGCGAGATGTAACCTCCGCCTCGGTGATCTAGAAGTTAGCACGTTAGCCTTGAAGGAATCTTCTTTCTTGTCATTTCTGACCAACAAAAACGGGCGGTGGTAAGGAAGAATGGGGAGACAAACGTAATTACGCTCTAGCTTCTCGCCGCTTAGCTTCTCCACTGTATCATAAACCTGGTTTCTGGTAAGGACTTCATTGTAAACATGGACCCTCTTGTTCAACGTGCGTGGGTCTGCAATTACCCGGGCAACGTATCTCCCAACGTCCCGGATATCGGCCAGTGCACTCGGAACATTCCCGTCCACACCAAGTCGCGGCTCTGAAGGGTACGAGGGCAGCGCGTGGTCCAGGCGGCCTGATGGTAGTCGAGGCAAGGTAAGCTGATACCACCAGCCAGCATCGATATATGTGTACGGGAGGCGAATCTTCTGGATGTAGTTAAGAATGTCTTCCTTCTGTAGGCTGTGTTAGCAAAGAGAGTACCGCCTAGAGTCCTCACGTCTAATACACACTTGCCTTTTCGCGAAAATCAACAACTCCTGTTGGAGAAATCACGACCATGAAGGCAGACTGGAGGAACCGCTTGACACCCGCACGTTTCGCAGCGTCGGCAAGAGGGATCTCATCCTCGAGACTACCAAAGAATATCGCGGAGATCACCACATCGATACCAGAGAGAAGGCTAACGAGTGCATCTTGAGAACCCTTCAGGTCGGCTGAGACCACCTTGACTCCACGATTCTTAAGCTCTGTATAAGCTGGCTTCTCAAGAGACTCAGGCCGAGCGAGGGCAGTGACCTCCTGTGCGGCAGGTATTTAGCAAGCCGTCTGATACTGTATAAATACGAAATATTAAGGGTGTTTACGCACGAATTTAGTAGTCGGCGACTCAAGTAGCCCGTCCACGATTGAAGATCCGGTTTCTCCAGTGGCGCCGACGATGGCGACTCGAACAGATGTCATGATGATGTTGAGAGTATAGTTCGCGTGACTTGTGCTCACTAAGATGAATGAAAGAGGTAAGTTTTGATACAAGCGTTGCTGCTCAGCAAAACCAGAGGCATTGGGATCATTCTAATATAGGAAGCCCAATGCTCCAAGATCACGACTAACACATAATGCATACAATTACTAATGCGCGAGAAATATATATTCCGCATCCACCCTATTAAAGTGGAGACATATTAGCAATTCATTTACAACGTTGACTAGAGTTAATAACCTTCCATTTTGATCTTTTTCACCTGAATCCTGGTTCTATGATTATTAATGCTCAGTCGTTGGGTTTTTTCATTGCTATTTACCCACTGGCCCAGGTACCTGGACGCTACTCTGGTAGTGCGGTTACTTCTGGGGATATTCTCCCATCATGGGGAGCACACAAGACTTTAAATTATTAGTCCCTAGACGTTGTATTCTCCGTTATCCTATCTTTTTCCATTTGTTATACGTGTAATATACCTGAAATATCTTAATCAGTAAAAGTATTCTTGATATAATTCACAAGCGACTAAGCTTGCATACTACATTGCCACCACAAGTATAATTGCGTAACTAAATAAGATACAATGGTGGATTACTTCCTCAGTTACAAACTTGCATCTATCTCCTCTTAATCGCTACTAAGCTCCGGTGTTCTTGGCACCATCCGGATCATGTGCCACGACTTCAATCTCCACTCTCATATCGTCTTCCCCCAGCCTAGAAACTCCTACACAAGTCCAGATAGGCTGATGATCCGGCATCCACTTCTTAAAATTTCTAGACATTGCCGCAATAGCTTCGTCGTTGATCGGCACATGATAAGAGTTCACTCGAAAGACTTGGGACCATCCTTTTCCACCAGCATCCTTCAGGTTGTGCTCCACGTTCTTGAACGCTTGGTCGATTTGCTCGTTGATCTCAGTGGGAATTCGATCAACCTTTCCCTCCGGATCCCATCCTCCTGGCATAATCAGCTCCGGATCTATAGCGAAGCCTTGCGAGTGGAGTTCATTGGAGGATACCAACTTACCTTGCCCAGAGCACTGGATGGTGTCTCCAACTCTCACAGCCTGGCTGTATGAAAATCGTTCTCTGTTGCTAGTGCCCACCCCAGGGTAGCTGTAGTATTGAAGATGGGCCATAGTGGTCCGGTGCCAGGATGTTTAACTGTTGCAGAGTATGTTTGTAGACGAGTTGGGTGATAAAGGTAAAGTAAAGCACACCTGAGGCTAATTCCAGGATGTACGCGGTTGATCCCCGAACCTTTATACCGGATGTATCGACGTATGTAAATTGAGTTCCGCGACTCGTGAGGTTTGGCGAGTAAACTCAAAATGGAAAGTGGGTAAAATCCGATGTGGGCCATCCGGAATATGGATTCCGCAGAAGCGGGTCCGCCCCCGTAACACTGTAAAGCATCGCATCATCATCCTGAGACCCGAGCAGGAGTCTCGCTTCGATCTGGCGTGCATGTCACAAATATTTCCTCCCACGATGACGGATCAAGCTCCTGCTACCCAAGGAGGCACCTCGACAGCCGCTACGTCATCCAGCACGCGGCCAAATCTATCAACGCCTTCCGGCAAGGGGGGAGTACGGAGCAAGTATGCTCCCAAGGCATGTCAGGAGTGTCGTCGACGCCGTGCGAAGGTGGGTCGGCCTTGTCTCCACGAAACGATGCTTTTCCAATCTAACCGAATCCTAGTGCGACGGTACCAAGCCGGCATGCTCCCGATGCCTTGGTCGCCAGTTGACATGTGTCTACACCACTGAAGATGACGGCCGGGGAACCGCCCCCAAGTCATACGTGCGACTATTGCAGGCTCGCATTGACCTCCTGGAAAAGATCCTGTGGCTACATTCCATCGATGTCGGCGCTTCTGCGGCCCAGTTGATGCAGCAGAATAGTGTGCCGGCTACAGCCACGTCTTTGGCTGCTGGCGGCTCGACTGCCGCCTTTGACCAACTCTGTGATGCTTTTGAGGGCACTCTTTCTCTTGATGAGTCGCAAAACTTCCATCAGGATGGAGAGGCACGCTACTTTGGTCCTACTAGCGGCCGACTTGATTTCAAGACGTGCAATGGTAGCCTTTTACCCCCCCCCCCCCCCTACCAAGCACTTCATGGCACCGCTAATGCTGTTCCACAGAGCCAGGTGACTCTCCAAAAGAGTATTCCTCGCCAAGTGCAGACCTCTACCCCCAAGATCTAGGTAATCAGAATGACATCGACGAAGAGCTTGAAACTCATCTTCTCGAGCAATATTTCACCTGGGAGCAGCCATGGTTACAAATCGTTGACGAGGCTCTTTTTCGTGAAAGCAGAAATAATAACGGGCGATATTTTACTCCCTTGCTGTTGAACTGCATGTTGGCCAGCGGCTCCCGCTTCTCTGATAGAATCGAAGTTCGTTCTGACTCAAACGATGCCAATACGGCTGGACGTCGTTTCCTTGAGACGGCCGAAGTTCTTCTCCATTTCGATCTAAAGCGACCGAGCATCACAACCATTCAGTCACTAGCCATCTTGGGCACCGTGTACCACGTTAGTCGATATCATTCATGCAGGCAATAAACCTTTCTGACATTGGCAAGCTTTTGGACAGGATGCAGCAGGCTGGCTACACTCAGGCATGGCTAACCGACTTGTGTTGGACATGGGACTTAATCTCGACCCTAGCTCGTTTGTTGCTTCAGGCCGCATGAAAACAGAGGAGGCAGAGCTTCGGAGGCAAATCTACTGGGCTTTATACTGCGTCGATAAGCTAGCAGCGGGCTACACAGGACGTGTCTGTTGCATGCTCGTGAGACTAGCCGATTCTCACTCTCATCACGATACTGACAATTATCCACAGGATTTTCAAGGGTCCGTCAGTATGCCAACGGTGCCAGTTCACTCGCAGAAGCAGGATCGCCGGTATGCATTGTATTCTGTGCGACCAGAGCTCCTGGTGATGCTCCATACAGGCCTGATCAAAATATGTCAGGTCTGGGAAAAGATTCTCCTAAACCTGTGAGTCGCACATAAGAGTTGACCGATTTCCGTCTAATAGGTCGCAGCTATGCTCCGAAAAAGTTATGTCTTGGTGACCAGCGAAGGGATTTCTTCGACTCATGCCTGTTGTGGCTGAAGAGCTGGTTGTATGGCCTGCCCACAGAACTCAAACCTGTTCAAAGTGGAACGCCTAATCAGTTCCCTCAAGCGTACACTCTCTGTATGGTCTATCACACAGCTGTCATCCTTCTTGCAAGACCATACATCCAAAGTCAAGCACTTGGAAGCTCAACCCCTGATCCATTGGCGGAAAAGGCCACGGCTTGCTTCCTCGAGGCCGCACGGAACATATCGATTCTGGGTGACCAATATCGCCAAGTCTTTGGCAGTTTTCGGAGAAGTCCCATCACAGCAACCCATGCAAATCTCTCCGCGGCGTTGGCTCTACTCAATCCTCAAAACCAATGCAGAGCTCGGCTTAATCAGTCCGACAATGGAAACATCAAATCCTGTATCCAAACATTGAAAGAGCTTTCGACTGCTTGGACACCCCCTGGTAAGTTCCACTGCAACATTTTGAAGATGATACAAGACACAGCAGACCAGCAAGGGATGTCAACCACTTCTGATGCCCTGACAGATCACCACGATGGCGGTTCAAATGCCACTTCTGGAGGAAGCCACTTAATACCACCTGGAAATGGGATATGGTCTGGCCCGTCGATCGAAGAAGTTGGTTGGCCGTTGTACATGTCGACAATAGGGGATGAGACAAGTATAGAACAGTTTTCAGCGACGACAGAGTCACTACCATTTCAGTCAAGAAGCAATGCGTTGTGGGAACAGTTTGATCTGGATTGGTTTGGGTCTTCATTGCCATGGGACTGTCCATCTAGCTGGAATTAATGGTATAAAACGACGAATACTTAGCCTCCCTTTGTCTTGACATTCGCACAACAATTTTGCCCACGGCCGTCCCATGCTGAAGCCTATCCGTATACACGGGCACATCGCTGAGACTGATCTCAGCTAGCAGAGACTCGACTCGGTCTGATTTGATTAGCTCCATCCTCTCGAGAACTTCCTGACGTCTACCCATTAGGCTTCCAGAAATTTATAAGCTCCGCTCAACAAGAGCCCACCGAGGCATGGTGGGAGTGTTTTTGGTGCGCGGAACAATAAACTACCAATGGTAAGCCGTAATAGTTCAGCGTGTAGACCTCTTCTTTACCCAGAATTTGGAGTTGATATCAGGTTACCATAGGCAACCTATCAAGGGTAAATAATGCCGAAGCAGAATACACGGTAACCAGAATCCTAAGGGAATAGCTATTGGCTATTGTGTACTGTCTGTGAGGTTTTGTTTCTTGGTTGTTTCTTGCATGATGTGTAACGGGTTGGCAAGGTTCAATAACCCAGTGTGCTGCAGAGTGTTTCTCAACACCTTCCGCTTTAAGGATACATCCCTAGTCAGGGCACTTGATTGGATTTCGCGCAAAAGTTGTATTGTAGTCAGATCATAAAGTACTATCTTTGAAAAAATCTGTTGGTTCATACCGAATGAGATTTGTTACTTGCTGTACGGAGTAACAGAAATCTCTATTTGCCGTAGTAACGAACCCAATTAGGAAATGCGCAAGGGTTAGGACCGGACTAATGTTATTCCGAGGCCATAGAGCCCCTGCTAGGTCCTCTCAATCTTAACACCAATGCTGTCTGTATGATCTACATAGCTGTCTTCGCCAAGTTACACATCACATACAAATATAAAGGGGGAAAGAACTCAAGGCAGATAAGGCCCTAGTTGCCAAGGAGGTAGCTTTAGCTTTATTTTATGTAACCTATCTATATTAGACGGTAATACCTTTCTCAAGATATTTAATTATATAAATTAAATGAAGCCTTATAAACCTTTAGAAATAATTATTGTGATGCTGTTGTTTATATACTAATCTGTATGTGTAGGAGGGAAAAGGCGAAATTTGGATTGAAGATCATAAAGAATTTCGGTCTTACGTGATAAACTATGCCTAATCAGGCATTATTACGGCAAATAGAAAAAGTTGTTACGGCAAGTAACAAATCTCTACCGAATATCAAGCATTGATTACCGGTGGGATATCTCGGTCCGGCTTACCGGATCCATACCTGGTGGAACCGTACTGCTGAATTCCATCAATGACTGGAAGGCTGCGGCGCAACATTGCCAATAGGGCTGGCTCCGGCTTGGTTTGCAGGGGTTCTATGGTACGTGCCCTCCTCATGCATTACAGGATATACTATTACAATCTTTACCGGAATATTTGCCGATTGATTATGCGTTGCTCTCCTGCATTAGGTCTCACCTCAGCTCAACCTTTTATTTTTCGCATTTGACTTATCTTCCTCTCTTTCCCATTCACAGATTCATTGAGGTTAACTACCTAAGAAAAAGAGACAGTGAACATGCATATCTCCTCGGGAATCATCGCTGCGGTACTAGGCACCTCTTGGTTTGTGGCTGCAGCACCCACTGAGGCATCAGCAAGCGACTTTCTACAGGAACTCAACGACAAGGCGACGACGCAGTTGGAGAGTACCGAGCTGCAGTTCAGCACGAGATCCAGCCACAAGACATGTACAATCGCCAACGCCGCTGTACGTCGTGATTGGTGAGTTTACTGATAAGATATCTTCAGGTCACTACGTAATCCTAACAAAGCAGGAAAACACTCTCCCGGAAAGAGAAGAAGGCATATATCAATGCTGTGCTATGTCTTCGCAAGAAACCCTCCAAGGCGGACCCGACTTTCGCGCCTGGTGCACGAACCAGATACGATGATTTCGTCGCCGTGCATATCAACCAGACCCTCAGCATTCACGGAACAGTAAGAGTTGTGATTTGCGAGCTTTTAATTATATCTAACCTTTATCTCAGGGTAACTTCTTCACCTGGCATCGATACTTCACTTGGGCATATGAAAAGGCTCTCCAAGATGAATGCGGTTACAAGGGCACCCAGCCAGTAGGTAAAATTCTCTAAATTTTGGTAAGAAGACTTTCGAGCTAACAGTTAACTGTAGTACTGGAATTGGTTCGAGACCGGCGACTTTTCCACCAACCCCGTCTTTGATGGCTCTGATACTAGTATGAGCGGCGATGGAAAGTACTTCAAACACAATGGGTCCGTCGCCGGCAAGGGAAATATCGACCTCCCCAGTGGTCGCGGTGGTGGCTGTATCAAGACTGGCCCCTTCGCCGGTGCCACTGCCAACCTAGGTCCCCCTTCTCCTGGCATGAATGGCATGAAAGCAACCACCACTCCTCTTGAGTACAATCCTCGTTGTCTCCTTCGGGACCTGAGCAGCTACACCATCGATAGTTGGATGACTCTACCCAACCTATATAACATAACCCTGGGCGACGCTTCGCATAGCATTAAGGCCATGCAGGATGAGTTCCAGGGTCGATTTGCCGATGGATTCTTAGGCCTTCACGCCGCTGGCCACTTCGTTATGGGCGGCGACTCATCAGATCTCTTCTCTTCGCCAAACGATCCAGTCTTCTTCCTTCATCACTCCATGGTGGACCGCATCTACTGGATTTGGCAAGCTCTCTACCCCAAGCAGGCTAAGGACATTGCTGGTACTATCACTATCCTCAACACGCCTCCCAGCAGAGACACCTTGAAATCCGATCCGCTCAACATGGGAGTTAATGCACAAATGATCCCCATCGGTGACGCGCTCAACACTCTTAGCGGCTCGCCCTTCTGCTATATCTATTTGTAGGGTTTCGTAGAGTATAATAATTGGGTATCAGTATGTTTATATAGGGTAAGGGCATCGAGTACTAGGATAAGATTAAACATTGTTAATATAATCACCCTATTTTTATACTGAATACTTACCCAAACTATCTTCAAGGTCTAATCTAAACGGATCCTCTGCTTTATTTTATGTTACCAATTAGTGGAATATTATATGTTCTCCTCCGTTCTTTTGGCAACATGCTCTTTGTGCTAATTCATTTCTAAAAGGGGGTAGATATAAGTAAATTGATACTCTTCCATTCTGATGATATGAACTCCCGGAGGAGAAGTTCTTCTATGCGACAGAATTCTCATTCTATTACTAATTCAATCCTTAAATCACTTGTCAGAGACCAAAAATGCACGTGTGGTCAGTTACATAGTTTTCTAGTCCTTGGTTTCCAAGCCTTCTCACAACAATCGTTATATCATAGCTTGAATATTCTTACAAGCATAATATTGTCTTAAGCGAGTACGGCTTAATAAAACTATTATCTCTCCATCAACTCCATTCCTCTTCTATTAAACCCCTCCACCATTACAAAACTTCCCAATCCAATCACTAAAATGGCAGCACCTCTCTCGGAAATCACTCAATACCTTTGGCGACCCCCACGAAAAGAACCCGGGTCCAAGAGCCGCGCACTTAATAGGTCCGATCCTGAGAATTACAAGTATTACAGAAACTGGGGTTTCAATATCTACCGTACGTACTACGGTGAGGGTTCAGACAAGCATTGGCACACTCTTCTCGACGCACTAAGGCGGCAAACACATCTCGCCGTTGGGTTCTACGACGACAGAGAAGTGATGGAGAATGACAAGTACTGGAAGCAAGGCCCTTACCGTAACGAGGCTCGTTATATGAGCCACGTGAAGCTTTTCAAAGAACTATTCCGCCTTTTTCCTCGAGAAGATCCAGTATTACTCGACGGCCTTGGTGTCGACGGCATACGAGAGGTTTGCTTGAAAGAGCACCCTGACGCTAAGGAGAACATGGAAGGAGCGCGGTTCTGTTTCGCGCTTGTTGCCGATGAGGCGGTACTGAAAGGGATCTCGCAAGACAAATACTTTGTCAAAGCTGTTGGTTATGACTGGACAGAGAGCGATGGCGGCTGGGGCTGGGACAGGCTACAAACATGCCAATTACTTGATCTTTGGGAAATGCTTTTTGTTACAGATTCCGAAGGCAGGAGCAAATACTATGATATGAACCACAATGGCCCGGAAGAGGAGCTTGAAAAGCATGTTTGGCTAGGGGATTTCGCCCTACCCTTCTTCGGCGACTGCTCTCAAGTTGAGTATCTAAAGCCTAGAGGCACTCGTTCCAGTATCGGCTCCTAGCTGACAGCAGTTTTGGATTGGATTTCATTGTATACAAAAATATTGGAGTCTATGGAATACCATGGTACAAAACGTCCAATCTCATTTTGACGTGTCTCACCCTTCATCCATATCCATTGGATCATCTCCTTGCTCCGAATCATCCTTCAGAAGAGGAATGTCCCAATCAGTAAGAATACGAAATCCTAAGCTTTTGAACACTTTTTGAAGGAACTCAACCCTGTTCCTCACATTGTCACCATACTCACTAATGTCATTTTCATACGATCTTGCCATCTCCACCAGGACATCCGTGAGCCAATCTCTCGCCTTTTGTTCAACTTGGGTGTAAAAGTCCTTCAGCCACTCAACAAAGAACTGAGCTATTGATACCCTTTCGTGGTAGTGAGCTTCGTAGAGGATTTCGGCGTCAATAAGCTGTCGAACTATTCCGTTTATGATATTGCTCAGCTTGGTCTTGGTGTTTGGGCCTTCCTCCACGTCGGATCTGGTTCCGTCTTCCATTTCCATATACTCAGGTAATGCAAGAGTTGCTCGGATGAGCTTCAGCAGTCTATCTGTACCCTCTCGCGTACTTAATCGCATCTCGAGTTTGTTCTTAATTAGGCTCGCGACGTCATTTAACCCCATCAGCTGGTGGAGAATATAAATTAGTTTCAACTTCAATGGAAATGTCACAAACACTGTACTTACCCTGCCCTTAACGGCATTAATATCTGTGTGTGCCACGACAAAGTTAACAAAATTGGTCTGGCTTCCCAGAATCTCGAACAGGCGGTTCCACAGATTCCCGTCATTAAATCCTGGATTGCCAGGAATGTTACTGTAGCCTCCATATTCTTTGCCGAGCCGTATAATCTCTTGGAAAAATCTCATCGATACCGGGCCGTGTAGAGGAATAGCACCAGAAGGCAATCTGTTGAACCGCAGTTAGCAACTATCTTCATACTCGACTGTTGAAAGTGAGATCAACTTACTTTCCCGCCACTGCATCTTCCATAAACCGGATCAGCATTCTTTTGTCGAAAGGATGTTCAGCTGCCCAGTAGAGTTAGCTCAAATGAATCAAAGAGAGGAGAAAGAGACTGAGTTTTGCTTGACTGGCCAATACTATACGACCAAAGAGGGAGATACTTGCGACTCTATCTCCAAAGGTGCAGGTGTTTCTGGCGCCCTCCTATACATGGGCAATCAGGATCATATCCTTGATTGTCGCGACATTCTTGCAGACCAAAAGCTTTGTCTTCCAACAACATGCGACACATACTACGTGAAGCCAAACGATACATGCTATAGCATCGAGAAGGCTCTTGGGCTCCGTATGGAACGTATCACAAAGTACAATTCATGGATCAACCGAGATTGTACTAATCTCCAAGATGGCACGGACTTCTATGGCAAATCCATTTGCGTTTCTCCTCTGGGCTCCAAGGCCACGATCGAAGCCATCTCAAAGCCATCTACGGTCAAGCACAAGACGAGCAGTGGTAACGGACCATCAGTCTTTCCTACTGATCCACCCAAAGACGCAAAGGTGGCTGAAGGCACGACCACGATGTGCGGAGATTGGCATGTTGTTGTAAAGGCAGATACTTGCACTACTATCTGCAAGGAAAACGGAATTTGCGAAGATGAGCTGATGTTTGCCATGAACCCTTCTTTGGATAAGACGGATTGCGACAAGAGTCTCGTCCTTGGTACAGCTTTGTGCGTTACCCCTATCTCTGGATGGGACTCTGCCAAATAATGGACACCATATGCTTCCCACTGAAAGGTTACAGTTCCTGGACGATTGAAAGGAGCTTAAAAGAGATACCGTAAATAGGCATATAGATCATAGACGTTTTGAATGACGGGTTTATTTTCGCCGTTCTGTCACTTTTACTAAATAACCATATCCTACATAAGCTTAACTGTATCCTGTACAAGCCTAACTAGATCCTGAATAAGCTTAACTAGATCCTGCATAAGGTTTGCATCCCCTAGCATAAGCCAGCATGCTGGCCTACATCTGAACCCGCGACAACAGCTACTCAATAATTGAACCAACCGACCCCTAGCCCCCTCTGCTGCAGAATGGACATGGTAGTGTGTTTTCTGATTACCGGCTGATGTGCAGGATCTTTTGACAGGCTTTCGGAGTCATAATTCCTTCCAATGAAGAATTCTGCACCCGTGAATTCACGCAACCCGGTTCATGACCCGACTCATCACGCTAAACGAGGCTCGGTAACATGGAGGGCATGGACCCCGGTTGAAAACCGCGTATTCATGAATCGCCACAGCGATTTAAGAAATAACCTCGGGTCGGGGGGAGGAAAAGCACGGCACGGCTCCACATACAGATTTGGTGTTGTGAGTGAGGATTATCTGCTATGTTTCCTCCTCCTCTAGACTAGACAAAGATTTCAGCCGTCATGCAAGACAAAAGTTCGCTCCTTTTCTTTTGCCAGGGATGCCAATCGCCGAGCCCCAGTCTCAGTGCTCAGGGCAAGAGGGTCTATAGTGGGTCATCGCCAACCAACACTCACCAGTCTAAGCCTATGTAAGTTGAAAAGACAACCAACAGCATACAAAGTACCAACAGGTAAAACGTGAAAATGGATAGAGGGGTATGTTATAGAGTTTTCGGTCAAATGATCGGCATCACATTGAGGTCATTCGAGAAGAAAATTCTGTCCTACATGGGGCAACACCTTGTAAATCATGGTGTTGGTATCCACATACCGAACAGTACTCAACGGAATTTATGTCATAACGGCTAGTTGGGTCATCTCAGTCAAGCAGGTCGACCATTGATGCTCACCGCTTGATAACCCTTGCCATAGAAGTACGTTTGTAGCTTTGTGGTCGCTGCGGCGAATCTTGACCAAGTGAAGTATTCGCCGTAGTCCAATGACGATCCCAAGAAAGGCTGTTGGTTCACAATGCTAAGCCGGCAAGTCCATCCTGGGTGTGTCTTGGCAAGATTAATGCCCGCGGATTCTATGACATAGTCACCCGACGAATTAATGACCTGACCTAGTAAGTGTCAAGTTAGGCAATCAGTTCTGAATAACGTAGTCACAATATTGATAAAACGGCGTGAATGTCGAGTGTTCAAGGCCCGAATGTGTCATCCCAAGTCTGCTACACAACCTTGAATATTATCGATTGGCCTATTTTTATCTTCATTTCCTCCTTTGTTGATATTCCTGCCGGTCATGCATCTCTCTCACTTGCTGGTACCAGGGCTGCTTGCTATCACCGTGGGAGCGGCTCGCAATCAGAAGGTCCGTCGACAAAATGGACCTACTGATCCGGGTATACCCTCAGACTGCACCTATTGGGAGCCATCAGAGGATGTCAGCCAAGATTGTGCTTACATCGAGGACCTCTGGGAGCTGGATCATGACACGTTCGTTGAATATGTAGGTGACCGCTTTATGCCACTCAATGTTGTTTCGCTAAATCATTGTCACAGAACCCGAGTGTCAAGAATGACTGTAGTGGTATCCAGGTTGGGCACTCATACTGTGTCGAGGTCAACAACGGGTTCCCTCGTGAGGAAGAGCCTCCAAAGGCGACTTCAATCAAGCTCACCTCGACCAAAGCAACTGGGCCCGAGCCCACCAAAGGCGTAGAGCACAGCCCTGCCCAAGATGGCTTGATTGAGACTTGCACTGCCTTTTATAAGGCCAAGAAGGGTGATACTTGCGCGAAAGTCATCGCAGCATATGGCACTTTCAAGTTTGATGATTTCTTCAAATGGAATCCGGCTGTCGGGGAGGACTGCAGTGGTATCTGGGCTGATACCTGGTACTGTGTCGGTGTTCCCGGGACCCCGACTGGCGTCCCAACAAAGACGACTACAACTACAACGGCAACAAAAGCGGCAGGCTCTTCGAAGCCCAGTGCTACACAGGAAGGGCTGATAGAGAGCTGCACTTCATTTCACCCCGCTGCGAAGGGCGAGACGTGCGCTAAAATCGTCTCCAACTTTGGTACTTTCGACTTCGATACCTTCTTCAAGTGGAATCCTGCTGTTGGCGAAGATTGTAGCGGTATTTGGGCCGGGTATTACTACTGCGTTGGCGTTCCCGGAACACCAACAGCTAAGCCCAGCGCGACTGCTCCTAAACCAACTGCAGCTGGTGGATCTGGGGCTTATGAGCCTCAACAAGAGGGATTGGCCAAGAACTGCAACAAGTACCATAAGATCGCTTCTACAACGACTTGCTCTTCAATAGAGTCTTACTACAAATTGCCTTTCGCTCAGTTCTTTGCCTGGAATCCTGCCGTTGAGAAAGACTGCTCGGGCCTGTGGGTAGGATACTGGGTTTGCGTCAGTGTCGAGGGCTATACACCTTCCATGACAACCGTCAAAGCCACCACAACAAAGCCTGCAAATGGCATCTCAACACCACCGCCAGTTCAGAATGGTATGGTCAAGAACTGCGACAAGTTTCATCAAATCAAGTCCACCACTACCTGCAAATCTATCGAGGATTACTATAGTCTTCCATCTGCAACCTTTCACTCTTGGAACCCTGCTGTGGGCAATGACTGTAAGTCCCTTCTGGTTGGGTATTGGGTTTGTGTTGGCACCGTGGGATGGAAACCCCCTACCAAGACTACTACCAGTCCTACAACACCTACCAAGGCCTCCAACGGGATTACCACGCCCTCGCCTATACAGCCCAAGATGGTTGGTAACTGCAATAAGTTCCACATGGTCACTTCGACAACTACTTGCTCCTCCATCCGAGACTACTATAAGATCTCCTTAGCAGACTTCGGAAAATGGAATCCTGCCGTTGGGGCCGACTGCGCTAATCTATGGGCTGGCTATAATGTCTGCATCGGTGTCATTGGTGGGACACCTACCAAGCCTGGCAATGGTATTGAAACACCCTCACCAATCCAGCCCAACCTAGTTAGTAACTGCAAGAAGTTCCACAAGGTAACTCCTACAACAACGTGTGCCTCCATCCAGAAGTACTATAAGATCAGCATGGCCCAACTGGCTAAGTGGAATCCGACAGTTGGTAGTGGCTGTGACAAGCTTTGGGCGAACTACTGGGTCTGTGTTGCAGTCTAAATGAATAGATCATATATATACTGATTGGCGCTCCTGCTCAGTGCCACCCAAGCCATAGACAACACCATCATTTTCTATTCCCATCTGCCTTTGTGTCAACTGCGCTTTTTTGCACCACAGCCTCTAACTAGACGTTTTTCCATTATCACCACTAGCGAAACTCTCATTCATGTCAAATATTCGTTTGCCGTATTTGTGCAATCGTCAAATTCCTTGAGAAGCCTCATGAGGATCTGACGCAAAAGACATACTGCTAGGTTAAAAACAATAAATGTAATTTGGCCGTGGTTATTAAGAATCTGGCTACCGAATGCATGGTAAGCCATAATATCTGAATCGAGTCGTTGAAGCTTAGTAACACGTTTGTACTTCTGGTTGCTAGTCTCGCTTGATCATAAAAGGTCAGGAGTGAATTCTAGCGAAAGCAAATTTTACATGTGTTTAGAGATTGATGGGAAGTTCAGGAGAAAATCGGCTTATAAGCTGAAACTGATTTGTAGAAAGTCTATCTTGTTCATTACCATTCACAAGGTTGAGAAACTATGTTATAGAAGTACAAAGTTTCTATGATAGTAATAACCCCATGTAATACCACTCTCACCACCACTCCATCCACGACACCGATTACCATGGGTTATCGTTAATATCTGCATATTTGTATCCGCCGTTCTGCGCGAGGGAGCTACGAATCTGCGCAAGAGTTTGAGTCGCGCTACCGCCGTAAGGGTACCCATCCAAGCCATAAATAATACCGTCGATACCCGCGCCCATCAGCTTTTGAACCAACTGCACTTGATCCACGACAGCTGTCCAACTGAAAACCTTGCCAAATTTACCGCTGGCGACCTCCTGACGCAGCTGAGTACATGTCAGATGAGCATCACCCGGCTCCGTACAATCGCCGAATCCTTCGCCGAGCCTCATCCAGCCATATGAAGCCACACGCTTCTGAATGCTAGATGGCCCATTTGCGTTGAAGAATTGCTGCAGAGGTGCTGCTCTGCCATCGACGTTCAGGGCCTCGTTGCCAGTGAGGCCAGAGCGCAAAAGGCGGTATGCGTTGCCGTGCTCGTTTTCATAGAAGCCATAGAGCACTCGTACACTTTGAGGCTCCAAGACCTGTCTCGCCATGTCCCTAAGCGCAGCGATCGAACACCCCCATTCTGCCGGTTTCGCAGGGTCACAAGCATCCGGGTTTTTCAAATCAAGCCACACAAATGTGATAGGCTTACCGGCTTTGCGATGGCCAGCAATTGTATCAAACATAGCCTTGGCTCTGTTGCCATTTTTGCTTGGTCCGTCATGCGAGGCCCACCAACCATCCTGGCCTTCGGAAAACAAGTCCATCTCGATGGCATTAGCACCGTCGTTTACAGCGCGCTGAATAGCGCCAATGTCGTTGCACCGATGAGCAATCGCGTAGAACGGCTTCTTGGAGCCTCTGGCATTGAGTTCGGACACGGTGTCGTCAAATGCATCATTAGAACTCTGTCTCGTAGAAAGGACACCTCCCTGTTCAGGAAAAGCAACAGGGCCGGCTAATGCGAGAGTGGCTACAAACAAGCCTGACAAGAGATGAGAGAGACTTGGCATTGTGATACTGTTCTGAAGAGATGATTGGAAGTGGAGAAAAGAGGAAGAACTAGTTGAAGTTCTTTGGATAGATGTGAAATGCTGATGGTTACTTACTGTAGTAGGAATACCAGACTTTTATAAGATTTTCAACTAATTAGTTTCACTATGAGTTACTTCAAGTCAGTTCTATATTATGCCAATGCTTCCAGAACTAGAAACACCCGAGTATGCAACACCTCGTAATTATGTGCTATTCGTATAGCATTACATAAATAATAACAGAATTAGAACACACTAGCTACAAATGTATTAGAAGAGTTTGAAATAGGTGACGGGTCTTGTACAATCGCATGTGAATCTTCGTAGTACCTTCCTTGATTGGCCTTCTTTGTTCGTATTCATGCAGTTGAAATCACAGCCTCTGCGCCCAACTTTCTTACTGCATAAAGCAGTTGAAAGTAAGACATCTAATGCATAAACGAGTTGATATCAGGCCATATTCGTATGCTACTGGATGTGGCGTATAGGATTGCTCCGCTTTTATGTTGTCTATTACTAAAGTTGATTCTAGCGCTGGTATCTGCTGTGCCTGCTCGAGCAGGTGACGGGATCCAGTAGCAATGTAGAATATGAGTTTGGAGAAACACTGGTCCGAAGTGGGAGCTAACTGCCTTTCAATCCATCGGTCACAACTGGGCATATTGGAAGAAATACGCGGCGCTTGGCACATGAAGACCAATAGTAACAGGCTGTACTCTAGAGATTAAATAAGCTTGCCAATGCAGGCCATTTCCTGGGTTCCCGAGGACTTTTAACGCCGAACTTACTCAGTGGGTCGCTCATCACCAAAGTTCAATTCCTCCAAGCGGCTCGTGGATACACTCACTGCCTTAATCCAGAGGATAGAGAATTACACCATTGATCGTAAGAATGGACAAAACAGCACTGGCTTCAGCAAAGCATGATATCCTGAATGGATCATTACACCTTTTTATGGCATAATGGAGTATTATGTCTCTAGTTTAGGCACTCTATTAAATTCAATTGTATGGTAACCGTGACAAGCCTAGTCAAGGCGCACGTAACAGAGGCGGGAAGAAAACACGTGGATATTACCTACATTTAAAAATAAAGATGATAATAAAGCATGTAGGCCCCTAAGGGGCTAGGATAAAAAAAAAAGGTAAGAATATATTGCTAGGAGGAATATATCTTTAGACTTGAAGTTAAAGTTAAGGTAGTCCTAAGTTTAAAGACAGTTTTACCCTATAAGTTCAATTAGATTGGATTATATTAACTTAATGAAATTCCTACTATACCACTACATAATATATAATAGTACCAATAGTGTTTTTAGTAGGGCTATGTAATTAGCTAAAAAGTTTATATTCCATAGCCTGTCTCTTTTATACCTTTAGTATCCCTATTCTTTAAAAGCAATTTAAGTAAAGATATTTTCTTATCAAGCTAGTAATGCTAGCTATAACAAAGGTTTGGGTTTTCTAAAACATTACAGCTAGTATTAGTAACTTACTAGCTTAATCTCGAATTGACTGATGTCTTTCTAGTTCACTTGTAGAACACCAACGTGTCACGAGACAACGCGCGTTCGTCAATGCCTCCCCCAGGACTAACGTCACGTTATTGGTGCCTTGCTGCTCGTTACAACGCTCTGGGCATTCGTACTTCTGTGAATGCTGCTAAAGATCAGATCGAGTCCGCTGCTAAAAATAAAAAAAGTGAACATACCGGCAGCCGCAGTCTTAACTGGCAATTTTGCAGAATTTGTTTTGAGAATGATGTGAGACAACACCAGAGCCCCACCCGTCCCAGGCTGTAGATAGGTTGCTGACAGTTTATCGACAAAGGGTTATGAGAGTGGATTACCAAGAAAATCAACTCATATACGCAAGTGGAGTGCGATAGACGTGGGTGCGCACAGTGTCGAAGCGGAAGTCACGCAACCTTCGATCTTCCGGTCTCGGAGATACCCTAGTCAGTAAGCACACCCCTATAAAGGAGTAAAAGGAGGAATGGTCACTTTCCCCCTCCTTCAAGTAGCAATATTCAACTACATCAAGTGGCACCATTGGCTTTGACACACAGACAGCACCATCGTGATCCCCTTGCAGACCTGCCAACATAAACCTAGTACAGACTCGTTTTATACCTTAGGAAATGCAGCAGCACCATATCAAGATTATTACTGATTCCTAAAAGCTTTAGGTTATGGGGCCCGAACTGAGGATGTAAAATGCGTAATCCTTGTGATCTGTGATATTACAGTCTCGGCTGTTCCTGGTCCTGTTCCGTATAGGCCCGAAGTCTAGCATCGCCTAGATTATAGGATTGGAGATAAGATATGCACTACCTAGGGTAAGAAGACGTCTTTCCTTGCTCACAAATTATCGATTATAAACCTCTCGACTAACGTTAGATAAACTAAGCAGCCAGTAAGTAATCATAACGCACGGTAAACACTTTCACGTCCTGGTGAGACCTTTGATACGAATGAGTGTGCCTTCCCCGTTTGCGTAGTATCTCTTGTGCTGCATACTTCATTTCTCTGAGACTTATTCTAACGTTTTTGAGTCCCACATGCAGCTTCTACTAACAAGTGCGGCCGTGCTCCTGGCTACTTCTGGAGCCCTAGCTGGAACAAAGCACGAAGTTCCTGGACCAACTGTCTTTATCCGCAACGGAACAATTATTGGCAGAAATGTCAAGACCCTCAACCAAGACCTTTTCTTAGGAATCCCTTTCGCGCAGCCTCCAACCGGAAATCTTCGCTTTAATGCGCCTCAACCCGCAAACGAGACCTGGGCAACGCCTTTGAATGCATCTACATATGGCGGCCACTGCATTAACTACCTTCTGAGCTTACCTTTTGACCCCTCCGACATGGCGACGAGATATCCCCAGAGCGAGGACTGCTTGACAATCAATGTTGTCCGACCAGAAGGAACGAAATCTAATGCCGGTCTTCCTATGTTGGCTTATATATACGGAGGCAATTTCCAACAAGGAGGCTCCAGCGACGACAGGTACAATGTTAGTGCCCTTGTCAAGAAGTCGGTTCAAATTGGCCGACCGTCAATTGTGGTTAGTATGAACTGTCGCCTACAAGGATGGGGCATTTTGGCTGGAAATGATGTTAGCAAACAAGGTCTCCTGAATCTTGGTATACAGGACCAGCGACTTGCTCTGCAGTGGATTCGGGACAACATCAATGCATTTGGAGGAGACCGCCGGAGAGTCACCATCCAAGGTGAATCAGCCGGTGCTGCCTCGGTAGGCTTTCACTTGTTAGCCAATGGAGGAAGGGATGACGGCCTGTTTAGTGCTGCCATTTGTCAGAGTGGCGGACCCTACTACTTTGGCAGCTTTACGCCAGCTGCACTGGGGGAGAGGCCGTATGAGAGCGTCCTAAAAGCAACCAACTGCACGAATACGCATGACAAACTAGAATGCTTGCGCGCCGCGCCTTTCGAATCTTTGAACATGGCCTTCACTGATCTTTCATTCCTTCCAGTCATAGACGAAACCCTCATCCCTGAATATACCTCTACAGCTCTTGCGAATGGCCGTTTTGTAAAGGTCCCTCTGCTCATCGGTGCCAATACCGATGAGGGTAAGATCTTCGCCGGCAGGGGTGTTAACACGACCGATGAACTCGGTACTTCCATCATGCAATACCCATATATCCATACGGCCAATAATGATACCATTCGTGATCTACTGGAAGCCTATCCCGAGCCGGGTACCAACTCGACACATGGCCAATCGGATGACACCCTTCCAGTGCCCGCACCGTACGGTAAACAATTCCTGCGCACCGCAAGATACACCGGGGATGCCCTATTTATTGCTGGACGGCGGTACTCGTGCGAAATTTGGACTCGACATGGGCTCCCTTGCTACAGCTACCGGTTTAACACGATTCTTGGCGACACCGATCCGCTGTACCTTGGCGCCACCCATTTTCAGGATGTCTCATTTATCTTTAGTAACATCTTGGGACTAGGCATGCCATCAAATGCTTTTGATGTTCAGCCTCTAGAAAGAGAAGAGAGATACAAAAGGTTAAGTGACTTGATGGGTCGGATGTGGATGAGCTTTGCTGCAACGCATTCTCCCCATAATCACAAAGGTATTACACATATCGAACAGTTGCTAGTGGGACTTCTGCTAATTATCACATTTTGACAGTGAAATCGTTTCGGACAGCCTGGCCTGCGTACAGCATAAATAACCCCCGGAACTTGGTGTTTGATGGGAACACAACAAGCTTTGTGGAAAAGGATGACTGGCGCGCCGCCGCATTACAGATGATCATTGAAAAATCGTTGGACTTCAGTCGCTAACATGCTTAATCTAATTGGCATACGTCACAAACAAGTATTGCAAACATTGCATGCCCTGTAACCAGAGCGATTATGAACACGTGAGAATAGATACAAGTAATACATACATGTTCTGCAAAAAGAATTGAATATTCAGGTCTTAGTATTAGTACAAATAGTAAGCGGACATTTGACGCTAGGAGTGAGTTGAAAAGTATAGCGGGAATGTACCTATAAGAGTCAACTCCAATCCCAGCACAAACATCCACGTTACCGTGTCCCGTATGTCGATCAAGATTAACATGATATTTGCTATCCCCAAAAACCTAGACGCTGGAGCGCAAGAGTGCGCTATTACTCAGAATTGATTATCCACGTCACCTAGGATTGCTGCGATGCTGTAGATCTTGTTCCATTAACTACACTTCTCGTCTGGTTTGATCAATCAGTGATTCGTCCTTCTCTGAAAACTTTGTTGCTCACTTCTTTCCGACCATCCATATAGGGGATTAAGCTGTACTGTATATTATGATTACTAATAGAGATTATTATGAATTGATCCTAGTTCAGGCCGGAATACTTCGATGCCTCTCTCAAACTCCGAGATGCCTTGCAGACAAATATATCTTTCCCCTTTGACCAGTAGGCAATTCTATTGCCACAACTTTCACAATGATGTTCTGTATTGAAGCACCATTTTGTAGCGTAAGGGAGAGCAGCCCCGGGCCCGGTGGCAATGAGCAGAATGGCTGCTTGTATACTAATCAAGCTTTTTAGACGTTGTGGTCGGGTTTTGTTAAGGTTACTTACTGCGTTAGGGTAGAAGGCGTCCTTTTTATCAGAGTCATGGCGCGTCTTTCGCAAAAAGGACAGTCAATCCAATCGGGCTGATCTCCAAGCAGGTGTAACGGCGTTACAGTCTCGATAGACAATTCTGGCGTTGCCACGACCTCAAGGCCATCACAGATATCCATGAACCGGTTTGATAGCTCTGGTGCGACACTGTAGGCCACTTCCGGCAAATCATACCCATTGACCGCCTTCACTAACCTCGCCGGCTCCAGGTCGTCCGAGACAACGACTTCCGGAAAGCAGTCACGATCAATCTTCCGTTCTTTGGGCCTGGGAGAGTATTAGTTGTCAAAGTCTCCTGTCGCGTTAGGTTGGCCACTCATGCTCACCGTCGATCTGATAAATCTGTCGGGAAACAAATTGAAGGCGACTCCGGTTGATGAATCAGAGTTTCGGATCGCGACAATGGGAAGCCGGTTGGCGTCGAGAGTGAGGGCGATGTTGCCACAGACCCTATGGGACTCCAAAAACCTTTCATTGGGGATACGGCGTCATCTTGTGATGGCTTGGGCTCAGCATACCCGCAAAACCTAGGTTATGTCAGCTACTCGTTGAAGTTACAAAGCTGAGGGATATTTCAAAACTGACGTAGCATCCATCTTTGCGCTGGATCTCGTGGTCAAGGCGGGTGAAGAAATAAAGCGACAAAAGGAGGACAAGGAAATCACTTCTCAGAGTGCATATGCTAGTAATGTATTCTTACCCCTATACATAGTAACATAACAAAAGCTTATTAAAATTCGATAAAACTATTTTTTCATTGAATTAATAACGTTTAAGGAGGAGTGCGACTCCCTGTAAAGGGAAATTACCGGTACGATAACGAGGTGGTTTATCATAGCAACGTTACCCACATCAGTCGCTAGCTAATGCATGTCTCTAAATTATCGGAGAGGTATACAGCTGGTAATCATGTAAAAAGCTTTTTTTTTATAGCTTTGGTCTTATCGAGTACTTCGTACTCTGTAGCCACCGGCTTAATGAAAGGAGCGATAACGATAACGAGAGCGATAACGAGAACGAGACGAGGAGTGACGATAAGAACCAGGGAAATCCAGGCCCTGCCCCTAGCCTTTACTACTGGGTTCTTCCGTCAGGGTCGTAGAAATACTAATGTCATAGCTCCGTTCTCCAAATAAGTCTCGGCTCATATCGATACGATAACGAAAGATGAGGGCTTGGTCAAAGTAAGCTTCTAAGCCACTATTTGCATGTCCGTAGCATAATTATGAATATTGGAGGATTATATAAACCTAGAAGCCATGCTGAAGTATAGTTAGTTAGAATAATTATATTTACTGAGTTTCTCTCTGAACTGTGTCTCATCTTTACTCAAATTTCAGTAACCCACTGCTTCCAGCGATCAACATGCTCCAAAACCTTTTCATTTGTGCTCTCTTCTATGCGGCGACAGCCTTGGCTGCTAGGCCTTTTCTCAATGAGCCTGACACTTTGTAAGCCAACTCATTTCTCTCAGCTATGTTGGACAGATCCTCAACTAATGAGTGCAGGATCGATGAGTCTTTCGCGACCTTCCCCATTGTCAATGGGAGTTTACCAGACATATCTCGACTCCTTGGTCTTCCGGACTTTGACTGGGCGGCAAGACAGGTCATGAATGACTCGGCATATACCAGGTATCGCACTGGCTCTGGTGGAGAATGGTCCTACAGAAACAATCTAGAGGTGTTTGAGCGGTACAGATTCAGACCTCGAGTTATGGTTGATGTTTCAAATATCGAATCGTCTATGGAGTATGTTAACACGTACTGGACTGAAGGTAGAGTAGAGGATACTAACTACTGGCTAGGACTACTATTCTTGGCTACAAATTCTCTGCACCCTTCTTCATTAGCCCATGCGCTACAGCAGGCCTCGCTCATCCCGAGGGTGAGATCGGTTTACTCAAGGCGGCAGCGGACCAGAACATCCTATACATCGTAGGTGCACTGTGGTCTTATAGAGTGCCTAAGCTATCTCTAACCACAAACAGCCTTCACTTGCCACCAGCGTTTCTCTGGAGGACATTGCCGCTGCTAAAGCCCCTAAGAGCCAGGTTCTGTTCCAGCAGGTATGCAATTCCCGAGCTTCTTTTGATGCGTGCTGATGCTTCACTAGATCTATGTAACGAACAACAAAACAGCCGACAAGCTTCTTTTCCAGCGCGTCGAAAAGACTGGAGCAAAGGCCTTGGTTCTCACTGTAGACTCGGCTGGGGACCGCACCCGTCATCGCGCCCTTCGATTTGAAGAAAACGCGAACCAGGCACGTTCTGACAGCTATAGAACCATGACTTGGGACATTTACAAAGATCTTCAGAAACTTACAAAGCTTCCAATAATCCCCAAAGGTATCCAAACTGTTGAAGACGCTCTAGCAGCTATCGAAGCAAAGGCACCAGCCATATTCCTCTCTAACCATGGAGGACGTGCTCTTGATGGTTCCCCTTCGAGTTTCGAGGTGGCTCTAGAAATACACAAGAGAGCGCCCCATGTTTTCAAGCACATTGAGGTTTATGCTGATGGCGGTATCCGCTATGGTACCGACGCTCTTAAGCTCCTTGCTCTAGGTGTACGAGCTGTTGGTCTCGGCCGTCCGTTCATGTATGCCAATGTGTATGGCTCAGAAGGTGTTTCCCGTGCCGCCAGTATTCTCAAGAAGGAAATCACAGCTTCTGCTGCTACTCTCGGGGTAACGAACTTGAAGACTATCAGCCCAAGCTTTGTAAGTTGGCGTTCTCCAGCAGTCGCATAAGTCAGTTTGCTAACAGGATTAAAGTTGGAACTGAACCAAAATGGGTGGTACAGCTAGGTCGGTATCAATGTTCTAAATACTAGAAGATTGATAAAATGGACTCTGGGGCGATTGTATGTGCTGAAATCTTTTTAGAACTATGCACTTATCAATCTCCACACCCTATTCAGTCTTCATTTCTTTTCCTTCTTTTCCTTTTTTTTCTCCTTTATATTTAGATCTGCAAGAACATAGAATTCTTTTACAAATGATTTGTGTCCCGACAAACAATTATAGTATTATGCGACAGTCATAATTGGCCTACACAGCCTTTATCATATGTAGCTCGTTCTCGTATCTTACTGTGATTGGCCAATGTGCTGGGATACTGGATACTGACTCGTAAAGTATGGTTTCAGAAATAGTCTGACCTCCACTAGGGCTTAGTAAATAGCAGCCTATTAGATAATAACAGGGCTCTCCTGGTAGTTTGGCTAGAAGCTTAAGAAGCTTAGCACCTTCGGACTTCCCAGCATGAAATTATATGCATTGCTATTCTCTGGTTTTCTATTACCATATAGTATTGTCTGTTAAGTATCTGCTTTTACTTACCTATTAAATGTTTTATTATTTCCTTAAGTATTGTAACACTAACGTATTAAGAGCTGAGGTGCCACTGTACAATCCTGGCCGGTAATATCATTAAATCAAGGTGATGCTATTAAGAAGGTTTGTTATATTAAGCCCAAATGGTCTATAGGGAACGAACAGGGTGCAGCATGTGTAGCCAGTACCAATGAGATATTTGTGTTATATGCGTCTGTCTTGGTTTGTAAAAGAACTCGCAAAGAACTACGGGAACAAATTATCTTTTCAAGCGGAAACGGTCCATCCTGTTATTTTATTCTCAACGTTAAGGCGAGATCCGTCAAAATTATATGAGGGTCATGCCCCTTGCTAATGCAGCCAGATATTGAGTCGCAGAAATAAAGCTTTATCATAATACCACTTCACAACAAACTCACGGTCATGTTTCGATCTCAGTCGTGAAGTAGCAAAGAGACTTGGTATGAATAAATGATGATTGAATATGGTAAGGAGAACTGAAATGTAGACTAGAAGCGTGTGAGTGCGTTGGAGTCAATGAACCTCAAGGATTCTGTGTTTGGAGAGCGGAGAACTAAGAACCCAAGACTAGGCAATAGGTACGATTTTTGAAGGAAGACGTTGTTGTTCAACCAAATCGGTTAGATAAAGGCCTTGTCCAGATTGTTGACGAAGTTACCGTCCTTGAAGGGAACATTGGCTGAGCCAAAGTTAGCATTCTGGAGGGCTTCCCTGCCTCTGGCTGTCATAGACTCCCACTGCGAGAGCCAATGAGTATCTCCCCTTGTGTTGGAAATTTGTAGTTGATGGTTCATTCCCAGCTGAGTAAAGTATTCAACTTTGACCCTGTCACCTTCGCGAAGAGGTGTAGAGGTTCGCGCATAGTTGCCATGTCCAGAAGCTGCAAATCCGACAATTTTGGGATTATCGTTATTTGGGTTATCGAGCCAAACCACCGCGTTTTCCCAGTCATGGCGGTGGCCCCCAATGACGTTACCGGCATTGGGCTGGTCTTTGGGGAAATACCATGCGTACATGATGCCAAACTTTCCTTTATGCCAAGCCGCACGAACATAAGTCTGGCCTTTGTTATTGTCTCTGCAGCCTGCACTCGGGTTTCCTGTATCCTGAAATCCACCACTGACGGATTGGTTAAGTTCAAAACTGAAGACTTGTTGGTTTCTTACCTGATATCCCCCGCATCATTCGAGGCAGTATATGGCTGGCAGCCATGGGCGATATGGAGGCAAGGCTGGAAGCGCTCCATGGAATTGCCGATCTTTCCACCCTGAGTCCTAGGAAGAACCGGTCCAAGTGAATCGTGGGCGACAATAGCTCGCCGCTGCAGGGCAGTATCGACCGGAGTGCTACTAGCGAGGCCAAAAAAGGCCGAAACAGACAGGAAGCCGATAGGACGCATCTTTCGTATAGAAGTTAAAGGATAGGGCTCAGACGAATAGTAATAGAGCAAAGATAATGAATAATCTCCTGGGTGCTTGTAGTACGGAGATTAAAAGCTTTGCAAGAGAGGACAGGTCTTTTATATAAATGTCTGCCACCGACAGCGTTTAAGGTTCCTCGTTAAGACATCCACAATACGAACATCACCACTGAGCTATGCCTGAAAAAGAAGCTATTATGCTTATAGAAGAGCAGAGGTCAGATATGGTTTCAGCACCGCCATGATAGAATATCTAGATTAGTATTTAGCACTTCGACTAACTAGGGCGAGTTTACCAAGACTATGTAATTCTTTAGAATAGAGTAGGGAATTACCACAATTGTAATTAATAGAGTAAAGAAAATAAAACGAGGATAAAATAAAAGTACCTACGGCAAAAATCTTATCTATATGTCTCAGTAATCATCTAGGCCAACACAGTTGCTATTGCAACACTCAGGGATTTATGTTCCTAAATTACAAAAGTTCAAGCACCGTATACAGTTAAAATGCTAGTAGGACTCCTTCTTTGTATTGTTCAAACCCTGTAAGACGTGTGTCCATTCTACTCCTCGCTGCTCACTCATTTATTACCCCGATGCTAAGTTCAGTATATGCTAGTCCGCTTTCGGTACAGGGATGACCAAATCACAACACAGCTCGTTTTCGGTTACAAAGTGTGATAGTCAATTACCCCTGGAATCACTAGACCATTTTTGGTGGCCATTTCCTTCTCTGTATTCGGGCATCCCGGAACCCTTGACGACGTGCATGCTCGGGTTCGTTCTCGTTATTGAGCGCCATCTTCAATCTGATGTTGGCATGTACTCCTCATTTGACAGCCACAGATACCATGAGGTAGTCATTGGTATGCGCCATTTTACAAGTTGTAGTCCTATTATCGTTAAATTGAAATTGCTGCCCTACTCCTTTCAACTTGTCGATATTCCTCTACTTCTGTGAGACTTCACTTCCTCCCTATCAACCTTGTATTGAACTTGCCTCCTGTCATTTTACTGCTAGCCGATGAACCGTGCTCCTGACACTATGGCTACGCCTCGGGGGGCTGCCACTCCCACGACGGCAATTCAGCATCAGTCACTTCCATTCTCTGAAGATGCACGTAGGAACAGCGGCAGATTTGATCCGGAGGCTGTCGTATGGGATCGTCCCGACGATTTAGAAGACCCAATGAACTGGCCGACCTCCCGAAAGGCGGTCAACATCGGTCTCATGTCGCTTTTGACTATCATTTCGTAGGTCCGCTGCTTCATGAAACTTGGGTACCTGAGCGTGTGGCTGATAACGTTAACTCAATTTCTGACTTTAGCCCGCTGGTTAGTTCATTCAATGATTTCAGCACACGCGAAGGTTCTGCTGATCTGACAAAACACACTCTTCCTTTAGGGTTCTTCCATGTTTGCCCCCGGGGTCGCCCAGCTCATGGCAGAGTTCAACAGCACGTCTAAACTTTTGGCTACGTTTGTGGTATCAATATACATTCTCGGTTATGCGTTTGGACCATTGCTATGGGCGCCGCTAAGCGAAATATATGGGCGCGTCTACATGTACCATATCGGAAATTCTGTCTTTGTTATACTCTGTATTGGTGCCGCACTTAGCAAGTCCATGGGTACGCTCCTCACTCTTCGCTTATTCATGGGGATATTTGGGTCAGCACCAACCACTGTTGGGATAGGGAGTATCATGGATACGGTCACACTTGAATGGCGAGGAAGGATACTGGCCCTGTGGGCAATGGGACCTCTTCTTGGTCCTTGTATTGGGCCGGTCATTGGTGGTCATATAACTGAAGGCCCAGGATGGAGATGGGTCTACTGGTTTCTGGCTATTCTGGTAAAAGTCTCCCTGTCTATTTTACGGCCATCCAACACCATTCATTGTTTGGAATATACTTCTTTCTAACTGGTCTTGTGTAGGGAGGTGTCTTAGGCATCTGTGGAATGGTTTTGATGCGAGAAACGTATGCCCCTGCGATCTTGGAACGAAAAGCCCGTCATCTACGCAAGACGACAAACAATCCCAGTCTTCGAAATAGCTTGGGCACGCGCGATTGCCATCTAGTCAAGCTCGCCATGATACGTCCTCTTAAGTTATTATTCACAGCACCATTGGTTGCCGTGGTATCGCTGTATGTTAGTGTTGCCTATGGTACTTTCAACCTCCTTATTGCCACTTTCTCATTTGTGTACGCGGAGCGATATCATTTCAACGAGGAGTCTGTTGGACTTTCCTTTCTTCCCCTCGGTATTGGTATGATATTGGGAGTTGGAACATACGGTTATCTTTCCGACCTTCTTGTGCGAAAGGCAAAAGAGAGACAAGGTTCCGATGGGCCCTATCAGCCCGAGGTAAAGCTTTCCCCATGGGTAACTGTGCCAGTCGGTGTCGCTTTACCAGGCGGCTTACTCATGTACGGATGGACGATACAGTACGGAGTTCATTGGATTGTACCTATGATCAGTGTTGCTATATTCTCGTTCAGCCTTATGGGCGCCACGGTATGTTCAATGCTCTCTAGTCCCTCTTCCGAAACTCGTTAACCCCATCCTAACCGGTAGATATGCATGCAAAACTATCAGATAGACTCATATCCTACTTTTGCAGCATCAAGCATGGCTGCTGTCACTTTGTGCAGATCGATTGTGGGCGGATTATTGCCACTTACTGGTTTGGAGCTTTACGACGTCCTTGGGTCAGGTTGGGGGACTAGTCTTCTGGCTTTCATCCTGATGATATTTATACCAGTCCCTGTTTGTCTATATTGCCTTGGAGAGCGGCTCCGGAAGGCTTACATGCCTGTCTTGTGATGGAATGAGGCCTAGTAGAATAGAATAGAATATGAATTGGAACCAATATCCTTTTCTATACGTGCTGATGGTTTATCCAACACCACTTGGAGTTGCCTTAATTACATAAATATATTTCCCTGTTCGCAAATCTCCTTGCCAACCATGAGGATGAATTCTGATACTCTCCATGAGTGTTGCAAGAAGCAGAAGTAACAACATAGAGAAATTTGTTTATACGTACAACACACCGACAACGGACTATTTACCAATAACTCTTGGCAAATCCGATTCCTTCCACAACCCACGATTCCTCCAGCGTACATTCCACATCAAAACCATGACCACCAGGCTGGACACTATAGACTAGAGGCGTTTCGGGATGCGTCTCTCTTATGTAGGATACGAGATCGTCCGTAACGGGCTTCGGCACCTGATCCGATATGTTAGCGTCATACATGTTTCTCGTTCCGCCTTCCAGAATGCGACATCTGTAAAAGAAAAGAGGGGGATTTCCCACCAGAGTATCATCCATGCCTTGGGCTATCCATATCGCTGGAAGCTCTTCGGCAAGACGAATACTTTTGCGAATATTTATGCGATCATCTAGTCCAATGAACTCACGGTGGCGTCCGGCGCCGATAATCGCTTGCAGCAGGCCCAGCTTTTCGGGAAACGGCGACGATAATCTAATAGAGTCTGACTTCATGCTGTTCAAATACATCTGCAAATCGTTGTTTGCAGGGAGTGTTGATGGCACTGGGTTGTATGCAGGATTATCGATATCTAGGGCACAATACTGCGCCATAACAAGCTTGATACCTGCCGCGGGGAAAAGTGCAGCGGACTGCAAAGCGAGGTATCCGCCAGCGCTCTCGCCAGCTACAGCGATTCGGTCGAAATCTACAAAGAGGCCAGGCCATATACCGGACAGAACAGCCGGGAAAGAGGTATGTATCCATGTCCAGAATTGTCCTACGTCATCAAAGAGGTCTGAGCCGCTTGCTTCTGGTAGAAGGCGGTACTCGGGGGACACTACAACAGCATCCTGAGATGCCCCGAATTGCATAAGCCTAACAGAGTTCGTTAATCATGCTAGCACCTAAGAATCCAGGAGTGATTTTTTACCAATGTGGTAACATGACAGGATCTAAGATAGTTCCCATAATGAGTCCACCGCCATGCAAGTGGACGAGTAAAGGACGCGCATGATTCCGAGATGCTATACTCATTTTAGGCACAAGAACGGCTACTTTGAAAGAGATGCCGTTAAGTGTCTTGTATACAACGTCAGTGCGGTCGAAAAGCCCAAGCTTGTCAGACATTCTTCTGTTTTGGTTAGTAGAGCTAGAAACCGTGTGGAAGGGTAGAACGATAAAAGATGAACGACTTAGGATCGATGCGGAATTGAGGGATTGCTGTCTCTAGATGATATGCATCGCATTACCAATAATTACAAATAGTGTTATAAGTATCTCGGCAACTGATCGATTACAAATGATTCATGAACCTCGGAACGTTTTACGAACAGAGCTCGTCATAGTCGTCATGATATCCACTATAGATAAGTAAGACACGAGACTAGCCAAGGGTTTGAGGATTGGTGGGATTAGGGTTATTATATTATTCACAAAAAGTCTTTTAAAAAAAAGAAAGGTTTAAACTCATACAAAAGTAAATTGTACCAATGCGATGCGTCTGTTCTATCCTAGTAGTCCAGGATCGGAGAATAACTATATTTAGAGCAGATAACAAGTAGTTTTAGGTTTCGACTTGTGTAAACTTATTCAATATTTACTCATCCCCATGCCTCCTTAGCTCCATGACCTACAGACAATTGAGATCAAGAGTATCCATTGATTCATGGAACCCCGATAGCCCTGATGGTCTCTGACATTGCACTAGATTTAGTTGCGCGCTTCCAATTCAAGCCCTTTCTTGTGAACGAAACACATTCCTCGGAGACTTAATTTATTTATCTTGAGACAAAATCATAACCGACCTGACAATGCCTTGTCCTATTCGAGTGTTTCCCAAAGATCTTTGAAGTTGGAGAGGAAGTCATCTACCATCTTACTTGGCTGCCAGCCAATCTCGCGAGATCGATCTGCGCGAGTCCTTGACCGGGAGCCCCAGCCAAGTTCAGCGACATCGGGCCCCCTCTTCAGCAACTTTTCAGAAGCCTCCTCCAACGTCAGTTCTTTGACGTTATCCGTCTTCAGCAGACCCAACTCTTTTCCTACCTGAGCGATGTGTTGGGAGATTTCTTTCCAGCTCACATAGCCCGTTTCGCTGAAGTAGTAGCCTGCCGCGTTGAATGAAATATCGTCGCCTTTCAGGATGTGGACGACGAGGAGCTCATATAGGGCAACAAGGTCATCGATATGAACGTAATCCCATTCTCCTTTGCCGTCACCGACTTGACTGACATACCCATCCTGGCGGGCATCTCGGATCAAGGCCTCGATCTGCATCGAGCGTCGGTTGAAAAAGCCAGAGCCCAGACCGTATATGATTGGGGACGAGACGATATAGGTACGTACTCCTAGTTGTTGACCGTATTCAACAACGGTAACATCCGTGCTTCGTTGGGGAAATGGCTCAATTTTCTCCCGGTACTTTTCGTACTCGTATATGTCATCTTTATCCGATAGTATTCTTGTTTCGATATATCGTTGACTGACATGATTGTCGGCAAAGCTACCCGACCCTGAAGTCTAGAAAGGTCAGCAACCCCTGTCATGATTCAATATCCCCTTCTGCACTGACCTGGATTAGATGAGTTGGATAACCGGTTTCTTCCTTTCTAGCTGCGAGCCCCTCAATAATGGCTTTGGCAACCGACGAATGGAAAGTATTGGCAGTGTTGATAACAATATCATTTTGGGCGGCAACTCGCTGCACGAAATTGACATCGTCGAGGCCTGGGAACAAAACTGTATTTACGCCATGTTTCTGCAAAATGTCGCCTTGCGACTCATGCCGTACTAATGCCGTAATCTCACAGTGATTCAGACAAGACTCTACAGACTGCATCAACCTGCTGAGAACCGAACCGCCGCTTTATTACTATTAGTAGGTGTGACCAAGCAGATATATAGAGCTTCCTTTTCTTTGTTTTTTACTTACATGTAGCCCGAAGCACTAAGGACGAGAATACGAGACTTCTCCATCATTTTTAACTGTTACTCCAGCTGTAGTTGTTTAGTCTTTAAGCACAGTTTGAAAAGGAACCTATCTATTCGAGAGGGATGTAAGTTTGCTTATAAAGACCCAAGCGAAGTATTGGAAACCCCAGCCGAGAGTGGCAAAATGAAAACCGGCAGCGTAACGTTAGTCACTTTAGTTTGCCTGATACACCAATGGCACATTATTAATCACGAAAAGTTTAGACAAAAGTATGGTATGATCCTAACTGAATGACTACACACCACAGAGTAAGAAATTCAACGTATATAATATGTAAACCTTAATGATTTTCTACAAAGTAGTAACTATTCAATATAATCCATACCTTTAAAAGGATAATAGTTAGGTTACATAATACTACAGTGAACTTTGATATAATAAGATGTATTTAATATAATACTATCAAATCTTGAGGTTAACCATAACTATATCAGCCGACCACTATGAAAATACGTTGCTACGGAATTTAAGTTATCGACCGCTTCTAAATCGAAGTCATCGGCAAGTACATAACCCAGTATCCGAATCGGCAAGTACAGAGCCCAGTATCCGAATCGGCAAGTACACGACCCAGTATCCGATCACCAAAGCAGTAACTTTGGTTTTTTGATAAAAAGTATTCAATGACTAATTATAGATTACTAATTCACACTCATCGTGCATACTTGAGTCATGGTACGGGATTAGTAAGGCGAGGAGCACGATCTGATGTTAGACGATAATATCCGCCCGTTTGTTGTTATCTTATTGCTACTATATCCACAATCTTTGTCCTCTTCAAGCTAGTGCCTTGATTTTAACAGCATGTAGCCACGATCATCCTGGAACGCAATCCGCCCCTTTACGAATGCGTCAGATAACATAACGTTACTACCTTCGGGATATCACCTGAGACGAAATCGTCTTCCAACCCAGGGTTACACTTAACTTCTCTTCAACCTCTGCCCTGAACCTTCAGACACTTGAGTCCATTATCTCGTCGCCCTCAATAATCAACAGCAAATTTTACGTCGTCTAGTACTTTCTTGAAATGGCTCAAATCTTAATCCTTTACCCCTCTGGCCACCCTTTCGATCTGGACTATTATCTCAAGAGTCACATTCCCCTGGTTTCTAAGTGAGTCTGCCCTTTTACATGTGACGATTCGTAAGTCTGACGGTGCTGTAGGGTTTGGGGACCTCTTGGCCTTCAAGGCTGGGATGTTCTGACGTTTCCTACCGGTGCACCTTATCAGGTTCAGGCAACTTTAAAATGGAAGAGCTTGGAAGCGTACGGGGAGGCAGCCACCGGCGAGCCTGCACAGGGGCTTTTTGGCGATATTAAAAACTTTACCACTGCTGAGCCGGTTCTGCTTAAGGGGTCGGTTGTCGGGAGTTCTGTTGAATAGATTGCTTTAAAGCCCGCTACACGAACACAGAATTTTATATCATTATACATCAGTGCTAAGATGGTTATCCCAAGGGCTTCTTTGTCCATAAATATAGCTGACGTGAGTTGAGGTGCACCTTAACAACAGCCATTGCCCGAGCTGTCAATGATCTTTTGACGTTAGACCGCCCTGTATCAGTCGGTCTGTGGTTCTTTTGTGAGGATACCTTCGAGGCTCACTTGCCCAAGCTTCTGCAAGATGTGTAGCGTCTTCCCAAGCCCACTGCCGATTACCTTGCTAATCGCCGTGCAGAGGATTACCAGGACCTGTAACCGCACGGCAAGACTTACTCCGTAGATCGGGAAAACTTAACCTGAAGCGCACGGCACGGTAGAATAACGTATGTTGGCCAATTTGTAGAGAGGATCCATTCTACTTTATTGGTTGGTAATACTCTATGACTTATCCTAATTTTCCCTGTATCCCACCCAAGTACGCACCCCAGGCCCATATCATTTTAACTTTCAAGTCCCAATTTTTATGTATCTCCTTTGGGCTCAAGAGACTACAGTTTGTACCTTAACGTAAGTTACAGATTTTCCGAGCAAATAGGGTGTTTTTCAAAGAATATCCGGATGTTTCTTCTCAGCGATCACAATTTCAACAGGACGTTCATTGAAGGTGTTGCACTAAGTTCTGCCTAAACCAGAACCACGATCTTACCCAAAGCTTGATTGCCCTCCATGAATCTATGTGCCTCAACGATATTATCTAAATCAAAAGTCTTGCTGATCGGCAACTTGAGCTTCCCACTTTTAACCTGCTGTGCCAAATCGCTCAACGGCGTTTCCAAAAATTCAGCTTGTCCTCCACTATAGGAGGTAAGGCATACGCCCAGGGGGATTGACTCCATTAGGTTCCAGTCGCTTAATGTCCACTCATTACCTACTATCCCAGACATGCAGACAGTGCCTCCTGTCTTTGCGCAAGCTAAAGAGTCATCTAGGGTCTTGGTGCCAACTAGCTCCAATACCTTGTCGGCGCCCTCGGGCCAGATCTCCAACACATCGCCTAAAATGTTTCCAGTATCCACCACAACCTGCTCTGCGCCAAATTGTGTTAAAAGGTCAGCAACGGCTGTGCTGGTTCTTCGAGTTATTGCTACAACTGTTGCTCCGTAACCGGCGGCGAGAGAAGCGGCAGCGAGGCCGACACTAGTTGTGCCGCCGCGAATCAGCAGTTTGTCGCCTGAGCTTAGCCTTAGCGCCTTGAACAGTGAGCCCCACGCGGTTTGTAACATCTCTGGCATTGCGCCGAGCGTGGCCCAATCGAGCCCGTCAGCGACATCAGGGCCGATAACCTGAACACTGCCCACTGGCACGCAGGTGTATTGCGCGTATCCACCATCGAAAGCCCTGCCAAGACCTCCCATGGCGGTTGCGACAGTTTCGCCTTCCAGGGACTCTCTACCTGGCGATGACACTACCGTCCCGACGGCTTCAATGCCTAAAACGCGGGGGAATTGGACGCTGATAGAGTGACCCTGACGGGTAAAAAGTTCGGATCGGTTCAAACCAAAAGCCCGGATACGAATGAGTGCCTGGCCATCCTGCGGTACGGGAATTGGGATTTCTTGGAGTTGGAGCACTTCTGGACTGCCGGGGGCGTGAACCACAGCTGCTTTCATGTAGGACATCTCAGGATAAGAAAGGCGGATTGAGTTATCTTGAGCACGTTCGCTGAGTAGATGTCTCAAGGCTAGAAGAAGAAGAAAATATCAAGAGCAAATCACGCTTGCAAAGCTTTGGGTCATCCAATCCGACTGATATGTGGCGAAGGTCGGGTTGGAGAGGATGAGATTGCTTACGGATTCGGTATCCCACATCATGTGATTATGTATGATTATGTACTTGAACTTAAAACCTCCTCCACCGACTCTTCGCATTCGGACGATCGATTGGCGACGCACTTTAAAATCACAGCACAATTCCTGTTTGCCTACCAAGACCGTTTAAGCATCTGAGCTCCACCAATTCTCCCACTCGGACTATATCACACCTACCACGCCTCATTTATCAACCCACGTTTGAGAATTTGATACAATGGCGTCATCGTTCCAGTACGGTTTTACGCTGCCGAACGGCACCAAGATTATTCATGGCGAAGGCGTACTGGTAAAGGATGCCTATCCCCCTGAGCTCAACATTTCGGGCCAGTTACAGGTATTCAGCCCAGGCCATAGAGACGACGCCACCATACCGGGATTTCACGGGCCACAGGGCATCTTCTCTTTTAACGTCAATCTCAGAATGCCTCGTCATGTCCACATAGCTCCAAGAGAATCCGGCTCCGGCAATCGATATATTATAGAAAAGATACTCGTCTTGAATGGCGTTGCCCTCGCCGAGCTCGGCGGCGAGATTTACATCATCCCACCCAACACCATGGTCCTCATCGGTGCCGGTGTGCCCCACACCTGGACAGCCTGTCCTCCCGGGCTCGACCTGTCGGAGCTCGGAGTGTCTATAGATGAAAGAGTTATCTCTGAGGGCAAATTCACGGCTGTTTACGAATACGAGGAACCCACGGGCTTCTATCCGACAGCCCAGACAGAAATACTAGAGAGTGAGAGTGATTACGTGAGATGCGACGATCTTCAAGAGATTAGAATTCCCGAGTTCACTCTCGAGCAGCTTAAGAAGAAGGCGTGGATTGTGTGGGGAAGACAAGCGTGGAAACTGGTTGAATGAGGAACATACGTAATAGCAACGGTAGCTGAATTTAGGCCCCACTAAAGCGTCGGATACGGGTTTCGGTAGTCGGCATATGGGGCTTGGGATTGGTTTTTTGAGTGACTACAGCCAACCGGTAGCCTAAAAAGGGTGTTTATACACTGCTCTCTTATTTCTAGATATAGATAATTTGGTGCTCTCGTGCCGAATAAGCAGAGCCAGCACTATCGAAGTTAATAGCAATCATAGGAGTGAAGTCGGTATATGCGGTTTCTGTATGTCAGCTCAAACTACTCGAAAATAGCGGGCACCTTCAGGCCCTTAACCGAGATATCCTCTCCCGCTGCTTTCCAGTATCGGAGAGGTTTTCACGTGTTCCGAAACTGCCTCTCAGGCTGGTCTTCGGGCCGTCTGGAAGCTCGATTGGTCAGTGGCAACCAGCATTCTACTAGAGCCAATTGGTAAGCGTGGTCAGTTATGTCAGCTCGTAACGTTGTCTTGTAACGGCACGATAGCTCTATAACCCAAGACAAAGTTGGTCAAAATGTACTGCGTTCCCCAGAACCTACTCTTCCTATAATCATCGAACTGAACATGGCGACCAAAGGTTCTGTCCTGCTCATTGGCCCCGGCTTCATCGGCCTCCAAATCTTGGGAGAGCTCATAGCTGAGGGATACCCTGTGACCACATTAGTACGAAGGGAGGAGGCACGGGCGAATCTTGAAAAGCTCGGTTCCAAGACCATTCTCGGCTCGCTAGACGACAGCGAAGTCATCCGCAACGCGACAGCGGATGCCGATATTGTCATCCATACCGCTACTGCTGACCATCTACCCTCCGCTGCTGCAATACTGGATGGTATCCAAGATCGTGCCAAAGCGGGCAAGACTTCTATCTATATCCACACCAGCGGCTGCAGTGCCATTACTGATGGAGGAAACGGTGACTACGAAAGCCAAATGATCTATCAGGACGACAAGCCCGAAACTATCGACAGCATTGCGGACGACGCCCCGCATCGTTCTGTTGATCTTGCGATTGTGAAGGCCCGTACCGAGCTTGGCGCCAAAGCAAAGATATCCATTATCCTCCCACCTGTCATCTATGGGAAAGGAAAAGACAACCGTCTCTCGATCCAGATTACTACAATGGCTCGGTTTGCTGTCAAGCATGGATACGCCGGATACGTTGGGGGTGGCAACGCTGTTTGGGGCCAGATCCACGTCGCAGACCTGGCCAGAGGATACATGACTATCCTGCATTATATGGAGTCTACTTCCGGAGACAAGGTCCTCGAAAACCCATACTTCTTTGTGGAGAACGGGGACGAGTCATCATGGATGGAATGCGCTGAAAAGATCGGTCAGGCGCTCAAGGATATGGGGCAGATTCCAACATCCCTCTACAATGACCTCTTCGGAGAGTGGTCTCTAGCGGTTGTTGGTAGAAACGCTAGAAACCGTGCAAACAGATTGCGCGCTCTTGGCTGGAAGCCGCGAGAAAAGTCTACCTTCGATTCTCTTGTCACCGATGAGTTACCTATTATATTGGCAGAGACCTCTGAGTTCAAAGGTTATAGTGCTCCTGTGGCGTCTTAAGCAGTCTGATAAGTGTAGCAATCTAACAACCATGTATCTTAAGTGCCAATTCTTTCTTAAAAAAAGATTCCTCTGCTAGTTTCAATCCAAGTATAAGGTGGTTTTCGAGTAATTAAATTGACGACGTTTACATTTGAACTGTGAAGGTCAGAATCATATTCTAGTGAATAGATTGAGACGAACCGAAAGATAACTAATACTCCGAGGGAGAAAAGAGCTCTTATGTGACACGTCGTATTATTAATGACTGAGACACTTTTAAGGAGTATAAAAAGCTGTTTTTTGGCACGCAATCTAATGCAATTTATGGAGTTTATTGACTGAGACTGAATCAATCGTTAGATATCTCGTGTTTCTCTATGAATTCAAATTGTATTAGATGGCTTGATATGACTGAGTCTGATGCTAGATGATCTCCAAAATGATCTTGAAGGGCTTGTGTCGCAAAGCCCTTGTAAAAGGCTGACGCTGACATGCCGTTTATCAAAGCAAGAGATAGCGTATCTGCGGCGTGCCTAGCTATATTCACCTCCCCGCTCTCAATATTGATGGTAATCTGTACCCCGAGAGGGGGATTATCTACCAGTGCCCCCAGGGATCTATGGCTGGCCGATCTGGAAGCAAGAGACTTGATATTGCAGTTCAGTAAAGGATGGCATCTTTGAAGAGATTTACTCGGCGCTAGGGAATAAAGTACAGTAATATTAAAAACAATGCTGCTCCGACAATTACTTAATGAAGGGATACAAGGTCAAATACCCTGACAAGTATTATAGCGAGTTCTCTGGAATTAAGATGTGTTTTGCATAGTAGCGTAAATGATACCCAAGGAGATGAATCAACTCACAATACCAATATTTATTTAGCCTATAAATCATACGTGATGTTCTTGGTTCGGACCCATTCCTCCATGCCTGCGTTGAACCTCCCAAAGCCGCTAGACTTGGCACCGCCATGCGGCAAGGCTGATTCATCATGGACTGTCATTCGGTTGATATGGACAGCTCCTGTCTCTATCCCCTTGGCGAGCTTTAAAGCTCTTCGCAAGTCTCGAGAGAAAATGGCCGATGAGAGGCCATATTCAGTATCGTTTGCAATCGCGAGAGCATCCTCTTCTCTCTCGAATTCGATGACAGAAACTGTTGGCCCAAAAGACTCGGTCATATAGATTTCCATGCCAGGCTTGACATTGCCGATAATAATAGGTCGTAGTCGTGTGTTGGTCGACTCAGTGATGTTTATGTCGCCACAGACAAGTGAGGCGCCCTGGGCCAAGGCTCCACTCACTAAACCACGACTCTTGACCACTGCTCGGTCGTTAATAAGGACAGGACTGTCATTATCCGGGGAGAAAAGCTTGGATGTCCAGCTCTTGAGTTTATCCTCAAATTCCAGGCGAATAGATTGATGAACAAGGATACGCTCAGTGCTCATGCAGATCTGTCCTGCAAACATAAAAGCTCCCAAAGCACAATGCTTAGCCGCGACGTCGAGGTCGGCGTCTTCGCATACAATTGCAGGTGCTTTCCCGCCTAACTCGAGGAGAATGGGCTTAAGGTTTGCTCCTGCTAGCTGTGCGATAATACGACCCACCGCTGTGCTGCCGGTGAAGTTGATCTTCTTAGTGGCTGGGTGACTGATCAGAGTTTTGGCAAGGTCTGGGGCATTCTGAAGACTGCAGGTGAGGAAGTTGATTACACCGTTGGGTAATCCTGCTTCTTGAAGGACTGAAGCAACAGCCCAAAGTGAGCGAGGACTCAGTTCGGAGCCTTTGAAGACGACAGTGTTGCCCGCAGCAATTGCCCACACAACGGCCCTGAAGCCTAATGCATAAGGGGCGTTCCTGTCCACACGGTATTAGCTAATAGCTACAAGGAGTAATCTTGATGTCTGATTCAACTGACCAGGGGGCCATAGCGAGGATGACTCCGTAGGGCTCCTTGATGACAAGAGCACCAGTCGTTGGGTCACTCGAATGAGGTATCCTGCCTTCAATAGAAGCGATTCTACCTGCACAGTCAACGAGGCACTCCTTAGCTAACTGAATGTTGAAACGAGCCCAGCCCTCGTCGCTGCCTGTTTCACAAATCATGTAGCCCACCAACTCAGATGATCGCTTCTCGACAATACTGGCGGCAGCGAGGAAAATATCTCGACGATGTGAAGGTGTCGTCTGACTCCATGTTCCAAAAGCCCTTTCTGCGGCAGACAGAGCCGCCTTTGCATGGGAGATCTGTGCGTCGGAGCCTTTATGTGTAACGAATCCTGTACTTGGGTTGACTACATCAAAGGTGTCAGGGGGGAAGATTTCGTTGCCGTCAACAATTAGGGGAACAACATCAGTCCCGGTGGTGGTCTCGCCAATGTTTGTGGAGATAGGATTGTTAGACATGGTTTGGAAAGTTAAAAAGGTGGAACAAGTGTTATCTCTCGAGTGTCGTGTGTTTGCTACCAGTCAGAGAACGAGAGCCCTTGACTTTATTCATCCCAATGACTTCCCACACCCCAGACTCAAAAGAATTGCCGACTGTCGGACTAGTGGGGAACACCGCCCGAGATCCGGGAGCCGCTGCTATTTCGGAAGCCGGGTGATTAAGCACAATTCAGCTTTCACCAATTAAACCTAATAGGTAGTGCACAAGAATTAGCCACTGAATACTAACGTTATAGACTGTTCCGGCTTGGCTGTTCGGAACATTTGCTTAGCTGCCGAGATCTAGACACGACATCGGGATTCGGGTACTGCGCTTCTAACCTTGCTTGACATTAGCTCTTCAGACTATCAATCATTCGGCGTACCGGTCGCCGGGGGAAGGGCAGAAGCTCCCCCGCTCCGTGGAGGATTCAAACTGTAAAAGATTTATCTGCCGAGTTTCTTCCTCTACCATTTGTGTACATTTCGAACAGTGGTTTCTGAAATCCCCAAGACCCACCAGAAAATTCGATCCCGTCTTGTCACCCCGGATCCAGGGACAGCTGATAGGCATGGAATGGATTTCGAGCTTGCAAGTTGGGATGCCGGTTGCTATCCCACTTGAATGCGTAAACGGAACCCACAAGTTGAGAATTCAATTTATCAGCTGGTAATCATCAACGTTATCTGATCCATCTGCGTCATGATATAATCATACCAATATAATTACACATCACCAGATGAGGAACGTCTCAATGCGTTGTCAAACTCCTTTACCTTTCCAATATCATTCCTGAGATTTCTGCGACTCCACTTGCTTGCGGGACCATGGATCATCTTGTTAAAGGTACCTACGAGCCGCCTTTCAAGGGGGTTCAAGAGTTGCTCGGAAAGCATGTGTATGAAGGGCTTGAGGTCGGTGCCTCGATCGTTGTCAACATCGACGGTGAGAATGTGGTCGATATCTGGGGAGGATACTTGAACGAAAGTCGCACGCACAGCTGGGAGAAGGATACTATTGTCAATGTCTTCTCCACCACCAAGACCATCACCAGCCTTGCAGCACTTGTTCTTATCGAAAGGGGCATGATCAGCCCCTACGACAAAGTGGCATCTTACTGGCCTGAATTCGCCGCAAATGGAAAGCAGGACATTGAGATAAGACACATAATCTCACATACCTCGGGCATCCCAGGGTGGGAACAGCCAGTCACCCTAAGCGATATTTGCGACTTCGACAAGGGAGTGACTTTGCTTGCTGCCCAAGCGCCATGGTGGACACCCGGAACCGCATCTGGCTACCACTCTTTCACGCATGGATTCTTGATCGGACAGGTCATTCGCAGGGTCACTGGAAAGACACTTGCAGAGTTCATTCGAGAGGATATGGCTGAGCCACTAGGTGCAGATTTCCGACTCGGTGTCCCCAAATCCGACTTGCATCGAGTTTCTGACGTCATACCATGGATCGTCGCTCCGAGTAGCAGCACCAGTTCTAATCCCAAATCTAGCCCAGACTCTATTGCCGCACGGGTGAGCAGGTACCCCGAGTTCAGGCCTGATATGGCCAATACTACCCTATGGCGAAATGCTGAGCTAGGGGCTGCCAACGGCCATGGGAATGCGCGCTCTATCGCAAGAATCCTCTCGACTGTTTCTCTTGGCGGGGTTGTCGATGGGAAACAATATCTCAATCCGGAAACCATTGACTTGATTTTCCAGCAGATGTCAAATGGCACAGACTTAGTCACCGGCACATCAACCCGATTTGGAATCGGATTTGGTCTAACCGGTGAAGGAGTGATGCCCACATGGCTACCTCACGGGAGGGTATGCTTCTGGGGCGGTTTGGGAGGCTCAGTCGCCATCATGGACTTGGACAGAAAGATGACCATCGTATATGTCATGAACAAACTCTATCCCGTCGGTCTAGGGTCAGACTTGACAATTGAATACGTAAAAGAAATCTACAGGGCGGTAGAATCATCACAGGCTTGAATCATGTCAAGGTAGTGTTCTTAGGCGTCCAATAGAGCTAGACCGATATTATTGAGACTGGGTAATATGTCAAAGAATTATGGTGATAATAACTGCTCTGTCCCCAAACACCTCAGCAGAAGATGCCGAGTTTCTTGAATGCAGGGGTGCCGCGAGGGTAATGCATTCTGCCACCCGAAGGTAATTTTTCTTGTATCCCACTGCTTATTGGCGGTTTTATAAGTAACCTGATAGCTCGGGGGTCTGAAAGATCACCCGCAGCCGATGCCAACTATCCATATTTGAACTATCGGAAGCCGGGACAGTATCAAGCAGAGGTTCCACTATTGTGCCTCTGGGGGCGCTTCTTCAATGTAGGTAGTCCCGAAGTTGGCAGGGGGTACTTCTTGTTGCGGCGTTGAGACCACGGATCGCAAGGATCAATCTAAGCTAAGAAAGAATCGGAATAACCCACTGTGTGGTTCTAGTCAGACAAGTCTAGCTATATTCGGCAGGACGTCTCAACAAAGGTGCCCATGTTCTTCTACCACTACATTTTACGCACATCCTGATTCTTGTTTGACGGTAGTGCCACAGATCTTCCAAATGTCGAGAAAAACAGAAGCAATCGTCCTGCGCGAGTACAACACAGCAGTCGCCTTGGAGCCCATCATCCTCGGCGAGCTCAGGCCAGATGAGGCTTTGGTTCAGATCCACGCGACTGGAATCTGCCATACCGACCTCCTGTGCATGAAGGGTAAACTGCCTGCACCAGCACCTGTCGTCCTTGGTCATGAAGGTTTGTGTGGTAGCCCTGTCAATGGCTTATACTGCTTTCCTATAAATACTGAACTTGCTTGTAGGCGCCGGTGTCGTCATCGCCAAAGGAACAGATATCACGGATGTTGAAATAGGTGACAAAGTCATCTTGAGCTACTGTTACTGCGGAACGTGCGACGAATGCGTTTCTGGTCATGAGCCTTACTGCCATTCCCTTCTGAAACTAAACTTTGCGGGTGGACGAGCTGATGGCACGTCCGCGCTCAAGCTCGCGGATGGTGAAGCCCCAGACCTTCATGGGCACTTTTTCGGACAGAGCTCGTTTGCACGACACGCTATTGTTAACACGAAAAGCTTAGTCAAGGTGCCTCCAGATACGCCCCTGGATCTGTTCGCTCCCCTGGGTTGTGGACTCCAGACGGGGGCTGGCGCTGTCCTCAACACCCTGGACGTCCAACCTGGCACCTCTCTAGTCATCTTCGGCGTTGGTGCAGTGGGGATGAGTGCGGTCATGACTGCCAAGTTGCGCAACGCCGGGCGTATCATCGCTATTGATATGGTGCCCTCTCGTTTGGAGTTGGCCAAAAGACTTGGTGCTACTGATGTCATCGTCGCAACGGAGAAGGATATCGTCGCCCGCATCAAAGCCTTGTGTCCACCAAACGGCGTCAGATATGCCCTGGACTGCTCCGGTAGCCCGCAAGCTGTATCAACCATGATTGATTGTCTGGGCACCCGCGGACGCGCCTGTAGCGTTGGCGCTCCAGCTCCAGATGTCCGTGCCAGTGTTGACATTTTCGCACATCTTATTAACGGCCGTGAGTACGTCGGCTGCCACCAAGGAGAGAGCCTTGCCAAAGAGGTCGGTTCACGTACACTGCATAATAGAATAACTTTTTGAAGCTTACAGAGTCTTTAGATGATTCCATTTTTGATTCAACAGCACGCTCGTGGAACATACCCTTTAGAAGAATTTGTGAAGTATTACGAGGCAGAGAATTTTAAGGAGGCTTTTACAGACACTGAGAAAGGGAATACTATTAAAGCCGTACTAAAGTGGGTCTAAGTAGATGAGAGAATGTAATTCAGTTAGGTATTGGTTAAGCCGGCCTATATCTATTGTGTATTGCCCTTGACTATACTAACAGACCTTAGCTATAAAAGTTGCCTACATCAGAGCAAGTAACGTCATGAAGACAACAGTACTCCTTCTTTAGTTGTGTTAGTCACGCCCGACAGATTCTCCAACGGGGAGGATCCATGTCTGGTCAACTCGCCACAAATACCAGACAAATACCTCGGAGCACAGTCCAGAAACAACATTAACATCTTTCAGTGGCTCGAGTTAACATCGTGATATGGAGTAATGCTGAATGTGCCGTCACCATTATGGTCGCATCACATGCTGTTATGCGCATATTAGTGTCCCGTGTCTAGCGACGTAGCCAAATTTCAGTTCAGCCTTTACCTACTCTCCACGTTATTGGTACTAGGGACAAGACAACTCCTGCCGATAACATACCACCGCACGATGGCCAAGGCATGGCAATGGTCAATACAAAGCGACATAATTTTGAGGAGGCGAACTTCTTATTTCGGACGGACTCGGATGGACGGAGTACTGTGGGTGCATATGGGATAGAGAGGGTTAGAACAAGAGAGCTTTGACTCCAGTGCGGAAATAGAGCAGTTAGCTTATAAATCGACGAAAAAGGCTGTAATTGAGCGATTGTTACTCAATGTATTCACCGCCACTCTGTTTACTCACTACGTACCGAGAAGTTCCTCAGAACATCTGGCATCGAGACCGTCGAGGTGAAGATACTGGACGAGAGCGTGATAAGGATCCAGTTCGCTATGGTCTCAACTCCATTAGTGACTCTGTTATTGGTCAAGCTGTTGCGAAGCTAACATTTATACAAGATGGAGCAGGCAAGAAACCCAAGTTTTTAAATCGTGATGAGTCTCTAATACGGACACTCCTCTATAGGAAAAGGCGGCAATGGCTTCTGTGTTAATATTCATGGCCAAGGCAGGCCCATAACCTTATGGACGAGAATGGTGACAGAACTAAACGTCTCTTAGCCTGGTGGTCCGACTCCAGAATATTTACCAATAGGCTCCAATTCCAAGATACCTTCAACTACGAGTTCGATAGGTAACTTGCAGGATTATGTAATCGAATCTTATTCGCGTAGCTGGTTATAATATTATTTGCACAGCAGGCTGTGCGGGTATTACTGGCCCTAACTCAGTTAGTGCAAGACTTTCGAAATGGCTCATACCTGCAACATAAGTCCATAAATCCACTTTTACCACCTTACCCTCAGAACTCATAATAATGCCGCAATACTATTCTGATGTGCTCGATACTGAGTCATTTCGCTTGGCTACTATCTCGCTAGGCACACATCCTGGTACAAAGTCCCGAGTGCCGAGCGTGGCCCTCACGACGCATGTTCTAACCAGTGCTCGAGAACTTGGGTACAATGCGCTTTCTTACACTTGGGGCTCACCGCGAGATGGCCCTTCAGATCCCAACAACGCTCCAAATACTTCAATCTTACTAAATGGGCATCCTTTGGAGGTTCAACCTAACCTCTACGATGCTCTTGTCGAATTGCAGATTTCGTGCTCTGGGGGTCACATCTGGATTGACGCTCTTTGCATCAACCAGTACAACACCAACGAGCGATCCGTCCAGGTATCTGCCATGGATCAAATTTATGGACAAGCAAGCCGCGTTATAGTCTGGCTTGGCAAGGCCTTTCCCGAGTTGGAGACCGGGCTCAAAGCAGCTAAGAGAATCGGCACTGAATCGGTTCCTAAAACGCTTCGTATGATTGGAACGCAGACATGGGATTTCAGCTCTGACTTATCAACCATGCCGAAGCGATACGGTATGGAACCTATTGACCAGGAAGAAGCTATTGGATTAGTCACTCTCTTTATGAGTAATTGGCTGGTTCGAATCTGGATCATCCAAGAAGTTTCTCTAACGAACGATGTTGTGATCTTATGTAACGCCAGATTCACCGAGTTTGACTGCGTGGGCTACACAGCGGCCTTTCTGCACTACAGCGGGCTCTTCCAGTCTGTTCTTGATCTCGTCCCTAGGGACAGGCCTGGTATCTATCTTCGTGGCGGTATTAATATATTCCAGGCTGAGAGGATACAGTTGCTTCGTGAGTGGTGCAAAGGCGAGAAGAGTCTGTGGGTTGATGTTCTTGCTATGATCGACTTCGAAGCTGGGCTCGGAAAGTACCACACAAAGTCATCGGCCATGTTCCTCCTGCGTCTCTTATTTTCCACCTTTGGGATGCAATCGACAGATCCTCGAGATTCCATCTATGGCTTAGGTGGTATTTTAAAGCATATGGTAGCTGAGGAAGGGCTCTGTCTGCCACTGGAGTTCCAACCAGATTATAATATTGATATTAAAGAGTTGCTGCAAAATGTCGCCTGCAAGATCATTGAAACGACGGATTCATTAGTATACCTAAGTCTTGTTAAAGACCCGAGTATGCGAGAAACTCCTGGCCTTCCATCCTGGGTTCCGGACTTCCCAGCTGTTCTCTATAACAGTGTGCATGGACCGCAATTCAGATCCATTGGGACTGTCAACTCTTCAAACCATATTCCTCACGCCCCCAATCAACGTACATTCATTATCACTGAAAATATTCTTAAGGTTTTCGGTTTTCGCCTTGGCACTATTCAGAAGATTGGTGAGAAGTATCTGGACCACCTACAAGGACGTCTTAGCATGCTAGGCGACATCCTCCTTAGTATGGATGAGTGTTATCCATACACCAAACAACCAGCGGACGAGGTTCTTTGGAGAACTTTGATCTGGGACACCGACTTTACAAACCGGCCCTCGAAAATGATCTGGCTGGAGGACTTTCAGATGGCCATTTTGCATGAAGTCGCTCGTGCGTTACGATTTAAGTTTGCGGAAGCGGAGTCAGCCGCTGCCGGAGAAGCTTTGGTCCTTGACTCAATTCGTGGTATGGCTTACCTAGACGAGATAGCCGCCAGATTCCCGTCTAGCATATTTCCCAGCACAAAACTCGTCAAGGCCTTATGCGTCAGTTTGGATTTGATAAAGCAACAGAGTGATGTATTTGACCAAGAGGAGCTTCAGAGGCTTAAGGAACCAAGGTCAAAACACGATATGCCACCTGATAATATAATGGCATCGACTTGGATTAACCACAGGGCCATCCTCACTGATACAGGATATTTGGGCATGGGATTTGATTCAGCGCAGGTTGGGGATGAAGTTTGGATCATCTCTGGATGCCCTACCCCGCTGGTTGTTAGAAGTATTGGAGAACGGGATGAGTATTTCCTGATTGGAGAGACCTACGTACATGGTGCTATGGAGGGAGAGGCTGTCACTGATGAGGTGACCTGGGAACAGATCAAAATAGCCTGAGGCGATGATAGGGGCACAGAGAACTGGAAGAATTTCGCATACGTGAGATATCTCTACCACCAATCCTGAATGCCTTCAAGCTAATCCTAACTGCTAATCTTGTTTGTAGCTGAATGCATCAACGGCAAGCTGGAAATTGCCAGCTTTGAAAGTTCAACTTTCAGGGTGCTTTTTGAGGTACCGTCAGTGTGGAAATAGTTTCGGCTTCGCGGCGAAGTTCAATCCATACTAAATAACTTGACGTGAGGGTGGCAAACGTGTGTGTTGCGTTGATCAAACAGGAAGCAACAAATTCATTTGACTCATCTGGACAGACTCCAACTAATACGAATCAATACCACTGATGACTTGTCTTGAACCCATTTATGCTAAAGGATTTCGCGTCAATGCTGATAGAAATGAGTCCCGGGCAGGCATCTCGTCTCGAGGCCTACACCACCACGACTGATCGTCTCAGGAGAAGTAATACGGGGCAATATTATATCCTAGCCGAAGCATATTTCTGCCTCGGTCGCTCAATTCAAGACGTATAGGGATAAAGGGGGTGTAGAGTGTTAGTCAAATGTATCAATACTTGATTCCTAATAACCGGTAAAATTACACTGCCACACTAAAAGCCGCGTGGATCGCCCTAACCCAAAATGGTAGTAAACGAACGCACTGCAGTATACACGAGATGCTACAACATATAAAGAGGCACATTATCTACATGTAAAATGGATCACACACACACAAACACACAATCACTTCTATACTACACTCTCTCAAGCCCTCAAGACTATCTCGCAATGCATTTCTACAATTTCATTCTTACCGTCGCTGCCATAGCTCCCGGCATAGCCTCATCTCCTCTATCTCGATGTCCTTCATTTCCCTCCTCCATGGACGAGTTCTCTTCCGAGTTCGTGCAACCAAAGCCACCCAAGATTAAAGCCCAGTACAAAGCCCACTTTGTACAGCACAAGTGGTACGTTTCCAATATCAGATGTATACAACCAGTTACTAACGGCAACATTTAGGAATGCGGAGTTATCCCATATCACGGCTGGCTACATCGAAAACTCTCCTTCTAAAGGCTTTGTTCGTGTAGATGAAGCCTATGATGGCGAACTAGCTACCTCGTTTTTCAACTACGCCAACGTCACCAAGTCTGGCCTGGTGGATAACACCTTGACTACCTATGACCACAAGCATACCAAACCAAACGTTTGGAGAGGATATGTGAACTCGAACTTTCCAATCTTTGACCAGAACATCTTGGTCAAGGCTGAGGCTGTGTATCAGGGCCTTGTCAAGAGAGATTTCATCTCATCGCCTGTTGGTGCAGTAAGTATTACAATGCTCAGAAACATATCATGTACTTCGCTGACACAAAATAATAGTGGAGCATTATGTACCAAGGTGTAATACCTGTGACGGTGTATGTTAATGGGTGCAGTGTTGTTGTTGGGTATGATTACTTTGCCCCTCAGCTTCGAACCCGAGTTATTATGGAGTTCTTTAATATTAAAGCTGAGTAGATGGGGGTGTGAAAGGAGGGGTTTGTGGCCGCGGTGAGGTTTTCCCCAATTCGTTTCAACTATTCGTTCATAGATAGTGAAGTATCTAGCAAATGAGGATAATAGCAATCAACGGAATTGGTTCGAAGTTGAGATTTGAAAATCACTTTAGATGTGTATTTAAAATGCGTAGTTGCAATCAGGGACTTATCCCTAACTAGTACATTCTTTGCCTCTAACTTTATGCTAGATAACGTCGAGTCACTATTCATCAATGCCGCGATGCAGCGATCCTAGCCTCTCATATTCCCATAGCCCTCTTAAATCTTCAATGATTCTTCGTGAAACGACAAACCCTTTCTGCGCTATCTGGTCTAACAAGACTAAAATGGCCCTCCTTTCGGACATCTCCCTGGCGGTTACTCCGGCCGCTCGAAGTGCGAACAGCGTTAATATCCCGGGAATATCAGAGCTGTTAATGACCTCAGCTGACAGAGCTATTATAACAGCAATGTGTGTTCTAGCCTCATCTTCTGCAAGAATAGGTATCTCACTCCTATCCCAGAAGGCGTAATATGTGTAGTTCTGGTATATGAAGAGGTGCAGAGCATGGTAATTTGCCAGCGCAAGTTTTAGATATGCATCTGGGCTTTGGATCTGTGGTATAGTACTTTCATACCAATCCTCGAGTCTCCGCAGCATAATGAAACCTTGTGCAGCTAGCGCACAGATGTCAGGGTGATCTGTCTGTATTGTTTCTGGCAATGACTCTGCTCGTTCGAAGAATCTGTCTTGAGTTAGTGTCAATTCAGAATATGGTGGGTTATGACTCACTTCTGGGTAAATGAAGAGATCTCGATCAAGAGGCCAAATATCGTTTCTACTGGGCTACTGGGATCTAACGCATAGCGTGAATAATGGTTCAACCAAGCATCTTGAGAAATAAAAGTCTCAACCCCATACAAGACAGCGCGATTCGCTTCCAGCAAGCGAAATGCTCCAATGAGTTGTCGGTCAAGCTGATCATGATAATCCAAGCTTACAGAAGACTGAAGCATTCTGGAAGTCCCATACAGCAAGTGATCGGCCCATTGGTCTCCAGATATTTCAGTGGTCAACTAACAGTGGTTAGCTGGGCAAGTGAAAACATGACAGCGGAGAAGTACCTCGAATAGTGTAAGCAGTAGTGTGCACCAGAGACTCCCTTGACAGCTTGCAGTGTCAGCCGACTGAAGCCAAGACTGTAGCAGCCGAATGGACCTTCCATAAGACCCGAAAGCGATTTGTTTCGGTGATTTCCGTTCATTTGAGGAGCTCACGGTTGCTCGTCTACTGGCTTCCAGCGCCCCAATCGCAATTGTCGCTTCTCTCAGGGGCGGGCAAGTGTGGATAAGAGGTAATATGTCAGCGCCAAAATTGGCGAACTCTTGAGTGAATTGACAGCGCTGCATGAAAAGGTTGAAGTAGCCGAGATAGATGTCTTCAAACGACTCGCTGACTTGTACAGACAGCTTCGTCATTTGCAGAGGCTGCGGCGAGGTTGTCCAGCTGACGAATTTCGCTTCGTCGGGTCCAACGATCTGGGGTTCGCAAGTTTTCTTGGTGCGGATACAGTATTCGCAAGGAGAACCACCTTGACACTTTCAGGTCGTGAGCCGGAGCCAAGAGGTGCAGGGGACATGCTATTCACCTTGATGCGCCGCCTTGCACATGATTGGCAGCGGGTTACCTTCTTGCGCTTGTCCAATGGACCGATATTGCGCTTGGCTTTCATTGTGGTGGACACTGAACACCAAGATCTGGTATAAGGGGTGGGTGAAATAATACAACATCAAGCTCCTTCTTGGTTTCTCTTGTGATAAAAGGATGAAATTCCAATTGATGCGTCGTACCTTGTCAGCTAAAGTTTGTCCACCTCATTTAGACCCACTACGCTTGTCTTAATTAGGAAGTAATCGAACGCACCTAAAGTACATCATTTCTCTCAACAGAATTCATTGATTGGATATAAATCGATTATTACAATTATCTTAAACTTTTGATACTATCGTAAAACTTCTTATTATGCGTTTCAAGTGGCTCTTATAGTGGTAGCCCCTGTAAAGGTGTAAAATCAGCTGTTGAAAGCCTAGACTGACGCCACAACACCAAACTATTAGGAGCCTCACATCTTCTCTCGAAGAACGAACCACTTTTTAAGCAAAAGTCCTCGAGCTATGCCGAGCGAAATGCCCGCCAATATGATAATGGCGAGATAGAAGCACCCTAACAGTTGAGCACCCAACTTCTCCAACAATATCCCACTCAATGGGTTGGCCAGAAGCAGTGCAACAGCAACGCACATATTGGTAGAGCCTATGCGCTTAATGAGTCCTGAGCAGAGTTTATGAAGCAGATGACAGACTTACCGAAATATCTTGCATAATCGTTGGGCTTACAGGTCTTCCCTGTACATACTATGAAATATTAGAGATGAAATAACCGATAAAGCGTTGAGAACTCACAGGGCGAAAGCACGTAGAAAGAGCCAGAGCAGTACCCCCAAAGTGCAGTAAAAACATACATGAGAGGGGCTGACGTTGTACTGAATGGGATGAAGACAGTCGAGAGGAGGATGACAATGACCAGCATGGTACTGACCACAGCATTGAAAGGTCCGACTTTATCACCGACAAATCCAATCGAAAAGCGTCCAAGACATGAACAGGCGCCGAGGATAGATAATAGGGTGTATCCGTCCTCGACAGAAAATCCTGCTCCTGTCGCGATCGTTGGTAAGAGGCCGCTGATACCATAGTTGACGAACTCTACCATGCAGATACCAAAGGCGGTGATAACAAACTTCAAGGACTTGAAGGCGGATAGGTCCAGACTCAAACCCTGTGGCTGTTGGACATCGCGTCTCCCTTCGGTGAGTCGGCGGAATGGGAGGAAACACAACACGCCAAGTGATGTGAGGCAGGCAATGACCAAGGCGACGAGCCGCATAGACCATGCCCAGCCTAATTTGCCAAAGGTAGCTCGCAGCATCATAGGGTATATAATACCGCCAAGGGATGTACCCATCACAGCAAGACCCATGGCCAGGCCACGACGTCGTGTGAAGAGCTTGCCTACCACACCGATAGCGGTAACGGCACCAATGCTGCTTCCAATGCTGCCAAAAAGGCCGAGGCAGAGAATGAAATGCCAGTACTCTTTACACTCAGCTAGAAGTAGGAAGGTCACAGTCGAAAAGGCTGCTGCGATTGGACTGAGAATTTGCGGTCCGTAGCGGTCTAGTATAGCGCCGATTTGGAAGTTGAAGATTAGGGAGAGGAAGAGATAGATTCCTGAGATCCATCCGACTTGGCTAACGGTGTAGTCGCTCAGCTCGTTGTGGGTAAGATATGATTGAATTGTTCCGAGAGAGTTCATAAATCCTAGATGTGTTAAACCCCGTGCTTGATAACATCGCTGTAAGTGACATGCTTACCATATGATGAGGTCAGGAACAGGAGAGATGCAAACACGCAGAGCCATGCGCCAACGTCTGACTCTGTGTCTTTGCTTTCTAGCTCTTTTTCGTTGTCAGGCCCAAGAGCATTCGCCGGTTGAGCTACTGTAGCCACAGCCGGAGCTGATTCAAGATCCATTGTAGGGACCTGGTCTGAGGAGAGGGAAGTGGTGGATGATATTGATTGCTCCATACTGGAGGTATTGCGAAAATGTAGATTGTAGGACTACTCTTGTGTTTATTTCTCGATTACTGACAAAGAACGAGTGTTTAAGTTGTTAACCTCCGTCTTTTGTACAATTCCATATATCCATCTTTTCGCCATTATTGACTCCACTTACTACAAATATTTCTATTATCATGATCCAAAGCTCATGATAAACGGGACTTTTCCGTACCCCTGTAAGTATTTGTCGATTACCTAGGGTCAATCCCGAGACTCGGACCTGGCCAGCTCAAGCCTAGCAAGGGAGATGTTGAGAGATGCGGTAAAAGATCTAATAATGGCCCAAGCTCGTGCGATCGAACTCGGTCGGATCCGTTCTGTTACGTGAGCTCGCGTGGTAAGTTGCTTGATGTTCCACGGAGTGGGCCGCTTTCGGAAAACACTGACAGTCACAAGCGGTCGCTACATCGGCACAGGAGAAGGGCTCAACAGTCATAGTATCCACATCTCCACCTGACTGATCATGAAGTACGTACTGAAATAGAGAAAATAGGAACGATAAAAGATCTCCCTATTGAGCCCGGGAGTAACGGAGGTCTAACCCCGCCGAAATATTAGAGCCGGCTCTAGATTGGTCTGTGCCCCTGAGTATTTCTCCCATCTTCGGGAACTATTTTGGGGCTGGTCATGTTCCTCGCTTATTAGTGTTTATGCTGTGATGTTCCACAACCAAGGATCAGCCTTATCCATAGTCACGTTATTATGTGTCTCGATCTCAGAATGTCGGGATCTTATTGCCACACACCGCATATCTGGATTTTAACTCTTTCACAGAATTGAATTTACCGATGGAATTAAGAATTGATACTAAGATCTTAAAACACTCCCTATGTAGTCAGAGAGAGTATTCCCGAGGACTAGGAATTGGCCCAGACATGGTTTCAGTGATGCTGTTATTATATAGACTAGTTGCCGCTCTATCAACAGTCTGGATTTAAATAACTATCCCACTATCAGGTCTACTTCTTTGCTTCGCGTTTTGCTTTACAGGCGTCGCAGAGCCCGTCATGTCCTTGAACTGTCTTCTTAAGTTTCTTGCACCTCCCGCGAACTCGAGCTAGGGCGCAGTTCTCGTACGCAACCCAGCTAGTCATGTATGAGTTACAATCCATACACCGGCGTTCGTTGTATTGTTCTGTACACATTTTGAAGTCTGTTGTATTTTTAATGTGATGAATGATATAGGCAAATATATGGGTAAAAGTCGATTGTTGCTTAAGAGTGGATTTATGGAATATAGAGAGAAACACGAGTAAGGACAGCCTTTTGTAGTTGAGAGTCAGGTGAGAGGTCATTGTAGTCAGGTATATTCAGCGTCTGTATTGATGGTGACTGCGTTGATTTATTGTTCACATGATTAAACAACACTTTAAAAAAGGCAGTCTCACCTCTTCTCAGGCCCGTGAATGGTACACAGCAAAGATCGAAACATACTCCAACCACTTCCCGCCAATAGATCGCCTGAGCAGTATGACGGGTCGGTAATGAGACACACGAGGCCGTACGTCCATCATCTTTGAATCAGCGATTGCCTCACGAACCGGTTCCTTTTTCGTCGAAGGATCACGGGGGTTTAATGATGTAGCCACATTGGCCTCGAAAGGATGTAAGAAATTCCTCTCATGAAATCCCCACTTGCAGTGTGGGCTTTCGGCGATACACTGAGCCGGATTGCATACTTTCTGGAACCACAGTCGACAATTGTGACCTAATGGTGGCTATTAGGAAGGCTCGGAGCTTATTAGGCGGCGTCGATTATCCACCACAGGGCATGCGTTGAATTAGTTGTGCTGCAAAATACGCTCTACACGCAAGGCACAATTCATCACAATTTTACCAACGGGATCTCGATTACCCACGAAATGTTAGTATTGGGGAAATTGGCGAGAACAGACACAAAGATAGTTTTGAAGATGTACAGCTACCAGCGAATTGAAGTCGAGCAGCACGAGCTGTTGAACGTAGACCCATCTTTTGCCAGCAATCGCGGGCTCGATCTTTTCAAATAAGCTTTCCAGAATCTAAGAAGGAATGTATTTATCCTGGTCAGAGGTTGGTCGCCCGAAAATCTTTCAAACAATTTGTGAAAGCTCGACTCGAAAACCAAAATGGCAAGCATCAGAAAAGCCAATCATAAAAAAACCGGAGCTGAGCTTTGAACACCAAAGTTCCTTTGCATACTTGTACCATATTTCCAGAGATACTTACTTGTTTGGTAGGTACCCAATATCCTATAAGAAAGAATACTAAAGAATTCTTATTGGCGTAAATAAGGCCATATACTATTTCTACCGATCAAGTGTAGGGTAATCAATGGCATATTATAGCTCCACCCCTGCTGTATCAGGCTAGCGCGGCGTGATCGGATAAGCTGGACTATTTCCAGACCTTTATCGCCGGTTTCGGAAGCTTCGGTTATCAAGTGAGACAACCAGCTGTGGGGCGATGCTGTTTCCGATCCTGCACAGCTTCCTTAAATATACGCAGTAACCAGGGTCTTTATAGTAGCTTCGTAGTGAAGGCGATGTGTCCAATTTATAGTTCTACCTTTGTGCGTTTTCTAACTCATCAAGAAAAAAAGTAAACCACAATTGTGGAAACTGCACGGGAACGTATCAAACTCGAAATGAAAATCGTCAATACACATAAAAAGACCAGCCATCAGTGTACTACTTGTTCTGTCTTGCCAACGATAACACATCGACTACTTGTGACTGCGTTTGCGCTCACTTCGCTCGCCCCGCTCGCTTCGGCGGTGCTTCTTGCTCGAGGACTTGCCAGAGGTTGAGGTTTTGCTCACAAAGGACTGAGTGTCTGAATCGTCCTTGGTTCGGGAGGGCTCCTCAGGTATAACAACCTCCTCCTCCCTGGGCTCAGGCATGATGTCTTCCTCCTTGTTTGATTCATCCTTGGCCTCTTCCTGCTCACTGGTCGCCGAGTCCTCCTTTTCCTGCTCGGGCTTGGGCTCCTTGGGCGTGTCGGTGCCTCCGACGATTCTGGGCACTCTCTTGCTCAGGCCTCTGTTCACGGTCAGGGCAGCGATCATGGTGCAAACTCCGCCCATGCCGAGAACTGCTAGCGGTAGGTATTCGGCGCCTCTGACTCTTGCGGCGATGGTGCTGGCTACTGCTCCGATGCCAAAGGTCTTGAGAGACGGGAATGGTGCGCCCTTGACTCTGAGTGTGAAGGCTGCGCCAGCTAGTGATGCTGAGATGCCTCCGAGGGCTGTGGTGACTGTCGCCGTTGTCCTCCACTCGCTGTCCCCGCGGATGGCGTTTTCGACGTGCTTCAGCAGCAGGTTTGCTGGGTAGTTCTCGTAGTTTGGCAGGTTGATCCAGACGTAGTTGCTGCCGTTGTGAGTCTCGCCGTGAATGGCAAGATCACCCAGATCAGGAAAGTCGAGGGCGTCTCTGATGGCGATGGGTCGGGAGGTGGGGATGAGAAGATGGAACATGGCCGTGTTGGCACGCTTTCCTAGTCTCTTTCGAACAAACCTCACAAAAGCGACAAGGGCGTCCAGGTTATCGGAAAGACCGAGGAAGTTGCTTGGTAGCGGCTTGTCCTGCAGAAGGTCGTAGAAGTCGGCATGCCACTCCGGGTCGGGGTGGTAGAGGACATAGAGGTGCCTGTCCGAAGAGGCAGATCTGCATTGACGTCCCATGAATCTGTAGACATGGCCTGCGAACTTGGCTGGTTCGCTCTGGTCGACCCAAGAGTCGGACTTCTCGGGAGGCTCGATGCCCACATTTGCGACGTCTGAGTCATAGATGACGCTGAGGTTGTTGGAGCCCATTTGGAGTCTGGTCAAGAAGCGCTGCAGAGGCTTTGACCAGTCCCCATTTCGACAGGCCTTGTCAACGCCCTTGAGGTGAGCGTGAACGGTTGGGACATCTGGACGAGTACCCTCGTACTCTAGTTCAGCCAAGTCGTCACCATCGCCGGTCTCACTGGCTTCGGCATCCGCAGGTTTCGCGCGAGCCTCTTTGGCGAGCAGAAAAGCCTCAGCATCGAAGGGAATTTCAGTCAGTTGGTGGGTCATCTTCCCGGCGCCTGTTGGGCTGAAGCTGCCGCGGAGACCGTCACCACCCCTTGCCCGTCTGAGACCCCGCGAAGGCTGACCAGCGCGCGAAGCGTCAGCGACTCCAGCATCAGCTGCAGCTTGGCCAGGCCGTCTCCTGGTGGCCACGCTGCGCGGAGTCTTGCTCTCGGTGGCGCCCATGATGAGAGATGCGGGGCTTTTCTGGCTGGTGGTCTGACAGACCGTTGTAGTTCTGGACAGGGAGCGAGAGTCAGTACCAGGGTGTCCCCAGGAGGCAGAAAAGAGACGTACCTAGCGAGTGTAGTAGTCAAATCAGTTTCTGGATTGATGAGCTTGACTCGTTTGTTGCAGATCGCGGGTTTAAAGGTATCTCGGGTAGATTCAAAGCTAAGAATTCTCCAGAGGCCCGGATCACCATTAGCTAAGCAGGTCTTATGTCAGGCACGCTTTGGAGAGCCAACCAGATTGCATCGAGACCCGCTGACGCAACATGGATTAGGCGGTGTGCAAAATAAACGGGACTGTTGGAGATATAGACAGAATAAGTCAGACAGTCTTACCCATAACAGCCGCCATAGTTGTTGCTCTTTTTATCATCAATCCTCGGTTTTCTCTCGACTTCCAGCTGCCAACAAACACATGCATGAGGTGGCGAGGCCTTCACCGCCTTTAGGCTTCGCGTTCAGGCACAACACTTCACTTGCCACCTCATCTCCTCTGCGTGTCACAACCTAAACTTGGCACCCAACGAAACGCACTAGAATATCCACCAAATGATAGCTTGTTAGATTCCCGAGCTTTGACATTGCCGTATCATTTTTCACAGGTCACTTGCATCATTTGGATTCAGGGGCCGAGGTAACATTAGAAAACGCGTCAATCCTTGATAAGATAAACTGTCGCTACCCCGCGTCGCGTCATAACTTAAATGTCTACCGACAAGGATAGCTCGATAGTCCTTCAATCCCTTAATTTTATATTATTTTTCTATAGTCTCTAAAGGCAACATCGATAATATCTAAAGACATAGACAGTAACCTTTGTAATCAAATATTTGTAATATCTTATGGATCCCTACCTCGCATTGCCAACAAGCTCCTCGTCATATGACTTCAGGCACAAATGAAGCATGCAGCGTCTTCCGCCATCGGAGCTTTTGTGAAACGGGTTGTTTGTTGACTCATCGATGAACTGGTGGGGCAACCTCAATGCCATCGTTTCAGCACACTCAACAACTAACAGCTTCCAGATGCTTCGAATTCTCGCGATAAATCCGAGCGATTTCTAAACTGCGTCAGTGTTGATTAATAGTCCCTATAATAAGTTTCAGAGCCAATGTCACAAGTGTCTAGCCTTGAACTTCATCTCATAGTAAATGTTTCCTATGCCTGGTGTCTCTAGCAGGCACAACTGTGGATCCGCCCATGCGTATCACGCAAGAATTCATTATATCTATATTTAACTATCAAACATGGTCTTCTTTCATGTCTCAAATTAGCTTGAAGCGGAACTGGCGCGGGGGGTGTGTATTTCCACTCAGGCTGTACAGTTCCATGCAAGTCCCGACAATGAGCCAACGAGAGACATACAATATAATAAATATATAGAATTAAATATTATTAAGAAGGTTTTTACATAATCTTACTATAAAGATTATATACAGTTATATAAATTAAAATTCCTTTATTAGAATTTACATAAATTCATATAAGGTCTGAAATAGAGGAAATTATCGGAACCTTTATACGCCCACTGTACGTAGTTAAACCATACAGGACCTAGTACCTCATCATCAGTGGCCATACCCAGTCAGAAAGACTCGCTTGCTAAGAGGGGGTAAGCTATCATATTTACTTTTTGTGATATATCAAACTAATTGAAGCGAGAAGGGTACCTCACATCTTATAAGGTTAATGACTATGGAGTCTCTTGTATAAGATCAACAGCTATCACTCAACAAATGTCAAGTCATACAGAACGTCACAAATCTTCAAGGTTCTCATTCTATTGTCATGATTGATGTCTCGCGCTCTTTTATTAATGTTACACCTAATTTGCTGCTATCCGATTTATGACAGCACACCTCTTAAGGCTTTGAGGTCTTGTTTCCATACACAACTCCGTCGTCACTCTCTACACCCTCCCAGGCACTCTTCAGACCCCGAACACTAACACTGACCTCGACGCCCTCGGGCAAGTCAACAGTGCTAAATATCATGTGTGTTAATGGTTCCGTTGTAAAGAAGGTGTTGGTAACACTGTCTACACCTCCATTGAGGAATGCTTCGTAGATAGACCTATCAATGACGCCACTGACGCTCCATGAGCCATCTTCGGTAGCGAGGCTACCAAGCGAAGTCTTGTCAGTGTAGAAGATATTGTCAAAACCGCGTGCACCGCCACGGTCGAGGAAGAACACAGGGTCGCCGCCAAAGTAGTAGCCAGATTTGATGACTTCGTTGGTGTTGGGGCTTGAAAAAGTGAAGTTCATTGACGCGGTTGAAGGAACACCAGTTTCCGGGATACCAGTCACGTTGACCTCCCAGTAGAGTGCGTTGGACTCAACATCTGAGTAATCGACAAAGAGTGTTCCATTACCAAAGCTGTCGTTGGAAGCCAATTCCGGGCCTAGAACAGGGCTCAGGTCGTAAGGCTTGGAGACGAGCTTCCAACCGACTCGCTTTGCTTTGGTCAGGTAGTTCTCACGCGGCAAACTCATGGCACTTCGCCAGCCCTCGTTTCCGGTGGGCACCACGCTAGTATACTGCCAGTTGGATGCCCAGGCCATTGAGACAGGGTGTTCATCATCCGACAGACCATAGAACCATTGGCCCGCGTAGTTATCTTTGCCAAAGTCGGCAATTCTTGCTGCTGCGTCGACGGCTTCAAAGTGTGTGCCGTTGAATGTACCGGGGAAATACTCCGTGATGGAACCTCCAAGAGGTGCTCCCGGGTTGATGCTGATTGCCATGAGCCACATATCGTCTTGTTTCTTGCCATCTTCGTCGATGTAGGGCATGGGAATCATGTTGGGACACTCGTATTGCAATCCGAGAAGACCGTGGTGAGAGAAGTTGCTTGTAGCGGTCCATTCCTTGAGATCGGGCGACTCGAAGATACCGATGGCAAAGTCTTGGGGGTATGCAACTACCATGATCCAAGAGCCATTAAAGCGAATGACTTTGGGATCGCGAAACTGTGTTGATGTGCTATTGATCACAGGGTTCTTGGAGTATGGCTCGAAAGTGTAGCCTCCATCTCGTGAGTACGCAATAGCCTGGTCCTGAACAGTTGGAGATGAAAGGGTCTGTGTGCAATATTAGCTACTGTATAATCTGGTAAGCTATGAGACTTACATAAATGGCAACAACACCATTATCCTGGTCTGGGAAGAACCCTGATGTGTTGTTTGTGTCGATTACCGCACTTCCGGAAAAGACATAGGTATCATTCTCTGGAGGAAACAGGGCAATAGGCTGGTTGATCCAGTGGTACAAGTCTTTTGATGTTGCATGACCCCAGTGCTGGTTACCTGCAACCACATCTGTGGGATTGTACTGGTAGTACAGATGCCACAACCCATCGGCGTCGCGAAACATGCCATTGGGGTCATTCATGAAGTGTTGGGGAGGGGAGAAGTGGACTTGGGGTCGATATGTGCCATTGTAAATGCCCTCAATAGGTTTGCCGATGGGAACAGGGTCTGCGGCGATTGAGAAAGAATTATATTGCACAAGACCAATAACGGTCGATAGCAGGAGACCTCGCATGATCGCGGTAGGAATTGATAGAAATGAGGCTTGATGGATTCCTGTCCTTATTCATCATACCGACGGGGCATCGCAGCCTTATATATGCAAAACTCCTCACATGATTCATTGACAATATCGTGGTATGGGGAGATGTTACGCTACGCTACGCCTCTCCCCAGGTCTACCTCCACATAATGTCAGGCCTAAACGGACAAGTGATGTCAGATAGCTGGGGAAATATGGTGACAGACGAGGGAATTGAAGGAATTGGGCCGAATACAAGGCCTTGGCCAGCGATTTGTCGGTCCGAGACTAGGAATTGTCGAATCATTCTCGTGATTCAAGTTTTCCACTGCAGATCATATCCTGATGAGTGCTAATATGGTCTGTTGGCTGCAAAGGTTAACCCCGCACCAACCGTTGACATGGAGTAAACCCCACAACTCCAAGCCAAATGGTAACCAACGGTGTGGAGTTTTCCAGCCCCACGGTTTTTGTCACAGAGAAGCAACCGACGGAGCTATACACGGTCATAGAAAAGAGGAGTTGGTAAATCCTGGCCGCAGAGGGTGTGCGGATGAAGCTTGGATCAAGTCTCAAGGGGAAAACATAATATTTCACTTTCTAATGGAACAAAAACGAGTGGCAAAATGCTCCATCAAAAAGCCAATGGGAATGCTCCCGTTGTGGCTTAAACTCAATCGCTAGAACACTATAGCTGGCTCGAGTATAGGTTCGTTAGCTGCAACCCACATTGGACGACGTGCAATGTCTGAGCCGACGGTGTAGCGAGATGCACGGCGACTGGTCATGGTCTTTAGAAGGATATGTAAGACAATGTATCGGCATCGCCGCTTCATGAATGGGAGCTCAGTCTCGGGACTCTCGGCTATGCTGACCCATCTGAGCACCCACAAATACCCCAACCGCGGTGAGCTCAACCCTGGCAAGACTCTATCTTCCTTCGTATTCTCAACCTTCCCCTCACAGGAGGTATGGGGAGATGTCCCAGACTTATAAAGATGGGCCTCTCATGAACTGCCTCCACATCATAATGCACCGCCAGATACGTCAAGAATAGTTTTGTCGCAATAGCAGCAAAGTGTCTTCCAGGACAAGAGTGTTTACCTAGTCCAAAAGATAGATAATTCTCTGAAGGCGAGACCAGAGATTCTTTGTTCCCAACCTCCTTGTTCTGAACAAACCGGAAGGCATCGTAAGTGTATGCAGCAGGATAAATGTCCTCGTCGTGGTGAATACCCCAAACTGAGACGCTGACTCGTGAGCCTTGGGGAAGATGGATGTTGAAACCCTTGAGGTCTAGACCGGCCGGCTGCATGACTTGTACTGAAAGTGCTTTGATGGCTGTATGTAGCCGAAGGGTCTCTTTGATGGCGCTGTCTGTGTGTTCAAGACCATTGACGGTACTTTGGTCTACAATTGTAGAGAAAGCTTCGCGGCCTTCCTCCTCCAAACATCTCCAAACTTGAATCGCTGGGTCAGTTGCGCAAATGTTGAACAGCGCGTGTGTCATTGTCAATGTCGTAGATTCCAAAGCCGCAAACATGGTAGCGAAAACGCGACAGGCTATTACATCCGCCAAGCCTTCGCGAGGCTCCTTCTTGCGTAGTGCCTCTTCGATATGCCAGGTCAACACATTATCCTGTGGAATATCCTTGAGATTGCCAGTTTCCGCTGCTGCGATTCTCTGTTCGATTTGTGGGCCAATGATTCTGAGGGCTCTTCGCATGTAGATTCGGTTGAAAATTGAGGTAAGACGAGATGAAATGGGTTGGAGAAAGGGTGGGGACAGGGACAGTGCTACGGCACTTGGTATGACCGCGCTCGAGAATTTTGATAGGTTCTCTAGAAGTTCTTTATCATCACCTGAATATTTGTTAGGGTGTATTTTATAAGAATGGAGATATCGGTTTCTTACTTAGCGACCCGCCGAAGACCAGCCGTGCCGTAAGCTTTGTAAGGACCTTTCGGACAAGAGGAAAAACTTGGACTTCTTTCCATTCTGTGTCTGAACCAAACGTCTCATTCACGGAAGAAGCCAGTTCATCCATAAGCATGGGCACCATCCCTGGCAGGTGTCTGTTTAACTTGACACGAAGGATATCATAGGCCACAAAGTCTTTTTCGATCGAGGAGTTAAGGAAGGCATACTTGATACCGATGATTTCGTGCTGAACAGGAGTTGGGCTTAGGACTCTATCGCTCTGGGAAGTGATCCAGCGGATATGAGTTTGAGGGAGAAGGATCTCAGGGCGACTAAAAGGTAGCGTAAAGGCGCAGATAAGGCCATTCTTGCTGTACTGAACAGTTAATTAGCTTGAGAACAAAGGTTTATACAGGAGGAAAAGTGCCTTTTGATAAGCCTCGCCAATTGTCTTGGGGCTGTTCCATATGGCAGAAGTCTGGGTGACAAGATATGGCATGAAGCGTCCTTTTGACCAGGGCACGCCTTTAGGGATTTTGGAAAGGTGAGTGTGAGAGACCTTCAGTCGCCATACGAGAATGACAAGTGAGAGAATCCAGAAGAAAAGCATCTTGATTATATGTTATTATGTCTGGAGAACTGTGTTTACAACAATGAACACGGCCTGCGTCGTGAGGATCGCTCTTTTAATACCTGGATGGGTAGGCTTTCGGAAACCCCATATTTACCGAGTTGCGCTCCTGAAATTATCCACTACAAATGCTTTTTGCAAACATGATTGCGTGGCTGTATGATTTCCATGCGAATAAGCGCCTGATTAGGGATATATATTTCGAGCTGAGAGAACACGGCTGCTGATCTGGGAGGTTCTGCTTAAGCGAGTTGCCTTTTGACTAATAAAACACGTCAGATCACCGAGAACCTTTGGCTGCATCAAAGCTGAATTATTTTTCTGTAAAAGGGAAGCATTGCGAAAGTTCGAGTGGCAAGCATGTAGGTACTATATAGATGACGATTCCAGCTGATCCCTGAAATTGATTGTTAACTCCGTGTGGCGAGGAATAAATTTAAAATCGATGGGGAGTAGTAATAAACCTCTGGGCTGAGAAAGATCGGCTGGAGCAGATTGGTATATATAAGCGCATTAGAGCCAGGCGTGAGGTTATCTGTTTTTATCCTTGTAATTCTAATTTGCATCGCTCTTTGAAGTTGACAGGTCGTATCCTCGCTTGGTCAGGCAAGACCACTCATGAAGCTTTCTGGTAGGAAATTTAAAACAGGCACAAGAGAGTTATAGGGTTTTAATCCAGCACTTTAATATCTCAAGCTTGAATAGCCTTCGGGGTCTTTTATCCCGACTTTCTAGGCACACTATTCAGTAGCGATGCGCTGTTCACTGCCACTGAACACCACCGCGTGAACGTCAGAAGCATGAATCTCGAAATATTTCCGAAACGAGATTTACGATCGCGCTTAATTTTGATCGGGAATTATTTCACCCGACGGATTGGCTTTGCCACCAATGAAATACCCAATGCCATACAGTACTAGCACCTCGCCCAAGTGAAGATTATGCAGCCCTGTCTAGATACATTGTGTATGCTATCCCCCGCCGCAGGTCTAGACTTCGGTGCCTTTTCTTCCGTCGAATGAAGCCTATCATATGATGTCTAGAGACGACCATGTTTAGTCGGATACAGCAGCTGGTTAGTCTTGCATGACCTGGAGTAAGCAACAGCGCTGGGTGAACCAATAATCTGCCAGTAGCTGAGGGGAGGGAGAAGCTGCAGGCCGCTAATATTGCTTTGATATGCATGTCAGCTTACTATGAAGCTGTGTTCGGCCTCGGCTTATTATTCTAATACACGTGCAGACATTTAGGGGTTGCGTTTAAATCACAGAAATCCAATGGGGCAACGTACAGTTTCAAAGGGTCTCACTGAGAGGTTTGTAGGGACTCTCTATAAAGGATCGCCCCGACTTCCAATTCTCTTTACTACATTACCACTGGAAGCTTTGGAAAAGAATCAGTCGCCGATAAATATCAACATCAGTATATCGTGTCGTACTTTTGATTAGCTCAATTACTCAAAAATGACACCTGAAGAGACTGAAGGCTTCCTCCAAAGCCTTGTCGCACCCCTGCGCAACAAAGTACCCACTCCCATCCTGCATAAGCCCAGCGAAGCCGAACTCAAATACGAAGATGTCTTCTTCCCCTCTGAAGATGGCACCACACTCGAAGCCTGGTACATCCCAAAGTCAGACTCGAACAAACTCATCATCGCCAACCACCCCCTGCGATGCACCCGAGCCGGGTTTCCAGCTCACATAGAACCTTGGAAGTCCTTCCTCGGTGGCTCCGCGCTTGGAAATGATGGAGATCTAAATTTCATCCCCGATTTAAAGATCCTACATGACGCGGGCTATAATGTACTCACTTACGATATGCGCAACTCGGGCAATAGTGCGCAAGCAAATGGTGGCATTTCTGGTACTGGCCACTTTGAATCTAGGGACGTGATTGGCTCGCTGAACTACGTCCGTGGTCGAGAGGACACCAAAGACATGACAATTGGACTCTTCAGCCGTTGCCTCGGCGGTATATCAACCTTTATCGCGATAGACCGTCGCCCAGAGGTGTTCAAGGACGTGAGATGCCTTCTCGTCCCCAACCCACTCTCCTACAGACCTTTTGTTGAGAGGGCACTTGAAATGACGAGTCTTCAAGACCGCTTCAACGACGTGGATGAAATGATTAAGATGGAAACCAGCTTCAATATTGACGAACTGTCTCCATTGCCCATCATGGAGAGCATCCGTATCCCGACCTTTATCTATTCGGTGCGAAATGATGTCCTGACTAAGGAGAATGATGTGCAGACTATGTATGACTTGATTCCCATCGATGACAAAAAGCTTCACTGGGTGGATGGAACCGCGCGAATGAAGGGTTACACACATTTTCAAGAGAACCCAACGATCTTTGTTGACTGGTTGGATGAACACATGAGCTGAGATGGGTTGGTTTCCATTGATGACAACTATTAGTACACTGTTAGTATGCAGATATATGATGGTCGGGATTAAATTGTTGGAGTTCAAACGAAGCAATGTCTAACTTGCATGGGTGCCTTATTCAATTTATGGAGAATGTGCTATTTTCAGGTCCAGCTAATCTCACATAATATCAAACTGGGGGACCTGGTCATCATTGTTTCGATATCTCACGATTACACGATGACAGGATGTGGCGGGGCGCTTAGCACAGCCTCATTTACTGCTAACTAGCTTCCAAATCAAATTATCTCCGGGGGTAATAGCCATTGAGTCTTGTGCTGATGTGGCGCTTACTGTGTAGAAGGATTGAGAACAGCCTCACTTGCAAGTGAATACGAGGTAGAGGAAGAATAGTTGAGAGGCTTGGACCGTGACGTTCGAAAGATCTTCAAGGATGAATCAGACCACATGAACAAACATTGAAGCTCATCTTAGCTATAAAAGAACTATCGCAGGTCCTCGAATCCAAAACCCACATCATCACATCAATCTAACTCATTGCATCCAATCAACACTTCCACAACACCACCAATAGTATCACCAACAAAAACCTCACCGCAATCATGCTCTACTCTACTATCGTCACTGGCATCGTTGCCTTCGCCTCAGCTGTCAACGCTGCCCCTGCCAAGGACAAGCCCACCGTCGGCGTCGCCATCCTGACCGTCAATGATCCCATCAGCGGCGAAAAGAGCACCAGTCCTCTCAACGTCCCTCTTGGCGTCCTCACCCACCAGAAGAACATCGGGATCACCAAGCTCGAGATTGCCCGTGTCTACTCAAGTATCAAGGGTGTTGACGCTCCCAAGATCGATCAGATTACTTGCCAGATGTACAAGGACCAGTACGGCACCCAGCCTGGTAGTGCCGAGTTCACCGCCAAGAAGGATGCGCTTATCAGCACCAACACTGTCCCACTTGGATGGGTCCTTTGCCGTGTCAACGCTCCTCACGCCTAGGGGAATCGCGGAATAGGATTATGGAGAAGCGTCATGGAGGGAGAGAGGCATGCTGGAGGAGGATTGAGCGTCTTATTAGTGAAGAATAGCCCATTCTGCAACAGTTGCGCCAGTACGGTTCTTGGCGCGAATATCGACATTGTTCAGGGCTTGGTTCCCAATGATAAGAAGAGAGGCATATCTTGGTAGCGGCACGGGATTCGGAAGAGTTATGTTGGTGGTGTTTGAAGTAGGCATAGCGATAGCGTTTAGGTCCGTGGTTTTCAGATAAGGATCGGATTGTTCAACATGTTTAATTGTCAACACGACATCATAATCTGAATCTCCATTCGATGAAGCGTAGGCCTTGGCTGGATTATCAAGAGTCTTGTTGTGAAAAAGAACAGTGACGTTGACAGGGGGATCCTTGTCCCAAACGAAGTAGAAACCTGTAACCATAGAACCCACATCTTGCTCAGCCAAAGAGACAGTCAGGTAATTGAGCTCGGCGGCTTTAGAGGGTTGCCATTTCGTGGAGGTAGCGCCATCCACGGCCGCAATCGGAAACTGGCCCGGTTCGTATGAGCCGGAAGCCTTCACAGGCCGACACTGAGCAAGGTTCCCCTTGACGGTACTGTTGGTGCCTATTGCTCTGTTCCGAATAACGACTGGTTTACTGAAAGAGAGATGTTGAACAGCGGGAGCTTCTTTTGGTCCTACATAGACTTTGATGCTTCTATTGGCGTACGCTGGATCCGCAACATCGAGAGGCTGAGTAGTCGGGTGTCGATGAATAGTGGTATGGGTGTAGTTAGACCAGGACGAAATAGGCCAACCATGCCAATAAAACGTGCGGTACCTCATGTACGGAATCTGAGGCGGCAGGTTAGGATTGACATGGATCCCGTCATCTGGAACTAGACGTAATCCAAGATAGCCAAAGACCGTCACCTGGTTAGCACCGCCATGCCCAGTGAGGAAAGGATAAGCTGGGTGGGTGCCGCCGTTGACCGTCGCATCGTCGATGACCTGTTCGGAAATTTGGTAAAAAGGTGGGCGGATATATGGCCTGTAAGAATTCTGGGCATAAGTATACCCGGAGCAACCTGATGGTGACAGCTCGTCTGCGACAATTGAGTAGATTGCCCAGGTCATAGCAGGTCCATCCTGAGACTGCTTGTTCGCGTACTATTATAAGGATTAGTGCGTTAGTCTTTGTTCGTTTATAGCATAAAATGGGGTTGCTGTATGGCTTACATAGTCAAGATCATTCAGCCCTTGTTGGTCGGTGTAGTTGTCACTGTATCCCAGAGGGAACGTCATCAAAACCAAATCCGCTTGTTTTATAACAGCGCTCCCATTCATAGTTGTGAACTCAAGGGTCACCCCATTCTCACGGATCAAGAGAACGTCTGAAGCCATCTCGTCCCAGGTGTCGTTCTCTCCTAGTCCAAATTTATCGCGGAACTTGTTCGCCTGCATCAAGGTTTCCGCAACAATAGCCATGGTAAAGCCGCCAGCGTCTACATGATTAGCGTACTCGTCCTGATGTTGATGTTAGTATGGAGGAAATAAAGAGAACTCCCGCAGAGGCAACTTACAGGATCGGTCATGTTAGTAATTGTCCAAGATGATCCATTAGGCTTGAGGAGATCGGCATAGAGATTGGCTACCGAGTTGTAAACAGGGAAAAGATCCTTCTTGAAGAACTCCGTGTCTCCACTTGTCACCCATTGGTTAACCATGGAGATTCCAATGTCTCCGTTCAAATGGTACTGATAGTCCCAGCAGGGGCCAGTACCGGTGCAGTTTCCATAACGCCCGCTTGTCCAAGGATACACAGCGGCTGACGAGGAAAAGTCGGTCTCGTTCTGAGAACCTGTAAAAGACGTGGCCACATTGGCCTTCGCCTGAGCGTACTTGCTCACACGATAGTTCGTTATGCACTGAGCAGCTTCAGGATGTGATACTACAAGCCCAGGCTGCATAAAGAGTTCTGCGTCCCAGAAGATCAGGCCGGCGTACGAATCTGAAGTAAGACCACCAACAGAGATGCTGTTAGTGTTCACAGGTGCTCCAGATACTGCCTTGATTGCGTTCTTGCCCACTGTGTTTTGTAACAGGTAGTACGTATTGGCGACAGCACTGATTGCAGAATCGAGAATGTAATCATCAGCGGGAAGCGTGCCATTCTTGGGTGAGGCGTAGCTATCGACAGAATCATCAGGCATGACACTTGCCCATTCTTTGACGTGCGACTTCAAAGACTCTTGATATCCATTTGCCAACGCCTTGCGACACGCCGTCTTTGCTATCGCTCTGGGATCATCAAACGCGTCGGAAGAAGCAGCTCCGACATATTTGGTGATGTGGACAGCTTTCCCAGCTAAAAACTTGACAGGGATTGCTTGCGCAACAGAGGAGTCGTTCGTGTGAACATAAGGCTTGTTGTATACTAGTTGCCGTCGTGACAAGTTCAGATGCTTGGACTCTGCTACCTGAGCATAGATATAAGCGGTTACGTTTTCGACACCCACTGGCCGCACGGCTGAGAAGATAGCGCCATCATCATCTTGGCCTGATTCGACAAAGTCTGTGCGGACAGCTGAGTACCCATCGATAACATTAACGATAGTTGCTTCTGCATCTGCAGATGGGATGATCTCAAGATCTACCACAGCCTGGTTGACATGAAGCTTGTTGGCAAACAGGCGGTAATTGATTTGATACGAGGAGTCCTTCTTTCGAGGAGTCCACTTGTATGACCACTGTAGGACCCCGGCCTTGAAATCATACGTAGATCTGAAGTCGGAAATGGTTGTATTATCAACCCTGGCGTCGAGATATTCCCCGTCTCCCAAGTCCAGAATGAGCCCGCTCCAATGCGGCACACCACTGATGACGCTCTCGTAGCCGTACTGATTGAGCCAAGGGAAGTTAGATCCATTCGTTTTAGGCTGAGAGTCGAAAAAGCCGCTAATGGTGGCAAAGGTCTGCCGTCGCGAGAAGAGCGGCCAGCCATTGATGACGCCGCCCTCTTCAGCAAGGTCTATCTCGAAGAATGGACCCACGGCAGCGACGTTGATACCTAAGTAACCATTTGCCACTGAACCTCGAGACTGGTAATGTCCTTGGTCTAGCTTCGTCGTGCTGAGAAGCCAATTATCCTCGTCCCACGTCACACCAGGGAAGGAGGTTTTGTAAACGTTGTCGTTGAGTTTGTGGCCATGGTTGGAACTGCTGTGACGACGGTAACACTGCTCAATCCGTTTCTCTGTTTCCGTGCCTGTAACGAGGATATTGCAATGCAAAAGAATCGTAACGGCAGTCCACTTTATCTTCTGATGAACATGTTAGCAAGTGTCCATTGTACATAGATTGACGCGGTCACCTACTGCGGACAGCATCCTGGATCTGCCACCAAGGCTATAAGGCAAGGCGGACCTCTTTTACACAGTTCACTTATCAAAATAAGGTCGTTCTTGCGGGATTAAGTACAGCTAATGGAAAGGAATCAATAGAACCTAGGTATTGGCCCCGAAGATTAAAGAAGGAGCAACAACGATAATTGATAAAGATCTTAGATACCCCGCAAATTCAGTGCATAAGCTACGCCAGATTTCTCTCCGTCATAATTGGTCTGTTATGAGATGATGTGTGCCTGTAACTTGTTTGTGAGTATTTCAGGTCAGAAATGGCGTTCGTTCGGCCCGAAAAACATGCCCATCCTTTCCTCAACCCCACTAGACTGTTGCCGGGAGGAGCGGAAGCGTTGTCATAACAGAAACCGTTGGTAGATATTGACATCATTCCCCCGCAAAAGGTTTTCAAGGTTACCGCATTGGATCTGGGGCTGAAATTCTCGAATGTCATTGCCATTCCGCGGTAGCGCGGGTCAATTCCGTCAGCTACTCTACGTCCAGGCCTTTGAGTGAGGTGCCTTGTTATCTTAGTTGGCGTAACCTACTTCTCGTCATTTCTTTATTGAATTTGGAAATTACAAGCCGAGGTTGGTGGTGTTCTTTCTTCCTTTGGCGTTTAATCTGAAATGTATATTTTAAAGTCACCTTTGCCAATAATTGCAACAGCATCAAGGAACCAGAAACTACTCATTCTGTGCGAAATTTAGACCCCTCATTTTCAGGAACACAACCATATCCACTGTCCAAATTCACGAGCCATACATAAAACAACAAAATGAGAACTACAGATCTAGGTATGTTTTATTACTGAGATTAATACAATATTTCATCCTATCCCTAGGGTTTATATCCTTGCTCCTAAATACAATGGGCTGTAATAGCATCAAAGCTTTAGGGTAAGGAGAAATACGTATTTCAACAAGACAAGTCTATAGAATATTAAAGAAATTTACTACAAAGGTAGAAATAATTAAATTCGGCATTTAGCATAATTATTTATATTAAGCCTGGTAGCACCTTTAAAAAAAGAGATCTAGCTGTCCTAATCAAATCCACAGAAATATCAACAATAGAGGTCTCTACACAGACCGAAAAGCAATAGTATCTCAAATCGAATAAGGTTGCCCACCAAATCAGCCACAACTCTATTTCTCAATGGCATAAAAACCCCTGCTGGGGCCACTTTTCCCTCTCTTCACTCCACTTCAATCAACCCACCCAAGACCTACACAAGAAGATCGTGGCACAATTATAACTTATAAACCATTTGACTTTTAGTAAGTTTATTAAAAATTGAATTCGTCTTGTGTGTTATGGGCTGTTTTCTAGTACCATACTAACCAACATTAAATGCATTATTTTGCCATACTGTGAGAGTTGCTATAAGAGATACAAGACAGTCCAAATCCTTAGCAAATTTAGTATAAGTATTTTACTAACATTCCTAACCGGCGTATTGAATTCAGTAGATATGTAACGTAGACAGTACCGTATTTAGAATTCCTAAACACAATCCAGTCAAGGCTTTATCGGGCCATTTAGTAAGCGTCCTGTTGTACTGTCATAGATAGCTGTCAAGCATGACTGATCCGTCTTATTTTATATACTTGACTCTTGTATTTACCCACCATACCAAAAAACAATATTCAATGAATGAAATCGGCTATTAATATTAGATGAGGGGCTACATAAGGAGGCGAGACATTGCCAGAGCTTTACATGTATTCTTGACTGTACGGACGTAAAGAAAGGATACAGTTTCTCTCAAAATGAACTAAAGTCACATTAGGCGCCAACAGAGAGTAAAATCCATAGAAGATAAAAAGGTTCGAATTAAGAACCAATTTTTGGACTCGGCGTAGCTCAGGCACATATAAGACTCAGGTTTCCTCGTCCACTTTGGTCGTTAGTGCTTGTCGGCTGATATGAATATGCAAGGATGATACTTAATACTTGTGTCAATTTACCCCCTCCGCTATCACACACATGTCATCGCTCATATGATCTGATGGATTTAACCGGTTCTCAGCCTAAATAGCCAAGAATGATGAACGAGCCTCATTACCGGTAGCAATGCCGTAAAGTTCTCTAACGCTTTTGCAAAAATACCCGAGGCTAAGACAAATATACCATGCTAGCGTACCCGGTGGCCCTTGGCTTGCTTGGCTATCATGCGCAATATGTTTTAGCCAAAATGTAGACTATGCATAAAAGTCTGGGGGATGGTCTTCCATCGGGTCTGAAGATCGGTAAGTGAACTATTAACCGGTTCGGGAGAGACCCAACGATCCTACATATAACTTTATCGTGCTTTATAGCTGTATTATGGTCCATTCTACGATCTCGCTTCTTTGATGGACTGCTGACAGGAGGAACAAAAAAGTTCAGATGCCTTGAACATATAAAGAGTGATCTGCAGGGAGACTGCCGACCGCTCTTACAGGGAACATGCCAAGCGGGACCATCCTTGGGACACCCATTGCTTAGCTCCGGTAATATAGTTACTGAGCAAATGCCAAGAGCGAAACTACAAATCAAGGAAGGCACACTGCAAGAGGTGGTTCATTCGCAGCATCGTAACCTGTTCTGCTTTCTTACTCGTCCCCCTAAAGCTTGTCGCATGGCAGCTCGAAACGGACGAAAGGTACCAAGACATTTGAATTTAGCCAGAATATCCAGAGTGGTATTACTACTCGGGACATGCGGAGCACAGATCACTTGGAGGTTGCAATCTCGCCAATCGCATCAAAGATTGAAATATGCCAGAGGGGACAATTGCCTGATGTGGACTGTAATTGGCTTGTGCGTCTTGACGTTTTTGCACTACGCAGTCAAGCAATAGAACCATAATGTAGACTATTAGGTGGTCCACGTGGATGAGGAGGGGCGGAAAGCTCCAAGATGGGATTAAATTACTTTTGTAGATATTTGCCGACGGAGAGTCAGGCTCCGAGATGAAGACCAGTTTGATGTGGAATTGATGATATTGAAGTTCACTACTATAGGCTTGGCATTGTATTACTAGCAAATCAATAGAACTACAACCATGTTTATTATTATATAAAGGCCCGTCGCACATCAACTGGTGATGATCTTCACGCTCAAACCAGGGTCAGTCACTCCATCAAAAGCTTCACGCTCGATATCTCGCCTATATATATATTGAGAACCCCGTCTTCGTTACTCGCTATCACCATGGTCTCCTTCAAGTTCCTTCTCGTTGCTGCTTCGGCAATCACTGGGGCTCTTGCTCGCCCCTTTGACTTCCTCGATGAGCGTGACGACAACTCCACCTCTGTTCTCGAGGCCCGTCAGGTCACTGGAAACAGCGAGGGCTACCATAACGGCTACTTCTACTCTTGGTGGAGCGATGGTGGCGGTTACGCTCAGTACAAGATGGGTGAGGGCAGCCAGTACTCGGTTGATTGGCGAAACACCGGTAACTTTGTCGGTGGTAAGGGATGGAACCCTGGTACTGGCCGGTAAGTCCAAGTCTTGAAGCTTTCACAGCTAGGCATCGTGCTAACACCAAACCAGCACCATTAACTACGGAGGTAACTTCAGCCCTCAGGGTAATGGCTACCTTGCTGTCTATGGCTGGACTCGTGGCCCCCTCGTCGAGTACTACGTACGTCGCTTTCCAAGAAAAGCATCAATACTTGTTACTAACTATCACCTCCCAGGTCATTGAGAACTTCGGATCCTACAACCCCGCAAGCGGTGCTCAGCTCAAGGGAACCGTTTACACTGATGGAGATACCTACGACCTATACCAGTCCACCCGGTACCAGCAGCCTTCCATCGACGGTGTTCAAACCTTCAACCAGTACTGGTCCATCCGCCGTAACAAGCGCGTTGGCGGCTCCGTCAACATGCAGAACCACTTCAACGCTTGGGCCCAGGCCGGCATGCGCCTTGGTAACCACTACTACCAGATTGTGGCTACGGAGGGTTACCAGAGCAGTGGCTCTTCCAACATCTATGTCCAGACTCAGTAATCTCTGGATGCTCAAAGAGCTTGCTATAGAGAGGTAGAGAAAGGTTTGGGGGAAAGCAGTCTACGGCATGGTGCAAGATGGTTATCTATTCTCTTTCTTGTCGCTCGTTTTGGTCCTGTTATTCTGCTGTAGTGTGGTATTAAGATGAAAGGCTAGCACGAAGCTCTTTTAACTGGCAGAGTCAATACAATCGCTCGTTTTCGAGATGTTGAAAGACAGTCGTTCTATTAACATGAGCAGAAATACACGTTTGAGGTAGAGTATAAGTAAGTGAAGCGTCTGACGTTCGTCTGACCGCCCTATTTACCACAGCAATAGAATAAATATGCTGTCCCATTATTCATCATAAGCATCACGTGGATCATGCTCTTTCCAGAACTGATCGTACTCATCCCAGCTCTGAGATGGAAACGCAAGAGGTACAGTGATAGGAGCGAACGGAATGCCCTGCTTCTCAAACTCTCCCAGTCGAGCTTGAGTCCTTTCCCTGGTTTTGTTAACACTATACACAGACACTCGATGGCACGAGCTGGTAACATGCAGTCCCCAGTTCCAGGCCGTGCGAACATCAGGCGGCTGCGTGTTGAGGGAATTGTCCCAGCAGCGACAGACAATCTCAATCCAGCCCTCGACATCACATGGGAGTTCAAACTCCCACACGCGCCAAGTCCATTTACGTTTCTTGGACATCTTCTCGAGAGGAACTGCATACCAGTTGAAGCCACCGTCAGATGAAAGTTCAACACGTTCAGGCCATCGACCGCCGCCGGAATAGGCCCAGCCCTTGCAGCGGATCTTCCCATTATGGATAACCACCTGCTTTGTCCATGGTGACATGATGGCTGAGCTGACAGGCATCTCCTGGATCTGAATACCGTCGGTGAGTTTGAAGTTGTGCTTGCCGACCTGCTGTGAGAAATACAGGTATTCCTGACTCTGGACTGGAGCTCGCGAGGGCCCTTTGATGGCCTTGATACGGTACAGCCACTTCACGCTTCTGGCTCCGATGTAGCCGAATACGACAATTCGGAGAGGGTATCCGTGGATCTTGGGAAGGACTTCACCGTTCATCTCCCAGGCCAGCATCACCTCGTTGGCCTTGACCTTGGACCAGGGGACACTGACGAGGTAATTCATGGCCTTGTCGTCTTTAAAGTAAGTATCAGCTCCATAGAACTCCAGATGCTTAGCACCATCGATCAAGCCACCGCAGGCTTTGATGACCTTCTTGAGGCTGATGCCGACATAGTTTGCGGTTCCAATGGCGCCTTCTGCCCAAGGTGCCTGAGGTACTTCATCACCTTGGCCTGGATACTTGAGAATCTGCTCAATGCGACGCGTTCCAGAGCATTGAATGGTCACGTTCTTTGACATGCGGGGGAACTTGGACTCGTCCATGAGATCATCCAAGGTGAAAGACTTTGGATTGGCGACGAGGCCGTCCATGAGGAAGCCAAAGTCGTCTTTGTTGATAATTGGAATTCCTCCATGGTTTCTCACAAAATGGAGTGGATTGGGGGTGAACTCCTTATCTGTGACCAGACGCTTGGGCGGTTCACCGTTGTATGGGAATTGAAGAAGATGGAGCATGTCAGGGTGTTTCTCTTCCTGGACAATCTTCCACGAGTCGTCGGGTATAGGGTCGAGTTCACCACCGAGGGCATGATGCCACATCTTCCAGTGGGTGCCTGGCAGGACAGGGTTGGTGCCTGGGATGGGACCGAGTTGAAATTCAGGGTTTGGTGGGAATGTCTGGGCCGTGAGGAGTTTGTGCGCTGCAGCTTTCTTGTCCGGGTAATTCTCCCACTCGACAAAGCTGGAGAAAGGCCGGTCAGCACAGAAGGGGATACAAGGTGTGTGTTGTGGTTGAAGACTTACCCAACCCAGCCCTCACGTTCACGTGTGAAAAGTTTCTCGCGATCACCAACAGCCTTGATGGCCTCTTCATCCTTGGTAAGTTCCCCAAATACTTGAGGGTCGATGGCTACGGTCTCTGGCCCGGTCATGTCCAGGACCGGCAGGACAGCCCCGGAGAGACCCTGTTCGATCTTCCACTCATCAGGGCGGTTTGTAGTCTTCATGATGGGTAAAGGGTGTGTTGATGGCTATTGCTATGTGATAGTGAAGGAGAGAGGGCGGGCGCAGGCGGGAATTTGGGCTTCGGATGACTTATACATTACTAGACTGAACCATCCGGTTTGCGACGTGTTAAGCCAGGCTATCACGGCATTACGATCTATGAATTCATCATGCATAACCGAGATCGCGGCCCAATGATTGATACGAATAGAGCAGAAACTTCATGCAATCCTATGGCTCAAATGCAGCCACAAGTGACATCAATTGGCTCGATAAGCTGCCGTCTTACACGAGAATGCTACGATGTTTATCTTCCCATCGGTGTAGACCAAACGACCCGGCCTTGCCGTGTAAAAAGTATATTGAAAACTTGGATAGTTCCAAATGAGTTCAATCGCCTTTCGTACAGTAATCAAATGGCTGTTAGTGGTTGGCTGACAGCATTTGAGGGCAGTGGTTGGTGATACAAGCGGGGTGATTATCAAGCGCTGACAGAGATGGGACGCGTGTGAATTCATCATGACAAAGTGACTGCTACACGATGGTTGCATAGTGGGGAATTGACTTTATCGCCAATTCAGCATTTTGTCAGAAATACCGTAGGTCAAGATGAAGGATAAGATGGGCTTCGTCCACGAGTGTTTTATAATGATGTGTAACTTTCTCGACTAATTCCTGGTCGATTGAACTTCATCATGGTTGGTACTCAGCAGCGATTAAAGCTGTTGTTCCGAGACTAACGCATCTTCCAGTCAACAACCAAGAGCAACCTCTTATCTACGCTAGCTAATGGTATGATGATCTTATATGCTATTTACCAAAGGCCGTTTCTAATGACATCATCCAGGACAGCCGAGCGCAAACCCAGGCTCAGCCCAGCAGATTCGTTACGGAAACAGCAATGGCGGACTGATTGTCCTCAGCGACACTCAAACAATTGAGGTGCTTGCCCACTTTGCTCGCGAACGTATTCCGGAAAGGTAGGCAATTTCTTTCAAATCTCATAATGTGGAATTGGAACATCCACTCACCAAGCCCAGGAGCGTACATGCCAAAGCCGCCGGAGCTTTCGGAGAATTCGAAGTCCTTGAAGATATCTCACACCTGACGGATGCAGATTTCCTGACAGGTGTTGGTAAAAAGACCAAAATCCTCACCCGGATCTCTACTGTTGGTGGCGAGAAAGGCTCCAGCGATACGGTCCGTGATGTCCGAGGGTGGGCTACCAAGTTCTACACTGAAGAAGGCATACAAGACTTTGTCTTCAACGACTTACCTGTGTTTTTCATCCGCGATCCGATCAAGTTCCCATCCATGAATCGAAGCCACAAGAGGCATCCCCAGACCAATGTACCAGACAACACCATGTTTTGGGACTTTCATCTTAACAACCCCGAAGGTATCCATGCTTTGATGCATCTCTTTGGGCAGCGCGGCATTCCAGCCTCGTTGAGAAACATCAACGGCTTCAGCGCACATACGTATACTCTGAACAAAGCTGTGAGTATTGCATGGAGACGCTGGAACTAAACTAACAATAGTAGGATGGGAGCTTTGTTTATGTAAAGTGGCACTTCAAACCTGACGACGGGATCAAGACAATGGATGCAGACACCGCGCAGAGACTGGCGGGCTCGGAGCCGGATTACCACGTCAAGGACCTGTTCAAGGCCATTGACAAAGGTAACTTTCCAACCTGGGGTGTCTACATCCAGGTCATGCAGCCGGATGAGGTCGAGAGTGCGCCCGTTGACATCTTTGATGACACATACACCTGGCCACTGGAGAAGTATCCCCTTCGTCTTGTGGGAAGAATAACTCTGAACAAAAATGTACGCAATTTCCCAGACTGATTGATTGGAAGCTGATGAGTGAGTGATAGCTCAACAACTATTTCCAAGACCTGGAGCAAGCATGCTTCTCGCCGTCTAATATGGTTCCTGGTATTGGCCCATCGGCAGATCCCGGTAAGTGACCAATGCAATGGCAATACGGGAGTAAACACTGACAAAGTAACAGTACTCCAAGCTCGCATGTTCAGCTACCCAGATGCCCATCGCTACCGGTAAGACAACATCTCACCAATCTCTTCCTGCACCTAACAGTCTACCTAGTGTCGGACCCAACTATTTCCAACTGCCTTGCAACAAACCAATCAACACAGTCTACGCACCCTACGTCCGAGACGGACCCGGTACTATCAACGGCAACTACGGAGGTGACCCCGACTACGTAGGCTCAAGACTGAACCCAGTCAGCGTGAGCAAACGCGTTCAAGTCCCAACCCACGAAGCCTGGTCTGGAAATGTAACGGCCTTCGCCACCACCATCAGCGACAAGGACTTTGAGCAGCCTAGAAAGCTTTGGCAAATCATTTGTGGTGAACCAAAAGGAAGGGAACAGTTTTTGCACAATATTCTTCCCACTCTGCAGGATATCCCAGATGAGATGAAAGAACAAGTGCTGGGTAAGTTGAGAAGTTTGATCCTGAGCACACTACTAACTCGGTAATAGAATACTTCGGACGTGTGGATGAGGAGCTAAAGACTCTGCTCAAAGAAGGCCTTTCGAAGTAGAAATACCAGCGGTTATATCTTTGTAGCTATATTCAACACCAAAGAGCATGTCATCCTTCACTGTCTTCGCTTACTATCTCGTTCTTCACATGTGGCATCATTAAAAATTATTTTATTAACTTGATTGCTCTCAGCGTCTATCACTACTATTTTATTAGCTGGTTATTACACTCAATCAAGTATTTTACACCGCATTTATTCTTGATTCAAATCACACAAGTATCTAAACATGCACATTCAATCCTAACTAATGTTGCATACAATCCTCCTTGAGTCCAGGCCTAAAACCTAATGCAATGTCAGTACGGCATTTCTTCTTAATCGTCTGACCTTGAATTGTAAAACCTATCCCTTGTTAGCCTGGATCCTAAAACCTGCACTTGGTAGGGGAACAGATATATCGTATATCTCTCAATACATACATTCCAAATCGCGGTCCACAACCCTGATAGCCATGACGAAGTTAACCTCGTAATGCCTTTTGCCGATTCGTTGGCCATTTTGATTAAAAGTAGTGTCGATGGGAGCTATTAAACCCTCTGTTCGAAGAAATAAGAAGGCGATGGCATTTTTGCCACCCTTCTCCGCTCCTGTTGCTTAATGTGGGACATTGCCAAAATATACTTTACCGACTTACCGTGGTTCTTGGAGTGACTCAGCCTATAGTAAGAGTCTTTCGATCTATCTTATACGAAAAGGATTTCCTTACAGACCAAGGGATAAGTAGGCCAATAGTCAAAGGAGTGGCTACAGGTAAAGGGCTCACATTCTCATACTGATGCAATAGCCTCTCCCTACGCCAAGTTTGATAGCAATTAGACACAAATATCATCCTGTAGAGTTAAATCAGCTTTACAACCCAGTCTACAATTCTCTTAATATATAGTTACCTATCGTGGGGATCATAGGAAGGGTTCAGTCTTTTGTGCTCCTCGTGGTCTCCGAAAGGCTCAGTTCGTAGAATGACATAGCTAGAGCGGACTATCCTTTTAGGTCCTTGCGACTTGTTAAGTGCACGAATTACAGCCCCTGACGCCACTGCATTGATAAGAGCCTTTCTATACGCATGTCTTAGTCAAGCCCGTAGACGCAATTAAAAGTTGTACTAACCATTCTTCAGGCTTTGTCAATGTGATGAATAAAAACTAAAAGAATAAAACTATTACTTATCACACCTGTCACATTTACCACCAATTCCTGGACTACCTACTATCCATTCCTCCCCCTTTAACATAGACGGGCCACCCTCAAGCCATTCATGTAGTTCTAATACATATCCATTCTGCCTGTAAACATTCTTGCCCTTGATGTCCCCCGCAACCTTGATACCTACTGTCTCCTTAGTATCATTGTCAACATCCCGACAGAGCATAATATGCACACCGCTCAGCCTCCCTTCGTCGAATGGCTGTGAGCTTATCCCGCCTACTCTAGCGATAAGTCCTGGAATCTCAGGAAACCGAACCTTGCCTCTTACTAGCCTACATGCCATTCCGTGTATGCTTAGGAAAGAGAATTCCTGATATTCGGGCTCAATCCATTCGAATGTTGTTCCCATCACAGCTGCTCCTTGTTCGGAATAAACGACTTTTGGCCGAGGGACGAAGGCAGCAAGTCTCTCCAAACATGTGAAGGGGCCATAGTCTGGTCCACATTCAGGCAGCCAGCTCATCGCACGATGCACGCTTGGGGCAGACGATGCAAGCTGCCGCTCAGTAATCATTCCAGCCCGCTGCAACCTGCCAAGCATAGTGAGCCAGTCAATACCAGGTTCGACGTCCACGGCATGCCCTCTTTCAGTGATTCCTAGTATGCCGTATATATAGTCTTCCTTGTACGTTGCAACTCGCCCTGCGACCATAGTCAGTGCCTCTTCTAGAGGCATGCGTAGGCCATGGTGTGTTGTCCGTAGCTCCTCATGTTGTTTCCTGCCGCCGAAAATGGTCCTTATAATAGTGGGCTGTGAAGGCTGGCCCGTCATCCTGAATTGTCGCGAGTAAATAGTTGTTGGAAGTCGAGGGTTCCAACCATAGCAGCCATAGCCACCGACCCACTCTGGATCGTTCCCTCCATCATCGACATAGACCTCTGAGAAAGTTTCGATATACGAGACAAGTTCCGAAACATAGTCACCATCGATGAGCTGATTATCTACAGAGTAGATAAGCTGCCGGGACATTAAGGCTTCCTGTAGAGTCCACACTCTACTCACCCATTTGCAGTCGAACAGAGACCGTAGAGCCTCTGCATTGCACTGTATCTGCTGGTATGCTGAGAGAATTGCTCCGTCATGCTGCGGCACGAGTCGAAATGGTTTCGCCTCGGGCCCTGTCAATACAACGCAGCCGCTAGCTCCAGTATAATAGTCTCGCATGCGTTTAATCTCGACGGCTTTGTCGGCAACGCTATCCTGGTCGATGCACCATCTATCCACCCAGAAGTATCGGATTGAAAGTCTCCGAGCAATGCCTTCGAGCTTGTCCTGGAGTAATTTGTTATCTGGCCATTCTTCCCAGCAATATGATAATGCCAGATAATGCTCGGGACTACTATTAAGCGTTTGAACCCTTTTATAGGCATCGTAAAGCCTCGTTGGATTGGTATCGACCTTTCTCTGTTGACACTGAAACACAGCCGGCTGAGCCACTGTAGATATTGTGCCATGCCAGGAGTCGTGGATGGCCAGATTCGGATTGTTCCTCCCTTTTCGGCCAATGTATCCAACAAAGTCGCGTAACTCTCTAACCGGCATGTTTGCCCTGATTACCGTCTGATGAGATATACCTTCGGCGATCCCAGTTTCGAAAACCACACAACCGTTTCTGAGAGGGTTATTCTGGCAAATTGACACCGGGATAAAATCTATCAGGTTTGCAACAGGTTCCTGGGCGATAACGATCTGCCTTACCGGCCAATATGTCGCCAGTCTATGCACTTCGTCGCTGACACCTCTGTGGGACACGTCCTTGCAAGAAGAAGCCGGAGCTGGGCACAGGAGCGCGCAGCAGCCTTGAAGTACCTCCTCACCAACCTGTCTCAGTTCCTGGCTGGTCATGCCCGGGACCAATTCGAAGACGTCATGTGCTGTATCAGCCTGATGTGGGAAAAGGCAAGAATAACGTCTCTGTGGCACATATTGAACGTTGCTATTTCCCACGATAATAGCGGTTCCTGCTATCTTCCCCCGCTCTGTCATCCATCGCAGAATCTCAAGCTCTTGGAGGTTGCATGAGATATTTCCATGTACTTTTCTAAGCACCCGGGTCCATGTAGTATCTGCTGCTTGTAAATGTAAAACGAGGGCGCCGTTCTCTTCGCTTAATCTCAGATCACAACCGAGCCAGGCAGTTGAACGGCATCCTGGTAAGACCTTTGTCGATATTGAAACGCTGGCAGACATAGTCATTTCCCGTATATGAAAAAAAAAGATAAAGCTTAGTGCCGGGCGCTATAGAATTCCACCCTGCTTTAGAACTTGATATAAGTCGCTTGAGTACTGAGAAGGTGTAAATGCAAAGTTAATAATTCCTAGTATTTAAGGATAGTCATTTAGAGAACATAAGTAAGGGAAGTAATCTTGCATTTATACCTCTACTTGGGATATTTTTATTAAGCGAAACCTTTTTGTTCCCTTAAAATGGAGCTCAGCTTTAATTTCCCCTGGCGACCCATGCACGTGCCCAGGCAGCAAGGCAGATGTAATGTACCAAGTCACCTGCATGTCAACCAAGGAGAGTCTGTTGTTAGTTCGATGAAGATTTTTCGCAAAGCTTCAAGTAGGCCACAGGCCCAGAAGTGAAGATATCTTCTCTGTAGGTGCAGACTAGCAGACTTCGTCACAAGATGCGACGCGACACTGGCCAGATCACACCAGCGCTCCCAATAAATCAAATCTCAAATCGCACTTCAGTGAATTAATTAAACGACCTTTAGATTTAAGTTAGGGAGGTCAGAATTTAAGTTAAATTAGATGTAGATCTGATCTTGTAAATGGATCAGTGAATGAGATAGGGATAAGAAAAAGATAAGATAAGATACATCCATTGTCTTTTTAGAGTAGAAAAATAATCACCCTGTATTAAAATACTAGGAATATAATTATACAATTAAGTTGAAATGAATAAATAAGATTATAGAATAAAGAAATTTGAACAACAAGGTCACAATTTTAAACTGACTCGACGTAACTTAATTTAAGGCAATTTAATGTTTTAGGAGCCCTAGATCACACCACCAGGCGACCAATATTTCAATCGTCTCATTCTCTCAGCTCAAGACATGGTTCTGAGCAATGTTCTTCGCAACAATCCCTTTTTTCCTTCCTGTCTTTTGAAATGAGCTTCTCATCACAACATCATGTCCAGAAAAAGCAACACAGAAGGAACAGAGGTCTGAAGCTGTCTGCCAAATCTAGCCCTAGGGACGTCAATCATCAACACTGGAGCACCGACGACCGACTGCAGCTTCTGGCGTATTTCGAATGGAGCGTGCAGTATGGTAGAAAGTTCGACTCCACAGCAGTCGCCCACTTGAAGGAAGTTACAGGGAAACAGCTTTCGGAACGCGGAATCCGCGGCAAATTAAAAAGGGAATGGATGATCTATGCCGGACGTCAAACGCGCGCTCTCAGACATTATCGGGGTCGCGTTCAACGCTGGCCACATCTATTTGTTTATACATGATAGATAGAATACTACGGTCCTAAGTAGCAGTACCATTCCTTCTATCAGGATCAACACTTAGGCATGTTTTCCGTTAACCAAAACATAGCGGAATCGGGGTTTACCCGCTACAAGATCGAGAACAGCCTGGTTCGCATCCTCCATCGGCCGTGTTTCAATCCAAGGCTTAATGTTCTTCTCAGCAGCAAGCTTCAGCATGTCTCTAATCTCAGCTGGGGAGCCAATACCACTGCCAGCAAACTTCAAGCCACCCATAAGCATGGTAAAAATATTCATAGCAGGAAGTTTGCCTTCGTCCGGGGCGCTAAATCAACATATTAGCTGTCATTCAGAGCAGATATAGACAAAGTGATACTGACCCAACTTGGACGAGAGTGCCACCAACTTTGAGTAGTTTGAGGTAACCATCAAGGGGCATCTTTGAGCTCGAAACGGTGCTGACGATGAGGTCTAGAGACCCAGCTTCTGTTTCCGACCACTTCTCATCGTCATCAGTTGCAATATAAGCATCAGCTCCGAGCTGCAGGACCTCATCCTTCTTAGCAGCCTTTCTGGAAACACCAACGACCTTATCTGCACCAAGGGCCTTGGCGAAAATGACACCAAAGTGGCCTAGTCCGCCAACACCCACAATACCGACTGATTTACCTGGTCCACAGCCGTAGTGCTGTAGAGGTGCAAATACGGTGATGCCACCACATAGCATAGGCGCGGCAGCAGCAGATGATAAGCCATCTGGAATCTTAAACACGAAGTGACCATTGGTACGGTTATAGTCAGCATAGCCGCCGTATGATTTCCCCTCGTCGTTGGGGTAAACAGAGCCGTATGTGCCGACCTAAGAGAATCATTAGCAACCAGCCTGAAGAGCCGATAGGGCAGTAAAGGGTTATCAGAAGTTGTTGAAATACTCACATTACCACGTTTGCAGTAGTTCTCCTGCTGGTTAGAGCATTGAGGGCAATCAGGCTCTAGACAGCTGCGGGCTTGAGCACCGACGCCGACACGATCTCCGACTTGGATATCCTTAACTTTGCTGCCAACACGAACAGCTTTACCCACAATCTCATGTCCAACACAGCACGCTGGAATCATACAGTTAGAGAAGGCCCTCAGTGACTGGGACGAAAGTGGGAAGGGCGACACATACGATAGGGAGTTGGGCTCCATCCAGAACTCAAGGTGTGCAGGTCAGAGCCACACATGCCACAATGTGTGATCTGGATGTCGACGTCGTCCTCGGTCCACTTCTTTGGTTCAAATTCTCCCCAAACCATCTTTCCATTGACAGCGTCAGGCGACTGGCCCAACCACCCTTCGAATTTGTATGAAGTCATATTGTCGGGAATAGCGTTCGGATTGAATATCGACTTTCTTTATTGGAAAAGAAATTGAGACATTCCCAGACTCCGAGACTTGGTTTTGTTAAATACATTTATCCTTGCTTATCTAAACTCTCTCGCTTAGCTTCCAAGTTCCGGCACTTGCGGAGTGGGCCAACATCATGAATCATCCCCAGACTAGTGCCTTTTCCCTGCCACTCACTATACTGATTATGCAGGATACGGAATTAGTGTAATCTAACTCCGGGAAGGTTTGGGTTAGGCTTCTCTGACGTATGTTAGCTACGTAGTAGTCAATTACGTAGAGCAGCGTGTTTATCGGCTATCACCGTGGATCAACAGTGTACTCCAGTTATGCCGAGGTAAAATGAAATGCCCGGTTGAAAAGTGGATATTGATGGGAAAGCTTGCGCAACTCGGCATGATGTCCAAAATCAAGTGAGGGATATAAGCTGGGGCAACTGTATTACAGAGGTAGCGTGGTTAAGTTGACTGAGAGCTTTATGCGGCAGAAAGATAGCATTATCCTCGCGATAGTCGCTGCTAACATGAATCTGGCTAGCTATATTGTTCTTGAAAAGGTCAAGGTCATGGATCCTCAGAGACCGAGAATCATCGGAGTCAATACCAAGCTAGACCTTGTGCTCACTTACAACGCCAGGGAATACGTAAGGGTGGCTAAGAAACAAGAAAGCGCAGACAAGCAATTGCTCTTATTGTTGATATAAGTGAGAAATTTGGAAAGCCTGGGCATGATAAAGTAGAAGGTTAAAAAAAACAAGTAATATTAGCTGTTGCTCGGATGGCATGTTCTGCGGAATAAGGGAGAGGATACTACGTAAGATAAACGTTAAGACTCGTGATGAGATTGAAGACTCGTTCTTTAAAGCGCGTGCGGCTACCATTCCTGACCACGACAGTGGAATTTCCAACTTCCGCATTAAGCTTGGCGGCATTTCCTCCAGCCACGTCCGAAATAGCCTCCCGGGAGTTATTAAGGATATCAGAATAGAGTTCAGAGATAGGCAAGCGGAGCTTATTCGACGAGGAGATCGAAGATCTGACTACAAGGCTTGGTGGTAGGCGGTCTAATTTACTCACTATTGCCAGAGAGGCTGGGAAGAGATGGGTGCAACGGGCGATACAACGATCCCTTTTTGCCGGTACAAAACCCTACCAAGTCTGCCGGATACTGAGGCAGGATTATGGCGCACAGTAAGTTCACATTTTGGCTGAGCGTCTCCGGAACTGGATCGTCATTTAAATAAGAGGTAGCTTTCTGCTAGCACTACCTTGTTCAGATGGCCCGAAGCCAGTGGCGTGAGGCTTTGCCTCCACAGAAATTGAAAATCTAGGATTAGAATTAACGTATCTGAAACAAGTCTGAGACCGCTTCTCCATATTTACCGTCGACACAAATGTATGCATTTTCAACCAGATCTACCTCAATCGTCAAATGTGTAGCTCTCTGAAGCCCTTAGCTCCAGAATATATTGCTTAACTTTCAGTCTGGTAGCATCTTTGAAACACATGTAGTAATTCCAGAATGAATTATAGGAGTATATATAGAATAATAAGTCATTTTGTTATAATGCAGTACGTTCGTCCCTTCCATTGCGTTCATTCCCCGTCCTGCTAGATTGTTGTTTTGAATCAATGTAGCTGCCAAACGAGTTGCTAGAAACTTTGCTTTACTTGACTGTTAGTAAAATTAACTTAAAGCGTAAGAATATTATTACCCATTTCAAATGGGTTGATCTACATGTAAGAGTGAGTAACAATATGTAAATTAAGAACATGGCCGCAGGGTAGGTAGTTGTATACATAAGTGGGTACCACTGCACAAGGACACGTTTGAGTAAAATGACGTAGTTCGCTACTTTGAAGAGCTGCATGTTTGTATTTTAGAGGCGGGGTCAAAGAAAGATGGTGTTGGGAATCGCCCGGTCAATGTGAAGCCGTCTGACATGTTGGCTCATTATATACAGGCTACCGCGCGTGACTTGCGACGTCCACTAGCGAGTGCAGATACTCGTGCTTGCTCTGGTCAGAGTCCTCATTCTGTGAGTCACATACGAGTACTAATATTCTTCAAATAGCCACTTCCTACCTATGATTAAAAGCAATAGATAATGCATATGTTAGACTGATACGTTTCAAAACACATTCCTTTCCATATTTCTTCACCAATATTGGGAATCGGCCTGTGCCGTGAGACAACCATGGATTCGCCACGCCTGCATCACAAACTTCCCTCCCCTGACAGTATCCGATTGCTCGAACTAACCCAAGACGAAACTCATCAATCCATCTGTGGCTGCCTCGTGCTGTTCAAACTTGAGGATAACCCATCTTTCGCAGCACTATCATATGTATGGGGATGTGCATCGCCAGAGGATCCAATCCTCAAGCTAGACGGCTTCGACCTCAAGATCCGCCAATCCTTGAAACATGCCCTTGACGCCATTTTCTATGGCTCCGAAAAGATCTTGTTATGGATCGATCAAATTTGTATCGACCAAGAGAACTATCCTGAACGAGAGTCTCAAGTTGCCCTCATGGCCAAGATTTTCAGACAAGCCCAGCGAGTAATATGCTGGCTAGGCCGTGGCAACAGGACCACCAAAGTCGCCTTTGATTCAGTCACTGTCTTAGCCATTAACGAATCCGACCCGCTGTCCTGGCAAGAATCGAAGCACAGGCTGACTGAGGCAGGATATGTCGGTGAAGGATCAGATCTGTTTAATACAGGCAAATTTCTATCATCTGCTTTAGTATGACTGGTCAAGAACAGTTGGTTTAGCAGACTATAGATAGTGCAGGAGGTTGCACTCGCATCAAAGCTCGAGTTTCGATGTGGTAGCTCGAGTATTGGTGGAAACATGTTTTTCGAGGCGATCGTGTGGATATCCTCTTCTGTGCAAAACCACTTAGGCTATCTTTGCTCAAGCCATTTCGACATGCTCGTCGACTAGGCCAGCTCAGAGCCCATGTTGCAGAGGCTATACCTTGTTCATACCCCCACCTTGCTCACACATTCAGTACATGGGATTGCACAACAGTTGAAGATCGACTGAATGCACTTTTCGGGCTTGCTTTCCCATACAACTCCGATTCTACATGGTTTAAGCCGAGATATAATTTGACCGGACCAGAACTATTCATCAAATTTGCAAAGGATTATATCAAAGAAAATAGGAACCTGGACATTCTTCACTTCTCGTTATGCGGCGATTCAGAGGAATATTCAATCTACAAAGTTGGCGGTAACGCTGGGCTTGAACTCAGCCATCCATAGGATGACATACCATCATGGGTGCCTGACTGGCGGGTGCAGTCACGGCCCCTCGTGCTTCTACCAGATTCGGGACCTAATGCAAATTCCAATTTTACGGCAACGCTATCGAAAGCGGACTATTTCTTAAATGAGAGCGAACAAAAACTACATGTTCGTGCGCTGCTTGTTGATGAAATAGTTGCATCTGGCTTCCCTTACTGTCCATCTCTTTTCCACGATCTTCACGCCCCTGAACATAGAATTTTCAAACAGTGGTGCGAACTAGCCAAAGGCCACCTAAACAGCAATACGTTTGAGAGTAACTTTTCGACAACCTTGGTCATGGACGCAAGAATGACACTTACAGAACGTGGAGCTCTAAACGTGGAGCAACACGAGATACCTACTTTATTCAAATATTGGGAGGGAATGATGATGAACCACTTGGCCACATATGCTCCAGACGAAACCTACAGGTGATCGAGGGTTGTTCACGTTACGGTTATGTTGCAGAGGAAGTCTGTCGCGATAGGGCAATGTTTATTACGAAAAGGGGTCGTTTAGGCCTGGTGAGCACATATACTTTATTCATGGTCTGAAAACACCGTTTACCATTTACGAGAGCTCCCCGAGACACAAGATAAGTGGAGAGTGAAGTTCAGGCTTCAGAATCAGACGTATATATAAAGTTAATTTAAATACTAGTTTCTGTTAGGCAAATTGCAGTCAAGTAGAAGAGTGAAGAATGACTCAGCAGGTATCGACTATAAAACAATACCTGAAAGCAAGTATGGTCCTACTGCACTCTTTGGATTGAGCCTCTAATTCTTCGCATTTTATACCTGTCTTTAACATCGGGGTAATATTGTTTTACCCATGTTTGATACTTGGAGCATATCAAGGGAATGCCTCTCAGCTGCGTTTAAACGCATTATCTCTATGAAGTGACTTTTATTCTTACACATCTATTTTCGCCTTATGGAGCTTCACAATGAATTGACTATCGCTCGCCTGGTTAGAGATAGGTGCAGCGGGCGATACAACGATCCCCTTTTTAGTGATACAAACCCTTACTAACTCTGCCTGCGGAGGACGGATTATAGCCCACAGTCATTATCTTTCTCGTCGGCCCTATCGTATTCTAAGTTCGTCAACATCCAAAACTTCGGTTTACCGGAGACCTCCAGCTTTAGGGTAGGAATACAGTTAGCAAGTAACAAGCTGGAAAATTCGAGGTCGCCCTAATCGCTACACAAGACTGCCAGAACTGAGGAGTCGCCTTCTTCAAGGGGGAAGGGTTGCCTAAAAGAAGCTTAGAGACATCAATTCTGACGGAGAAGTCGCTATCTAATTCCCTGGTCTGGTCGGCTTGATAACAGCCATCCACGGTCGAGTACACGTTATGAGACTTAAAGAGGACCTCATGCATAGCTTCATTGCTCCAAGTCCAGTCTTATAGGTCTTCTAAGAACTGTTCGCGTAGAGGAAATCCATCTTTATAGGGTCCAAATTACCGGATATCTTCTGCTACGAAGGGCAAGCCTAGATAAATAGGCATGGACGCGTTATTCTGAACAACTGACCCGTCGTCGCTATAGTTGTGGAGGTCATTGCCGACAAAAGTTGGAGGAAGTCCTAGTGTCTTATATGCCTTATACCCGCCAGCTTACTCGGAAGACGATGTCTAGATGGTGGTGGCCTGAATATGGTATTGGAAGCTTTGGAAGTCGTGGTCCTTTTATTATGGTCTATTGAGACCATAACTGAGGCTTCATTCCCTGCGGATACATTGGTTCTTCATGGTGAAGGGAATCTTGTTACAAGAATTTAGCCGAGATAAAGGGCAGGCTCGGCAAGGTAGTTATCATCTGACTACTATTCAAATTACTATGTAAGAGATATAGAATATTTTGTCTCAGCCTTAGCATCACATCCATCCCTAGACAGATATCTGGCCTTCGAACGGCTACCATGGTTGGTTTCTTTTACGCTCTTCACGAACTAAATTTAGCTAACACGAATAATCTTGGATTATTACACATATACCGGTCTTTCTTGCAACATGTACCAAACCTACAGTCTGGCGGAGTACTGGCAATCGGTCTCAACTATTACAGTATATAGATAGTCAATCCTAGTCAGAATCTTGAAAACTCGCCCCAGCACCACTTGTAGTAGGTTGTGACTGAAGATGAACAACCAGTCGGCTCCAGGATTCCTCCTTGTCCCATTCAAAACCAGCAAGGTATGGCTTATCTAACTCGTCATCTGCCTGCCCAAAATATTAGTAAACAATAAGACAGCCCACAGGGAAGCCTAACCTTTTCTTGTACGCTCTATGAATGGCATCTAATGCATCCTTGATGGTCACACCCCTCATGTTTCTCGCCGTAACCTCCATGCCCAAAGGGAAATGTAGATCAATTCTTTTGACAGGAGGTTTGGTAAGATGCAGGCTAAGGATTGATGGATCGTCAACTGTCGCCGAAGGCTTGTTGATTTTCCTGGCCGAGCGTCAGTATATATCTCTTGTTTGGAAGCAATACAGCTATTACCATCCAGTATGGTGCGTTTCGGCAACAACCTCAAGCTCTATGCCCTCCTGCTCTATCAGTGACGAATTAGTACCCTGGCTAGTTTGAGCAACTAATAGCTTACCGAGGTCATTGATGCTGTAAACCCCCGCAGCGGATTCCAATTCGTGGGACATGATGTACACAGTAAGGTTGGTGATTTAAGCGCTGTCGTATTGGCAGGTGGTGTATTCAAGATAAGAAAAGCTGCAATATAGTAGATGTGGGCGTAAGTGACCGGCGGGTTATAAAGTGGATGATAATTAGTTCGAACCGGCACCTGGCTACCTTTAATACATTCTTCCTGAATGCTCTGGTCTCTGGAGTTACTATACACCGCTACTAGCAAAGCAAATTGGCGGGGTCTTTTGACGTCATGATGATCTTTATACACAGGAAATGTCTCTCAAAACTAGGTAAACTCAATAGATCATTCCTTGGTGAAAGTATTCAATTGGAGGAAGACGAATATGTGGCTGACTGAAGCGGAGCAGAGTTTCGCAGCTGAGATTTCAGCTAGCCCTACAGAAGCCTAGCGCTCCCGCATATCTTCCCACATGGAGACATTCGGCTCTGAACGTGCTGTGCAGCTATCTGCTGGACCAGTAAGAAGTTTTGGATCAGCATCTGTTATCAAGGCAGAGCTTTTGAGCCGTGCCGCGGTTAACTTGAATGGGATGCCAAGAAGAGCGATCGACATTCATAAGGAAGAGAAAACTGCTAAATAACTATGCGACTGGTTAAAGGACGGGCAGAAAGTATTTCCATGACTAACTTGGAAAATATATATTTATTGGTAAACTTTTATCTAGCACATGTGTTATCGAAGTCTTTATCACATGGATGTGCGAATCCAAAACGGTAGTCCATAATTATTAGAACCAAAGTCAACTGCTTATCCTAACAAGTGGTTCCTTCAACTAACGCCTCAGAACCATTAAAATCCTTAAACCCAACCCCGGGAGTTGCTTATATAACTTTAGCTATACCTTATAAAAGATGTTCTAGCCAATTCTGGTCTATTAAGGGAGAAAGAAGTCCTAATTGACTCCAACACAGAATATCCTACTTTATAGGTGATTGTATCGGTGAAGGACTAGCTGGAATGTCAAACTAGTGACTAGATTAGTCGGCAGGTGAATAGCACACGCTAAACTAAAATGAAATGGAGCAGCAGGCCTAAAACCTCCACGTTGAACTGTTAGGTATATTAGATTTGCACGTATGTCATAACTAATTGTCTACTATACTAACTCTTCGTCAAGCTATATAATTACACTCTTATCATAGGCCATATAAGTTCATTGCGTTGACTTGTGCAATACCACCGAGAGTAGAACCTCGAGGATAATAAAGACCGGCACTAGATGAATACTTATTTGTCTTGATGACTCAAAGTGGAATACAAGCCTTATATCCCAGCCTAGTGGGGCACTCACGGCTTTGCGCCTTCAGGTGGATCAAGTCCAACATAGTAGGAACCATTGGTCTGGATATAAGTGTACTTGGGATCGCGACGGGCTGCCTCGAAATCGTCGTAATGATTGAAGAAGAATTGCCAAGACTGTCCGGGTGTCTCAGCAGCAGTTCTGGCCCTAAAGGTCTGTTAGGTTCGAAGACACAGAGTCGAAAATATTGTGGATTTACAGCAGCGGCACCTGTTCAATAATATTGGTGTGGTTGTCTCCTCCAGCCTCAATCAGGAAGACAGAGTGTCCTTCCTTTGCAAGATTTGCACTTGACCTCTAGTTAGGAACCGAACAGATTTGTAATGCTAAGTTGTATTTACTCACGCAAGCGAGCCACCCCCAGGGCCAGAACCCACGATCACATAGTCATAGACGTCGACCTTTCCAGCAACGGCGGTAGAGCCAGTTACTAAGGCAGTCGCAAGGGCAAACTTGAGGAGATTGGGAATGATGTTCAAAATGGGTTTAGAAGGATATCTTTCTTTGTTCTGTTGATGATTTCCATTTTAAATTCACCGAAGAGGCAACTCTTTACATAGGCACCAATTCCACTTGATATCGGCTTCTGGGTAGCCTCAATACTACACTTGATTTTAGTCACCAAATGTAGACTGTCAAGAATATCTGCGGCTTAGATCATCCAAGATCTTCACAGCCCCATTGCCGCCGCGTCATTTAGGTTAAATCAACCGCGTAATAAAACAAGCGTCACGAATGGAATGCAGCTATAAAGCTCCGCGGACTACTCCGGATACAGCCATTGTCAGCAATGATGACATGCCAAGTCAAGCTACCGTAGCTGATTGTATCTGACATACCTACCTCATAACTTATGTGAACTGTACATTGCTCTTAGAAGGTACTATGTGCTTTTGCCTTTGGGGAGTAAACAATCGTAATTGAAGCCGGTCAGTACTGATTTTATTGACCACCACTAGAAAGTAAATCTTGCCCTAACATATGATTTCGTCCATAATGTCACTCTATCATGGTTGGGTATGTAAGCGATAGGAGCGGTCGCCTGCGATGGATCTCGCAGCAAATTGCAAAGGGGCATATCTGGTAAGCAAGAGACTTTCCAACACCAACCTCTAGAAATTTTATACTGAGAAGATCCTAAAGGAGACAAGACTATCTTTACTGGAACAGGGTCTTCGGGTTCTATGGGAGATAGCTATCACGTAAATCACAGTCCCCACCCAGCGTACACATCTAACTGATTTACAAGCAGCCTCGTCCAGAAAGTCAAATCAGTCCGCAGCTAACGTTTTGGTTTTGTTCGGAGCGAGATTGGAAGGTCCCGGGTTCATGTAGACAGCGGGTGATGTCTTGATATATACACGAATCAACATGTCTAGAATTTCACTAGCTATTACATTGGCCTGTACGTATGCAGGAGGGATGCCAAAACATAGATAAAGCGGGCTGTCTTTTTGTTCGGTTTTCCCTCTAATAAGGATCGGTTCATTTCTCCGCGTTTCCACTGCCGGCCAAAGGTAGACTCCGAATGTTTCCAGAGAATTATATCCCGGATCTCTATACACCCAGTCCGTTTTCATGCTCCCAAGAGCACGTCCGACGTAGTAGGATTAGCCAGAAACTTCATCATGATGACACGACCGCGACTCAATGGGATGCTGAAATAAGCCTGCGTCGTTTGAGAGTTCTTAGAAAATCACCTCCTTAAATTTGCTTAATTGTGGATTGACACACTTAGTGATAGCTTCTCGCTCAGATCGAGAATCACTGCTTATCGGGATTTTGCTCTCAAAGTAGCCGTGCTGCTTTACTGTTTACAATCGGCCGGTACGGTTTATCCTCTTAAAAAGCCCTGTCTTCATAGCCTTCCCCCAGACTGCAGGCAAGTGGAACCTTGCCAGGGCTCACATGGCCAGCGCCATGTGGCTAGTCACTTCCCGGATACTCAAGGTCGGATATTGTGGATGACTAATGGGTTCTTCGGTCTTCTCCATAGGAAAAGGCCGGTCCCTTGAGAAAGAATATCCCATGTACACAAAGACCGAGAATCGCATAATTCCAGTTCGGTGTTTTCTTTTCGCTAATAACCGCGGTATTTTTAAAAGTGGGAATAGAATTTCTCGCACGTAATCAACTAGATTATTGATGTACATATCTTGTCATTTCCGCCTTTGTGTTCTAACTGCATTCCTCGATGGGCAGAGAAAGATCTACAGCGCTTGAATGATGTTGGTATCTCCAACCGACTCTACCTAATTCACCGAGCATTGGCAGATCTGAGGTTCAAAGAGGCGACAATCGATCTGTAATCCAATCGTCAGTTGAGTTTTCTTTGGCAGCATGAGTATTATAAATACAGCAGGCTAATGCGCCAAGGGTACTAAACACGTGGTGAATGTTCTTTCCCGCAGTTAGTTGAACTTGATGTGAACTTTGGAGTTCCGATGACCGAAACAATGCCACCTGCACGGTTGTCTATCTTGCTATATTCTGCCTTGTGGCCAATTTGTAACGGTGCAGGGATACACTACGTACACTACGTACAGCGCTGCCGCTGAAAAGATGGTCAAACATCCGTTATCGCCCTGGATCGATACGCCAAAGCGTTGTTAGGCTGACATGGATGAGACGGATGTCTCACGCGACAGTCGGGGGTTTCTGCATTCGCACCTGCAAAAGCTTGGGCATGATGCGAATCTGCTGTTCCCGTTATCTGATCAAGATCAAGCTTTGGAGGCGCAAGTCACGCCCGCGGATCCCGGCGAGCCGCCAGCAGTAGATGCAACGACGGCTTCCCAGCCCTTGCCGGTCGGAGTAAACTGGTTTCAAGACATGTTCGTCATGGTCGATCCCGCTATACCCTGGTATGAGAATATTTGATAGGCTTGCGTAGCAGCAAAACAGCCGCAGTGAATGACAGTACATAGTCTGTGACTGGACAGGGTTCACAACCTATATGTACGTAGTAAATAATAACGATATGACACCTGTGGGTATAATTTTAGAGCGTATCTGGTCTAGGTCTAACGTGGCATTAAATCAAGATGACAGTGTAGCAGGACCAAAGCCTAACGTGTGGCTCAGTGATGCGGAATGCTCTACCACCAGCTTTGACAGCATTCCACTTCTAGAAGGTGGCCAATGTTGTAACACGGCATCAACTGGACCCTGCACAATGCTACGCACGTTCATCACTAATCATAATCCGATAACGGCCTCTGATATCGCCCCCGAAACTATCTACCACTGTCCGAGGTGGGTCCGCAATTCCCCAGCTCCATAGATTGTCGGATTTAAGACATGTATCCACTTCCATGTTTGTTTCCCTCCCTAACAATGCATATACGATGGCAGCCATTCAACCCCTTGTGGATATACGTGTACGAGTCATAGACTAATCTTCATAATGGTAAGAGGACCGCAACAAGTCATGGATATCGGCCCGGAATTGAATAACGTTCCGGCATCCAGAGTGTGTCTCGGTTCGGCTGAAGTCTTGGGTCCGTCAAAGGCAAGGATGAGTGAGGTTAGATACCCTTGGATCATATTAGCGATCTATCTCGGCCTCAATGCAAGTCGATTCCGATCAAGTAGCGGTTGCCTAGCAGTCCACCAGTCCACCAAAGTATTGGCCTCAGGTAGGGGCATATGCTCTGGCATCTCTACTTCCAAATTATATAAAGACTCTGTCATGCTGGAACAAAAGACGCATCTTATCAATCAGTATCTCACTCTTGAATATCAGATCTCTTTTTCATTCTCACATTCAATTCACTTCGACTTAATCCTCCTATTCAATACATCTAGCTCACACCAGCTGCAGCTATGACTCGACAAAAGATTATTATTTGTGGCGCAGGCATTGCCGGTATCGCCGTCGCCTTCTGGCTATCACAACACCATGATGTTACAATCGTTGAGCGGCACCCCGACTTGAGGTCTACTGGCCTACAAGTTGACCTTCGCGGACACGGAATTGAAGTTCTCAAGAGAATGGGCCTTGAGGCTGCTTTCCGCGACGTATCAATCAAAGAGGAAGGATTGGAGTTCGTCAATAACAGTGGTAAAGTAGTCGCATACTTTCCTGTAAACAAGTCCGGCCAGGGTCTCCAGAGCTTCACCACGGATTATGAGATCATGAGAGGTGACCTTATCCGGCTGCTGTACGACAACGTCAAAGATCGTGTGCAAGTATTGTTTGGAACAACCGTCGACAGCTTCCATCAGCTGGACCATGGCGTTGAAGTCCACTTATCAAATGGTCAGAAAAATCGCTACGACCTTCTCATTGGCGCCGACGGGCAGTGGTCCCATACTCGGAAGCAGATGCTGGGACCTGGAGCTAAGGACCCTATGCATTTCCTCGGGATCTATGCTGGTTATTTCACCATCCCTCGCCACATCAAGAACGGAGAGAAATACAATGCAACTGCTTACATGGCTCCTGGCAAGCGACTCTTATTTAGTCGAAGACACAAACCAGACCGCATCCAGGGTTACATGATAGGCCAGCATGATTCCGAACGAGTCATGGCTGCACGATCAGGCGGCGTAGAGGAGGAAAAGTCTATCCTCTCAGAGCTTTTCCGTTCCGCTGGTTGGCGCTCAGAGGAATTTGTTACCGAAATGCAAGAGTCTGAGGACTTTTATTGTGAGCACGTGGGCGTTGTCAGGCTGGACCACTGGAGCGAGGGGGACGTCGTGCTTCTGGGAGATGCCGCTTATTGCCCAACAGCAACCACAGGAATGGGAACATCCTCCAGTCTCGTCGGCGCCTACGTCTTAGCTGGAGAGATCCAGGATTACCTCAGTCGCCTCAGTACCTCCAAGGATGCACTTCCCAAAGCTCTAGCCAGTTATGAGGAGCGGTTCCGCCCTTTCATGGATACCGTTCAGTATGGTATTGAGAAGGACAAAACGTACTGGCACAAGATGCCATCGGGCACAATTCTCCTTGCGGTTTTCAACTTTTTCCTGGCCGTTGCATCTTTCTTCAAACTGGATGTGCTGGCCAGCAATATTCTGAAGGAAGATACAGGTAGTTGGAAACTCCCTAACCATAAGGGAATGGATCTTCGACAAGAGAAGAAGTAATTTGACTGATCACTTTTCACCACGTGCTTTATGTTTTTGGTTCGTCGTCTGTGATGCTGAATGTACCTTAGGAAACTATTTGGGTTGGCATTTGACCTCAAGATTGCTTTAAGAAGTGTGGGCCCCTAGGCACTGAGCAGGAACAAGACCTTTGCATCACACCGATTCGGATGAAGATGTTACATTCTCTCAATGCAGTTTAGTTAGAAATTAAAATGTTGATAGTTTGCCATCCTCAAAAGCTTTAAAAAGTGAAGCACCACTGGTCTAGACATCAAGGTGATTATGTTACACACCCTCTTATAACTGCTTCAGTAGATACTTTTTAACGGTATGCTAAATGATAAGTGCATTGAGTTCTTAATCCTCCTTAATTAAACTTAGATTCGTCACTTCACCTGATCATTTATACAAAACGACAGGGAAGACCCTTTACTAAAGAGGGTCTATTTCCCTCTGCTCTAACTTAATCTAAGCGATGTCTTCGCCTAATCCAGCCAGCAGTACACTACTCTTACAATTATCCATAGGACTATAATTAGGCTATAGTGATATTAGCTTTAGATGGATCATGGGGTGCAGCAGCAAGTCTGGGGTACTTCCCTTTATGGACAGTAATTATACCAGTTCTGAGTTAGAGTTCCTCCATCTTAGTGTGCTAGCCTTTATAGGCTATTACCTCATAGACAAGCGCACCAGTATCGTATTGCTTCAAGCTTATTGTGTACTATAAGTGGACTTAGCCTGAGATGGTGGTGTTTTAATTTATTCAAATAGCCTAAAGATCAAGTTCAGCTGATCATTAGACGGTAGGTAATGACAGAGAGAGGCTGAAACTTAACCGCTAAGATAGAACTTGTCATATTTACTTCACTAAACGTTTAAATAAAAGAGAGTAGAAAACACACCGCTTTCTCTATAAAGTAAAGCAAAAGAAAATATCTTTAATTTATCGCACTTGTTGACTGATACATTCAAGAGACTACGGGGTTTGATTTTGCTTTACACTTGTTGACTGAAACATTGAAGAGACTATGGGGTTTGATTTTATAAAGCAAATATCTCGTATTCACCCCAGCTATATCCACCAGCCTCAAACGCGATGGAAAGGAAGAGAGCCAAGTTAGGTTGGATATAGGCGTCCCTATAAGCTTGCTCGATGCCGTGAGTGACCCGATTATACTAACCTGAAAACGCAACGCTCGGATCGCCTCCGTGGTTCAAAAAGGACAAACTCGACCTATCCCTGTTTTGGGTAGTATTTTGTTCGGATAATCTCACCCAGGCATTAAAAACCATACACGAGCGTACTACTATGGATATTGTTTGTCCTCCAATACCGGCTCGATAGAAATAATGTCTATTGGAAATTAAAGGTGATCTTCGTTTATGTGAGGGGCGGACTTCAGCTGTGTAGGATGCAGTAAATAAGTATATACATCTACTGATTCATGAGGACCTTTGGGTTCCTTTCTTCACTCACCAGTCATCTTTCTCATCATCAATCACCAAGATGAATTTCTTCAATAGCGACCTGCTTGCTCCAAGCATTATACTTCTTGCTTCCGTCGGCGAGGTGTCAGCTCAATGTTCCCTCCCTACCACCTATCGCTGGACCTCAAGCGGCCCTCTTGCTCAGCCTAAGAATGGCTGGGTCAGTCTCAAGGACTTTACTGTTGCTCCTTACAATGGCCAGCAGCTAGTCTACGCCACGACCTATGGTGGTGGCTGGAAGTCGATGGGCTTTAGCCCTGTGTCAGATCTCAACAGCCTTGGATCTGCGACCCAGACCGCTATGTCCGGTCTAGCTGTGGCCCCAACTCTTTTCTACTTCAAACCTAAGGGCATTTGGGTCTTGGCCCATCACTGGGGCCCTCACAGGTTCTCGTACAGGACTTCTAACAACCCAACCAACGCCAACGGGTGGTCGGAACCTCATCCTCTTTTCACCGGCGAGATTGCCAACGCGCCATACGGTCCTATCGATCAAACCGTTATCGGCGATAGCAAGAATATGTATCTGTTATTCTGTGGCGATAATGGAAGAATCTACCGCGCCAGCATGTCTATCAACAATTTCCCAGGCAGCTTCGGATCAAATTCGCAGATTATCCTCCAAGATACCGAAGACAACCTCTTCAAGGCCGTTCAGGTTTATTCTATCAAGGGACAGAATAAATACCTTATGCTTGTTGAGGCTAAGGGTAAGAATGGACGGTTTTTCCGCTCGCTTACAGCGAATAGCCTCGATGGTCAGTAGACTGTCAATTCTGGTACCGAAAGCAATCCGTTTGCCGGCAAGGCGAACTCTGGTGCTACCTGGACCAATGATATCAGCCACGGCGAGCTGCTCCGCACCGACAATGATCAGACCTTCCCTATCGATCCTTGCAACTTGAAGCTTCTGTACCAAGGCCGCAACCCTAGTGCTACGGCTCCCGACTACAACAGCTTGCCATACCGCCCTGGTCTGTTGACACTCCAGCGATAAAGCTCTGGTCTATCTTGTTTACAATGTGGTCATCCTTCTTGTAGTAGCTTAGTTTATTAGCTGTCTTATAGCAATTTACTGATAGCAGTTACAATTTCTGAACCTCTTCGATAACAGGCAGGGGATTGTGGAGGAAGTCAGTCTTGTTGATGTACCAAGTGAGATCCTCGAGATTCGAGGCTATGCGGGGATCTGCCTCACCCATAGTCGAACCATCGCCAAACCACTTAAAGTCGTTGTCATCCTCGTACGTGATATCGTAATCATCCCATCGGACTTCAGAAAGGGCGTGAACGGCATGAAGACTGCTGCCAGGCCATAGCGCAGTGATTCGCTCCGCCTCACCGGGATTCCGAGGAGGCGCCTTGTACCAGCTGATGCACTCTTCGGTGTAGACTGTCTTCTTGAAGTACTGGTCGCAGAAATTGGTGAAGTTATCGACCTGTTTACGCTTGGGCTCAATGGTCCGCACCGCGCCGTAAGCGAAACGGTACAGGATCTTAGCCATGTACCTGTGAGCTTGCTCAATCATGATAAGCAAGTTGCCTGTCCTAGGGAATGTGTTAGGCCCTAGGGATTGGAAGAAGTTAGGGAACCCATCTGTAGCAAGACCGAGGTATGACTTGGGGTTGTTTCTGATTATGTCCCGTAGGTTGACATCGTCTCGACCATAGATTGGGAATCCAGATCCCGGCACGGTATGGAATCCAGTGGCACAGACGATGGCGTCGACGGGCCGTCTGTTTCCGTCCTTGGTAACAATGCTGGTGCGATCGATGTGGAAGATGGGAGATGTGATTGTCGACACCTGGGGTTGCGAGAGGGCCTCCAGATAGCCCGGCCCGGGGGTCAGTCTCTTGCACAGAGGAGGAAAGTCGGGTAGTAGAGCGTCGAGGACCTCAGGCTTCGTCTTGAGCCTCTCTCTCATGTAGGCCTCATAGCTGCTCCGAGCCTGGTTGTGGCGAGGGCTGCCTCGGTATGAGATCTGGTGGCTGCCCTGAAGGCGGAACTCGAGCTGCTTCCTATATGCTATGTAGGCTTGAGGGTCATTCTTCCATGCCTTCTTCTGTTCTTCATCATATGTTAAATTGTTGGACCCCTGGCTGACGTGCTGCTTCTCAAGCTCTTCCTTTAGTAAGTCTTCGCTTCCCTGGGTGGCGATCCACGTCTTGCCGCGCACATAGTGGTCTATTGATTTGACCTGGTTAACCAGGGCAGGGACAACTTGGATGCCACTACTTCCGGCTCCAATGACAGCAACTCTCTTGCCCTTTTACTTATTGTTAGCCACCCGGTGTAATTCGGCTGGTACTTTTGGTAGCATACCTCAGTAACAAAACTGTCCTGCCAGTTGGCCGTATGGAGAATAGTGCCTTGAAAATCATGTAGACCTGGAATTGAAGGCCACTTCCACTCATTTAGCAGTCCTGTGCCAGTGATAAAGACATCGCATTCATCCTCAACAACGATCGGTAGGTCAGCCCTGGTATCCTCAAGTTGAACAGTCCACTTAGCACGAAGCTCATCCCAGCTAGCCTGAAGGCACCGGTGGTTCAGACGGACATGATCTCGGACCTTGTATTTTTCTGCCACCTTCTTCCAATAATCAAGAATCTCCGAACCACTAGCATAGAAGTGGCTCCAGTCCGTTGACGACTCGAAGCTCAGTTGGTAAGCATGAGAGGGAATATCGCAAGCGCAGCCGGGATACCTGGAGTTACCACATTATTTTGGTTCTTTCAAGACTTCTTGTGAAATACAGGAGAGAAATACTTGTTCTCGAACCAGGTGCCTCCAATCTCAGGGTTCTTCTCATAAATGACGAGGTCTAGTGAGGGAATGGCCTTGCGGAAGAGGATAGAGGCTACGATGCCTGAAATCCCTGCACCAATGTAGATGACCTTCAAGGGTCTAGGAGAGTCGATTGGCCTGTCTGATCCGAACTTTGCAGTCGTGTGAAGACTAGACAGGGTCATGGTTGCTAGTGAGTGGAGATTGAAGGCTTCTTCTGGAAGTTACTTAGGATTTGTTGATGAGACAGAAGAACAAATGAGATACAGTGAAGAAAGATGATAAAGATGGACAGAATATAATATTGCATGATGGTATTTCTAGAATCATTTAGTTCCTCTATCCTATGTCGGAAATGTATCCGAGTACTTTCATTCTTGATAAATGCCTTCCTAACGTAATCGGGGGTCGACGAACTAGCGATGCTATAGTTTGCATTGTCTGGTTCTTTACCCCACCATGCGTGTTCCGTACCCCGCACGGTATCGGGAACTTGCCCCTTCCGATTCGTCAGTTGCTTTGTTGAGCCAACAGACCTTATCTTTGAGAGGCCTGACTCCAGTGCTAACGAACGTAGCGACAGGCGATAGGTGAAGTGAGGTGAGGGGACTACTCTGGTCTCCGGGACCGGGTCATAGTTCACGAGAAGAAATTTCCGTGACTGACTCTTGTCAATCTTCTTTCCTTCCCGTATTGTCTTGCCTTGCCACGCGCATAAACTCACGGACCTATACTCTCTCCACCTTTGCTACCTGCTCCCCAATGCAGCGAGAACAGACCATTTCTAGTCGTCATAAGCGGGTGTCCAACGCCTGCCAGCGATGCCGCAAGCACAAGATCAAATGCTCGGGTACTCAACCCTGCAGAACCTGCACCCACAGAGGCAGTGCTTGCAATTTTGTCTCCGACGACAGGAATATCCTTGTATCGGAAAGGTTGGCCTCTCGTCGCCTATCTCTCCCTGTAACCCGTACTTACCTTACGCTGCAGGTCTCTTGCCAATATCCGCAAAAGGCTCGAGAACTTTGAGAGAAACTACAGGCAATCTGTTTCACCGCCAAAGGATTCCCCTGAATTACCTGGCTCTATATCCACGCCGGAACAGCCTAACGAACAGACTAATCCACCGCCCCTCTCCGAGCCAAGAGGGTCTCTCCCATCACCTGACAAAGACCAAAGCCGAAATCAGAGCCAAGACCAGGTGGCTCTGCAGCCTTCGGCGGTAAGGCCTCGAGATGATGAAGTCGCGAACCAGACGGTGTCACCTCCAGGCGATGGCAGCACTGACGATGCCGACGTCTCGAACCTCCTCGTGCCTGAGCAGCCGAGCTATATGTCCGACTACTCGGGCAGGCTGAGGTTTCTTGGACACTCTTCGACCTGGTCCTTTAGTCACCAGGTCCTGCAGATGGCCTCACAAGGCACAGGGCTTTCCTGTTCCCCAACTGCTTCAATGCAGAGGCACGTAGATGGTCAAACCTACAGCATCGACTCACACCGCCGGGTGGACCTCGGCACCATCGAGACGACTGGTCTTCCTTCCCTAGAACTCGCTGTTTACTACCTCCAGAGCACCAAGTTCCGGACTTACCCTTTCTTCCATCTGTTTGAAGAGACTGACTTCATGCAAAACCTCCACCTCTTCTACCGCAATCCCCAGGAATATGCCAGGACGCACAGCCTATGGTACGTGCACTATCTATTCATCATGGGATTTGGAAAATCCTTCATGAGGCAGCAAGCAACCGTTGGACCCGCGGGCTCGGACCTTTTCACGCGTGCAATGGCACAGATGCCGGATGTCACATATCTCTGTCGTGATCCTGTCAAGGCTACCGAGATATTTTGCTGTGTTGCACTTTACCTTCACTGTATCGATCATCGGGTTGCTGCGCACTCTTATGTAAGTTGACGTCAGTCCCCGTTGAGCCCATCTGTTTTCTGACACCGAGCAAGATCGGCCAGGCTGTGAGAATGGCTCAGTCGCATGGCCTTCATACCAACTTGCAGTCTTCCTCAGTTGGCAATCGACTTGCCCAGCATGGTGACCGCCTTTGGTGGACCGTCTACACTCTCGACCAGAAGCTGTCATCATTGATGGGCATGCCAAGCGGCATCGTTGATGACCACATCAGTGCCCCGTTGCCACAGATATCTGAAAATGATATCCATATATCGGCACTTGCGATTCATATCAGGATTTCACAACTCCTGGGTTCTATTGCTATCAGTACGTGCTTCAAAGCGATAAGATAAGATGCAAATACATTAATAACCTTGGCTAGCTGTTTATGGGTCAAAAGCAACTGTCAAAGAATCGTTTTTGTCGACCGTACGCAAAGTACTGAAAGGCATCGCGGACTTAAGTGAAGACCTAGCCGCCGTTGCATCACGATCGTTTGGTGAAATCTCTCGTGTGTCAGCCCACCTCGATCTGCAGTATAATCAGGTTAGACTGTCTCAATCATTCCTACGAGAGTCAATACTTACCTGTGGCAGTGCATTGTCCTTACTGTTAGACCGCTTTTGTTTCATCTGTATAAGCAAAAGGTTGAAGCCTTGGGTGTGAATGGGGAATTCAACATGCATCCGTCTATTATGGAACTGATTGAGGTCTTGACAAGTTCCACCGTCCGGGTGGCAAACATACTGTCACAATTGAAGAAACATGGACTCTTAGGTAACCTACAGATCGATAAAAATAGCCCACGGAAGCTGATTATAACTCAGACATTCTCCTCCCCTTTGACCTCGAAGCAGCCTATTCGGCTGCTTTCGTCTTGGTCATGGCCTCCGAAGTAGGAGCCAAGCATTCCATGCATGAGGTATCTCTCGCAGCCTTATTTGAGGTGTTTGACAACATGATCATGGCAGGGAATCTCTTGGCCAGCTCACGAAAAGCCGAGGTAGAAGAGTTGGCTTACTCGTTACGAAAGCAGTTCCATCCTGGTTTCAACACAGATGATAGTGCATCGGGAGCTGTCATGTCTGACCAGCCTTGTGATGCAACATTTGCAAGCCAATTTGGCTTACCTAGCGCCGGTGGGACCTTTTTTGATGAATGGATCCCTGAGAATTCGTACCCAAACTCTCAGCTCATAGGCCTGGCCGATTCGCTCACCATGGACGAACTTCATGAGCTATGGGTATAGTAAGATAATTAACGTAGGGAGGGAGCACACGGGGTGCTAACAAATATCAACGATCTACTTCAAGCCTTGTGAGCATCCTTGTGCATCGGATCGTGTTGGTAGAAGAAATAGATTTGATTGGTTCGCCTGACTAAAAGTGTTCCGCAAAACTCGGATCGGTGTTCCGTGCGGGTCTTACCTTGCTCCAATTTCTTAACACCAGTGGCGTTATCTAAGCTTGGTCGAGATAAGTATACAGTGGTTGTATCGACTTAACAAGAAAACACAGCATGTCAGGACCGTAGGGGTGGAGATACATTAGAAACTCGACTTAAGTCACAATTGGATAACTAAGACACATGTGTGCTATGGAATGGCTGGAGTTTCAATACCTGAACAAAATGTCTTATTATGATGTGAGGGGGTAGAGCTGAGCCATTATCGAGATAATAAGGGACACACGGGCCACAATTCCGAGGCGGGGTCCGATCCTGTCGATTCTCAATTGCTAGAGACATGCTTATTTTATTCAATATCTACCACATACTTTCATGTTAATCCACGAGGCTGAACAATCCATTATTCCCACCTACATTTAATTTAATCTCATTAATTACGCCCATCTATCTTTGATCTAGGCTAAACCCTGCACAGCCCTAGAACAGCATCTCGCCATGTCACCCGCGGTTAGAAAATATCACTTATTCCCCACTGACCACATCCCCAATTCCCCTCGCCCTCTTCTCCACTACAAGAATGTCTTGAATATCAAGCCTGGCAAGACGCATTGTGACCCTGGCGAGGTATGGGACATGTTTACCAAAAATCAATGGAGAGTTGCTTGGATCTTTCGATATGGGCAGACTCAGCTATCTCATTTTCACTCCGATGCTCATGAGTGCATGGCAGTCCTATCTGGGACGGCGACGATCCGTTTCGGTGTGGCCGACCTGTCAGATGACCTTGAGCAAAACACATATGGTTCGGCTTGGGAGCATGGCGGTGTCACACTGGAAGCAGAAGCAGGTGATGTTTTTATCATACCTGCTGGAGTTGCTCACAAGACCCATAAGTGCAAGCCCGAGGCCGACTTCAAGCTCTTGTCTCCCGGGAACGCTCATGGAATAGTGGCTGACGACCCCAAGGAAGCGCTCTCGAAGCTCAACCTGAACGGGTATACTATGATGGGTGCTTATAGCGGAGGTGATTGGGACTTTGTCCAGAGGGGAGGCGTCTTTGAGAAGTCTTGGGCTGTTCCCAAGCCAAAGTATGATCCCGTTTTTGGTCCTTCAGAAGAAGGGTTGGTCAAAACATGGTCGGGTAATGGGGGGAGCGTGGAGGGCCTTAGAGTCACCTACGATGAGAAAGGCAATGCTGTTCACACTACTCTTCCCCACTCCATATCTCCCAAAGCCCGTTTATGAATTCTACCTTTCCTATTAGTCTCCTTTGTAGATAGTGTTACAGAAGACTGAGAATTGAGACGCATGAAAAATATTACCTGAAGTAAATAACCCTATACCTACTTGATTCCTTTAGTGTCAGAGCTAGATCCGAGAGAGACTGGTTAAAAAGTGATCTTTAGAATATATAATTGCTCAGACGTCAAGTCCCGATGGGCTTATGATCAGAGCCTCTTGCTTCCGTGGGTTTGAACGAAAATTTAATGCATCGCGTTATAATTCAGCAGGCTGAAATGATCAGCCGAAGGTGATGCAGTGGGATAAAAGACTCTTGCATCTCACTGAAGAAGTCACACCTGATAACACAATGCTTCTATGCGATTCCAGTGTAACCCGTCTACCAAGCTGCCGGGGAAGGCAGCTTTCTAGATCGGCAACAATAGCACTGATAAGGTATCCTGGAAGCAACTTGTTATGGGACAGAATAGCATCCTTTCTCCTTGTTCTCATATATCTATTCATCTATATCACTACTGAAATCGACCCTACACACAGCGGGCGCCATCGACAAGAATCTCAATCCCACTGATGATGGAACTGGCAGGCTCAGCCAAGAAAAGGGCAACATTGGCGACATCTGAAGGCTCGACAAGGCGGCCGATGGGGATGGCGGCACATTTAGCCTTGATGATGTCCTCAGGCACAGGGCCGTCGGCAATACCGGCAAACTTGTTGAGCAGAGGGGTGTTGCCTGAGGTAGGGCAGATGGTGTTGAAGCGGAGCTGGTCCTTGGCATACTCAAGGGCCATGGACTTTGTAGCTGAAGAAACGCCAGCTTTGGTGGCGTTGTACCATGTCTGAGTAGCACCAGGCCGGATGGCGTTCTCGCTCGAGATAACGACGGTGGAGCCAGGGCCGTTCTTCTTCATCTCGGGGATGAGGATCTTGGAGGCAAGGTAGACGCTCTTGACGTTGACGTCAAAGAGACGGTTGAACTCGTCGATGGTGACCTCCACACCGGACTTGTTGGGGTAAGACCAACCGGCGTTGTGGACCACAATGGAGGGACCGTGGCCGAAGCGGGCGATCGAAGTTTCAAGCTTTGAAGGGGATCAGATTAGAGATTATAGAGACAAAAGGCTGCATCATCGTCAAGAATGACTTACAGCCTTGACCCAGCTGGCCTCATCGGCAACGTTGGCTTTAATCTGGTAGGCCCGTTTCTCGGTGTAGCCGTCAACAGGACCATCCTGGGCTTGAAGATCCATGCCCAGGACAAGGGCACCCTCGCGGATAAAAGTCTCGAGAATGCCACGGCCGAAACCCTGAGTAGAGCCCGAGACGAGAGCGATCTTTCCTTCAAGACGACCAGGCATGTTATCGATATGTCAAGGCGAGAATGGGAGTAGTTGGTAGGCTATAGTGAACTCAGAGTGATGATGATGTTACTGATTGTTCTTTGCAGACTGATAATAAGGCTTCTTAATAGAAACCAGTGACACTGAATAGCCACCAAACAATCCCGACCCGAGCTGCACCTTCGGAACGTCATCATCCTATCTTCTCCCACTTCTCCACCTCCACATTGGACTACTCCAATCTCGCTCCCAATCTGCGGGGGACTATCCGTACTCCCACAGCCTCTGCACCACGGATCGTGGATCCGAGACCGGTAAGGGCAACGCCGTATTATTTCCTCGCGCAGGTCCATCAATCGTCGGCCCATTTCCGTACATTATTCAAACCCGTGATATCAAGGCCCCATCAACCATTAACTCGTCCAACGAATCATGTTGCAATCCGGATAAATGGGTCTATTCAGAAGTCACAGCCTTCGCTGTACAGCGGGCCGAGAATCGGAAGTTGTGATTTCCATCGTACACAGATAACATCTTTCGCGGCTGGTCTCGTTTGGAATTGTTCAAAAAAGATTATACTGTATTACATTGACCACATACCCTCGTCATGTTATCCTCAACCAGGCAACGTGCCCTTCTGGTTTCAAGGCGATTTCCAACAACGACTCTGTTTCGCATGACCCGACCTCTATCAAACATAGCAAAAAGTGATGTTATCTCTGGTAATAGTAGGTTCAAAGATCAGAGGGTTTCCTATGTGATAGGTGGTACCGCTGTAGCTATTGTTGCACTGCTATACAAGAAGGGAGACTCTCAATTTGTTGATGATCCGCGAGATGTGCAAGCTCTCTCAACCGTCCCTCTTAGCAAATTGATATCAGGCTGGACGTATGTTCGAGTCTTGCCATTAAACAGACCATCCGAACTGATTCAAATTCGCAGTGCTTTCGCCTTCTGTTCCTCTCCAACATGGGTTGACATGAGCGAGACCTTGTACAATGGTTTGTCCAAGATACCGATTGTTTCTTCAATTACACACGCGGTCGTCATGAGGACATTTTTCAACCAATTCCTCGGTGGAGAGATGACTGAGGAATGTATCCCAAAGATCGATGCTCTCCGCCAACATCAAATCGGCACGCTCCTTGGTTACAACATTGAGGCTGAGCTAGATGGTACCAGCAAGGACCCAGACCTGATCCTCACGCAAACACAGCACGTGCTGGAATCGATTGAGGTACAGGGGAAGCTGGCTAAGCAGTATTGCCAGGATCCTAGTGCTACAGGTGGAGATAATCGGTCCTGGGTAAGGATCAAGATTACTGGCCTACTTCCACACCCGGTTGCGCTCTATCACGGCTCCAAGGCTATTCTCAGAGCAAGAGAAGCTAAGGGGCTCGATAAAGATGTTCCTTACCCGGGTCTACCCCACCAAGGCGACTGGCAGGCTGCTCTGAATGGCAAAGATGTCACTGATTCTGATCGGGAGCAATTGCTCGCCCTGAGAGCTACACTCGAGACCATCGCCAGCAAGGCCCGGAATAATAACGTCCGAATAGTCATCGATGCGGAGCAGTCGTGGTACCAACCAGTGATCGACAGCTTGACTGACGAACTCATGCAAGAGTACAACACCTTGGACGGTCCTGCTACTTGTATCGCCTCATTCCAGGCCTACCTTCGCCGTTACCCACAGCTCCTCGACCAGCAGATTCGCCGTGCCGAAACACATGGCTACAAGTTACTATTCAAACAGGTCCGGGGAGCTTACATGGTGACAGAGGCTGAGAGATGGAAGCAGGAGGGCAGAAAGGGTCCCGGTCCTGTGTGGGAAACAAAGGAGGAGACAGATGCAAGCTACAACTATGGCATCGAGAAGACCCTCGCAACTGTAGCGGACCAAATTAAACAGACTGGAAACTCAAAGCTCGGCGCCGTCTTTGCTACACATAACTCGATCAGCATTGATTTTGGAATCGAGCTGCTCCAAAAACATGGATTGGCTGTGCGCAGGGCCGATGGCAAACTCTATGTACCCAGGGAGGTGGCTGGCAGTATTGCTTTTGCGCAGTTGTACGGTAAGCACGGTTCACACCGCAACAAGCCATAATGGTATGTGCTAACGGTCGAACAGGAATGAAAGATGACCTGACTAACAGAATCACTGGATCGCTCACAGCCGATGGTGGCTTTCCGCTTGTTGTCAAGGTAAGCAGGATGTGCCGCCTTCTTGCTCGGCCTGTTGATACTAATTGTGATTTCTCACAGTCCATGAGCTATGGGGACTTAAAGGAGTGTCTGCCATTCCTTGCTAGACGAGCTACTGAGAACAAGGCTGTCCTGGAGGGAAGAGGAGGAGCTGCCGCTGAGAGGGTTCGGCTGGGGCGCGAGATCCGCCGACGAATTCTTCCGTTCTACTAAGGAATGTCGACCAGGTGCTATTTTTGGAAGTTTGCATTAGTTTGTTGGACAAACAGCTTATACAGCGTCGAGTGTAACAAAAGGACATGCCCCTGCAATGTGTTGTTGATTGAGGCCTTATTTTCGTTGCAGTCTAAATAGAAATCTGTATGTACCCTCTAGTAGTGTCGACAAGTAGTCATATTGAAGTTACTCAAAAGAAGAAATAGGTGCCGTCTCCAGAGCAAGTGATCATGTCTCCTTAAAATCAATAGCTGCTATTGGTGATGAGAAGCATGAGAAGGTTTGCATATAGCGTTGCTAGGTGATCCTCATTATTCCCGACCCCAAGTGACTTGCACTCTAGCGTCTAGGGTATGTATTACATAGCAGTTCTTAATTTCTTTTTCTTTGCTTTAACCTTCAAATTTTCCAAGCCCAGGCTTCCCAAATCTTTCAATAATATCAACAATAAAAATAACTTTTAGTTCGGAGTCTCATAAGTCATGGGAAGATTTCGAGACGTGATGCATCTTGAGATGGTTTATCCCTGACAACAAGCTGATTGAAAAAAGAAGAAGTGGTCTTCTTGCGCCCCACTCGACACCAATAATCTCAAGGAGTTTATGCTAATGTTCCCAGCCGACCCTCTTCATGTCCAGTAACATAACAGTTTATTTTCTACAAGCTCAAATCCTTTCGTCGGATTCAACGCCAAACCTGCACAACCTGATGGCAAAGCATATGACACCAGACTTCTTCCGACGCGGGGTAACGGAAGCCAAGCCCACCCAACACGGAACATCGATCCGTCCTTGCATCGCAACCGAGATAATTAGACCGGCCCGAGATAATGAATAACATCGAGAAGATCACTAGTGGCTCTAACCTATCCTATTTAGTAATCAATATGATCCTGATCTCCCGACATCTAAGCACTTGTGATTATAGCCGCGCGCACCTCAATTCCATCATCATAGAGAATCTCATCCAAGATCAACAATGGCTTCTTTCCTTTACCCTGAGCCAGCCAACGCTGGATGCGTGAGTAACTCATCGCAAATCGTCTCTTGGCATTGCTAATCCGCTTGTTTTGCAGCTTTCGTACGCCCCTGGTAGCGAAGAGCGAAAGCTCCTTAAACATGCCTTGGCCGAAATGGAAAGCACAACGGCGGAAGTGCCCAGTATCATCAACGGCGAACGCATCTACTCTGGCCAAAAGAGTTCCCAAGTCAATCCTTGGGATCGCCACGGAAAGCCGGTGGCTGAATACCACGAAGTTGACCGCGAGACCGTCAAGAACAAGGCGATTCCTGGGGCCCTCGCAGCGAGGAAGAAATGGATGAATATGCCCTTCAGCCAAAGAGCTGCCATCTACAAGCGTGCAGCCAGGCTGATCGAGACCAAGTACAGATGGAAGCTCATGGCAGCCACAATGATCGGCCAGGGCAAGACTTGTGGTCAAGCTGAAGGAGACTGTATATCTGAAGTTATCGACACGCTCAACTTTCACGTCTACTTTTGCCACCAGCTCTACCAACAGCAACCTCCCAAGCAGAGCGACTCAGCATACAGCACCTTAGACTATCGTCCATTGGAAGGCTTCCTGCTTGCTATCTCTCCCTTCAACTTTACCGCACTGGGTGTACACATTGCCTTCACACCGGCCATCTTGGGTAACGTGATGCTCTGGAAGCCGTCTCCAATGGCTGTTCTGTCAAACTACCTGATGTATCAAGTTATGGAGGAGGCAGGACTTCCGGCGGGCGTAGTACAGTTTCTGCCTGTGGCTGACCCTATGATCGTCGTCGAACCCGCACTCGCCAGCCGAGACTTTTCTGGACTCCATTACACCGGGTCCTCAGCAGTCTTGCGAAGCCTGGCCGCCCAAATTGGAGTCAATACTGCTACCTATAAGACCTTCCCTAGGATTGTGGGAGAGAGTGGTGGCAAGAACTTTCATCTTGTCCACAATTCTTGTAAAGACGATGTTGATTGGCTAGCGTCAGCGGCGGTGCGCTCAGCTTTTGAGTTCCAAGGACAAAAGTGTAGTGCCTTGTCTCGTTTCTTTGTTCCCAAATCCATGTGGGAGCAGGGCGACCTGAAAGAGGCGTTGCTCAGGGAAGCAGCCAAGATGACACACGGAGACGACGTCAAGCAATTGCATCATCCTCTTGGACCTGTTGTTTCCGAGGCAGCCTTTGACAGATTTGGAGATTTCTTGGCTACAGCCAAGAAGGAAGGGCATCAGGTTATCTATGGCGGCAACCAAGACGGTAGTAAGGGTTTCTTTCTCCAGCCCACTATTCTTGAGATCAACAAGGCCGACCGAACTGCTAAGAGTCAAACCATGACCAAAGAGCTTTTCGGGCCTTTGCTTGCCGTACAGACCTACGACGACGTTACTCCCTCTGGTTTCGAAGACGTTTGCGAGCTCATTGATAAAACTACCGAGTACGGTCTCGCAGGCTCTGTTTTTTCTCGCGATCGATATGCCATTCAGGTTGCGAACCACAACCTCAGAGATTCTGTTGGCATGTTCTGCATCAATGACAAGTGCACAGGGGCCGTCATTGGCGCCAATCCATTTGGCGGAGCGAGGTCATCAGGAACAAATGAGTGAGTTTACAAGTCGTCTCTATGTGTGGGCTATTTACTGACATATCTTTCAGCAAAGCAAACTCTGTCAATGTTCTCCTTCGCTTCGCTAGTATTCGATGTGTCAAGGATTCTTTTGAGACAGGGAGCGGTACACTGAGTGTTTGTCACATCGCAGAGTAAATATAGATATAAAATGCTAGACAATGACATGAGAGTGATTCGCCCAAGAAAGAAATAGTACCAGAAAACTATCAGGACGAAAGAGGAGCGCTAATAAATTGGAGAGTTAAAAAAAAAAGCATTTATAGAGCTCGCAAACCTGTCTAATATCTGAGTAGCAAATTTGTTTATGATAATGTCACTAGAATGCGCGGAGAAGAAACTTTCCTTGGTGGAGATCTGACGTCGGCCATGATATATATGCTGAAATGAGGGAACCCCACCGTGTTACTCCAAGAAGAGCCATTTCCAATAATCAAGGCTTCCAAGTTAAAATGTAATACTCTATGAATCTAGATCAAGCGGGCAAAATGCGACCAAGACAGTATTTCTCCATGCGTACCAAGAAGATAGACTTGAAGTCGATCTTAGAGCTTACACTGACATCTCCCGAGCCTGATTCTAAAGCTCTCCAGAATCGTCGAGAGCCGGAAACCACCACGGTCCTATACAGGAGGGCAGTACATTCCGAGTCTGGATTCTATCCGATGTCGCAACGGAAGCCGACACAGATTGACAGGCGTGCACCAAAGTCGGAGTGCAAAGGGCGTAAACACGGAACGTTGTTCCGCTTTTGAATGTCCTGGTGGGGTCCATCATGGCGTCTCCAAACTCGGATCACAGTCCGGTCAGCTGCCGTATCCCGCCAATCTCAGCATTCCCGACTTAGCCTGGACCGAGACGTGGCAGCTCGGACCGGATTACATGACCATGCGTGGTGCGATTCACTTTCAAGTTTAGGAGGTCACCGTTTACTTAACACAGCGCCAAGTGATCAGTGTAGTGTAACTCTTCTCTTATATAGCACATTCAGTCTTACCCTTAAAAGTCGCTCGGCTTATATCTAAGACGCCTTGGAGGACTAAATATTGTTCGATCACTTTATCTTTCATGATGGCCAACGATTTAACCTTTGCCGTGCTTGGCGGTGGTAAGTCACGCACCCAGTACTAGGGCCCTGAGAAATTGCTAAGATGGAGCACAAGGCAACTTAGGAACCGCCATAGCTGCAGGACTCCTCCATCCCATCAAGGACACAGACCGCATCAGTGTCAAACATCTGTATGTCACTGTCGCCACCGAGACTTCCCAGCACCGGGTCCAAGGAGAGCTAGGCGAAGACCCATCAAGACTTACGATACTGCTTGCAAAAGACAATGATCGCGCGGTGCGGGAAGCAGATGTTGTTATCATGGCCTTTAAGCCCGTTAAGAGAGAAGAAGTGTTTGCCGCCCCAGGAATAAGAGAGGCCTTACAGGGAAAATTCATCATTAGTATAATGGCCGGTATTACAGTCAAGGAGATAAACCGGCTGGCTCTCGATACAACCGAACACACAAGCTCAATTCAGGCCGTGCGAGCTATGCCCAACATGGCAGCCAAGATCCGCGAGGCTGTCACTCTGTATACGGCTAACCAGGAGACGTTGTCTGAAACAAGCCAGGAGATTGCCCAATGGGTCTTCAACCAGGTCGGTGACGCGCAGGTGGTGGACGAGAGCACATTCGACATCTCTGCTGTGCTGGTTGGCTGTGCCGGTTCATTGTTACTGCTCGCAGTAGATGGTCTCCTCGATGCCGCTGTTGCCGAAGGAGTCAAGCGGCCAGAGGCGACAAAGATGGTCATCAACAGTGCCATTGGAATGCTGAAGCTGGTTCCCGCCGGTGATCACCCAAGCTTGTTGCGGGAGAAGATTGCATCCCCAGGAGGCTGTTCGATAAGAGCGCTTCTAGAGCTGGAAAGGTTGGGAGTTAGATCGGCCTTTACAAGTGCAATCTTAGCTGCGGCTGAGAAGTCCAAGGGCCTATCTCATCGATAATCGTTGTTGATTATGGTATGACACCACATCAAAGTGTATTCATAGCTGTCGATAAGAAATACATCCCCTATTGCGGTCTCGGTCGAAATAGAGGTGAAGAGTGCTCGTAGACGATTTGCCAAGCCTAAGTCCGCTCGAGGGGAATACACTGCGGCTACAAGGCTGATAACACTGAGTCCATACAGGAGAATTCCATTAATATCTTGAAGGGGCAAGCAATGCTTATGCATTTGCCACTCCATCACTAGCTTGGCTACCCTAAAGTTTTGTGAAGTGGCCTTGACATACGAGGGCGGAGGAAGGATCAACGAAGATCCGTGGGCTTGCCCTCATATACTTAATCAATTTGCCATTGCCGCCAAAAGAATTCACAACATATGACTATTTCAAACGCAAACACGATTGAGATAAACCCATCGAAATTCTTTAAAACCTCACCTCTGAATACTTGGAGGTGCCCCATACTCTACTGCTACGAATAATGAGCGACTCCACAGAGCACCATGAAATTACCAAGTTGGTTCAGCAGCACGGAGCAGTGCCTCCGCCCTGGTTCATGTTTCCAAACGTCCATCCATACGACATATGCTGGCGCATGGGTGATGGAGAATCTTACATAATGCTCTATACCACTTGGTGGGAACAAGAAAAAGAACAACTCGACGAAAAAAAGCGAATTGAGTATTTCCGCAAATGGCCGCCTCCGCCAGAGTGGCTTACTTGGATGATAGAGGCAATCTGGGATCTTGACCCTCAGGACTATGAGGATGAAGATAATTACAAGCCATACTTTAGGCGAACCGAAGCGCTTGGTTTTGGATCTGAGGATGATTACAAGAACGCTATGCGGGATGCCGTAGAGGAAATGGAATAGAAGGGGATGTCGCAAGAGAGCCATTCACAAAATCTATCTAGGACTTCACAATCGATGCTCTGGCCTTCGGCATTTCGGGTAGGAGTTATAGACTCTTCCGGCCGTTGAAAGATGATATCAAACAATTGGCTCCACAAGGATTATAGATCTCCCGTTTGCCTGCCTCCCAGCAATCCAATAGCAGTCAAATGTAGATCATATGCATCCTCAATAGCTACCCAGTCGTCCCCAGTAGACCCTCACCATCTTCTGTTATACTGAAGGCCATGTAACAAGTATCTTGAGTAGACAAATGGGATCGATGACCCAGATATCAAGGCAGGAACCAAATGGTTTCAGTTCAATGAATGCCAGATTAAATCAAAGTAGGTACTCGCGTTTCGCCGTTCACAGCTTTTCTATGCTCTTAGTGCCGAGGCAGGAGGCTATCTTAAAGCCTCTTCCTAAAAGTGTCTCGACACTCACCATGGTCGTAACGGAAAGAGAATTCGGGACCTTGACAAATGATTGCCTACGTACACGTATGAAAGCGATCCGATATGAACGGTTTTAAAGAGAGATTCATATTAAGAAGGACTCAAAGAGCACAAATCCCCTCGTAAGTGACGAAAGGAAGGGTGAAGAATCCATAAAAGCAAAACATAGTATCGACGGTGGTTCGCAGAGGTGCAAACCGAGGCAAGGATTGCCTCATGTGGTTTAAAATAGAGGTGCGTCTTTATTTAAATAAGTTGCTGCATCCCACAAGCCATCGCGACTCAAGTAAAGAACGGAGCGTGTCCGCAAAATACTTGGTCTTGAAAATTCCATTCAATCGTCCATGTCCCCAACTTGCCCATCCACCTTTACCAGGATCTTACCCCTGGCGTGCAGTCCGGCAAGTTTCCTATACGCCTCCTTGGTGTCAGAAAACGCCCAGACGCTGTCTCTCACGAGTCTAATGTCGCCTCGACCCAACATATCCGCTACAGCCTGCCGGTCTTGGAGCGTAGGGTTCATCATGGACGTGCCTATCCATTTGCGTCCCACGCCGCCGAGCCAGGGCGATACAGGCCACCATTCGTTGAGCTTCATTTGCAGCACAGCGCGGAGGAAGTCTGGTACAAAGAATGTGGGCGGCTTTATACCGACGGAAGAATAGTTGCCATCCGGAACAAGGTATGTGGGTGAGGCAAGGTATAGCGCTTGGTTGCCAAGTGTGTCGATGATAGTGTTGAAGGGCTTTGATGAGAATTTCTCTGTCAAGTGCTGCGCCAAGGGATTGTGCTGCGTATAATCGATGACCTGTGATATGTTAGATGCTGGTCTCAGCCACATCCTTTTGACTCACCTCATCAGCTCCAAGGCTCTGCACTAACTCAGCATTCTTGCCGCTGCAGATTCCGACGATGTACCCCTCAGCCCCAACCACCTTTCGAAGCATCTGTACGACCAAAGAGCCTATTCCGCCACTTGCAGCATTCACTAACACGCGGTCACCTTGCTTCGCTCCCGACTCGCGCACCAACTGCCTTGCCGTCAGGCCTGTTAGCAAACAGCCCGCTCCATCACCAAAGCTCACACCCTCGGGCTTGTGTACAGCATATCGCGCTGGAATCCGAACATATTCAGCTAAAGCACCTGTTCCAGTAGGCAAAGTATGGCTAGCTGGCAGCATGGCGAGGATCTTATCCCCCTTATTGAATCTTCTCGTTGGTGCTGACACGGACTCATCATCCGGAGACCATACGTCAGTCACGGTACCTGAGAAGTCCATTTCAGGAACACAAGATGGATGTCTTATGAATGGTGGGACGAGGTTCATCTGAAAAATGGCGCCTGGGTTGAGGCCTACAAAGGCCACCTTGACAACAATCCATTCTTCCGGGTTCGGTGCGTCTTTGGGCAACGGAAGAGGAGGTGGTAAAGTTGGGATGGGTTGACTTGTGAAAGATAGGACATCCCAGGGAAGCCCCCGTTGCGAAAATACCCAGGCTTGTGATTCTGACATTATCGAAGATGCTAAGAAGAGGGGTTCGAGATGTGGAATTGGAAATGTTTGGTGGCGTTTTGTAAAGTCGGGCATTCATTCAGCCGCACGCACCATTTCAGCTGTCAGCAATTTTTCTTCAGTCCGCACGATGCTTACCGAGGTAGACAGTTATTTGACAGAATATGAGAGATAATGAAACAACCAAATGCTCGTAGATTCAAGCCGGCTATACGAGCAACTCCGATGATCACGCCAGTGGTCTCTATGGAAAAGGTGCAATAAATGTGACAATACTCAATCTGAGTGGGAGCATGGTCGAACTGTTTGTCACCCAGCCACTCATTCAAATACCGTTTATCAGGCATACGAGAATTTCTGACAACGCGACACAAGTTGTCGGTAGTAAATTGACCAGCGGGCTTTCTGTCGCCAGCTATTTATTCTCAATGCACTATTCACTAACACGCGGCCAACACCCGATGTAAACTACAAAGCGCTGTGAGAGTACTGTGGAAGGAGGAGACGAGTGGTTAAAAGAATGCCATCTGAGTGAATTAAATGGGGGAAAAAAGAATCTAAAATAATTGAATTTTTAATCTGGTTAGGCGCGGTTGAGTATGATTTTACTTCTTAAATTCTTCAATTGGCCATCTTATCCTAGCCTTCGTCACTTTTAATCATTGAGCAAATAAAATGCTGTGTAAAAGCCCTCGGTAGGATTAACCTTATATTAACCATAAATCACTTCGTAGCTAACTCGACCCACTGTGCAGAAGTAACCATGTACAAAAACCTATCGGATGACACTACCCGAATTCCCCCAAGGAATAGCAAAAAATACAACGTTGCATAAGATTACCCCGGTTCGTCGGTGAATGCCTTGTTGCACTGTATAGCTAAGAACTATAGACACCGCTTGCTAGTATTATGAGCTAATTAAAATGTCCCTTGCATTTGTTCTGTTCCTGCTCGGAGCAACTTACATGCATCTCGATCCTAAGCTTTGCTTCAATCGGTCGGCTTCCGGGTCGAGGCCACAAATGGTCTTGGCAGCGCTAACATGGTCGGCTCAGCCCGTCTGTGACATACCGATGTATGTGGAGTGTCTCAGGGGTCGATGCATGGTTTAAATCCTATTTTTCAATAGCGATTCCATTTAAATCTTTAAAACCACCACACATGCTAAGTATCCACTACCGAGGCTATGAAGTTTTCTCACTTGCCACTTTTAACCCATACCGCTATATGTACTGTACTAGGATCGCCATCCCATTAATGGAGCAAATGCTGCTAACACCTACTTACCTGGAACTAGTCTCTGAAATAAGGGCCTCGACTTTTCTTTTCGTCCTTCATTACAGAGTGAGGTAACCTTCTAAGTGGCCTTCGGACGATGAAGTGTAATTGTTCCATTGAAAGCCGCTTAACTCAATCCCTGCCGGCTTCCTAATACAGACATACCGCTGTAGAAGATCACTCTATAACCACAATAGCTTAGTGAGGCTGAGCAGCTTCTCGTATCCTGCCATTTAGCTTCCATCCTTTCCTGAGTAAGTTGACTCCACTCACATCCTTCGTGATATCTATATAAAAGTCCTAAAGCTGCTGTCTTTTACTTTCTTTTACACAATCTCACCATCAATTCCATCTACCAAGTCTACAACAACCACACTTGTCATCCATTCGTTACATCATCAAAATGCACTACGCTACTATCTTCGCCGCTCTCTCCTTTGGCATTGGTGCCCAGGCTTGGGCCCAGTCCGGCAATGGTGAATGGATTGCCAACGATACCAAGTACTACGGTTTCGCAAACGCCCGTCAGTAATCTCTGACTCCTAAGTAACTGGAACAGTTAGGCTTACATGATGGATAGTTGCCGCGTTTGAAGCATGCACCTACATGAACACGAACAACTTGGTCCCTGTCGGCAACGGCTGCCGATTCTGGACCAACGGTCAAGGCGGTATCCACTATGGTGGTAAGTGTAACTCCTTTGCACTTGACTGAATGGCCGCGAAGTGCTAACCACCAAATCTAGCATGCCGGGACATTTCTGGCCACACTGGAACCGTGCGCCAATGCATATAAGCGTGTACATCGTCGTCTTGTGTGCATGGATGATGGCAGGCAAGGGGTTTTGCGATGGTGGAACATATTCAGAAGATCTTACTAGACGTCTTGGTTGGTAGATGGACACGTTGGCTACATCAATTAACAAAGAAGTGCTAAGTACTCTTCGGGTGCGAAATAAGCAACGATTTCCCGCGCTGAGCCGCCACGAGGAAATTTCATTCTAAATTCTCGTGACACATAGAATTTCTTTCCCTTGTAGAAAAGCGCATCTGTCTTGGGATACTGGCTGTCATGCTGTACCCTGTTCCCGACCCGAATATCCTTGATATAGAATCTACGGGGATACGTAGAAGTTTTTTGAAGAGTCCAGCTGAAAAGAAGATCGAGATCCGCCTTGTTGTCAATGAACACGCCTAGAACTTGCCATAACCTGTCTGGCCATGGCAGGCGAAACCTAGAGGGCCTGTGTGCTCTTTTTCCAATAATGTAAAACAGAAACCGTGTCCATGGCGATATAGGACAGGGAAATGAAGGATGAGTATACCAAAAGTTAGGGCCAAATTCGTCGCTAAGAAGAATCTTTAAAGCCTCACCCGGTGAGGGGTATATGTATGTATCTGGCGATGAAAGAAAAGCAATAGCGGAAGCCCGAAAGAGTTCATTGTCTCTCCAGTATGGAGTATTTCGTATCGCCCAGCGTACATATGAATAGAAACGCTGTTTACAGCTTCGAAAAAATACCATTTCAATGTCTTTCTCGCCGAAAGGTATGAATTTCGAGCTGCTATGAAAGTTCCAGGCGAGGCTTTGAAATTGCTTGCTTTGACGACGAAGCAGGGTTTCATCTAGTGAACCTAGAAGCGGCAGGATTGAGTTATCGTGTGTCTGCTCAATTTCAGGCAATAAGTCATCTAAGAAGACCGCAGTTTTGAACTTGGAAAACTCATAAAAATTGGCTTTCGCAATTAAACATTGGACAACCATCTTCAGAGTATCAACTTTTGACCGAGGACTCCTATGTTTTGAGCCAGTGCTCAGATATTCGTACACCGAACGATGAGAGAATGTCAAAAAGTCTGTATCTGGGTCTTCTCGACGCCACTGAACGACTTCTACCATGCCACGGAAAATCCAAGGAATTACTTTCCGAAAGTCCTCGATGGGATCAAATGCTTGTGGTGCCATATGCTTAGAGGTCAGTTGATAGATATCGGGACACGATATCACATCTCGCAGAATGACGTGATGACGAATGTTGAATATCTCCCTCATCGGCCATTTATGGGTCTCTATGATAACATCAAAAACCGCATCAGCTAGACTCTTCTCGCGCTTTGGGATCTGGCACATAATACTGTCGTAAAATTCGTCCAGTTCACGGGGAAAGGTATCAAGAACGTGATAGAGGGTGCTTAGGGGGAGTTCGTAGTTCAAGCTTTCTTCCAGCTCCCTCAAAACCAACTTGACCCAGATAAAGACACCTTCAGCCATGCCGACGAATCTGCTGACAAACCTTTCTCTCTCAGCGGCGGGAAAGGTCTTCAAGTGGCGGTCATGGAGTAGATAGTTGTCAATCATTCTCCGGATGTCTTGCTTTGTGGTTAGGTGGATTTTCAGTTTCGGGAACCCTTCAAAATAGCTCGTCCAGGGCCTCTGTTCACGACTGGAAAGACATAGTTTAACGTTTTGACATCGTGCCCAATTGCAAAGCTCGGTTGAAAACCTGAAACTGGACTTGCTCTCATCCTTGATTTCATCTAGTCCATCGATAAAGAAACAATACTGGTATCCTTGAGTCGAGTCGGTAATCAACTTTTGAAGAGCTGCTTCTATTTCTTTTCGGCTTATTTCAAGATACTGCCGTGTTATTGGCAGCTCTTCACTGGATGCGTTCCAAAGGTCGGAAAAGAGGTGAGGGATGAGCTCTTTTTGATCGTTCAGGATAGTATAGAGCAGAGTCCTGTACACTCCATCTACACTTTTCTGCTGCACCGACCCAGGGTTCCACAGAAACATCGAGGCTATAATGATCCGGTTTCCGTTGCGAGCCCACTTTTCTAGGTGCTTTCTGGTATCTGGGTGACTGGCAAGTAAGTTCATCATTGTCGATTTGCCACTACCTGGCTTTCCAGTGATGTGAAAGATTCCTTCTCCATCCTTGAGCCAGTTTGTGAAGGATTGCTTTAAATGTGGCTGTGACGCAGGTACCGTCTCATCCTTGACCATCCATTCAAATGTCTTCTCTGCTAGCTCGACATTAGCAATCTGATGGTGCCTCATTCTCATATCATGAAAGGCAATAGCCTTCAGAATCTGATGGTTCTTGATCTGTTCTATTGTTTGGTGGGAAGTCTCAAAGAGCTTCTGAAGCTTGCTGATTTGTTGAAGCCAGTGGGAGTCGTTGCCAGCCACTTCATCAAGTGTCACTTTCATAAAGTTGACTTGTTTAACGAGATCTTCGGACTGTTGGTGAATGTCTACGAGAGTAGTTTGTAGAGTATCGCGAATAGATTCGAATTCGGCGGAGGCTTCCTGACGATATTTCACAAAGACGGCATCGATCTTTTCGAGGACCTTGGATCTGCCTTGCATTAGTGAGCGTGCTAATATCGATGCATATTCCTTACTTGAAGATCAGTTCCAGATGGATGTTGAGTAGCCTATTGCACCTGTCGAAATCCTGCCTCAGCCCTTCTTCTTCCCGTTCGCCGCGTATAATGCGAAATGTGACCTTCATACTCTTCTTGACAGATGAGAGCCCGGTGATGCTTTTCTCTGATGATGGTGAACTGTTACCATTGTGGGATACTGGCCCAACCTGGTAACTATCCATGAGATGGATAATCCGGTTGCTAACATCCTGGCATTGCTTAGCAACCTCCAACAAACTTTTCTCCACCGGCGAAAGTGGAGTCTGGTTTTTGCTTTTGTCAATTAATGCGGTGATGGCAGGCTCTAGAGCAGAAGCAGCATCTCTCAGCCGTTTGTGTTCATCTAGTTCATCAGTAGCACGATGTACCTTTCGAGCAACTGAAACTATTTTGGCGAGTGTTTCAACAAAAGTGATAGCCGCGGATGTAGTGCCGATTATGCTGGCTGGATCCATGGTAACGGATACAAAGCTGTTGTGGTTACTGTAGAGAAGAATGTCGATGAGAGAATTGAGTTGGGATGCAGTTTCAGCTGATAGCCTGATGGCGGCCTCATTTTGCAAGGGGGTTGAAAGCTTGAATGTCATTGGAGGGGCTGGCTGCGAGTGAGACTTACGAAGATGAGTTTTGTAACGCCACGCCACGTTGCAACAACATCCGCCAATCGTTTATACGTGTATTTATTTATTCATCACTTGCATTTGTTCCCTTAGAAGCTGCTTTTGTAAATAACAGACAGATTGAATGAGAGTTATCGGAAGATAGCCTTGCTAGATGTATGGCAGCAAAATTAGCATATTTAGCTATTCCTCCTTTCTGGCGGATATACCCTGGCGGGTACATGCCGGTCCGCTTAGCATAGAGCACCGGAACTGTCTCATCGAGTGACTGGATTTCAGTTCCATGCACTGACCCACGCCTGTACGAAGGAATAATTGCGATTGTCTCGCCCGCACCGAAATTACCGAAGGACCAATTATTTCTACCGTGACACAATTACGACACCGTTATATCAAAGTTTTTTCTTTCTTTCATTTTGCTTTAACCTTCAACTTTATCAAGCCCAGGCTTTCCAAATCTCTCAATGATATCAGCAATAAAAATATCCCTTCCTTACATTAAAGTACAATTGAGTTTGTTTATGCTCACAATCAGGTTGTATTTTTTTTGTATTACAATCTTATCTCCAATGCCTCCTGCGTGTAGGTCTATGTCTATGTCCTTCCTGGCTACACAGGGTGTCACCCTAAAGGGCTTTCAAAGAGACCTTTGTGAGTCTATTGTCCACACAGTGGAACACATTCTCTTTCAATCAAAGAAACCCAAAAAAGTTAAGGCAAAGCAGAAACTGGAATAGCTGAGATGCCGTAAATACATTAAACATAAATATAACAATTAAAAACTATACATACCGTTCTAACATATCTTTCTATTAGTTATGTCTTCCTACTCTAGGAGAATTCCTGGCCTTATTTATAAATACTTACTTAAGTCTGCTTAATATCTAATTCTACCACCTTATAACTCTAACACTGAAGCCTGTACCCGGTAGCTGGTATTGGAATAGCACTATCATACTTTATGGGGTCAACTTGTTACACGGGACGATGTATTGAGGAGAATCTAACATTATAAATTATGATTGCTGAAACGAGTGATGGGTTTTCAACCTTGGCCATTACTAGTGCTGCCGGCTCTAGTAAGAGTCATATCGTTGCTGTGGTAAATGACAAGCTAAAAGAAGGGTTGGACAATGACACTGGAATATACATTTGCCCCACTCAGTTACATTTGACGGAACACAATGGCCATCGACGCAACATTTCTCGAGACTGAAGATGTCCGTGTTACCCGCGGCACTCTACACGCGCATTATTATGGTCAGTGGAGAAGTGGCGTACTAGCGCAATCCTGCCTTGTTCCGCTATTGCGAAATCCACTGAAAAGGTTTCCGGAAGTCCCGAACCCCCACAGATCCTAGAGCTTCAACGAGTCGCATTATATTCGCTATTGTCGTTGTAGGCTAAGTGGATACTCCACCTGAACCTTATGAGCACTCATGCTGAGACACCAGTTTGGGTCGATCGTTTGCTTCAAATGGGCGGTATTTATTATTAAATTTCTTATAGTTACTTGTACCTTCCCCTTAAATGATGTCGTTACGTCAGTGCCCTATCCCTGGGATGAGTTGAACCTCTTGTATATAAAAGAGAGGCCTTCCCATCCAGAACTATTCCTTTAATCATCAACATACTACCTTACAAGCAATATTCTGAGAAATCCGGGGAAAATGCACCTATCATCTTCGCTTGTTATTGCAACCTTCTTCCTTTCTACTGCACTTGCCACAGATCAATGTCGATGCGTAAGTCTACTTACCGTACAATAACCTCCCTAATCGGATTGCTAACATCATTGCCAGACTACTGACGACTCTTGTTGGCCATCGATCAAAACCTGGTCCGCTCTCAATTCCACCATCAACGGCCACTTAATTCGCTATACACCTCCAGGAGCTGTTTGCTACAAATCTCATCCCAGCTACAACGCCGAGGCTTGTGATTCAGTCATCAAGCAGTGGCCAGAGTCAAAGTTCCACTCCAGCGATCCGGCGAGCCTTCACAGCGAGTGGTCGAATACTGGCTGTATTCCGGTCTTTGAGAACGGAACCAGTATCTATGGCGACCCTGAAGTAGGCGAGCGAGGTTGCTCAAACGACGTACTTCCCGCCTATGTGGTGAACGCTACTACCACGGATCATGTTGCAGCAACGCTGAAGTTCGCCGCAGAGAAGAACATCAGATTGGTCATCAAGAACACGGGACATGCTGACGACGGAAGGTAAATAATTCGAGTTGACGCTGTTTGTGGTGAATACCTGCTAATAACGCGCAGGAACCTAGGGTCAAGCAGTTTGTCGTATGTGTAGCCAGAACTAAATATTCTGAGCTAATGCTGATATATCTCACAGAATTTGGACTCACAACTTGAAGGGTATTGAACTCATTGAGGATTTTAACTCTACCTGTCCCAACTCGAAAGGCGCCCCAAGTCCGCGCATGGCTGCCACTGTTGGCGCCGGCGTTCAAGATGGGGAAATGGTCGAAGCCTTGGCTGCCATGAATGCTCTGGCAGTTAGCGGTACCAGCAACGTAAGCGTTGCCATTCATAGTGAAGTTTTCATGATGGCTGACTCGTTATAGGACGTTGGAGTTGCCGGTTGGTCTACCGGAGGTGGCCACGGATTCGCTACGGGCCACTACGGACAAGGCGCAGACAACATCCTCGAGGCAGAGATTGTTATTCCATCCGGAAAAATCGTAATTGCCAATGAATGTCAAAATGAGGACCTCTACTGGGCCATTCGTGGTGGTGGCGGTGGCACTTTTGGTGTCATCACAAGACTCACCCTTAAGGCATATCCTGCACCTCAAATGGTCATGGCAGGATTCGAGATCAGTATCAAGAATCACAGCTCAGAAGACGAGTGGTACCAGTTGATTGCAGAAGCCCATGCTCTGTTCCCCGGCATGCAGGATGCAGGCATCTACGGTTACTACACGGTTGAAGGACCCCCATCGGCCGAAGCTCTCACCTTCAGCGGCTCATTGATGATGTTTGAAGCGTCCAACAAAACGTACGAGGATGCCATTCGACCATTTGCAAAACTGTTGGAATCTTCCAACGACACAGTCGCCTCGTCCTTATACAGGCTACCTGTGAACAACTGGCAAGAATTGCTCAAGATTGTGCCTAATATTGGATCTGTCAGCGCAGGCCATAGTATAAGAACATCCCGCCTGATCTCACGACGTACCGTCATTGAAAAGTCCGACGAGTTCGCCGCCATATACAAGAAGATTGGACCTACCAAGAAGGCACCATCGGTATGAATGACACCTGCATTTTCTTATCTATCTCACTAATAATATTCAGAACGGCCTGCCAAATCTATCAATTTCCGGTACTCTCACAATCAGCCCAAAACCTGTCAACAACTCTCTTCATCCTTCATGGCGCAATACAACTGTCCATCTCATCACCGGTCAGGCTTGGACGGACTCAGCGAACGAAACCGAGATCCGAAGCATGATTCACGACATGACATACCGCAAGCTTGGATTGCTCAGGGACCTCGACGCTGTTCAGGGTGCCTATCTCAACGAGGTAAGACTTCAATCCTTTTCTTAAGGATATGAACACTATTAACGCATGAAAACAAGGCAAGCCCGATCGAACCGGACTGGCAGTCTTCGTTTTGGGGACCTAACTACGCCCGCCTTCGCGAAATCAAGGAAAAGATTGATCCCGATGGTCTTCTGTGGTGTCCTCGGTGTGTTGGAAGTGAAGATTGGGTGCAGCGACAAGACGGTAAGCTTTGCCGAGCATTCACCCCATGGTAGATGTTCTGCTGCCAGAACAATTTTGTTACGATTTATCAGCAAATGGGACACCGTGATTAGTCTTCGAGGCACGTATGAGGCTACTTGGTTGAATGAAACGGCTTTATAGCTAAGGACAGCTTTGGAAGGGCTTTGAGAAGAAGCTATCTATGGTTAGCTTGTTTGCAATTGAGGGACGCCATGATATGAAGACATATCCATTGTCATAATAACTCGTAACAAGTAGATGTTATTGGAAACTTAAGTTGATAGCTTTCGATGTATTAGAACGATGTTGAGTTGAATTGAGGTGAGATAAAGAGGCATGTCTATATATACTAGTCGCATGGAGTGTTTCGAAACTTGGATCTTCAACAGGGGCAGAAGATTCTCGTTCGAGGTGCTTCTTTTTCTTTTGGCAAAGCAGCCATTAACCTTGCTGTCGACACGGGCGCTATTGTTACTGCAACAACCCGTAGTGAAGCTAAGTTTACTGCGTTGACGGAACTTGGAGTCTTCGAGGCTGTGCTTGAAACACCCAATCTGAGCGAATGTCTACACGAAAGGCACAACTTTGAGAAGTTCGATGCAGTATTGGACTTGATAGTTAACAGTTCGGTTGTCGACTCTTTGCAACTCGTCCGTCGCAATGCACGTGTTTACCTGGCTGGTTGGCTAGGAGGTCTGGATCCAATCAAGGGACCAGCAGGACCGGACAAGTCGCGTGGCTTCAATCCTCTCTTGCAGATGGCAAGTGGGGTTCATTTGAGCTTCTCCGGAAGTTTTGTGTTTGGGACGGAATAGTTTCCCGTATCTGATGTTCCTCTGAGTAGTATTGTGCAGAAGGTAGCTGTTGGGAAGATCGATGCTAAGCCGTGGGGGGCTTTCAGCTTCAACGAGATACACGCTGTGCATGGAGCTATAGAAAACGGAGAGGCGAATGGGAAAATGGTATTTATCCTGGAATAGTATTTACGGGATAGGCACTTCGGTGTTGGAGTGGACCGGTCTTCCTAAGCTATTCGGTATATTGAACAGAAGGCAATCCAGCATTGATTTGACGGTCAGGCTGCCCCTGGACAATTTAATACCAGGAAATTGTCGACGTATGACCTGGCTGAGAGAAAGGAGTTGGTAACATAAGACCTGCCCAAGACGAGATGCCATCTTCTCACACTAGGCTGTAGAAATGTTACAAAGACATAAGATATTTGGCTAAAACTCACCAAAATATTGCCGACGTATCGTTTCCATCTCCAGTTCATGTGGTAAAGGCTCAAGAAACCCATCGACAGCCTCCCGCCAGAAGGTATTCCGTGGATTCACGTGCCAAGCTGATGTGTACTCCCAGTACGGCGGCATCCACCCGGCTGACTCCCAGTCCACGATGCCAGTAACCGTATCGTCCTCCGCCATGATGTTGAGGCTGCTAAGGTTGCTATGGGTGAAGACTGGTCTCTGCCATGACCCATTATGAAATTCGATAAGTTTCCGTAGACCCGGAAGGGCTTCTTCATTTTCCCCGACTTCAAGCCCATGGCGCATTTCCCGATGGAAGTCTTGTATTGTTGCGAAAGGGCCCCAGAAGGATTTGTCAGGAAGACGTTGATCGAAGATGGGTCCTCCATCTACGTTGGCGATGCCGATACCATCTGGGGGAGTAAGGCTTCGCAGTTCTGTCGTCATAGTCTTAAGTTGTGCAAGGATGCGCGCCTTGGACTCTTCGGACCTTTGTGTCCACCCTTGCGACAGGTCTTGGCCGGCGATTCTTTCCATGAGAATATACACACGGTCCTTATGCTTGAAACTGCAGTAGACCTTTGGAACTGGTATCGATGTATTTCTTGCCACGAATAGCATAGTGTTTGCCTCAGCTAGTGTCGTGAAGGCCGTTGCTTTGATGCAGAGTTTGGATGACACTAGGAGAATGCGCCCTGGATGTTTCCGCAGACGGCGCAAACAGGATAACTTATTAAGCTTATAAAGAAAAAGGGTGAAAAGACGCATGTACAGGTTTGAATTAATTTCGTGTGACTTCATTATCATTGCGATAGCGTTTAATACGTGTTGTTTATGCTGTATCGAAATTTAAAGGGATGTTTTGATTAGGTGGTATCGCGCCTAGAGGGTCGGAAACACAAAACCAAGGCGGAATAAAGAATGTCCGTCGGATTATTACCTACTCCACTGTACTAATTACCGCATGCATGCACCGCGTAACAGTACGCCTAAACCGGTTCTAGCAATTTGTCAGTGAGAAAATATGATGTAGGAACGACTGAAATAGACGCCCATTTAGAAAAGTTCATTTCCGAGGAACTCGAGAAGGTTCAAATTGTTGATCCTTAAGGAGACCTCAAGGATAAGATCGATGCTTACCTAGTAATTGCTTGTGGTGAATTCTCATCTTGTCATATTGAATATGACCGCCCATATCCCGTAGTAACCGTCTATTGTGACCCTTATAAAAGAACGTTTGTCTTTAGAGATGTCCTACTGTTGGGTATGGTATAATAGGAAATAAGTGTTTAAATTCCATGCTAACCACGTGATAAATGCAGGTCGAAATACGGGATGACTATCCTTCATGCCGGCTAGGGAGCCGGAACGTGTGTGCATAGTGATTGGCGAAGGGTCATGATATGCAGGTTACATAAGCATAGGGTTGGGAAAGTAAACACCGTTATTTAACAACTCCTCACTCCACACCCGGCTTCACTTCTGACGGTCAATTACCCCACAAACGTTTAACACACAGGCGGGCCACTAAGCCTCCAAAATTCAGTCAATTCAGATCGGCGGATCTCGAGCAATAACCTGATTCCCCATGTCAGATCCAGGGTCAGTCTCGTCAAGCCAGGGATTTCGGCGCCTGCTTCCCGCCGTATCGGCTCCAAACTCTTCCACATCAACACAATCCTCCATCAAGTTACCTCCCAAACGGGCCCCGGTGCTTGCAGCCTGTAATACTTGCAAAAAGCGGAAAATCAGAGTAACACACCCACTCTCTCCCCATCCAACTCAAGGCATATGCGTAAATGAGGTTTTAACAGAATCATATAGTGTTCCGGCACTCGACCGGTATGCGATAGTTGCCAAAAGCGTAATGTTCCATGCGAATACGAGACGGTGCCGTGGGAAACAGCTTCACAGGCTTTGAAAAGAAAACACGAGGATAGTCACACCGAAGCTTCAGTATATAAGGAGCTTTTCAGTATCCTGCGAAAAGTGCCCGAGAACGAGGCGCAGGATATTACGCGTAGAATAAGGAGCGGAGCTGATCCTGCCAGTGTGGTACAACGTTTCCAAAGCGCGGACCTTTTGCTTCAGCTTGCCGTCACCCCTGAGACGCGGTTGCGGTATGAGTTCCCTTATTTGAAAGAGATGCCGCCGAGTCTTGCCAGAGATAACCCTTATCTGGATTCTCTAATCTATGAATCGACTTATCTGTACTCAAACCCTGCAAAAAGGCGTTTGCCGCCCAAAGGGGCTGCTGGTTCCCTTCTCAAGGACGCGCAGTCCAATGATCAGAGTCCATATCTCAAGCCAATACATGCAGCAGAAGTCATTGAGCCCAAACTTTCAGCCGCGAAGCCATCACACTGGACGGGCGTCTGCAATGACGATGCCTTGATGCGAGAGCTTCTGGGATTCTTCTTCCGGTCCGAATATAGTTACCACTGCTTGTTCCAAAAGGATCTATTCTTGGAGGACTTGATCTCTAAAAACACTGACTTCTGCTCCTCCTTGTTGGTTAATGCGGTCCTTGCGTATGCATGTGTGGGTATCACAATCGCTATTTTATAACTCCTCTCCTGACATACTCTAGATTTGCTATTCAGAGATGAAAAACCGAGGCGAGTACTGGAACCCTTCGAGTTTATCCTACCGGTTTCTCGCCGAAACGAGGAGACTCTGGGAGCTAGAGGCTGAGGTGGCACTGGTTACCACTATTCAGGCCGGCACCATCCTGACCAATATCTATGCCATTTGCGGGCTAGACAAATTTGGAAGAGCTTACAGCCTCCAGTCTATCGTGCTAGCTGACAAGCTTGGCTTATTTGAGCATGACGAGAAATTAGACAAGAGGACAAGAGATGGAAGAGAATTTACAGCTTGGATGTTATTCATGTTTGAGACGTAAGACCCTTCGCCCACCGCCAAAGACTCTAAGTTAATGATGAAAAGTACTCTCGCATATCATTACATGCATTCACCTCTTATCACACAACCACCCAACCCTCCACCGCCTCCTTCAGTAGACACAAAGTGGTACGGTGAGATCACTGTTCGATATCCGCTTTCAGATTCACTGTGGCCCATCCACTTTGGAGAATATTTCATAGCTAGATGCCGCTTTTTTGTCATCATCAACGAAGTCTGTCAAGCAGCCTTTGCAGAGGATGCAGCCCTGACTTTGGAGCAAGCCAATAATTTTCATATTCGGATGAAGGATTGGTACCAGACACTGCCCCAATGCCTGAAGCCGAGGTACATCTTTCACCCAAACCATTTTCAATTACAGTAAGCCACCTCACGTCGTACGAAAAAGCCCAAGTCAAAATAGCATGTTGTTTCTAATCGTTCTCTTTTGTTAGTTTCTACTACTTCAATCTCTTGACTACTATATACGAGCCATTTACCGCTGCTAGAAGCCAAGAGACACCTCCGCAGGGTTTCGTGACCGAGGCTACCAAATACATACACACGCTTATTCGAATATATTATCTCCGACACTCATTCCAAACTACCGATGTGTTTTTGACACAGCCCCTAGCCCTTGTTGGATTCGCATGTTTACGTCTCATCGGGAATGAGATAACGGAAGCGGACCTTGAAGTCGCTCGGGGCATGTTATTCCTTGTAACAAAAGGCCTTCATGACCAAGGCCGCAGCTTCCATGTAGCAGAGACTGTCTACCGAGTAATCCAGGGACAGATGCGTGCTGAAGAGGCTACACTGATGGAAAGGATATCGAGAATGGAGGAAGGTAGTGAAAAGTCCAAGCAAAGTATGTTGCAGGCTGTTCACAGCTCGTGGCCAGTTAGTGTTGTCAGCAAGACCGAGACCGATGATTTAGAAATGGGCAAGTTGACGAGACTTGTCAAGCGGTTTGTAATAACGAATTTGAATACAGGGGAGGATGGGGATAGGGAGCTGAATGAGGATACCCCTCGAGAAGGAGAGAACCTTAATTAAGAAGATCAAATGCCTCAGGCTTCACGCCGATTACCTATAGCTAGCAATCTTTACAAATTCGCTTTCGAGGCTAATATACATACATCGTATTAACTTCCAGCCCCTGATACGTCATAAGCTTTATAGTTAACAAAATCGTATTTCAGGATTAACTCCCGGTTGCCGTGCGGCGATAGAGATAAAAAAAATGAGTCGATAGTTTGTTTCTAAACTTGCCTCGACACGGGATCGAACCGTGGACCTTGTCATTACTAGTGACACGCTCTACCACTGAGCCATCGAGGCGGGCTTCTGATTGGATGGAAAGGTGAGTCTATTTCTTCCTGATCGCAAGAAGCTCATTTCATCACATCTCACAAGTAGTTAGAGATAGAAGTATGGGTAATGAACTACACTGTAAGTCCCATTATGAACCTAATTTGATTTCAACACTGTGATATAGTTTATCTTGGAGGTTTTATAAATATTTTATCAAATGTTGCTTTTGTCCCATCCATTCCTTGCTGAGAGTGCTGTCTGAGTGCTTACCAATACTGAATAAACATACTAGACTAGCTTAGCCAATAAGATAGGCTCCTTATCTCCCCGATGGTTTTCTGGAGAATTGTTTCTTTAGCCAATAGGAAAAGCTAATTATCTCCGAATACAACTGAGAAAGAAGTCAAGCAAATATTATTATCTCCACTGGCAATTAATAAAGGTATATAATAGACGCGCAGGCAACTACTAGCAGTTAGAAATAATTCATTCAAATAAAATACACTCTACAACCCCTTTTCTACACTATTATTTTCCTTCCAAGAAAATAACCATGCCTCAACTCACTGTTCCTGGTGCCATTCTATTACGAGACTTTCGGCAAGGGGCCCCTGCTCGTCTTCATCCCCGGAGCCGATGGTCGCGGCAGCATCTTCCACTCCGCCGCCCAAATTCTTTCCGCTCACTTCACTGTTGTCTGCTGGGATCGTCGTGGATATTCACAAAGTTTTCTCGTTGGCAAGCAAGATTTCGAACACCGTCTGCAAACCGATGCCGATGACGCGCAACGGTTGATCGAGCACCTGTCTGAGAATGGGACCGCTGTTGTGTACGGAACCTCCTCCGGTGCTATAGTGGCCCAGCAGCTGCTAGCCAGTCATCCAGATTGTGTCACAAAGCTCGTTGCCCACGAACCGCCCGCATTCGCCGTCCTTCCCGAAGAATTCCAGCAGCAGGCGACTGGACTGATGAACCACATCTACAACACATACAAGGCTCATGGCCCCGACGAAGCTATGCAGGTCTTTGCCTCAGGCATTTCCGAAGGCCCTGATGCAGACATGATGCGCCATTGTATGGACGCAAAACGCAGTGATGAGATCCGCGCAAATTGTCTCTTTTGGTTCGAGTTTGAGCTGAGACAGTATACAAGTGCCAAGGTTGACGTTGAACGTCTTGCTGGGGCAAAAGAAAAGTTGATTCTTGTTGCGGGAGAGGATAGCGGCGACGGGCCAGGTGTAGGACCAGTCAAGGGCATCGCTATGCAGTTGGGTAAAGAAGTTTTTAGAATTCCTGGCGGCCACCTGGGTCACATGGTGGTTCCTGAATTATTTGCAAAGAAGCTATTAGAGTTATTCCGTCAATAGAAAGATACTGTGAACTATCACCCAATATTTAATGCTGCATATCTGTTAAAAGACCGGATCTTTGAATTGCCATGCTTGGTTTGTGATATCCCCATCCATACCCCAATCAAAACTCTGAGAGCTGATCCAGCTTTGGTCCAGCGAGTCAGAGGTGAATAATTCATTGAAGTCCTCTGATATCCCCGCCAACCAGCTCTCGTCAATGGTTACCTCAATCAGGGGATCATCCAATATCGTAGGACTGTCAACTTGGCGCCCATTCGAATTAGTATATCAATCGGTATCGTTCCAATTGGATGGTCTTGTTTTCTCAGGAGTCACTTTACTGACCTTGTTTCGTGACAGGGGAGAACCGTTGCCGATATTTTTCCAAAGCTTCCTTCCCTTTCGCTGCAGATTCGACTTGTGACTCATAATGGTGAAACACTTGTAGAGCTCTCTCCCATGAAGTTTTAGCGGGCTCAAGATGCAGATTGACCCCTAAATCGGGGCAGAGACTGGCGGCAAGGAGGGCCGATGCAGCTCCAAAAGTAACTATGACAACCATGTTAGTATCTTATTGTGTACAGAGCGCCGAAAATCCACGTCAGCAGTGTGTGGGGTGGTTACAGAACAACGTGTGCCATGGTGAAGTTTGTCGTGAACTATTTATGCCTTGATACATCTCTTCGATAATATCGTGCGCGGTCGATATGCATAAAACCCCAATTTCCCTGAGATAAGCTCCATGGAGAAGGGAAGAAGTTGTATGATTGGTGTTCGAAGCTTGTTTGGAAACAAGCCGTCTTACTTCGACGAGAAGCGAGGGTCGCAGTAGTAGAAGCCGTATGTATAGAACCCTTCATAAAGTGAGAGATGACCTATTGCGAAACAGGCTGTGACATACCTTGATCTCATAATCATGGCTTGTATACGGAAGCAGCTTGCTGACTCATTGGCAGTTTCCGTATTGCTATCATGCCGCAGATGACTAGGCAAGTTCGCTAGTAAATCGTCCAGTTTTGAACACAACTTCGGAACCTCGCCCACATATTCAGATGATACAGCTGTTTCGCTCTGGGTACTTTGGTATCCATGTGAGTAGAACTTGGTTAAAATCTCGTCTAAGATCTCAAACATCCTTACACTATACCTGAAGAAATCTAGTCGAGATGGAAAGTTTTCAGGTTGGCAGCCTTCACCAACTTCTAACAGATATTCGTCGTCGATAGGCTCAGGCAACGGGATAGCATGTGGCCTGGAATGAAGGACAGGGCGGCCGAACGTGGTAGCCGACAGCCTAGGAATAGTCAGCGAATTACGAGAGTCTATGAATGGGACGGGAAATACCGATCCAAAGTAATACAGGTATGCCAGACTCTGCGCCTCATCTCCCGCTTCAGTTGGTTCCGTGATGAGGCTGTCTGCTCTACGTGTAATCCCAAGCTCTGTGCTACTCTTAGAGCTACACCGATCGTGTTCCAACATCGGTCGGCGTAGGTTGTGTAATGCAAATAGATTCCTCGTAGAAGGAGTAGTTGTACTATTTCCAACGAGGAGAAATCCAAGGTCTCGACAGAAACTAGTCGCTGGGACCTTTGGTAAAAGTAATTGGCAAATTGGATCCTTTGAGATGGAGGAATATCTTTGCTGCGTTGGTATCCAAGGGCTAAGACCATATTGAGTATCGCATGAAAGACAACATCATCTCTCGTTCGGTTACTTCCATGTTCCGATGCCGTAATTGTTCGCTGGAAATGGGTGGACATCTTAACAAAAGATGGCCAGTGTAGTACAGGAAAGACTGGATGTATGAAATCATAGAAAGAGTGTAGAATTGCGGGTATGAGGTGATCCGGGGGGGAATTAAGGTCCGTATCATAAGTGGGGTTCGGGGATTTGAGTACTGAGAAGCCTAGGAGGTCTAGTATGACCTTTTCCTCGGCAAATTGCTTTGCGTCTGTCTGAGGCTCTGCCCTTGGAATTGCCTGCTGTAGGAAAGAAATATTCGAGGATGGACCGTGTAATATTTCGTCCTCTGCGCCATGGGAGTCAGGTATCACAATTTGCTCCGAAGGGACCCGGCTTGAGGCTAAGTAGATGTCAGGATTGTTTGAGATATATCATAAGAAATACAAACCCTGAAATATCGAAGGGCCATCAGTGACATTCTGGTCTAGATGTGGACCTCCCCGTGACTCTTCTTTTGAGTGATGTAGTTGATTATTCATCCGGGAAAGGTTTCTAACAATAGGTCAGGAAGTGTTGTCTGGACAGGGAAGAGACTGACTTGGCTGATGAGCTTGACGCTTTCTGCTGATAGCCGCACTGGTTACCCAAGCCCTTTACCTTGCATGAAGTACAAATTGGCCGGTGTCCATCACAGCCAGTTTTACGAGCACGGCAAGGGTTGCATGCCAGTTGAGTCCTGTGTCGCCGGCGTGGCGTTATTACCCTTTGTTTGAGCATGTGAAATAATAGGACGATTCTATTTTGAATTGGGTATTACCTGTCGTTTCTTGACGTATAACCATTAGAGTTGGCTGTTTGCGAAGATTGTGATTGTGAAGGTGGTTGACTTACTAATCAATGGCGCACGCAAAAATATTTAACCGTCCCTCTCTGCCCCATACAATTCCGGCCGTAACAGGACATGACACTCAGAGTATACCCGGGGACTTACTTGGCAGGTGTTCTTGCGCAGCCCCCTCTTTCTCAAATCGTATTCCTAGTAGCCATGCTATTGCCAGTGTGACAAGTCCATTTTAACTCACAAACTTCCTTAATTCCGCCGTCAATACTTTTACTTGATTTTAAAGGAAGGGCAAATAGGAAAGAGGTGGGTAAGATGGCTGCCTCACTCGATAACAATAGTGATGACGGCCGAGAAAAGGGTTGGACACGGCTGGCCTGTGCAGCAAATGCTGGCGACGTCGGAAGGGTTTTAGAGTTGCTGGCCGGCGCAGATCGTTCTGGTATCGACATTGACGCGCGTGACTATAGCGGCTGTACATCGCTCACGCTCGCCACCCAAAAAGGACATACCGCTGTGGTAGAGACGCTCCTTGCCTACGGTGCCAACCCCAACCTACAAGACATTGACCACATCTCACCATTCTGGCAAGCCGCCCGGCATGGTCATATTTCTATCATGCGCCTTTTCTTAGAGAGTGGGCGGTTATCAAATGTCAAACCGCGACCTGCATACTTCCACCAGCATTTCCCAGAGACTCCACTCTCCATCGCGATCAAGGAGGGCTATCAAGAGATGGTGGAGCTGTTAGCACGTGCAGATGGTATTAAACCATACCTAACAGTCCCGCACCACAAGGACAACGATGGAAAGACCAGTATGCTGGGCCTCGCTATCCGGAACGGGCTCGAAGAAGCAGCATTGGCTCTTCTGAACAAATGCGACTTTAGAGACGCTGGGTCCAGCGATGGCGACCACAGCGACAGCACTACCGAAAACGATATCGAGCCTATTTCGAAACTCTTAGTTCTCGCTATCAGTACCGGCTGTTCTAGAATTGTTCGAGAGCTTTTGACCATGCCTACTGTCATGGGTGTTCGGCGAGAAGGGTCTCCTGAGTAGTTACAGAAAAGAAGAGAAAGGCACTGTTGCAGCAACTACTCCGGATCCCCGCCGTCGACCCTAATGCTGAGGACCATAATGGCCTTACCCCGCTGCTTCTAGCCATCGTGTCTGGACATGGCAATGAATATGTTGAGATTCTACGGTCACGGTCAGATATCAACGTGAATCAGCCCCGACCTGGGACCGACAGCAGACCACTTGACATTGCGATACAAACAGGCAACATTACTGTTATGTTGTTGCGTGAAAGAGGTGCCATTGAGTCGGTTGACTCCACGGGATCCTATCACTTTAATGCGAATGTCACGGTTGAGGTTGGATTCCTGCCTAGTGCATACTCTGAGTTTCAGGCGACCCGACCACATCAGGGACAGCGACAGTATGCAAGTGGGTCATCTGAAGGAAGTGGAACTAGTTCAGCAAGCGATGAGCTCCATCTCGACCACGTTATTCCATTGTCAGGTGGTTTAGAATTTGCGCTACGGAAGAATCTTCTTAGAGAGCATTCCCTGCCTTTGGGCGAGCAGCAGGCATACGTCCGCGAGTGGGTAAAAAGTACGGCAGGTTTGTGCTCATCTTGCTCGGCTATCGACCTAGGTTCTGCCTTCTGGAAGCGTCATACAGAATACGGCGGTCGAGTTATTACTGACCTGGGAAGGGTCGACGACACTTGGCAGGAGAGGGCTTACGCTTTGTGCCGCATGTTTGCTAACATATATATTCGCACTGGCATCAAGGGGGGGTATAAACTGGTTAGCTTCTCCACGACACAGTCTTGGCTCTGTCATGCAGAGATGGCCCGCTGGAACGCCTTTCGGTTTAAGCAATTCATCGACACTATGGTGTTCGCTGTGATTCCAGACACAGTGGCTGCAGATGGGGTGTATGAGACCCAACTTGACTTCGGGGCAGCAGCGAGGCCGCCGAAACGTACAAGAGATGCTGTCAAAGCCGCATTTTCTTTCGGCTTGATCGGCCGTCTCGGGAGTAATGGTCCAAGCGGAGCTTCTGTGACCATCCCACGGCTAGGTGCCATGGTAAGTGACTGGAGTGTAGCTAGAGGCTGGATTACTACGTGTCGCGAGGACCACCAACGGCGCTGTAAATCGTACGGAACAGCCAACATCCCACATTTCTATCTCATCGAGTCTACTACGCGAAAGATCTTGGAACATAAGCCGTCTCAACCTAACCGTCGGCCGGAATACGTAGCTCTGAGCTACGTTTGAGGTAAATCACCAGGTGGTCAGCAACCGCCACAACATTCATGGCAGCAGGAAAGCCTCGAAGATCGGGGGAATGGCCTAGTAGAGGCAGCTATTGAAGATGCTATCCGTGTGACACTACAACTTGGATATCAATACCTATGGGTAGACCGCTATTGCATTGTCCAGACAGGCGACGAGGCTATCAAGCAGGAGCAGTAACGGCATATGCACATGGTCTATGCCAATGCCGAGGTGACTATAATTGCAGCAGCTGGCGAGAGTGCATCAGCAGGCCTACTTGGTGCCCCAAGGCGTCTGAGGCAGCAACAACCTGGTGCTTTCGTTCAGAATCACGCGCTGGTATGTATCCCCCCTGACCCCTCCCACCACATCCATTTCCGCTCCACCTGGGCCACTCGTGGATGGACATATCAGGAGGGGCTGCTAGCATGCCGCTGTCTTTACTTCTCAGAATAGAAGATGTCTTACGAGTGCCGCCATATGATCTGCCGTGAGGCTATTCGCCTACCTTTTGGTTTGGAACGAAGGATTTCTGGGTCTAAACCCCGCTTTATGGAGCCCTTCTGGATGTATGAACCATACACAATGCCTGGTGCGGATGCATCTCATACTGCCTTAGGCCTATTTGATCTCTTGACGGTTTATACGACGCGGCAACTTTCTCTGCCCTCGGACACCCTGAATGCCATGCTTGGCATTTTGAATTTACTATCTCAAAAGAGGGAAAAGCCCATTTATCATATTTGTGGCGTCCCCATTCTGCGTCTCAACAATGAGAAATCCGGAATAAACGCTGATAATGATGTTGCCACCGCTGTAGGCCTTGGTGGCTTTCTTGATGGTCTCCGTTGGCGACTTCAAGAGCCCGCCCAACGGCGACACGGATTTCCAAGCTGGTCGTGGACAGGATGGCAGGGCGTCGTCGCTGGCATGAATAAGGATAGCCGGCCTATCAACCAAACCTCTGGATTTGCGATAGATATATCTGTTATTCCTGGTGGCCAAGAAGATGGAGTTGCAGTACCATGGAGCCTCTGCTATGAGCAATTGCGAATGACAGACGACAGCAACTCGGTCATCCGATCAGGCCAACAACACATACTTGAGATCACAGCCAGCGCCGCCACCATCAAGTTTCACATAGGAGAATACGAAGGGCGGCCCAATATATTGATTGGAACAATTTTCGCTGGGAATAAGGTATGGCAGGGTGAGTTCATTCTTACTAGAAAGGACGAAGACAACAATGAGAACAAATTCCTATGCTCCTTGATACGGGAGTCATGGACAGGCATTGTATTAGGAAATTCTCAGAGTCAAAAGCATACCAACCTTCACGATACGACACTGTTTGTTATTCAAGAACATGAGTATGAGCAGCGGCAGAGGAATGCACGGGACCATATATACTGCGAACGTATTGGCCTGCTTACTCTTCTCCACTGCACACTTGATGGTAGTTCACTAGAGCAGCGGACCTGGCGGCTTAAATAATATTGCTTAATGTGGACGTAGGATTTGTAGCCGAAAGCGATATAATTACTTATGAACTCTTGTTAACTTCCATACCATGAATGGATAGATGCCGTCTAGTTGAGCTTTCAGGACAAGGGGGATGTGCAAAGGGTCTAATGCTGCCGAACTTCTTACATGGCTATTTCTAACTAAAAGAAACTTTTTCCCAATGTAAATTAGTTAACTAAGATCAACTTAATAAATACCCAGTTATATAGCATTTTTCGGTGCTGACTACACGCTTTGCATTCATTACAGCTGTGAACTGATTGCAATCTTGGCATGTTGATGAAGGGAAAAGAGACTAGTTGTGGGGAATTAGATCCTGTGCTGTGCCGTACAGTAGTGGAGCCAGTCCTTTAAATAACTGGGACCGCTAAGGATGTGAGGTTGCACTATTCTTTTTTCGGGTTTGCAAGCCTCTGGGTAACTTACGGAAAGTGCCTGGCGGACCGATTTGCCTCTATGAACTGTGGAAGACGGAATGGAATAGTCCAAAATGTGGTCGATAGTCTGGTCAAGCGCACAAGATTGATCTTGGAACTATTTGTGCGCCCCTGTTGGAGCTCCTGTAATCTTAGAATGTCTAGATACCTGCTTGAAATGGCAAGCTGAGATGCAGTTGCAGGGTTTGCGACCAACACAAGGTTGCATCATAGCCTGATCTGCAGTGGCTGGACAGTCTCTTGTTCCTCTTCCAGAGCGAACTGCAGGGGGGCAGGGTAGAACGGGAAGAAAAGAAGGGCATAACTACATTTCTTTATCTCAAAGACCTTGTCCGTCTGTTGGTTGTCGGGAAGTCTGTGACCAGCCCATGACACAGGGAGGAGGCAGTGCATTTCTTCCCTTATAAGTAGACACACCAAACACCGGTTGTATTTTAGCCAAGCGATTATCATTTACCAAGCATTCATTGTCTCATTAGTCACACAAGGCTATCTGCCTCTAACAATTTCTGCCATATAACTATACCATTGTAAATGTTTTCACTCAAAAACGGGGCTACTGCATCAATCGCAATGGAGAAGAACCCTAAGCCAAATGTCCCCAACGGCTCTACCGACAAGAATGGCAAAAACGTTGCACCCCCCAATACTGAAGATGTTCCTTCTTCATCGAACGGTCCTACTGAAAACCAAGCTTTGGGGTCATTGAACACTCAGAATGGTGGCTCTACTCAGACCTCCACAGGCAACAACAAAACTGAGGTTGAGGACAGTAACATTATTGCGGACGATCCTTTTGACAGCGCGAGAAGACGCATTCTATTTAATGCCATTAACCAACTCCAGGTTGGCGGTTCAGAAGCAAACCTAGATATCCCACAGGCAAGCCAGTTCCCCAGCTCTAACCAGGGTAATGCTCTGCTAACCCTTTCCTTAGCTCATAGTGGTGGGCGAGCAGTCTGCTGGAAAGTCATCTTTGTTGAAAAGCTTGACCGACATTCCATTTCCTGTTAGATCCGGCATCGGTACTCACTTTCCGATTCGCATTGTCTCTCAACGTACTGGACCGGGAAGCAGAGAGCACTTCAGCATTGCCGTTGAAGAGGCGCCCAACGACGTCGAAGGTCTAGAGCGTGCAGAGCCAGAAGCGAAGAAATATCTTCTCGAGGGTGACACCTTGACCATGAGTATGTTTGAAGCAGCTCTTCAAGACGTAAGTGATTGGACTTATTCATTCATCATACAAGATTTTCTGATTATTACTCTAGCTTTCTGATAATCACATTAAAATCAGAAAAGGCAGTGGGCAGCAGAAGAAGAACTTCGTGCCGGATATTGTCAGAGTCAATCTCTGGGGGCCTAACCGATCGCTCTTCAACATTCTAGACCTCCCTGGACTCGTCAGCTCAAGCGTGAACATTAACAAGTCCGAGATGGCTGGAACCCATCGATTGGCTATACAGTACATTAAAAACCCGAAGAATACAGTAATGTGAGCTCTCTCCTTTCTGGTCCCTTGTAGTCATAATAACAAGTCACTCAAAATTAGATGCACGCTACCTGCAACTGCTGAACTTTCCACCCAAAAGGTCATTGAAAGGTGCCGAGAATACGTACCGGACCAAGGGCAACTGATTGGTGTCTTCACAAAGTGCGACATGGTGACGAGCCCGAAGGCGCTTCAGACGGTGCGTTCATTGATCCAGGTATAGTACGACTCGGGAGCTGACAATTTTCTAGCTCATCTCCTCTACGAAGACCAGGGTGGAGAACAGCGAGTCAGCGTTCCAGAATGGCATGTTTGTTGTTTGTAATGGAGACGATTCTGAAAGCAGCATGGCGGGCTATGATATCGAGCAAAAAGTCTTCGACAAAGAGCCCTGGACGCAGATACCTGCTGAACGTAGAGGAACGTCCAAGCTCAAACACCATCTCGGAGAGATCCTTACGTCCCAGGTCGAAAAGGTCTTCCCCGAGCTGGAACGGGACATAGAGTTGCGATTGAGCAAAAAGAACGCCCAGCTGGCAGAGATGGGAGATCCTCGAACGAATCTAAGCCAAAGCCAGGCTTACCTCAACCAGTTTGTGAGCAAGTACTCCAAGCAAGCCAAAGATGCTCTCATACGTCCGGGGCAACTCGAGTCCCGTGACATGGACCTGCGACAAAAGCTCGGCGACTTGAACACTCAGTTCGCCAATGTCATGCGCTGGGTTGGCGCTGTCTGGTCATTTGACGATGTGGGCATTGATCCGTATGTCAGTTGCGGGCGCTATCGACAGCTTCTCGACAACAACGAGATCAATGGGAAGGAAAAGAACGAGAAAGCGTACCAAGCCTTGTATGAAATGAATGACTCACCCGACGAGTTCGAGTCTGAGTTGCCCAAGATACCAGCATTTGACAAGTACAAGCATCTAAAGTCATCTCAGGATTTTGAGAAGATAATCAAAGACTATCTAGGCAGATTCGGGGCGTCGCAGCCTCCTGGTGTGGTGAACTCGGAGATATATCCAGTCATATATCGTCTGCAGATTTCCAAATGGGGACATATTGCCCAGGAGCATCTCGAGAGAGTCAAAGACGCTCTGAAGCTGAGCTATGAGATGATCCTGGAGTCTACCTGCCCAAATACCGGAAGTACATCTGTTTTGTACCGCGAGCTCAAGAGTCGACTCCATTTGATGTTCGAAGCAACATTTGGCAAGGCTCGACAGGATCTCGAGTCGTACTGCAAACAGGAATCCGAAAGAGTCTTTTTGCAGACCAACAGTCGTGACTTTCCTGATAGGCTCGATTACTGGCGCTCGCTAAGGTACGCCAGGGCCTTTCACGCCGCGTCCATTCCGAAGAATGGACAAGCCCATAATCTTATCTCAAGCCAGACACTGGTGGGTATGTGGAGCAGTATGGATCTATCAAACGAGGCAAGAATGATGTACGAGATCCATGATGTCGTCAAGGTCTATTACGAGGTGAGACTACCAGATCCGAAAAGAGAGCATATAAAGATTATGTTAACCCTGCGTACAGATTTCGCTTGAGTCATTTACAAGACACGTCTCGCAGACTATCACTGAAAGCTTCGTGATGGATAAAGATGGTCCCTTGAGTAAACTCACTAGTGACTATGTTTTCCAACTATCAGAAGCAGAGGTAGGTAAGATTACGAGAGAAGAAAAGGCCATAGGCGAACAGAGGGATCAGATAAATCGCGAAATCGCGAAGCTCAAGAGTGCTCAGGAAATCGCTAGAATTGCGAGGGACCAGGTGGGGAAGAATTGAAAGCTATACAGGTGCCAGGGGTTCAGTTGGCAGTTCTAACTGGACCTGGGACAACTCTTGGAATGTTTGTATGAACTATTCTATTGCAACACGATAGTCCTCATCTCGAGTCCCTTCTGCCAGATAGTGTCTTGAGGCATAGTTGTTGGTGCCCGTTTCATCCATCTCCCACTCTTGTCTCGATACATAGTTGGCCTTGCCGATGCTTCGTTGGTAGACTTGACTGCACCCCTTAACGTGATCATACCAACTCGTTCGAAACGGTCACCCTTTTCCTTCAGAACCAGCATGATAACGTTGTGATCCCGCGACATTTTCCCAGACTCCAGCACCATGACGGGAAGCTTGAATTGACAAACTCCTGTCAGCGCCTCATTATCGAGGTACAAGAACGAGTAGCACGTTATATCTGTTGTCAAGGGCAGTATAGCCCAAGGCCCATCTTGCATCCCCGTTTCGGTGACTGTTCTGTTTGAAATGTTGTTCTCTGAACCTAATTTGATGGTTTCAAACGACACCTTTGTCATCATTCCTTCCAGTTCGATGACGGGTTGCATTTCTAGTAGAGGGTTTGTAGTGCACTCCGTCATGTAGTCATCGACTGAAATTGAATATCCATCTCTAGATTCACTTTTGGGGAACAATCGAAGTTCATAATTCCGGGTATTGCGGCTGGTCATCTTGATTGCGCCCTTCCAACCAGTCCAAGACCAGCTGGGGAAATTGAAATTTCTGGCTCCAGGTTCCACATGGTACCAAGCATTGATCAAATAACCCTTGTCTTTGTGGATCGGGTTTCCGTGCAAATGAAAATATTTCTCATCTCGGCCAAAGGCGTTGAGTATCCCTAAGAAGGCGTTCAGGGTATCGCTGTCATACGTGAGGTTTCTGTTGCTGAACTCCATTAAATGCTTTCCAATATCGTTGGCGGGCAAAATAACAGGCTCAGTATCATTGAGGAAAGGTATCTTCCTTCTATTTGGCTGATCGAGTCTGTGCAATATACTCATGGGAATCTCAAACGATTCGATACAGGTCATATTATTGCACTGAAACATGACTTGCTCATCAGTGAAAAATATTCTTCTGTGCGACAGAATACCTTCCTGATAAGTCCAACCACGAGAACCCCATCGACTGGACCCAATCTTTTGGGCAGGAGGTGTACCGAGGTAGGTGAGCTTTATGCCATTAACTTGAGCATATCGCAGCACTGCATCAGACTGGCGAGGGTAAGTTACACCAGCCAAGCCGGAATTACAGTCTATTCCAGCGGCATCGATGATTGTGAAAAGCGCTTGCGAATAAATCGCATCCATCTTTTGTATCTGTTCCTGCTTATTGGGGTCCTTTTTGTCCTGGTTGATGCACTTACAGATTGTTAGCTCCTGTCATTCTGTGTTCATTCAACCTACATGTCGATCAACCCATAGATAATTACAGTTGAGTTCAGAGACCATCTTGATACTGTCCTTGACGACCTGGGGGAACTTATCTTCTGTATCCCCCCAGACATATGACAATGCAGCGTATTTGCAATCGGCCGGCGCAGGTATTACCACTGGTTCCTCGCGGTTGATGTATTCCGGCTCCGTGCAATCAATAACTCTAAAGTTTGATATTGTAGCGAGCTTTTCTGGCTTGCAGTTCTTCGGGTGATTCTTGTCACAATACTTCATCCAATATTTGATCAACCTAAAATTGATCTTCTCATATTCGTAGCGCCGAAGCTCATGGGAGGTGGATGCTTTGCGCAGTGGTTCAACTGCTATAACATGGCCCATGTGTCTTCGCTTGTCAGGCTGTGGCTCGTTTCTTCCTGAAGCAATAAATACAAGGCTTGTGTCTGGTCCTAAAGGATGTTCGCGGGTACTGCTACCGGTAAAAAGTGCACTCAAACTGACTGCCCGTAAAGAGCATGTTGAAGTATCCAAAGCCGACGGTTTCAATAAAGCGAACAGCTGACAAATCTCACAAGAAGATGAACGCAGCTCTTCGTGGCACTCATTGACTGCGACATTAAACTTCTTCACCTGTTGGCCGTTGTCCGACTTCTGGATTAAATATGACCATCTTATGGCGCAACAGCGTGAACAAAGATGATTTGGTAGTGATTTTGCCCTTAGTCGAGTGTTTGGCTGCTCATCGCTCGAGCAAGACCTTTCCCGTTTCATTATTGTGAGTCAATGTCGTGTAAGTCCAGAAAAAGAGATAAGTTATTGTAAGAGAGTAAAGAGTTGAAAAGGCAGGATTACAATTGCGGCCTGATGAAGAGAGGGGAAATCAAATCTGAGCCAATAGCATATCTCGGTAATAAGTTAGTAATGCCCAATGCATGAATGCCTACAGTAACCTAAACATAATAAAAAGACAGACTTTTTGTACAGTTAAATAACCGCGCTATAAAAGCACAGAGTATTGGGTCTAGATAGAACATAAAATGTTCTTCAAAGAAAAAGCATGGTATTGGCTCCAGGCGACATTTTTTAATTTTGATGGATCAGCGTAAGGTTAAGTATAGGCTTTAGAAAATGCAGACACAAATCAAGCGATGTGTGGCACAGCATGAGCTTCAGGAGACAGGAATGAAATCAAACATTGGACAGAAACTCAGAGACTAGTATGTCGGCGGCGTGTCGGTCCACAGCGAGTCGCCGGGAGTGGTAAGCTGTATGATATTGCATGATTTGCATAACTGGGTAGATGGAGAGATTCATATTACCCCGAAGAGGTCTATAATAGAGTTTTAGGAATCCCGATCTTGTATTATTCTTCGGTGTTAACTAAACGCTTCTGGAGCTGCCTGGGTTTGGACCTCTTCTTTACTATATTCCCCGAATTTCGGCCAGAGTTGGAATGACGACTCCTTGCACGGTTCCTACTTCGCGTACGTGGGCCCCGGAGGCGCTGCAGTAAAGATGCCAGATATCCCCCGTCTTGTTTTGCCTCGTGCATGTTGATACGGTGTTCATCCTGAAGCGTGTAGGCGCGGAACGATTCGAAATCATCCCACACCTTGACGTCCTTTTGCACCCGGCGCGCATCAATAAGGTCAACTATGTTGACAAGAGTATTCTTTAGATCCTTCTTGCATTCAGGTATTGAGTCCTTTTCAGGTATGCGAACCTCACGACAGAGGCTTTGGTATCCTTTTAATTGTTTCTCTTCGGTAAGCTCTTCTCCTGTCTGCTTCGACTGCGAGAAGTAGTGCAGTTGAAGTTCTTCGCGCATCGCAATGGTGCGTTCCTGCGTGTAGAGTTGGGAGCCAGGAACTCAATTTTGAGACGACGCGAGGCGAGCGAACTCATCGTCGAATGACACGTTGTCGTTGGGTGTAAAATTATCAAACTTGGCAAAGTGAGACTGGGACATTGGCATATCCTCGGCCTCTTCCTTGACTGACATGATTAAAATTGTTTTGTGTCAAATAGATGGGTGTGAGGAAGATGAAATGAGCACGTTTATAAACGCGTTACGGTACAAACGCGAAATTGCATTGTCTCAGCTGTCGTGCACGTGACTATACAGCATTGACTCTCTAGGTTATGATTGGTAGTCGCGGAAAGGACTGTACTTTCAAAAGCTTTACTCCTGTAAAGCGATATGCAAAGAGAAACTCTATTAAAATTCCCTGGGATATCACTTGGGTCATTCAAACAACATACTATCAGGACAGTCCTTCACAGAGAATTCAAAAAAGGGACAGAACGACTGGATAGTGGGTATATGATATCAAATTAAAAATTCCAATTTGTCCTAAGAACTGGCTTGAGGAACATCAATTTCCTCTTGGCTGTCTCTAGTCAAGTCAATGTAATGATTATTCTCTCCACCTTCAGACTGAATTTGAGACTCCTGGTCCGATACATGCTGGAATTGGCGAGGAATGGGAGAGCTGGAAGGTCGTGGTTCACCAAATCGTTGGCCTGAGGACCAAGCAGACCGTCTAGGAGGTGATCGACCAGCAAGAACAGGTGAACCAGAAGGTGTCCTAGCCGTCAAGCTACGTTGACGTTGAGACCCCAGCGGCCAAGCAGGGCTTTCAGGCGCAGTATTAAAGCTAAACTGACCTGAGTGACCGTCCGGTCTCGGAGTATTCTCAGCTGAACCGGAAGTTGCACCAGGAGAGTTTGATGAGGAATTGTGGCCATTTGCCTTTGGTCGCTTAGGCGTCGGACTTTGGTATGGTGTAGCACGTGGGGTTGTTACATCCCTAGAAGGAGACCACACAATCGACGAATGTTCATCGAACTCTGCAACTGAGGATTCAGCGTCAGAGGTTTCAGCCGGGGCATTGTTGACTTCATTAGCAGCGGATGGCGGTTCTTGCGAGTCCCTGTAGTCAAGATCATTCGGATCATCATCATCGACTGGAGGGATTGGAGTAGGGGAACTTGATCTGGAATTCGATGCTACTGGTAGGGAGTTGAGTAAACGACGGGTAGGCTGGCTTGCATGAGCGTTCCGGCTCTGATTGGAAGCAGACTCCGTGGTCTCGTGTGGCTCATTGATGCTGAGAAGCTTGAATTTATCTTCAACGGCTCGGTCGATTTCTTTGGCGATGAACTCTCTCTCTGAATGACAGATCTGATGCATGAAGAGACCCAACAGCAAAGGTGTTAGTTTCTGATGGGACAGTTCGTCCAGCTCCATCGTCGCATGATCCTCAAGGATATCCTGGATAATGGGGAGGATAGCCCGACGTTGCTCAATCGTCCTGTCGCGGTTACTCTTTGACTGTGCCAACATGGCGTGTGTGTTGAGATCAAAGGAAGGGTGACAATGCACGTAGTTCCATTGTTCGATATACGTGGCTATCAAGGGCTTGAACACTCTCATAGCCCAAGTATGCACGTTTTCAAGAATCATTTGGAGTTCAAAGGCGTCCACGAGTTCAGTCATGTCACCGCTCCATACTGCATGCATTATCTCACCAGTCACGTTAGTAGGGAAACATAGCTTAGATGGGCGGATTATGCAACGCAACTTACATGACCCTCCTTCCGTCTTTTGGTCGTTACTTCGTTACTGCTCCTCCTGTCGCAGGGTGCATCGAAGTCCTTCGCATAGTACATAAGCCAAATGGTAACTCGTGATCCGATGGTTGTCATGGCCGGGATGGGTGGCACATGAGCCTGGTCGAGCAGCTTCACGGCGTACTGGGCCGAGTGCTGTACCAAGCTTACGGCGCACGCCGCACCGTTGGCTGCCTGGCAGCATACATTCCTTTCGGATTCATTTTCTTTCTTGTGCTCAATGACGAGCCAAGGGTAGCACTTAAGATCAGCTTCACGAGGTGGCTGGTTGAAGATTCGACGCGGGGTTGGCTGGAGGCCGAACTCATTAAGCTTCTTCAGAGTTGACCATGAGAACGGCTCTGTCCCTAACGGTCCCAGAACCTCGTTCCATTGTCGGGCATCGGGATCAGATATTGTAGGAATTCCGGCCTTGTTCGCAGAATGGTAGATGGGCAGGAAGAATGCGTGATCAGGCTTTGGGCGTTTGACGCTCTCGAATGGCCCGAGACCATTCTCATTGTCCTTGGAGAACAGAGTCCATGACTCGTCTGTTTCTCTAACACCAATTTAACCACAATTAATAAACAGCATGTAGCGGCGTTTCTTACCTCTTTACACCGTCGTAGTAATATTTGTTACGTGACACACTAAATGATTACTGTCAGCTACGCTTCACACAGGGGCATGCATTGAGAATACCGCCGAGAATCCTCTTTCGACACCGAAAGAGAGTCAGACAGAGCTGCAAAGAAATATGCCTCGAAGAATTTTTCCCACTTGTCCTCTTTGTAGCCGCCGTTCATTATGATTATCGCCTCACGTTGGGCCTTCTGCGCGACTTTCAAAGCTGGTTCCGCATCATGACTGCCGAGCAAGGGCTGGAGACTACGATGGCTGGTATGAGTAGATCCTTGAATTGCGCATGAAAAGTCTAGGGTCGACTGTCGCACTCTTTCAACGTGCGACGGCAAGACCTCGGCGGGGGAATCATGCAGCGTTTCATCATAGAAGATATTCTTCTGGCCAAGTTCGTACCGGTCCCAAGACATAATGGATCTATGATGGAGGAAATGACCGACAATGCTTGGGTGAAGGGAAGAAAGCTGGAGGAATGAGGGGCTAATATACTCACCTTCCCGGCCAGCCCGGCCTCCCCAGCACTAGAATACAAGCCTTGGGGGCTGTTTATGTAGCAAACCCAATCGGCATGTCCGAGCGCATGCCATATTCATCCTTCCATTTGTCCGCGTGATGGATCTGTTGGTTGATCCATGTAAGTTCTCAACCAACTGCATAACACGGTGTATCGCCTGACGACTAGCAGCGCTGCTATGATGTTATGAGTGGAGACGGACGCAACTCTTCCTACATATGGAAGTTTAAAATCCCCCCCCAACACTACCCTGGTCAAGGGTTCAGAATACAAAGCGTGGCTTATCTCGAAGTCGATTATCGCCAAGACTTGGAAGACTCTTTGGCCCGCTTCGTCAAGGGTGCCACTTTCTGTCACATACATGTCCAATTCTATCTTTACCATGGTCTCTGCATACCTTCGGTATTCTCAACCACATGTCCTGTTCACTTATAAGAGTTTCTTACTCAATTTAAACTTATCCGTATTCCGGGACCTAATAATCTCTATTGTGGAAGAGGCCGCATCCCTTGTCCGCGCGCCGGTGTCTTTCCCCGTCTAATAGATGACTGGCCGTTCGACAGCCGTTGCGATGCAATGGTCCTAGCTCCTCTACCACCAACCATTGCTCTGACATGCTCTACACCACGAGCGTGAAGCTGTCGCTGTCGTCCACTCAGAGATGGACCAAGGGGACTTCTGGGTTTTACTTTCGTCTTCCGATCAGAATCCTGTTGAATGAGGTCACCATCGTCCTCTGACTCATATACGTCATACTGCGTCGGATCCTGGCCGTTCTCCTGGCTGTAGCAGTCTTCCTCGTCATACCCATAAGTACCGAGTCCTTCTTCATCCTCCATGTAGTCGTCTTGACGTGGATACCGATATCTTGACCCTCGAACCTGTTGACCATGGTGTCCTCTGGAACTACCGACACCTCCTGACCCATATCGCTGTCCATAACTCTTCTGCCATTCTCTGTTGACGCGAGGCAAGCAGACTTGGGGGTTCTACATAACCATATCGGTCATGACGCAGACGGAAGTTCTTGGCCTGCTGGGCTGGGCTGTCACCATGGACTTCCTTGAGATAACGCGTGAAGGCCAGATATGATCTCGCCACGTCACGGAAGTGTTTAAACGTCAAACAAACATTAATCATCTTCTTAGACCTGGCAGCTACATCTTTGACACTTTGCCCTCCAGCGGCCGGATTGGCAAGCTTCTGGGCCTCGAATTCGGCCAGTGCGAGGGCGGTCTGACAGGCGTTACGGATCTGGCGGCCGTTCCAACGCGCCTCCGTATTCTTTTCGTGATATCGTAGAATGAACTCGTTGATGGCCCTTTTCCACCAGGCCGCCCGAAAGGGAATCCTGCCTGAGTGGCCTGGTCTTGCGGTCGTATGCCACCTGGTAGCGGTATAGGAGCTGGAGGCCACCCCGGTGGTGGTAGCACACTAACTGGCGCTGGCATACCTGATGGTCGCATGGTACGTGGCAGTTGATCCATAGGCATGTGATGCAACAGACAGAGCTCCTCGATCTTGCGGTGAAGTCGTTGGATTTCCTCTCTCACAGTGATAGCTTCGTTACCGACTTCTGTGTCTGCGCCAACTTGCGTGTTGTGAACCACACCATTAGTCTCTTGATCTAGAACAGCAGGATCAGGATTTAGATCCTCAGTTGGACTAGCTCTGCTGCTTTCCTCACCCGCTGGATCTTGAGAGGCTTCGCTAGATTCCAGCAGACTCTTTGATCCAATAGCTGACTCCATGCTTGAATTATTAGGGTCATCAAGTTGTTGAGATCTCATATCTTGAAAGGGAGTGATAGCCGGTGACTCCCCCATGGCATTCGTGGACTCAGGGAGTGGATGCTAGAACTGAGTGGTTCAAGGGGAAATTGGTCGATAATTAGGCAGAGACTGACCAAATGTTGTATGCGCAAGAGGACGAAATCTAACAGTAAAAGGCTCGATGATCTACAACGGAGCCTTGTTTTCGAGTACGCCTTACAAGGATCATCATGCCTGATACGTGCCACATCATAGCCTCAACCACATGCAACACTGCGCGCATTCAATCCGAGGGCTGACAACTTTACGTGCTTACTATACATTACGATCCTGCTTGGTAAGTGGAGAAGCAGCTTGATGATTGGACATGCAGTTTAACTAGTGTGGCGTGACTTGTCTTGCATCGGCCTGCATGAAAAGTCGTCTTCGTATTTACTCATATGCGAGATTTTATGTGAGAGAATGAAGAGCTAAGAAGGTCAGCTTACGGGCTTTCTGCCATAATTCATAAGAATTGACAGTTCTGTGACCCTTTTCCCTCGGTTTTTTTGACTGGTACAGCAAGTAATGGAGATCTCAGCGTCTAAACCACATTAGGCCACATTAGGCCACATGCAGAGGATTTGACAAACAGGCTTGCTGCAGAATAACAGGCAGATTATTGGCCCCCAATACATCAAGCAAGAGGCAGTGTCGTTTGTGGAGGCTGAGCGGCTTAACCCTGCAATACCGATTTGAAACCCACATCTCCATTGGCGACCTCTTCAGGTGTGTTGGGTGTGATGGTTGTTAAATCAACGTCAAAGCAAGATTTCTTAGACGACAACCGTGCCTTTATTTCGCGAAGCTTTTGAAAATCCCGAAGTTCGATTTAACACCTTTCTAGGCCGCTACGCACCCCTTTCACAATTCACCGAAGGCAATAACACAATGGATCGGCTAGGGGATCATGAGCTGCCGGAATTACTCCCCGAAGCGTCACCAGACTCGACACGGCGACCGTTCTGGGAGGAGATGTTGCCTCGAGCGATGGAAAAACTCAAAACCAGCCGTGATGAACCTGAAAGGCTCATTAGCACTTCCAACAGCATCCGAGCCGCGACAGGATGGGTCGAACTTGTCAATATTCTTGAGAAGGCCAGGGCGAGATACTATGGCTACTCCGGATTTGTTGGCTTTTGGAAGCGGACATGACACCAAGCGACAGACCGCGCAAGCGATGCAAAGAGACTTGTTTCGCTTCTACCAAACACGGAATACTCGTCAATCATTCATTGCGTCTTTGACATAATTTTCGATGCAAGTTCATCTACTGTCAAACCTCTCTCTAACAGAGCTCGCTCAAAAAGTGATAGAAACTGACAAAAGACAGGCTGCTAAGAGAACTTCTCAGATCCGAGAAGAAATCGAGACCAGTCTACGCCAGTTCAGAGAGAAGCTGGAGGACGTCGAGAATGTTGTGGCGGTGTACACGAACGAAGAGGAGATAATAGCTGCGGCCCTGGACGTCATAGTATCCATCCTCCAAGCCATTGAGGATATTGTTGATTATTACTGGGCGAACAAAGGTAAGTCATGAGTCTCTTGTGCCTCGAGGGTAACTATACTTACTCGATTTATAAGTGAGGAAGATCGCCAAAGTGTTGTTGAAGGGTCAAGATTACAGAACAGATCTCACAGATTGCCTCAACGGGCTTAACTCTAGCAGTAGAAGGTTAACGGAGAAGGCGAGCATTAGAAACTTCCGCGTAACTTCCTCAATCAATGTCAAAGTATCAGAAGGTGTGGAGCAGCCAAGTACCATGGTGTCTTCAATGAACAAAGTGCTAACTACATACTTAAGGATTTGTAACGCTGAAGCAGCTACAACTGGACCATATCAAGGTAACCAAAGAGCAAGGTCGACTAGCAGATATGCCGTCACAGATGAATGAATCCGGCCGAAACATGGCCAAAGAGCAGCGGATGCTAGCTTCAGGCCTGAATAGAGAAGTATCAGCCAATGAACGAAATGCCGCTGCCATCTCCGCTGCTGATCTGAATGCCTTCGAAAGAATTATTCAAGAGCACCTCTCTGCTATGAACGGTAAGTAATCATCTGACACCAGCCAGGACTCCAACTAACCTGTGCGCGTACGACAGGGGTCCAACGGTTGAATACCCAGCTCTTGGCCACGAACGCACGCCTTTCTTCCGAAGTCAACGCCGAACGATCTCGCAGCCGAGATCATCGCTCACAAGGCCCTCCACGCATATCACAAGCTCAACTCCTGCGGCTAATAAACTTGAATTTGAACTTCGATATATCTCATGCCGAAGAGATTGATATGAACTTTATCTTGGACTCAAGTGCTCTTGTCAACCGTCGTGACCAGGGCCGAGCGGAACAACTCGTCAGCGATTCGAAATTCCGTCAGTGGGTAGTCAAAACGTCTCCCACTGAACTTCTCATTCACGGCCACATGCGACCCAGCCGAACGAACGTATCTGCCATTTCACTTTTCACCGCCTCCATCTTGCAAAGCTTGCGTAGTGTCGACCGCTTTTGTGCCATTGCCTTCTTTTGCGGCCAACACACCGGTTCAAACGACCCACTCAGAGGAGGCGCTGGGATCATTAAAAGCCTTATAGCGCAGCTCCTCGATCAGCACCGTTTCGATGACGCTGATCTAGCACATGTGTCCCGAGAGGTCGACCCAACGTTGCTAAAAGGCGATGCAGAGGGGATTCAGGTGCTTTGCAAGTTGTTTATTGTCTTAGTTCATCGACTGGGTAGTGATACTACGCTATTTTGCCTGCTGGACAGCGTCAATGTGTACGAAGGTGAAGAGTACATGCAGGATATGTATGTGGACATGGTGCTGGTTGAAATATTATTTCTCACGCAAGATAAAAAGGTCAAGGCGCATGTTAAAATTCTACTCACAAGCCCGACGGATACAAACATAATCGGGAAAGGGTTTCAACAGAAGGATATACTGTCTATGTCGGGAAGGCTCCTTGTCGATAAGCATTTCATAACAGGCGGATTTCGCAGAACCTTCGAAGCACCCTCGATGGTAAATGATAATAGTCCATTTAATATGTCTGCATCACCGTTTTGTCGTACCATCGATGAGACTGCCTTCCGTTAAAGGGCTCACTATTATCTCTTACACTTGAGTCTGTATGTACTGGCACTTTCTCTATTTCTACCAAAAATGGCTATAATCCATATGGTTCATCCTAGCGCCCAGACGCATCAAGGAATGGAACGATTCCTTTCTCAATCCACCATCTACGCCTTGCACCTAAACTTGATTCATCCGGTTCTGCACATAGTATCTCTTCATAGAGACTCTCATCCTCTTCATAATTAAAACCCGCTTCTTGTAATGAAAAGTGGACATTGTTCCGCTGCGTGTCTCCTTGAATCAGCCAGATTTGTCGACAGTTGGCAACCATTTGGAGGACCCTTGATCGTTCTCGATACAGAGTCTCATGCCCCCAATCTGTCATGACATGAACAGTTTTGATTATTGGTATTTCCCACCAAGCATCCTCATTTGCCTCTCTCGCAGTTAGCTTCCTGCGGCGGTCTAGCAGCTGCTCTCTAAGTGATGTTGTGACTAGCTTGAAGTAGCTAGATTCTTCCAAATCCGTAGAATCGTACAAGAGTTCGCCGTCTGCTCCGATAGATCCTACACAGCAGGGTGAGGATCCATCACGGGGGAAAGTTTGGAGAAGAGAGTCAACCTCTGTAACATCTTGATAGCTCCAGGAGCCTCGAGAGTCGTAACTATGCCGTTTCTGAAGACTTTTCTTATCTTCAAGCACACACATCTCCATCATATGCTCATTTGTCCATTCTACCAAGAAAAGTTCGCTGATGTGCCCAAACAGTCTCAGCACAGATGTCAAGTCATGAAACTTGAAGTGGGTCTCCCTGAAGCGTGGATGTGCAAGAAACAGAGATCCAGTAGATCTCTCCAGAGCAACCCTTCTGACTCTTCGCATATCTTCAGGGTCGAATTGACTGAGATCCCAGTGGCAACCACTCAGGATGCGATGATCAGTCTGCCCAAGATCTTCACGAGAGAGAAGCAAGATGTCGTGATCATAGTTGAACCATGTCCGGGGCCCGCTCGATCGTGTGCTGAATGCGAGCCGGTAGCCTCGCTTGATTAACTCATCCCGAGACTCTGAACACGTATGCAAAAGCGCAGGAATCGGAGCTTGACTGTATAGGTAGCCCTTCCTAACGAGCTGCCATGCAGTCTGTGGATCTTGCGCCAACAAATGGAGACAAATTCTAGGGGTGGATGTGCCTGTCCAAGGCCGGTAGGGCAACCTGTTACTCGAGAAGCCAAAGGCTTCGAGCGTCTGCTGATTGCTGTGGCTTGGGATCCGATTCCTCCAATTGAAAGAGAAATGGGCCAGCGCTTCATCGAGGTGAAGGTAGTTTGGTGTCAGCCTTAGATTCTCGTTGAAAGTCTCGTAATCTTCTTCTGTGAAGTGTTTGACATGCACAACGCGGGGTGGCGTGGCGAGTTTATAGATTTCCTGGCGAATCTCGAGAGGAAGCGAGAAAAAGCCATGGAATTGTGATGTCGCCATAATGACTTGCGGTGTGTTACATATGACAAGTCGTAGCAAACTCGCTGGTAAATAAACGGAGGGGCCAATTCGGCCGATTGTATCAGGTGGTAGTAAGACATGGAACAGCGCTCCACCAGTCGGGCTGAGCTTGGCCAGTTATAGAGCTTGAACCTGATGGCCTGGCCATTCTCAAAGTAAGCCGAAGGTCATCGGATCAACATTAGACCGAATGGCATTATTGCTGGCCCTTACCAAGAAACGTGATTACCCTATAGTGCTGTGAAGGCTGGACCAGGTCGAACTGGGCAAAGTCTTATCGGCAGGTAATCTCATCAATCCAGTATTGAATTTATTGAAGCGAATGGCCTTACCATTTTGCCAATCCCCACCTAAAACAACGGCGCAAATCATCATCAAAACAATAACAGCGATGCTAATTTTGATACGACACACCGTAAAGTCAAAAAGTACTAAACCCCATTTTGGAATGGCGAATGTCAGAACATGTTCTACGATATTACGAGGTTTACCTGAAAAAATTGAGCTACCTAGTTCTGTATCCTGTGTTTCTATACGCACCATCTCAGTAGTTATTTATTAACGCAGGTACTCCATAACTAGTATGCGTTATATCAAGATAACCAGATTTGCCTGTGTTTCTTATTCCAGCTCTGCAACTATGACCTGTCTCTGGCCACTAATCTTCCCTTCTTGGAGAATGTCCCACACCTCTTGCACCTTTGACAAGCCACCAACAACTCCAACAGGCACAATCTTGAACTTAGGGTTAGGCTTAGGGTTTATTATACACTTCAAATGATTTGTCGTTTTCAATACGTCACTTAATATCCTCTAGTCTTTCGCGGCTGAGCCATTGGCCTCACCACAGTGGCGGCCCTGGTACACTTATTACAGTCCCCTACAAAAGTTCCAACGACGAGGGACTATAAGATATAAACAGACATAAAGATATATAAAATAAACAATAACTAGAATATTTCTTAGTAATCTTAGGATAGAATTACATAAGACTTTATATAGAATATGAGAGTTTATTGTAATTTATATTATCTTATATAAAGTCTAGAAAAGACGAGGTTATTAGAACTTTTGCCTACCCAATGTAGAGTGCCTTAGTCCCATATAATAAGCCATGAACTGACAAACGATATTAGACAAGGAAAAAGCAGTTGTGGTCATGGAATTTGTCCCAGCAATTACTCCAAAAGAAGTTGAAAACTGAGTTCACGTCATAAAACAAAAGAACTCGTCTTGACACTGTGCACACTGACCTCTGACAAGGTGTTCACAACTATTCCCTAGATTGGTCACTTACCCTGTAGTATGACTCTGGTTCAGCGTATCTTTGTTGCCTTATTGATAACCTGTTAGTATTTCTCAAAGTTGAGAAGGCCAAAGGCGAAAAAATGGCCAGAATTCAAATCCTGTTACGCAGTGGCTCAAAATGCAAGTGGCTAATATTGTTGTTGATCATCATGAGCAAAAAGAATTGTTGAAAGAGGAATAAGTGATGGACAATACACAACATATTGAGGATATCAAAGGGGAGAATACTTAGTGATATATCTAGTGTGTAATTTCATTTCGAACGTTATATGGTAGTAAAGAGACGGCAGTTTATCATCTTGGATGCTAGGCTATCTGTCTAGAACATCGAAAGCTTAAGTGAGGGAGCCAGTGGCATTAGAGCCTCCCTTGTCTTGGTCAATTTAAGGGAGCCCCGAAGCCGAGACCTACTAGGAGTACCAGAAGGGAATGTCTTAATCTCTGCTAGAAGCTACTTAAGCTTATTTCAGGGGGCTGTGCCAAGCCCCTCTGCAGCATGAAGCCGTATTGGAGGGTTATCTTTTAGCGCCGACGTTTTTCGGGTCTAACTAAACCTCTTGAAATCAGTCGTACATTCTTCATAGGTAGACAAACCAGCGGCATAGAGATGTCGGTGGAATTCGGTCACGAACATCTTTCAGAATAAATTTTGACGCTCAAGAGGATGTCACCATATCGACAAGTTTAAGCATTCAAAGTTTTATTAACTTAGATATTCACTAAGCGCCTTTGGAACGAAGAGAAGAAAGCCTGCAGGGCACGATGTCTTGACAGCGCAAGACCCCTGCACTGCGTCGCACGACACCTGCATGGCTCTAAATTGTGATCACACGAGCGTCTTGAACGGGACAAGCGCCGCCGGTCTGCGTCTTCATTTCAGCTTTGATGGTCAACGAGCTAGGTTGAACTTGAACTAGCCCCAAAGGTTTCATGCTCTCAAGTCCGCGGTTAAACACCTAGGTACTGATTTGTGCCCAACCAGATTGACGTGGAAATATTTCGATCTCCCTAGATGAACAATTGTGATCCAATCCGCTTCGCTCAGTGACTCCCTTGGGGCTACTAGACATCAATGATGTATTACTAGAGCCCCTGTGGCGTTAAACCCCTGATTTACTTAGGCTTTAGAGTATTCAAGCTTATTTACCGAAACACTGGTCTAGGCCACCTTGGCAAATGCTTGTATTAAAGCTTATTTTACGACATTCAATAGTCTGAACACTAGCCCCCCCTTTAATTAGCGCCACATGTGTCACAACCTAATTGAATGAGCAGACACATTCAGGAATCTTTTCCCCCTCCTTATTTAGCGCTGTTATACCCTTTGACTATATTACCTTGCCAGGAACCTCAGCTCTTGGTATTTTACGCATCTTCTCTACACTTTCCTTTCCAAAGCGCGATCAACTTTATTCTTTTAACTACTTCTTAGTCTCATCAAAATGTCAGACAACGGCGGAGATGACGTATCACAGTTTGATACAAGTCCAAAGCCGCAGCCCAATGAACGCATATCAGGGCTCGGGAGCTCTTCAGCTCACCACAATTCCCCACCTTCTCCTTCCATCAATGCCAACAGACAACCCATGTCCAGCGATGGAGACGAAGACAACAACTACTTCAGTCGTCCTCGGGATCTTCAACGTCACTCCAAATGGCCCCTTATGCTACAGCTACACGGTTCTATTATGCCGTCGCTTATCCTTCCGCTCTTGTTCGTGGCCTGTTGGGCAACAGCTATTACAGTCATCTCCAAAAAGGTCCATGACCTGAGCGTCAACTCTGTGCTGCTTACCATTCTCGGTTTCGTTGTCGGCCTAAGCCTTTCGTTTCGATCGTCTACTGCCTATGAACGTTATGCTGAGGGTCGCCGATATTGGGGCACATTGGCCACGGCATCTCAGACTCTTGGTCGTATCATCTGGATTCATGCTGATGATAAGGGTACTGGCCAAGACCCTCGCGAACTTTTGATTAAGAAGCTCGGGGCCTTGAAGCTTATTGCCGGGTATGCCGTGGCCCTTAAACATACCCTTCGCTTCGAACACTGCGCCAGTCAACCCGACATGCAATCCTATATCGCACACCTGAATACGTTCGCTGGGAGGACAACCGCGCCGACAAAACGGGTTACAAACTTCAACAAGGTTGCCGGCGAATATCTCGGTCTCTCCTTTGCTCAAAGCGATCCTCGAAAGTACCTCAAACGAGCCGAAGAGCATCAAGGAAATCTTCCTCTTGAGATCCTCAATCACCTGGCGATAACTCTCGATTGTATTATCGCCAACAAACAGTTACCAGTCTCCATTCACCAGACAATTGCTTATAATCACCTGACCACTCTGAACGACGTTGCAGTCGGCTGCGATCGTGTTCTGAATACCCCTCTACCTGTCGCATATACCATCGCAATCAGTCAGATTACCTTTGTGTACGTTATGCTTTTGCCATTCCAATTAACAGGCCCACTTGGTTGGATTGCTATTCCGGCCACTATTACAGCGGCATACATCATCTTCGGCTTGTTATTTATTGGCCAAGAAATCGAAAACCCATTTGGCCGCGATGTTAACGACTTGCCGCTTGATGTCTTTTGCGAACAAATCGCAAGCGATCTAGACATCACTGCCTCTTTTGATCGCCGCGCAGCTGATCACTTTTTGCTTGGGGGCGCGCCATTACACCCTGTTAGCTGTGCTGTAGGTCATGCTTGGATGGATCGTAGTGAGGAAACACTCAGAGAGTCTGTTAAAAACAAACCTCATGTTCTTTTCAGTTGGCGGCGCGGAGGTGGTGCTAGCCATTCTGCCAAAGATAGCGAGAAGAAGGAAGTGGATGGAAAGTTGGTTTGATGTAGTAAAGGCTAAACCTTTGCATAGTTTAATAGAAATGGGTTCATGCGGACAGTTGGTTTGAAATAATTCTTTTCACACAATAACTATATTTTTGAGCTGTGACTTCGATGACCCAACCCTTTCGCCAGCCATTGCTTTGTAGAAGAAGGCATCCCCCATAAATTCATACGCATCTCCACTGCCGCTGGAAGGGCTGACCCTTCTTAGTACAAATGGCAGTTTTCCTCTAGATAAAACCACAACTGTGTCATCTTTCTGCACCAACTCAGGTCCAAAGCCAAAATGCCCAGTCTGCCCATGCTCGCATTCGTGACCAAAGAGTCAAAGTTACGTGCCGCCTCCTTGACCTCTTCGGATAACGAAGCTGGCTTAGAATGTGTAAACTATGTGAGCCATACCTGGTAGACCTTTACGTACATGGCGGAATCAACATCCAATGGTAGGACGACAATACCCCCGCACAAAGTGTTAAGAAACACCGATTCACGACTTCCACAACACAAAGCCTCTGGAGCCAAGTCCCCTAGGTCTATCTGCAAGCCTGCTAGTTGACACTATGTATCAATAAGTGATTTACCTCCAAGCTTCGAAGTAGTAGAAGGATACCCAGGGGCGGTCTCTTTAATTAGCCCTACCTAAAAGCCATGGGTTATAATAAGTCCTAAACTGTTTTCCTTCCAATATGGCTTCATATCTCCAGAGGTGTTGAAATGACCGATCAAGTCCATTCGCTGGTGATACACTAGATGATAGCCACTTTCCATAGCTCCATCCCAGTCAGGGACCCAAGTCGGCAAGCCCATCGTTCTCCTCAAGGGACGAACTATGCAGCGCGTGGCTTAGTACGTCGAGTGACTGAGACTTTTCAATGAGCATTATAGCTAGATTCCGGTATACGGTGGCTGTTGACATAGTGTAGTCTGCTGGCAATGTGTCCTTAGTCTTACTGGTCTGAAGTCGCAATCCAGACAAGCCAAATACTCTATCGCGAGCATCTGAGCAATGCCTTGTTCGAAAAAGGCTGATGACTCCCAACAGGTCTTGAGCCTCGGACGGATCTGTGTTCAAAATGGTGATCAGATTGGTCATTCCGATTCAAACTATCATCCATAATTCGCATTTTCCGGACATCAGTAATCAACAACTCCCGCATTATCGTTTTCAAGTCAGATGGCTCCATTGCACATACTGCTACTGGGCATCTTGGTAATTCAAACTTGATCGTCTGCGCCCTCAGAACTTACATATTGGTACGTTGTCTTCCAACCTTGCACAAGCTTCATCCCGGCTCCGTGGATAATAGAGTTGTCCCTTTACATACTTGTTGCTTTCCTAAATAGCGTGTCTGAACTGATACAAGAAGGCCCGGACCCTAGGGGTGGATTGTGCTCTTGGTAGCGTGATCACAGGAATTGTAGTCTACAGGTAGAGGTAGTTGAACATGCGTCCTTGGAGTCTAACTATGTATTCCTGACCCAAACCAAAACAAGGGACGCCGTGAGATCCCCAACAGGAGAGATCGCGGTTGAGAGTGATTGCAGTGGTTAGCCGAGAAGTTTAAGAAATTACAAATACTCATCAATTTCTGCTTTCTCCGCAACACTTCCATCATTCCATTTTGGGCTATCTATACATGTCGAATTTGAGTGAGAACAAACCCCTTGACCTTCGTCCTGTTGCCTGCAGCCTTATGTTTATGTTGTCTCTTCAGTCTTGGCTAACTCCATTGCTCTCCTGTTGAGAAAAATCTTTTATCGCACCGTGCCATCTCGACGTTCATCTTTCTCAACCGCTACCAGCCATGACCTCGATTTACTGCCTCTTCCCTCCCCTCGCCCTTCATGAAACGAACAAGCTGTGTGATGTAATCCTTACTTATTTTGCACTTTCACGTCTAACCTGTTTGTCCTTCAAGCCTTCCACAAGGCATACTAGCTCTTCAGTCGCTTGATACTGCCGTTTCGCCATAACATCTATAGATGATTCGAGTTTTTGTATGTTACTTTTAAGGATACAAACAGCATCTCGGTTTAGGGTTGAAGAAATTGAGTTCATTGAGTCCATTGAGTCCTTGAAGTCCAAATTTCGGTGACTGAAGACGTTCTCATACTGAGCCATGATAAATAACTCAGTACTATAGAGGTCTTGTATTAGTCTCACCAGTCGGTCAGGTCCAGGACCAGGACCATGTCCTGGTATAGTAGATATTCGAGCCAATAATGCTTCAGTCTCGTCCAGGGTGGCTGTCACAGACTCGAAAACGTCGAACATCTCATCTGTTCCATTTTTCAAAACGGTATACCGTAAATACACAAAACCAAAAATTGCTGCGAGGAAAGTGAGGATGCCAGTAATACTAGCGGCGATCGACAAAGGACTATCATCCATCCTGAGATTGGGTTAACAAACTTGCCCAGCTATAGCGGCATAGTATTGACCGGCGGATTAGGGTCTAGATTCATGACTTTTAGAAATAAGAGCGATGTTATCAATCAGGTTGAGGATGTAGGCACCTATCCCCAGCCGCCGTACAGATTGGATACTCAGTGTCATTGGATTTGGATATTATTTGCTGACGTGCTTACGCCCGATAGCCGTGGCAAAAGTGTGCCCAAGCCTGTTGGGCATCAATCGTTTACAAGGTGGCTTATGTCGCCCGACTGATCAAGCAATAATACCTTTTTCATGTAACTGGCGTAGTGCAAGCTTTGCAGTGCATTCCTCAGTACAAGCCCCATGTTGTAATTTACAATGAAATCAATTGTGCAGTACAGCAAAGTGACACAGAAAACATTTTTCTGGGACCTGAGGCCTCCAATCCCCTCGTCTCCTACATTTGATGAAGGGGAATCATGTATTCAATCTCCATTTCAGCGCGTACGGCCAATACGTAGAGAGCCAGATAAGGATGTTCAGTGAACAATTAAGTTTTACGACAATGAATCACGTGGCGAAGTGGTGAATCATTTCACTCAAAATGGTCAACCAGAGAATGCAATTGCCTATATGTCTACCTTGTCAGACAGCACCGACACCTTATTAGTTTGCTAGGCTTCAAAGCTTGAACTTGGTTACAGTACTTGAAGAAAGTATTTGAGTTCACGCAACTGATTGGTTCAAGTCTCTTACTACTATGGAAAGAATGCATTTTGGCTAATCTCACTGCAATATGTGTCCCTGTCTCATACCATTGAGATTGTAACATGATGACAACTATCACAACATTTGACGCCTGGGGTCTTGAAAACCTCGGTGGGATCAAGATCGACATTATTGATAATCGTGTCAATCATTTGCGTCTTACCAACAATAACACACAACTATACATCTTTCATGTAGCTTCCCTTGAGTAACAGCAACATAGGTCAGTATCTAATATTCTTTCTAATTAATTCCATACGAGCGAACCCAGTCAAGCTCCGCCTCCCAAAACTCCCTCCTTCCAGAAGGGTTAGCAGAGGAAACCCTAAGAACTCTTGCGGTTTTCTTCCCCCAATCCGACTATTGTGGCTCGTTACGCTCTACACACAAAAAGCGTGTATGGCTCGAGAGACTATATGCCCATTCTACCAGGACAGTAGATCCTCAACTGACCTGGTGTGGAACTCCCAGCATAGAGGGCAGACAGCTCGCTAACTTTCGTTATTGGAAAGAATGTCTGCTTATCATCAAAGAGGAGTATGGTCACTTGACGCCTCCAAAGCTTGGGAAGTGGTTGCGTGACCGAAGAAATGAGGTACAGTGGCATAACCTCTGGGTCGCCATAGTAGTGTTGGGACTAACAGCGATGTTTGGACTGATACAGTGCATTCTCGCTGTGATTCAAGTTTATAAAGCATACCATCCATCTTAATGTACACTGCGCTTAAGGATGTTGATTATTAAACCTGCCAAAAGAACGTTGGGCTTTCTACACAAACAGATGATGGATGCTTACTATCGAGCTAGTGCTGAAAAGAGGAGCCATTATCATTCAAGTGGGCCGAGGCTGAACCAGAGTTAAGAGGGCATTAGTAACGGGCTACAGTATCATGATATTGTTTAGTTGTCACAGGCTAGGGGGCCCAACATCTACACCCCGCCTGAGAATTGCCAGATTACATATTGGTTGACCAGGACAAATGCTAGCTCAAGTAGAACTCTATCAATGAACAAGATACTTATAAAAGTTGTTTCAGAAACTAACGCCAAAGGTTAGAATAATTCTGATATTCCCCTATGTATGCTGACCACCCTCACCACCCGCTACTGCTTACACGTGACACTGTGCCTGTTCGACAATTTCCCCGCTTTGTCCTTTGATTGCCTCTTCATGTTCTTGTAGACATAAACCGGCCTATTGATAATATCTCTACCAAAAAAGTGTTTCTTATGTGTCGAATAATTCTTTGATACCTACTCGCATTTCTTCACGGAAAACCATCTTGCTATCCTTTAACATACAGGCGGATCTGGAAACCAGTTTTTGTTGCATTTCAAGACCAACACGGCTCGGGAGTTTGGTAAACCCTTGTAACCGCTGCAGCCATGAATGAAGAAAAGGAGGAACGCGGTAGTGGATTGTCAAAAAGGCTCCAGAGCCAATGGCGATATCCGTCATGCAGATCCTGTCTTGATCTCGACCTCGGCGCTGTTAAACGTGCGGTTGACAAGCACGAAGAGGGTTACTTTTTTATCGAAGGCGACCAGATTTACGGCATGAAACAACCCGCGAGACAATTCAGAGATGCCAGAGATGCCGGGTGTCGAATTTGCGCCTTGCTTTGGAGTGTGTTGGTCTTTTTTAATCCCAATTTTCGCAAAGTCAGCATCGATGCCAGAGCTATGCTGAGGTTTCCGACAAACGAAGAGAACGGAAGTCTGGAAATATGCTTCCGTGGAGCATTAGCTCGTGATATTTGTGTCCAACTATTTACAGGTGAGTATCACTTGTGGACCATTCAGTTCTCACCATGTCTAATGTTTTTAGTTTCTTCAACATTATGGAACCTTCTACGGCCTCTGCCTCTAATTCATACAGACAGGTCTGCAACAGCTGTGATATCCTTTGTTAAGCGAGCGATGCAAGATTGTCTGGATAATCATCCTCTATGCGCGAAGAATCAGAATGATCGTCTTCCAACTCGTCTTCTCGATGTTGCACAGGATCAAGGCAATGGAGTGCGACTTGTGCATACATACGACTGGAAAACTGTACGCTATGCAGCCTTGAGTTATTGCTGGGGGGATTCAGCTATCTTGAAAACGACTCGGTCTAATCTAAAATTGATGGAGCAAGGCATAGAAATATCAACCTTGCCGGCTGCGTATGTGGATGCGATACGCCTCTGTTGCGAAATTGGCATACCGTATCTTTGGATCGACGCCTTGTGCATCATTCAAGACGACCCTGACGATTGGCAGAAAGAGTCCTCCATAATGGGGAGTGTGTATTCCAATGCGTATCTTACTATTGCTGCCGAGTCAACCGCGTCAGCAACGCAAAGGTTCCTTGAATGTTATGAGGACCAAGTCAGCGCAGAAGACGGTCACGTCTATCCAGAATTCACAAAGGTCGTGTACTTGGGACACGGAGCCAAACCTGTGACTGTTGAGGCAAGGGTAGTTCATGAGCTTGGTATACACTGGAGATGGATCAATGACACGAGAGAACGCTTCCCCAAGGAGCCGCTTTCGAGGCGAGGGTGGTGTTTGCAAGAACGATTGCTATCGACACGCCTACTTTCTCTGTCTCTCCACGAGATGCAGTGGATATGCCAGACTACAACCTCATGCGAGTGCCAATCTTCACTTAACCGCCACAAACAGTTCGGTCCAACCCCACTCTCCCAGATTCCAGCTAGTCACGTCGCATTCCGTTTTTGGCTCAAGACGGTTGAGAATTACTCTCAAAGATCTCTCACACGCGTATCCGATAAGCTCCCAGCAATAGCCGGCGTTGCAGATATTATTCAACGCATAACAGGGTCAGAGTATTTAGCAGGTCTCTGGTTGAGTGATATTTATCTTGGACTGCTATGGAGAAGGGCGCCAGGCCACTTGCCGCAGATGAATACAGTGGCCCCGTCCTTCTCCTGGGCGTCGATAAATGGTGAGGTTGACTACTCTTGCTTCAGGAATGGAAAACGACCTTTTTATCCAGCCTGCTCTGTCCAACCTTGTAACACTAAAGCAACGTCCATGGGTATTCTGGATCGTGTTGATGCGAAAGAGTTGGTAATGCAAGGACCTTTGGTAGAAGGGATGCTTCAGCCTTCTCACGGAGAGAAAGACCTTTATGTATTCCTGGGTGGCCAACAATTTTCTCTTACCGTCGATACACACTTGGTAGAGCTCAGGGCAATTGAACCGGACGGAAGATCGATCAAGACCGTATGTAGAAGGCGCCCGCATGAGAGCCAGGAGGCATCTCATCCCAAATCTCTCCAGAGCAACTTGGGTGGACCTGGACAAATGCTAGATTCAGAGACGCGCTGCTGGGCTCTCAGAGTTGGTCACTTCCTATTTGAGGAACAGAGACCTTTCAATTTGCATGAGATCCTTGTGCTCGGGAGGTCGATGAACAAAGAGGGGGCTCTTGAAAGGATCGGGATGGTGACTTGTACAGAAAGGTTCAGCAAGAGTGGCGTTTCCACAATGTCGAGTTATTTCAATATGGAGAAGAAGAAAACAATCACGCTGATGTAACAAGGCCGGACAGTTCTATAGCCTATAAAGATTTACACCTTTTCGCATGGGAGCTGTATGATGAACTATTGTTCAAGTTGTTTGATTTACTACCGAAGATACCCTCACCAATCCTCGTCTAGAAAGGCTTCAATGTGTCCAGAAAAATAACATTCAAAATAACTAAGGCTAACAAGCATTCACAGCTCAGATTGCTTCAATACTCTGGAGCAATTGCTTATGTCTCTGTCCCAAATCCCTAATCTCATCCGCGAACTCGTTCATCTTGTCTTCTTGACCTTCGTAATGAGTTGGTGGGCTTGCGTGTGATCTCTGATAAGATTGAAACACAATATCCAGATCTGATTCTATAGTAGCTAGAACACTCCTGAGAATTGTATTGAGTCTTCCCGAGGTTGTTTTGATCAACTTATCCATACTTTCGGAGATTGCAACGGCCATCTGCGGGAAGATGACTCCCTGTTCAATGTGCCCTTGGACGATCGATCTTTGACGTGCGGCTTTACCGGTCCCTTCGCGATTTCATTTTGTTAGCTCTTTGCATTTCAAAAACACTTAGCACGCTTGAGTGATAGCCTAGAAGCACTCTGGTTCGAGGGAAAGATATGTGCATACCACATTGGCTCGCGGCAGACCTATATACAGGGACCATGTCTTGAAGTATGTAGGAGTTGTAGTTCGACTCGGAAGCGTATCTGCGTATAGCTCTGTTCAGGTGTCAGCGACTTTTCGCAAAGGGCATTGATAGGTGGCGAAGACAGGCGATTGGTCATACCTTACTTCGGCAGACAACTGTCTTTGCTCTCTGCCCATGCAGTACTCGAGATTTCCGATCTGCACAGTAACGCTTTCGACGATAGGCTCAACGAGCAACTGCGGGAGCGAATCTGTTATGGGAATTACTGTTAGCCTCTCCACCAGGATTGAGGTAGTTTCACTCACCATATAAACTAGATTTAAAAGACTCCAGACGACTCTTGGCATCATTGAGTAGAGCCTCAAAAACATCGCACACTTCTTCCTCGACAAGGTCCCATTGACCCTCAAGTTCCATCCGCATTTTCCAGATAATCTTGGCATTCCAATTCTCGTGCCCACGCTTCAAGGTCTCATGAACCCCATTGTTGAGACACCATGCGTTGTATTGAGCTGTGAAAGAATTAGTGCTAGGTCTTAAGGTCACGGGTTGGTCTGCTTAATTACTCCAGTGCCACTGTTATGATTAAGTTAGTCTTCTTTGTCTCCATTTACACACAACAATTCAGGTACTCACAGTTGTCCATACCAAGCTTTCCTTGGTTGCAGCCTGATCCCAATGCTGGTCTCTCCGGCCTAAGGGGAAGCTTGATTAGTATTGTGCCTCGTTTGTGAATGAGCTATGGACTACTACATACCGAAGAAGGTCATTATCTGCTCTCGAAAGCACGTCATAAAGTCCTGTTGGAAAGTATTGACAAGACTAGGCATCTGCGTGGTCCTTAAGCATGATTTATCATGACTAAGAACAAGACTCAAGCCCTTACCTGACCTATGAGCTCTGTGAGTGTGGTGTGTATAGAGTCATCTGGCTCCTCAATCTCATCTTGCTTTTGAAGCGAACTGGAGGCCCACAAATCCAGTGTATTGAGAAGAGCCGACAATCTGGACCTCAAAAAATGCTTTGCTTCATTCAATTGGGCATCAGCAGTCACAGTGTGGCAAAAGCGACGAAGACCTGGAATGCCGCTTGCTTCCACAAACTCAGTGTTTCCCTTTGGGCAATACTTCTCGTACCACTTGTTGGACACGCAGAATACATCCAGGGTTCTGCCGTTCATCTCTGACGAGTAGACGCTTTGGAGGTTTCGCTTGACATGTTCGTTCCGTGCTTGGACTAATAAAAGCTCCTGCCTATGCGATTGTCAGATTGTCTTAGTAGAAGATCACAGGAGTGAGCTTACTTCTTCTTTGCGGCCTTCTTCTTGGTTCTGTCCCCAGCATTCTTTGCACTATTGATCTCATCATCTAGCCGTGTCATGGTCTCGTTGGAGATACTATGGTTTGGACCGCAGAACTCAAGTCTTGCTGTGCGAAGATTAATCTCCTAATTGGCAGGGTTAATAATCAGCATGAACACGAGGAAGCCATCTCGTCATACCTCTGACTTGGTACACACAACTGACACGTTCAACCGTTGTGTGCCGGATTGTTCCCATTCCGTGGGCATATGGCGAGAAAGTACATAGAACAGTGAAGACTTGAGAGATTGATCGGTTATGGCACGGGATATCTTGGCAACGATTAAGATGTTGTCACACTTGATGAGATAATCTTGGGTTGCTCGGACTCTTGCCAGGTTCGTATCTTGGAGTCCTGAGGAAGATTATACGTTAAAATAGACTCCAGTGAAAAAAATCGGCCAGACTCACCAGGTAGATCTGCGAGAACAACTCCAGTCTTGAGAACCTGGGAGTTCAGATATACGCTGGAACGTCCTTGGGTTAGGTATGGTCTTTGAGGTGGGGAAATCGGTCTCCTACCGGATAATCTTGGTGAAAGGCCAGAATTTGTCTTGCATGAAGAGCTTTGTCTGCTCAACGCATTCTTCGGCAGTTTGCGCCGTTGACGTCCAAAACCCGTCTGCACCACTAGTTGGCCACTCAATTTCTCGTGACCACTCGATCAACTGATTCGTAATCCTTTCTAAAGCCCCATCAGACATGTCCTGCGCAAATCTTTGAGTGAATTGTCTCTTGTGTTTGAACGCTGCGTGCAACGCAGACCATGCTTGTTCAGATTGTCTCATATAGCGGTTGTAATCCTGTTCCGAGGTCTCACTGGACTCGACACCTGGAAGGAATAGCTGCCTGTAGCTCCAGAGAAGCTCTTTTATAAGCTCCCGTATTTCTAGCCCTGAGAGATACTCCACATCGATAGTGATAGGATCAGTATGGCCTGCCTTTTTCTGCCGATACTCAGTAACAACTGAGGTACAGGCGGACCCAATATCGCCCTGTCATTTAAAAACGGTATCAGTACTAATTCTTCCGGAGGCCATTGTGGGCACGTCAACACAACATACCGTTTGGGCGACCCCTGGAAAGTGGAGGAGTGAATTGATGAGACTGCTTTTCCCTAGGTGATGGAAAGAGTGTAAGTGGCAAATCAGTAGTACTTGGTGAATTCCTTACCTTCTCCTGAGTCACCTAGAACGGCGATTGTGCGTGTGTCAGTACCATGGAAACGTTGCAAACTCTTTGCGTCACCCAGCAACTTGTCAATTTCCGAGTCTATCTCCCCCGAAGCACCGGCTTGCACTTTTTCAATAGACCTCACGGCCTTCTGCGCTATATCGGAACCTAGCTTTAGGGCATCTTGGAAAGTGGCCATAAACAAGGCATGGGGAGGTGCCGCTTCTGCTCTATCATCATAGGGTGTAATGGGAGCTGATGGCTCAGGAGTTGGGGACGCTACGAAACTTGACTCTGGCGCCTTCACGCGGGGTTGGCTGGGAGTGGAAGGGGTTGATGGAAGCACTGATGAAGACTGACGTCTACTATCTGAGCTAGAGGGGGATAGAAACGAGAAAAGGGGTGCCTTGGTGCCATTTTCACTTGTGAGGTGAGATCCTTTTGCAGGAGGCGTTGTGAGATGCGTGAAAGGTGATTGCGGTTGATGAATGCGCTGTGGTGTTGTTGCTCGAGACGGAGAAGGCGATGGGAGCGGTGTCATGTTATGCAGTGTGCCGAATTCAAATGACTCAGCCCGAGTGTCTCTGTTAGTAGATGCGACATTTTGATCACGACCACCGAATTGAAATACAGAACTCGAGCTGATACTTCGGTTTAGAGACGGCTGACCAAAGACAAAAACGCCTTCATCTTCAGGCGAGATGGAAGAACCAGAGCGGGGCGAAGAAAAGGACAAGTCAATTTTTCCACGCGACTGTCCTGGACTTACCGCGTGGCTGCTGCCGGACTGGGGAGAGGTCTGACCGGCTCCTAATGACAAGCCTTGGAAGAGGATTGACGGCGGGTCTGGTGGGGAATCCATCTTGTGTTTGTTTATTCAAGCCAAAGGATAAAAGAGCTGGATTAAATCCAAGTATTACATGGCCAAGTTGGACACATGTAGACGACGGTAGACGATGGATTTTGCCCTCATTTAAATACCTCATACCACGCTGGCAACGCCAGGCTATGAGGTCTGTTGGTTGTGGTTTTATGCATGTTGGTTCATGTTGTCCAGGGGTAGACTACCAGGGGTTTCAGTTCTTTCGCACAGGACCAATCAAAGAAGTTTAACCTTGGTATCCGACCTGTCGCGTGATTACTATCGGCCTGTGGCCGCATTTGTTTCTAAAAATAAGACTGGAGCTGGAAGCGCCCTGAGCTCTATTATCTTAAGGCTATGTGTTTCTGTTGCCTCTCGTCTTCTTAGCCTATGGCTTGCCGCGATAATCTTAGAGGTCGCATATGGCCGAGGCTGTACTTCTGTAGGATGAGGGTCGCATGCACTCACATCACATATACCCCACACTTTCTACCAATCAATACAAGTAATTACTAGTCGGTACATTCTCGACTTCAATATTCTCTGATCTTTAAGGAAACGTGATGAATGAGATTTCACATATGGAATGCAAATAAGGTTGAGATGATTAATAAATCTCCACACTTTGCCTATAACTAACTTTCCATTGGAATCTAACGGCGTGGTTTTTTACCCCACCCTTCCGTTGATCCTTCACGTCACCTAAAAGCATCTCGTTGGCGTATTACTAAACGCGCAAGAATGCACCTAGTCACCCTACCAGCGTAAAGCGAGGGTCACGGTCGGCAAAGCTCTTAACACAGTAGCGCAGACTGTTTGGGTAGAAACCTTTCTGACAACATCCGAGCTGTCTGTTGTCCTTATTCCACAGATTCCAGTTCGGATCGGCACATCTCAGATTATCGGGGATGATCTCCTTGCTGCAATCGGCCGCTGTTGGAGTTAGCTCTGCTGTTCACACGTGAGATATCAGTCGGCTCACCACTAGGACAGCAGATGCTGACTTCATTGGCCACACTCTCATCCAGCTGCGTTCCGTCTGGACAACACCATATCGCCAGCCGTGAAGAATGTGTCTTTGGGGGGCAGTAGCCACCGCCCGTTGTAGGATTGTATAGTGGGTATAGGACAAATCCACTCCTTGCGCCGCATTTCTTTGAATGGCTGGTCGAGATAGCGACTTTGACCTCGTCGCTTTTGACATCTGCTGTGGAAATAAAAAGTATGATAAAATCATCTACTGTGTTTTCAGTGTTGCACGGTAAATCGATACTTTTTCCTGATGGGCTAGTGGCCATGTCAGTCCAATCGTTGTCGACTGACCGTCGATAGGCTAGGCGCTGATGGTCATTGGCGGATGAGTAAATGCGAGCTGACTGACCGCTTTTGACAGTCACTTTAAAAACTGAAATGGTGAGCGGCGTGCTTGTAAGCATCGCGGTGCCAGTAGTACCCGCCTTATCTACCTTGATCGAAGCCGGAAGCGGAGGTATCTCCTGGATTGGAATGGAGGCTCCGTTTGTGTCTTGTATCTTAATCAGGGCGAATTTCCTCGCGAAGTAGAAGAACTCGTCGGTGAATTCTTCTAGCCCCGACAGACGGTTCCTCTCCTCAAGACCTCTAGATCCTCCGGGAGTTGATACAACAAATTCGTGAAGGGACTTTCTATCCATTTTATCCTCTAGGGATTGGAAGAATATGCTGGTTGTGTAAGCGTCCTGTCCGACATGAGCGTATATTGCCATAGCGGGTTTGTATGCATGGCCGCTGTGCTTCTTATCTGGCCATTCGACGTTGGAGTCTGGAAAAACGAGGTTACTGAAATAGTTTGCAGATCCCTCGCGAATCCATTCCGGGTCCATGTAGTTCGCAAGTCCGGAAAGGCCCTGCACGCAGTGGTAAATCTCGTGTGACAAAGCTTGCAAGGCGCGAGCTGTGTTTGTGGTTGATTCGGTAGTCCATCTCTGGTAAACTCTGATCTGGCACGGCGGCACCTTTTCATTTGGATAGATGGTGTCTGCTGTGACCTGTCCGTCAACTGACGTTGTGAGGATAATGACAATATGAGCTGGAAGCTTGGCGAAATCTTCGTACAGGTCGATGGTCTTTTTGAGAGATTCTTCAAGCACTGGTTTCACTGCCTTTTTGGTCTTGTCTGACTGGCGGCTCCAATTCAACGTGTATGTCACTGTGACTTTCGTGTTACTTTTGCCCAAGACTTTGGGATAGCCTGAAAGCACGCGGCATTTATCATTGAGGGTGAACTTCTCGCCTGGTTTAATATTTGGCCAAAAGGTCGCACAACTCTGCCACTGAGCCTGGGCAAGAGAAACCAGCGAAAGGTATGCGAGAAGGTGGAGGTACATGGCGATAGAAGCTTTGCGGATACGGGTCTCTCCGCCTGGGATATTTACCTGTTATGTGTTTACTCCTCCTTATAAACACTTCCTGTTTTCTCTTGGGCGGTCAACCTGCACGAGCCGCTTTGAAGCGGAGGGGTGACATTTTTAGCCGTTTTAGCAACGCCACAGTCATCCTTCTATACTCAAAAGAAAAAGAGGACTTTAACTAACACCATAACGTCAGGTCTAGATTCTCAAGGCAGTGCAGCTGTAAGCTTAAAAACCCCACTATTACCATCGGGAATGGTTAAGTAAATTAAATTAAGAGGGGTGGCGCAGGTCCAGACTTTCGAAGTGGAGTGAAAGTACTGGGTTTCGGTCAAGGCTGAAAGAACGGAACTAGGCTGTGGGACGTGGAAAGCGTATTGCGAACGGGACTGCCCTATGGCTGCAAACCCTTGTATGTCTAGCTGTATATAACCACTATCCCAGTTGATAATATTGTTGATACTATTGAAGAAGGCACAGTGGGATTTTGATGAGGGTTATATGATCTGATCTAATTCCTCGGCCCGAAGTTACCTTTGACTTTAGGGCTGCCTTGACTTTGACTTTAACTTTAAATATGTATTCTTCCTACCAATTTTAACCTTCTATGGCATTTCTGCCCGTTCTAGCCCTTAGCGCCTTACATATAACTTCTATTACTATCCTTAATAGTTATATACTTTTAGTCTTAGGCTAAGACCAGGATAGTCTTTTTACTAATTAATCTAGAAGACCTTAACTATATAGTTAACCTACTTTTTTAAGCTTTTATATTAAGCCTTATAGTAAGGCTTTAACTTTAATACCTTAATAAAGGAGGTCTTAATATTAAGGACTAGCCTTTCTATAAGCCTATTTTCTAGGCTTTTTAAGGGTTTAAGTTAGCTCTTTACTTTCTACCTCTTACTTAATATATATTTCTAATTACTGTAATTAATAATAAGCCCTAGACTATAAAGTATTAAAAGCTTATAGCTAAAGGTAATTAATTTAGGGGGGAAGCTAGCTTTTATGCATATGGCTATAAGTTATCTACGTATTTACTTAGATAGAGTTTAGTTACCTAATATAACTTCTACTGCCTTAATTATATTAAGTTTTAACCTTAAAAGGGTTATTTTTATTAGTAATATTATTAAGAGATTTAGAAAGCCTGTGTTACGACCCCAGCGTCTACATCACGTGTACCCCACATTTTCTTACCTATTATATATAGTCACTACCACACTATGTAATACACGCAGTGACCATTACGAAACGGTCACCTCTTAACACCAGAATCACTTAGTAACCAACATAATCACTAATGACCACGATAGTCACCACGGTAACCATCTTTAGTATATAGAACACATTCATTAGCACTTTTATAGACATTAGCTCACTAGCTATTAATATAACTTCTTTACCTTAATACGCCTAACCCGCTTTATTGACTATTAAGAGACGTGACTTCTTCGCTACCGCTTAGAACGTATCCTGCAATCCTATAAATATACACCTAAGTGCGGCTTAGTGTATCCCTTTAGAAACCTAACCGTTATACGTTAATAGCTCTTGTTTAGTATTGTACCATACGATCTGAGCAATATCACAATGGCCACCCCTACTACCCCAGTTCAGTAACAGAATGTTGCTAATAACAACGGAACTCCCGCCAACCAGGGTCCAACCCTTGCCGAGGAAATGGACGCCGACGGAAACTCTTCAGAGAGCTCCGACGACACGGAGGTAGTACAGCTGCGTGAACAAGTCACCAGCATGGCCACCGAAATGGACAACTTACGCGAGATGCTTCAGCAAGCCCTCGACCTTTAGACCCAACAGGCACATAACAATTAGAATGGTCTGTAGGAAATGCGTAACCTCGCCAATACAGTAACTTATGGAAAGGAAGCTAGAGAAATCCTTAAACTAAACCTACCGGAAATGTTCGATAGAACGCCCAGCAAGCTACCCACATTCATCACCCAGTGTCGAACCTTTATGAGTTACTACCCGACACAGTTCTACGAACATGCCGATAAGGTAAAGTATGCAGCCGGACGCCTCAAGGGCACCGCTGCACAATGGTTCCAACCCGTTATAGAGGAATGGACCAACAAGGCAAACATTAAAGACTTGGAACCAAGAGCTTACATGCTCTTTACCAACTACCAAGCCTTTGAGAAAGCATTGCAACAAGCCTTCGGAACCATCAACGAAAAAGGACATGCCGAACGAAAAATCAAGGCAATCCGACAGACTAGGTCAGCATCGGAGCTGGGAGCAGAGTTTCTACAGCTCGTATCTAAGCTACCATGGGACCAAGATGTCTTAATGTCGCTATTCTTTAATGCACTTAAGGAACCAGTACAAGCGGAACTGTATAAGGAAGATCGCCCAGGAACCTTAGTAGAATACATTAACATGGCAGTCAGAATCGATAACTACCAGTTCACCTGGCGAACTCGCAACTCCCGCTACAATAAGCCACGACAAGACACTCGACCTAGGTACGATGCGAACCAAGGACGTCGACGAGATAACAACACGTCCTATAGGACAGCACCAGGACCAATAGTCATCGCAACAGTTAAACGAGACAAATCCAAGATCACCTGCTGGAACTGCGGCAAGAAAGGACATTTCGACGCAGAATGTAAGAACCCCGTCAAAACTAACCAAAAATACAAGCCAGTACCAGAAGGAAGAAATAACCAAGCAACCAAACAAGGGGAAGAACAAGAACCCCAGATGGCAATCAGGAGTACACATCGAATCGCCATGACCAGATCCGGATACAATAAATCAGACTTTTAAGTGACCCACGATTCTGAGGCAGGAAGAATTAGGTACCCTAAAGACTACTGCCTAGGCAAGAACGAAGTCATTACTAAATACTACCCAAAGCAAGAAGGAAAGGAGCATACCTCGCTCGACTGCCAAGCAATCCAAGTAAACTACACGGAAACGCAACGAAAGCAGAAAGAGTACATACAGTCATGGAGGAATAAGAAGGCCAAGTCGGAAGCCACTTAGACCCCAGTTCCAGAAGGACCACTAAAACAACCCAACGGATCCACCATTGCAATGGTACGAAAGGGAAAAGAGGTTAACCCTAACCCGGAACCAACACTCACACCTGAAGAAATCAGTCAAGGAGTTAACGAATTGCTCGATACCACCTTCGCGCGACTACCAGTACCATAACCCGATGGAACCATTCGAACGCTAACACAAATACTACAAGACGAAAACACCCCTGAGCCTAGTAAAACGTCAAGCACCCTAGAACAATTAGGAACACCAATCGAATAGGATAACCAAGGAAATGCTGTTACAGTACGAACCAACCAGAAAGCAGGACCCTACTTAGCAGTCAACCACCTTCCGGTACGAACCGCAAAAAAGAAGCCAAACCGACACTACAAAGACCCTAACTACGCTACCGCTTGACAAACGGAGCTAGAACGTCAAGGTAAGCCATTAAAGGAACGAAAACCATCAAAGAAAGATAAAGACCTGTAGGAAGCCACGCACATCCCACAGTATAATGAATTCGGAAACCGATACTGGAACGGAAAAAACGAAAAATATATAGGACTTGCGAAAGAACGCGTAGAAACAGTATAAGACGACGATGTCTACATCCGAGCTATTACTAATGGACAGCAGGAAGATCTAACAACACTATTACAGCGAACAATGGCATTTACGGACTAAAGACGGTACCTGAGTCACCCTCTATACAAGTAACTGTCATGGATCTCGTGCACAGCTCACTACTGTGCATTACATCGACAACACAAGATCAGTAACAACTGCTTTCCAGAACAAGTACCTGAACATATGACTCAGAAACCTTATGTCATCATCGACACGCTAGGTTACCAGGTGCATCATAGATACCCCGGAGTACAGGTAGTTCAATTCCGAGCCTACACGGAAACGAGGGAAAGAGCCTTGAACTATGTGGAATAGCGACGAGACATCGCCCTATGGAGATAACATGTTACTATACCCCCAGCAGGGATTAGTGAATAAGAACTACAGACACTAGACGATGAACGACTCATCGCACAATGGAAGCACAACTCAAGTGGAGACCCCGACAGAGGAACCACTCCAGACCCAGAGACACTGCGACAATGGGAACAGGTAGATCTGTCAGTCGAACAACAAGCGGCAGACCACCAAGAACAACTTCAGCGACAATACGAATGTCCAGAAGACGGAAACTGTTACGACAGTGAATGCAGCCTAGATCACCCAAGCACCACGGGAAAAGGCCGACGCCATCTGTAACAGAGCCACAGATGAGCAAAGAGCAAGGAAGTGCTCTCAGGATGACCCAGACCGGTTAACTAACTTGCCCAGAATTAAAAGTCAGAATCAAAGGGGAATGGCTAACCGCTCTCATTGACTGCGGAGCTGACCACAATTGCATCGACCCTAGCACGGTCAACAAGCTGAAGCTACTATGGAGATATAAAAAACACTCTCATCCAGTGTTCAATTTGGAAGGCAAGCGTTTTGAGTACGACGGTGGACGAATCAACCGAGAGATTGATCACTTGAAGGTATTCGTCAACGGACGCAATCAAGGCATTAACTTCAATATACTCCCGAGCCCAGGATACGGCCTGGTCTTAGGACTACCATGGTTACAACACTACAACCCACACATCGACTGGAGGACTGGCCAGGCTGACTGCAAAGTCAACCCCTCCGACGATGGACTCAGTGATTCAGACGACGAATAGAGATCTTAAGCTTCGACTGAAGACCACAGCGAAGAAAGGCACGACAAAACTCACCCACCCCCAAAGGGGACACAACACAAATACAACAAGGGCAAGAAGAAATTTATACGACGAATAATCGCAAAAGTCAGGCACCAGTGCCACGAAATGGAAAGATAACTACAAGACATGAAAACTCAACAGAAAAAAGAAGAGGACGACAGACTTAAGAACGTACCACTAGAATACCGTATTTACGAGAAACTATTTAAGGAAGAACTGGAAACAAAGGTACCACAGCATAGCCGCTGGGACTACGAAATATGGCTTAAATTAGATAACCTACCGCTCCAAAAGATTTACAACCTTAACCAAAAGGAGTTACACACCCTGAGGGAATATCTTGACGCGGAATTAGCCAAGGGAAACATTAGGATCTCTACTTTACCAGTAGGATTCCCAGTAATGTTTGTCCCTAAGAAAGACGGATTACTACGACTCGTTGTGGATTTTCGAAGATTGAACGAACTTACCATCAAGGACAGAACCCCACTTCCGCTTATCACGGAACTCAAGGATCGCCTACAAGGAAAACAGATCTTCACAGCTCTTGACCTTAAGGGAGCCTACAATCTAATCCGCATTAAGGAAGGAGACGAATGGAAAACGGCTTTCAGAACTAAATTCGGACTTTTTGAATACTTGGTTATGCCTTTTGGACTCACTAATGCACCGGCAACCTTTCAACGAATGATCAACAATGTCCTACGACAGTACCTCGACGTCTTCGTGGTTTGCTACCTGGACGACATCCTTATCTTCTCCGACACGGAAGAAGAACATTCGGAATACGTCCATAAGGTACTCAAGGCATTGCAAGACGCTAATTTACTGGTCGAACCCAAGAAAAGTCACTTTCATACGAAAGAAGTAGACTATCTCGGACACACTATCTCACCAGGTAAAATCCGAATGGATCGAAAGAAAATATCGGCAGTACGGGATTGGCCACAACCATCAACAGTTAAAGAAGTACAGAGCTTCTTAGGTTTCGCCAACTACTACCGACGATTCATCAAAGACTTTAGCAAAATCGCGAACCCACTTACCGAACTAACCAAAAAAGACAGAAAGTTTACATTCGGAAGTCAAGCAAAGAAAGCTTTTATAAAGCTCCAAGACGCGATTCTCAGCGAACCAGTACTCATCATGTTTGATCCAACCAAGGAAATCGAGCTCGAGACAGACTCATCGGATTTCGCTTTGGGAGGACAGATTGGTCAACGCGACGAACAAGGAAAGCTACACCCGATAGCCTTTTACTCGCATAAACTACATGGAGCAGAACTCAATTACCCCATCTATGACAAAGAATTCTTAGCCATCGTCAACTGTTTTAAGGAGTTCAGACACTACCTCATGGGAAGCCTCCACCAAGTTAAAGTTTACACCGACTATCAAAACATTTCACACTTCGCTACCACTCAAGAACTGAACCGACGATAACTACGCTACGCAGAATACCTATGCGAGTTTGATTTTGTAATCATCCACCGTAAAGGATCTGACAATGGACGAGCAGACGCCATTAGTAGAAGACCGGATTACAACACCGGTATAACCAAATGCAACGAGCAAGTTTTGGAATACAACGACAAGGGAGAATACAAGTTCACCCAACAAACCAGAACGATCGCACGCACTCAAATAAGGGAATTCGAACCACAATCCACCACGGAATCCGACGAACAACTCCAAAAAGAATACCAAGCATGGTTACGAAACGCCCCTTACAACATCCAGGAAATGACATTCAAACCAGACGGTTCAGTCACAGAACGATATATACCACGGGAATATCAGGAATTGCTAGTACGGGAAATACATGAGCATCCCCTACACGGCCACCAAGGCATCACGAAAACATTAAAACGAATACAAGAAAACTATTGGGGAGAAGAACTTAAAAAGACTGTTGAGAAAGTCATTAGGCAATGCGACCTATGTAAAAAAACAAAAGCACAACGACACAAACCCTACGGGAACTTACAGGCACTACCAGTTACACAACGACCTTAGGATTTAGTTACGATGGACTTCATTACTAAACTACCGCTATCCGAAGAACCCTTAACCGGTATCCTTTACGACAGCATCATGGTTATTATTAACCGACTAACAAAATTCTCATACTACTTGCCCTACAGAGAGGCCACAGACGCAAAAGAACTTTCCTATGTTTTTTATCGACACATTATAGCCATCCATGGCTTACCAAACGAAATCATATCGGACAGAGGACCAACATTCACAGCCAAATTTTGGCAATTACTTATGGCACATTTAGGACTGAACCACAAACTGTCAACAGCGTTCAGGCCACAAACGGACGGGCAGACTGAAAGAATGAACCAAGTACTGGAACAATATCTACGGTGTTATATCAACTACGAACAGAACGATTGGGTAGACAAATTACCATCAGCCTAACTCGCCTACAACACCGCCTATAACGAAAGTATAAAACTCACACCCGCCTTCGCCAATTTTGGTTTCACACCAGACGCGTTCCACCACGCACGGGAACCTAAATCCATTAACCCAGTAGCCATTATCAAAAGCGAAGACCTCAAAACACTACACGAAGAAATGAAAACGGAACTTGAATTTGTTAGAAATCGAATGAATAACTACTATAATCCAAAACGGATAAAGGGACCATCCTTCTCGGAGGGAGATATAGTTTACCTCGCCACAAAAAACATTTCTATAAAGCGACCATCTAAAAAACTCGACTATAAGTACATCGGACCATACAAAATCATACAAAAAATCTCAGAAAACAACTACAAATTAGATCTACCACCAAGGGTCAGACTCCATCCAATCTTTCACATTTCATTACTTGAATTAGCAGCCGACACTATCCAAGTCAAAATCGGCAACGAACTAGAAGAAATCGAAGGACCAGAAGTCTATAAAGCAGAGGCAATTAGGGAAATGCGCAAGCACGAAGGCAAAATAGAATACTTGATTAAGTGGAAGAACTACCCAGAAAGCGAAAATACATGGGAACCACCAAAACACCTTGCTAACGCCCAACGACTCCTGAAGAACTTCCACCAAAAGAAGCAGGATCCACGAAAACAGTCGACCAATCAATCAGATCAGCGGCACCGGCAGCAATCGAATCAACCACCAAAGAAGATTCTTCAGCAGCACGCAATTCGGCCGCCTCCGCAGACTCCAGTTCCTCCACAGACTTAAGATCCCGCTCCAACATTTTCATACCCTTGGACTGAAGAAGGCGTTTCTGCCTACGAAGACGTATCAACTTGGAAAGACGCTCATTTAGTTGACGCTGTAAATCTATCAATTCTTCCTTAGTAGCCTCTTTATTAGCCTCTAAACGAGCCTTGGCCTGAACCAAACGATCCGCTGGAAAAAATCAGCACACACACACAGCGAAAAGAAGGCATACAAACCTTCGGATATGGACACTCCTTTACTATCGCAAGAACGACCCCGACGGGTACATTCAGAACAATTTTTATGACCTTCTTTCATCACACACTGCAAACTCTTCGCAGAATAAAAAGAGCATGGCATGACGATGTAACCTTCCGAAAAAATTAAAGTAGTTCTGGCTTTGCGACGAGTAGTTTCTGTAGATGACATTGTTAGCGTAAAAAGGATTATAAGTCTAGGTTCCTTACCCAGGACCAATAGCGTGAGAAAACAGAGTTATGCAGGTCTCGAGGACAAGACCTTGGAGGGGGGAGAGATCGTGTTACGACCCCAGCGTCTACATCACGTGTACCCTACATTTTCTCACCTATCATGTGTGGTCACTACCACACCATGTAATATATGCAGTGACCATTACGAAACGGTCACCTCTTAACACCAGAATCACTTAGTAACCAACATAATCACCAGTAACCACGATAGTCACTACGGTGACCATCTTTAGTATATAGAATACATTTATTAGCACTTTTATAGACATTAGCTCACCAGCTATCAATATAACTTCTTTACCTTAATACGCCTAACCCGCTCTATTGACTATTAAGAGACGTGACTTCTTCGCTACCGCTTAGAACGTATCCTGCAATCCTACAAATATACACCCAAGTGCGGCTTAGTGTATCCCTTTGGAAACCCAACCGTCACAGCCTGGGCTTAATAAAGTTAAAGGTTAAAGCTAAAATAAAATAAAAAGGTAATTAATTTAACTAAGCTACGGTTATTCCGTCTGGTATTAAAAAGTAGATAGCTAGTAAGAAAATCTCTAGCCTTATTCTTAAGTAGGTTAAGTTTTTGCTTATTATAATAACTATTAATAGCTTTATAGATATTATTATAGTCTAGGCTGAGGCTTATATTATATTAGATATTTAATATTTAGATATTTATTATAGTAACTATAAAGAAGTTAGTAATATAGACCGAAGGGGGTTAATTAACTAACTATAGCTATAAAGGTCAATTAACTAGGTAGCTTATAGTGTAGATTAGGTTAAGGGTATGGGGGGGAAGCTAGCTTTTATATATATAGCTGTAAGTTATTTATATATTTACTTAGATAGAGTTTAGTTACCTAATATAACTTTTACTACCTTAATTATATTAAGTTTTAACTTTAAAAAGGTTATTTTTATTATTAATATTATTAAGAGATCTGGAAAGCCTGGGCTTAATAAAGTTAAAGGTTAAAGCTAAAAAAGAAAAAAGAATTAAAAAAAATATATATAACCACTATTGATCTGCGTTCTCTAAGATACTAATCTCACCAAGAGATTTCGCACAATTAACATAGAATGGAATGCCAACACAACCGGATAAGCGGAAGCGTATCAGTATGCGAGAAAGCAATTTGCAAGAAGAGACAGCATGTTAGATACCTGGAGGAGCACACAGGATGATATTAGGAACAAGCCTCGTTGTTTATCCAACATGCGAAGAATATCGCCGATGCATGAAAAGTATTCAATTATGCAAATTAATGCGTACGATGCTCTTTCGAACAGTTGTTTTATCATAGAGATATGATAGGGTCTTGAAAGCATACGATAGAAACTCGTGAGCTTCACATTCGCCGATAATTCATTGCCACTCTATTGTCCCTAAATGATATTAAGACCCGCAAAATGGTCTACCAGATCCAAACCCAGCGTGATTTGCTCCTGGTTTTCATCCACTTTTACCGCATAATAGTCGCAAGTACCTAGTCTGCAGACATAATGCAAACCACCAGGATTCGAGCTGTTCTCACCGGCTCTTTGAAGTCTGCTAGATTCGCCGCAGTCACACGATGGGTTGTCGGGGTTGTTGCCTCTTTCATCTGCAAAGCTGAAGAATTTCCCGCAGCTCATGCACTTGTAATAGGGACGACCTCCGTTGCCGTTGCGATTAAAATATCGAGTGACCATCCGTTGACTAGGTCTATTGCATGAGAAACAATGCGGGGGATTCATTGCAGCTGGGGCAAGAGGCAGGTTAGAAGCAATAGATAATAGAGTAGTCCATGCCATATTAGTAACAAATCCAACCAAGCTTGCCTTGTAAATCATCAGCCTTCCGTACCATTATAGAAATTTAGCTCCTTAAAATATCGTGTTGTAATAGATTACTTTAATAGTTAAATTCTTATCCTGGTTTAAGAGTTGAATAATAGAGTCCTATTTATACCTAAAATGTGAATGTGATGAAGAGAGTTGCCCAACATATTTCCTGAATGCAGGAGGCCGACCATCGCAGAAAGGTCACAAGTATTATATGAGATGTACAAACGACAAAATTGAGTGAGGGGTAGACATGTGAGCTCGCTGTTACATGCGAGTGGATGGATGATAATTGGCTTGAATTACACTTTCTCCATGAAAGATGCAGGTGACCCATTCTGTATTGGCCAAGCCTTACATAACAGTGAGATATGCTCCAATTGCAACAGCGAAGATTAACATTTTACCAAGTTGTGGTGTAGTCCTATGCAAATGAGGCCAGCCGCGGGCGGGGTCGAATTGCATAATGCAGTCGCAATAGGTAGAGCCGACCCCATGTTGGTCATACTTCATTGCATTTTAACATTACAAAGACTTAATAATCACAAAGGTTTCACACCATTGGCACTATAATTATAATTACGAAAGGGCGTGATATATCTATAAATAACGCTACAGGCCCAGGTACTATTAATAGATTAATTTGATCGCGTGTCACATCCCGAGCCTCTTAACTCATCAGACTTTTACAGCCTGGCTTTATGAACCCTGTAAGAAGAGTCTCCTTTCACTGGATCCTCCTGATTGAACGCTCCTGTGCTGGAGCTGGTATAAAAGGTAGGCTCAAGAGCCCTTTCCTGGGTATTGCTTTCGGTAGTTATAGTTGCTTCGGCACATCATTATACTGCTCCTAACTCGTTAGGAGGCAACTTACAATTAATATAGTCGACGGCAAGGCTGGCTTAGTCACTAATTACTGTGTCCTTATAAACCCATCTGGCTGGCATAAAGGAATTTTCAAAAGTAAATAACACTAGTACTTATAGTTACCGGAAACTATTGATTCTTTAAATGACATACTTAACCACATTCCTCCCGTTTTAGTATCTTGTTAATGACATTTTTATGCGCCTTAATATAAATTTGTAATACTGCGTATTAAACTACGGTTCCAATCTAAATAGTAAAGGCCCTATTTATTTCCCTTGGAGTTATAATACTTCATAGTCATTACGCTTCTAACTGTACATCGTCACTTTTCGGTTTACATGAATCTATATCAAAGCTTATATGACAAATCCAATGCCAAGAGTGTCGTTCCAGTATCTAAAAGTTCCCCAATGGAAAAAGGGTAGCTATAAAAGGTAATGCCTAAGTGAAGAGGTCTATATAAACTCCATGTGTTAAGGTTAGTTAACTATCAGCGACGGGCTTAGAGATTTGAAGGTCGAAGAGCTTAGTATATATGAGACAAATCAGGAGCTGAACGTCAATGACTCCTGCAAGCCTAAACCGTTAAGCATGCCACTAGATAAAATCACAAGAGATCGAGACATTAATGACATAAGTTAAGACTAGCTGAAAGATCTGTTTGGTCATCTTTATTTCCCTGTATAGATTATCGGGGGAAGAAAGTCTTGACCACCCCTCAGATACGACAAATTATTGAGCACCAGCAGCGGCTGCAGGACTGGCCTTGCCAGAAAGAATTACGTCTGCGGGCACAAGCCACACTCGACGAGAGGAGGGTCACCTTCAACATTAAGTCCGTTATAGTTGGCGGCAATAAAGTTCGTCCGCTACCAGGAAGGAGATCACGATAATCTATTTTGGACTATTGTGCGCTTAATTTCTGATGATGTTATACGTACTTCTCCTTCCTTTTCATAATTGGGACACATGTAAGGATGGTTAATAGTGTCTACCTGACGCGTTAGTCATTACTAGCAAGATTATTTGACCATATTTTGAAAAAAGCTCGGGAACGGAGCTGGAAGATGTATCACAAAGACTGGGAAGCAGGTAGCGAAGTCCCATCAGTCCCTCGGTGGCTGACACGTCAAGGTGAATCAACGATGGAAACTTTCGATTTGCGCATAAATGGGGACCTCTGACTTCCAATGAGCTATATGTGTCATGGCATGACTGACAATAACTCCTTCGCATACGCAGCCGCTGTGACTGCAGCGTAGAGCTGCCAATCCTTGTTCTTGTGAGAATCAGCATGATCGCAGATTCCACGGATAACTAAGCATGGAAAGTTGTTCATAAGCCCAGCTGCCTCCATTTCGACACACAAAGCGTTTTTGTCCAGGCGTAGTCGTTCTCGAGCAGCACCATTGCGCATAACTCGATTGGCGGATGCTATCGTTCCATAGTGAACCTTAGGCCGTATGCTTCCGCGTTCTGGACGCTCTTCTAGGTAGGCTGTGTCACACATCTCACATGTGTGATAGCCCTCTTTATGGTCGTAAGAGCTGTTGAACAGCAGGTCTTTGTCTCTGCCTGGGTATGACCAGTTGTGTTCAGAATTAGCGTATCTAGCTTGCAACCGGTCGATACTCCTCGCCATAGGGAAGATTGCCCCAGAAAGTCGTGATACTTTCTGGGACTCAAGTCGTGAGATAGCGTTGAGTAATCTCACTGGCGGCAGGTTCAAATGACCGGTGGTTATGAAGATATCGTTTTGTATGTCTTTACCATAATCATACTGGACGACTCCTGGTGAACTACGCGAAGGTGCGCTGACAACAACATCCCCCAATCGCACATCGAATTCCTTACTCGGCATACCGCCCCCAACACCCACCAAGAGAGTGTATCTCAATGCAGTGACGGTCTGACGCATCTGTTCTGCGACCAGAGTCGCAGACGTGGTACCTGCAACACCATATGGCAAACAAACTATGACCATCTTGAGATGGGCGATACGGCCTACAACATAGATGTTGTCATCCAACATCCCCTGCCCAGGGTGTTGAAAAACCTCATCAAGCATTTCTTCAGCTGCCGCCATTTCTGTTGGTAGAGCACAGATCCACCCAACGGTATATTCTGTGCATTCGGGTGCATTTTGGTTGGTAGCGGCACCTGGTCTGGCATGCTCGAAGTTCAGGGGAGGAGTCGCTGTTGAAAACCTCGGGTAACATTCGGCGTAAGATCGAGATACGTTGTGGTCATTGACATGGCGCGCAGCGCTCTTGTTGGCAGATTCAGACTCTTGGGGGCGTTGGGGGAAATTTGAATTAGGACGCTATACCAACAGTTCTTAGCATAAATTCCAATTTAAGGGATACTTCTGAATAATTTCTAACCGTTTTCACACCGTGCTCGTTCGAGGATCTTTGATCACGGGGCTTAGGGTTCCTGTAATGGTTCTTGGCTGCCATATGTTGCTTTGCCGCTTCCTGCGTGTGAAACTTGACAGGACAGGTTTCACAAGGAATTTTGGGATTCCAGTGTTTAACTTGTGTCATGTGCGCTTCTGCTGCATCCCGATCTTTGAACAATCTATTACATTGATCGCATTTCTTCGTTGGCTTCCGATGACTCTTCTCGATCATGTGCTGCTTACATGCTTCTTGAGTATTAAACGTTTTAGGACAGGTCTCGCATTTAGGCATATTCACGATCCTGTGGCTGTTGCAATGGACATTGTCAAGATCCGGAGAATCAAGGCTTGATGGAGTGAGGGCTTAAGTCAATCGATAACCCCGCACGCCGTGATCTCGTAATACAGAAAGTTTAACTCATTGGTTGTCGGTCCCAGCCAACCAGCTTAAGGACATATGCACAAAAGCTCTGCCTGATAAGTAATCAGAATTATGGAATCTGTTTCAGAGACGGTTGCCGGGGAATGTAGAATGCTTTACGCCATTTGAGTAAGTGTGGAACAAGATTCGCACTCGCTATGTAAAGACCACTGTGTTACATATTTAAATCCACCAGCTGAGTGATAGGATAAAGTCTTGGTTAATACTTGAACACTATATAGTGGCTTAATTAATAGTAGCTGATTAGATATATGCATTGTGAGGAGGAGCCCAGAATAATGTATGGATTATCTACTAACCCACCCATAAACTAGTAATTATTATAGCAGTTTTATCGTTCATGACTAGGAAATATTAGTAATTAGCTAACTGAAAAGCAGGGTACTGAATAGTTTAAAGTTCTGTACACTCAATGACAATATAAGTCCGGCCTATTTTATTTTACTTTAGCTTGAACCTCAGTTTATAGTAATAAACTAAATTATCAAGGAAGTATAATAAATTAATCTAACAAGAGGGCTAGTACTATTTAAGAGGTAATTTACGAGCTAGTGTCTAGAGTCTAACTAATAAGCATTCTTGGTGGCTACCCTACTCTAATTTCAGTACATATAACTATTAATATATGTAAGTTCGCTGTGGTTAGACATTTTCTTAAGTTGTATAATCCACGATGACTTGGAGCAATACTAAGAAATGGCGCAGGGTTAGTTTTTGGTGCCTTTACTACCCTGATAAGTGAGGGAAGTAGGCGAGAACAATCCATACAACAAGGTCAAAACCCAAAAGAAGGCAGATCACAGGCGACAACAAAAAAGATGTTCGCGTCTTCTTCGCAATAAAGGGTATCATTTTGATAATAATAAGAAAGAGCCTGAAAGGAGAGCCTTTATTAGGAGGACTAGTTGACTGGGACATATGGCCCAAGTCCCTCATCCTCTGACTGCCATTGTTAGGTCGGCATATCGGCGCCGGAGATTTGCATTGGTAAGAAACTAGCTGAGGAACCATGGCTGGCTTAAAATAGGGGACGGAAGCCCAGACCATCTGAAATGTCCAGATATGCCAAGTGTTGAACGGTGATGTGTTAGCACAGGAATATGATGTAGCTTAAACCAGTTAGAAACCCTCGTACTAACAAGGATTAGTGTAATAACGGTTGTGAATCATGCGGTTATGCACATCTAAAACAGTTTGTTTGATTTGAGAACTCTGTCTAGGAACAGACAAATCCAAAAAGAAAGTTCTAGTAAATTATGAGTATGGAAAGAATATATGTGTCATGTTAATGATCGCTAAAGCCCTAATGAGCAGATTAATATACTATATAGTAGCACACGGGTATGAGACTATATACGATAGTCTTGATAAAGTGATTTTTAGTATATGAAGATAATTATAAATATATTACTATTTCGATAAGTATCACGAAGACATGAATATCAATTTATGTTTTATAGCTTATTCGATGTAATGCCACTTTGAAGCCTACGCAAGTTGAGTAAAATGTAAATCTGCGTTTCAGCGGCACAGCTGGATAAATAAGCATACGGTTATTTTATGCTTAAAACGGTGGCGCTCAAGTAGTCCTGATCATTATATTGGTGGCATCACGTATTCTGTTTCAAACAAGCACAGTGCAGCACAGCGAAGTTTAATGTAGGAGGACAGGGCGCAGGTGAAGCGTTGTGGGAGCCTGGAGTTCCGCAAATCTCGGAGGGTACATTGATTGTGGTTTGGCTACTACGTGTAAATGGTTATTCTCCTGTGGTTAAAGGTGAGGTCGTCTTCGTACTGCAGTATATCTTGGATTGTTCGCCATTCGCCCTGTATCTCACGTCACCATGATCAATTACATTACTGTTGGCGGGGGTAGAAATACATCAATCTTGTACCGAAGTTTTCGTTCTTACTTTCCAGTCAGTAGTCGCGATGAACTTGTTTTGGTCACGATATAATGCCACTAGACACAGTGCATTACCGCGATCAGGATAGCAGTCACTACAAAATCAAGATTTCCATTCAGTGTCAAACCACAATGTATACGAGGCCTCGGAGATCACCTGTTAAGTAGGAAGAGGGGTTGTGGTGGGAATGTAGCGACAATCTTCCAATTGATTTGCACGAAGGGCGTCAACTACTACGGCCATGGAGGCACTACGATGCATTACGTGTAAAGAGCGCGCAAAGTTGGCAGAGCTAGAATATCTTGGAATGATCAATGATGCCCATACTATGCATATCAGCATCAATGGCGTACATTTATTTATTTCATGAAAACGTGGCTGTAACTCAACCGTCAGATGGGTCCAACCTGCTGCAAGTTTTAGTTTTTCGTAAGTGTACAACCATCATCATCGATATGCTGGTGATCTGGCGCGGGGAAAAGAGGCCACACGGTTGGAGGCCCTTGATGCGGGATCGCATCACCTTTCACGCATCTGTGATGAATTGGACTCATAACTACGCAACGATTACGAGTATATCTCCGCACGGAACGAATAATCCGGCCAACTATGCATCAACGGGATGGTGTAATTGAAAGACTACTCTGAGTATAAATCTTAACTGGTGCGCCGTCATTCCAGCCGGTAATTGACAATATTGAACTTCCGTTTTCGCAAACCAATAAATTATTTCAAACTACCTCCTATACTGCAAAGATCCTAGCCGCGCCACCATAATGTCAGGCTCAAACACGGATAAGGTACAGGAGCAACTCAAGAAGTTTTCCGCGGAGAACATTGATGCCTATGTTCAGGCCTCGACCTTTACCGATGACATCCAGGATGTAACGTTATCCTTTTAGGTCCATACTATTTGACGATTGCTTATACTTGCAGGCCATTCGTGAACATATCCAAACTGAGTATAAGGCATGGTTCTTTTTCCGCAAGCTCGGGGCTGACTGCTTGCGCTCGAATGTGTCACTACATGGCTTTGCAGCGTAAGTATATGCATGCCGTTGACGTTACCTGTGGGCCACAGCTGATGGAAATTAAAGTCTTTGGAAGCGATCAGCCCAGGAGGCTTTTGCTGATGCAACCTGGTTAGAGTCGTACCTAGTCCAGCGCGGCGGCCGCTCTAAGCCAAGTGATATCCCTGCGCCCGATGTTGAGTGGCCTGATAACCCGGTTGATCCCGTCGAGCCCGTATATGCGGCTCTGCAGACCGAGAAGGAGATTCTCGAAGATCTCCATCGCCTGTGTGCTGCTGCGGAGAAGGCCGGCGACAACGCCCTGGAAGATGTTATTGAGAGTCGGTTCTTGCGCAAGGAGACGCGCCATGTCAAGGACTTGGGCGACTTGTTGCAGCAGTGTGTCCGTATCAGCAAGCAGGCAGGACACGGCTTGTATCATCTCGACAAGGAGCTTCGTGCCAATAACGGAGTTGTACCGTGGGCAGGCTTTAATGATCCTGATAAGTCTGACGAACTGCTTCGGGGCGCTATTGCGGACCTCTAAGACTGCGGGTTAGGGAAAGGCCAGAGCCAAGGACACAAAAGGACAGAAGGTAATCTTCCGGGTATGTTTTAAAATATGCAGCAAGACTAGGCATGTTAGGAGGAGATATTACGAGGGTATTGAGGCCTCTGGGGAGTGATATGACACTTGAATTTACTCAATTGAATTATCTGCAGTGTTCTTATTGTGATTTATATCAATGAAGTTAAGCTTTTGTAACACTCACCTGTATATGATACTCGTTTGTGTGATATGAGTATTAAATCCTTAAGTAAGCTAAATTCTAGCTTCTAAAGTACAAGTTATTGTATAACTGTCCCATATATTTATCTCATACACTACTCTCATATATAATTACAATATAAAGAGTAGTCCTACAGAGTTGATAATTTTTATAATATTCCATACTTATTGATTCCATACATCAAGGCTGTAACGATCAAGTTAGGAAACCTCAAGCCAATCAGACCGCCGGTTACAGATGGAGCACAGTAGTGCATCTTCTTCATTTCCCCACAAACCCCATAAATATATCGATGGTCGATAAAGAGAGTTTGAGATTGGTGAGAGCGTTTTATTAGGCGATTGTAGCCAGAGATTGGCTTTAGCGGAGCCTGGGTATTGTGACAATCTAAGTATGACTTGATAGTGCTGAGATCATCACCAGTATCGCTAAAGTAGAAGGTTTCTCTACCTTTGGCCAGTGGTAGAGGCATCCGGAAGTGGACGATTTGGGTCCGAGAATAAGAGGTTAAAATATCACAAGAACTCTTCCAACCAGACCAAACGACCTTCGAGCAACGTCCATTAACAACGGTCAGAAGAGCCTGTCGCACCCTCACCCTTTCCCAGCCAATCTCTTCCAAGACAAAAGCCAGCAACCAACGTACGATAACACCTCAACAGTTCTCACACGTGAACTAGGAGAAACACCAGATCCCAGCTGCAACACCTGCGGGACTAACGGCTTGAGGCGGGGAGCCAAATCCATTGGCAACCTCATACTTCATGCTTCTCAAGGTCTTCTAGGACTTTCCAATGAAAGGTCCTCTCCTCACACAGCCAAGGACATGGACCTCGGTGTTATTGCGAGGAGGTAGATTCGATCTGGGTAACCTGTCTAAGCCCTTTTTGTCCCATAAGCTGGTAAAGTGCGAAATACACACAATTTCTCGAGTAGAAATAGCATTTCCATACTTATCCAGTAGCGTGCATGAGTCAAATTTGTGCCCAGCTTGCCTGCGGTTTACAAGTTCCATAGCATATGTCAGTTTGATAGGCCATCGACATCGAATGACCGTGGCGGTCATGTCATTTGCTATACTTGTGCCATTCGAGCGGTAGTCGACTATAACAACATATCTCCGCTTCGCATCACTACGAGCGGCTAGTTCTATGACGAAAGTATAATCCTTTTCTGTATTGTCTGGAGTTGTTGAAAACCTTCCGAATACTGCAGGAAAATGGCGACTCCCAACTTGCGCTTGAGTAGGATAAGTCAGGGTTGTGGTATAATCTCTCCATACTGCTGAGCCTAGGCTTATGCCATCACCAGGTTCATAGAGATGAGTAGTCTCTACGTGGCGAACGAAACAAATCGGTTTTGGTCTGGCTGTGTCGACGAAGCGTGATGGAATCCAAACGGGATCCGAGAATCTAACGCACTCGTTCTGTATCGGAGTTCTCACGAATGTTAAACAACAGAAAAGGACGGGAAGCACTAGGGATTTCTTGTTTCTCTCATATGCCAAAACAGCATATCCGAGCCTCTTCTCGTACGGATCGTTCATAATCTTCAGAGAAGCTTGTAATCCCCGTGCTATTATCCTCGGACTGAAGGCAACATAGGGAACTCTATCAATGTCCTTGCCGATCAGATTCTGATAGTTCTGAAATTGTGAGGGTGATTTAGCAAGCCCATTTGGTGCAAATCCGTTGTCGGCTTCTGTGTAGTTCCAGGCGAGCATGGATATATCTTCGTACTCCTCGATGATTTCAGTTTGTAGGCGATAAAATGCCCGATCTGTCTCGCCGTACAGCATTGGCATATTGATGTTGAATATTCCAAGGAGTGAATAGGCTCGATCCTCTTGTCGAGAAGTCCTTCGATTTGCTGCCCAAGAAAAGACCCTTCCTGATCGAATGGGCCGCAAGTACGCTATATCCTTAGATGAGGCTTTGATGAGGATGGTCGCATTTATGCCGGTGGCGACCTGAATGGCGTCTTGTAGCTCAACACGATTGCCACACCTGTCCCAATTTTTATCGAAGAATACCAAAATGCCGGGCGCTAACATCTCCTGCAGTGTCCAGCCCCGAGTAAACCAGTCAGAGTCTTGGAACGATTTAATCCATGGTTTTGATGATGTCGATCCTTTATGCCTTGCGTTTTCAGTTGATGTAGACACGTCCGATAAGTACGCATAACAAACGTCTGATTCCCTGTACCATTTATACATGGAGTTTATGGACTCTTGAAGCTCAGCACTGCTAGACTTGTCGATGCAGCATGTGTCAATCCAAACCCATTCATATCCATTCTGCAGCGCCATGAGACGGAATTCATGGATCTTATGATTAGTTCTTTTGTTCCGCAGCGGCCCTTCACTCGGTCCACGAGTATCCCTCTGTGTAATTTCACTCTGTATGTCCCGGTAGGATAGTTCTTCTTTCTCCCAACGGTGAGACAGAATCGCATACTTTGGAATCTCGTCATCAGGGAACTCCTTGAACTGAAGCTTTTTCGTCGATAGCAGACGCATTTCCTTTATGATCTGTTGTACTGTTGATGAGGGAGAAACATTTGGTTGATGGGCTAGACAAAAGACGATGCGTTGCTGCCTCAAGTGGTGGGAGGTCTCCTGCAAGCCATTCCACTTTGGTTTTTCTGCTCGCTCTGCTTACCTCTTCCGGTAAGCTTTGCGCCATTGGTCGAACACATGGGTCGAGCCTGATGGTCGGGTCGCGTGTTCCGTCCAGCACAGCCCTCGCATATTGTCGAACACATTTCGAGCTCATTGGCTATGTATGGCTTTAAGTTGAGTGGAGAAGGGAATAAGCCGCTACTCAATAATCTAGACAAGAAACGTGGCGCATTTCCACCTCTGCGCCTATCGAAAACATCCCTGTTACCGGAATGCGCTACCATTGAACAAGTGATCATTTCTTTAAACCTATCTTGACCAAACTACCAGAGTCCAACGATAACGTCATGGAAACTTCACTGGTCACAAATTCTCATACAAGATGTGGGCACGACAATATGTGACATCTTGATATTTCATAACTGCCAAAAGTTCCATCGTCATATTTCTGTACCTCTTGGCGCTGAATCGTGGCCATTTTGGCATTGTTCTACAGTATCGCCTTATCAAAAAAAGCCTCGAGAGCCTCGAGGTTGTCTTTGTAGCGCTTGGTGGTTTCCTCTAACTCTCTGCTGACTACTCATCCGGTTGCAGTTTTGATGAGATCATTGTTCCCGTCGACCAGCTCTTATCGAAATGCTACTGCTTGGTGACCTTGAATCTGGAGGAATGTCTAAACAACATCGAGCGCAGATCTTTTGGTGTTTTTGTCTCGTGTAAGCTTATTTCCTTTCTCATACACGAGTCCCCACAAGTCCCCCTGTGATACTAATCCACGTTTTCGGATGAACCCAACCTATTTATTTTCGTATTCTTTCTGCCTTGTTATCATGAGAGCGACTCTGGAATAGAACTTATCGCCATCGAGTCACTTGAACAGCCTGATATTCTTTCTGCCGCAACCTTCCAGCTGGACATGTTGAATGCGGTGCATATACAACTGCCCAATTAAGATAAGTTTTCCTCTTATTCAATCTATCAAGATAGCCCGAGATTTTTTTACACTTCATGGTCCGATAGACTGTTGATAATGAAATCCGGTGTGCGGATGAGTAGCACATATTGACCGCTAAGATGCATGGAGCGAAATTATTATATTTCGCGTGTATTTTAAGACACACAATTCAATTTTCGTAAATTAAAACAAATATCGTGACTTACAAGACTCGAGCTGGCGCCCATTGACAACCGTGTCTTTCACTAGCTCGGAGATAAAGTTCCTCTTACCTGAGCCCTAAGGATTATCTTGCCTAATTACTGCTGTTTTTGCATGCTCTTGGCTGTTGGATTATTGCTTCATTGTTCAAGGTTCCAAGTATGGAGTACAATGGATGGTTGACGAATGAACCAACAGATACGAGGGTTTTAATTTAGTCCTAATTATAAGACCATTGATAATACAAATTTGAAAGTATTGTAGAGCTACCATTTGCAGTGGGAATCATACAATACTCCATCCAACCTCATAATACGAGATCCAAGTAGTCAATACCCATACCAATCTGAAATGTCCTTGGATTGCAATCACATCATACGACTGCCTCATTCCTCAAGAAAACACGGACTCTTTTTCTGAATGGGAATAGTCAGTAACTGCTATGAAGTTAGACCCAAAATCTAAGATACGCACATAAATAATCTTTAGCAGATATCTACCACAGTTCAAAGGTCGCCGTAGGGCGACAACGATCAATTATTTCGCCATCCATAATACCATGGAAAAATGCCTCTCCAATCAGCTGATATTGATCCTTGTCAACGCCGAATGGTCTGAGGATGAAAGGCGTACTACCCCCAAATAGAAGTACAATGTGATCCCCAGGTTCAGTCTCGCTTGGGCCTAAGCCAACAAGCCTGCCACAAGACTTGACTGGACGAGACATATAGTTGTAGTTCATGCAAGTCTGGTATGAATAGGTCGCTTCCATCATTTCGCTGTCCATAGCCTTCGAGATGAGCTTGTGAAACTGCCGTGTTGAGCGGTCTGCTGCTCGAACAAAATACGGGCTCGCTTCTGGGAGCTCTTTGTTTCCGATGGGTGTGCGCCATAAGATATCGAAATATTCCTCTTCTGAGTAGTCCAATTTGTCTAGGAATTTCTTGAGCTCGTTGATCATAACAAGCGCGGCGTGGTGATCAAAGGTCTTATCGAGATTGGCTTCCCAGACCGAGCCACATTCTTCTATAGTATCCAAGAGGAACCCTTGGAGACTGACAGCCCCAGGGTTAATGCCGAAATGCTGTTGGAGGTTTGGCTGGACATATTCTCCAGTAGCCTTAAATACAGGCGTGCCAGTGTCATCGCTCCATGCGGGCCTGATTGGAACCGACCAATTTGGAACCCAAGAGGGTAAGTTGAGTTCTTTAGAACGACGACACCACTTCAAAATGTCGATATGACCTTGTCGTAGTAATGCCCGTGCTGTAGCTTCGTATGCTTGCTCCACACTAATCTGGTAGCTTGGCACAAGCCCCATACCTTTCATATCACTCGCTATCCCCGATACACCCCAGATCTTATCCCGCGCATCCTTGCATTGCAGAACATCCATGGACGGCCGCACAAACGACCGTTGGAGCAGCTGGTGCAGAGGTTGCGCACCATTTCGTCGATAGGTTCTTCGCCCAGAAAGAGCGAACCCTACTGAGTCTTGCGGAATTGCGGTTTTCTGCAGTTCCCAAACATCATCAGCTGCTAGCAGCTCTGCCTCTGAGAAAGGGCCGGGAATTCTTGTAGCTCTCCCCGCTCGGAGTTCGCTGATTTCCCACGTAATCAACATGCTGTAGAATAGAATCGCAGCGTGAAGGCGCTCTATTGTGGTCATGTGCTGGCCACATAGTACTACTGCATCTTGCGCTAACGTGATTTCTTGCTTTACCCAGACTCGGGTAAAGTATGATCTTCGTGTGAGTTGTGCAAGAGCTACTCTTGGAAAGCGTTCATCTTTTCGGCCATCATCGCCCTCAGAATCAGTGGCGGTTTTCATAAGTTTTAGTAATGCGTCTTTCGTTTTGACAAGTGCTGCCTCCCCACCCATATCTGGCCAAGCAGAGAGGTTTTCTGGGGTGAGGACAAGGAGTCCAGCGTCGATGGCTAGCTTTCCATAAGTCTCAACGCCCTTTATTGCCTGACCGACACTGTCAGTCTCGGCCCCGAGCCAGATCAAGACCTTGGTAGCCTGACGGTAGACACGATCCATAGCCTGGACCTGACGAGACTTTTCTTCATCGTCCATCTGATTGATGCACAGAGCATCGATCCAGATCTTGGCTCCGATGTACTGTTCAAAGTGGTCCAGGCAGTCATGTAAACTCGGCGTTACAGTAAGGAAATGATCGTTGATGTTGATCCTGTGAGAGAAGATGGGCTCACCCCAGGTATACGACAAAGCGTTGTAGATCGGATTGCTGTCAAGGGAAACATGTTCAATCTCGAGCCTGATAGCGGGCCGAACTGAGACCAAACGAAGCAGTCGAATCCAGCCCGTCGGGAGATAGTCGTACTGGTACTTGTCTGTCATTGTGAAGATATGTCTTGAGCGCGCGAGATGACTTCAACTTTTGATCAAGCGATAAAACAACACATCAGCGGGGTATTTAAGATAATTGAGACTCTAGGACTCTTGTGGCGTTGGTCACCTGACACCATCTGTGCAAATTGATAGGACGTTGAGTCAAGGATCTTTCAGCTGAGGTTCTAAACGTTTCAGCCGTTAATGAACTTGGGAAGGCCGTGTAGTACAGTTCCACGGACAAAGGTAAAATCCAAGCGATTAATCAATTGAAAGCTTTAAACCAGGTATGTTTATATGCGGTCTTAATAGCAGTGGATTTTGTATGTCACTGTCAACCTGATGTCTGTGCAGTCGTTTTGGAGGTCAAGGCTCGTGCTCAAGCAAACACTTGTGGCATGTGGCCAGACCCTGTGCTGATGGCCGCCTAGCGTGAGCCAGTGGCATTGCTCGCGCCACATAATTGAGTTTGCTCCCTCAGTAACCAATCAAATAGGTACTGTGGTCTAGTTGGTCATGACATCTCGTTAACACCGAGAAGGTCCCCGGTTCGAGCCCGGGCAGAACCTCTTTTTTGGCATTTTTTACGGATCGCTAGATGATATCATCCACGCTGTATTATCATCCTACGGCTGTCAGGCTGTGATTCAGTCAATATGTACGGCACCCTCGACATGGCACAGATGTACTTCGGCAGTAGGATAACTGGCTGATCTATTATATAGGCTGGCTTGTTGGGTTGCCTACCCTATAGCAATGTCTCTGTGCGATTAGGAATGTAAATCAGAACGGGGGCTATTGTGTTTTGATACTTGTAAAAAAATGTGTATTAATGCCTTTAATAGAGAGGGAAACGTCCATAACGTAAATAAATGGAAACTCAGTCTCTTTCTTGATCATGTTGCTTGATAAAGCTTGGGGCAAAACACACACCAGATTCAATGCTCTGAATGAACCTCTACCATCTGACAAAAGTGCGCCAAATCAGGCAAGTGTCCCGCTTTTTATTACAGTGTATACGTACGTATCGATCGGATCAGGGCCTTGTTAGTAAGTCTTTTGTTTTGATGTTGAAACTTTGGAAAACTCAAGACCGAAAATTTCAAATTCGGTCTTTTAGTGAGATATTACGAGCTAACGTCATACATATGTAATTCCATTGGTCAGTTTGACCGCTCGGTCTTTATACTCCACCTGCACAGCCAGCTTCAAATCATCAGCAGAACAATCCAAGTACATCCTCCATCCCGGCTAAAATTCCATTTCAACTACAACTACTTTAGTCCCACTTTCAACAAATCCTTCGCGGCATAGGAAGCTCAAAATGACCTCGTGGCTGAGTATCCTGACGCGGATTAAAACGCGTCCCTATAAGAAATGGCTAATATTGAAAATACACACTCGGTCTTGTGTTTTACATAGAACAGCACATAATAGTGGGTCAGGCAACACCGAGAGAGGAATGCTGCAATTATATAAGTAGATAGAGTATTTCCAACATTTGCTTAAACTCTCTAAATCAAAACAAGCATTTTCACCAATACTATTCTACATACCAAGATGCACCTTCCTACACTTGCCATCCTTTTTGGCGCCTCGCAGGCACTCCTAGTCCCCGCACCACCAGGCCCTTATGATGTTGCGGTTAAGCATTTTGAGCTTGTCGACCAAAGCCGGCTTGACCCCTTTGCACCGGAAGCTAACACCAAACGTCGTATCATGGCATCGGCGTATCTCCCCATCGACTCCCATCACGGCTGCAAGGCTCAAGCCGTGCCATACATGCCTCCTCTGACTGCGAGCGTATTTGGCGAAGCCGGCGAGTCTCTCGGCATTCATCAGGGATTCATTGAATCTTTCGAGATGGAGTTTTGCGACATGTCCACTGTCAATCCAAAGAAGAGTCATCGACTGAAAGAGTTTCCTGTTGCTGTTTTCTCGCCAGGCGCTCGTGGAACAAGACTTTTGTACGGTGCAATGGCAAGGTCGTTGGCAAGTCTGGGATATGTCATCTTGACTCTTGACCAAACATATGAGACATACGTGGTTGAGTTTCCAGATGGAAGCGTTGTATATGCCCTGACTGATGAGCCGGGTGTTCTACCCAAACTAGAGGCAAGCCTAGGATACCAATGATTGACTAGCATAATGACTAACATATCTAGGCCCGTACGAGAGATGCCTCATTTCTTATCTCACAACTTCGCAACAAAACGGTTACAGATTCTGTTTTTGCCAGGTTCCCCGGCACCTTCAATCCCAACAAGATTGCGGTGTACGGGCATTCCTTTGGTGGCTCGACTGCTGCTGTCACAGTTCAACGAGACCCTCGTGTTATTGGAGGGCTCAACTTTGACTGTCCAATCAACGGATCCGTCAGATATGAAGGGTTCAAGGATAAGCCCTTTGTTATAATAGACACCAAGAGCTTGAACTTTCCAGAGTGGCCGGAGTTCTACAAGAAGATCGATGCGGCAAAGATGATGCTGGAGATTGAGAATACCCAGCATTATGTTTTTACGGATGTGCCACTTCTGTTGACAGTACTACCGGTACCACCTGAGTCGCAACTTCTTGTGGATGAGACGTTTGGTAAGCTTGGTGGAAGAAAAGTTGAGAAGGCCATGAACCAAATCATGGTTGGTTTGATGGATTTGCTCTTCAAGAAGAACACACGGGCTCTTAAGAAGATTGGCAAAAATGCCAATATCAAGGTACTGCACGATGATCTCCCTAGGCACATCTAAACAGAGAGTAGGACATTTTGAACCCGCATTTCTCAGATGTGGTGGGGACATGAATGGGTGGCACCTGGGTCCTCAACATTAGATCATCCGCAAGATAACATAAGGACATCCTCCCCTCGGGCTGAAATTCTAGATCAAGCATAACTACGCCGTACTTTTCTGACATCTAATTAAATGTAGAGTGGCGAGCCCAAATTTAATGGCACTCTCTCAAAAAGTTTTTTCATATTATGATCGGCAACTAGAATCTACACTATCTGTTTCTAGTGTTTAAAATACACTATTGCTTTTTAGTAATTATTCGTTCAAGACGCTAAAAGATATCCACGAATACAAACAGGCGCCGGCTTAAGCATAATCGGCTAAGTAACACTTAGGTCAATAGTGGCAAGCTAGTTTATATCCGCAGATAATGGCTGTCACCGCCCAAAAGGCAAATTTCAGATATGAGCTATATAGGGGTTAAGATTACGGAACCCAAATAACGAATGTGAATTAGATATACCTCGCAGGACGTACTGATTTCACACTGAGCAATGTTTTGGCTCATCTAGTCCTCTAGACACTACTGGTAATCTATTCCTTTGGATACCATCAGCATTCATCATGGTAGCAGTTCGCTCTCTCCTACTGCTTTCTGCTGTTGCAGGCATCGTGGCGGCCGGGCCATGCAAGCCCTCAAGCCGAACAACCCGTACTGCATTGGCTACGGAAACCACCGTATCGCAACAAACCACCGAGACCAGCACTCTAGGAGAATCTTCTACCGCGACCTCATCTGCCTCGACCACCGGAGCTGTGACAGAGATCTTGACAAGTCTCGCCACGGCAAGCCTATCAGACTCTACGACCGAGATCGAGAAAGAGTCTACCAGTGATGTCAGCATTGACTCGACCACTGGAATAGCCCTTACTACCGACGCTACAACGAGCGATATCGCAGAGACCTCAGCAGCTTCAGCCACTGAATCTCTAGCCACCGAGAGTCGGCCCGAGACCTTGTCTGTCTCAACCACTGGAACCTTGACAGAGGCTCTGACAAGTTCCGCGACGATAAGCTCAACAGACTCTACAACCGAGACCGAGATAGAGTCTCCCAGTGACATCAGCACAGGCTCGGTCACTGAAACAGCAATGGATTCGACTGCCGGCGCTACAACGAGCACTGTCGCAGATTTTTCGACGGATTCCACCACCAAGACTCTGGCCACAGAGACTACTACCGGCTCAACCACTGAAATAACGACTGGTTTCAGTACGGAAGCCACAACAAGCATCATCACAGAAGCCTCAGTAGCTTCTACTACTGAAACCCCATCTGCAGAAACTACTGTTGGCTCATCGGCTACTGGAATAACGACAGATTTCAGTACGGAAGCCCCAACAAGCACCATTGTAGCAACATCGATAGCGTCCACCACTGAATCTGTAGCCATAGAGACTACTACTGGCTCAACCACCGGAATAGAGACAGATTTCAGCACAGACGCCTCGACAAGCCTCATGACAGAAACCTCACTAGCTTCCACCTCCGAAAGTCTAGCCACAGAGACTACTATAGGCTCGACCACTGGAACAGCGATAGATCCCACTACCGATACTATGCCGACTACTGTCGCAGAAACATTGATACCGTCTACAACTGAAGCTCTAGACACAGAGACTACTACAGACTCCACCAGTGGAACTGCGATAGATCCCACCACGGGTGATACGTCAACTACTGTCTTAGAGACTCCGATAGCTTCTACAACTGAAACTTCGGCCACAGAGATCACTTCGGCCACAGAGATCACTTCGGCCACAGAGATCACTTCGGCCACAGAGATCACTTCGGCCACAGAGATCACTTCGGCCACAGAGATCACTTCGGCCACAGAGACCACAGAGACCACAGAGACCACAGAGACCACTTCGGCTACAGAGATCACTTCGGCTACAGAGATCACTTCGGCTACAGAGACCACAGAGACCACAGAGACCACTTCGGCTACAGAGATCACTTCGGCTACAGAGATCACTTCGGCTACAGAGATCACTTCGGCTACAGAGACCACTTCGGCCACAGAGATCACTTCGGCCACAGAGACCACTTCGGCCACAGAGATCACTTCGGCCACAGAGATCACTTTAGGCTCTACCACTGAAAAGCTAGTGGTCTCCACAACTGAGATTTCAACGGATAGTACTATACAAACGTCAGCAACTGAGACCGCGTATAGCTCAGCCACCGAATCTTCAGCCGACACCACCATCAATACCATCACAACTACCTTCATGACGTTACTTAGCTCAACAGAAACCACCAGCCAGGCGTCGACAACAACCTCAGCAGCTGAAGTGGTTATTGCATGCCCGGCGAACCCATCGCAGTGCCTCGGCACCATGGAGATCGAATGTGATAACATTATCTTTGGACTTAACAAAGACAGTGAAACGACTCTCGACGACTGTGCCCACAAGTGTAACCGGCAAGCAAACTGTGTCCAGTTCGCCCATAATGAGGGCACCAAGAACTGCTACCTCTCTTATGACGCTAGTGAAAATGGAGGCAGTGCATGGTTTCCGGGCTGGACTAGTGGTATTAAGGGAACATGTGAGCAGTGAATGTGGCTATGTACTGAGGTGTTATGCCAAGATAGAGCCTAGTTTCCCTGCTTATTAGATATAAGTGTCTGGTAATGGGAAGTAAAGAGCTAGTTAGACATTTGTTGATATTGTACTATAGTCTATAGTAATTGAATTATGGAGTCGATATTGTGGTGTAGAAGAAATAACTTATGGTAGGAGACGAATATGGATATTACATATTAAAAACATAATATCTGACCTTGAACTGCCTCGAGCTGGCAGTGGGTGGCCCTCAGTACTCCAGTAGCTATAAACTGTAAACTTCTATTAGGATTTCCTATCACCTATTACAACTATAGGTTGTGCAGTCTTGTTGCGTTTGATTACCGTAACTCTGGGGTTTCTATACACAGCTGTAAGTTTTTAATCTGCCAATGGCAGCTGCGAAGACATCTTCAAAGTAGAGTTCTATTAATCTCACCGGCTATCTGCTCTCCCTCAAATCCATATAATTGAGCCAAAACGCCCCTGAGCTCTTCTCGGGACGTATGTGACTCTTTACAATCTGAAAGCCCTGTAGGTTGAAAATAGGCAGCTCCTTCTCCGCCTTATCTAGAGCTGGGGATAGTTTCTGCTGGATAGTACAGTGATGTCTAGCGTACATCCTGCCATCGGTATACCACCCGGGCTCCCTGAGTCCCTCTATCATCTGTTTAGAACCTTCAATGCTTAACCCGTAGAATGGCTGCGCACAACGGGGGACTAGAACACCATGCTTTCCTAGCTCCTTTGTTAAAACACCTAGGAGCATGGATGAGCACTCGTAGGAACACTCTGGTTCCACCAGAAGAAGATCAAGAAGGTCGTAAATCGTCCAGAAGATATGAGACAGATAATCCTGACGTGCTTTGTCAATTTGCTCTGTGTCCTGGATCAGAAAAGGCCATAATATCAAGGTCTCATTAAAGCTTACCAAGGAGGTCGGCTGGAATCGGGAGATCATCGCTTTCAATTAAGGTCCCACTATGCCTTAATGCAAGTCGAGTCATCTTTTGGAACATATCTGGTTGCATGAAAACCCAGGATATGACCATGCAAAGAATGCAGTCTCGTCCGTAAACCGTTGGTAACTGCGAATTCAAATTTGCTAACCAAATGTCGGCATACAACTCAACACTTTCGTGGCACTGATAGTAGTCCACAATCATAGCCAGCTTTGCAAGCATTTCGAGGCTGAGCGACCTAGGTACATCTCGATGATAGCCGTGTATAATAGTTAAAATGATGTTGAAAGCCTCTGGATCCCAGTCGATGGCTGTGACTTGACGAAGTCCCGAGGGATCAGTCTTTCCCTCTGTAAAAGGACCAGCAAACATCTTTTCAAAGTAAGATGAAGCTAGAGCCAAATGTTTCCCTGACACTAGCATTCGGATCTCTACCTGGTCAGGTGCGATTCCAGGTCTCTCTCCATGATGCCAGTCCTGCACTGGCAGGGTCGAGCTGTCGGCATTCGTTTTAGCGTCAGTACACCCTAGCCTAATTGTTTCCTCATTCAGAAGATCACAATGCTCATCACCTGTCCCATCCAACCCCGCATATCCTACGTCAATAGTCTCCGTAACCGATATTGGGATTGGAACAGGAGACTCCGGTGGCGCCGGAGGTGGTGGGGGTGGTGGGGGATTGGATCCCAACCCCAGCTTCTTTCTTTTCTTCTTCTTCTGATTCTTATCGAGGTATTCCGTTGTAAATATTTTATGTTCTACCCGGACTGTCTCTTCTACCCAGTTGAAGGAATGAGCCTTGTATGTATTGAGAATGAGCTGCGTATCCCCATTCGAATCAAATATGTAATGCGATGGCTTTCTGCTGGATGCTGTTTTCTGGGAGATTCCTTCAATAGGAACAGGCTCAGGACTTGAGGCATTTTCAACCATCTTCGCTATGTTCGTCTTTCAGCTTGTCACTATTGAAAGGGGAAAAGTATTACTGACCTCCGTGGGTTTGAGAAAGAGATGTTTTGTAGTAATATCTTTGCTGAAAGTTTGCAAAAGGCAATATAGATTCAAGTGTTGGTTCTGTTATGAAAAAGGGAATGGTCGAGCTTAAAGGAACATTGACATGGGCTGCCTCGTGATCCATCTGCAGGAGGCCGACCAGCAGTCTTTGGACCCCGCTTCTCTGATTTTGTGATTTGCGTTGATGGCATGCTGCTTCTTCCAATCATAACATTTTATGACCATTTTGATAAAGGTTACCCCCCAATCAAAGCTGATGGCTTTCATAGCTCTGGCAATCAGAGCATCATACGAATATTCTATCCGAATGTCTGGTAATCGTAAGACCGTGATTGGCGTTGTTTGACGTTTACTCATGTTTATCATACCGAGTCCTCCAATTCCGCTCTCATCCTTCAACATTACAAAAGCTTTACGGACCGTACCAAACATCACGCCTGCGCTTAAGGTTTCTCACATCAATGTGAAATGGAGATCAAAGTTGGTATTTATGGATCTTGCCGTATTGGCCAGATTGTTCTTCGCCCTATTGCGAGCCCTCCCACGATCATACAGAGCTGATGCAGAAGAACGACACGAAGTCTGCCAAAGGACGAGGTAAACCAAGTGTAGAATAGTGCGTGATGTGCTGCTTCGAAGACTACAGCCACCGCCTAGGATGCCGCTGCACTAGTACTTTAATTCTCAAGCAGGAAGATCCATAACTCCATAGCAAAGGATTGCAGAAAGGCACAATTGGTTTGAAAAAAACTAGTATTAGTGAAATCCACTGTAGAATACTTTAATACACAGTTTTAAGTGCCCGTTGATTATCTTGGTTGATATTTCTATCGGCTGTATAGCCTATGTGATAGAGACCAGTAACGTATTGTACCGAGCCTCTTTCACCAGAGACCCTCTAAACGAGAAATCGAGTTCCTGAACTCTTCATGACAATAACATTTTCCCATATTTCGCTCTCCTCAAGCTTCTTGGTAAGAACTTCGAGATTCTGTTCTTTATTACCATTGATATCAACCTAGATAAATCAGCATCAATCATCATTAACAGACGGAGTTCTTATACTTACGGATATCACAATATCCTGCTCCTGATATGCTTCCTTTGCAGGGATAGTCTCAACCTCGTATTCTGCAAAACGTCTTACGAACTTGTCTTCACTGTCATTGGTGTCTCGGGCACGGCCTAAATATCTCTCCTTCGCATTCTGCTTCGTCACCTCAAAGGCGAGTACAACATCAGGCTTTATCAACCCATTGTGGTCACCAGGTGCAAGCGGTAAGCTGTCTTGGAAGGGCCATTGGCCGAAAGCCTCGAGCTGGTCGATGCATCGTGGGAATCCGTCGACCAGGATGCCTGCACTTCCAGGCTTGTTCTTGATGATGTTGGAGATCTCGCCGTAGATAAAGGTATTCAGCGTGTCGGAGGGGACAAAGCCTTGGTTTCTTAGCTTACTTTGAATCTCAACTGCAAGTTGGGTGGTAGGGTTTTGGCGCATCCAAGCACGTAAGGCGTCGCCGACGGAGTAGTGATAGAGATTGTACGTCTGTGCAAGATGTGTTGAAAGGGTACCCTTTCCTGCACCTGGAGCACCTGGGACAATGTCAGGATAGTTCGAAAGCAGAGGGCATTTACAATACCAATAACGAACACAATAGCAAAGCTGAGGCTACTTTGGCCTCGGTCAGTGTGAGGAGACATGATGTTGGGAAGGGCCAAGCAACCGTGAAGTATTGAGTTGCTAAAGCCTTATCAAGATTGAATCGGGGTAAACAAAGCTTATCTTGGGGAAGTATCGAGAGGCCAGTGGATCTGCCCTGATCACGAGGCAAATCACTGTTACACAGGAGCGGGGTTTTGGAACTTGGCCAATGAAGAAAGCAGATGAGATATATCTGCCTTGTTCAGCTATAAAAGCCTTCGACCGATCAATTACTACCTCTCACAGATTTGTTCACTCTTCGAGTATCGGTTTACCATAATGGCGAATCTCTTGCGTTTCTTGGATCTGCCGCCATGGTCCATCTTTGTCATTGGCGCACTTTATGCCATTCTTGCTACAGTCAACCTCACCAGACGCCAAAAGATGTCTGACAGTGTCACCAAAAATCCCAATGTCCCAGTTTCGGTGAATTACTTTCCTTCTAGAAAATGCAACTATACTTGCGGGTTCTGCTTCCATACCGACACTTCATCCTCCGTCCTGCCAGTTGAGGAAGCAAAGCGTGGCCTGAAGCTGCTGAAAGAAGCTGGTATGCGCAAGCTCAACATTGCAGGAGGAGAACCGTTCCTCTAACCCCGCCTCCTGAGCGAATTACTGCGCTATGGAAAAGAGGAGCTCGCGATTGAAAGCATCAGCATCGTGAGCAATGGCAGCAAAATCACCGAGAGATGGATGCAACAGAATTACCAGTAGCTCGACATTCTCGCAATATCGTGCGACTCGTTCCACTCTGAGACAAACAAAAAGATCGGGCGGGGTGACGATGGAGGGAATGTCACTCGACTCTTCCGAATCGCCGACTGGTGCAGAGAATACGGCATCAAATTCAAGCTGAATACCGTCGTCAACGTACACAACTGGGACGAGGATATGGCGGCTGATATCGAAAGGCTAGCACCATTCCGATGGAAGGTATTCCAGTGCTTGCTTGTCGCTGGCGAGAACGAAGATGCAACTCGCCTGCGCGACGCAAGAATCTTCCTGGTGACTGAAGAGCAATGGAAGACCTTCTGTGATCGCCATAAGCATTTACCATGCTACGTTCCGGAGGACAACAACTCTATGGCGAGCAGCTACTTGCTCCTAGACGAGGACATGTGCTTTCTAGACAAGGGCGAGGGCATGATGACCAAGAGTGAGTCAATCCTGAAAGTGGGCGTTCAAAAGGCTATGGAGCAGGTTGTCTGGGATAAGACCTCTTTTGTCGATCGAGGTGGAATCTATGATTGGGGCAGGTCTGATATGGCAAAGGATAGCGGTTGTAGTGGCGAAAAGAGTGAGGATTTACAGTGGTAATCAATAGCAGTGCTGGGCTGCTTTTTAGTCAGGTTGTCAAGATTTATTTAAAATTGATTGACTAGTTATTAGTCTCTCTAGCTAGATGATAAATATTGCGAACGTTCCAAGGCTGGCCTTTCATAGTCACAAACAGTAGTCTGTATGCCTTATGGTCATCACCCCCCTGTCTCCGGCAGTCCCCCTCCGTTCAGCCCCGTCTAGCCAAGTAACGCCGGGTATCAAACATCATCACTTCCTGTACTGGCAGGGCTGACGCAATTTGTAGCAGAGCTGTCGGCTGGGAAACACCCTGTTGAAGCTGTCGAGGCAGGGGGCACACAGATTAAGCGGTAAAACTAGTTACTGAATTCCTTTAATTTCATTACATACCATGATTTAGTCATATCAAAAGCCTCCGTATCTCAATTCTGAAGGTTTTCCCCAGGCTTTCTCCCCCAAGCAAAGACAACAGGTAGATACAGGTGAATTGATGGGTCTTGAAGCTCCTGTTTGACCTTGGCCATCAAGATCTGGATCTCCTCCACACTCCAACCAAGCGCATGTTCAAAAAGCTTTGGCGTGTAGGACTCAACAACCTTGATCTCTTGAATGACTTGGTACTTGCCAAGCTCCTTGAACCTTGGATCCTTAGGCCATGGTCCAATTGGTATCTAGAGCGGTCAGTGGAGAAGTCCATTTGGATTGAACTTGGTAACGGCACGAACCTTACGAACTTCTTCATGAACATCAACAAAACCTGCCTTGATCAACCTTGCCTTCCACTCAGACCCTCCGTCTACAGGCTTGCCGAATTTGGTACAAGCTTCACGCATTTTGTTCATCCAGAGCTGAGCGTTGGGGGCTTGTTCGATGGTCCCGTCATCCGAGTAAAGGTGTGCATCTACTCCTTGTAGTTCGATATACCCATTTGGGACTAGATGCTTGAAAGCCTGTCGCAGTAGACGATCTCGGTCGCCTATGCATCCTCCTAACTCTCGTCCGTGTATGAAGTCGAATTCCGTCTGGTATAGCCATTCGTCTTCAAAGTCATCGATTTCGAACGTGCAATTGGGTGGATTCCTAAGATGTGTTAGTCAAGTACCTTACTAATGAGTTGTTTCAGTACCATTCGGGTTGGATTGGGCTGAGATCATTCCCGATGACTTCTGAAGAAGGATGGTCACTGTTTGCCGCTCAATAAGGTTAGCTTAGGCCAGGTATCCCCCAGGGTCTAGAATAAAACGAACTCTGCAAAATCAATTGCCCATATACCTGTGCCTGTACCCAGATCGAGTACTCGCTGGGCATTGGGATTAATTGGAGCAAGATAAAGCTTTCCCTCTAGAAGAAGGCTGTATAGGTGATGACCGAGGTCCATGCGTTCTTGCTCCTCCTCATCGTTCGGCTAGTGAAGAGGTGTTAAGTTTTATTGTTTAGTTCGGGGTTTTGAAAAACATACCACGGGATAGGAGCCCTCACGGAATGCATGATAGCGACGTCCATTCTGAATTCTCTTAGTCAGGTGGCCGTACATGTAGTCAGCCTTCAACACTTACTTCGAATCTAGAAGGATGTAGCATCTTAGATTAACATGTTGTCTAGTCACGGCTGTAAACCCGTATTCCATACCTATAGTTATAGATGCTTGACTTTAGCGATGTTAGGTAACTAGAAGTTCCAGTCCTTCAATTAGGAGATTAGTTAGATTGGGATACCGTCGAAAGTGTAGCATAAGACTAACGAGGAATCCAAGATCGACTCTATATCGTGTCTATCTTGCTTAGGGATAAGTTAACACCAGGATTAAGACTGTGACTAGGGAGTGTAAATGACTCACGCCAACTTCCAATTCAACCCCAGGTTGAGTGGTGTTAACGGGAGGGCCAGAATTGATAGAGACATCTGGCTGACGAACAGCTTCTTTCAGGGGCTCAGCCATAGCGAAACTGGTAAGTGTCTAGGAAGGAGTCGAATTTAACAGACCAGACAAAAGAAAAATGTCAAAAGACATCACAAAGGTTCAGGAATAAGGAGATGTGATCTGATATTTATAACCTCATGATGCCCCGCAAGGTCCGGGCCCCCTGCTTCTGTTGGTTGTACAGTACCCTGCAAATGCAGCGGAATTTCTCAAACCTCCAATCGGAAAATAACGTGCTGGATGTCACAACGGTTGGCTGTATCTGTAGTTCAATAGTTACATCATGGGGAGGGGAATGCATTCATTCGAGTGTGAATGCCCAGCAGAATTGAATTTAACAGAGTGCTGACATAAAGCGGACAACATAGTATTATCAGGCCCTTTAAAATCCGGAACTCGCCTGTTCGTTGACAGCAGACACTAAGCAACAGTAATAACATTTGCTAAAGTTGCAGTATATTTCTCGCCTGTCGCAATAGAACATCAGTAACTCCTATAAAGACTAGTGGTGCTCTTTCCTCATGGACATATCCACAGCAAACATGGTTGGGTATTTAATAATCTATGGAAGTGTCCGGTGAAAGTTTGATTTGAGAAGAATATTTTATATCATGGAGGTAATGTTCATAGTATCTTTAAATAGTCTATTTCTGGATTATGACAGATCTATTTTCCTGGTCAGATAGTTCTCCCAACTACAGAGGAAATAATATATAGTTAGCAGGTCTTATTCCCACCTCTGTTTCGGGTATTAGTCATCGGCATAAGGTCCTGGCGACTGAGCGGACCCTATTAGGAACCGCTAGATTAACAGGACATATTGATCCTTTCTGGACTACAGTCAAGCACTACATCCTTTATGTAAAACGTAAACCGCAAAAAAATAGAACAGGTAAAGTAATAGGTGTCAGAATAGGAACTTATCACAAGTTCTACAAGTTAAAGTATGGATCTCGGTGAGGGTCCGAAAACTGCACCCCTATTGACGCAAAAATGATTCCTGAAGCCTATCTTTAACTTTGTTTCTTTAACCTTGTAAATTGACAAATCGAACTCCGGTGGATCCAACTGACCACAATGCGTTAGAATGCTCTCAGGAGACTACGCACACAACCAAAATAAATCTCTGCAATTTATTCCAGGATTATTGTGATAACTTGGATCGCTTTACTAGTTCACTGAGGACGAGCTGTATTGGGTAAAATTCGACTACATGGGTATTTTCACATAAAATCATATATACTGGGGAATATTTCATAGACTAGCTATCATAGCGGTGACAGAGCTCAACTGTGGATGAGAGGTCTAGATTAGCTAGGAATTAGGCTATAGCTTTAGCTTGGAGAATAAAAAGAGAGATAATCTTGCTACAGGATATCACTTTGTTATAAATACTTCTTCAGACTATAACTAGTAAGTTTTTACTACTAATGTATTACTTTTTACCTTTATTATTATTCTCCCTTTTTTAACTATTTAGTTATCAAAACTTTATTAAAAATATAACATTAATTATCGATAAATTACTTTTGTAGTATCAGTTATACTAATAACTGTAAGAAAACCGTGTTCTGTTTTGTGTTTTCTTATTCCGCTTCCCATACCTTTAAACTCTGTTTGACTTTTATTTCTTCTAATACTTATCAAAGGCAAGTAAACCAAGATACTATTATTAGCAAACTAGCTACATAAATCAAAACGATTTTGACAGAATAAGATACGGTTATGGCGACCAGAGCTGTGTAGGAAAAACTAGATTTTATCTCTATACAGAAGAGACCTATTCCTCCTCGTCCCAAGGTATAAGCTTCCTAGAATATCAAGACCCCTCCCATAGGTAGTAGTTAAGTTCCGCTAGGTCAGCATCCTCTCCTAGCATTGGGGCCACAGCTTTAGTTATCACCCGAGTCGTCGAATAGGCGGTGCATACTCTAGATCTTGATCTCAACCGAAACTCACTTGAATAAGATCTACAAGACAGAAACATACGACCTCGATCTCTTCTTTTCTTGATCCCAGATTGAATAAAGTCTTCCGGCTGCATAGGAGAATAGCTCAACGTAAGCCAAAGATACTTTTCCCTCAATACATAAGCTACTTCTAAGAACTGATTTCTAAATGCTGATCGCTCGCATAAGTCAGTATCTAGGCCAGTAAACTATAGCATTATGAGACTTTTAGCAATGACATCGGGTTATGCCTGATATAACGAAGGTGTGTCGATAGCAAGCGAAGCGAAAAATGTGGAAAAGTATCAATCGGACTTTATGATCTTAAGCCCACTAGAACCTACAACACCCCAATACCCCATCTAATGATCTATCGCTCTTAAAGCCAACATCGATAGTGGGCAGGTTATCTACTCCATCTCTTGTCGTTTCACTATAAAAATGACAAATGGCTTGTCTTGAAAAGTAACTACTGGCATGTTCAATTAACGTGGTGGAGGCTGTTCGTCAATGAACCAGCATTAGATGTCTGTCGAGACTCTGGCATCTCTAGCTAAAGTTCATGATGGAATTGAAATATGTCAAATCCACAATAATATTAAGAATACTAAGCTCCAATTAGAAAAATACTGACATACGCGATGTTTAACATCATGAAAAAGACAATCGGCACGTCGGACATATAGCCCTTAACTCCATCGTCACCAGGTGGAGCAAAGCGCGGACAGATTTATACACCTTGTCCGCAGCGGGTTCCGCATAACTAAGAGTCCCACCTGTAAGAAACCGAGCCGTGATTAATAGAGTGTTAAGGGGGTTCCACGTAGAATCACCGGTTCACAAGCTTTCCTGTCCATCTCGGCATGGTGGATACTACATTCGCTCAACAAATTTGCAACGGGGCCATGACGTGACACCCTAGAGCCTCCTCATCCAGGATGTCAAAAAACACGGTATATTGGCTATGTGACATGTGAGACGCTGACTGCCGAGGGAGCTGGACAAACTATCCCACTCCCTTCCTCATGGCGTTGCAGTTTCCTCCCGTTTTCTTACTTGTAGCAGAACTATTCAAACCTTCACGAACAAGCACGGCAGTCATAGCAATTAACCTTAAGCAGGATGGGTTACGGAAAACAAATGGTGCTTTCTTTTACTATGCGATCGGATTAACATTTAGAGGGCCTCAAGTTATATGAACGCAACCTTTGGTTTGCAAGTCAGCCCCAGACCATCAGGAGTGTGGTTAACACAAAACCAAGCATTGTCGCCGCACCTCTAACTACTTGCCGTTCTTGATATCTAAAAGCAGCGAATTACGAAGTTATGATGGTTCTGAGTACTATACATGACACTGGCCCAGCTACTCGAAATCTTTGCAGATTTTGAGTACCGTTCCTTATCCATGTGAGCATATTTACTGTCTCCACCGACAGGCAACAGATGTCCAAGTGTTTGCTCATAGGGAAAAGACTGTGTGTTTGAAACATCGGAACCTATTCCTATTCTAGACGACGCGGCCGATGGACCCACAAAGAACCGAGGTCTATGAAATACAGAAATAGAACGCTAAGAAATAAGTTTATGACAACGTTGAGGACATCAATCTGTTTGTTGGGGGAGTAAGGGTGAATATAAGGAAAGACGTTGTCTAAAAAAAACTTGTAGAGAAAACTGTTTCGATTTGTTTATCTTTGACTTCTCAAACAAAAATCCAGAAATGGCGACTCAGGCACTACAGTGGATCGCTAACTGCAGTAACCATGGTTGTCTTGTGACCATGATACTAACGTTAGCCGTGTGCTATTTCGCACTAGTACAAGCCCTCCGATACCGTCGCAAAGCAGAGATTGAGGCTCCATTTGTTGTCGGCAAAAGACCTTTATCAAGTATGACGACAAAAGAAGCCCATGATATCGTTGCCCAACTGCAGCTGTTGGAGTTTCCATACGCTTTTGAAAAAGCTCGGAAGATAGCTTTGCTAAAGGTTAGGAAGAAAGGAGTTGTCCCGTGGAGATGATATACTTGGTATTGACTGTCGAGCAGGCTGGCGGCATTCCAACCATGTCTAAGCTGTTTGCCGTGACTGGTCAGAACAACAAAAGAAATGCAGGAAAACGGGCTATTGATACCCAAATTCTTCTTCGCGAAGGACAGTCTCAGCCGCGCGACTCCGATCGTTATGCCACCGCCGTCGCACGAATGAATTATCTGTACGTAGCATTATTACACAACTCTAGGATCACCGAGAGAATACAAGTTACTAAAATCATCAGCCATGCTCGATATCGCCGCGCCAATAAGATTACAGATCCAGATCTGTTACACACTCTTGGGGATGGGCTTGGGGAGATATTCACGGTCGTCCAAAGGGAGGAATGGAGACAACTGACCAATGTCGAGAAATGCGCGATTGGTGTCTTTCACAAGACTCTTGGAGATGACATGGAGATCCCATTCGACCCTCTTCCTCATAGTAAAGAAGGATGGAGTAGTGGCCTCCAATTTGCAGAGGAGCTGCACGCCTGGACACACCAGTACGAGCAGGAAGTGGCTCGACCAACAACTACTAACGATCAGTACGTTCGAGTTTATGTTGATTCAGCTGTTTCCAAGATGCCAGAATTTGTGGCTGCCAATATCCGAATGGTCTTGGCCGAGAGCCTGGATGACACCATGCGCGCAAGTCTCTGGTAAGTTGATCTCGTTACAGAAATGGCTGTTCTCAAATGCGCGCATAAGAGCTAACATTAACTTTCGCGCTACCAGCCTCGAGCCTCCTGGACCTATCCTCAGTGCATTTATCCAGTTCATCCGCATTTTTCGAATCACATACCTACGATACATGGCTCTTCCACGCTTTCACCCTATCAAACTCGTCGCCGAGCAGCCAAACCCCGGAACTACTCTTTTCAATTTTGACCAACTTAGCTTTCAACCTTGGTATGTAAAGCCAAGCTTCTGGGCCTCATGGGGACCTGTTGCCCTGTTGCTCAGGACTTTCGGTGGCAAGGTGCCGAGTTGGTCCAAGGAAAGGTACCAACCGCAAGGATACGATTTGATGACTATTGGTCCAGATCCACAGAAGGGAAAGGGCGTGGAAGAAATGGTGACAGCAATAAGTGTTATCAAGGCAAGGGGAGTGGTAACGTGCCCTTTCTCTCAAGGTCTTGGTTCTTAAATATGTCAATTAGTCAAGTAGTGGCTTATTTGAGCTATCACATGAGGCCTTTGAGCTTCCGGAAAAACTCCCGCAATGTTCGATGTTCGGCTTACGCTTCCTATGATTGACCGTTTCATCGTGTTATCACTACCAAATAAACAGAACCATAATTGATGATTACGCGTAAAATAGATCAGCAATCAAATTCCTTATCTAGCAGTAACTCCAACTCCGCCTGTACAAGATTTCGCAACACGTTCCACGTTTCTCGAATGTTCTGAGGCTTCAAAATATTAGACTCGCGTTTATAAAGAGACTTGATTTGAATTTGAGTAGACAGGATTGCCAGTGGAGCAGTAATCTCAATAATGATGGACCAGATTAGCGGTAGTTTTTGGCCTATATGCTGTATTGTATCTCTGTCGTTATAGGGGGGTGGTGTCCTTCTTCAGACACTAATAAAATATAAAACTCTGACCTGGTATCCCACATCCCACCTTCGGGCTACGGAGTGATGGATATCCGCTTAGTTCTTATCTCCGAAGGGGCAATCTCAACGTTTACCTAACATGTATTAGCCTCTTCCTAGCAAACCTTAAATGCGAATTTTTACTTGTCAATGCTTGCGTACTGCATTGATATGCGGAGCAATACCGTTGGCACTTTAAGTCCTAGCCCGTATGCTTAACAAGTCGGGCGAAAGGCTGAACCGTTGTCCGGACTCGGCGTGGTGTCACAATCAGGCCGAGGTTTCTAATCGTCAGATTCAATGATGCTTTGACAGAGTCGGCTGATTATCACTATTATAACGTCTACAAGAGGTCAATGTGGTCTACAATGATTTAAATAGACGTGTTTACCTCGTTTTAACTCTCTAGTCTTCACATCATATCTTCTTCATTCCTATTACACTAAGAATACATTCAACAACAGCAAACATGTCTAACAGCGTGTTTCTCTCCTCCACTGGCGACCTCGTCGTCCAGAAAGTTACCGAAACCTACACAATCGAAGACTCCCAATGCCTTGTCCGTGTTGATTACTCCGCCATCAATCCTTGTGATCTGAACTTCTTTTACATGGGGCTTAAGTCTTTCGTCACTGGATTTGAGTTCTCGGGCATCGTGGAGAGGGCTGGTTCAGACACACCCTTCAAGGCAGGAGATGCTATCTTCGGCATTTCGCCCGTCGTCATTCCAATGCCATCTGCACATGGAGCTCATCAAGACTTGATGGTGGCTCAATCCGAGCTTCTCTATCATACTCCAGTGGGTATATCCTCCAAAGATGCCAGTGCTATATGTATGGCTGCGCACACAGCTACAGATGCATTGTTCAATGTCATTGGCGCTGGCCTCCCGGCTGCCAACGTTTCTGGTATTGACCCTACTGGGAAGGGAATTCTCATCTGGGGCGGTGCAAGCAGTGTTGGTATCATGGCGGTCCAGATTGCAAAAGCTGTTGGTTTCCGTCACATCTTCATTACTGCATCTGCTAAGAACCACGAAACTCTTCAACACTTTGGCGCGACACATTGTTTTGATTACAGCAGCTCGACTGTAGTCCAAGATATCCAAGCAGCCCAGAGAGCTCTCCAAATTGAGATAGCCATCGCTTTCGACACTGTCGGCAAAGGAACCATGAATCATGGTGCTCCTACCGGCCCGAGCAGTCCGGAACTGACCAAGAGTGCACTGTTGTCAAGTAAGCCTGACGACCTGAAGCTCGCTTGCACGCTCCCAGTTCCTACAGACCCTGCTTTCGGGTTCTGCACTTCATATCGACCGAAGGGCAATCTCAATGCTATGGGTGCGCCTCAAGACCCGGATTCGGCTATTCGTGTGCGCAAGATCATCGAGTATCTGTTGGCAGATGGTACACATGGTTTGAAGCTACCTGTTGTCACGGTTGTCACTGACATAAAGGACGGGATTGGCGGCATTCGCCGTGCGGCTGAAGGCAGGATGAGTCTGGAAAAGCTTGTTGTAAAGCATCCTTTGAAGTAACGGTTACTTGAGTAGAGAGATAATGCCTGAGCAAGACTAAGATACTTACAAGCCCAATGCCTCGAGCTCTGTTAAGGAGTCTATATATTAGACTTAAATTGACATACTTATTATTCTCTTCAGCTTTGCCCACTAGTGTAATACTTAGGTATTCTAAGAGATAAACTGGACCATTCTATGTTTATTTGAGTATCCGGGAGTGTCCAACTAAGAGCGACAGGAACGCGCCAAGAAAGTGCGGCGCCTATGAAGCACCGTACGAAGTCTTTAACCACTAGGGCCCTACCAGGAAGTAGGAGATCACCAAGGCCAAGGCAGCCTCTAGATCAAGGCCGAGATGTCACCTAAAACTAGAAAGCTTCGTTACCAGAATCACGACCGGAACTATCCTGACCTCACATACCGGTAGATTACCGACTCAGTGAAGGTCTTCACATTCTATAATATAGGTTAAGGTTTACTAGAGAGAGAGCATATAACGCTAGTATCATTTAAGCGCTGCTGTTCAAATAATAGAGTATGTAGATCAGGTTGATTACCTTGGTGTGGGTGGGGCTACTCTAATTGTGCTAATCACTACTCCGTAGGAACCGAAAAGCGATACGAGAATGTCGGCTCAGCCGAGGCTCAGGGAGGACTCAGGGGGGACTCAGGTTAAAGTAGCGACTACTCAGGATTGTGGGAGAAAAGGAAAATACTGTAAGTCGGTATATATATCACGTATCAGGCTGTTTGAACATTTGGTGCTTGATAAAAGGCTCTGATAGCCTCTTTGAGACTCAATTCGGCAAAGATAGTGGCGAATTAAAATTAATCTCTTCACATTAGAGAAAAAAGATGAAAAATAAAAGACTTGGTAATTACTCCGTACAGCTCACATATAGCTCGAATTCTGGTAATTAGCTTATGAAACTTTTAGTCTAATAGATATTTACTAACTTTGGTCTTTAGACTATTAAGAAACTATCAAAGCCACAATAACTAATATGGTAAAGTGTGTTATAAGATGTGGTTGTTTGTGGCCCGTGTGCCTCAATAGTTTGGAAATACCCCTGAGCCATCCTCTATCCCCACTAATGTGAGTGTCATCACAAGAAAAAGATTTAATGAGTAAATACACGGTTCAGTGTCCTAATTTGATCCGGCGTTTTCTTGAATACTTTCCTTTACCTCCACACGCTCGCCTTTTCTTCAAAATGGTTTCTAATAAGTTACTGGTGTCTGCTGTTGCCACTCTGGCCTCGTTGGTGGTGGTTGATGCTGGCCCATGTAAACCAAACGCCTCTGCTACCAGCACTGCTTCTGCAAGTCTCGCATCAGAGACTAGCACCGTCCCTGTTGTCACCATCGAAACCAGCACTGCGACTGCTGATAGTGGAACAACCACCACGGCGACTGAGAATGGAACTACCATGACCGTATCTGTGAGCGCTGCGTCAACGAAAACCGCCAACAGCGAGACATCGACGGAGGCCAGCGAGAGTGAAACTACGGGAGTTGCCAACAGTGAGACTACGACGGTCACCAGCAGTGCTGAGGCTACAACAGTTGTCAGCAGCACCGAGATCACCACTGTAGCAACCAGCACTGAGGGCTCGTCGACCGTCGCCGAGGCCACCACAACCACCACCGTAGCCGATGCAGGCCCTACCAATCTTCTTATCAATGGGAATTTCGATCTGGGGACAACTTCCCCCTGGCTAGTCACCGCCAACCCTGCCGTCCGCCTCGGCTCCAATGACCCATACGAAGGTCAGGCTTATGGAGAACTCGAGTATTCTATCGTCAACGGCGAGGCGTACAACAATTACGTATATCAAGCCATTGACAAGAGCCGTCTCAAGGCGGGCTCGTACGAGCTGTCTGCTATGCTCCGCGTGGACGGCGCCACCGATAACATATATGACGACGGATGCAATTCGATAGGGGTCGGCTGTTACTACGGGGATCCCAACATGCTCAATCGTGTCCAAGGTTCCTTTGTGACGCTCAGCGCCGATGATGCAGTCAATCAGTGGACGCAGTTGAGGACTACTTGTTTGCTTGTCGAGCAGACGTTGTCTAACTATGACTACATCAGTGTTGCCATTGGCTTTAGCTGCGCCAATAGTCTTGCCGACGTTGATGCTGTTACATTCGAGGAAGTCCTGTAGACATATTTGTACACTCTCTCTTTTCCTTTTCCTCACTATGTGTATAATTCAGTCAAACATAATATCTTTAGTCTTGTAATCTGTCTTCTCAAGCAATAATGAACTATGAAACTATACGGGTGAAGATGTATATGTAAAACGTCTTGAGTCATGACGCAGGATCCCACCTTATCGAGCTCAAATTCCGTGCAATCCTATAAGTCAAGTTGCGCAAGCCAAATATTGGCGGAAGCGCTTCCATCAACTGTCGGATCCGCAGCGTCTAGTCAAAATGACTTCAAGACAGCCCAGCCAGTGCCAGAGAGTCCTTCCATAGGCGCCCTCAGCCTCTGGGTTGAATATATGCTTGGCGTACCCCGAGCCAAAAGCGTCACTCTCGTACTTTAAAGGACCCGCCTCAGTGCATTCGGCAAGATATTTCCCTCCCCTTCCCTCCCACTCTTTCCCAATTGCGGCCCAGACGCTTATAGTAGCTCCTTACTTAAGGCTTTTAAATTTCTTATAATACTCACTGTCGCTGCCGGCCCTGTCCAATTCCTCTTATAGAAGATACTTTACGAGTGAGGTTATAATACCACTAGGGTGGAGGCTTATCGCGTAAAGGCCCTAAGAGCCATATTACCGCTCCAGTTCGTTAGCCATATAGATATTGGCAGCTTTAGACTGTGTATACACTCCCCAGGGAGTATATCTGCCCTTTTCGAAGTTATAGTTATCCGGAGTATTAATGCCATTTCTTAAGTATGCGGTAGAAGCTACGATAATAGCACGGCTGTGAAAGTTAGGCGTAATAGCTACTAGCAGAGCTGGCTTAAGTAGCTCAAAGAATAAGAAATGAGATAAGTGATTGGTACCGAACTGCAGCTCGTGGCCGTCTTTAGTAAACTGGAGGGTCTGGACGGCCATGATTCCAGCATTATTGATCAGGATGTTAATCTTATCTGTCTTGGCTAGGGTGCTCTTGGCCGCGAGACGGACACTCTCTAGAGACTCTTGGTCCATCTCGACAAGCCCCATACGGCTAGGATCGAAGATGCCATCCAGGGCTTCCTTAGCTTTGACGAGATTTCGGGCCGTTAAAAAAGCTTAGCTCTAGTGGTCGAGAGAGCACGAACTGTCTCAATTCCAATACCGGACGAGGTGCCCGTGGTGACGATGATCTTGTCGTGAAGTTTTCCCTCTACGCCTTCATCTTTAATGATTTGTAGCGCGGTTGGTCTGGCATCACCAGGACCTTGGGGATTTGCGTGGGCTTCAGCGTAGCGAGACACGGTCGATGATTCTGTTGATTGAATTGTGTTGAGTAGTGGTGTAGGTAAGGAACTGGTAGATTGACATGACGCCAGATGTTTGAAGCGGATGGCTAAAGACCTTATATATTTGGGTCGGAGATGCATTCACACTTGAACTTGATAGTGGTTTGTCAACATACCTCACATTGCAACCTTGTTTCTTCCTATCTCCGTGTTACTCCGTACCAAAGTGCCTACATTCCCTGCCTACTACTGCCTACTCTTGCCTACTCCTGATAGTCATTGTGTTCTTTGAGAAATTAGATTGATGAAGTCCCATACTGGTCTGAACTAAGCTTTCGTTGCGGTGTCGGTGTCGATCCAAGTGCGGACTTTGTAAGCTGGTTGACCGTTTTCGCCTTTTTCGGCTTAGCTTTTGAATAAGGCCCACTGGCGATGATGGAACTTCCCTGGATTGCATGAAGCACTCGGTCTTCTTATTAGTCCACTATCGAGGATGTTGTACCATGGGCTTGGCGATTCCCGCTGTTGGTGCATGTTGATCGATTTTATGACCTTTCGTGTGCTGACCGTCTAGCATCTGGCTGGCCCAATTGGGTTGGTGTTGTCGATGTTGCTTTCATGCGGTTCTTTTGTGGGTCTTAAGATTTCCGAAGTACCGTCCATCCCCCGGACTTGGCTTTTGCTGTTTTCTCGGCTTTGTTTGTCTGTGGCAATCCAGTGGGACGTTTCGCTTGTAATGGTCTTTTGGATTAACGTTAGCCATTTGATTAATAATCTCTGCTGCGGGAAGTTACTAATCGTCGTGAAGGCTGATCTACGATAATAAATAGCAGAATACCATCCCCTTGTCGAGAACATGTCTTGTGTCAGGCTTCTTCATTCTTTCAATTCTTTATCTACCTTGTACCATTCGCAATTATGGCGCCTACTATCCTTGTCGCTGGAGCCACTGGCAACACCGGAAAAGCCCTTGTTGAAACCTTATCACAACTTCTGAAAACCACCGCCTTTTCTGGACACAGAATCCTTGCTCTTACTCGTTCCTCGGGCGGAGCTACAGCACAGCAGCTCGCAAAACTGCCCAACGTTGAAGTAGTCGAAAAGTACTGGGCAGATATCACCTCTGACTGGCTCCGTGAGAACAATGTTGTCAGAGCTTTCATCGCTTCGCACGTCAACCCCAGTCAATTCGCTGAAGAATCGGCCTTCTATCTGGCTGCTCTCACGGCAGGTGTTCAGTATGTCGTGCGAATCTCCACAACCGCTGCGAATGTACGCCCAGACTGCCCTGCGTACTATCCCAGGAACCACTGGGCAATTGAAGCCCTACTGAGCTCACCAGAATTTGAGGCTCTGCGATGGACTTCGCTGCAGCCCAACGTCTTTACCCAATACTACCTTGCCCCTGCTGCCGAGTTGATCAAGAACTTCCGCAAGACCGGGAAGCAGGATACCCTCAGGCTTATGGCTTCAGAGGATGCGCCCGTTGGCATTATCGACGCCAACGAGGTCGGAGTTTTCGCCGCTCATCTCTTGGCTGCGGATGATGTCATTCCGCACAACAAGGCTAAATACGTCTTGAACAGACCAGAGGATATCACCGGGCGCCAGATCATCACCATGATTGAAGAGTACATTGGCACCAAAGTTGAAGATGTTAGTTTCAAGGACCTGTCTTTTCTCGACCACCAGGCAGCCCAGAGTCCAGAGTCCAAGAACCTGATTCTGTCGATCAAGCATGCTCCGGTAACAGCCTGGGAGGGAAAGTGTCGAGCTGACACGACGAGCAAGGAGGTCCTTCAGCTGGCTGCGCCGAAAGTTACGCCTGCTGAAGCTTTGAAGACAATGTTGAAGGAATAGAAAGATACACCTACTGAGTTTCGATTTTATCTGTCTACGTAGAAACAAGATGGGAATGGGAAAAAGATGTGGGATAGGATAATTAAAGCAATCTCTTAAAAACTAAACCGGATCTGCCTTTTGTCTGTTTTTGTTCACCGTGATGTCTGTCTTTATCCTCTACCTGTGAAAGCCGCTTAGCACATCTTCTGATGAAAGTGATAAAAAATCAACCTTGGTGATGTGGCTACCTTGTGACTGGATGGGTTGCTCGATTTGGCGATCATACTCCTTGTGGAGACTGAGGCACCCCGAATAAAGCAGCTCAGTTAACCACGGTGAGTACAGCGAGAAGGGCGGTGTAATTATTTATCCGGCATTGCAGAACCCTGGTGGTATTTTTCCTTCGTCGCGAGGCATTTTATAGCAGCCCAACACTAGCTAGGTATGCAAAAGTTTACGCCATGACTTCCTCAACCGAAGCTTGTCCCTCGATCTGCACCATATGCTCTATATCCTTGATCCAATTTACCCTGTGTTTTACATACTGCTCGATCGTTGGTTTCAATGCCGTCTCACCAAGCTTGAAATCATCCACTGTACCGATCCTAAGTATACTTGTCCCTGGTGCAGCTGCACCCCGGCGGTACATCAACGATCCACAACTACTGCAAAAGAAGTTGGTCATGACGTTCCCCTCTTGTCCGATTGTTTCTGATTGGCTGAATTGTTTAAGATTATCTTCTCCACGAACGTGCTTTAAGTGGGTGTCGAAGATAACGAAACCAGAGGTAAACATCGAAGCAGTGATCTTGCGGCAATCACTGCAGTGGCACACAAAGGCGACAACAAAGCCTGGTTTGGATAGAGGCTGGTAAAGATCAGATATATGGGTTTTTAAGCGATTTTGAAGAACTCACAAAAGAAAGTTGCACAGTACCACAATAGCATGTCGCTGTTGCTTCTTCCGTTGTTGACCAGCCGTCTTGCGCAAGGCCGGCCCGCAGGAAAAGTCCCTCCTTCCCATCCATGGATCTATCGGCCATACTCTAAGAATGTGTTGGGATAATAGATGAAGAGTGGTAAACGCTTTTATGTCGCGGTTAATGAAGAGTAAAAAGATGGGTTTAATGGACTGTGGTTTTGATTAACCGTGGGAAGTTATGCTATTATTTTCTAGCGGTGAGGCTATTCTATATATCCTTATGCCTCATGACAAGTTCATTCTCCTGTATCAATCGTGACGGTCGAAACTCCGCAACTCCGCAAACCCACCCCTTAACTTTCCCGTGCTACATCGGCAAGGATATTCATCGAGACATTAGTCAACCCACGTAAACAAACTCGCGATGGCCTAAGCGCGTATTATTCAACGCTATCTTAGCCAAACGAACTGTATGATATGATACGAGGCTTGCTATAACTCGCTATAAGAACTTATCCGTAGAGAGTATCCACCCCTCGTGTTTCTCCATTTATTCGAGATATCAACAAGTTCACGGCATCCCTCGACAGCCCATGCCCACTTCTTCAGAAAACAAGCAGTAGCTTCCCAATTTTCTTTTACATGCGGTTCTCCCCATAGTATAAGTCCTTTACCATCTGAAATACGGTGGCCGTCATTTTGCTGCCGATGTAGCTGTGAACTTGGTGTTGAGACCAGGGCAGTCTGGGTCGGTGCAGGCAGTGGATGTAGATGTATCAGATCGCCCACAATATCCTCCAAGAACAGCCTGTGGTTGAATAGATGCTGCTGTTTGATGAGATTGTCCCTAATTTTAGGAAACGGAATCGCGTCCATCCAGGTAGGATGTGGGACATTCATTTGAAGGTGTGTTGGTGAAAGGTCGACTAGCATTGTTCGGTGAGCAGATCGAAGCACGACGATTTTGCATCCTATTGTGAATTCGGGGAGTAGGGGCAAATTGTTGACTGTGGTAATATATTTTGCCCCAATTCTCAGTAAACCTGTGTTTTGCATGAGCCCTCGACATGCGTTGTGGGTGATGAGGTGGATCAGCATGTGGTCGGCAGGTAAAGAAGGTCCGACCTCATCGATTACTTCATCTTCTACAGAAAGCGATCTTATGCTTGGTACTCTGTTGACCTTGGCTATCTGAGGCTGGACTAGTTCAGGGACTCCGTTACAAACAGCTTGTTGGTCGTCAGCAACGATTTCTGCGGGGAGATCAACGGGCCGAGAAGTCTGTAGAGAGAAGCTAAGACCATCATCCAAACGCCATCGCTGAATCCGAAACGGCCTTGTTTGAGTCTCGGTATCTGTGTCCCTGTGGTCCTTGATCCGCTGCCCTGTTTAACCTATTAGCGCGGAAGACAGCCTCAGTTACAGGCATGTTGCAATCTTACTGCGCAGTCTCTGGCTCAGTCGGTTCTGTAATCTCTTGCGCTCTCTACGCTCGTCTAAGGTAGGCTTTCGGCCATCGGGTACCATCTTTGCAATAAGTCGGAATGAGATGAAAATCAGTCCAAAGAACATCAGTCCGAGAAACAACATTGGGGAATTTCCGTCATCACCACTAGGCGCTATGCGGGAGGCTAAGCCGAAAGAGGCGAAAACTGTCACCCAGCTTATAAAGCATGCAATAACGTCGATCTCAACGCTATACTGAAAATGGTAAAAACGGTCACCCAGCTTAAAAAAACCATAACTTGGCAATAAGGTCAACGCCGATACTATAACGGAAACGGCAAAAACAGTCACCTGGCTTATAAACCCTGTGAATAAGTTAATTCAGGTAGACAATCAGACATGATGTTTCGAAAGTTAAAGTGCCGATGAAGACAGCAACCGTGTAGGGCGATAGTGATGTAAATGGGGGCAAAGTCTTTAGCAGTAAAGTTACTGTCTGAGCTTCCTGTCGAGCTTGTGTCGTCACCGTTAACTAAGCTTTGGGTAAGGTCTTAAGAGGCGCTGACGAACAGCTGTGGAATTTCAGTATTAGTAACGGTATTCCCTGCTGCTGGTAGTGGATTAAGTGTAAATACTGCTTTGTTGGCCGCTTGGCCTGTATCCAGGGTGGGTTGGAGATTGCATGATTGGTGGTGTGCAATAATGAGGACGGTTTAAATAATCCACGTGATAAATACCACGTATTTATCGTAATAGAAGTGCCGTGCTTTTAGCACATTTGATCTCTTGATCGGGATTGTGTCTATGTGTAGAGTATTTATAATACTCGTAGAAGTAGAAAGATAATAAAAAAAGGGACAGGACTACTACAGTACTACGTTAGGAGGGAACGTCTCACTATAAGAAGTGGGGATATGTGTAGAACGGTGGATCTCTTGCACTTTATTAAACAGCACAGTCTTTGAAATTTGTCCCTTAAGGTAGAGGTGATTACACGAGTTTTCGGCCTAACTAAGCATTGTTATTTATAGTTGGTAAGTCATTGGCAGGGAAATGAAGGTGATAACGAGACTGTGGATTCTATTGGAGTTTTTCAAACAGAAGACGTCGCAACTTCAGAAGGGTAAGTCACGTATTGTTAATATCATTTAGACATTTAAAAAGCCTGGGCTTAATAAATTAAAGGTCAAAGCAAAAAAAAGAGTAAGTCATCATCGCAAGGCGACTGGTATAGTTACTGAATAGAGGCAATCGTAAGTTATAGAAATGATCTCCTTCTTATATGCCAAGATCGAAAAGATTCCTTTAACCATTAAATACTATAAGAGCCCATTGTTCGGAGTGGAACTCGGCGATAGAACATGGCATCGATCTCCTGATAAGTTCGTCCCTTCAGTTCAGGGATATACAAGACGCAGAGGATAGAAGCAAAAGCAGAAAGTCCGCCAAAAACAAAACCGACTTTGCCGCCAAGGTTCTAAAATAATCAGTATCTTTATAAATCAAGGTGAGGGTAAAACTTACACCAGCGTCCGGGTTGACCATGTATGGAACGGCGAAGAACATGATAATACCAAAGATAGCCTGGGTTGCTGTGGCCAAAGCAGTGGTTCGTGCCCTCTGAGATAGTGAAGAAACTTCTCCCAGAAGAACAAAGGCAACGGCACCAATTGTGAGGAAGTAAACAAAGGAGAAGACGACAGTCAGAGAGGACATGGCCCATTTGGCGGCACTTGTTGGCACCAAGTCGAGGATACCGATGAGGAGAAGAATGCTGGTACAAGCGAACATGCCAATAACGAAAATAGGACGGCGGCCATAGCGGTTAACGATAAACCACGAGCAGATATTACCAGCTACACCGCAAGCAGTGACACCAACGCCGAGATTGAGAGACTTCTGGGTATCCAGTCCAGCGAGTTGAAAGAAGTAGGTAGAGAAGCTGAGGACGAAGATAATGCCGACGGCGTGCTGACAAGCAAACACGCCGATGGAAATAAGTGTCCGGACCCTATCAGTGCCTTGGAATGCAGAGATGTAGGAAGGACTGGCCATACTAGCCTCCTCTTCGACCGTCTGTTGAATGGCGTGAAGCTTTTCCGAAGCGTCGAATTCAGATCCGTACAGGTCATTAAGGACAGCTCTGGCTTCTTCCATCTTTCCGGCTCGTACGAGGTACCAGGGAGACTCTGGAGAGAGAAAGCTACCAACAAAGAGAAACACAGAGAAGATCAGCTGCGTAAGGAATGGCCCGCGAAAGGCCCACAGATCGTCTCTGTTGCCGAATCCAGAGGTGACCGAGTTAGAAATGAGTTGACCGACGGCAATAGCGAGGTTGACACCGGCGGTAGAGAGACCACGGAGGACAGTCGGAGCGATCTCAGAGCAGGTGATTGGGCCTAGAGTCAGGTAGAAGCCGACTCCGACGCCGAGGATAAGTTTGCTGACCACGAAAGCAGCTCGGGACGAAGAAAAGGACTCTCCCATGATGCCGCCAGTGACTATCACGACGCCCAGGGTTAGGCTCTTCTTGCGACCCATTCTATCAGAGATGGCACTGCAAGCAAAACCCCCAAAGAACTGGCCAACTGAAGAGATGATGTTGAAGGCGGTCAACCAGTCGGCGGGGATGACCCAGGCGCCGTCGAGTTGGTGACTTTGCTACGAATTAGAACGAATTCTGTTAGATGCATTGCCTTGACTTGTTAACTTACCCATAGTACTTGCGAAAGGCCGGAACACCAACCATGGCACCGTTGACCTGTGTATCGAATCCCCCTTGGTCGACTAGTCAGTGTCTCAATGTATAGACTTTTGAGGAATGACAACTCACAGCCGACGGCACACATGCACCAGAAGAAAGACCACCAGATGATCTTTGGGTGCTTTCTAGCAACATCCTTGAAAGTTAGATTGTGTTCATTGGCATTAGCCGCCTGGATCTGATCAAGATTGTGTTTGTCAGAGACTGCGCTGTGCTCAACAGTCGCGTCCTTGTCGCTAAGGGTGCTCTTTGTGTCGAGCGTATGCTGGTTGATGTTGGCCATGGCGTGATTGATGTTGGATTGTGCAATCCAGTCAGAAGAGGTATTGGTGATGCTGATGAGAATGATAGAGAATGTGATAATGGACGGGATGGTTCATGTATCTTATATTATTTCATTCTTCTTTCTCTTCTCACAGGATAGCCTGGCGACGTGCTGTCATTGGCTCCCCACACAAGCCATGGCCAATTCTGGGGAAGAGTTGGTCTCCTCTTAGACGCATTCCCCAGGCGGGGAAGCACATTAGTTACTTGCTGGGTAATTAACTTCATTAGGTGTCGGGCTTAGCCCCGATAATCCGCTAGCTCATTTCATCGTCATGTGTTAAATGGGCCCTCTTCATCATTCTCTCCCGATACTCCGCCCTCTCATCCTCTTCTCACCACCGCTATGGCATCTAAATCCAAATCTAAATCTGAAGTAGGGCGTCACCCAGACACGCACCGTGCTACGATTAGTCGCTCCAGCTCCGAATACATCCGGAAACGCGCCACCAAAGCATGTCAGGTCTGTCGGGCGCGGAGAACGAAATGTGACCAGCAACGGCCGGCTTGTTCATTTTGCCTAAAGGTTGGGGTGGAGTGTGTCTTTGAGCCAGATGACAAGGCAACATTTGATCAAGCGAGCCTTGCCATTATAGACCGACTCGACCGACTGGAGCGAAAGATAGATGCACAGGCACAGGCACAGACACAGTCAAGTCCAAGAACCGCACATGCTGATTCTCATGAAATCTACCTTCATCACCACCTTTTTCCTCTCACAATCGACAAAATCTTACAGTGGAATGTCTTTGGCGACGCCCATTCACCAACCCTAACAGCCTTGACACAACAAACCCTTGCATCGCAATCTCAATGCGACAATATCAGCACCAATACCCCCTGGGTAGGCGACATGCTCAACCGGACATCTTGCGATCGATGGCTCGATAATTTCTTCGCCCATATCCACGTCAAGAACCCAATCTTGGACGAGGCCGAAACGCGAAGGTTGGTCTCGAGGTTGTGTGCACAGGGACTCGATTGGAACGTCGAGTCGGGTCTCGCTCTTCTGGTCTGTGCCAACGGAGCCCTTGCTCGTCCTCTGGAAGAACCTCTTCCTCTATCGCACCCAGATAGACAAATGGCAATCATTCTACTCGATGCAGCGCAGAGAAGACTCGGTGGCGGCTTAGGCCCCAAGGGTCTGATACATGCTCAGTGCGCCTTTCTGTCAGGTGTTCTCCTCATGTCGCTGATACATCCGGTCGAGGCTTGGACGACCTTTGTGCATGGCTTAGCCATTTGCCAGACATTTCCTTATACCCAACAGATCGATCACAATATGGGGCGAAAGACCGCACAAGATATCGCGGAACAGAGTGTCTTGTGGTCATGCTGGAAGTCTGAGCAGGAGCTTAGGTTTGAAGTGGGATTGTCCAGCTGTACCGGTCCAGCTGATGACCCCCCTGAACTATTTCCCTGCCCTCCGCAAGGATGCCAAGGCCACGTTGAACGAGCATGGTACTTTTATCTGTCCGAGATAGCTCTCTGGAGACTCGAGGTGAATGCTCGTCGCTTGATGAGTCAAATCCAGCATCAAGACTGGGGGTCGGTCTCGCAAGCGTTGAGCGAGATTGGTCGAGACGTATCGAATCAACTCGAGGCATGGCAAACCTCCCTCCCACCGCCCGTCAGCATGGACCAAGACATCGAGGACGATGTTATCCGGTTCGTACTTCGTGGACGTATCACGTATGTCCGCGAGCTTGTTTCCTGGCCCTTTGTGCATGCGGCTCTTAACCAAATGGGTGACCATGGGGTGTCTGAGCACGACACAGCGACTGCTCTTGGTTTTCACTACAATAGGCTACTGGTAAATGCTCCAGGTTACTACCATCGTCACCACGGGACTTGGCTCATGTTACGAAGCTCGGCAAGAAGTGCGTGCATCTTGCTTGGGTTTGCACGCTTGTACCCTGGATCTAGTCTCTTGCCTGTAGGCTGGAAAGATGCAGTCCTGGGCACCGTCAAGATGGTCGAGTACTGGAGTGTTGAGGCTGAGGGGATGCGTTCGGTGTTGGAAATCATGACATGGCTATTGGAAGTTGTACAATAATTGACTAATAGTATTTTCATATCGTGTTCACTTATGTCTATCAGTTATGGGCTTGACTAGAATTGATACACTTTCTGGATTGCTTGCTTATCCCCAGCGTATGCTGCAACCTCAACGAGTAAACAGTCAATCAACAAGTGGAATTTACCATCTACCCATCGCTTAACGGGTTGCAGAGATGCCTCGACAAATATCCGTTTCGACTGCCCAGCTTCTAGACACACACTGGCGAAACCAAGTAAGACTCGATGTGGAAAGTCAGCAGTATCGGGATACCCATATACTTGGGCAACATGATGCCCGGATCTCAGACCTGTATTCTCCACATCAACCGCCACTTTGATGATGTCCTTGTCTGGGATGTCCTGATCGTGCACAAATTCAAGGTTGCTGAACCGGAATTTGGTATACGACAACCCATAACCGAGTGGAAACGCAGCATCAACTCCAAGTTTGTCCAGCAGACTTTGGCCATACCAACGATCATATTTGATAGCCGGCGTTTCAATGTCAAGCTCGGGGAGGTGGCACTCATCTGTCGGGATCGAGAACGGCAGTCTGCCTCCAGGATTGACCCGTCCCAGCACAACATCTGAGAGTGCATGGCCGCCCTCTGCCCCAGCATACCAACTGATCATGATAGCGGGTACTTTGTCTTTCCACTCCTCCATTATGACGGCGCCAGCGCAGATAAGCACTACGATTGTGTTTGTGTTGACAGTAGCCACTGCATTGATGATTTCGACATCTCGAGGCCTTAACCTCAGAGACAGGCGATCGCCTCCAGCACCAACTTCAAGCGCCGACTCTTGTTTCCCTATAGCCGATTTGCCTTGGATAATCGACAAGGTCTCTTCTTCGGCTGAATTCGTCGTCGGAGGGAACAGTTCCGACAGGCAAGGGTCATTCTGAAGGGAAGGCACCACGTATTCGCCCTCGTCGTTGGAGTCGTAACCGACAATAACAACAGCGACATCTGCTTGTGCGGCTGCTCTTGCGGCGTAATCAGGACTGTCACTATCTTCCAAAATTACTTCAGCGTTGGAAAGTCCATCTTTGAGTCCCTGATATGGGGTGACCACTGTCGGTGAAAAGACCCGAGAGGAGCCCTTGTCTCCAGTATTGGACTTGTTAGCCAGACGACCAACTAGAGCCAGGCGGGAAATAGCTGCTTCGTCCAGTGGCAGAAGCGGTTTGCTGTTGACGGTCTTATTCTTGAGCAGCACCATTGATCGTCCCGCAACTTCACGGGCGAGTTGTCGATGTTCTTCACAAAACACCACCGACAAATCTGGTCCTTGTTGAAGAATACGAGAGCCGAACTCGAGCTGGGTACGTAGGATTCTCGTGGCCGCTTTATTAACATCTGACCAGGATAGTTCGCCACTGCGCAGAGCATTGTCTAGATGCATTGCCCGTTGTTGCGCAAAAGGTGCTTCAATATCCAAGCCATTCTTGACCGACAGCGCAGCGTCTCGCAAGCCGAAAATAAAGTCAGACAAAACGAAGCCCGTGAATTTCCACTGGTTCCTCAGGATGTCTGTGAGGAGAAGCCTGCTTTGACCGGCCCATTCTCCATTGACCGAGTTATAGGAAGACATGACTGATGCGACGCCAGCTTCGACAACTCTTTTAAAGTGAGGAAGGTAAACTTCGTGAAGTACGTCTTCTTCCACCTCAACATCAACTCTAAATCGAGCATTCTCCATCGAATTCAAAGCAAAGTGCTTGACACATGCCATGATGTGGTTTTGGACGCCCTGAGTGAGTGCAGCGCCGAATTCACCCAGCAGAATCGGGTCTTCGCCATACGTCTCTTGGATACGGCCCCAAGCTGGGTGACGTGGAAGGTTGATGCATACACCAGCGAAATAATTCGCGCCTTGTGCCTTGCTTTCAAGTCCAATGGCGTTACCGACTCGTCTTTCAAGATCGATATCCCAGGTGGCGCCGCGAGCCATGGAAATTGGAAAGGCGGTTGATGAGCCCATCACCACGCCCCTGGGCCCATCGGTGAACTTGAGTCCCGGTATCTTGAGGCGAGGGACTGCACCCATGACAAATGGCCTGCGATTATAACGATCGCAGAGTATTCCCCTCAGGCCTTCCCAGAATGGAACGTCCCCATCCAGAAGATGTACACGGTCCATCAAAGACAATTCTGACAGCAGACGGCCAGCGACTGCTGAAGCGTCCCGACCAAGAGCAACTTCTTTGACAGCCTTTTCGAAGTCGAAAGACGGTAGGATGGCACTTCCCATGGTGATTAGACTTGGATGACAGGTTTGGGGTTGACAGTGGTGTGTTGCAATAGAGAATAGAGACTTGGGGGGCGAAAAGGTGTATTCAGCCTGTTTGTCTGGTAAAGAAATAAAATGAGCTGTTGAAAGGAAAGCAGATCTATTCAAGAGCGATAGGCAAATCGGCGATTTTGTTCATTTTCTGGGTAGGGACGTAATTAGTGAGACATCGCGGAGTATCGGGAGGTTCTCGGACGGGTCTAACACGAATGCAGACATGGGGCAAGAATCCAATGTGCGGAGTGTCGGGGAAAATCCCGAGATAATCTAACTAGTCAGTAAATCGAACAGGGTTCGCTACGTCTTGATTCTGCTGTCCAATACCACGTTTATGTACTGTTGGGGTTTGTCAAATTGACTAGCTTTCCACGAACCTTATTTCCCCGCAAATTACGTGCCGCCTTCGTGAAGAGCAGCACATTTCTGATCATGCCTCTTTAGCCACCAGGAATTTACCCAGAAACTGAATATATATAAAGCTTGCATTATCCGACAGTAGACATGCTTTTCAACTCAAATACCAGAAACGATTATCCTACCTACAATCTGTCATCACGATAATGAAGTCTGTTCTTTTCGCTTTATCCTTTATTACTGCCGCCTACGGCGCCGCAGTCGACAAACGAGCCCCTGCTCCTTTCTCCACTTTCACCAGGAATGAATTCTTCAAGCCCGCGGCGGATGCTCAGCTCTGGGGCACACTCTATGCTCGATCACTCCAGTTGCCTGACGAGTCGCTGCTCATGACTTGGGAAAACTACCCAGCTGAGTCTAAGAAATACCCCGTCAACCGTGCGTGCTCTATATACTTTCGTAAGTGACAGAAGCTAACACGTCGGTCAGATCCTATCTACAAGTCGGTGGATGGCGGCGCAACCTGGTCCAACTTTAGTGCCGTTAAAGACACACAGAACGGTTGGGGAATGCGATTCCAGCCGTTCTTGTACACCCTTCCAACCGACTTTGGCGGCTATGCCAAGGGTACTATTCTGGCAGCTGGTGTTTCGACCCCTGAGAGCCTCGAAGGTGGTGTCTACATCGATGTCTACGCGAGCAAAGATAGTGCAAAGACTTGGGAATTTGTGTCTCACATTGCATATGGTGATGGGCCGAATACCATTAAAAACGGCGACAAAGCATTGTGGGAGCCCTTTTTCTTGATGTACAAGGGACAGCTGGTCTGTTACTACTCTGACCAACGAGACCCCAAGCATGCCCAGAAACTCGTTCACACCACCACCACCAATCTCAAGACTTGGTCAGCCATTGTCGACGACGAAGCTGAGAGTGACTACAACGCTCGCCCTGGCATGACTACTGTCGCTCATATTGAGAGCACTGACAAGTGGATCATGACTTGGGAACGGTGTGGTGTCGATTCCTGCAGAGTCTACTACAAAGTCTCTGATAGTCCTCTTGCCTTTGGACCAATTCCCGGAACCAGACTCAAAGCCACCGATGGTAGTCTCTTTACCAATGGGCCGTATGTGACTTGGGTCCGCAACCCTTATGCTAGCGATGGCTCTGGCATCATCATTATTAGCACCACTTCTTCTGAAAACCTTCTCATCCAAGGTGATAACCCGGTCGAAGGAAAGTGGAAGAAGGTCGATATCAACCATTGGTCCGCCTATTCCCGCAGCGTCAGAGAGATTACTATCAAGGGAACCAAAAGACTGCTGATTGGAAACGGTGGAAACTTTGGACCCAAGGAGAATAATGGTGTTGCTGACGCTGTTATTCCTATTCCAAACCTCTGACCTATTCCTCCAGACTAAGTATACAGATACAGTAGTCAAGGTCTAGGGTGCCACCTGCAGATCGTGTTATGGCGATAAAAGGAAGCTTGAGGATAGGTTGCCATTTGGAAAGAGAAAGGAAGTAGCTAGTTGACTCTACCAAAGAACGCGACCAATTCTCTTCTTGAGACGACACCCAACACCCTGGCTGTATCCTCCTGAATCACAACTAAACAAGCGTTGCCTAACTTCCCAAACAGTTCTACTGCATACTCCAAGGGTGCCTTTGATGGAACAGTCATTGGGCTTCTGTCGATGGCGCCCGCCAGACTTGGTTCGAGAATGTCCACCTCGGAAGAATCGTTCATACCATCTGTCTTCTCGATCAAATGAAGTATAGTTTCTAGCTTGTGTTGTGAGATACATCCGTGACAGATCCCTGATTCGTTGACGAATACCAGTCCCGAGTCGGCCAAGCCTTTGTTCTGAAGAATAGACAGTTTACTTTGAAGAAGTGAAGTAGTGACTCGATGGTTGGGTCCAACACATACAATCGAGTTGTCGACTGCATCCTTTGAGGGAATGAGCATATCCACAGTCGCACTACCTTCATTATTTCGAATTTCTCTGACTTTTCTGATCGCAGCCTCAGCGTCCAGGAATGGGTGTCCCTGCAGATGCTGAGCGAGGTCATAAACGCCATCAACGCTGATCGCATCAGCTACCCATTTGGCAGTCAAGATGGCAATCATGAACGGAGGGATGAAATTAACCTCTCCTGTGAGTTCAAACATAATAACTGCCAAACTGACAGTCATTCTGCTGACTCCAGCCAGGAACGCGGCTGACCCAACCATGGCGAAGATACCCGGTGAGATGTTGGGAACAAGCTGGCCAACCATACGACCGAACAGAGCACCGGCGTCCATTGCAGGGATGATGATACCAGACGGGACCTTGCAGCCAAAGGTGATAGTTGTCAGAAACAGCTTGACGAATGTCCCAGAGATGAGCCATGCGTAGTATGTTCCCTTGCCGGTAATTTTGGCTTCCTGTTGACAGATCCAGTCCTCTTGGATATCATTGCAGTCAACCAGCAGTCGCTGCATGACAATATCTCCAGTTTCTCTAATCAAAACGTTGGGAAACTGAAGCACAGCAGTGACTAGTGCGACAAGTGCCAACTCAAAGACAGGACTATTCTTGATGATAGATATCTTTCGGAAGGACTTGGCCCAGAGGAAGTTGGCTTGGCAGAAAACTCCACCAAAAACACCACCGCAGATCCCAAGGATCACAAAGACGAGATAGTGAAGAGCATCGTAGTTGACACCGTAATTCGTCTCGAAAAGAACAAGTTTGCCGGTTCCGGTTGGGTTGAGTTCCTTTAGAACAGCCGCAGCTACAACAGAGCAAAGACAATTGCGCCAAAGGACTCGACGAGGGAAATAAGTGCTGATCTCCTCGTAGCTGAACAGAACGCCGCCAATGGGAGCACCAAAAGCAACAGATAATCCAGCTGAGCAAGCTACGCTGAGCATCTCCCTCAACTTCCTCTGATTGGTGGCGTATTTAGGAATACACATGGTAACGAGGTATCCGACGCAAGCTGAAATGTGTACAAATGGTCCTTCTTTTCCTAGGCACATTCCAGTTGCGACGGCAAAGGTTGCTCCAACAGCTTTGACGATGAGGACTTTGAGGTCGAAGAGATGAGGAATAGAGAAGCCTGAGAGGACTGTTTTGATCTCGGGTATGCCACTTCCTGCTGCCATGTACATGGTCTTTCCGCCAGGTCTTCGAGCCTGGTCTGAACTTGTCATGTCCGAGTTTTCGTTCTCGGGAGCAACACAAGTAAGGGTTGACTTTGTGGTCATGGTGACACTTCCAGCGATGATGCCAAATGCCAATGACATACCCACGTAGATGGTGTATGCAGAAATGTAGCTCTCCGTCCATGGTTTCCAGTCCTTGCAAGTCTCTTCAAAAGCGCAGCATGCTCGACGGCTAAGAACAACGTTGGTGGTACAATATCCGTCTTTCCAATCCGCTACTGTCTCAACGCTGACATCTACAACAGCTGCGATAGATGCTGTGAGAAGGCCAACGACAAATGCTGCGAGCCACCCCTGTGAGGCGTCCCAGATTTCAGCTGTGCGGGAGCGGATTCCACGGCGGGAACTCGGACTGGAAATACTGCGCGTTTGACCATCTTTCACAAGGTCTTGAAGCCAGTCGATAGTGTAATAATCGCTGTAAGGAATTCTTTCTTGGGCGACATTTGCTGCTGGTGGGATATGATGCTGGTGAGAATGTATCAGAGGTGTATTCTCAGTAACTTCATTCTCTTTCCCATTCTCAGGTTCAGAAGCCATATTTCCATAGAACAAAAAGTGGTATAACGCTCGCAAAAACAAAAATAAAGTGACCGAGAGTATTAATAAAAGTCCAAAGACGTGAAGATTTAATGCAGAGGTTTCGTTATTGTCGATCTCGCCGAGACATCTAAAGGACGAAGAACCTGTGACGCCAAAACATGGCATCTCCGGTGCGCGTGAGAAAGGCGCAAGCCGCTGATTGGCCATTCCTTTGCGTGCAAGTCTGGATGAATGGATGTTGGAGCGCTTAGAGCGCTTGGGTTTGCTTTTTTAGAGGAGCATGACTATCCGGATATCTGTGGGTGAATACAACTCCATATTTGGGGATTAAAGAGATTTTATCGATGTTATAGATCTCGCTGCTGAGCCGTTGTTTGCATCTCCGTGTTCCTATCTCTCGAGGAAAGATAAGAAGCACCCCAACAGCGCCACTATCTTTGATCACCGTCAATGAAAAGATAAGGCCACAGGCTGTAAACAGCCCTTGAAAAAAAGGCCATCCTGACTTCAAATTTTTGCTGCAAACTAGGGAAATAGAAAAAATGTGTTCATCGTTGAATTTTGGACTCCGCGGAGACATGTAAATACTTTGTAGGCGTAAGACCTTGCTGATCTTATCCTAACGTCACGCTCACCCCGCCAAATACCGCACGTGGCCACACCCCTGCCTGCTTCTCTTAACAGCCACGCTAAATGCCAATATCTGGTGTGATAAAGCCTGCTAGCCTGCATCCCTCGGGAAGGTGCCTTCACTTTTGGGTGATTTGGCTGGGCGGTCTTTGCGACATCTGGATTAAATTAGCAACACCAAGATTGTCTGCCACTATTGTCATTCTATCATATTGGTTATCGCGCACTGTAACTCACTTTATTAATTATATATCCACTATTTTCCAGCGCATTTCAATCAGTCCCGTATAATGTTATCATACAGAATCCTAGTGTCTCCTACCCTAAACCCCCAGCCTCGCTGCATGTCTCAGCCCAAAAGCACTTACCAATCCCAAAATGTTAACAGCAATTTCGTTCCAAGTAATAGTGTCTCACTGGCTGGAGTGAGGCTTGCGTAGAAGTCAATAGTTTCAGGGCCTAGACCTTGTCACGGCTGTACCCCCTAGTCTTGTCACACATAGCCCTGTATGGAACGGGCCGTAATGAGCGGGTTCTCTCACTGATGAGAACGTGCTTATCAATAGCCAGGATATGGTGGGTTTTGTGGCGCAACCCCAGACTTTAGTTGGCTGGCTGAAATGCCAACCACCATACCAATAACTGTTTTTGGCGTCCGCAGGGTCTTAGGGAGAGTTCCATAAACTTAAAGCAGCTAATCAGGAGAGCTGTTTATTATTGAGATATGTGACGAAGCTGGGATATCTCATGAAGGCACATATTCGGTATCCGCGTTCCGAGACATCAACAGTATACGTACTAACCTCAAAGAAGATATGTATTTGCTCTACCCTCCAGCCAGATTAAAAGCATTGCCAGTAGTCCTCATGTGCTACGATTCCCCCTTTACTTTACCGTCACTCTCTCAATCCCCAATAAATCTTTATCAGTGGTCCAACAAAGCATGAAGTCACCCTATTTACTGGCAGCTTTACTTGCTGCACCAGCTCAATCAGCGCCGACCGTCGACGAGACATACCCTTATCCCGGTTCCAAAATCCCTATTGGCGATTGGGTCGACCCTACCGTCAATGGCAATGGCAAAGGATTTCCGCGTCTAGTCGAGCCCCCAGCTGTCAAGCCTGCCTCTGCGAACCCAAGTAATAACATCAATGTTATCTCGTTGTCATATATCCCTGCAAAGGATGAAGAAACCACTGTCGGCATCAGCATTCACTACCAGACGCCTTTTGGTCTGGGCGTCCCGCCCTCGGTTCAATGGGGAGCTAGTGCCTCCGCCTTAAATAATCTGGCTACCGGCTCCAGCGTAACATACGATCGCACTCCTCCCTGTTCTCTCATCACTGTTGTTACTCAGTGCAGCCAATTCTTCCACAACATTCATATCGAAAATCTCAATCCCGGCACGACATACTACTACCAGATCCCTGCTGCTAACGGCACCACTCAGTCTGATGTGCTTAGCTTCACTACCGCCCAAGCCAAGGGCAATCCTTCCAAGTTCAGCATTGCTATCAACAATGACATGGGCTACACGAACGCCGGCGGTACCTACAAGTACATGAATGAGGCGGTTGAAGAGGGCTTGGCATTTGTCTGGCACGGCGGTGATCTTAGCTATGCTGATGACTGGTACTCTGGCGTCGTGCCTTGCGACTCTGGATGGCCCGTTTGTTACAACGGCAGCTCGAGTCATCTCCCCAATAATGATACCAATCCCGATTACTTCAACACGCCTCTTCCAGAAGGAGAAATACCAAACCAAGGTAGTCCTCGTGGTGGTGACGTGGGCGTTCTTTACGAGTCCAACTGGGACCTTTGGCAGCAGTGGATGAACAACATCACCCTAAAGATTCCTTATATCGTTCTTCCTGGAAACCACGAGGCCACGTGTGCCGACCATGATAATCCTCCGTATATCCTCTCTGCATATCTCGATGAGGGCATAGCGAATGGCACCAGCCCCGACTCAACGCTAAATTACTACTCGTGTCCACCTTCGCAGCGCAATTTCACCGCCTTCCAGAACCGCTTCCACATGGCAGGCGAAAAGTCCGGTGGCGTTGGTAATTTCTGGCACTCGTTCGATTATGGCTTGGCACATTTTATATCCATTGACACGGAGACGGATTATGCTCACAGCCCGGACAAGACGTTTGTTGAAGACCTCGAGAAGGTGAAGCAGGAGGAGGATTGTCTTGGCAAGGATAAGGATTCACCCAAGTGCAAGTGCAAGGGCAAGGACAAGGATACACCTGAATGCGAGGAAGAAAAGTGCGAGTGTGTGAAGATCGAAATGGGTGATGAGACGGATTTTGCAGCCGAAGAGGCCGATCTTTTGTCTGACAAGACTCATCCTCTGGCTAACATGACACACATCACGGATGCTGGTCCCTTTGGAGCAATCCACGGTTCATACAAGGACAACAAAGCCTATGAGCAATACCAGTGGTTGAAGAAGGATCTCGCTAGTGTTGATCGATGCAAGACCCCATGGGTTATCGTCATGGGCCATCGCCCTATGTATAGTTCCAAATGTGGTGACTACCATGAACATCTTCGCGCAGCTTTTGAGAAGTTGTTTCTGAAGCACAAGGTCGATCTCTACATTGCTGGGTAAGCTAATATTGAAACCGGTCAAGAATGCTAAGCTAACTACTTATAGACATGTGCACTGGTATGAGCGCCTTAAGCCTATCCGGAACTGTGCTGTTGACGACACCGCCATCTTGAACAATAATACATATAAGGTGAATCCCGGTAACTCGATGGTTCATCTCATCAACGGCGCTGCTGGAAACATCGAAAGCCACTCTACTACCAGCAACAAGACATACCCTGACATAACTGCTTTCCGTGATCTCACCAGTTTTGGCTTCTCCAAGTTGACCGTCCACAACGAAACAGTCCTTTCTTGGCAATTCATAAAAGGTGAAGATGGCTTGCCTGGTGATTCTCTCACTGTGCAAAAGGACCCATCTTCAACCTGCCAGGCTTTCGACTTCTCTGATTCCTCGGGGACATCTTGCTCTTCTGAGTGCTCTGGCTCTGCCTCTGGGTGGCTTCTCTGGCTCTACTGCAACATCTCTTGCTCCAGCTTCTGGGAGACACTGAAGCATTAGGCTTCTTTTAATGGTACATCCATCACCTTGGAACTAGATAAAGTATAAGAGAATAGAATGGAGTGATAATGAAGGCAATTAGATGTTCTCTTAGCAGTTATTCTTAGCCTATGCAGGTGCAGACGGAGTCTTAATACCTTGTTGACTCGTCCGTGATTCCTAAAAGACTATACGGCTAGGCACTATAAGACTTCATGTCTGTTAGTTATATCCTCCCTCTATTCTGTAACACATGTGTAAAACGTAGGTGAGAAATTCTAATTGAAAACTGAGCTAAGGTAATAGATCGGCCGGTAATATGAATACGTAAAAGGATTGGCTTGAGCTCCATTCCTAAAGTCGACCCAGGCGGGTCGGTGTATCCGACATAACCCCGCCTCGATCGGCTAAAACCCTAAACGGGATGATATCTTTCACTGCTGGTCATGTCGATAAATATAGGTCGCCATACGCCTGCTAAATATCTTTACAATTCAAAGTATCTGTTTATTTTAATTTCCCAATCGGGCTTAGTTTGTTACGGTAAATACAGATAATAAGTCTCATTTTCAAACTGCAAGATTCAGAACTACCCTAAACTACGTAGATTGGCTAGTAAATTTGTCAAAGGCTAGCAGTCAGTGACATCGGCATCTCACCCCCGGTCAGCCCGATAGACCCGATAACCCGATTAATCTGCATGAACCTTGCCAATGTAAAGGAAAGATGAATGGCAACCATTGGCTTCTTTGTTACCGCCAGCCGATAATCGCCCGGTTTCTGCTCCTCGCTCCCGAACGGGCCTAGACATCGATCGATGTCGGGAGTGATGCCGAAATAGCCGGTGAATAAGACACATAAAGTCATGTCCATGGTTCGATCATTCATTTAAGCCACATGCGAAATCGCCGGCACCCTCAATCCTTAGCTAGTCTTCTTCTATCGAACCCAGTCATGCTCATTCAGCAGCACTTCGCACACCTGTTAGAGCTTGCGCGACTTTCTCCTGTCTCGACCTTTTTCACTCTTGCAATTCTGATTGTATGTCGGCCATCTCTAGATATCGTTAATACTCGTTAACACGATCGCCTGATGCGTAGATATCGTTCCAGGTACTCAGACTTCGTCTTTCTCCTGTTCGCCGCTTTCCTGGGCCCGTTTGGGCCAAATTGTCATCGTTCTGGCTCGCATCCCAATGCCGACGTACACGGCGTTCTGAAGCGGTAATGCAACTGCACAAGAAATACGGCGACTTTGTTCGAATAGGACCCAACCATATATCCATCAACAATCCCATTGCTGTGACTGAAATCTATGGCCACGGGACGGGCTTTACCAAGAGCACGTTTTACGATGCGTTCCTTCAGGTGACCCCTGTGGTATTCAATGCCAGGAACGTTGCAGAGCATACTCGTAAGAAGAGATACGCCAGCCCCGCATTTTCTACTCGTGCTCTCTCCGAGTTTGAGCCATATATGGACTTGGAGCTCGTGCACTGGAAAAATAAGCTCTTGAGCATGGCTGATCATACCGGTACGACTGAAGTCGACTTTGTTATCTGGTGTAAGCGTCCGAAAATTCCCCATATTAATCGAACTCACAGATTGCTGACTTTGCTCTTACTGGCGATAGCCAATTTCCTCGCCTTCGATGTCATTTCCAGTTTTGCTTTCGGAGAGCCATTTGGGTTTATCGGCATGGCAGAAGACCCTTATCACCTCATCGAGACAATCGACGCCCGCGGCGAAGTCATGAACGCGATTGGAACCTTGTCTCCATATTTACGGTCACTGGTGAAGTACTACCCCTTTGACTCATTTTGGAGTTCTGGGATGAAGGCACGAGCGAACTTTGAGAAATTTGGGAGGCAAGCATATCAGAGACGCAAGAGTGCTGCTGAAAGTCGAAAAGATCTTTTGAGTTTCCTATTCTCTGCAACAGATCCCGATACCGCAAACCCTCTCGAAGAAAATGAGATTGTGGCTGAGTCCATCAGCTTCATCGTTGGCGGGAGTGACACAACCAGTAGCACCATGGCGAACTTTATTGACTTTGTTTCCCGCGATCCCGACCTACAATCCCAGCTGCAGCAAGAAATTGACACTGTCTTCCCTGGTTACCCTGATGAAAATTGGGTCCCTTCTGAGAAGAAGGCAGCGGGTCTGCCTTTGTTAGTTGCTACACTAAGAGAGGTTATGCGTCTACGGCCAACCAGTGCTACAGGTCTCGAGAGAATTACGCCCCCTGGGGGGAGAATAATAGCTGGAGAGTATATTCCCGGAAAGGTAAGGTCTAGGCAAAGACGTATCTCAAGTCACATGATAACACATATGGCTAATGAAAAATGCAGACCGTCGTCAGCGTGCCAACTGTTGGTATTATGATGGACCCCAAAGTTTTTGATTCTCCCGAAGAATTTAAACCACACAGATGGCTAGAACTAAACTCAAAAAAGCTTCTGGGGTCATTCTTTCCTTTTTCTACAGGTCCTAGGGCATGCATAGGCAGAAAGTAAGGACATGCATGCAGATCATTTGGTACATGTACTGACAGTTTCTAGTTTTGCTTGGATGGAGATTTTAAAAGCTATGGTCATTATCTTCAAGCTCTTTGATATCAGAAGATTGAACTCCAACCCAACAGTTATAAGGGAAGGGTTCTTCAATAAGGCTGCTGAGTGTAACACAGAAATCCGGCTGCGAAAGTTTACCTGAAATGACGTGACCCTGTTTGTCTTAAATTAGATAGTAGTTTTATCCCACTGATATCATTAAGGATCGAAGGAGTAATCCTTCCGTGACATCCCACTCCACTTAGCAGGTCTGTGTGCTTATTAGTTTTGATATCCTTGGAGTAGACCTGTTGCAGGCTCGATTACGCATGTATTGGCCTGGTAGTTGGCTTTCATGCACTTGTCGGCCGGGCCTTACTCAACCCCCGTCGCTTGTCTTGGGGCGGGTAATAGGGTAGTTGCTGAACCCTTGCTGACAGAGAGACCATTTGTTGCGATCCACGCAGGGCACCTCCGAACAACCGCACCAGCCGTCAGAGCTGCAGCAAAAATGAGACTGCATGGCAGATCACCACGCTCGGATAGCCCGCCGCACATGGCCGTTGCATAGCAATAACTCCGACAGCCTTCGTCACAGAAGGCTTTGTTCTATTTACAGATGACTTGGACAAATATCCCTAAAGAGTCTAGACCTGATTCAAAATGTCACCGAGACCAGAGATCACCAACCAGCTTGGCCGAAGCAGAGCAAGAAGAGCCTGAGCTGCAGTGTTGGCGTAAAGAATCATCTCTCAAATTAAATAAGTGCGAATGAAATTCTTAAAATTCACAATAACTTCCCCAATCGTATTATCTAACTTAGATAAGGCTTAACAAAGCTTATTCCGCTTCTGTAACGCTTTACTCTAAACACTACTTTTCAGATAACATTTTTCACTTAAATGGTGGTTGAGCTTGCAGTATTTATATGCTTTGCCTTCGATCCAGGCTGAGGATTATCTCGTGGCGATCAGCCTACATCCTATTCAGGTTTGAAATCCGGCTTAATCATTTCGGCATTCTGAGTGATTTCTGGGTATATGAGACCAAAGGTGTGTTGGTAGGCCCACGAAGACGCCTAAGGATAACATTGGTATGCCAAACCTGTTACCAATATGTACACACCAGTATCAACCTTCTTCTGTGTCTTTCCAGTAGCGGCGAGACCTCCGCCCATAGCTTGGAGGACCAGTGACACAACATCAGAGGATATAAAGATAACTGCATACGTTTTGGGTGCCATGAGGCCAAACTGTCTTCCGTATGCTTTGACGACTCGACCGAGAGAGAGATAAATAGGGGCGGAGATGAGGGCAGGCGCAATAGTAAGTCAAATTAGCTTGATCACAAAGTAACTGAAGATGGCACATCTGTTATTCACAGGCTCTAATAAAGGCAGGCGCTAGACAAACTTCTTCTTGAATATACCATCCCCTCGGGCTTGCATGACGCGGCCGGCATACCCAACAGCTTCTGTAATTCAGATATACCCATCTGAAATTATACTTTCTAGATATCTTAATTAACGTGGATGACTAAGATACTAACGAATGTTATTTATTTACTTATAGAATCTTAATATCATTAAGAGTTTTAAGCATGTTAATAATTAATATCTTAAGATCCGATATTGAATAGCTTATTAGTAGTTAACTATATTTACTGAAAACCAAGTCTTTCAGAATAATCCCTCTTCTTAAATTTGTGCTCAAAATACCCTTCAACATGTGTGAAGTCATTCAGCTACCAGTATAGTTGAAAGTCGGGTGGCGGTTATCCCCCGTTACCATCTGTCCACCTGTAGAATAGTTTTGATTCCCTTCTCCGAAATGTGTGAACTGATTCCCATTGCCATGCTGATTCAGCGTAACACTGCCTCTGGAAGGCTTTGCAAAAGAAGGCGGTATCTCACTCGCCTCTTTCAACAGACTTTGCAAAAGCTTAGACTGCTCCTCCTCTACATAGGTATCCTTAGCGACTCGTTTCGCACTGTTCAATAAACACTTCAAGGCCTGCTCTAGTAGCTTGCCATTCGCAGCCTCGCGCTCATATTCTGCTTTCCAGTCTTCGGCGTTAGAGAACATGAAACAAAGGTCCTCAATTCGCTGAGCATTCGGTGCAAGCTCTAAGGCGACGTCCTGAATAGTTCTATATTTTTCAACTGCCATCGCATCTGAGGCAGAGCTTTGTAGGTCTGCTTGCACCGCGGCGAGGAATTTTGCAAACCGCGGCAAAGTAGTAGCCACGCTGGTAACAGCAGGTGGAAATCGTGAGACGTCTTCTGTGGTGGCAAAAATGTCGATGGCACGATCAATAGTGGCAACAGTTGCGTCGAGCCTGGTTTTGGCTTGATATTTAACTCTTACGACCTCGGACATAGTAAGAGTGTAGCTTGCTAAGGCAGGAGTAAAATTTAGACAAAGGCTTCCGTGAGGGTACGGAATTAGAAGCCCCAAATTTACATGAGATTTTATGAGGTTGCGACAGACTTTTAAAATGTCCCATTTAGGGTAATATCTTAGATTGAATTATGCCTTGAGGCTTGGCAATCAGGCTCGGGCGAGCGGGCTACGAAGATGGCTTGGAAGCTTACAACGGCGTAAGGCGACCGCGTTGGGTGATATGTCGGCTCCCTGTTTGTGATGCACTATTGGCTGGAATTGACCGGCGGAGTGCATACTGAATTTAATGGCTTGTGATTACCCCGCTTACCAGTAACTTACGAGATTCAGTAAGAGTTTTTCAGAGACGAGTGGTGTAGAATTTAGACAAGATTGGACTAAATTGTGATCAGTGGGACGACCTGTCTATCTGTCAAAATATAAGACTATTTAATAGCTATCTCGCCATAACTGCATTACACCTCTTAGCGTGTGTGATTTGGCCCTTGATAAGGGGGCAGCAATCAATCAAGCAAAAATCACGTTTTAAAATACTGAATTACACGACCCCGTGGGTTTAACAACAAGGGAGAGGGTGTCCACATGCTTGTGAGTCATTTTACACATTGGTAGGTGACTTATTTGACTTGTGGAGGCTTAGCCATTGCCACGTCAATCAGGCTCTGCTTATGTACGTGTTCATTTTTGCACATTCTGCATTTTCCAAAATCTCACTGGCATATTGACCCTTGTCCAAACACATCTTTTGGTCGATCATCACACTCATAATCTGACCCTTGCTTTTTCCTTCGCTTTATATCTGCCATGTCTGGGGCAGAGGCTTTCAGCTTGATATCAGGTATCATCACCGTTATCGATGCAGCAATCAAGATATACGATGCTGCTGGAGATGCTTCAGGCTTACCCACGACTGTGCGCAATGCAGCATCTCGCCTTCCACTGATCCAAGAAAGCCTAATAATGGCGAAAGACGGCCTACAAGAAGAGCCCCCTCAACAATTCTTTTCAGCTTTGAGCTCAACATTGAAGGCCTGCGGTGAAAGAGTCACGGAGCTGCACAGTCTTTTCCAGAAATTGATAGTAGCACCGGGCACTTCACGAGGAGAAAGATATGTCAGAGTCATGAGAAGCGTCTCGCAGATCGAAAAGGTCAAACGTTTGATGGATGAGATTGTTGCAGATGTGCAAGTTCTCACACTCCATCACGTTATCAAGTCTTCTTCGAGGGAACAGATGAACTGTCTACTGCACGAGATCACGAGCACAAGGAGCTATAACGAGAATGCGCCAGTGGTAATGAATAGCAACGGGCTCGGGAGACACTACGTTCATAATGGTGTGGGTGATCAGAATATAGGTGGAGGTACCGGTGTTCAGGTCAACGGACCGTCGAATGGGAGCACCTTTAACTTTGTGCAAAATTGAGATTCGATTTATGAGGATTTTGTATCATTTCAGTTACTATAGACTTTAGACTTCATCAGAAATGGACATTGCAATGTTGTTTCCTGTTGACACGTCCCTGGCATGTGCCATTATCTGCGCTGATTTCGCAGAGCTAGCGCAATATAGGGCTGAGTTCTTGACGGCGTCTTCCCGCCTTTTTTCTTCGCTTCCAAATCTACTGCAGACATCTGCTGGGGGTTCCTCTTGTAGATATCGGCTCCTCGGTCAAGCAGGACCCTTGTTGTCTCGGGTCTGTCAAGGTACACGGCCAACATCAAAGGCGTATAACCTCGACGATCCAGAATGTCCAGGTCAGCCTTCGCATTTATCAAGACAAGTAGAGCTTCGATTTTGTCATTGCTCACTGCATGATGTACAGCGGTGAAACCCATATCGTCAGCCATGTCAATGTCGTAAGTATATTCTACCAACGTTGAGAGTCCTTCGGCGAACCCTTCGGCTGCAGCATAGTGAAGCGCTGTGGTCCCGTCTGCGTCGCGAAGGTCACAGGAGCTACCATTAGTCAGAAGGCTTCGTACTATACTTAACCTGGCGTTAGACACGGCATATATGAGTGGCGACTTTCCTTTGCTGTCTTGAGTATCCATAGGTTCCTTGCTCCTGGAAATAATCGTACTGAACATACTATCCGAGCCACTAATAACTGCATGATGTAACGGCGTGAGTCCTTCGTGGTCTTTGCCACTGATGCTTAAGCCTCTGTCCAGAAGAAACGTGGCGGTTTCTTGATGCCCGCCTTTGGCAACTTGGTGAAGAAGGGTCTCCCCTTTGCTAGAGATCGACTTCAGATTCGCACCATGCTCACATAGCAGCCAGGCAGAGGACATGTCGCGCTTAGCAATAGCGATGTCAATAGCGTGCGTCCCATCTTTGTCTTGAAGGTTCACGTTGGCCCCATTGACTACTAAGAGCCAAGTGATATCTTTATCACCCATTTCGACTGAATGCATCAAAGATGAAACGCCTTCATTGTCCGTTGCATTTACATCAGCCCCTCTCAAAATCAGAAAGTGGGCCATGTCGTACATTCTTGCCTTTGTGGCTTCAATGAGTGGCTTCCAACCGTCAACATTTTTCTCATTAATCTCCGCTCCACCTTCCACGAGCAGACGAGCAGCCTTATTGTGGCCGTACTCCAGCGCCCAGTGGAGGGGAGACTTTCCCAATTCTGGGTCTTTGATGTTGCAGTCAGCAGGGTCCCATTTGTGTTCGAGTAACTTCTTCAGGATAGTAACGCTTCCATTCTTAGCAGCGTGGCAAAGCGCAAGCCATCCCAATTTCGTGGGACAGTTCAAGATGACGTTGTGTTCTAAATGAGTGTCTATCAAGTAATGCAGATGGTCTTTTACTGCATGCTTGACTGACAACGAGGACCCTTCATTATTGGCGAACTCTCCCAATTTCTGTATGCTTCCACTGCCATGGTCGAATACCTCCCTCAAAGACGTCCAACCTGTCACGATCTCTTCGTTAATGTCCTTACGGCTAAGAATGAAAAGCTTGGCAGCAGAGGTTGGTCCATAGCGAATAGCCGACGACAACGGTGTGACGCCTTTAAGGTTTGCAATGCACACCTTTGCACCAGCCTTTATGAGGGTTTCGGCCATATCCAACCCCTCACAAGCCGGACTTGAAAGGAACTTATGCAGCGGAGTGTCCTTCGAAGAGTCTCTGACATTGGGATCTGCACGAAAGCGAAGTAGACGTCGTACAACACGGCGCTTTCCATAAGTCACCGCCCAATGAAGGGCTGTCTGACCATCAGCGCATGGAGCATCGACTTTGATACCATACTTGACCAGTGGCTCGACCCAGATCGGCAGATCAAGATAGGCGACTGCATGCAAGCCAGTCATGCCATGAGCTACATCTTTAGCGACACTCAGTTTCTTAAAAGCCCTTAATAGCATGGTACCGCTGACGAGAAATGATTTGATCAGGTCCCGTAGCTCTTTGTCCTTTGCTAAGTCCACCCCACGGAGATGCGACGTCCACTGCGTGGCTGAGTAGGATAGTAAAGGACTGTTGTCTTTAGCCGACAGAAGACAAATGAGACAAATCTTGGCCATCTCAGATCCGGGTCTTTTAGGGATAATTCCGTGATTGAAGATGGAATCGCGGGCTGATTCGTGCACAAGGCGCAGAGTCATCTTATCGGAGTCCAGAACGACCAAGCCAGCGCAGACAGATAGTACCCTGTCACCTTCAGGACACCAATCCTGATAGGCTGTGCCACGGTCTTTGGTCAGGGCAAATCCTTCACAAACTTGATCGACGGCTAGAGCTTCTTTGCCATGAATGATACAAGTCAGGACGTGCTTAGCTAGTCCATTTTCTGGTGACTCGCAATCTTTGGCAATTGTTCGTAACGAGGACTCGAAGATATGAGCTAGGTCAACAGGGAGTTGTTCAAGGTCTTTCCTCAGGTCGGGGAGAAGAATGTTCGAGCCTAGTTTATCGAGATGCAATCTTGCTAGTAGAAACCTAAACGTTGTTAGCCGGCCCTATGTAGTATTACAGAATCACACACATTTGGCTTGAAATGGTCTGTTTTGTTATCTTATCTACGACATCCTTTTCGTCTTCTTCCCTTGAGAGTAATCGATACAGATGCTCATTATTCCTTATTCGAGTCTTAGCGTACGTCTCGATATCTGCCTTACGTGGTTTGATCCGTAAGACTTTTTTGAAGCCTAGATACTGTGCCAGGGAATCGCGTCTTGAGCTAATCAGTACTCGAATACTCGGCGGTAGCTGCAAGAGCGTCTGAGGAAATGTTTGTTGGACTTTCCCATCGTCATAGTCTTTGCAGTTGTCTAAAGCATCGATGATAACATATACCACTTTAAATCTTGACGCTTGAGCTTTGAAGAGATTGAAGTACTCGAATGGAAGGGCAGACTTGATCCCTTGCAAAGAAATATCATATGCTTCTTGTAACCCTTTGGCAATGACGTTAGGTGCACTTTGTTGAAGGAGCTGCTGGAGTAGTGATGCCCACAAGGATGTTACGGGAATATGGTCAGTATCTCCCTCCTGGAAATAGAAGTAGACGCAAGCCATGTCGGCGCTCTCTTGGACTTTTCTCTCAGTCGATTGTATGATCCTGGACCTATGAACATTAACACAAGGACCTGCAACTACACACGCTTACATACAGTAGTATTGACTTGCCGGATCCCACTACAAGATAATTCAGATGAGGTCGCTTCCGTAGGGGGACTACTTACAGTTTCCTGAAATCAATAGATATCCGTTCTCGTCCTCCTCTTTCTGCCATATTTGGACTTCTTTGGTCTCTAGGATCCAGTCTCCTGTGTTCGGCGTAGTCTGGTTACGAAGTTCGCCTTGTCGGCTCCGGGAGTCAGCCAAACGGCAATCTGCTTGACGTGCAAGCCATTCGGTAATGGCAGACACTTTAGCCAAACATCAGTAAGTCATTTCTACCTTCGTTTAAAAAGTGTAATACCGCCATTATCGTCAGTTTCGTGGTTATCGATGTTCGCAAACGTACGCCGCATAGACGGCATACCCCGTTCAACATCTGATTCGGTTAGGTTAGCTATGATTCGGCCATGGTCATTCGCCACTTACAGAAGGTATTCCATTGACGGTGATCGTTATGAAGATTTCCTCCACTGCTGGCAACGTTTTGATCTCCTCGGCCATCAGCGAGGAACTGGTTGCCTGGGCCTCCGTTGCTCGCTGCTGTACGAGGCCCGTTCTGCCGTGAAGGCGGCCGACTCATCCTGACAATGATGAATGATCCTTATTGCTTAGAATAGGTCACTCCAATATTTCCAGTAGAAATGATTGTCCATGTCTCGCCTCTTTTACTTCATTAATGGTTCGCCCAGTGATGGTACGAAATCAGGCTGAGCACCACACCATCAGCTCGGCCCCCTTGTTCAGCCTCCAGGCATCCACATCCCATTTGAGAAACAAGACCGCTGGCCTGTCAGAGGTGGCGGGAACAATGCTTACTGTCACCACAGCATGTTGATTTGTTGCCGAATAAAATCAACCTGGCGCCGCCACTTTCCTCTTGGATTGGTTAAGCTATTTTCAACCGCCGCCCTTCAGTGGCAAGGCATAGTGTGTCATGATTATCAATAGGCCCATGGTTCGCCATACTTACCATTTAGGGCGCGGATCCATTTCCTCCGCGCCTCGAGCGATGGATTTGTGATACGTTTGCTTGTAATTGCGTGCAGCGAGTGATTTAACGAGCATCTCATTTCTTTCAACTCTCTTTCCCTGTAGCGACCGCAACTCATTTCAGTGGCCAGTTCCTTGCGACAGCACCGTCTAGAATGCTTTCTCACCACTCGCGGGTTTAATAATGCCTGATCCTGCCCCAGAAAACGAGTCTGCTGGTAGTTCGAGATATTCAGATTCGTCGGCAACGTATGTCCACTACAGACGACGCATTCCGGTCGATAAATCCCTTAACGTTACCTTTTGCGAAAGCGACACTTCAGGTGACGAGCTCGTTAATTCCGAATCTTTCAGAACCTCCCACAGTCGAAAGTATTCGCCACCACCACCACCACCACCACCACGACGCAGCGCTCCTAAAGTGGGGGATCCACCCATTCCAAGACTGTCACGATCTTTAAGCAATTTTGATCAGACATTAGTACCGAAGGGAGGATTTATACAGCTTCCAAGCAGGTACGAAGCGGAGTCTAAGGGGCACGCATCGTCAAATCCCGCTTCATCGCCACCCAAGCCCACGCCTCACATTCGGTATCCGCCAGTACCAGACATGAGTAGGCCAAGGCCCTCGTCTCCTAATCCTGTGTCTCCTCATTATCGCGGATCCCGTCCTAATTCTTACTATGGTCAACCACCGGATTATCGTTATGTGTCTGTAAGAGAGAGGAACTCGAGGACTTACTCTCCGTCGCCACCGCCTCCACTTACTCGCGACCATCAAAACTCTCGTTACGTGATAAGAGAGGTAGAAACAAGAACCTATTCTCCATCGCCTCCATCGCCTCGCATTCGGGAGACTTATCATCCAGATATGTTTCGGTTGGAAGCTGAGCTCGAGCGGTATAGAGCTAGGGACGATAACTTCCGATTCACTCGTCAACAAGAAATAAGAGAGGCAGAAATCCGGAAGGAAGTCGAAGAGAATTACAAAATTCAGCTTGAAGAGAGAAAACGTGTTCGGGAGGAGGCGAAGAAGGAACTTGAGCAAGCAAGACTTGAGGCAGAGAAGGCTGCAAGGGAGAAACTGGAAACAGAACGCAAAGCCGAAGAGGCCGTACGTAAGCGAGAGGAAGACCAAGCTAAAAGGTTGGAACGGGAGATCAGACTCATGGTCGAGGCAGAAAAGCAAGCAGAGGAAGCAGAGAAAAAAGCGAAGGCTCGGATGGAAGAGAACCTCGAACTACTGATGAAAACAAAGATGGTGGAGAAGTTTGACGATCTTTTGGAAACTGCAAAAGAAAGGCTCCAGGCTCCTGAAAAGCCAAGTCCTTCTCAGAGAGTCCCTGCCAGGTCCACAACACGCGAAAAGTCGAAGTATGATGTTTCTGACGGTTATACCGTTGATGTCAACGAGGTACCTTACAGAGATCAGTCATCGCGGCCTGTGCCTAGCAAGCCAGCTAGTTATTCTTACACTACTTCTTCCAACAGGCCTGAGAAGGACACTCTGTCCCCCAGTGAAGATGAATGGGAAAAAGTCCCTAGACCGGTTCCTGTCGAGGTTCCAGACCCTCCAAGCTTTGAATTCGATAGTGAGGAGGAGGATATTCCACATCCGAACTATTCACGAACACCCCGCTGGCCTCAACCCTACCGTGACACGAGCTCTCGGTCTAGGGGAAGGACTCGACACCGAAGCCACTTAAGTGGAATATCACGCTATTCACAACAATCTCAGGATTATCAGACTCCTATGTCCCCGGACATGGTTCAGCAGATAGCTCGTGCTGTTGCTGATATTTTGAGGGAACCGAGCTACGAAGATTTCATGTCTCAACGATCCAATCATACCGACCCGCTTCGACGCTACTCTTCGCGAAGTACAGAGCGCTCAATGAAACCTAGTGAGAATTCCAATCGTGAAGATTACGACATCGAGAACAGAAAGCGAAGCCACTATAGAGACAATCGAGAGAGACAACAGCAAAAGGCCAGACTCAAAGGCGCAACAAGCTCTTCTGACAAGGAGCTTGATAAGATACCATCGATCGCATCGATCTCAAGACTTCGGCATTTGCCAATGAGAGAGAATAAACCGCCAAGAGAAATTCAAGACACTTCAGATCTTGTTGAAGATGGTCACTCACTAAACTACAGCAATAATACAGGGGTAGGAGTCAGCGGGGTCAAGATCTCAGTCTCGGATGCTCAGGGACTCACAAATGATCTAGCTGAAGATAAAAGATACCGAGATGGAGACGGGATGGAGATCACCAATAGTGAGTCGATGACACAGGTTAATTCCGACATTTTAGTTGGGGGTTCTAAGATGGAAGGACATAGAACACCGTCGCCTTTTAAGGCTTACGACCCAGAGAAAGATGGAAATCCCACTGGCGGGTTATTAAAGACGGAAACAGCGAGGGACCTATATTGTAGGACGATTGGTCGTGGAAAGCGAAATGATTACGTGATTGGTTCTTACGGAGGTATAGTGAGGTCTTGGCCACAAACGGATGCCTCGGACGTTGAGTAATCTCGCAGTATGGTTATAAGCCTTTATAAATTATTTACCTTATATATGTAACACACCGTTGGGAGTGGGGTTGGGTTTGATTCTTTAAATACTTAAGTTACCCTAATATACCAATCACCCTTTGTATTAAGTCCTAATATAATATTTTATAATCTGTACCTTTTAGTATTAGGTCCTGGTAGGAAATAGAAGGATAGATACCTATCCTTCTTAAATAAGATAAGTCCTATCCTAATTGTTACATTCACTCTACTCTCTTAACTATTAAACTGTATTTTACTAAATAATTCTACTATCTTAAGTAGTTCTCTTAAAGTCTAATTAACTTACTATTTATATAAAGTACCTCTAATAAAGAGATCTAGCTATCTTTATAAAACCTATAGCAATATTAATGATAAAGGTTTCTATAGTAATAATATCTTAAATTTAATGACGTTACTTATAATATTAATTATAACTATATTTTAAAAAGGTATAAAAACCCTTGCTATCCTACTAAATATAACTTTCTTACTTAAAGTTATAAAAGATTTATAAGAATTACTTATACTACTTTTCCCGATTTATCTCTTATTTAAATTAGCTAATTTTAGGCTATTAAAAGTGAATTATAATATAAAATAACCTATTAAGACCTCTTACTTATTTTAGCTCAACCGTTTAAATATAAGTAAGTTTATAATACTAACCATAATTATATCTAATACATCAATTAATACATCCACCTTTATACCCATAGTAAACTTTAGTTAATTAATAATAGTAACATAGCAATTCATCTACAAAGAAAATTACCACTGCAAATAGAAAGCTCTACCAACTTTACGAGACCGGCTCGATCTGGAAGTACACGGGGGTACCACTCACTGGATGGCAGAAAGTGGATGAGAACCCTGCCACTATGAGCATCGTCGCTCGAGGCAACAACCTGTATCAGCTTCATGACTCTGGGAAGATTTGGAAGTACACAGGGACTCCTATTTCGGGATGGCAGCTGTTAGATGATAACTCTGCCACCAAAGAGATTATTGTTGGAGCAGGTGGACTTTATCAGATTCACAAGTCGGGGTCTATCTGGCGTTATGTCGGGCCTGCGATGACAGGATGGAAGCAGCTTGACGGGAACGCCGCTTCAATCTCCATTGCAGCTGGTACTGCCCTGTATCAGCTTCACAGCTCTGGTCTCATCTGGCGTTACATGGGCTGAGGATAGGTAGAATTGGGTCTATCATGGGCTGGTATACACCAGGCACTGTGCGAAGCTTAGTCCTCTGGGAATTAATAAAACACTCCTGCTCTTCCCGTGTCATCCTGACTTTGCTATTTCGATCCACCTCATTTTTAGAGGAGCGATGGCTCTAGCAAGGCTACTCAGATGATGCAACATATTTCACAGTAGTCTCCTAAAACCTCTGAGGTAATGGCAGCTCCCTTCAGCACCTAAGGAATATTTCCTTTTATTTCTCGAAAAGATGGTTCCCACGGGCCTGCTCAATGGCATTGAACCAGATTTCAGCCATCTTCCTGTACCCTGCGTCGTTAGGATGTGTGCCATCCACCAGGTCACTGAGTTCAGGACCCTGAGCACTGTACATGTCTGCAAGAACAATTCTCTTCTCTTCGGCCGCTTTTAACTGAACCGATTCCCGGATCTGGCTGTTAACACGTACGACTCGGGAGTTGACTTGCTTGTTCGCATTTACGAGTAAGGTTGAGAGGATAATCGTAGAGCGAGGAGATTCCTGCCACAGATAGTCGAGCGTATCACCCATTCGTATCCTAAAAGTGTCGAGTTCGTAATCTTGGAGACAGTCGTTGGATCCAGCGTTGATCGTGAAGACGTTAGGGCCCAGAGTCGCGACGGAATTTCGAGCTTTCGATGCAACCTGGTCAAGCCGATACCCACGCCATCCCTCGTTGTCGTTGTTTTTCATGGATCCCGACTTGCGTGAGCCAACGAAGCGGACTTGATAGCCCTGGGCCAGAAGCATGTCTTGTAGAAACTTTCTGTACCCATTGCCGTCTGAAGATCCAACACCATATGTAACCGAGCCTCCTAAAGGCATCAAGCGTAATGATATGTTTGGTGATGTCACCTGTGAGATATGGCGGATGGTGGATATCTGGGGAACCTTGTTACTAGTTGTGAAGAGATGACACGTATGGCATTGGGTAGCGAGTAGCGGCCAGCGTGGCCGATAAAGTATCGGTCGTAACAGCATGTTTGCGTTGCAAGAAGCAAAGTCGAAGGCCACAGCGGGCAAGACCAAAATTACCAACTTATGTCGGCGGGGGGATATCGGATTCATGAAGTGATTTTAGGCTCGGCGCCAAAACCCGTCCCCGGCGCTAAGTCGGCACAAGTGTCTCGTTTCCGATGACTTACGGGTTAATTACATAACCTGGACAGACTTATTAACAGGCAACTTCTGGTTGAGAACAAAGCTGTGTAATAGTAGAGTAGGTGTTTTCTTTCCGTTGAACATTTTACATTGACATGCCACTATCTATCCTTTTGTGTCTCGGCCTGTGTTCAAGCACGCGTTGGCACAACTGTGGCCCACTGGTGCTCCGTCTCCCCATACATGATGTCGGCGAGCCACTGCTTGAGTACTGTCGTGGTGTTCCCGCCCATTCCGCTTTTGCCCATGGGTACTTCAATATCCTTTCCTTGGTAATGGATCCGGGAAACAGCAGAAATGAAATACTAGGCGTGTTAGTACGTGAATGTCCAGCGGCCGAGATCGAGGTATTGCTTACAGCAGTGCCTGCAGCAAATGACTCAAGAAGACGTCCTTCAGCGGCAGCTTCCATGATTTCTGTGATTGTGAAATTGCGCTCCGTCACTTCAACCTCCTTACCGAGTCTTTCCTTTGTCACCTCCAAGCAGCTTCGCCTCGTGATGCCATCCAGGATTGTCTTGTCATCCAAGGGTGCGGTGACTAGCTCCGTCTTACCGTCCTTGCGCCTCCACACAACGAAGAAGTTACAGCCTCCGGCTTCGGTACACTGGCGATCTTGGCCATATAGCCACAGGACTTGGTGATAGCCTCGTGTGGTCGCTTCCTGGTGGACCTTCACAGAAGGGCCATAATTTGCTCCGATCTTTGCATACCCGAAGCCTCCAGCCCAGGCTCGCACCGCGTCCTCTGGAGACGAGTACAGGCGTAACCCTCCCGCCGGTATGTCGAGACGAGGCATGTAGGCTAGAACAATGAATAACATTGCTTCCTTCGGTGCCTGGACGCCAAGTTGAGCTGAAGTGCCAATGATAGTCGGGCGAATATAAAGGAAGTCACCAGCCTTTTCCTTGGGAAGCCAGCGATCTGCATCTGTAGTCAACAGACTGAGTATCAGCTTTTTGACTTCTTCAGGTTCGAACGGCGGCAAAGAAATTCGGACCGCAGAGGTTCTCAGCCGAGCAGCGTTCTGGTCGATGCGGAAGACACGTAGTTTGCCATCGTGGCCACGGTAGGCTTTGAGCCCCTCAAAACATTCGGTAGCATAGTGTAGACATGAAGCAGTTGGTGGTAGACTAAGCGGACCGTAGGGCTTCAGCTCCGGCTTGGACCACCCAACGCTGTGTTTCCATGTGGCAACAACCATGTGATCCGTGCATATGCTTTCCTCGGATGCCAAGATGGTGGCTTCGCTCGGAACGGGCTTGGGAGTAGTTGCATAGCTGTAGGATAGATCACATGCCATTAAAGGCTGTTCTTTAACTGCAAAACCTATTGTAGTAAGAGATCTTAACAAAGAGAACGGTGAAGTAATAAATGCTCGGCAGGGCTGAGGATCGGGGCTAAGAGTGGAAATGCCGTCAGTGTAGTATTGTGTGAAAGGATTCAAGAATTGTTAGGGGATCAGCATGCTTGTCGCTGTGATACTCTCCGTGGCTGGATAACATGTACATTTCCAGTGGATTTAAAGAGGATATATAGTTGAATTTTCCATCAGACAGAGGGGGGGGGATGGACATTCCGACATCGGCTGCTACACGTTTTGAGTCATATCAATGATGTGCGATCCAATAATCACTAGCCGTAACAAAAAGACTGTAAGTAGTGCTAGTTGGTGCGTATTAGAAGTTCGGCAAATGTTTCTGCTTGTAAGTTTTCCGGCGGGGGCCGGAGACTAATCTCGGCGCCGATGTCCAATTACCTTACTAGAGCACTCCTGTTACCATTCCTGGATCCACTTCCCAGGCTCCGAGTGCACCGAGAATCATGGGTAGTTGGGGTGATGCATCTCTTGCAGCCTGTGGAGGCTAGGACGATCTCCATTGTCGCTAATATCGGCAGGAATAAATCAGCCCGGCGGTCCACATCGTTGGGGATGCCTTCAGGACAATAGGCGAGCCAGGTACCGGTATCAAATGCGAAGTTGCGATGACAGAACTAAGATGCTTGGTTGGAAATGCGTATCCAGTATATATACATTTAGAGGACATAAGCTCCTCAGCTGTTTAAACAGTCACATAGCGACCGTTTCATAATCACCGTTCAACATTGTTATCATGCACGTCACCACAGAATACACTCATTTTCATAACAAGGTCCGTCTTGACAAAGGCCGCGAGTCTGTTGCGGCCGTATGTGTTGAGAACCTTTCCAAATGGCCTGAAGCAATTCAAGAGATTAGTACATGGCCTGAATACGAGCCACAACCCTTGCACTCGCTGCCTCATCAGGCAAAGCAACTTGGTGTTAGCAAGCTTTTCTTCAAAGACGAGAGTAAACGCTTTGGCACCTCTCTTGGATCTTTCAAGGCACTTGGTGCTCCATACGCTGTTTTCAAAATCTTGGCCAACCAAATATTTTCAGAGACCGGTGTCAGACCGACATCAGAGGAACTTCGAACTGGCAAGTTCAAGCACATCACGCAGAATGTCACGGTCTGTGTCGCCACAGATGGAAACCAAGGTCGAGGACTCGCCTACGGTGCCAAGATCTTTGGCTGTCGTTGTGTGGACTATATTCACAGCCACGTCAGTTCGGGACGTGCAGAAAGGATGAAGGACTTGGGCGCCATCGTCATTCGTGTCAATGGCGAATATGAAGCATCTGTTGAGAGAGCCAAGGAGGATGCGCAAATGAACGGGTGGCACTTCGTCAGCAGCACTTCCTGGAGTGACTTCGACAACGGCATCCCGCAGCACGTCATGAATGCCTACATGGTCGTTGTGGAGGAGGCCCTCCAAATGATCCCTGTGGTGGAAGATATCACGCACGTCTTTGTATGCGGAGGCGTTGGCAGTATCGCCGCAGCCATTTTCCTGGGTTTCTTCACTCGCTTCTCCCAAATCCAAAAGTCCAACCAAGGAACGCCCTTAAATCCTCCGAGGTATGTAGTAGTTGAGCCATCGGAAGCAGACTGCCTGTATCAAAGCGCCACGAAGGGAGAGATATCTCTGTCTGGGGGAAGTCTGCGTACGTTGATGGCGGGTCTGGCTTGCCGTGGTCCATCACCAGCCGCATGGAAAATCTTGATATGGCTGGCCAGTGATTTCGTTGCTGTTCCGGACGAGGTAGCCATCGACGGCATGAAGGAGTTGGCAAGCGGACGCGGAGGTGATGTTCCTGTTGTTTGTGGAGAAAGCTCGGCGGCCACCGTGGGCGTATTGCTCCAGTCGGCCCATGATGAAACACTTCGTGAGAAATTGGGATTGACAAGTGATAGTCAGGTTGTTTTGTTTGGACTCGAGGGAGCTACAGATCCTGTCATTTACGAGAAGCTGGTTGGCAAGCCTCCTGCGCAGATTCTTGAAGCACAAGAACGTTTTTTCCAAGCTTCTAAATAATACCATAGCTCATGTAATAGATGTTCGTTCATGGGAAAATCTTGATGCTACTCAAAGTTGGCCCAAGAACAGTAAGGCCGCCAAATCCGGCATATGTATGACTATATCTATTGCTAATTGGATCGGCTTAGTAGCGCCCACTACTACTGGGCCGAATGTGGCCGTCTCGGCCCTCATGAAAGCCGACCGAGGATGGGGGTGTCGGCGGGGCGACATTTTGCCGAACCCATCGGTAATTCGCGTAGGGGCCGAGATGGACGGGGAGTGCCGCATCACATGGTGCTATCCTGGATGTCGCATGCGATTGAAAGTTACGATGCCTCATAAGGAGACACAGTATGTTTGCCATCGTTTCGGCGTAAATATTAATCACAACCTCCTGAGTAGATATCTCTTTCTTTTTAGGGTTTCACGTTCAACAAAACCTTGATTAGGCTGTTACCTTGGGTGTCTGGACAGTCAACCCCAGCTCGCCAATACTGACGAGCTGTGCACTGATTTTGTCAGTGTGTTATCAACTATTTAGTTTTAAGGCCCCTCCATGCGGTGACTTGATCAAGTGTTGACTCACCCTCGAACTCCGGGAGACACTATAGGGTAGGTGGGTTGAGTAGTACTGGTATAGAAAAGGATGGAGAAATCCGAGTGGCGTTCCTTGGCAGGTTTCTCACCGTTGTTTTGGCATGATGCTTCCCCTCAACACCTGAGAACCAATTTTCATGGTTCTACCAATTAATCACACCCCCTGCTAAAGCACGTCCCCATCGTGGAATCTCCAGAATAAAAGGTAAAGGGACATGTCGTCCGAACAGGACGCGTCGACTGACCGCCCAACCCGGGCGGCTCAGTTGGTCTCATCCAAATTAAAACCAGTCGCGTTCGTCTATCCATTTCACTTTGCCGGCCAAGGCTAAAAGATGAACCCAGATGCAGAAAGTGCCATGCGCGAAAGGTCAAATGCCCTGGCGGTCATCCATGTCGTAATTGCGTACAAATGGACTGCCAAGCCGAATGCGTTTACCCAAAACGTGACAGGCAGATTAGGATTAGCCAAAGGTGAGCTTAGCTAACTTAATTAACAAATGTCTCATGTTCATCAAACCTTGTAGCTATGTCGAGAGCCTGGTGCGTGAAAATCAGGAGTTGAGAAACTACACTCGACAAAATCAAAGAGAAGCGACAACGGCTCAAGAGTCAACGAATAATGCCGCAGAAAGTGAGGCTGAGCGGGACACACCAAGTCCCAGCGAACCAAGCCATAACCCGGTACTCGAAGAGAAGCCATGGTTCCTCTCGACCAGGTCATCAGAGATCCCTATTCTCATAGGAGAAGTGGCAGACGCAGCGTTCGCAACGCGATTTCGCCAATTACTCACAAACCAAGCCCTTAACCACACCCTACGTACCAGTTACCCAGATAACAACCCGATAACGGAACTTGCGCAAGCTGAGTGTCCCTCTCTGAACACTTCTCACGCCCGGTTCCTGGTTCGAGTAGCCCTGAAAAGCCTGGATGGATCCTTTCACATTGTCCGGAAAAGCCGCATATGGGAGTTGCTGGAACAGTACCTCCAATCACCTCAAACACTCGATGCATCATCTCGTTGTAAGACTTTGGCTCTATTAGCGTTGGGGGAACTATACTCCAGTTCTTGTCAGGCCCAAGGTACAACGACCCCCGGCCTGGCTTTTTTCAGTCACGCGAGCAAGACTCATGACTTGCTCCAGGAGCGCCCCTCTATCAACACAGTCGAGGTCTCGCTACTCTTGGTAAGATACCTACTTGTATGTTTGATCTTTACTTACCACTATAGTGCCTATATGCTCTTTGCATCAATAGACGCCACTCCGCATATTTCTTAGCAAGCTCCGCTGTCCGGCATTGCTTGGTGATGGGACTTCACTTTAACTTACCCGACTCTCAAATAGACGACCCAGAAACCAAAGAGCATCTTAATCGACTCTGGTGGTCGGCATATATAATGGATCATACAGCTGCGTCCATCAGCAGCCAAATCGCTTCTGTATCGGACGATGATGTATTCGTCGACCTTCCATCAAGTACAAGAGTCATTGGTATGGGGTCAGCCGATTTCCAGCACACAGAACTGCTCATTGCAAGGATACACTTGGCCAGAGTCACAAGGTCGATAATAAAGTGTCTGTATGGAAGGACGCAAGAGACAAAGCCATTCCTCCGGAGAGTTCAGCATGCTTTACAAGATTTGAAACAATGGCTTCAAAGACTGCCTCCTGATATACAGATAGATTCTGGATCTTCGCTTTCAAAACCAATAGCAGTCCAATCTCTGCATCTTGCTTTCAACCAGGTAATTACTGCGTCAACTTCAATAGTCTTGGCTAACCCTTTCAGTCCGTAATCCTGGCAACCCGACCAGTCCTATTGTATATGCTGCGAACGCATAAAGAGGTTAATGAAACCACTCCGGCCACAGCCGAACGAGTGATCTCAAGTAGCATCCAGACATTGGCAGAAGCCTGCGTTAGATGCGGTCGACATCTATATACCACTGTCGTCGAGTCCTGGGTTGAGGGATCGTTCAAAACCTTTGACTACTTCAACACACAATACCTCTTCTCGTCGGCAACAATATTGGCCATATCTAGTCTTCTGGATGGTCCCGATAGCTCTGAGGACCGAGAGAACTTTCTCTTCGCTAGCCAACTGATGGAGAAGCTTCGGGATTCCGGAAGTTTCTCTGCTACGGAGTTCTGTCGTCATCTCGAAGCGATAAAGCAAGATATCCAGGGCTTCTTAGCCAGGGCAAGTTCATTAGCAGATGAAGAGGTGGGGCCAAGCCATACTGCTACTTTAGAGGCATCGATTCTCCATGATACCACAGTCCAGCCTGTTCAATCTATGACATCTGGCATGGCACTGGCCGAGCCATCCTTAGAAGCCTTTTTACAGAGCGAACAGGACCTCCCAGATATAGACTTTCTCTTGGAAAATGCACAGCTTAGTGGCCTCTACTGGCCGACATAAAACCCTTTATACCAAATATGAAGTAACTTAATTCTCTACATACATTAGCATAGCCTATGTGCCTCTAGATTGTTAGCTGGTCGGTAAACAATCTCACTCCACTATTGGCCTTTCAATGCCACTCTCCATCCACAAAGTAGAACGCCCTGGTATGGTATGGATAATAAGAAATTTGGACGTTCTATGAATGCCGTCTTTTCTTCAGAGAAACTTGAAGATCCTTCTGGAAAGAAAACCACTGTGTCTTGGTGTGCCATGGTTTCGTCTTACTGAGCAGTTCCGCATCGTAGTACCGGAAGAACTGAGAAATATACAGGTAGAGTTCAACTATCGCCAAATGCCTTCCCACACAGCTGCGGCTGCCCATGCCAAACTACAATCACGGGTATCAGTACTTAGTATCAGAGAGTCAGAACAGGAATGAAGTTATAACTCACCGTCATGAGCAACGACTTCTCGCTCTTGATCCTTTCTTCATCCTTAAGGTCCAAGGGAAGCCATCGCTCAGGTCGGAATTCTTCTGCATCTGGGCCAAAGATCTCACGCGAGCAGTTCACAGCTCTTGCGCTGACACCACATGTTGTGCCACAGGGAAGAAAGTATTCTCCAACTTGAGTTCCTCCTGGTGGTACGTCGCGGGGAAGCTGGTACTGAATGGATGGATGGAGCCGAGTACTCTCCAGAATAACAGCAGAGAGATATGGCAGCTTCTCGGCCTCTTTAAAAGAGATCTCGCGTCCTTGATCGTCGATGCGCAGTTCGCGGTAAGCGTTGTCGATCTCTTCTATCAACTTTGCCTTGGAGAGGGGATTGGTGAAGAGGTATCCAAGGCAAGCCACGATGCTGATGGCGGTTGTATCGGACCCTGCAGCCAAGATATTCACACCCTCAATCATGACCTCTCTCTTTCCTACTTGACCGCCCTGGGGATCCTTGGCCTCGATGAAATGTTGAAGGAGGTCCCTTGGCTGACCGGGTGACAGACCATTAGTCATCCTCTCCTCAACTCTCTTGTCCAACCAGTCGATAAAAACATCGAAAGCATTTAGCCGACTGCCGCCAAAGGTTTTCGTGAGCCACTTAGATACCGGATTGTTAATCCAGGACATTTGTAACGGGAGGATGCCCATGTTGCCCATCAGATAGAATCCATCGTGAATAGACCGGATTATGCCATCCACGTCCTTTCCTTGTTCCAGGAACCCAATCTTCCCGCCGATCGCTAGTTGCCCAACGACATCGGAGGTAAAGAAAGTCACCATTTTGTCAATTGGAAAATACTTTCCGTCGTCTGCCAGTTCACCAAGTTTTTTGAGGTTGAGATCCATCACGCTTTGAATCAGAGGCTCCATGCCAAGAATCGACGTCATAGAATATGCGCTGGCAACGCGCGACCGAAGGAACCGGTGCACTCTGTTATCCCTTGTTGCGAAGAAGCTGATGGTCATGTTGGGGACGATAAATGCATTGTAAAATTTCCCCTCCCCGTAGGTCAGCATTTATCATGGATTGAAGAGTAACGTTGGGTGTTTTTACCTTTGTTATGTGCTTTCCGTGGCCATAGATAGCCTTGATGGCGTCTTGGTTTGTGAAACTTACTTCTCCAGGTGATAGACGAACGACCTGTCCATATTTTCTGTGGAGGTCGAGAATGTCATCGTGCCAGGTGCCTTGGAAGTATTTGACAAGTCTCCAGAGTGGGCTGCACCTTGCTAGAAAAGGTCCGGGAAGGTTTCTTAAAGGGTGGAGGAAGAGATTGTACAAAACACGAAGGAAAAGCAGGATCACTACCACGGTAATGATGATTGTCTTGAAATTTAACAAAAGGGTTAACACCGAATGAGGGGATATACCCCAGACCCTCGTGGTGACTGACTGGCGTTCTTCGAAAAAGCTCGAACTGTTTTGATGGGATGCCATTGTGCATATGCAGTGTGTCTGTGACATTGTACACCGGATTCTGTGAGCATCCCTTGGGTTTTTATCCCCTAGAGGCTCCTGGGCAGTCCACGTCCCCACTACATATCCAGGGAAAATAAGCAATTCCTGTGTGAGATGGCACAACAAGAGCGGTTGTGGGAAGTCGTTTTCCGCTTCACTTTGCTTATTTCCGTTGTGGCGTTGGCTAACACTACTGTTGTGTCACTTTGAAACTCCACCCTTTTTGTGATATGTTATAGCCGGTTAATAATCCTCGTATTTTATCTAATCGTCTCTGGGTGATAATTGAAGAGTGACGCATGTGGCTATCGATAACATTCCTGTCTTTCCAGAAACCCGAGCCAATCAGGGTTTGAAAAAGGGTTACTAACAATCACTTCAACGTTTTTTGTGTCTCATTATTGGATTGCTCGTACGATCTCAGCGTCGCCAAGAGGCTTAAGGTAAGACAATCCATTACTACTCTGGGATATGGCTGCATCTGACAGATGATCATAATTCGTCCATGCCTGGTTCCATCTGCATGCACATAAGCCGATGACGTTAACGGCGTTATCTGTCACACCAACCTAACCATAGATAGCCGAACGATTGGCGAGTTTTGGTCTACCCGCGACCAGATTAGTGCAGTGATCGTGATCCTCCCGCATATGTCACATTTGAAATGTGAACGTTACCCTAAGCTAGGATCTCGCCCGTCAGGCAGGGCTCCCAATAAATCAAATCTCAAATAGATCTTCCCATATTTAATTTTAAGGCCTTCTAATTTAATCTATAGAGGTATCTTGGTGCTTGGGTCGCATGGGGCACACAGAACCGTAAAGTGCCCCTACGTTATGTCCTATCGATAATCTATCGATAAGATATGCGATTAGATAAGGGCTCTGTTTTCTCTGTTAGAAAGAAGAGAATAGTTACCCTATACAGATTACAAGGCTGCTAAAGTAGGAGTCAGCAAGACACTAAACAACATATATCCACTTTGGACACAGTAGTGATTCAGTCGGTGCTATCTGTGAAATTATGACGCTATACTATTTAGTACCTGAGGTGGTTTTGATTGTAAGTCATAAATGTGTGTAAACCAAGATCTTGAACAAAGCGTTCCAGGACTCGTAGTGAATATCTAGCCTTCGTGGACGGCATCCCAAGCTGAAAGGCCCTTGAATTCCTTATACCAAATCTCATCGTCGGCATGAAACCAAGCATTGCGACAACGTCCCTCTACCCCATATTCAGGGCCATCGTGCATGGTGAGCTTTTTGTTGCAGCGTAGGTTATCAGGCTGCGCCTCGTGGTCATCGTATTGCTCCCAGAACATGGCTGCTCCACGTTGAATAATCCAGGACTTGAAAGAAGTGATCTGTCGAGTGCAGTCGACTGCACTATCCACGCCGCTGTTGCCGTAGAATTTGCAAATGACGCCAGGAGGGAATCGCATGTCACCAGGGCCAATACAGTAAGGCAAAGGACCCTGTCCGGTGACAATCATCTCGAATGGAACATTAGAGTCTGTAAGTGGTATGGGACTATTTCGAGAAGACTCACGTAGTTGAAATTGCCTTCATGGTCGTTACAGTCATACTGGTCATAGAGAGTGACCTCCCAACCAAGCACGGCGGGAATAGCAGCTGTAAGAACAGAGAGTAGTGAGAGACGCATAGTGGGTGGATTTAATTGTAGGTGTAAAGGGTGTTGAAATTCTAAGTGAAATGGAATGCTATTGTTGAGTGTCGATGGCTAGAGGGACGAGCAAGTGATATTTATATACACTTTATTGCTTGACTAACTCAGTCAGTGCATAAGCCTTAATCTTGTACTTAGACTCTATGGATAATCTCTCAACCGTGCATTTATTCCTTCTGATCTTGGCCTCTACTTGAGGAAAATAATTGGCAGCCAAACGCACTCAGTGCAGGAATTGAATCCCATAGAACTTGCGCCCCAAACACTGGTGGGGCTAGTGGAACCAGAAGTGCTTGGATAATAAGAACACAGGTGGAGCTTTTTCATAGGCTACGGATTTATATTCCCTTTCGTTGTGTAGGACAAATCTGGGGGTTTAATAATGATAGTATAATCTAATCATATCAAATAGGAATTGATCAATTGTAAGATTCGCATTTTGGAGAAGATTATTAGGTGTACATGTCCCACTCAAGAGATGATTTCATCTTGGTGATCTAAATTAACTAGCTAGTAGGGATTGTGTTTTCGCCAAGGACCTCATTTTAAAAACATGACCGTGCCTTGCTCCAGGCCGTGGTATACCGAGAAAGTCTCTAAATCAAGCTTGATCTGCAAAAAGGACATATATGCTAACCTCCGCCTCACATAGTATAGAGTTTACTGATCTCATGATCAGTAGTGCTTCCCCTTTCATTCGGTTACCGGTTGAGCAGGATCGGCTAGTTCATCGATCTGGTCCACCTTAAGCAAAAAGAAGGATCGCAAAGGATTCTCAATCCACTGCGGCGCCTTGCAAACTCCTTAAAGCACACAGCCATGCCTAAGCGCGGGAGCAATATTGCGGAAACGCGTATGCCAAAAACCGCTGTTTCTCCACCGAGCCATTTTGTCATTTCATTTCTCCCTAGGCATAACGACCTGCCGTGAATCAAGTAGTATACTTGATCCGCGGTTACTCCACTAAGTACGCGGATTCTCCGTTCATAGCACTAACCCTGCAATGCCGGGTCTCGTGTTGATTAAACGTCTTAACCACTACCTATACATGCTTTCTTCTATGTCTAATACCCGCAACGTCATGATATCACAATGCCCCGCCACAATGCGCCATCTCCTGCTCCTCCATGCGGAAGTTCATAGATAACGAACGAGTAGTTAGGGCTTTCAAGAGCTGGTTCACACCGAAGCGAACTTGTAGTAGCTACCTCGAAGACGAACTAGCAACTCGAATCAGGGCGATGACTGTGACAAACCTGAACATGGAGCACCACCTAGGACCACTCCTATAGCGCAAAAGATTAAGGATGTGAGGGGAAGTATGTGTTGATTGATAAAAAATACATATTCAGACAAAATAGAGTAAGACTACTTCGAATCCAAGGTCATATCATCATCTTGACCAAGTCATGGGCCAGGTCACGACCCGAGTCTCTGCCGTAACGAGTTCACAAAGTTTACAAGAAATCGCCAACGCGACACCCAATCAGGCTCTAATGTGCAGCAAAGTTCACATAGCCCTTGAAAATGTACCATGGTGAGCAAATAATTGAAACAGGTACGGAGACAGACACGACAGCATCAAACAAATGTCGGTTAATTCAGGAAGTCATCACAGAGATTTCCAGTCATAATAGACACATACCACATCAAGCACTTCACACGAGATAGGTATTGATGACAAGGATAGGACAAACCAGGCCAACCAAGATAAAGGTCGTTGGATATCTACAAGGGCAAATAATACACAAGCACAATATTGTGAAATGAAGTAAAGTTTAAAGAATTTGCAAGACTACATGTAGTGGTGCAATCTCAATTAAGAATACCCAAAGACTAGACTATACTCCGAACAGTCTTGTTCTCCCTCCCATACTGATGTCGCGCGCTAACAGGTGATGTCGCGGCACCGAGTATCATCTTATGAGGTTTGTTCTAAGCCATGATAGTTAGTCAATTATATCCAAAGAAATGTCAGTGAGACAACATACCCTTTGGCTCCGGCCAGTCTTCGTAGCGGAATGCAACACAGGGTTGGTTGTGTTGGAGACATCTCTTCTTCAACTCAGTTGTCTTGACGCTGTCCTCCGAGGAGATCACGGTTCGTCTAACTGTGCCCTTGCCTTTGGCTCGGTTGGCCTTGGCTCGCTCGACACGCCTCTTCTCAGAAGGCTTGGACTTGGAGGATCCGAAGCACATGATGATGTGTGTGGTTGAAAGTTGGAGGTGTGTGGTAGACAAGGTGGCTCAATAGAGTGTAGAGTAAGGTGATGTGTGAGGTTGGGAAGTGTAAGTGGGTTAGAGTTGACTTGGCTCGATGGAGAGTAGAGCAAGGGAAGTTTTGTAGATGAGGTTTGTGATGAGGAAGAAATCGAAAAGAGATCTGGGAGGAACAAGGGTCTTATTTATACCCGTACAAGGAGCAGGATGAGGGAATAACTCTATGAGCTATTGTAATCCCTCACACAAAGAGGATTGAGTGATTGATACAGGCTTTGGAAGCAAATGCTGTTAAGTGATACTGACTTTGTGGGGGTAGTGTGTCGCGAATACTGATTGCTTCGCCGATTGCCTCAAAGCTGCCTCTCGAGATTCTTTTAGCCAATACAATCTACTGAATACTCCCTCAAAAGCCTAATCAAGTAATGGAGGGGGACGTTGTCACATAGTCAAATCACAAACCTCCTGATGGAAAGCTTAAATCAATTAAGCATGAGAGAAATTAAATCATGATTTTCAGGGCCAATGGGAATTCCCTCAGCAGATTGAAGGCAGATGTCGTTCCTTTTTGACACAGAACGCACAGCTATACTTTGAAGCCAATGTTTTCTGGCCCGGAGCTAGTAGCCACAATCCAGAATGATATCACGGCTCCGGAGCTCAAGGGTTCATTATGGTTTCTATCTCCGCATTACTAAATATAGTCATGGAGCAAGTTCCGTTCCATAGTTTTTGTTGTGCGAATTATGGACTTAAAATTCGTGGAAGGAACATGTGTTTAGGGTGTTCAAATCAGGCGTAAATTCAAGACAGCCTAGAGCTGGCATCCAGCTCTGGGCCTTAGGTTTTGTTAATCAAGATCGTGAACATGTAACCTCCCTCGAGATTCTACTGAACCAAAGATTGATGCAACGCGCAATGACATTGGCATTGCTATTCACTGAAGAACTACAGCACAAATATCTATATCAAAGGCTTGCCTCGCGCTCACATATCAGACATTGGTAAGGAGGTAATTGGTAGAGGTCAAATAAACTCAAAGGAGAAGTCAAAAATCACCTCACACAAAATAGACCAATCACCAAAAGTCCCATCCTTTTTACCTGCCTGAAGGATTGGTTTTCAGGTCTTATACTTTATTACAATGAGCATTGAGGAGATAAACAAAGATTAAAATGTTGCCTGATATCGGATAGCATGCTCACGGTGGTGGCCATTCAATCTCTGCTGTTGTTGTCGGCAGATGCTGGCATTGCATGTACTGAAAAGTGCAAGCCTGAAGGTTCTGCAACCGTATTTGTCTCGGGATTTACTTCATCAGGCTTCAATGAGATCACACCGGCCAATTCCACTGCAGTCGTATCTTGTGCCATTTTGATCGAGTCTGCGACTACTTCGATCGGCACATCGAATCAAGCTGAGCCAATTACGACTGCCACTGCCACTACAACTGCCGAGTTGAGTATCACTAAGCTGTTTGCACCACTTATCGCAGATTTGTAGAGACTACTATGGCTACTAAATTCTTCCCGTAGAAGGCCTCTCATTCTTTTCATCCGCTTTAGCCGTTGTGTGTCGGGTTGGTTGGTGACTAGGAAATCAACTTGCATGGCAGACAGGGTCAGATTCCATCTCGGTAGGCTGATAGCACTTAAATTTTCCTTTTGTGTATATTTCATCCTCTATTCTTCCAACTTTGAAATTTCTGTTCATTTCTTTCCTGGCTAGAAAACACAAGCTCATTTAGTCAAACCGTCGATATTGGGCAGCGTAACCGACTTTTTAGTAAGCGGCTATGACATAGTCATATGTTCTTCTTTTAGTCGTAGTCCAAGACTTCAGAAGATCTTCTGAAGACATTATTGAATAATACAGTAATAAAGCTTAAGATATCTAGTCATTTTTTGTATCAATAGTACAGAACAGTGTTACGGATTATTATTAATCCGCGCAGCCTCGGCTTTTTATCACACCCCACTACCCTGGCATCGATATCAGAAGAACTTAAATATGCATGAGTCACAAATCCTTTCGAGAGTATTCAAGCCTCTAACGCTGTCATAAACAGGAGCAAACCTAGTCATATCGATACATTCACTGCGATGACTACCTCAAGAAGTGCCCTTTTTGTCATTGATATCCAGAAGGATCTAGCATCGGATCCGAAGACTCAGATCCCACATGCTGAACGCATTCGTCGTGCCGGCACGGAAATCCTCTCCTCCGCCCGAGGAATCGAATCGAATCCAAAACCAATCATAGTCTTTGTACAACACGAAGAGTTACCTGACAGTGGCCCTCTGGTAAAGGGAAGTGATCCATGGAAGTTAGTCTTTGAGAACGACCCGAGCAAGACTAATGAACGTCTCGTATCAAAGAACCAGCGTATGAACTACCAGAAATCTCACAAACGAAAAGGCTAGTACTGACAGGCACTAGGAGACACATTCAAGTCAAACCCTGGTCTGGCAGAACAGCTCAAGTCCGAGGGTGTTGAACATATCGTTGCATTTGGCATACAAAGCGAGTGCTGTGTCTTGGAGACGTCCAAGGGGGCCCTTGAGGCTGGATTTCGCGTCACCCTTCTACATGGTGCTCATTCGACTTATGACACTGAAACGAGAACTGCACTGCAAATCGAGCAGGCGGTTGAAGACGAGCTGCTTGCTTTAGGCGTCTCTGTCTCCCCATGGGAGAGCACCATTGTTGAATGGAGAGATAAAGGAGACTTGGTATCGGTCTAGCTACGAGTCATTCTATAGGTCAAGAGTAATTGCATGCAAAATCAACGAGCCAAGCCTTGGGGATATTCCTTTTGATTAGCATATAGACTCAAGATACTATGATGTCTTTTTTTGTCTGAGCAACATACACCCTTCCAACGCAACCGCCATCTCCAAACCACCTTCAGAAGCGTTCTCTTCTTCTACTTCCACAGTGGAATCAAATCCTGCTTTGAGTGGTTCCATGGTATTAAGGTGCATATACTTGACATTGGGGTTTGCCCCCACCCCGTTCCCTCCACCAGTCAGTAGATGGTCCTCAACAGGCTGAGCCCATTTCCACTTGGCCCCAGCATATCGCCAATCTTAATAGAAAACTTATATCGACCAAGTTCAGAATCACTCTCGAACTCGTATACTTCTTTCCTAACGTCATCTGTGACTCCCAGTGTACTGGTTGATCCGAGTAGGGGTTCGAGGGAAGGTAGGCTTCACCCTTGAAGATGCATTTCTCATCGTACACTTGTATGGACTAGTTATGGAAGTTGGCCAATAGCCATGCAAGTACCGCTACTTCTGCATCGGCAACAGCGCGAAGTCATGAATGGCTCGATTTCTTACAGTTATTGTTGGTCTTGTCCGCAGCCATGAACGTTGCGTGTAGACGAGCGTCTTGATTAATGCGAGGTCCAAGCTGAAACCATGAGCAGTCACCATTTAACACTTCTTCTGGAGTCAATGGCAATGTCATATTCGGGTCTGTACCTTCGCGGCCCTCTTTTAGATCACAGAGTAGGCTCGATGCGACTTGTGGATAAAATGGTTTCCTGTCCTGACTGGGCCTTGTATCAAAGGAGCAAATTACCTGGCCGAAACGATCAATGATGTTGAAAGCTGTTAGTTGGATTTGGCCATGTGTTACAGGACGAAATAAGCGATTATTCTCGTCTGGTGCGCTGAGGTTGCGAGATGTCAAAGAAGACAATCCTTCATGCCGTGCTCCTCAAAGGGTGACATTAAGGCCATCAACTGACTCGGAAACATCCACCTTTCCAACCAACAACTCGAGATCTTTCTCATCACCAAGGATTACTTCCCGGGATGGCGTCTCGCCGAGTCTCGGTACCTGCTTGATCTTTGTAGGGATAGTATGTCCACTTTGGCAAAGGGTGAGGGGGTAGTCGGCGAATCCATCAAGACGGCGGAACGAGAGATTCCGGATTCCAAAGAAATCATTCATCCATGTGACCTGTTCGTTTTCTATCTCCGATGTACGGGGAACAGTTTTCATTATCGTCTTCAGCATTCATAATCGATTTAAGTTCAATCTTATTAGAATGAGTTTATTCTGACCTGTCTTGATTGGTTCCTGGAAAGTTTAACTATTAAAGACCTGTACTATTGGAAGCGCTGATAGAGACATATAAACAAATGAACCTCTTAGAGTGGCGCAATTGTGTTTGCTGTGAGTGAGAGGAACAAACACGGATCAGGAGTTACGATAGGTCGAGGATATGTAGTTGAGGTTATTACTGGTATTATGTTGAAAATAATTGAAAAGGATGCAAGACCAGAGGCTATACAACTCATGTCGCTTAATATCACACTATAGAAAAGTAGCAATTGAACATATCCATAGCCAGATCTCTATCATTAACTCGGCACTTCATCTCCTTTTGTTTTTGAGTGAGAGCCTCAAGCAAAAGCGATGCCTGTTTTGCATTCCTCGTAGCTCCATGGCTGATACGAAATGCTGGTAGAGTCTCCAAGTTCTGATTCTGGGACTTCAACACCGGCCGTGTCTTCCCCAAGGCTTTTAGTTGCTCAATAGCCCAGATACGCTGCTCTGCATTTTTGCATTCTGCCCCAAAGAGAAAGACCGGCCACATAAGAGCAGGATGGACTGTCATTTCTTGACTAACATCGTCCGCTTCTCCATAAGAGTTCTTTATATGCTCCCACGTCTTCTCTAACGCCCCTGTCACCGCTTTAGTATGCGGGAGATGCCACCAGCAGATGCGGTGGAGATAGATAAACAGAATCCAGAAGCTGGCTAGATAGATGTTTGAGATTTCTTGTACTCTCGTTGCTACGTCGGGGGCAATTGACGTGGACAGCTCAGCCGTAGATAGAGATATAATGAATGGGCACTGTGCCCACAAGTCCCAAAGCTTGCGGTGAATTTGCTTCCCCTCTAGAGCAACCCTAATCTCTGCATCTGGGGTAAACCGCTCTTGGTGATGTTTATCGAGGGCGCTAATACGACGACAATATGCTTGCGTTTTTAAATACCACTTGGCAGCTGGCTGCAGAAGTGCTCGGAGTACGATCTCTTTGACGTCACACGGACTCTTCGCAGGGACGACAATACCGCTATCCCCATGCTCAGAGACTTCTGACAATGGACTCTGAGACAGTGCTTGGAAGTCTTTGTCATCGTCAAGCGAGTCCCTTCTGTATTTAGACTCTTTATAGTCGCAGCTGATGATTTGAATAGGATACTGAGACATAACTTGGAGAGCTTTGGGTGACAAGAGAGTTGGTCCGCTCAAATGAGAGGATTTACTATCGAGGGAATTAAACCATGATAGAAGCTGCCTTGAATACCAATTCCAGTCGTAAGAGCAAGTAATAATGGTGTTAGTAAGTTCAGTAGGAAACGGAGACTCGCTGTCGTGTTCGACACGATCTCGGAGGACTTGGATCCATGCCAATAAGAATATAGCAGCGAGCCAGTCATCCATATTGGAGTTTATGTCGCATGGGGACAAGGAAATATCCTCTTGAATCGTGCGTGTTGTTATGTTGAATGAACTGTGGATGTGGTCTTGGAGCTGACGCTTTGGTGCTGTTGAGCCACTGATATTATCCCACTCAAGGAGTCTATCAAGACCCAGCAGCGCATTCATAACGGTATCATTATGCGACGCCAGATTTCTCAGATACTGCTGCAGGTGTCGCCACTTCTTTATGCCCCCCATCAACATGGCCGTTGGTGGTTGCATAATCTTGCCAAAGATTCTCAAGGGGGGCTTGTTCTCTGGACTGTCAGAAGGGAGTGATATGCTTCTGAACTGGAAGTGACCGTCTGTTTGTTTGGAGATCTTGGTCGAACCATCCGGGCTGTAAAGAGCTGTTTCCCAAAGATCTGCTGCGTTGTTGAAAAGTGTCTCCATTTCGGTGCACGAGAGCTCAGATATTATTTGCATCTCGGTATTGGATATTGCATCCACGTTCAAATTTGGGAGGCTGTCAAGTTTTTCCACTTCCCCTGCCCAGCTGCTCCTAAGAGCCTCTGGTCCATTGCCCAAGTTGATATTAGGCCACGTAAATAAGTCACCCTGGGATGCATGGTCACTGGCTTCCTGTAGAGAGTCTTGTACATTCTGTGGATAGAAAGCCGAGACATCTATATCGGATGCACTGATTGACAAAGGTTCCGACATGCCTGGGGAGGGGAGTAGTTTTCGGTGCGTAGCTGGTCCTGGAGCTTGATGCGAGCGATGGGGGTAGTAGCATTGGAGCTGTAATCGATAGCACGGCTCACATGACGGATATGCTTCATCGCATCTTACGTGTCGTCTCTTACAAACAACGCATCCCAGGCGTGATCGAGGTGCAGCTCTGCCTCGACCAGTCCGTTGGCGTGAGGAAGGCCGGGCTAATGGTGTTGATCGCATCATGTCACATTCAAGAGAGTACGGCAGAAGTTTTTATGTTAAAGAGCAACTCGAACCAGGGATAGAGGGCAGGCTTTTGTGTCAACTCTGAGCGTGTTATCTTGTTTCGGGGGATTCTCGGAGAGTGACCAAAGGCAAGCTGGCGCATACTACGCACAACGAGTTTACCTTTACCCCGCAGATTAACCAACAAGAAGATAAGCGATATCAGCTCTATTTATACATGGATGGCTAATAAGTGATCAGTAGACCTGGTCGAGAACCTGGAGAATGCGGAGGAAAAGCCGCCACGGACTCTGATTTGCTCCATCTATGCGGCAGTTATCCCAGTACCGGGCAACGGCTCGTTTTGAGTTCGTGACTAGTCATTTTTGGGAGATTGGCATTGAAAGATCCCTGCCATTTGTTATCTTTAGCCTAGTTCACGCTATGCCTTGTGACCAGACACGGACAGAGCTTAGCAAGTGGCCTGACTTTGATGTCATGTCACAGTATCCGTAGCCCCGGGAATTGAAATGAATCGATTGTGATTCGCCGATGCATCACTATCTCGCTAGTGACTACAGTAATAATTGGCTCCCTTCTGGTCTAGGCCACATGTAGCAGTAGTCTTGTAGAAGTACACGATTTGAAACTTGAGCTTTATACGTGTTTCTCAATATTGAACTATATGATGAGACAATCCCTATTCTTTCCAACTTGAAATAGAAATTGTTTCCTTTGATCTTATTCCTTTGCTACTTCCTTCTTCGCCTCTTTATTATCCATGGCTAGGCCTGGCACATCCTTGAAAACGGCAAAACTTGAAGGAGTTTCATCAAGCACGGGGAAATGAAATCCACACTGAGGGCAGGTCTCGCGTAGTACGGCCTGCTCCTCAGCTAGATTGTACTTCTTGTCCTCTGCCTTATTGCACACAGGGCAGACTCGAATAAGGCGGGTGCTAACGAGCTTAAAGTTGGTGATGATGTCCTCTATGATTGCACCATTCGCAGCCTATGACTTGCAGTATTTATGATACGTGTTCTTGTGCCAATCGTAGAGAGCCCCTCGGCTGGTCCAAAAGCTGCACTTATTGTACCAGCTTCGATTATTAGGATGCTCTTACCAGGTCAGGTGTAAGAATCCAGGAAGAGTCATGAGATGGCGTTGAGTATCAGCGAATAACACCTTGAATTTGTCAGCGATTGTGAATTCGAATACAGGAAGAACATGCACCTTGAATTTCTCATAGGCGTCTGGGCTCGAGAAGCGAACGCGCTGCATGCTTAAGTAGATAGGCATTGTGTGATGATTGATGTGTTAAAGTTGAATGGAATTTGTGAGATAAGTTGAAGATGAAATGTGTAGTAAAGTCTAGGCACGTCCTGTTATAATAATTGATTTTTATTCATTTTCTGGAATGTAATATCCTGATGCTATCTGTTATCAAACAAGACCGTGAGGAGATATGGGTTGGCTAGTAATACCGGGTATTTGTTTTCCGGAGCCTTTTACTGCCTGCGTTGCCGACGGTACTCGTGATACGGCTATCAAACAAGATAATTTCCAGATTTGGAAGAATTCTTCTCCAGCGTATGGCTATCCTTACTAAAAGGGTTAAATTGATTAGAAGAACTCAGCCGTTAATCCTTTCGCTTTGTCCCGTTACCCCAGATCGTCGGAGAACGGACAAATGATACTGAAGCCCTGTCTCTTGCGGGGGACGTACAACAGTCAGTCCCCACGTCGCTTCAAACCTAATTTCCACAGCTCAGTGATACTGACAGGATTGACCGGAAAACTGACGAATAATGCTCAAGACATGGGACCAGATGATCGCCCTAGGGACGCCCGCACGGCTGACACATTGGCCTCTTTGGTGACGTGAGTAGGATGCAAGTCAGAGCTACCATGTTGGTTGCCAATACAGTCTTTCATGTGTATTAGAAGAAAAGCATAACTCTATGGCCGTGGTCAAGTACAAATAGGCAGCCCAGGACATGTTTATTGCGTAAATACGAGACTTCACTTCACAATTAAACGAACAACCAAACCACAACCTTACCAATCTACTCCTTTATTATCACAATGGCTCAACCAACCACTCACATTATTCATGGCGGCAAGCAATCCGATCCTACCAATACTTGGACACCCTTTGAGTGGGAGGAGCCTAAGCTGGGCAAACAAGTCCACGGCGAGGTGACCATTGCCCGCACGTTTGGAACTTCTGGTAACCTCTCATCTGGCTTTTGGAGGACCAGCGCCACATCCCCCGGGGCCAGCAACGACGGCTCCCACAACCTCACCTACTCTTCTCCCCTTGGCGACGAGACCGCATGTGTTATTGACGGGTCTGCCACCTTGACTGTCGTCTCAACTGGTACCAAGTACAAAGTTGGTCCTGGATCAATCATCAGCTCTCCCAAGGGACTCGAGGTGTCCTGGGAGATCGATGCCCCCTTTTTCAAAAAGTACTGGTGCATCTGGAACGGCACCGACGCTGCTGCCAACCCGCCAACTGACCTCAAGATCGGCAACATCAGCGACAGTCCCGAATGGGTCGACTACAACTTCACTGAGCCCAAGGAGGGAGACCTCGTTGCTGGCGAGTTATACTTCATTCGCAACGGAGGATCGACTGGAACAATGCTCAGCGGAGTTTGGCGATCCGGAAAGGGAATTTCAGCCTCTGACCTAGATGCCGAAGGTACAATGACGACACCTTATACTGGAGTCCTTGGAGACGAAACGATTCTCCTCCTTGAGGGTGAAGTGGATGTTATCGAGACGGAGAGCGGAAAGAAGCACAGTTTTCAGGCAGGAGATGCAATTGGCTTGACCTCGGGTATGCATATTACGTGGGTCTCCAAGGGTCCCTTTTCAAAGAAGTTATGGGTTATTACTCGGGACGTTGTTGAGTAAGGACAACGGATAGAAACAATTCAAGGCCGATCAGATGCTTTAACAGGGGATAGCGATGCCAAGGAGATCTGTTTCCTATCTAGTTAATTGGAAAATGTGCCTTTATATTATAGACTCGACCTTGTATATTACATGTCCATTCTTTGTCGGACTTTTTATAGTTGCACTGTTGAGTCTTAACGACCATGCTGCTGACAACTAGGACTATTCTGCTACGTGTTCTTTCAATTGTAGGCTACGTGGTAGAGACCGTATGGGATAAATACTCATGTGATAAAAATTGCCATCATGACTACAGTTTCTACATCATACAGAAATGACATAATTCCTATGCTGCACTGATATATTTCTATTCTGATTTTGATCCTAAGGGATAACTTGACTGCGGACATTTTTGTATTCAGGTGCCAATCTAGTGAGGCGGTCATATTGTATTTGTCAGAGTAGTTTTCGTATCTGTCATACGTGTTAAATGCCCCATGTAATACCCACTATCCTGATGCCTTATTGCCGACACGTTCTGTCGATTATTTCCTGGCCGATAGCTGTATCCATAAAGCTTACCCTGTCCTTTTACTTTCCTTACCAGAATCCTTCTTTCTCCCACTATCGCATCCTATTTGGGTGAGTAGCATGGTGACTGGAACCATCACGACAGGAGATGGCGTTGGCTTGGTCTTCCATCAGGAAGTGCCAGAACACGGCAAGTACATACTCTTCATCGCCGGCTGGCGACAGAATGCCGCCCAATGGAAGAAGCAGGTCAATTACCTCTCTGCAGCCGGCTTCAGAGTCACGACCTATGATATGCGCGGGCATGGTGAATCCGCAAAACCCAATCCTGGTTATCGCATCAGCCGGTTTGCATCGAATCTGAACGACGTTCTCACTCAACTCGAGCTTGAAGACCTCACTATTGTTGCACACTCAATGGGCTGTTGCATTACGTGGGCATTCTGGGATCAGTACCCGAGCTCTCGTAAGCTCATCCAGAAACTTGTCTTGGTCGACCAGTCAGCAGATTTCGTCAGACCCCACCTGGTCCGAAGATCAGATCAAGCAAATGGGCGCCATCTTCACCCCAGATGCGGTATATCACACTGCTCACGATATGACAGCGCAAACACCTCTTCTTGTTAAGAGCATGCTCACCAGCTCTGTCTCGGAATATGACTACTCCTGGACTCTGGAACAAAACCTGAAGATGAGTCACAAAAACGCCGCCACTCTTCTTGTTGATCATTCTTTCAGAGATTGGCGTGATGTTCTTCCGTCGATCAACGTTCATACTTTGGTTATTGCGGGAGAAGTTAGCATTTTCCTTCACACTGGAGTGGAATGGGTGGCAACTCAGATTCCTAATGCAAAACAGTATACTTTCTCGGCTGAGGAGAAGGGAAGCCACTTTATGTTTTGGGAGAATCCTGATAGGTCTAACTCAGTAGTTCAAAGTTTTGTAATAGAAATTTGACAAGGAAGGATTAATCAATGTGGATAATGTATTCAACCCAGCTTGAGCTTTCACGTTAAAGGTTCCGACGGAGGCAACATTTCCTCTCACACCGTTCTCACGAGCCCGGTTGACGTAGTCGTCAAGTCCAATGGTCCAATGAATACCTAGACCTTTCCTCTTGGATAGGCGCCGCTACTTCTCCCATCCTGTTAACAGTTACGACATTGTCGCCAAAGGTCCAATATGGCCAGCACAAAGGGCTGGGTGCCAAGATCAACACCCTGTGTCGTACGACGTGTGCTACGGGTGATAGTCCTCTGGGAGGTACGTACCTTGTAGCTGTTCTCTCTCTGCACCATGTCTTGAACTAGCCATTGCAATAGCCTGCATCTGCGCCCAAAGTTGTAAAGGTGCTAAAGTCACTAAGTACAAGGTCTCGATGGAATCTACTAGAGGATACCCCAATTGGACTGGAATTTTAAGCTATACTTGCAACAGAGGCTATTTCTTGACCAATTTTTACTTCGATTTGGAAATGTAAATTATTAACCTGACCATCAACCTTGCTATTGTTATAACGATCACCGGCTCTGAAGTCATCGCCTTCTTCTACACTCCCGTTTTATTCTTCAGCTACCTAATTATCCTCTCATTGTGCTTCTTTTCCCGATGCTACCACCTTATACGATCTGAATTACACATATCGGAATTGGCGAACCCTTCTCACGTTACCACGACTCCCGCTCTAGTTTGACGGCATTACTCGTGGCTGCATCGCCTTGCTCCTTCCAATAATTACTTTTCCTCTCCATCATCCAGCCATAAAGTCCCTCCTCACCTTCCCTATCTCGGGGGGTTATCCTTTCAGAAAAGATTATACATTCCATCAAGTAAAACTCATCGCCCTCTTCCCATTGCTAAGGCAAGTAATCGAATTGCACAAAGTACATATCACGCGTCTGGCCATATGCACCACTGCAATCGATCTCTGCATCGCAATACATAAAGAGCCAGCTGCGATACATATACCTATGGTCGGGTTCTGATAACACCAAGCCGGGAAGCTGACTATCAATAGTCATATCGTGCTTATAGCCAAAGTCATGGTCTTCACGTTTTGTTTCTTCTTCATCTTCCGCTTCTTCTCGCCAATCAAGATTTCTCAAAGTATTCTTGACTTTGTTGATTTGACGCCAAGTACTACCTCGGGCTCTAAGCTCGCCGAGGAAATGAGTATGACATTCTTCGGCTGTAGCTCCTGGCAGAAACAAGAACTCGTATCGAATATGGCCGCCTATACCACAGTCTTCACCATCTTCTAGAGTCTCATAAAACCTAAAACCGTCAAAACCAGGTGGCTGTGGTGTATCCGGATGGACTATAGAAATGACCTATAAAGCAAGGCGATGTAAGTTAGACTAATTTGATTCCCTGCCCCACCACGACATTAAAGCTTGCCTGCCAGTATGATCAGTGAATGTATGATCATTAGAGATGCGTATGCTTTTAGGTGATAGGAAGGCGGGTGGAACACCACTAGGGTAAACCTGGTCTTTTCTTCGGGGTTTTCTTGTTATTCGGACCACAGCAGTAAGAAGATTCTAGTTGATTTAGGGTAGTAGAGAATATGAATAGAGTAGGTAAAGAGATAAGTAGTGGAATTTGAATCAAGAAAGATACTATAAGCAGCAGAGTGGTGAAAGCTGGCAGAATCTGGTCCTTTATCTTATTACTCCTCCTGCTATAAGGATACTTTATTGCTAGAGGCATTACCGAAGCTGAAAAAGCGTCAAGGAAAATTCTTTAGAGTCTTATCTAACCGTTTCAGAAGTCGGGCGACTTCAGTACTACATCAAGACAAATTCAGAGACATTTGAGCGTTTTTAAAGCATAAAACGTGTCAGGGGGTTATTAAGGCATCTGTGGATGAATTTAGCGATTGTAGGTGCACCTTCAATCTATACGTCGGGCAAGGAGGGATGATCTGTAGGTTAATAAGGAAAAGCGATCGGCATAGTTGTCCCCATGTTATTATAATACACTTTCGGTGTCGCTATCGGTTTCGATTTCGGTTTCGGTCTCGCTTTACATCACTTTCCATGCGTCATGGGTAATTAAAGCGTTGTATTTTCGTACCAAGTCGCTTGCCACGCGTTCGGTTAGCGGACTAATGTTCTTAGGCTGAGCTTAAACTATACGCGTATAGACGTAGCGACGTTTCTGATGTAACACTCCTTTCCCCTTTTAGCAGTGTTTCAGTCTATCAATGATACTCTTGTGTCGCAGTGACAAAGAGGCCAATCGCATTCGTCTTATTAAACTATAGTGGGGTGTCGATCATGACGCAGGGGCCTGGCGGTAATGGCTATCTTCCCGAAGCCGTTTCTAAATCTGGCCGTGCGTTGTCGACCAGCAGCGTTATAAGATAGCCACGTTTGGCTGTCCTCTTGTAGCTTGATCGAGAAGCAACTACCTCTATATCAACAACTACCTCTACATCAACAACTACCTCTACAGCTATCTACGTTAATAGTCTATTTGCAAACTTTACCATGGGCAACACACAATCTTTAGTAGACGCCGCAGCCAATCGATGGCCAGTGGTTCTCACTGCAATCCTTGTCTGCTTTATAGCCGCCGTCGCCCCAAAAGTCGGGAGCGTGTTGCGACTTTGGACTATTCCCATCGTTGGAGAAGAACTCGGAAGTACTGAAAAGCGCAGAAAAGCATACTTGGGAGGGGCCAGAAAATTATACTCCGATGGGTACCAAAAGGTGAGAATACTCGGATGTGGGCAATGTGCAAATAGCTCACGGTTTGATAGTTCAAAAATGGCGTTTTCATGATTACAACGTCCAAGTGTAAGTTCTGATAATTTAGACGCTCATGACCACCAAACTAACGTCTTCAGCTTCTCCCACAATTGTCATCTCACCTGACTTTCTTCCTGAGCTGAAAAAGCTTCCCGATTCTACCTTGAGCATGGAAGCGGCTGTTGACGAGGTTAGTAATACCGAAGGGAGAGGCTGCATTCGTCTACTTACTAGTCAATAGTCAATGGAGGCCAAGTACACCAAGATCGAGACATCGGTACCCATCATCCCGCATACTATCAAAGGAGGGCTGACTCCAGCACTATGTAAGTGCCTATCAAATTGCGAATTACTCTCTCCAGGAACCGGGATAACTATCTTGTTCAAATCACTGACCGTATATAGCTCGGCTGAGTACATCCATTGCCGATGAAGTCAAGCAGTCCCTAGAGCTTTCTATACCCTCGTGCGAGGACTGGACAGAAGTCAACATCCATGACAGCCTCCTTCGTATCGTCGGTATGGTATCAGGCCGCGTGTTCATCGGCCCAGAACTTTGCCGTTCCGAACAGTACCTCGATGCAGCCATCAATTATACCATGGAAGTCATGGGCGCCCAACGAGCTGTGCAGAGAATGCGACCCTGGCTACGACCTTTTTGGGCCCGGAGCCAGCCGGAGGTTAAGAAGCTTTACCAGCGAATTGCAGAAGCTGAGGCCTTTCTGGAACCTGTGGTAAAATCGAGAACAGACGCTATGGCTGACCCGTCATACGAGAAGCCAGATGACTTTCTGCAGTGGCTCATCGACGGGAAAGACAAGTTTCCGGATAAGAACAGCCAGAATCTTGCCAAGGTTCAACTGGGCCTCACCTTTGCAGCTGTGCATACCACGACGCTGACTGCCACTAACGCGTGAGTTTTACTATTTTCCCTTTTGGATGAGTCGCTAATTCCCAGATAGGTTTTATGATTTGGCTGCCATGCCAGACCTACAGGCAGAACTGCGAGATGAGGTTCGGGAAGCGCTCTCTGAAAGTGGAGGCGTCTTTACGAGCAATGTTCTACAAGCCATGAAGAAGATGGACAGCTTTCTCAAAGAGACTCTCCGAGTCCATCCGGCGACAATGGGTAAGGCATGACCTGGATATCGTGGCTCTCAGATACTAATGCGAGTCTCACAGCTTCCTTTCAGCGCAAGGTTCTGAAATCGTTCACTCTATCCAACGGCCAAGTCATCCCTGCCGGTCTAATAATAGAGATACCCGCCGTTGCAGTGAACTCTGATTCCTACATCTTCCCAAAGGCAGACGAATTCGACCCGCTGAGGTTCTACAGACTTCGCAGCCAAGCCAAAGATGAGGGATCAGTTGAAAAGGCAGCAAACAACCAGTTTGTCAGCGTGAACCAGAGCAGTCTGACTTTTGGATACGGCAGGCATGCTTGTCCTGGAAGGTTCTTTGCTGCGAACGAGATCAAGATGATTCTGGCCCATGCACTTCTGCGATATGATGTCAAGCTGGTTGGCTCAGAGACCAAGAGGTACTCCAACATGGAGTTTGCGCATATGGTAAGTTGATATAGCCCTAGTGGTGATGTGCATACTAATCAGGGATACAGTCCATTCCGGATCCATCTCGAAACCTCTTATTTAAAGCGATTGAGGTTTGAAGGGATCTGCCGAACCGAGGGTATTGAAATCAGCGCTTATTATTTTGTAACAGTATTTCTCATAGGATATATAAACACTCGAACTGAAATGAATGGTTGGTATCTTTTATAAATTATAATTTCAGATTATAAGTGAGCTTTAAAATTGAATGAATATGATAAAAGAATTTCTATTATTAGTTAGTAAGGCCTTTATGTTAATTAATCTAAAATGCTACTTTAATTGTAATTAATTATTTGGTTTGTAGGGACTATAATTAATAAACAGGGTTGTAATAAGTATAGGATTTACTGTTAAACCGGAGGTATAGACTAAGATAACCTAAAAGGAAAAGTTAAACTAAGTAAGTAAATACTACTGACTTTAGTATAGCCAGTGTAATATTTATTAGCACTAATTGGTTAAAGCGTTTGAAAACATAAGGTATCCTATTAGATAGTTAGGAAATAGAGTTATAATAGTTAATATAACAGGCAATCTTATTAAAATTTATAATATTATTACTTTTCGGTTTATAAAAAACTCTATTATTACTATTTCTTTAGATTTAATTGAGATAGCTATATACCTATTTAGAGATATTACTTAACTTTTTATAAATAACTAGTAGTAAGGCTGAAAGTCTTTTTTTTATATTTTAATTAACTTATTCGAAATAGAATGAAAACTATATTAAATAAGTACCTTGAAAAGAAATCTTACTTATATGAATATCAATCTAAAAGCTCTGTTTATAAGGATTATTAGTTAAGAGACTTTAATTCCTATATTTCTTTATTTAAATTATATATTAAAAAGAATTTAGTACTAAAACTTATGTACAACACCGGTGTTAACTATTACTTTTATATAATCACGTGTTTGCATATCTTGTACTTAAGAATATATTAATTGTACTTGTTATAACTTTCCTGTTATTTAAATTCTTATAGTTATTCAACCCAGGCTTTCATAATGTTTAAATAACAATAATAATAGTGTGACTATTTTTAAATTAAAAGTTAATGTAATAAGAAGAACAGAAACTATATAAAATAACTAAAAGCTAATCAAGTAAATACATACTATATATCACAACTATAATTCCGAAAATCTTCATATATCTTTAAACAGAGCCCTGACTCAAACCCCATAATGTACATAAGGTGCCCAATTTAGCTGAACCTCAGATGTGTCCTTCAAGAAAAAGAAATTTCGTAGCCATTGCTTCCTATCACTTGAGTTGTTTGCAATCCCACTGTTAACCCACTGGTCTCGGAGGTCTCGTGTAGCCCTATGAAGACTTCTGCTTACAGCCTCATCACGCATACCTCCCTCTAACAGGCCTTCATACGTCATCCTGGCCATGTCAACGCACAACCGGTCATCCACACTCCAGAGTGTCCCAATCACATGTTGAAACCCTGACAATTGGAAAGCGGCTGCCAGGTGGATTGACTCGTCTACGAGACTCACAGCCTGGATTTCACCAGTGCCGCACGCTGAAAGGTAGGCAAGCATGGGCTTCTTGTGCCCGAGGTTAGTTTCAAACACACACTCCACCGTGAGGGGATCATCCTGCCAGTCTGATAGAAGCAAAAGGCTTTGGAAGGGGTTTTTGGTATCCGCCCCACCGTGGCCTGCAAAATGGAAAATTGAGCAAGACGCCAAAGCCGACAACACATCTTTCTTGAAAGGCATGGGCTCCGTTAGAGACAGTGCGGTCGAACTGTCCACAAGATCACGAACGGCCTGGACCTCTTTCGCTACGTGTTCGAGACGCGGATGATTGGGTGTGGTCTCCATCGAGACCAGGGCAAGGCCTCGGTTGCTACCGACCTCCTGCGATTCATAACCCTGCTGTCGATGACAGTGGATGATTGTCTTCACAGAAGAGCTATAAGACGAGATTACTCTATCGAGAGCAGTCTCAGCGCTTCGCCTCATATGATAACCAGCGGCATGAAGCGGATACCCAACAAGACGGCCCGTGGGGATCCACCATATATGAGGCCAATGGCCATCAGAAGGCTGTTTTGTAAATCCTAAGGCGTCCAAAGTCGGTAAGACAATGCCATCCCAGAGCCACTCCGAAGTCTCGAGCGTATCCGGCTTGTAGTCTATGATAGTATCCCAAGATATAGCAGGCAAAGGTACTGTTTGAAAGCCTGACAATTCAATAATCAGAGCGTCGCAACGGTACTTGCTAATGTTGATAATCGCGATTGGGCCATTACTCGCCACCGCTTGCATATCTGCTGGTGATGTGGTAACCAGGAAGTTTTCGAATCCGGGCTGCGTCCGAATATCAGCCAAAAGAGCTTGGTCTGACTCTGGCAAACTCCCGTTGAGATTGTCGGCATTCGATATGTCTTCATGGGAATTGGGTATGTCTGGTTGTTGTTGAAGTTGCGAATAACGGTTGGCTAGGTCAGGGTGCTTCTCCTGGAGCGTAGACAGCTCACTTCGTGGATCGTGCATGGAACTTGCAATGACGTTGCGCCCAACTTCGAGAAGCTCCACAGCACGAGACGCCGGTTTATTGTGCATCAACGCAATAGCCGCAGCATCAGAAGCAATGGCGACGGCATCCGAGAGCAAAGCCTGCTTGTCAACCTGCTGGAGGGAACTTGAGATCAAGAGGGGGATAAGGTCGACAGTGTAACTGGCGACCTCGCAGGCTTGTTCCAGGTCCTCGAGTATACCATCAAATAACAAAAAGCGCCGCCCGACGATAATTCGACTTTTTATAGACGACGTTTGGTGATGTAACGCAGAGATGAAGCATTCTTTCGCCTTTACTAGACTCGCCGGAGCTTTCGTCCGACAGTAGTTCTCTGCTACGTAACTGCCGAGACTACACAACAATATGGCCCTGTCGGGATGATTGGATGGAGCTGCATCAAGAGCTTGTTGTGTGACCTCGATAGCTTCGCCAAGTTCTGCCGTTGTCTGTGTCTCTGGCTGAGCAGATTTGGCTTCAAGTAACAGAGCCAGGTTGTGCAAACATCGGATCCGCTCGGGTTGATCATGGCCAATAAGTTGAAGAGCCTGCCGTATCATAGGAATGGCTTCGTTGCGATCTACCTCCTCGTCTGTGTGACGGGCCTTGGTCCCTAATGCTGTCACAAGAGTATTCAGCATCGCAGCCTTGTTGACATGATTGTCGGGTGTGTTCTTAATAGCCTCTTTCATAAGTTCAACGGCTTCTATTACGTCTGAAAGCTCTCCTGATCGTGAGTTTCTAGCAATCAGCATATTTGCGAGGTTGTTTACTGACCCATCCCGGCCACTGTCGTACCTCGGAGTAGCACGAATGACTTCCTTTTGATCTCGGATAGCTTCATTCAAGTCGGATATACCCCCAGTTCGTTTGAAGTTGTGATAAAGCAGAGTTGCAAGGGTGCCCAGCCTTGGAACCCGTCCCACATCGCTACTGGGAGTGTGATCAATTGCTTGCCGAGCGATCGCGATGGCCTCATTGAGGTCGGCGACGTTTCCCGTTGAAGAGTATCTCTCTCCGAGCTGAAGTGCAAGACCCCCCCATATTGTAGGCTGATTAGCGTGGGTACTTGGGATGGATGCGCTGGCAGCTCGAAAACTCTGGACGGCTTCTTCTATATCCGTACTGTGACCTGTCTGGGCATATCTTTGTCCAAGCCTATTTCCAAGATTGAACAGAACATTGGAGCGTTCCGGAAAGGTTTCTGGGGTACAAGCTACACCTTGTCGTGAAACTCGAACAGCCTCTTCCAGGTCCTTTGCCTCTCTCGTCTGGTCGTATCTGGCTGCGAGGTAAATCCCCAGGTTGCTTAACATGCCCCCACGACTAGGATGATGGAGATCAAGACCTTGTCGCAATGTCTGGATAGCTTGGTCCAAGTCAGCTAGCATGTTGGTTCTGTCATATCTATCGCAGAGCCGTTGAGAGAGATTGCTCAATAGACCACTGCGGTTAATGGCATCAAGCTGAGGGCTACTCTCAATTGCTTGTTGATAAAGTTTGATACTCTTCTCCAAATCCGCTAGAGATTGAGTCTGGGTGTATCTGGAATATGAATCTTCCGCAAGCTTGTTCCAATGCTTCAACTGCGCAAGAGGGTCGTTGGAAGCAGTCCCAATAGGTTGTTGGGCGTATTGGAAAAAGCGTAGTAGCTGATCCATTGTGAATAGGAGAATCGATAGGGAGCTAAAAGGTGACTAACTGCCACAAGTGTGAGCAATGCTTATATAAGATAGTGGGGTAATAATACAGGTTTAAATGCTTGAAGACGGGCAGCGTAACTAGAGAATTCTTTATATAGTGACCTTTCAGCCTGATTCAGTCACGTGTCAGAGGTGAGGAAAACAAAGAATGATACCAACTTGTTCTTAAAACAGAAAAGGAAAGTCAAGAGCTGTGAATATCGATGAAAATCCGGACTGCGAAGGTACTAACAAGGTTACACATGACGATTGGTGGCAACAAAAGTAAGTAACCAAGAATAGGCTGCAATCTTTACACTGAATCTGGTAAGCTACTTCTATAATGCAGGATGGAAACAAATGTCAGCCAATAATGCACCACCACGTTCCCGTGAGTCGTGCGGCGATGAGGCGCCTACATATATAGCCTAACGCCCACTGGTGGTACCACTTCTGTCTTCCTAATTTCTTTGTAATATTATCATTCATGACCGTCGCAATGTCCAATAACGAACAGCAAGTACTATTGACTATTAACCCGGTGACTAGCTATTGACACTTGCTTATAGAAACAATGACTCGTCCGAGTATGTCCCTGGCGGCAACCGTCCATTGGTGTCAGAGTACACTGAGGTGAGCAAGCTCTATTCCCTGGCAGAGATCATCCATACGCTAAATTGTGTTATGCAGCCGCCTGTTTTCGGAGTAGGGGACAGCGTATATCTGATCAACATTGATGGCTCTCAAGAAGGCCCGTACGTTGTTGCCACCGCCCCATCAGCAGGAAAGTGTATGCTATGCTATAGTGATGGAAAGCCGTTTCGAAATAATGCGGCCATTAGTGTAGATGAGTTGGAAGCTAGCTAGGTTGAAACTGATCAGCTTCCATCATGTCATCATAATACCTGTATTTCACCTTTCTGACCGGGTTGTTTATGGGTGGCTGTTTAGGCAGAAATGCATGTAACTGTGGCAGTGCTTCGTATGGTCAGGTGGTATGATATAACTGGGCGATGTAAGATGAGGCAACTGCATGAAGTGATGCAATAGAATGCGGACCACATGCATTTTGGAATTACCCCTCATTATGAAAGATAACAAACGCGCTCGAGCATTGAATTGTAATATTCACTTTAACATCATTCTGACAATGGCGGAGAATAAGCCCAGGTCACCAGCACACTACGCAATCTTGATCGGGATTAATGCCTATCAGGATCAGCCTTTGAAGGGCTGCGTACATGATGTGCAATGTATCAAGACATTACTCGAGCAACAGCCCTTCCCTGTGGACATAAGAACCTTCACAGCCACCTCAAACTCCCAGAGCGATAAATCCAGTCCGGTCGAGGATCGCAGCTACTGGCCGACGTACTGGAATGTGACTGAGGCCCTCAGGCTTCTAACGGCGCAAGCACAGCCAGGCGATTATGTCTATATCCACTACTCGGGCCACGGTACCTACATGGATATTGTCAGCAAGTTCACCAACCACCATACAGGCGACTTAGCTTTAGCTCTCCTCAATGGGGAGAACGGAGACTCGATCAGGCCATTCGGCGGTCATAGAATGGCGATGGCGCTGAATGCCATGGTTATAAAACGACTTGTTGTCACATTGGTCCTCGACTGCTGCTTTTCTGCAAGTGTCTATCGTGGTGATCAGCCAGATATTCGGTTCATCCCGGTCAGCCGAGAGGTTGCATCGGCATATTTCATCGATAATGAACTAGCTTCACAAGACGAGGGAGCTTCTGATTCCGGTAGACGTGACGTATCTATGCGGCCTAGTTGGATGATGGATCCAAAGGGCTATGCCGTCCTTGTTGCTTCTGGCCCTCAGGAAATGTCTACTGAGGTGATCCAGAATGGAATACACTATGGAGCATTATCTCGCTTCTTGTACCTAGGTCTAAGGGATGGTGGGCTCATGAGACGGCAGAAGGATATCTTCTATCGCCTCTTTTCCAAGTTTCGCGGGGTTGCCATCAAGCAAACCCCTGCGCTATATGGGAATAAAGACCAAGTCTTCTTTGGACAGAGTACATTACCTTCCAACCGACCGGTAATACCAGTTGAAAGAAGCGGCGAAAAGCCCATTCTACAAGCCGGCCAGGCCCACGGGGTTTCGGAAGGTGACTCTTTCATTTTATACCCTACATCGGTCTTCGAAAAAGACGAGCCCCTGCACAGCAATATCATCAGCGCTATTGTTGAGAAAGTTTACCCTCTGACATCTCTGTTGCGACTGGAAGATACGTCGAATTCTGTGGCTAAGATAGACTGGGTTGCCGAGACTCAGACTAAGCAGGCCATCCATAAGTTTCCGGTGTTATTGGCCGAGAATCTGCTTCCCCGAGATGAATGGCTGAAAGAATTTGACAAACATTCTATCTCTATCCACTCTGCCAACGACAGCTGCCCTCCCTTCTTTCTCGTTGCACTTGTTGACAACGAATACAAAATACGGGACAAAAATGACCAGGATATTATGAATCTTCCCAACTTGCAGCAAGATCATACGAGCCCAGAGGATATTGCTGCCATACTAAACCACTTGGCAGCATACAGACTTGTGAAGGAACTGATAAATCACTCCGTCGCAGACGACTTCAGAGCTTCGTTTGACATCAGCGTTATTACTCAAGCCAAAGAGCATTTAGGTCCAGATCGCACCATTGATGTTTCACAAGGCAACAGCAATGAATATATGTTCGAGTTATGTCTGCAGAACAAGGGTAACAAGTATCTTTACTTGTACATATTTGACCTTGGACCTCTTTGGCAAGTCGAAGGCATTTACCATGGGACCTATGCTGTCGTTCCCCCGAAAAGTCTCAAACCCAGGCGTCCAGGCCGTTTCAGCAAGAAGCTGGGGACGTCAGTACCCAAGGAATTGAGGGAGAGAGGTATTCAGCAGTGCGATGACACTTTGAAAGTCCTGGTCACATCTCACCCTACATCGTTCGATCTACTAGAACTCCCCGAGATGGGAGGCTTACCGCGGGAGCAGGCCTCGGGTCGGAGGCAAGGATCAGGGGACAATAGTCCCGAGCAATGGGCAGCCTTTAACTTTTTAGTTAAGACTACACTGGCGGCAGGATGAGGAGGAATGCAAAATGTGAGCTAGTCAAGTTCTAAGGGTTTAATCAATCTTATTTCCTACACCAGTACGCCGCTGAACCTCCCGGGCCTAACTACCTTGGCTAATTACTTACTTATTATGTAGTGTGAAGATGAAAGAAGACTTGGTTACTCAACGCCCACCTTAATGATATGCTATAGATTGCTCTTAGAGGAACTGCTGTAGCTTTCTGTAGTTACTAATATCCTAAGAAAGGATGGGCCGTCGAAAGCCATCCTCACACGAGAGCGTACATTACATCAAACTATCTCAAAGATTCTAGTAACAGTACGCTCCAGAATCTTATCAGCCATCTCCCGCGGAACAATTCCATCCTCATAAGTGGCAGTAATAACCGTATCCCCCCCTTTCACGCCGCAAACATGGAAAATAGCACCATGTGTACCCTGGTTTCCATTTACCGCTCCAGCTGAGAATTGCATATCATCAATCCGCCAAGGCCCTATGTCCTCCTCATCGTCCCCTACTTGAGCATTATCGAAGGAACCAATATTAGAAACACTAACAGTGGGCTTGAGAAGGAAGGAGATAGATGGGAAGCCCTGGCTAACCAGTGTCTCCAGGTCAGTTCCCAGTCGCTTCACCCCGATCCAGTGTCTTATAGCTTTACCAGAAATAGCGTGTGTCATCTCTTCCTTATAGTCCTTGACAAGCTTCCACACAGATCGGGAGTCGAGCGAGGTGTCCTTTCCATCTCCTTTTGTAACCAGGACTTGCCGAAACGGTCCGAGCTTGTGCCAGCGCTGCCAACTCCCCGCTGCATTCACAAAAGTGCCGTTCACTGTGCCTCCACCAACACGAGACATGTTCATCCTCGGCCTCAAGTCAAAGTTGAAGCGGGTTGCCCCTATCTTCGCGTTTGGGTAAAAGTCGGTGGCAAGGACGATGGTAAGCATTGTAATAAGGAGAGGAGTGAAGGTGGTTTGATGCTTGCGACATGCGTCGAGGATTAATGACATGTTTTGTGCTGGGATCCGATACGCCGAAATGCGTGTGACGGTTCTCTCTTCTGGTTTTGCCACTGCGGTTGCAGACTTGAGGTAAGACTTTGATGGGGGAAGGTCGCCATAGATACGATTGCTGCCGTAAAACAGTTTGAAAAACAACCATACTAGCTGCATCCAGATTATCTCCCAAATGCTGTCTTTGCCTTCCCAGGCGTCTTCCGGCTCGATGGGTGATTGAACGTTCTCGTGGGCATAAATGAGAGTATCCGAGCGTGCGATTTCCATCTCCTTTGTGCCATTGAGGGAATTGAGTGCGGCAAGAAACTCTCGATGAAAGACCATGCCGGACATACCGTCGCCTAAAGAATGGTGATACACAAAGACAATGTTATTCCCTTTAACGAGAAGCTTCCACCATGGGCGATCGGGTTCATCAGCAGTCCACGACCACTCGTTATGGGCTCTTTCAAAATCATCAGAAGTGACTTCAGGATTGTCTTGTTCATAATCCAAGATTTCGATACATTTCTCCAAGTCAATAGTGTGCAGCCTGCCAGTGTGCAGCTCGTGATTACCTCGATTGGGAGATGGTCTCTGGACAAAGACGTGCCAAAGGGCAGGATGGGCTTGTACAACAAGGCGCAGTGCTTCAATAATGGTACCTCGGCTGAGACTTTGCCCATTGGCACAGGTGTATTGCGCAGAAACGAGAATGTTGGACCAGATACCTAGGCGATGGTAAAGATACCAATTACGCTGTAGGGAACCTGTAGTGGAAATTAGTAGATCCAAGGAATGATTCCTACTGAAAACATACCTGTTCCTTTCACCAACGTGTACATAGTGGGAGACCTCTTATCCATTTTGAGCTATTTATCAACATGAAATAATTGTGTTTATTGCTGGGAGAAATTGTAAGCACTATTGAAAACTAACCGAGATTTGTATTTTAGCCTTAGGCAGGAGGTTTGTAAAGACTTATCCTTGCTTGAAATCGGCGCGGAATGAAGTTATGCCGGAATATTGATAAGATAGCAAATGTTCAATTGAAGTATGTTTCTATAGGCTTGATTAGAACAAGTTAATTTATTTTATAAGATATTACTAAATTTAAAATTAATAATGTTTGTTAATAATCTTAAATCTATTTTTAATGTATTCTTATTAGTTTAATATGCTAATAATATTAATATTTTATCCAGAATTAAAGTAAGAAGAGTATATACTAAAAGAAAAGAGAATCAGAATTAAGCGATTATTATTTATTGATATAGTGCCATATTATTATTATTTATCTTTAATTGCTAGTTTTTTACATTTCCCTAAAAAAACTCCATCGACAGATAAATGTCTTTTTTATTCTTGTTCCATATTTTCTCATACGATAGCATACAGCTCATCACTGACCAGGATACAGTCCGCCGTTGTTCATAGACACCGTCTCCAACCAAGTCTTCCTCCAACGCCACAGTCATTCGGCCCACTCAGCGCTGGCGAATGCCATTCTCGGATTCGGTGCATTACGGCGACATCAAAGCCCGTAAGAGGATTCGCATGAAAGGATTGCTTCAAGATTCTTCCACCAGTCTATGCGTGTGACCATGGGGTATTTCATTCGCATGGTAGCAGTCTAGAGTTTGGGCTCGGAGAAGTGAAGGTGTGGACTGAAAAGAAGTCTGTTATGATCGACATGACCTAGCAACAATCACTATTATAAACAGGAGACTGCTAACAAACTAACCAACTATTGATCAATTTGCTCAAGGCGCTGAAGGGAGGCAGCAGTAACTTTGGTATCGTCACCAGGTTTGACATGGAGGCATTTCCGGCCGATAATCTGCACATCGAAAGAAAGGTTATGTCCCGGGAGCAAGGCGACAAGATTATCGATGGAGTTGTTGGCTTCACCAATCTCGATCAGTCATTCAAGGACAATGCCTTGATCGCCATCATGACCCACGATCCAGAACACGAGCGCAGTATTGTCACATTGACGACAATCAACACTAAAAGCGCCTCCAACACCACCGCATTCTACGGTTTCAAGAGTATCCCATCGTTAGCCCCGATTACGAAGGAGTCACAAAGTCTCTCACAATCTGCCAATCGAACTCAACTGTCTGGTCAATATCGGTAAGTTGATATATAAACAATGGACATATACAAGATAACTGACCCTTTTCTAGGAGTGCTGGAGCTGGATCTCTACTCGTCGTCAATGACCCAAAGGTCATACGTTACGCTTACGATCAGTATGATGACCTTGTAAAGGACATGAAGACCCTCCTCGGTCCTAAGACCTTCACCACAATCCTTGACTTGCAGCCATTCCAGTCTTATATGTCATCATATGGTGTAGAAAGGGGAGGTTACTAACGTTTGTCACTTCCAGGAGGAGCGATGCAAGCCTCAAAATCATCCAGTAAATTCAAAGCAACTCTGGGAGAAGAGAACATTGGCAACTGTCTGGCCATTAGGGGTCTTGTCTTCCAGCTTGCTGTCTTCACGTTCTTTATGGTCGTAACAGGAACTTTCCATCTTGGATTCCACCGTCGACCAACGACAAGTTCTGCTACTGCGCAGGTTCCTTGGCGTCAGTTCATATATGTGCTTTACATCGGAAGCGTTCTGATCATAACCTGATCGATCTTTCATGTGGTGGAGCACATCCAAGGTCGTGAGGGATACCTCATATCCCACAAAGCGTTCGCTTATGCTTTGGACACGACTATAGAGTTCCTTGTCTTGATTGAGTTTAAGCGTGTTGAACCAGAGATGTTATGTAAGAACACGAAGGGCAATTTGACCAATTGAAGCTCAGAAGGATAAAAGGAGTCACCGGACTAAATCACTTCTCAATTAAAACTAGCGCAAGATAAACCACTCAAAAGAGGGGAAACAGGTCAGACAGATTATCAATAAAGACATATCAAGTTAACCATAATTTACGGTTTAACGAAGCGCAATGTTATATGCAATAACTTCATCGGTGAAGTTTAGGTTTTTAATTACTGTTTAAAATTAATCTAGGAAAACAATACCGTATCCTGGAAGGGAAAACATAACTGTGATGTAAATATGGAAATTTATCCCGCTACTCGAAATCTGCCACTAAGATGCGGCAGGCAAAGACTTTGCCAGATTAGTCGTTAGCTAATAGTGGACGTCCAATCAGCGTGGTCAAACCAAGGCCTATAGTGAGGATCTCGGGATTAGTTTACCCATCACTAGCTAGAAAAGGCTCATGACAAGGATCTCGGCTTCAATCTCCCTTCCACTAGCCATAGATAGTTTAAAATTCCGAAATCCTTGTCTCTGGGTCCACACATTAACAGCCCTCCCAGCGATCTTATGCAAGGCCGAAGTCACCTGATGATTGAAGTCATCCAAATTCCGTCAGCTGTATGAACCTATATCTCTCAAGCAATAAGGCTATTGGGCTATTCTCCACTAAAACGTGGAGTTGTTTACCAAGAGCGGAGATTTGAGCTTCATTGATTCATTCTCTTATGCTTTCCAATGTGGTCAAAATCGGAAACTAATCCGATCAAACTTGGCAAGGGTGTGCTATGTATGTATATATGGTGAGGTGATGATACTAGAATTCATTGTATTCCAGACAGAATTCACCATTTAATTCAACCTCCCCATCTGGTGGTATCAAATCTATCAAGATGTATGCCGTTGTCATTTCCACCGCGTTGTTCTCGTTCCTCGTCTATTACTTTGTTCTAAGCCCGCTCTGGCTATATCTCCTCGACCCCAAAGGCTTCAGGAAGTATCCCGCGATTAATGCCATAGCTGGTATCACCGACCTTGGGTTCATGTATGAAGCAACTAAAGGCTTCCGCACAAAACGACTTACGGAATTACACAAGAAGTACCCAGTCGTTCGAATCGGACCAAATTCTCTTTCTTTCTCTGGAGGAAGAGCCATAAAGGTCTGTATCATCCTTTTTTGTCCTATGACTGTATTCTCCTTTGCTGATTGGATCAGGATATCTACGGCCACGGAACATCCTGTACGAAAGACCTCTTCTATGAAGTCACCGCGGGTTCTCACTCCCATCTTGCCGACGTTGTCGACAAAGCTGAACATGCCCGGAAGCGAAGAACCCTGTCATCTGCCTATGCTATCAAGAACCTCGAAGAATGGGAGTACAAAGTGGCCAACAAAACCGAGCGCTTCATCAAAGCCTGTGACGCTGCTTGTACCCTCCCACCCAACACCAGTGGTGACCCCGATCCCTTAGAGCTTACATTTGACTACCGGAAGTGGACCAACTTCTTCACTATCGAAGCTATTGCGGATATTGGTCTTTCAGAGAAGCTTGGCTTCTTTGAAAATGGCTCTGCCGATTGCGTAGCAGAGAGGGTAGACGGTACTACATACACAGCCAACTTCATCGATAGTCTTCACAACACAGCTATTGCACAGTCTCGACTTGTTTGGGGTTACTCTTGGTACAAGACAAATGAGTATATTGCCCGTCTTCTTTCCAGAGATTATCGTCGCATGCTGCGTCTTGGTGATCAGTTTAACGACATCATATATCATCGGGCAACCAAGCGGCTGGCACGTTACAGAAATGGCGAGAAACTGGATGATTTCTTTCAAGCTCTTATACAAGATAAGAACGGCCGTGAGAACGAGATCGAATGGGGCGAGGTCGTCGCTGAAGTTTCGATAATGATGAATGCTGGATCTGATACGACGGCGATTGCTATGAACAACGCCCTTTATCACCTTCTTAAACACCCGGATGTTCTCAAGAAGCTACAGAAAGAAGTGGATGATGCATTGGGAGACGAAGAGGTCATTGCACCGTTCGATAAGATTAAGCATCTCCCCTACCTCCGCGCTGTTATTGATGAGACGCTTCGCATTACTCCATCTGTTACTTTCAATCTTCCCCGACGCACTGCTCTAGATGGATGTGCTATTGCGAATGAGTATATTCCCGGAAACACATCAGTTAGCATCTCATCCTGGACTGCTCACCGAGATGAGGACTTGTTTCCTGAACCAGAAGTCTTCCGACCTGAGAGGTGGCTTGGTAAAGGGGCACAAGAGCTCCAGCGGGGTTTCATTGCATTCAGTGCTGGTGCGAGAGGATGTATAGGGCGGAATATTTCTTATTTAGAGCAGACCGTTCTTCTCGCGTCGGTCATTCATCGTTATGAAATGCAGTTACTTAGTAGAGACTGGGAACCAGTGCGAAATGAGGGGACAAATTTGTTAGTGGAAGAGATGCCTGTTAAAGTTTGGAGGCGAAGGGGTTAGACTCTAGTATTAAAAGTATTTTTCTTTTGGCTTTAACCTTCAACTTTATCAAGCCCAGGCTTTCCAAATCTCTCAATGATATCAACAACAGTATTAAAAGTATAATGTGTCACGGACGTTGCATTTAGATGTTATTTAGAAATATGGTAAGTCTAGCCAGATTCCATGACTATCAATCTTGATCATGACGGGAAGGGAAGGCCATATAAGAAGATCGTTGGGATTCGCTGTCATGTTCCTAACCATGATTTCCGGACAGATGCCCTTGAGCAGTCAAAGTGCTCCATCCATGCAAGGTCTCAGCCCTTTTGAGAAACTTCATTAGGTCCTCCTGTTCCCATTGCTCCTGAAATCTATCCACAACCAGAGCGATTCCAAGTGATGCCAGAAGAAAGTGAGGGGCACATTCCACGTTTCCTTCTGCTAGTCCAATACACATCTTGACTTCTTGTTTGATTTCCTCGTCCTGCCTCTTGAGACATTGCGCTCGTAAAGGGCCAAGTCGCGGAATGTGTGGATCGAAGGACAGTAAAAGGATTCGCAAGAGGTGATAGTTGAGCAGTCCTGTTGCCGCTGCATCGTTGAGGATCCAAATTTCTGTAGCAATAAATCGCTTGTGATTGTTAGATACAGCCTGGCTATTCTCTCCGTAAAAGAGAGCGTTGAAGCTACGCGGCTTCTTGGCATACCACTCTTCTGCGTAGCTTAATAGTTGACTGTGCCTTCGTATAGACCTTTCTAGGGTTATAGGTTCATCGCCCAAACAAAACTTCAGAGCGTCAACAAGGTGTATCATGATCCGATAAGTCCAGGTTCCGTCATCTGCAGGATTGTCAAGACAGCGGTCGATCGGTGGGATGTAGAAGGTTGGAAGGACAGGCCTCTGGCAAGCGAATGCTGTGTAGACCTCTTGTCGAAAGGCGACCATAAGAGCGGCATGTTGTAGATTGTTTAGTCTATCAGGTTCCCCCGGATCTTCGGCGGGCCACATTGAGGTGGCTAGTTCAGAGGCTGACGCACTTGCAAAGAGATGACCCCCTATTAGATGTGATTGTGAATTAGAGCCAGATAGCGGGCCTATCGACAACACCGTCAGCAACATAACCAAGAACTGGGCAACTACAATCGCCCACCATCAATCTCTTCCAAGGTCCGGAGTAGAACAACAGCAGCAAACAGATCCTGGTTTTTAAGCGCATCCGCAATCTCAAAAGTTGGAATCAGAGCTTTCAAGCACCTCTGGTAATATCTGTTGGATATTAACGGGTCAAAGTCCGTTGTCCGGCTGAGACATCTCGCGCTCAATGCCAAAGACGCATCCAGTAAAGGCGGACAGAAAGCTGCTCTCCATGGAACCACTAATGCAAAATGTCTGTCGGGGTCGCAAAGATCGAAGCGTCGTGCAACCTTCTCTATGAAATAGCGCATGAGCTTTGCTTCCGCAGGATCTTTGAATGGCCAAGCTGAGACATTGCGGTAGACCGAGGCGCCTGTAAGAGCCGCTTCGAGTGCGTCATCGGTTATTTGCTCTCGCTCTATTGATCCAGCTTCTAAGAGGCAGTAGTCGGTCGGATGGGTGATAGAAGATGAGATGTTCGAAAGATGCATCTCAGAGTCTTGAACAGAGCTAATGTGCTGTCTCTCTGAGACTCTGTTACTCGATTCGTCCTCCGACCAGTGTGCCTCTAGGGCTATGTGAGGATGTGAATGAGAGTATCCGGAGTCAATACTATTCGAATCGAGACGTTCAGATGGCGACTGTGTGTGGTTGTCGTCCCTGTCAGAAGGGGCGGTAGCATCTCCCGAGTCCGGCCCTTTGTAGTCTGCATGTTCGTTTGATTCAAGATGATACATTGTTGGTAAATGCTGTCCTTCGCCAACAAAACTGAGTTCGCCTTCTGGTGAACACCAGGTCTGGCCTGCAGAGAATGTGTATTCCTTTGCTCTTGAGAGACTAGTTGCAAAATCAGCAGTCTGGCTGGATATCCTGAGACTCGACCGGACGGGAGGTGGAGGTTGGATCTTGAACCGGAACAACTCATCCAAACACTCGATGCCATTGCTGGCGCATCGAGTGCATGGTCGTGCATTATCACCTATCATAAGGCTGTGAGACCGCTCAGTCAGATAGCGGAACTGGCTGTGGGGAAACTTACACTTAACATGCCTGGAAAGCTCAGAACATGGTACTGACGGTTAACTAATGTTCTAAGTTGAAGGTAAAGTGACAAGGTTCTGGTACCTGACTCGACAATTCTGCTCTGGTCAGTATTGGTTTGACAGGTTCATGGCACAAATAATGTAGAATAGCGTTTGTTACCGTGCAACTTTTCTGAGAGCGTCGACACTTTAAGGCCTCGTTAGCTCTTGAAGATGACATGACACTACAGCTTGACTATATATGCTTGTTCAAAGTTGGAGGAGGTGCTAAGAAAGCGAAGGGTGAGCGAGATGAATGACGTGGTAAACTTGTTCAAGTTTGACTGGGTGGACCGGTTTTAACCAGTGTGGAGGAAACTAGACTAACTAGAATCGTTTAGTTGTCTCAGTGCGGGGCAATCGAGCGAGGAGCTGCTCACTCATCCAGTATTGAGCATTTGCAGGTTTCGCTCCAATACAATATGCTTTTTATAAAGTCTAGGGTGCGGTCATTAGGCTACCTCGTAAGTAGACGCTTTGTTAGAATTTGGTTGCCTTGTGGATGCGTCAGTGTGATCAGCAGCTATTTTCCAATATGGAGTAACCAAAGAGAATTTATTAACAAGCTTTGTATTTTTTATCCGAATGAGGGGATCTCACGGGCTGTTTTGATCAACCGAGCAGCCATCCACGTGACTCAACTCGACAAAAATAAAATAAAGATATCAAGCCTCTATCCCTCCTCTAAAACGCCATTATTATAAAGCGCCCCATTAAAATATTCACAGATGTTATCCATATTACCGCTAAAATCTTCCCTATAAGATACTGCATTCATATTAAAGAGTCTTATTGCCTCCTAGGACCTTTTTTAGTGTACTTGGCGAAATTATATTAAGCTCGTTGTACAAGGTGTGGATGTAAATCACGTGGAGAAGTGTGGTATCTATCTAACAGCAATGATGGCGACTCAGGATATGAAGAAGAGTTACAGAGTCCCCGAACCACTCCGCAAGCTTGGGGCAACAGAAATAACAGCTACCCAGATGCTCAACTTTAGTCACCCGTTTCGAGCTCTGAATAGCAAGGTGGTGCAGCAGGACAATGTCAGCTTAGCAGTTGATGGCACTTTCTGGGAGAACACGATAACACTCTGCGTCAACGTAGAGATGGCTATTCCCTACCTGCTCAAACAAGGCGCTGATCCGAATCAAGTTATTTCCGGGAGCTTTTATGGCTCGGCCCTCATCGCGGCATCAGCTCTCTTACGCTCATATACCTTGATGCACTTTCTTGAACATGGATGTGATGTCAACGCCGTTGTATCGGATAGCCCATTTGGAACACCGCTCATTGCAGTCTGCGCTGGTCCAGCCCATCATCCCTTTCAGTGGAGTTTTCACGAGGAATTCAACCTGAGGGATCCCGAGGGCTGGTCCATGGTACAACACGACCTGCTAGAACTGTTAGTTGCCAGAGGTGCTGATGTCAACATTGCTCACAATGAATTCACTCCACTTATTGCCCTCGTCCTGTGCGACTGTGAGGAAGGGTATAAGATCAAAGGGTTAAAGTTACTGCTGAAAACCGGAGCCGACCCGCATCTGGCATTGCCGCAGTTGGGCTACAACAAGGTAAGCACAAACTCCTGTACTTCTCCATTCTTATCCGCTGTTAAAGACGTATGATATTAAACTCGACCATACTAGAACCTTTTTCTAAAATTAACAGACAAAAGTCTAACAATACTAGCCCTACTTCTTAATACCCTTACCTTAACACTATATATTAAATTAGTAATTAAATTATAATTGCATTTTTAAATTTATTATAAAGTATATTAAATAAATATCCTAATCGCTAGCTTTAATATTTTATATACTAACTGTATACCGAAATAATAACTTTTAATTAATTTATTATAGAAATTATAAGCTTTAAAATTAAACTTATTAATAAGACTACCTATACCTTTCAATGCTATTTTATTAATATTACTTTATTAACCTTATTATTTTTTAATTTTATAAATTTAAGGTATATCCTTTAAAGCTTAGCTTTTAAGGCCTTCTGTATATATTTAATAAGGTTTAAATTAGGTGAATATAATAACTAATTAATTAAAGTAATGTTATATAAAAATAGCTAATTTATTAATAATTAAGTAGTATATATATAAATATTATCCTATTAAAATTACTTAAATTTATTAAAAAAGGGAAAAAGACCTTTTATAAAGGCTTTAATATAAAACTAGCTAGAATATCCTTTTTTTAAGGCTAGTTAGTCTTTTATTATAGTAATAAGATAAGACTGCCAGTCTTTAGTTATTTCTCCTTAGAATATAAAAGAAAGAGGAGTTTTCATATATTACTAAATATTAACTAGGTCTTTAAAGTACTCTTTATTAGGTCTATAAAAGACCTAGCTATTATGGTTATTTAATATATTTTAAATTATAACCTTATTAATAAAGTAAATCTATAAAAAAGTTAGAATTAAGACCCCCTATTTTTAAAAGCTACTTATTATATACTCTTTAATATACTAGATTTAAAAACATATATATTATAGCCATTTGTTTATATAAACTTTTATAAACTTTAACCTTTTTTTTATATACTATTTTTACTTTTAATAACGGTCTAAATATTAATATAAAGTCTTTGATAATATATTTAGGTCTAGCTATAATAAAGCTTTATTTTAAGTAATTATTTAGTTTTTTATAATAAATAAGTTAATTTTAATAATTTATTAAGTATTAAGTTTCTTAAAATACCTTTTTTATAGTCTTAAGGTATTATTATAATATTAATCCTATTATTTCTTTATATAATAAATAGTAACTGGGTCGGTATAATATAATATAGTAACCTATCGGTATAATCTACCGGTAAATATCTTTATAATTATAGCCGCTCTTTACTAAGGAATAAATTTATAGTTTTTTTAACCATTTTTACTTATTTTAATACTAAAATTGCGTTATTTAGAAGCTATTAACCGTATTTTATTTATAATTAAAGTTATTATTATCGTTATATAATACTATCGTAGAGTGCAGAGACGACCCTACGTTGTCAGACTTTTAGCAGGTGATTGTAATATAAGCTACCAGATGACTGCCGAGAAGCAATGATCTGCTATCAGTATTACCGAACAGAAGGGACAGGAGAGGATAAAGAGAATCCTAGTTAAAGACAGAAAAGTAAGGGGAGTCTCCACTACGTGAGCCTTTATATAAGTACAAAGGTAGAAGGCTGAATATTTAAGTCTCTGTATTGTAACAACTAATCACAAGAAGCCAGGTTCTGTCGTAGTTGACCGCTTAAGTAGACTAAGGGATAAAATTTCAAGGTTGATGGTTTACATCACATCATACTTCTCTGCTTCCTCAAGTAATAAACTGTCAGCTGCCTCACAACTTCTTATTGTTGCTACGATGGTCCGAACAAAGACACGGGCCCGAACACTAAAGGAGAGATTTCCTAATGGCCCACCTCAAATTCGCCTACCACCGGGAGGCACATTTACCCCCAACAATCGCATTTTTACTGAGCATAATGGCAAAGAAGCCTTAATGTCATGGGAGAGCACATCCCGCAATCCTGTCTTGCTCCCTCTTCCTTGCTGGGTATTTTATATAACCCACCCATATGAACCTTCTGAATTTGATGGCTGTGCATTTTTCAATAGGCTATAGGATGAAGAGGGCGCTAGTGGATGCTCTTACTTTCGAATTGAGTTCTTCTTCCTTCCTGGTGCTACAGCAGAGGAATGCCATACACACTATGTCGCCGAGATAAAGGCTCGAGGTACTATCTGGGATTCGATTGTTGAGGTCAAAGCAGCCATGGAACGCAAAGAACGAGAAAACAATGCAAGCGCAGGTGGAGCACAAGAAACCCAAGACTTGTCTCCCGATCAAGACCCTGCTGGGAACGGCCAACTTCCTGGCTTGATTATGGGAGAGACCCATGATATGTTTCAATACCGCAGCTGGTTCTTCATATATGCCGATGCAAATCCCAATTGTAGCGGTCCTGAGGGTCTAACACGTGAGATGTATTTTGTCCAATTCGATCCTATTCCTGGGGAAATGGAAGAGGGCGATACTTTCAACCCTATGGACTATCCCGTCTACTCGAAACGGGTCAAAGCTAGGGGAGAAGATGGGCTCGAGGGGGGCCTCACTGGCTGATGAACTTGTTAGAGAGCTCGCAGTGGCAGGAAGAGGCTATTGGCGCGACTAATGATGCTCTGAAGCTGGGTTGGAAGTCTTGGTAGTGTGAAAGAAATCAAGTCCTCCTTTAAGCCATCACACATGGCTCTTTTTGTATTGAGCCTCCTTCATATTGATAACTAATCCGAAACACCTGAAGAACTCTGTAGATACCGCTGTGGCCTTTGAAGCATTTCGATGTGATCTGGAAACAGTCTCATCGTCTGTAAGAGCCACAATAACACATCACCAGCCTCTTTCCAATTCTCTAATCCCTCATGCCATTTCCCATTTTGCCATGCAAATTCGACCATTACATCAGGATGTTGAAGTTCGTTCGACAGCGTCGAGCTTGTTAACCTTGTTGGGGACAACTCTGCTCCGAAGGGCCTGGGGTCAACAAGGCCCTTGCTGTCTGCGACGAGTGTGTAATCTGTACTATACCAGTTGAAATCTCTGGACTGGCACTCCTCTCTTTACTAAAGATGCCTCAGACATACGCGGATCTTGAAAAAGCACTTCCCGATGAGGGTCATTTGAGTGCCCCCAGAACGGGAAGTTGTGATCAGTGGTGATGAATCCGGTGATATCACCATCATAGGGAACTTGATCCAGTCGCGGATCTGTTCGACGTAGGGGCTGTCCCTCTTTGTGGAAAGCCGAAATGACCCATTGGCGCTCCCATAGCCTATCCCAGCCGTGAAAGTCGTCGCCCAGAAAGGCTTGGCCTTCGCAAAACTCAGGGTGGTAAGCTGGCCCAATTACCAGATAGCTATTAGGTTTGGCTTGTGGTCGCAGAACCATTGCCGTTTTTGAGCCGAGGAACACAGCCACTATATCACCACTGCGACTCTCTGCTGGAACACGAATGAGACTTCCGCCAAGAGTCTCCAGACAACCGGTTGCTGTGTTTCCTACCGGTAATGTTCGAAGGAATTCACTATCGGTTTCCCGGAAGTTCTTTATATATGTTTCTTCGTCAAAAGTGCCGCTTAACCATTCTCGTATCTTCTTCCGCCAGTCCTCTAGCGAGAATAAGGAGGAGCTTGAGACAGGTTGGAGTTTTTCAATGCTATGGTCTCGAACAGCCCCGTAGGTTAACATCAAGATCAGCTTATCAAGATAGTCATCATGAAGTAGACTATTGCCCCCAAGCGACTGGAAAACATTCACGGTCGCCTGTATAAACTCCGCGTCTGGCTGGAGAAATTTCCTCCCGGGCAAGACTAAAGGGTTGGAACATATATTGTCGCACGATACTCCGGCCACTTCCAGCACACCCGGCTTTATCAAAGTCGCCGAAGCTGCTGATTTGCCTGCTGCATTGGCGTCAAGACAGAGTTGACCTAATGGCCTCTCTAGATCTGCTACCCAGCTCGGACTTGTAGCAGCGTTACAAGCGTTGAGAAACTCGAGATCATTATGCCGTGCAACATGATCGAGACAAACGGCAGTAAATATCTCTTTGGCAGACTTTGAATAGTCTGGCTCAATCGAATCGGCAACTGAAGGGCTTATGAGGCCTCGGGACGCATATACTCGATCGCGATCGTCGGAGCATAAGTATGGTGTGGCCATTCTTATAGCATGAAACCAATTATCTTGTGTATACCTGTCGAAGTTACAGAGGCATTGGAATGCCCTGCTAGTAAATGCTTCTGTGTTGAAGACATAGCTAGCAAGATCTAGAAAGACACCAGGGGGCGGAGGCTTAAAAGAAAGGATAAAAAGAAGAGCGTCTTTAAACTCGGCCCATGGCATCTCTTGTATACCCAGCCTCACAACAGATGTCTGCTGATTTGCCAAGACGATTTCTTGGTAAGTCCATAGCCGTTTATGCCAGTCCAATGCTACCAGTTACTCCACTGCTCGCCATTGATCTAGGTTCAACGGAAGAGGCGTATTGTCTTCCCAGAGGCGGTTATCTGATGTGTCGGAACGAGTATATGCAATATTACCGACAGCAAAAGTTAAAGTTACAGCTTTGAGCTGTTTACCTGCCCATCGCAGTGTTTCCATAAGCAGAGGGCCCCAGGAGGTGTCAGGCCCCCACCAGACTATAACACGCCTGGCTTGATGATATATATCATGCATGCGTTGCACTTGAGAAGAACGCTCTTTGAGGTCTCCCTGGTTGATGCAAATTGAGTCACACCAAAGTATGCGCTTTTCGCTCGGTTGCCGAAGGGCTCGTAGAGCGGCCGCTAAATTCCGTCCAACATTTATGCTTCCTGTGTCTTGGCGTAGTGGCCTTTCGTCCGGGTATCGCTTTAAAGTGAGGTTGATTGAATCCGGTTGAGACTGACTGCCCCAGCAGTAAGAAAGCGCCTCAAATTCAGGTATCTCGTTGTCTTGTGGCGAAAGCTTTTGATGCAAAATGGCACCAACGAGCGGGTCTTTAGGGATCCCCGGCTGTAGTTCTAACAAACGGAGTTCGAGAGGCAGTAAAGGCGAATACTGAAAACGAGGCATTAGAATATCGATAAACAGCTGCAGTGAGAGTTTGTTGGAGCAAGATTGATAAATAATCTTGAGAATTCTTAGAAACAGCAGGGGCAATCTATTGAGGCTGTGCATGCACAGCCACTTTGCAGGGTCTAAATTCTAGACTTTTAAGGCAATTAATCCGATGGATTATTACACTAGAGATAATAGGGTATAGTAGCTACAATGGGATTTGCAATATCTATCCTTAGGAAACAAATCCTCCTTCAGCGTGGTGATATATAACCTAGAAGCAGAAGGTACGTAGCTGGATTGGGTGTGTTACTGTCATAAAGGTTACTGTATTAGCTACGCTTCGAGCCACTGAAGCTGATTAAGTACCTCTGGAAGCAGTCATTAGCAGTAAAGAGTTTTAAGAACACAAGGTTAGAAGACAATGCATTATTAGAAAAGCTAGACACATTTTAGCAATTAATTAATACCTTATCTACTTTCCTTCTTTCCAAATTACACGCCCGCTTCAACACATAGTGGACTTAATATGAGCTATACGTAGTAATTTAAATTGAGGCTTAGTGTCCTGAACCTGGATCTAGGACTATCATCTAGGAGCCCGCAGTAAAGTTTTTCCACCTGAGCATCTGACACTCAGCCGCAAAGTCCAACTTTCATCCCTTCTTAAGAACAACGTCATAGGATCATACAATAGAATTCACCAAGCCATTGGAAGAACTTGAAGTGGAGACAAACCATGGCATCCTCGCAGCAGAAACAGCGAAAGCGCAAAAGCTCCTTCGATGGTCTCGCAGCCTGTGCCACAAAAATCAAAAGCGAGCCTGGTGCTCCGCCAGATCCACCTGGAACCACAAAATGGAACATCGACTTCCGGCTCCCAGCTTCACACGCCAAACTCACACTTCCCAGATCAGATCGCCGACCGGTCATCCGTAGCGGAAATGATGCACAAACATCCGAGCAGCGAAGATGGTACTCGCCTGCTACTCGGACGAAACAAACCAGAGCAATATGTTGGCGCGAAAGAGGCGGCCTCGATTACGAAGACCTACCACAGATCGAGGATCGGTGCTTCGTGTGCAAAATCGATCTCAAGGTGCAGCCCCGCGACCGAACCTCTTATCCGTTCGATACATGGGAGAGATCCACGGCCAATGGGTGTCGAGATTGCGGGCAGATTGTTCGAGGTGTGGGCATGTTCGCCGAGAACTATGGTCTTCAAAAAGACCGGCTTCATATCGGGACACTCAAAGTATCGTCACGAAGGGAAACGACACCCAGCGTGCAACGAATACTGATCGGTGTCTTTTGGGTCGGGGAGCTGCGAGATATGTCCGAGCATCTTGAGTTCACTCGGACGGGCAAATGCAATCCGCCAGTCGAGCTAGCACCGTCTACAGCCATATTTGACACAGGCACTTATAAACAAGACGTCTTCCTCGCAGCCCAAAAGCTCGTCCAAGACTGCTCCACCACTCATCGCCACTGCCTACCATCGTATCCGCCGCCGTTCCTCCCTACCCGCCTCCTGGAGATCCAGTCTACAGCGACTCCAACCATAAAGCTTGTCACCACCAGCTTGCTCTCCCCAGAAAAAAGAAATTCCCACTACCTGGCTTTAAGTTACTGCTGGGGGAATCCACCCAACAATCCCCTCCGCCTCACGGTCTCCACATCCCAATCCCTTCACGACGGCATCTCAGCATCATCCCTACCCCAGCTCTTCCAGGACCTTGTTTCTCTTGCCCAGCGCTTGGGCGTGAAATTCTTCTGGATAGACGCACTTTGTATTCAGCAAGACGACAAGCTTGATTGGGAGCGTGAGGCCGCGGTCATGGGCGCTATTTACCGCAATGCGTGGCTCGTCGTTGGAGCGACGAGTGGTAGAGATAGCAGTCAACCCCTTGCTCCACGGCCATTTCAGGAGGTCCCCATCCCCATTTCTGAGACTGACAGCGGAGTGTGGGCGAATGTGTTGTCCTCCACACAAGGCGGAAGCGTAACGTGGCCGTTGCACGAAAGGGGGTGGTGTTTCCAGGAGATGATCCTTGCGAGGCGCTTTTTGGATGTCGACTCCAACGGGCTGCAACTACATTGTAGCGGCGAAGACGATGCACAGTATGATGAGTGGGAGCCTGCGGATTTCCGCCAGCCATGGGCTTTTCGGCGCCTGTGGTCACGATTCTTGGACTCTGATACCGACAAACAGCAAGTGAAAGAGACTGATATGCGTCGCGTGTGGCGAGAGGTTCTACAGATGTACACGAATCGACGATTGACTTATTCCTCCGATCTTTTACCCGCGCTGGGCGGTATCGCTTCTGAATACTCAAAGAAGCTTGGCATTGGGGAAGATTACTATGCAGGCTTATGGAAGAGCAGGTTTGTGCAGAATCTGTGCTGGACTGCTAATCATGAGGCGGTACGTCATCAAAATGGCGATAAGACGCCGAGTTGGTCATGGGCTAGTATAAGTGGAAGTGTTGACTATGAATACACGAATCTAGAACAGCAGAGGACGCGGCTGATTGAAGTGGTCTGTGAACAAAAGGGCACGAATCCCTTTGGAGAGGTAATTGGAGGGCATGCGTTGCTTGAGGGACTGGTCTTCACATGTCTATTGACTGTCAAGTTCGGGAAGTGGGCTGTGCGCCATTTCGAGATGTACGAGTCGCAGGCTGCCATCTTTACGCCGGATTTTGCGATTGAGGTGGTGAGATTCCAGAACGAAGATACAACGAAGAGCAGCGCAAACAGAGCGACCACGACCGGAGGTACGATAGAGATCGAACAAGGTTGCAGATGTGAGGTACGAGCGCTTCACTTGTTCGATCTCAAGTATGGGCGGGGGCTCTTTATGGTTCTCGGTTGGTTGGATCCCAAGGGGATGGAATTCCAGCGCTTGGGAATTCTCGAGGCGCCCTTGAGCGGTTTCTACAGTGCTCTAGATGTGGATGAAAAGGAGGAGTTCGAAAAGATAAGGGTAGTATAGATCTGAAAGAATCATATACCTAACCACGGTAACTCAAACTAAGCAGCGATAAATTTACCGTTACTTTAACTCCCAACTACTGCCTGAATATCCGGGCCAACACCTCGTCCTTCTTACGACTCATCTGGCCACCATATCATAATTGGATACCCAATATCTCGAACTCTTGGATGTTGCAGCACTTGCCAGCCTAGACTTTCGTACAGCTTTTTGCCTTCATGACTTGCCTCCAAGTATGCTGGAAACGCTAGTTTGGTGCACTGATCCATTCCCCATCTTACAAGTCTAGATGCAGCTCCTCTTCTTCGAAATGAAGGGTCGACGCAAAGCCAGACCAATAGCCCATACGGACGAGTTCCCATGGCATCGGCTCTCGTCTCGATTGACGGACGAAAATAGTCGCGTATAGAATTGTGCTTGTCGTTGTCGGCAGTTCTTAGGGGTTGCATAAACCCTAGTGGTTTGAGACATTCGTCCAGGGTATGACGCTGAGGGTATATGAACCACTCCGCATAACCAATAATGGTCTCATTCCCTGTAACTTGATCAATGCCAACGCATTTGATGCCGACAGCTCCACGCTCTGGATATCTAGCGAGGTGATCTTGAATTGTCTGCCAGTGAAGCTTGCCCAGAGCTTCGCGGTCTGATGAGGTATTAAGCCCGTTCAATGTTTCAGATATTGACATAAACTCAAAAGAGGGGATCAGGATTTCCATGCATCTTGGCAGGTCTACCTGCGATACTGGCTTGACATCCAGATGGTAAGCCATATTGTGTAAAAACGAACAAGCATAAATTGTTATCATTAAGAATAGAGTTATTTAGGTCTGATGGAAATGCGTCATCGAGCTGCAACGCAATTGGGGGTTGACCCACATTAGCGCATTTTTTAATCTTTCGAAACTTGCGGGCGCTAGGCGCTACTCTTACTTTCTACAGTTCCGTGCAAAGTTCAAACAACGAGCCGACAACAGATGATTAAATTAGAAGAGATTATAATAAATATATTAAATCTAGAAAACTCTAAGTAAAATGTTAGAACTATATTATGTAAGAATACATAAATTAAAGAGATCTTTTACTAGTTTATATAATCTTTATAAAATATAGAACAGTAGAAATTATCAGAACTTTTACATACCCACAGTAGATTATTAGGTGAACATGGTATTTAGCAGTTCTCTTTTAGACATAAGCCATGTGAAGAATAGGCTATTGAAATTTTTGCAAACAGTAAAAGCTGGCTGATTCACAAGGTTATAAGACCTCTGATTTAAATCCATTCACAAGGAATAGGTACTGTCCACATTTATCTTTCTCCGTTTATCACCAGGCCTTCCTGCCAGGTGTTTTGGCCTGTTCGGTGGCACCACTGGCCTCTAATACCCAACGGGCATCTCTTCGATCCTGTATCCAGTCACGAAGATCTTCCTCACCGCCCCCTTCATCGATCAACTTCATATACTTTGTACAAATAGGTTGTTCTTTTGGATCCCATCGGACCCTTGCACCTTCCTCCCATTTAATAGGCATCGGATCAAATTTGACGAGGCAGACATTACGACTGGATTGAATGTCTGAGCTTGGATCAAGATACATGAAGAGGCATTGACGGTAGTTAGTAAAGAGCCAATCATTCTCGTGTTTCGGCCAGGGTAGACCTGGAAGTCCGTGTTCGTTTGTAATTCCGGGTTGAGTCTCATCCTCATCCTCATCCTCATCAGAAGATGATTCTTGAGCTGAATTGTCAGCTCCTTCGTCCTCTTCCTCCTTCATCTCCTTTATGGCCATCCTCACTTGGCGCACCTGACGCCACCTGGTACCGCGAGCAGCTATCTCACCACGATAGTGCGCGATACATTGTTCGGGGGTAGCACCAGGTAGAAAGAAGAAGTTGTATCTGGGGCCGGCACCGCTATAGAGATCCTTTCCATACTCGAGGTTGAATTTGAATGCAGTTGCATTAAAGTCCCGTGGAGTCTCGCAATTGACCAGATAGAAGGTCCAAGAAGCCAGGGGAGGTATGCGTTGGGCTAGTTCTGCACCCCATGCCATTATGGCGGGGTTACCGGTGTGATCCTGGAAAGTGTCTCGGTGTAGTTTCCATCCACGAGAGCTAGGGGACTTGCCGCTAGTAGGCTTCCTTATGGTTTTTATAAAGGAAGCCACACTGATCAGTGATTGCATGAATACAAGTGAGGAATTATTAATAGTAGGAGCGGGGTGATGTGAAAGAGATTTCATATTAGACTGTGGGCTGTAGGAGGCCAGTTTTTTATACTCTGTCAATTTACCCTTGTGGAATTAAATCCCTGTGTGGTCACTATGACATAATAGGTTGCTATGTAATGGAATGCAAGGTACGGAGTATTAAGCTGGTCGATATGTTAATAAATTCCTTAGTTGCGTTACTATTGAATTACTGTTGTTTACCTTACTTATCTCATTATCTTACAGAGTTACAGTAGCTAACCTGACAGATAACCTTGTTAGATCTAAGATATTATTTTTATTTCACCATTTTTATTCTAACTATAAAATAAGCCTTACTTTTTCTTCTCTAATTTACTTTCCTATAGCTATAATTAACTCTATCACAGTCTATATATATCTATACATATGGCTTTTGTCCGGACAAGTCTTTCCCGATAAAACACCGTTATCCTAAAGCCGAGGTTTCCCCACTTCTCCTTCGTCCAGTAAGGGCTAGACTCTCATTTACGAGTCACAGGGTTAGAAATCCGGGGGAATACAGGACTCCAAGGTTAATCCCCAGGCGCGGGGTTAAAGAAAGAGGCGGGATGTGGGGAAAGGCACGCTTGGCTTTAAATATCCTGTCGTTGCTATCTCTCTTGCGTACTGCATGAAAGCTGCCTTGATGAAGCCCTTTGCGTGTACTAAGTGTCTAAGCTCTTTTAGCCGTGCAGAGCATCTCGAGCGGCACGCTACGCTGCGTAGGAGCCTCCATTCATTACTTATCGTGCTCTCGCACTAATAAGCATGCAGATACTGGAGAACGGCCACATAAATGCTCGTGCGGAAGAGCGTTCGCGAGGAGGTTGGCGTGTCCGCGGCTGCTAATCCCCTACTTATCTAGTAATGATTAACTGACAGTTGTGTTTTAGCGATGCCTTCTCGCGCCACCTTAGGGGTTGCAGAGCAGGAGAAGCGAGGATGACGTCGGACGAGCGTGTCAAGGGCTCGCGGACTAGACGAGCTTGTGATCGTTGTGCTCGTCTAAAGGCAAAGTGCGACTCTGGATATCCCTGTCATCGATGCATCTCTCAAGGTATGACCTGCCTTTACAACGGTAACCTAGATCAGCAGAGCGACTCTTTGCGACAGGCCCTGTCGAACACACCAGGTGCCTCTAATGCTGGCAGGCGCGTTTCTTCTCCTAGGATATTCATGATTCCTCAAGTCCCACCCCAGCGGTCAGTCGAGGGTAGCGATGTGCTGGCAGCAAGGGCTGCCAGAGGGTCATGCGTAGGCCTGGCTGATCGGTTCGACGGTGACTCCGAGTGCGACCTGGAACAGATACCATTTTTGCAGGAGCTTGCTCTTGCCAGCGACTTGACGTGGGGCTTCGATGTGCCCTCTTTACCCCTGTTCCCACCATTTACCGTTGATGGTGCGCTGGACTTCATGCTTGAGCCGCGTAAGTATCACCATATGCACCCATGAAACATGCTTGCATTCTTATTAATAGAAATTCTACTTGATCCAACAGGCATCGAAGTCTCCACTGGGAGGCTTAGCGAACCTGGCCTGAGTTCTCAGTCGCTGGAACAGCTGGATCTGTTGCAGGCAAAATGCGGCGCGATTCAGGCCTTGCTCCAAGGGCTAGGACCGGAGGTGCCCGAGGACGTTGTGGCGAGGTCAATTAACCGGGACAACTTGCTGCAGGCGTTGCAACTCTTCGGCAGAAACTTCCAACATCACGTACCTCTCCTCCATGCTCCCACCTTTGACTTAGCGACGGCGTCGCCGCTGCTCGTGCTGGCCATGTTCACTGTAGGGGCTTGCTACACTGATATCGTCCGCCCGGCAAAGTACATATTTTCAATGGCCATGCGAGTCTTGATTAATGTCGAGAAGCAGCAAGTAAGTTAGTTTGGGACGGATGCCCTTTACGCAGACGCAGCCGTTGCTTCTGCTCAGAATGATTGACAATAGCTAGCACGAGATTAACATGGCTGAGCCTCCGCTATCCTCAATCCAAGCGAGTATTGCGGCATGTTCGGTTCTTGGAAGCTCGCAAGATGAAACTGCTCACATGGCCTTTCCGTTATACTTTGCGCGTAGCATTTCTGTGAGAGTTCCATTTCCACCTCGTGGTTCTTAGCCTCGGGCCATCTGTTTTGCTAAGTTCCATCACCGCTAGATGGCGAGAAGGGCCGCAATTTTCGACGCAAGCCCCCCAATAGATTACACAACGTTGACAGAACAGACTTTCGACTGGCATTTGTGGGTTGAGCGCGAGACTCGCATCAGGTTTGTTCGAGGCGGATGGTGAATGGAAGGAACTCACTGACAGTCTACGTTTCATAGAATCGCAAATGTCTTGTTCTGCCAAGACGTGGCCAGCTGCATTTTCATGGGCACGGCGCCGACATTCTCCCCGCTGGACCTCGACATTGAGCTTCCTTGTTACGAGATATGTTGGAGCTCTCGATCTGCCCGGACGTGTCTTGAGCATTTGCAATCTGCGCCTCCGCAGCTGAGACTCTCGTCCACGTTCCTTCAGCTGCGGACAGCATCACTCCCGCTTGAGCGACACCCTCGGTTCGAAGTGTCAGCTTTCGGGATGTTTACGTTGGTAAAAGCCCTGCATTGTCTCGTCTGGGAGGCAACTCACTACGACTTGGACCGTGATTTGAACCCATGCAGTCGCGATCTCAACCCGTCATGGTGGATAATTAGCCTGGATCGCCAAGTCGCCAGCGATTTCTCAGGTCCCAACATAGTTCAATTGGCGGCGCGAGTCGCTCGCCTCGGGAACTCAAATACCTTTGATGGTATCAATCGGGTGCTCGATGAATGGCTCGCCGTTTGGGAGAGAAGGAGCTGGCGCGACTCCGACTATGAGAATCTTGCCTACTCACTGGATCCATTGCCCTTCTGGTGGCTGGCGAAGCTATTCGTACTTCTTCACTGTGGCAGGGACTATCTTTCCGTTGACAGCGAATTCACAATAGCTAACAAGACGGGAGGGTCTTTTCGAAACAGTTACTCCTCACAGGCGACGATCTTTCGCTGGCTCAGCAAGCTACGGCAGAAGAAGTCGGCGGACCAGACCCAAAAAGTAGAGTCACTGGCAAGTTTAATGGTTCCTATGTAGCGAGATGTCAACGGTAGTTACTCTAGGAGCTATTGTGAACAATGATGGAATATTATTGATGGCACGCGGCCAAGGTCATGGCAGCCAGGAAGAAAAATAAATTATATGGCCCGGATCCCCTCGATAATTTTAGTCAGGGAGATCACATGAAGATCATAATATTCCTGTTGGTTCTCAGGATTCAATTGTTCAACAAATAAATCACGATCCAACATTGTTTATTTTCGCATTTACGGATGCTAGAAGGGGCTTCGCACAGCGCCGCCATCTACTTAGAAGGACATACTCAAAGGTAGCGATGTGTTCGATCCCTCAACCGAGGGCCGAAGAAGAACATGGGAATCGCAAACAACAGAAGACCCCAGATGATGGCCGCCAACACCGAGTATGCGACACCGGGTCCGACTTGAATCGTCCAGTTAGGTACGAAATGTGCAAAACCGAAAGAGAGTAAGGCGCGTACAGTATTGTTGAACACCATCACCTCGCCACTTCTCACAAGATACGAGTCAACTGCGTAGCTGAAGGTAATGCCTGCAAGGACTGCGAAGCCAAATGAGTGCATCCCATACCCAAAAGCCGGGCCGATCCAGGAGAGCTGGCGCTCCACAGCCACTCCGTACAAGACGAGGCCAGTGGTAACAGTGAAGAAGGGGACCGCAAGCATGATCAGGCGTTCCTCGGGCTTATGGCTCTGGCCGTGTTCAGAGCGACGCTGCTCAATCCTTGCATTGACGATGTCGACCACCTTGGTCCCGACCGTGCCGCCCAGGACAACGCCGACAAACGAGCATAGACTGAATAGGCCTTGGGCACCGGGATTGAAGTTGTATGGTGGCGCCCCTAGGAGCTGCGGAATGCACACGCCGATGGCTGTGAAGCCGCCCGCTGCCACACCGTACGTCAGGGTAGACCAGAGCACTGTTGGCGCCAGAACGAAACAAAAGGGTCTAACGAAGCAGAGGAACCAGTTGGCGTTGTAGTCGACTTGAGGGTGGCGGATGAACCACAAGTTGGGGCGCATGGAGGGCAACGGCTCTGAGCAACTGCCCTGGGCACAGGCGCTAGAATCTGCTGCCTCGAGATTCGTGCTGACAGGCTTCTTGCGCTGCTTCTCGCTCCGCTCCAAGTCGCCAGCAGTAATACCTACGCTGAGACCGCGCTGGAAGGTCGTCTCAGGGAGCCATAGAAAGATGGTGATGAAGTTCAGGGCGCAGGCAATCAAGGTGACCCAATATGCCCATCGCCAGCCCACACCCTCCGTCACATATCCCAACGCTGTCTGGCCTAAGCAGGCACCGGCCAAGATGCACAGGGCAAAGAAGCCGAGGGCCGTGGTCAGGTCGTGTTCGTACCAGATATCGGCGATAATCACCGGCGCAAACGTCTCAGAGGCGCCAGATGCAAAGCCGCCGAGCACGCGCGCTCCCAGGAGTGACTCGTAGCCAGTCGCCACGGCCGCCCACGCGATGCACGGCAGCAAAAGTCCCATGGAGCCCAGGACCACCCACCGCTTGCCGAAGCACAGCATGGTTGGGACCCAGATCAAGTTGCTCAGACCCTGGGCGAGCACGTTGTAGGACATGAGGTACGAGGCGGTGGTGATTGGAATGCCGAACTCAGCGGCTATGGGGCCCAGAGTTGGGACAAGGCCGGCGGCGCAGGCGTTGTTGAGGAAAACATTGGCACAGATGTTGAACGTGATGCCAAGCTTCATCCACTTGGACCACGTCTTTATGGGAACAGTCAGCGAAGGACATGGGATTATGGATGGTCGGTAGAGGGGCCGTTGCTCATACGTACCAATGGGTCTTTGGTTACGACGCCTGCTGGTGGCTGTGTTGGTCCATCAGTGGCATGTTCGACTTGTTCAACTTCCTCAGCTACGTTGTCTGCCATGGATGTCTGTGGATATTTGAGTTGCATCTTGGTTGAGCGAGCCTAGCATCGGTATCTAGGCTATAGAAAACTTCAGACGTAGCTCAGCTAAACCCGTGTCCGGATGGGTAATGTAATGACTTGGGCGTCGTAGAGTCGATACTTATCCTTTCGCAGCTTACTACCCCAGGATCAGATTCGCCTGGGAGACCCTGTCCTGGTACCCTTGTCTAGGATCTGCAACTAAGGCTTTCCGTGGGGTTGGGTTTGCGGAGAGGGCTAGGATCGGGGATAGGTCGGGTCGGCGGCAATCTCCCCACGGATTAGTCTATAGAGGTGGTGTGGGTCTGGAGGATTACCTTACAGTTCTTGGAGGATTGTATAATGAAATACAATAATACATGGACCAGACGGGCACCCTGGCCACCTCCCAACACAACTGATACGGAAGCGGACTATGGAGGTTAGAGTTACTTTAGCTGGTTAACTAGATCTAACTTCGTAAAGACAGTGTTGGAGCAAGAGTCGGGCCGGGGCAAGGTCGGGCGATGTACCGGCTCGTGGACCAGAGGCGTTTTCCGGGGCCGACATTACACGCACAGCCCGCTATGCAAATAAGACTGTAATAATGTCAGTTAGCTATAGGGACTATAAGACCCCTAGAGGATCGGAGATTTAAGTCTACTAAAAGTATATCATGTTATTTTGAACTCACTGCACTTAGTAATTAAATGGATTAAATCAATCCCTAATCTTATAGGGCTCTTATGACGGTTATACAATTAGGGTCTCATCTCCACAGCGGGTCGCGTATGTAACGCCCGCTGCTATCCGGCGTGAGGTTACGTAAGAAGAAAGCAACCCCGGTCTTGAAAACTGATATATATTTGTCCCAAATCATCATCTTGTCCGACCCTTCCCTCCTGCTGTCTTGCACGGAAAACCTCTGTGACATATTCCATTTCTCTTTTAACTCGATGGGGGCCTACGACTACGACAACGGCAGCCAGCGCACCTGCGTGACACAAAGACGTATGGTCTACAATTACTACTACGCAGAGCCGACTAACGGCGTCGCAAAACAAACCGCGCTTCTCCTACATGGTCACGGGGACTATTCTTACGGCTGGCGCTACACTATTCCTGTTTTACTCTCGCACAATATTCGATGTATCGTACCTGATCTACTTGGGTTCGGTGCATCGTCGAAACCTGTCAGCCGCAGTATGTATCGGCTGAAGGCCATGGCCCAAGACATGATGGAGGTCCTGTCCCATGCCGGCCTTGCAGATGGTGACAAGGTACAGAACCTATCGCGGCAAGATTGAGCCCAGAACGTTAATGTCGTGGCATACAGTTCATTGTAGTCGGTCATGATTGGGGCAGCCAACTGGCCTCTCGTATCATGTTGCACCATGAGGCAAGAGTGTCGGCATGCGTCAGCATCACTGGGACGTACATACCCCCCTTACAGAACAAAATCACCATGAACGAGTTCATTCAGGAGCATCCCAATTTCTCCTACTGGGAATTCTTCTCCGCTGAGAGTACCCCAAGCCTCCTACGAGAGAAAATGCCGATATTTTGGAATGCCGTCGTCCGCGGTGCGGGCGAGCCTGTCGTTCCAATGTCAGAAATCAAGCCAAGATTGTCTACCGATCGAGTATCCCCAGACTGGCTACTGAAGCCGCAGATTTGGGCCGATGAGGACAACGAGAATTATTTGCGTACGTACTGGCGCGGGGGTTGGGAGGCCCCAATGAACTGGTATACAGCCTTCCTAGAGAACTTTGAGGACGAAAAGGAATTAGATCATTTGGCTGTAGTCCAGACGCCGTTTCTGACTATTATTGGAAAGTTTGATGCAGCAGTTCCCCCAGAAGCAGCCGATAGTACCAAGGGCCTTCTAGCCCGGTCATCAACTAGAGTTCTGTCATCTGGACATTGGGTGGCACAAGAAGATGGAGTGGGACTTGGTACTGCGATCGTTGAGTGGCTAAAGACAGTATAGTATCTTAGTTACGGATGCAATCCGAATCGAGGAGCCACTTTCACAGACGTACCATAACAACCCCCTCAATTTCAAGGCTTTGTAATTTTCTCTCGCACTGGCATGACTTTATGAAGTTAGAGCTATATAACAGGAGTTATGTGAGCGTTTAGACTACTACCCTCAAAGATGACCAGCTATGTCTTACAACTCATCTACAAAGAAGACGGCTGATCGAGAAAAGTATAATGTCCGGAGTTCTGACATGCCTTACCAGCGAGTCAAACATTGTAGCCAAGACCCTCCCACTCTAACGTTCTGGAAGCCACGCCATTATGATCTACTAGCTATGTAGTTCCCATAACTATCCGACAATCGGGATGGGAAGCCAGAGACGAGCCGCCCCAGTCTTTCAAATTATGCCCCTCGGCAAACGCTACCGGGAAGACTCCCGGGACTAAACACATTTCGGGAAAGGACAGTGAAGAATACTCCGTGGGGTAAATTCCAAACACGGCTGTGGGGCCCCACGGAATGGCCGGCTAAGAACCAGGCCGAGAATCAGATTTGTGATGGAAAACACTGCTTGGATTCCGGTTGCCCCAGGCAGTGAAAAATACCTGATATAGGGAGCGGCAAAGCACCTAAGGATTAAAAGGAGTATGCTTGCCGCCGTCATGTTTGATGCTGCATCTAGGACTTAGTTCTTCTCTTAACCAAACATAGCACCTATCCACCACTCAAGTCATCGAGATACCACAATGGTCCTGTCCCATTCCCCGAAGCAAAATGGCACCAATACGGCCACCGCGGCCAGCAATGTGCAAGCCAACGGGCCAAGCCTAACGGGGGATATGCCGGGCACAGCATTCCCCAAGAGAAGTCTGAAAATCGTCATGCTCGGCGCTGGGTTAGCCACCACCGCTAGAATTCGGATGCAGCAATGCTAACCACTTGTTATTACAACGGATAGGATCTCTGGGATCCAATTCGCCCATGACGTACACACGCGGATGGAGAATGTGGAGCTGGAGGTCTACGAAAAGAACCCAGAATTAGGAGGCACCTGGTACGAGAACCGATATCCAGGGTAAGTAAGGACTGGTGACAACAGCAATGATGCCGCAGCTCACCACGAGGAACAGTTGTGCATGTGATGTTCCTGCTCATACCTACCATTTTTCATGGGAGCCTAACACGCGATGGTCCAAGTTCTACGCCCCCGCACCAGAGATCCGGCAGTATCTCAACGATGTGGTCGACAAACATGGCCTACGAAAGTATATGTACTTTAATCACCGCGCCGTCTCTGCGCAGTGGCAGGAAGAGTCGTCCACCTGGCACGTCGAACTGGAGACGACGGATAGCTTTGGAAACCTAGTCACCATCACACGGGAATGCGACGTCCTGGTTAAGGGCCTTGGTTCTCTAAACAACTGGAAGTACCCCGATATCGAGGGCCTGTCAACCTTCAGTGGCAAGCTGATGCATACTGCAAACTGGGATGAAACGGTTGACCTGACTGATAAGCGCATCGCCGTAATCGGAAACGGGGCGAGTGCAGTCCAGTGCGTTGCAGCACTCCAGCCGGGTAAAGTTAACTAGAATCCCATCTATTTCCCTGCAGCTAATGCCTACCGACGTCCTCAGTCGCCAAGAAACTTGTTAATTATATGCGCACGGCATCCTGGATGATACCCCATCTCTTCTCCGACGGCGCTGTCCAAAAGGATTGTAGGCTACTTTGCTTTGAAAGCCATATGAGACTTTCCAATGCTAATCATTAGGCAGATTTGGCTGAGAATTGGGAACGATTCGAGAAGGACCCTGATTACTACCTTGAATATCGCCGACGGCTGGAAAAGGTCCTCGCTGGCGGATTCGAGGCACTCTATTCGGGAAGCCGGGCCCAGGCCGAGCTAGAACAAACAACGCTCGAACACATGACGAAAAGGATACAAGATCCTCGGCTACTGGAGGCGCTGATACCCAAGTTCGAGGTTGGCTGCCGACGCTTCACGCCCGGAGACCACTACCTGAACGCTATACAACAGAAGAATGCATCCGTAATCTCGGATCACATCGTCCGCGTGACGGAAGAGGGAATTGTCGACGAAACGGGCACTGTCACCGAACTCGACGTAATCGTCTGTGCTACTGGCTTCGATACGTCCTTTGAGCCACGGGTTCCAACCACGGGACGGGATGGTTACTCCCTGTCGGAGAACTGGGGGAAGGACAAGCCCACTGAGTCGTATATGGGCGCTGTTATCGCTCGGTTCCCGAACTTGTTCGGTAAGGGAGACTTCTCTCCTGTCCGTCAGAGCCGGGGACGCCTCGAGGGCGCCGCAGCTGTGACACACGGGCCTTGATCAAAAGTTAACATAAAGTAACAGTGTTCAACCCACCCATTGCTCCAGTGATCGGATCTGCCTTTCCTGGTATAGAAGCTACAAGCAACTACATCGTTCAACTGCTCGACCGACTGCAGACCGACAACCTCCAATCTATCGTCGTGAAGGAATCGGCTCAGAGGGATTTTAACAAATGGGCCCAGCAACAACTGCAAAAGATGGCGTTCAGTGGGACCTGCAAGTCTTGGTGTTAGTCCGCTGCGTCATTGTCCCATCTCAACGGAAATTTACTGACATGTATCGTGATTCAACAGACAAGAATTCAAAGGGCAAAGTGTTCGTTCCCTGGCCCGGCAGTATCGCTCATTACATTCAGGCCACGTCGCTGGTCAGGTGGGAGGACTTCGACTTTGTCTGGGACAACGTTGACAACAAGTACGCTTCATTGGGCAATGGGGTTCTTAAAGAGGGGTTGGCTGTTGAGTCCCCGCCTTGGTTGTCTAAGAGAGCCAAGTGACTTGAGATCAGCGACAGCCCTAGGACATACGGATACAGAGACCTCTATTGTTGATATTTCTACAGCTTTTGTTAAGATAGCTAGATCTCTTTTTCAAGGTACTACCAGACTTTATATATATAAAAAGGTCTTTATTATATTTGCTTGTCTATAATACTTACGGAGCAAGTATATTTATAAAACAAAGATTTATTAATACATTGTAGAGGATAAGTAATAAAATAAAGAACAAGTTACCTATACGTAACTGAGTCTACAGTCAAGAAATAGCGTCATTTCTACATTAATCTAACAATTTATCTCAGACCTTGATGTCTTATCTTACCATATGAAAACAGCACTAAACGAATATCTTCTCATCGCACGCAAAAACACTGCAAAACTTCATTCGCTAAGAGCGTGATTGTGACATCTAACTCTAAAAACTTGGAGCTGAGTGTGGTTGGAGACTCACCGGCAAGAGAAATGTACAGCAAGGGTCACTATGAACAATGCAAACGCAACCACAACTTACACAATGGAGCTTTTATCAATCAAGGCAGAAATGTACAAATTAACTATCGATACAATGTGAACAAACGCTACGTAATTGATACGTTCGCTTTCTAAAATGGGACAACACCCCCTGATGACGACCAATGAAGCCCAATCCCGATTTTGAACAGGTCATGCTCCTCGATCGCCTTCTCCTCACGGATCATTCCGTCGAAACCAATCGTCAGGTCTACGTATCTCCCGCTTAGAAAATCCACCCGCCCTGATGCGAGAAGCACACACGAATTACCTGGTAGGGATATCTCCTCGCGCAGGTGAGGCCGGATGGCCTTAACTGCCTCGGACGCCCACGGCTCGTTCTGTTTGGTCTCCATATCTGTCAGTAGCCGCGTGACGATACCTCCCGGGTGTATGGCGAAACATCGGATGCCCATTTCATGGTTTTCTCCGTGGATGCATTCGCAGAGGCGCGTAGCAGCCAGCTTGGAGATCTGGTAGCTGGACATCTTGTCGTCTGCGCGCGTCGCCGCCCGAGACGCCGTAATGATGATATGACCGGCACGTTGGGCCTGCATGATAGGCAGGACGTGGCGCGCAAAGAGGTAGACGCCCTTGAGGTTGACCTCAAGGCCCATCCACCACTGATCGGGATCGCCACTTGCGATGGGCACTAGGGGCGGGCTTATGCCAGCATTGCAGCAGAGGACATCGATGCGATTTTCGGCCCAGGCAGCGGCTTGTGAGACGAATGTGCCCACGTCCGCGTTGCTTCGAACGTCAAGGGCGCGCGAGAACACTTGGATCCCCGGGTTAATCTCCTGGACTTTCTGTCGGCTCTCTTCCAGCTCTGACTCCTCCAGGGCGGTCAAGATAAGCTTAGCCGCCGAGGCCTGGGCAAAGGCGATTGCGATGGCTTGTCCGATTCCTGCGATGTTTAGAGAAGGGGTTAGTCCATACTCAGTTGAGAATGCGGGATCAAGGCAGATTTCCTCGTACCACGGCCAGCTCCAGTGATCAACACCACCTTGCCCTTTGCGCTTTGCTGCAAGCTGGTGGAGGCATCAATGGTGGGATACACAGATCTCATGGTATCGGGGTGGAGATTTGTAGTTGCCATACTGAAAAGTATATGTATAGAGGCGATACTGCCGTGTCTTTGTTCTTTGCAGTGGCTGTGGAGAGAGGCCTATGCAGTCAAAATGTCTCACTTAGGCCACTCTTATATCATCCGAATTAATAATCCATAAGGCCGAGCGACATATTTAGAAGGAGAGGGCCCTATAAGACGGTTTTCTGGCCTGTGCACACTAACTCCTAGGACAGCGGAGATAATTTGTGTTTCCCCACGGAGTTAATGTGGGTGTGTGTTACAATCCGATCTCTCCCCGATGCTTCCCCGTAAACCCCACGGGGTTTCATTGGAATCAAGGGTAGGATTTAAGGTTAGAGCCAGATTAAGTTACTAGCGATTTTTCAATTAAGAAAGCTAGTAAAAGAAAATATACCTAACAGGTTAAGGAAGCTAGGTCCTTTACAGTAATGTATACTTATATAGTACTAATACAAATAGCCACTTAGTAATATAAGTCACTTAAAAATCCGCTACATAAGTAAATTAATACTAATTTAGTAAGTATAATTTTACCTATTTTTATTACTTATACTCTTACAGTTAGAATACTTATTTAGCTATTAATTAATATTTAAATTATTTAATTTGTAATAAAACAACCCCCTTTAATCTTCTTTAATAATATTCTCTTTTAGCAAGCTATACTTAGCTTACACTGATACTTTCAGAATATTTCACTCTACTTAAAGGTAGTCCAAGTAAACATCATTCAGCATAAAACAGCTAGAAAACTTGATTCAGGCTTCTTTCAGAATGACATTCCTCCTGAACTTCAACAAGAGCATTAGTCAACTGCGAGTGCCCGGGTCTTTGCAAGCATATTTTAGGAGGTAGCTGGGACCAGAGGTATGTAAGCAAGGGAGTTGTAGACTTGGTTGAGAAATTAAGTGAGTAGCCATAGAGCATAGCTCTTCTAAGAAATGAGGGGAATTTCGTCATGTTGGTTTATTTTGGTCTGGTCGTCTACAGTTGCATGCAAATGATATATAGCAATAAACCAGGGTAAGCAGGTACTCACTCAATGCATGCAACTGACCGAATCTAGCTGACCCGAGAAGCTCCTTGAATCGGCTATATGCCCTTTTCATTAAGACTAACATTCGATCATAGTAAGGCTCCAACGGTCATTGGATCAATTGCTGTGAACACCACGCGCGCTCAAGAGTGCTCCGCTCCATAGAAGTTAAAAGCCTTTAGTTGCATAACTGAGAAATGCCCTCTCTGCTCCGAGACGAGAGTTTAGTAAACGCAATTCTCTAGACACATGACAATCCGTCAATTAAATGCGAGAAGGGGGGGTTTTATTCTTATAAAATGGTTCAGTAAGCAAGTATCTCAAGAGGAGCTATTGTCCAATTTTAAGGAACAGAATGACAACAGGCTACTCCTTCGTATTTACAACAAACTCCGAGAAGCCCTCAGTGGGCGCCATACTTGTAATGTCAAGAAATACTTAAAGGTGTAGTATTTTCCTTTCTCTAGCAGACTATAGAGTGAGCTCGAGACAGGTCCCTCCTTAGCAAAGTCGCCCTCGCCCTCGCCCTCGTCCCCCATCGATTGATACTTCGTCCCGACTCATATACCTCCGCAGGTGACAAGACCCAATTACGACTTGTAGGCATGGAATGCTTTGGAAATGATCTTTCACTCGCCGTCGATCTTGAACAGGGTGTGAAAGTCTGTGTACGGAGCATCGAGCGCTCCTTCGATATCGACTCGGACTACTGCGGTCGATGGCGTGATGCCGAGAACATCCGTGTGTGTCTTAAGGTTCTTTGCCGGTCCGTAGGTCTCGAAGTAACCGTGCAGAGCTTTGTAGCTTCCAGAAGCCAATGAACCATCAGGAGACCAGCCAGTCATGGTGCCGTCCTTGTAAAATGCTTTGTCGAGACTTTCTTGGCTGGCTCCGATAAGGCTGTCAATGTAATGTTGAACAGCACTTATGACGGCCTTGTACTCGTCGGTGGAAATGATTTTGATATTTGGCGACATGTTTTGTGACTGAATAACCATTATTGAACAGTAGTACTGTGGAAGATAAAACGTGTAAAAATTAAGGTGTGTTGGTAGAGGAGGTGTGCTATGGCGGAACGGGTTATGTATACATGTATTTCTATAAGAATCACGAGGAGGAAACAGTAATAACATTAGTAATATGTTTTGTAAGCTCTTTAAAAAACCTGTGTTGGTTGGGTCTTAGTAGATAAATTATTGGGACCTTTTTTACTTGGCTGTATCCATAACGTTACCCCATTTCGGCTTCTAAAGACCAACACGCCGATTTCAGCCACCAAACTCAAATTCTCTAGCACTACAGGGGACATTCACTGCTGTCTGAATTGAACTATGTCGAAAGGTGTCCATGATAGGGTTGTTGCAAACCCACCCAGACGAGGGGTGTTAGTTCATGGCTTTGTGTCTGCTCACAGTTAATATTGAAGCATTTTCGACAAAACCCTTCCTTCCTTCAGGGGTCGAGATAGGGTCGGGTCTGCCTTAGTCGAAGATGTTATCATGTAGACACTACATAATCGAAAGTAAAGAATTGATAAGTGTGCTCTTGAATAAACTTAACAAGGCACGATGAATATATACATAGAGAAACCATGTACAAGAATGTAATACAACCGGGAATGGGCTGTCAATGCCAGTTGGACAAGCCCAATCCAATGTCAGAACAGCACCACGCATACCCACTAACCAGCAGCAGTGACCTCCCTGTTTCAATAATCCAGCTTCTCAGTGATTTCCCTCTTTCTACACGTTTTCCCAACTAGAAAATTACTTAGCGAACAGTGGGCCAGCCGTTAACATAACGGATCTTGTTGAGGCCAAGCTGGGCAACACCAGCGGCATTGTAATAATGGTAGACCAACACATCGCCTTCCTTATCGGTGAAAACAGCAGGGTGGCCAGGTCCGTGGATGTTGCCGTGACTATCGAGAAGTTGGTTTCCGCCGCCTTGCATCATGGACTTTCCAATGCTGTCGACATAGGGGCCTGTGACCTTTGAAGCGCGGCCAACCATGGTACGATAAGTACTCGCGGTTCCCTCACAGCAGTTATCAAAAGCCGCCCAGAGATAATAAAAGTCGCCGTGCTTGGTGATATAAGGGGCCTCAATAGCTCCACCATTCTGAGGACGAGAGGCGATGGAGATGAGGTTGTTCTTCTTGATGGGCTTTCTTTCTAGTGTTGGAGTTCAACTCAGTGAGCTTGATACCAGACCAGAAAGACCCAAATATGAGCCACCATTTTCCGTTTGAGTCGACAAAAGGGCTAGGGCAGTCAACACCCCACAGAGATGGTGCCCATGGGTGCGAGGACATTGTACCATTACAGGTCACGCTCAGGTCAATTGAAATTTCACTTCAGATAGTAATACAATAGTTAGCACGTGACTGAATATTATGACAGGCTTTTGGACGTAGGCTATTGGGAGTTGAGAATTGTATTAATTGACAGTGTGATTAGACGCTGACTTTACTTCACTGGCATAGGGTCAAAGGAAATTGGATCGTCATGATGGATTTTCAATTAAAAAGCTATTATATACGTCGGAAACATGGACAGACTTTGCTGGACTCCAATCTCATAGGCTAATCTACTTGGAATCCAAGAGACCTTTCAGGATATCATCTGCAGCCTTCTCAGCGACAATAAATGTTGAAACGGCTGTGAACGTTCCTGGAATTCTCGGATACACAGAAGCATCCACTACACGAAGTCCCTTCACACCCCTAACTCGGAACTTGGAGTCCAAGACGGCCATTTCATCGTCATCTGCACCAATGGGGCAGGTACAGCTAGCATGATGTCCCCAAGCTGTGTTCTTGATATAATCCTCGACCTCATCCTTGGTAGTGACTGAGGATCCTGGAAGAACCTCTTTGGTTGGGACAAGCTGACGTTCAAACGCGTCTCTGGTAAGGTCTACTGCCTCTGCTAAAGCCTGCAGGTCCTTTTCAAATCCGTCATCGCCTGTGTCAAAATAGTTGTACACAATATCCGGAACATCCAATGGGTCATCAGATCGCAATGTGACAGATCCAGCATGATTTCGTGGCTGTCCCTTCAGAATGGCCCATGAAAAGATATCATGCTCGGCTGTAGCGTTGTAGCTATAGTTGGGAAAGTAGCCACGGAAGTTGACAGGACCTCCAAAAGCAAAGATGTCCCAGTCTCCTCTATCGGCTACAGTACTCTTGTACAGCATTGCAACAGGCAAACCGGAAGACGTGTAGGTTCCCTTGTTTGGTGTCAAGCCAAGAAGAGGGTTCTGCCACTGCTCTAGGCACTTATCATCCGGCCCTTCAGTGAACGTGCAGCCATCCAGAGCGCTGAAGTCCTTAGGAACGCGCGATTGAACAACAATCTCGTAATGGTCCTGTAGATTGGTCCCGACTCCAGGCAAATCTGCGATGACGGGGATGTTGAATCTTTTCAATTCATCAGCAGGACCGATGCCGCTGAGCTTCAGGATTTGGGGAGAGTTGTATGCTCCTCCTGCAACAATGACTTCGCGGGAAGCTGTGACAGAGCCTGGTTTCCCAGCACCTGCGGACCGTGATAGGGGGCTTGCTTTGTAGATGCCTCTTCCGTCTAGAAACTCGACACCAGTAGCACGAGGAGGATCCTCAGATTTGTCAAAGACAACCTTTGTGACGTGGCAGTTTGTACGCACGTCCAAAGGATATCTTTTGTTTCCTTTCGAATCCTTTGCATCGCGAACCGAGAGGATGAAATCTCGAGGGCCGACTCGAATACCATTCTTGGAGTGAATAGGAGCTTGGAAGAAACCGCCTTTCTCGTCTCTGCTGTCGGTATCAGCGTTGGCATCTCCAGCAAGTAGAGTTGCCACATTGATGACATTATCAGTCAGATTTCCAAGGGCAAATGCTCCGCCAGTGATCAAGCTGAGCAGCTGAGGATCTTCCAGAGCAATTGAGAGTGGGGCAGTTTCTGTGCTTAGCCAGCCGTCATAACCATGGCCGGGTTGTGCGGGTAGGAGGTAATTGTTATCCTCTAGACGGACGAAGTACTTGCGCATTTTATCGGCAGACCAAGATGAGTCCCCTGTCAAACTCGCGATGTACTCGAAGTCGCTCTTCCACGGGTACAGACTGATGAGAGCATTATGAGCAGTGCAGCCGCCCAATGTGGCCGTTCGAGGATATAAAGTGCCTTTCATCTTTGATCCCTTGGGCGGGTCAAGACCAGTGTATTCGCCGCCATCCGGCGTGTCGTAGGTTGTTTTATAGTCTCGGGCTTGTCTCTTGTCATCGGCATAGTGCCGGACAAAGAAGTTCCAGGCCATGTCTTCATCCTCGGATGCCTTAGCTGAATAGGCTGGTACCGTGTAGTTGAGACTCTCGCCTTGGTCGTCACCGGCGTCGATGAGAAGTGTCTTGTGTCCTGCTAGGGCAAGCCGGGCTGCAAGAGGGCCGCCACCAGCTCCTGCTCCGACGACGACATATTCATAGCCAGTGAGGTCTACTGCTGCGACGCTGGATGTAAAGAAGCCAACAGCAGCTAAGATATTTGTGGGTTTCATTGTAAATGAATCAAGACTAAAGTTGAGATAATTAGGTAAAGATCTAAGCAGCCAACGAAATGGATATGCCAGCCCTAGAATATATAGAAACACAACTTCGTGTACCAACTCCTATCGCGTACCTCACGAATCCCCTTCGGCAGTTGGACAATGCCGGACATTGATTGTCATGGCTCCGAAATACCCCAGATCGGCGAGGATCGACATATGATAATTACAGTTAAGTCAAAGAATTGGCACGTCTGATTGGCTCCATGGGCCCCTCCCAACCCCTGCTGACTGACCCACGGACAATAATTCAGGAGCTGGTACCGTTTGGGTGACCTAGCTCCGGTAAGTACAGGTCCCGAAGAGATATGTAGCCCAAAACCGCAAAGCTTCCATTATCGCGTCTTGGTCTTGCCAAATTTGCTCGCATTTAATAGAGACCATCATAAAGATATCCCTAACCAGGCTATGATCAGAAGCACTAACCTCGTAACACTCACCGCCACCTGGGAACAGAGAACCACGAGACTTATTTACGCTAGAATTCATCTGTTCCCCATCAACTTCAAGGATGTCGAACATGTCGCCTCCTCGTGCCAAGGGTAAGGTCATTCTTCTTAATGACGTAGGGTAATACTCAGGAATATTAGTGTCAGTGCATCACTTTCCGTCGGCTGCATGGCAATGTTACTTACATACTCTAGAGAGAATATCAGAAGTCCAGCCCTATTGGGACTGATAACTCGTCTGGAGCATTTATTTACCTGGTAGCTCATTAAGGTGTATTGAAAAATACTTTGGAAATCAGGAGGGGTCACTAGAGTCATTTCCATGAACATGAAACTACGCATTAGCCAGAGTCGATCAGCATATGTGGAGTCGTGTGATTTCATCTTGATTTGTCAAACATTGTAAGCACCCTAGACTGGAATCAGCCTACTGCCAATCGTGGTTGCGAGGTCTAGATATGACTTGGAGACAAGAAGGTAGGTTTACATTTGGCTGTCCCAGGAAAAAGACTTGACGAAATGGATAGGGTTCCCAGACTTGGAATTTAGCGCATTAGGCATTAGACACTTCGAAGGAGAGATGCAATTTGTCTGACACTGAGAAACAACCGTGAAATAAGTTCCAGCTTTTAAAAGTTACGCAGTGGCTTGGAAGCTTCGCGGTGCATCGCCAACCAGGTAAGTTCGTCGATTAGAAACTTCCTCTATGTTCTTTCTCCGCGTTAGGGACCTTAAACTATATCTTAGGCAATAATAACCAAGTTCCTTAAATAAACCTATACACCCTAGACAGATAACAACACAGAGCAGAAAAAGGAAGCTTCAGTATCACTGGTCTTACCTACGTTACCACAATTAGTTTACCAGTTGTCATATATCTTGCCAAAGCCCTATTAGTCCAAACGTTCGTAACCAAGGACCGCACGGCCTATACCAGACTATTTATCAAGTAATTCCCTCAGTCAAGCCCTCTATATCCCATTAACAAACAAGTATAGAATGGCTTCCTTTCTATAACCTAGAGTAAAGTCCAGGTCACTGACTATCGCCGGCGTCTTAGGGCTTGGTCTAGGATCTCCCACCTAAACTTAGCTCATTTATAGGACTCCTACAAGATACAATCACCAATATCCTATAGCATTCCCAAGCTCGACGCCAGACTTAGGTTATCCATTAAGGCTTAAAACACTACTAAGGTTATTCAATATTAGAGAATTTGTAATTAGTCGAATTATATAGTTATTATCATCTTTAGGGTCCGTAAGCTCTACGGCATATAAAGAGATGAAGGCAATGGCGTTAAAAAGCTGGGGCATTTTACATAAAGTCGTTGATCCTAAATACTTAATTATTCATGCTAACAGGCTTGCTGAGTTATTTTCTGAACCACCTTACGAGTTAGCATCCACGAGGCACCAGCCCAGTAGTCATCTCGCTTAAACTCGCTGTCATTTCTCGTCCCCCAACACTAATGGTTTTTCTTCACTCCTTATGCCCATTGTTGTTGGTCATCTGGTCTGTCCTCCAGTTTTGAGACACTATTCACTTGCTCTCTTAATTGTCGTTGAAGCCTCCCTTTACTCGGGGTCACCACTGACCGAGCACTCGATTCCATAGACAGAATAAGCTCATCAGGAAATGGTTGACGAACTTCGATGGTTCTTGTAGGACTTGCCACCAGAACCTTGACTGTCGCGTTGGTTTTTTGTTTTTGTGAGATTCGAAGAATGGTAACCAGGACATCAGCCATGCTCTCTTTGAACTCCTCTCGCTCATAGTACACAATGCCGTCAATCAAGCAAACCAGCAGACATGACCTTGGCAGCTGGAAGACGAGTCGCTCAAATAAGCAGCAAAGCTCGTAGATATCACCTAGGTAGAGGAAATCCGGTCTTACGTCACCCGCTGAGATAGATGAGCTAAAGTCATACTGGCAAAGGAGTTGACATATGAAGCTTTGGATGATGGCACGACCACCGGTATGCTGATCTAAATCGCAGTTGTCATGCAATCCACAGTAGAATATTAGGCGGATGCACCTCAGGGATTGGCTTTCGAGGGAGTCGGCCAAGGATGCGCATAACATCGTTAGCCCTGATACTCGTCGTCTGCTGTCGTAATTTCCATGCACCAATAGCTGTGATGAGCGAGGAGAAACAAGCCACTCCTTCAGCCGTGTAGTATGTACGAGCTGCTCAGCATGTGCTTGTTCAACGGCAGGTACTCGCACGTGTCTTGTGCTATTGATGTGTTCCATATCCGTTACTGTCAGATCGGGGATATCGATCCAGTCCAGAAGGTCTTGCGGGTTGATGTATTGTCCAAAACCCACTTGCTCCACGGGGGGAATGGGCGAACAAGGACGAGAGTATACATATGCCATCCTTTCCATTTCGCTGGCTATGAGATATTCAGCAATTAGTTGTAAAGGCCATTCTGATATTATTGTTACCTTTTAAGTTGTTCTGGAACTCATCAACAAAACTCAAAAATGTTGTTTTCAAGAAGTGCTGGCTGCGGCGTATTTCATCTAGCTCTTGTGATGTCGCCATCCCTGGAAGAGTATGTTGTCAGTATATAGAGTTGCTCACGGAAGCCCTTTACTTACGGTCTAAGACCATGTGCAATCCATTGCTCGTTTCATACTTTCCAGACATATCGGCTTCGGAGATGAGGTTTTCACTCTGAGTTTTAATCGCAGTCAAACTTTCCGTAATCTTTTGCTGATAACCTTCCGGATTGAAAGTAACAGCCATCACTCTTTTGCCTACATATCGATATGTTATGTCAGTACGTCCAATTAAACACGGGTGAGGCACTGCGAGTGGGACAACGTACCAGGGCTTTTGATGAAGAATGAAATCACGCATTCAATGGCATAGAAGACTGCAGCAATCAAATCGATTGCGGCCTTCTCGAGATTCTTGTCATTCTTGTATATTTGGAGAAACCCCTCGACTTGCGAGAAGACTCTGTCAATATCATCAAAAGAGCTTATAGCGTCCTCTCGGACTTTTGCGGCTTTCTTCGCAGCCTGAACGATGCAGCAAAACTCCAATTAGGACTGAGGCTAGGGATTGGAATCACTCGAACTCACCTCAAGAAGGATCTGAACAGCTCCCAACACTGGAGTTACATAATCGATATTGGGTACGAACTTGGTGGCGCCAATGATAGGATCGACATTATCAGCAAGCTTTCTATACACTTGTGTGAACCTAGCTTTGAAACCTTTGTCTTTCTTGCTGTACGAATCCTTGGCCTTTTCAAGTTGATCAAATACACTTGTACAATCTTTTTTGTCGCGAATTTTGAACTCCTGTTTTACATCAGGCTCTGTCGGGTGCTCCTCTTTAAGTTGATCCATGGCCAGAGGAAACAGCGTGTCCCAGAATTTGAGTGCATCCATCGGCTCTGCCGCAAACTCTCTCGGTGGGATTTGCGCATTTTGAGGTGTTGATGGACGCGAACCACTGACTGAGTTTATCAGTGGTCCTGAAGAGTGACGTCGCTCGCAAATGACATAAGCCTGTTCGTTTGGGTCGTATTGTGATGGTGGCGTCGCAAAGGCTGGATGGTAGCAGTCCAAGCGATTGTCAATAAAGTCAACCGCTGGAGGCTGCAAATTGATCTTTGGAATGTGAGACCCTGATGACTCCATTTCAGTGTAAGTAGAAATGGATCATGCAATACAGAAATCAGGAAATGGCTTCGCTCTCCCGAAATTAAGTATGACAAGTACAACTCAGACGTCCAATGTCCAAAACATGCTAGTACAGTTGCGCATCTGATCTCAGCAGGACTCACTCGTAGGCTCGGAGTTATGTGCGGCTGAAAAATGCTGATGATCAATCATAAAAACCCCTCACCTCCTAATTTATCAACCAACGACAACCGAGCACGTTGCCACTTCGTGGTGAGGGGAAGGAGAAAATATGCAGGTAACACGGAGCCTCGCGCCAATTCTTAATCTCTTATTGAACGGTTATCTGGGCTGAGCACTTACTTTCGGGATCTTTTTGAGAGCCCCCAAGAGCGATTTACAGGACAACTGCATGTCGGCTTACGAAGGCGGGCAGGTTGCCTCTTCTGTCGAAAAATGTAACCGAAGCAGCAGGCTGACCCTTTTCTTCACTTTTCCTTGGCAGAGGAGGCGAATCAGAAATAGGGATACTTGGAGCCTACTCCATAAAGCCCTCGGCCATGGACCTTTTGATTGTCATCAGCTGATCTGAAGTAAATTCATTGGTTCAAATTGATGTTATTTCAGCCTGGTTTTTATCTATGTACAGAGCGATGTCGTCCTCATTTAATCCCCTCACTCCCGAATCGACAACGTTTTTTCCGATTTTTTCATGCGGTTCTTCACGCTTTTTCATGGGAACGTAGAATATGGCAACTTCAGCTACACCTCTGAGCGACACTCCTGCTCCTGCTCCACCTAGCCTACTTGGGGAAGGTCACAGGACACCTGATTTTCCTCTTGCTCATTATGATAACGGTTCTGCAACGCACCCAAGTCCAACAGAACAAGATGATCCGACCTCTGATGATCTAGGATTGAATCAGGAGGGAGTGAACTCCAGCGTTCCAGCTACAGATGATCGCCAAAATTCTCACGAGTCTCCCTCTAACTTGATGCTCGAGATCCGTGCTTTGCAGAGTAAACTCCTCCTTCTTGAAGGGAAGGTAGGAGACGGATCTGAGGTTGCTCACAATGACTCAGCGAGGAGTGATAGAAAGACACTCAGACAAAATGCAGACGAACGACAACTCCGCAAGCAGATTCGAAGGGCTCAGTCTGCAAGAAAATGGGTTGATGAAGCAGAAAGTTTCGCTGATGAGACTCGAGATAACCGAGCCCAATATGGAATGGGAGGGCATTACTTACACGAGGTCGCACCTACAGGCAAAACAATCGACTTGTCTGAATTTGGAACAGGGAGAGGAGGCACGAATTTCCAATCTGAAAGGGAAATTGATCTTTGGAAAACTATTCCTCTCGAACCGCGCCGTGGTATTCGCCCTCTAACCTCACTGCGGCCACACTACTCCCGGAAGCTGGGACCGCCTAATGAGTGGGATACATCAGACAGCGATGAATGGAGCAGCGATGGCTCAATAGGCACACGGGACTTTGAATACTTCCGCGCGAGGCTCCGTGGAGACTTTGAATGGGAACTTGACCGTCTTGCCGCTCAGAAGAAAAGATTTCAAAAGCACAAGGAAAAGAAGAAAGTCAAAGCTGAGAAAGAAGAGCAAGAAAAGGACAGCAATGACCCGTCCGAGCAAGAGGATGATGGAGAAGAGAAAGAGGAGGAGAAAGAAGAGGACAAGAAGTATGACACTATTGCAGTCAACCTCAACCCTCTAGAATGGCGAGATTTCAAAGTCTCAAGGAAGACAGTTGAGCGATCCTCTTCTCTCATCGATATCCTTATTGGTGAGCCTCAGGTTCTAGATCAATTCTTTGATCATTATCGCACCAAGACTATGAAAAACAAGACCATCACCAATCGTTCAAAGATAGTTGAGGGACACCAAAGTCAGAAAGGCGAAGCTACCGTTGCTTCAGATGGACGAGTACCACTTCCCGAGCGCATCAGAATTCATTCTAAGGAGCTTATCAAGACCCTTGGAATCATTCACGGCTCTGAAATGGTTTCTGAAAATATCCCGACGGAGTCGTTGGTGATGTTTCGCCCATACCGAATGTTAACCTACTATGAGAATGAAATTCGGCAATGGCATTCAAGATTGCAAAGCAAGTTTCAGAAGTCTGAGTCGCTGGCAGCCGAGGCTATACTGACAGAACAATCTACGACAGCAATGAGACAGACATCTGCTGGTAAGTTAGTTTCTAGTTCCTCGTTTACTTTCGTTTAAAATATGATCAAGAATATTTAAACATTCTAAACTGACTTATTCCTTTTAGATGACGAAAAAGAAGACGCAAGGTCTGTACAGGAGGAGACCTCTGCCGTCCCAGACCCGGAAGGCTATAGCGAATCTGAAACAGCCCTAGAGCATATGACATGCCTTATCGAGTTCATGGACCAGTACATCCTGAAAAGGGTTCGGTACTTGGAAAGCTCCTCCTGTGAAAAGATATTCTTCTCCGATATCTGGCACCTGTTTAAGCCCGGGGATCATGTCATGTCTGCCGATGGCAAACAGGTCTACCAAGTTTTCAATGTGATCTCCCACCCTCACGTTGGAACAGACCGTTGGTCCAAATTTACCAAGGAAATGGAAGACTCTTCGGATGAGTCAATTGACGATGACATTTCTATTCAATGCGTCTTTATCCACTTTGATGGTCAGCAGATTGGCCCTGTCTTGGAGACCTTCAGTATCCCGAAGTTTGACGGCGAAAAGCTTGTCACTTCATTGAGGGTATACCCTATTCGGTTCCAAGTTCGGAAAAGGCTGGATAGGCAGATCATGAAACTGAAACAGTCAGGGGAACAAATTGACGAAACCGTGAAGAACGGTGTTACCGAGCTTCAAGAGACACTCGCTGAAAGGGGAAAGCTATTCACTGAGGTAGCAGCTGTCAAGCACATGTACTACTCTGGTCTGACTGTTGACAAGCGTGATGAAGTTCAGAGCCAGGTCATGATTGACTTCGCAGAAGCCTTCACGGTGGAGAAAAATAACAGATGGGAGCCAGACGTCAGGCAGCTGATTGGGATTGTTGCAACGGCGGATTCAACAAGTCGCGAGGCGCCGTGTACCGCGCTGTGTTGCGCTAACGAAACTGTGCACAACGACGTCTATGTGGATAGAAAGCGCCATCACGACTTCATGAAAGTCATGATGAGTAGGGTCGAGGATGGCATTGACGACTTGCCGCCCCCGAATATATATCCTCGTCCACTGGAGACTCTTAAAGCAGGGGAGACTAAGTTAACGAGAGATGATCTACTTATCATGTCGTACTCTGTTTTTGGGTTTATCCTTCGTGACCGTTCTTGGGGTAAGGCAATCGCCAGTCTTCCTTTCTTTAGCTCGACGTCACCGGACTAACTTCGAACAGCTAAGCTGGATTTGACTCATCTCACACATGTTACGGACTCAGTTGATGGCTCTGTTGCCATCAATGACGACGATACCGAAGATGATAAAACCGCTTTTGGACAACTCGTCCTTCCTCCAGGACACAAGAAGATGGTGCTCTCATTGATATCTCAACACTTTCGGAACAAAGCATCGCAGCGGGAGAGGGACAGGGACGAACAGGTCGACATTGTTCGTGGAAAGGGTAAGTATCTTACATGAAACTTAGGCACCGGTACGAATCCTCTGTGAATCTATTCTAACACTCGATACTACGCAGGAAAGGGACTGATCATCCTCCTTCATGGCGCCCCAGGAGTAGGAAAGACAACCACAGCTGGTAAGAGCAATAAGAGGCTTCTAGCCTCTTGCTTTCTCGCACATGTAGAACATTGGCTAACAAACCCGACAGAGGGTGTCGCCGAGAAGTTCAAGAAGCCGTTATTCCAGATAACATGCGGTAAGTGATATGCACAAATCGTTTGTTTCCTGTCATGTGTCTTCTTCTCTGTCTCCCATGGACTCGAGCTGACAACCGTAACAGGTGACCTTGGATCGACTGCAAAAGAAGTAGAAGATGCTTTACAAAAGAACTTTGCACTCGCCAACCGATGGGGATGCATTTTGCTTCTTGATGAAGCCGACGTGTTTCTGGCAGAGAGACGAAGGGACGACTTTACTCGTAATGGACTAGTTTCTGGTCAGTATAATTCTGAACCTTGACGGTCCGAAAGAAGAGCTCCGATATACTGACATGGTTCGCTACCATAGTTTTCCTCCGAGTTTTAGAATACTACGCCGGTATCCTCTTTCTCACGACGAACCGCATTGGAGATTTTGATGAAGCTTTTGCCTCAAGAATCCACATGAGTCTTCACTATCCACCCCTGACGGAACGCTCAACTTCTAGGATCTTTGAACTCAACCTGAAGATGATCAAAGCACGATACCAAACAGCTGATAGAAAGATCACTATCGATAAGGACGAGATCCTGGAGTACGCGGAGAGATATTGGCAGAAGAACAAGAAAGCACGACTCAACGGTCGCCAAATTCGAAATGCGTGCCAGACTGCGCTGGCACTCGCCGAGTTTGATGCTCAGCCAGAGGGTAGCAAGTATGACCTAGCAGTGACATCGGACGCGAAGGTACACTTGTCTGTGAAGAATATCCAGACCGTTTCAGATGCCTATCTCGAGTTTATAGAGTATTTGAAAGCAGTTCATGGCACGGATGCTGAAACCCATGCCAAAGAAGCAGGCCTCCGCGCCCTTGAGACCGCCTACTTGGCAATGAAATCCGGTGGTGGTGGTCTCAGAGGCATGAGTTCGGGATATGGTCCGGAAGGAAGACAGAACCCACTTCAGAAGTTCAAATTGCAAAATCCGCCATCTCAAGCTCAGACAACTCAGATGCGGACAGAGCAAGACTATCACGCCCAGCAACACCGGCGAGGGCCTTCATACGATGCATCGCAGTCTTCGATGGGGCCATACAACACGCCGCCCCGGATGTCCCATGCACAATCTGGTATGCCGCCGTATGGACAGGGGATGAGTATGCCTAACCAGAACTACCCGCAATATCAAGATCCTGCCCCAGGTCAAGAACAGTTCAATCCTTCCGGAAACCAGCAACGCCTCTCTTTACCACAGCACAGGTCATATTCTCCTTCTCCACCTAGTACAGGTCCCCTGTATCGCCCTTCGAGTGGAACACATATGGCAGATGGTCCCTTAAGTTCAGCCATGAGTTCAATGCACGAGCGGTCCGCTGACGCGTATGGTCGCCAGGATCCTAGGGCAGGAAATGTGTGGCCTCCGAATGTTGAAGAACAGCGACCCGGAAACGATCTGCCTCAGCAGTACAGAGACCATAACAAGCCATATCCTCATTCCTGAGATCCTATTTAGGTATTTGTATATATTTGAGGAATAAAGAATGTCTCTTGAATTCAATAGCCTGGATGTTGCAATAGCATGTTCTAATGCTATGAGCCTGTGAAATTGCCATTATGTCACAGATTCAAGCCATTAAATATAGATACCATATTGAAAAAGTCTCGATTTTTAGAATCAGAAACATTCCAAAGCAGAAATATTTTTCAACTGATAATTTCTTGCTGTAGATCTATCTGCCTTGGAGTCAACCCACGAGACCCCACTTAGGCTAAGTCTGCCTTGCCAGATCAAAAATTGGCCACAGCCCGGTCTTTGAAACACTCAAGGAACGACGCGATTAACTCAGCAAACGTATCTACCGAAATTTCTTCCCGAATTATTAAGCTCCAAAGAGAAACCAAGATCATGGCAAGTCCCAGCAAGCTTTGTAACGTTTGTGTCGAAATTTTGCAATCCGGCCTCGAAGGAGTAGAGAAGTCACTCCACAGAGAATGTGCACATCACAAAACCTTTGATGGCTTCAAACAGGCTGTGGAGAGCGGATGTTTCATATGTGAGAGACTTTGGGACGCCGTCAGTGATGATTCAATCGTTAGCTGGGAGGAGGACCCTGCAAGCTGGAAGGTCTTTGACTGCTGGGTAGAGCGACGTCCGTGGGCACCAGAGCGGTACGAGCCTATCTATTGGCTAATTAGGTACCTCGTATTCACTGCAAACTTAACCCACGATTTGAAATACAAAGGAAACGTATTTTGCTTAACCCCCTGCAAGAGTAAGTTACGTCCGCCCCATTCTCCACAAACCTTTACTCATTTTGGATGGTTTAGATACAAGTATGCTGGAATCATCCTGGGGGGACATTGAGAGCAGTACATCCTCAGAAAAAGCTCAAAAACTGGCCTACGGATGGCAAAAAGCGTGTCAAGAGACACACGAAATCTGTTCAAAATTATGGTCTTCCGAAAAGTTCGCACCATCACGGCTCATCGATATTGGTGCTAAGGGCGATAACTGGAGACTATGTTTGTACCCGGAGGACATAGCAGACCCTCCTGATTACTTCACTTTAAGCTATAGGTGGGCCAAGCACCCATCCATTGTTCTGTTGAGCACCAATATCAACAAGTTTCGCCAATGGTCGCCAATTTCTTGTCTCCCCAAGACCTTCAGAGATACCATCACGGTTGCCCGTCGATTCTCGATCAGATACCTATGGATTGACTCATTGTGCATCATTCAGGACTCACCGGAGGATTGGGCTAAAGAGTCGGTCCGGATGCACCAAATCTATGCCAACTCGTCTTGTACGATATCCGCAACCGCGTCAGAGGATCCTCAAGGGGGGTTGTTTCGTTCTCGTACGCCTAAAGATGTCCTGCCAGGAAACGTCACAGTTCAATTCACCGACGGAGGGCTCACGAACTTCGACATCTGGGATGAACACTATATAGAACGACTAACGCAAGGCCCACTTACAAGACGTGGCTGGGTGTACCAGGAAAGAATCTTATCGCCAAGGGTCCTTCATTTTACCGATACTCAAATTGCATGGGAATGCTTCGAGATGAGTAAATGCGAAATGTTTCCCCGGTGGTCACCATATCCTACCGAGGCGGTGCATACACCCGCGTTGAAAACTATTGACGCGTTCTTTGATTCCGATGATTCTGCAAGTACTATTGCTGAGAAGGAAAAGAAGATAATGATGGTTGATGCTTTCAATCAGTAGACCAACCTCGTGAAGGCGTACTCAAAGTGTGAGTTCACACATCCTGATGACCGCCTCATGGCAATGGCTGGGATAGCCGAGATGTTCAAGAAGAACACAGGTGATCAGTATCTAGCAGGTTTGTGGAAGTCACGTCTAGTTGAGGGACTGGGCTGGGTCGTCCTAAATCCCATTTCTCGACCGAAGAATCCGTTTCGTGTACCATCATGGTCTTGGGCTGCCGTGGACTCGGCTATCCTACCCCAAGGAACCGTGGGCGGAGTCACAAACTTGGTACACGTAATCGATGCCAGTGTCGAGCATTCCCTGACTTCTGCAGGATGTGAACAGATCAAAGGATCCATACAGTTACGGTGCTGTGTCTCCAAAGCCACCGTCTTTGAGAGTAATCGTTTTAGCGGCGGTGAGAATGTCGTCCTTAGACTTATGGAGACATCATCAAAGGTCTTTGCATACCCCGATACTCTCGCGACAATGTTTGAAGTTGGAAAGGAGCTGCACTTTATCCCGCTCAGATCGACGATACGAATTAAAGAGACCTCACAAATGCCTCTGACCCTCATTGAAGGCCTCATGTTGGAAGCCGTATCTGGAGTGGAAAATACCTTTAGGCGCATAGGGCAGTTTGTGATTTTTCCCTCTGATCATGGTGGCTTCTTTGGCCTAATCACGACCCCTTCAAAGTCGTGCGAAGAGGTTGCTTTTGTGAAATTAGAGGAAGCACAGAAGTCAATCGTCACTCTAGTATGAGCTGTGTTTTCTAGTCGATTGAAACCTTCCTCTATATTCTTCCACTGGTTCGCGACCTTCAACTGTCTCTTGGGCAATCATGACCTAGTTAAAAGCAGAATAAGGTAGCTTCGCTGTCATTGGACTTGCATACGTCATCACAATTGGTTTACAAGTGGTCATGCATCTTGCAAGTCTTGTTGGCCCAAACGCTCATAACCAAAGACCACGTGGCCTATACCAAACCATTCGTCAGGTAATTCCCCTAGCCAAGCCCCTCGTGTCCCGTCGTATAATAATTATGGGATGGCTTCCTTTCCGCGACCCAGAGTTAAGTCCAGGTCAACGACTTGCAACCATCATCGCTTTGTTGGGCCTTGATTTAGGATCTTCCACCTAAATTTAGCTTAATTATAGGACTCCTGCAGGATATAACCATTGATATTCTATAGCATTCTCAGGCCTACGGCCAGGCTTTGGTTGTCCATCACAGCTTCAAACACGACTATATTTACTCCATATTTATGGATTTGTGATTGGTCAGTTTGCATTTTGTTGTTGGTCGTTATTGATTAATGAAACTCTGGAACGGCACATCACTTTTTTTTCGACCAATCGCATAGACAGAGTTTTCATCTAAGCGCCGCAAGGGTAGCGTAGGCTGCTAAACGCTGCGAAAGCAGGTCAAGGCCCATTATGGTGCATAATATCACATGCCCCTCGAGTTTTCCTGTCGTTGGTAGCCGTAAAACTAATGCAGTGTGTTGCCGGCGTTGTGCTGGGACCTGTTGGGGGCTGATACACTTTCCATCGTTCTTGGGTCACCAGTCCGAGGCCACTTTAAAATAATAAAAGGTATTGAGTCAGTAGGTTTTCACAATTAATTATGATATGAACCTTTTCTCTTTCTTTTAATTATACGTAAAATTTTCAAATTTCTTTTTATCACTTTCCAACATGAGTGGTATGGCAAGATCCAAATCGGAGGCAGAGTCTCATTTTGAACACTTTCGAATGCTGCGAAAACCTCACGGGGCTGACGCTGACCCACACATTCTGTTTTGGAAATCAAAGGCCCTAAATGGCTCTGAAATGTATTGACCTTGCTCGATTAGATATATAAGGTGCTAATCATTTTGCAGACTGGCGCATGACCTATACCAAACGCCGACCCATTTCTTGCTTGAACTCATTCAGAATGCAGACGACAATGCATACTCACCTAATGTTACGCCCAGTCTCAATTTGGTTCTATCAGGAGCACAATCTCGAACATTGCGGATAGATTGCAATGAAATCGGGTTCACCTTTGAACAGATTAAAGCTTTATCAGCTATAGGAGACAGTACTAAGAGAGCGATCAGTCGCAGACAGAGGAGTTACATCGGACAAAAAGGTATCGGCTTCAAGTCAGTCTTTAAAGCAGCAGACATTGTGAAAATTGCCAGCGGCTACTACGAATTCCAGTTTGATGGACGACAGCCAATGGGCATGGTGCTCCCAACCGAATCGCCATTCCCAAAGGAACACCGCTTACCGAATCATACCCAATTCCTACTACTGCTTAAGGATGAACGAATCCACGAAAAGATTCGAAGTAATCTGGCAGACGTCGAGCCTGAGCTTTTACTATTTCTGAGAAAGCTTCGTCGTCTGAAGATAGATATGGATGGTTCTCAAAGGGCTTGTGATGTTCACTATGACATGTCAAACAATATCCTTGGAGAGCGAATCACGATAACATCAACCCAAGGAGTCGACTGCATGAGCACTCAAACTAATTATATTGTCGTTCGTTCTATCTGCAATGATATGCCCGAAAACGACAGGAGAGCTGGTGCCAAAAGGACCGAGGTGACACTGGCATTTCCTGTCGATGAATCCAACAGCCCGACGATTGGCAGACAGAAGGCTTTCGCTTTCCTGCCCATTGATGATTTTGGCTTCAAGGTCAGTAATAGGGAGACCCCTCTAAGAGCAAGCAACAAGCCAACTAACGTCGTTGGAATCAGTTCCTCATTCACGCGGACTTCCTCCTCGTTGCTAGCCGGGAGAGCCTCGATTATGATTGTCTATGGAACGATAAACTTCGCGAAGCCATTCGCACAGCCTTCCTACTGGCAGTAAAACGATTTGTCAGTGTGCCGACAAGCGGAATGGGCCCGGGACTCAGACACCTATGGCCAAAGTACTTACAGCATCATGGCGCCTCACACGATTTCTGGAACCAGTTGCATCAGGATATATTGCATCACCTGCGGTACGAACGCATCTTGGAATCATGTGACCCATCGGCAGGCCACAAAAGACCCATGTATCTACGCTTTATTCCCCCCGACTTCCGTCACAAAGGAGAGGCGCTATTCGACAGCCCTTCCCTACGAAAGAAACAGTTGTCGTTTTTATATGAGGATGTACACGAAGAGCTGATACCACTTGGGCTACAAATAACTACCATCCAGGACTTGTGCAACGACCTTGCCTCCTGGATTAAGGAGGTCGGTATTTCAGAACTTGGTACCAAAGGGCCAATATGGCATAGAAAGGTTGCTTCTCTGTTCTGCGGTCATGTAGAACTCAAAGACCAACTTTTGAGCCTTCCCATTATCCCCCTTAGGGACGGGTCGTGGGTGACTGGAAGAAAGCCACGCCTCTATCAAGCGATGTTGACCGGTGACGAGTATGTTCCCAGTGGAATCGATCTTCTTATTATTGAGCAGAGTGCGTCTCAAGACCTGGAGAGGCGACGATTCTATGACTTTTTGGGGATTCCTGTTTACAATCCTACGCAAGTCTGCCCTTTAATCCTGAAACTACATGCCGGCACACCATCAAGTGTCGAGCAGCGTACACGCAGAGACTTGGTGAAAGACGCAATATATCTTTTCCGAAAACGGGATCAGGTTGGGAGCGATCGTGCTCCGGACATATACTTTTCGGTTACGAACCAAGGACAATACTCTCGCCGCAAGGACCTCATCTACATCATCGACCGCAAATCGCAGCCCAGTCTTATCGAGAAGTATAAAGATACGCCCAAGAACCCATTCTATATATTGGATGATCTCTACATGAAGTTCATGAGGAAAGATGACTTGAACACCCAGAATGTCTTCCGGGAATGGCTGCTGAAATCATCAAGCATCTCAACAGTTCCAGTCCTCCTCCGCGACCACTACCCTACTCCGAAGTGGGTGTTCCTTCGAGATACGGAAGTGACGGATCTATTTGAAGTCCTTGAGCAGACATGCAAATATGGCACTCCTAATCCCAGGCTTATGCAGGTAGTCCCAGAGCTGCTCGTGAACAGCCGTGACGGCACTCGTCGTCCACTTGCGGAGTTAGCGATACCAACCAAGGAGATGCTGCGACTTTGTCCGCATCTTGACTTTGCCAACTTGCGAGAACCAGAGAGATGGGGGTTCCTGTCCAAGTTCGGGATCCTCACCCGTCCAAATACAGTCGGTGTGTTACAGGAACTTGATTTCTTAACGGGCCAACCTATCGATTCGGTCGACAAGGATGCTGTTCACGAATGCTATCGTAGGCTGAACGAAAGCTCAGCGCAGGAGCGCAATGGTATCTCGTAAGAGAAACCCAATCTGTAGGATCTTGAATCAATGTGCTGACACATAATCACAGAAGAGCGTTTTCCTCAAAACCTCTAATATTCATAGCACGACCTCAACCGGCCTGGGTCACACAGGACTTCTGCGTGTGGAACGCACCCTCAGCGTTGAAGCATGTCACCAAACTCAGTAGTCGCTACGGAGACTGCCAGACATTATTCAATGATTATCTTGGAGTTCATTCCGCTAGCATCAAGCATGTTGCGGATGAACTGTGCTCCTTACATGAAAGGAGCAATGAAGATATCACGCAGCGCTGTGAGGAGCTACTACTTCTTTTGAATCGTTATGTCACACCCGAAACCGAGTTCACAGCGCATCATTTTCTACGTATTAGACACGCCCGAGTGTTTCCTATTGTCGAAGCTGGAAACGCCCCATGGGCTGTTCTTCGACCTTTACAGGATAGGAATTGGTATATCCCGGACAGAATGACTTTGGAGGCCGACTTCCGAAATAAAGTCAATCTCCTCGCATTCTCTGTGCAGTCGGTAGAGAAGCTTCAGTTCTTATGGTCAAAGCTTAATTGTCAGTCACTGTTTCTCTCAAACGCGGTCGATGTGGCTATAGAACCATGGGGAGATAAAAGGCGGGATTTGTCCAAGGAAGCAGAACTTCAGACTCGTGTAAGGTATATCTCCAGGTATGTATTCTTATTTTCTTTGGCGGACATTTCATCTTACATGCCACAGCCTGAACACATCAGTCACCACTGGACACCCTGAAGTGCCACCAGTTCGCGTATGGGGTGTCGACTCCATCGTCAAGACCAGCCTTTTATGTTCGGTCAAGGTTGAGAAACACGATGCATTGGTAACATTTGATGAGAAGGCGGATTTCACCGAAGTCTACTTCCGCACGATAATACCAGAAAGAAAACAAGAGGAGGCTATGTATGCGCTTGCACACTTCTTTTTCCGCCGATACAATGTCGTCTCTGAGGACAACAACCTTCTGAACCATTTGCTGCGGGCTCCTGTCGAGGACTTGGCAACCATTATGCTGCAAAATAACCGATTCCCACCGAGCGATGGCAGCCATCCCCTAGACCTTACTGATGAGCGCGCACCAGACGAAATGGAAATCATTGACCTAGACCTATTAGAAGAGGATGGGGGCAGACAGCATCACAGACCATTCAACTTTCCAACCCTGCCGACTCAATACTCGCTGCGAGATTTGGTTCCTTCAATTGAATCGAGGTCTCGAAACGTGAAGACAAGCGCTTGGAACTTTCGCATATCCAAACACTTCAAACAAATAAGCTCTACCAGAGAAAGAGCAAGACGTGAAAGGCTGCAGAGATCACTACTCATGGAAGACTATATATCGGCTTTGCCTGCTACCTCGGCACATGAGGCACTTCCGCACCCAACTACCATGGGAGGGGAGGTATATGGATCGCCTCCCGAGCTGACTGCTCATTCAACTTCTCAGCAAGTCAGAACGAGAGAAATTGGGTCTCTGGGAGAGCTCTTTGTACGTTGTCTTAATTGCAAGTTCCTCCTCATCTCTAACGTCATGCTGTAGGTTCACACGCTGTTTGAACGGCATATCGAGGGCTGGTCCTTTGAAAACTGGACCAGTAAGTTGCGGGTCGAGAATGGTTACGAGCCATTCACATCACCAGAAGGTCAATTCGCAGACTTCACCTACCTCGATCACTCAGGTTATATGAGAGCATTCTTCCTGGTGGCGGGTTTAGAGCTGAATACAGAATGGTCAAGCAGCACCACTTACCACGTGGAGGTGAAGACTACAACTAGTGATGGCAAAGAGCCGTTTTTCGTCAGCCAGAACCAAGTTAACATGGTAAGAAGCCCTTCCAGACGATACCCAAATCATACTGATTCCTCGTAAGATGAGAAGCTACCACGATGATGGAGATAACGCGTACATTATAATGCGAGTGTCTCAGATTAATAACGAAAACCCCGAGCTCAAGTGCTATCCTAACCCTTGGCTGCTGCATCTTGAGGGTACACTTCAGTTCACGTCAGCGGATGGATATAAGGTCCGCGAGTCGAGGCTCCCAGGACCAAGTTCTAGTTAGATATCATATTATTGTAGAGATTTAATTCAAGCTGTTATTCATAGTAATCTGGTCGCTGGTGAAAAGGTCATCACCATTGAATCGCTATCGCCCGACCATTAACGTCGTTGAGTTTCTCCCACCACGTGCGTAGGACAACACGCGCCTCTCTCGCCCCCGTGAAAGCAAACGTAATATTGAATATGCGAAACATTGGGCCGCTATCATCTCCTCCAGTCTCTACAGCCTCAGTGTCCAAACCTTGCTCCAACTTGTATTCCCACGCCGCCTCCCTTTCTCTATCCATAATTGCTTCGGCAAGACTCGCGGAGATAAGACTATCCCAGCCACCCTCAAGCCGTGGGCGCCGAAGCAGGTCTACAGCGCGTTGACGGGTTGACTGTCCGATGCCGCTGTGAGCGACCAAGAAGAGCTGCTGAGTGTATGATACCCTGCGAGTCTTGGTGGGATCAAGGTTCATGATTTGCTCAGCGAGGTCAACTACAGTAGCATACAGGCTAGGCAGGGCAAGTTGACGTTTGTTCGAGTCAGGCTCATCCGGATCTTGAATAAAGAGGAGACGATTGGCGGTATGGAAGAGGCGTAACGGGAGAATAGCGTGTGTTTCCAGCTGGGTCGCACGTCCCGAGCTTCTAACGATGTCATGCTCAAACATGCTGATTGCTTTCTTGATTTCGTTGAAGCATCGTGTATGCATCTCCTGTCGCGCGGCCAACATTGACAGCACTTCCACCCCCGACTTGCCAGTCTGGAGATCCAGAAGAGGCTTGGCATTCTCTTGGGAGAACAGAACTAATCCGCCCATTAATGACTCTGAAGCACGATAGGCTTGATTAACATCTTCTGGAGATAGACGGGGCGAGGAGCGAGGCGCTGTGTAGGATCTCCATGCGTTGAGCACCTTGTTATGCAAGAGAAGAGTCGGATTACTTGTAATTCCACCATTATCAAGTGCAGTTGTAAGCATCTCAAGATTGGTCAGGATGGACTGTATCGGTGCAATTGATATCGGAACTGATAACACGGTAGTTTCCTGTAGTTGATCCTGCTTTGGAGGTTTGGTCTGAAGCTCGCGGAGGAGGTTGCATCCGGCCTGGAGATGTATCCGCGTCTGATCATGAAGCCCTTTGATAGTACATACATAAGTGAATATGGCGCTGACAACAAGCGCCCTCCACCGGTCTGCATGTCTCGGGGACCGCGACTCGGTGAGACAGCGGATAGACGAGTTGAACTGCTTGAGTGCAAAGATACTCCGCGGCCCGATCCCGTTTTCTGCAAAGTCTTCATGAGCAGCGCCAAGGCTGACAACGGCGTGCCAAATGGCTGCATCGGATAGACAGACGCGAGGCACCTCGTCAAGCCAGAAGTCGGCGTAGAAAGCACCAGAGAGGGACGGGGCTGTGACTTGGAGGAAGTAGTTGTAGCTGCGTACTTCCTCTGGGTTTTGACGGGGTAGGATAAGCTTTAGATCGGCGACAGGGCTGGGGGATTTAGGGTTCAAAGGTGTTGGGGAGGGTGATTTGGATAAATCTGAAGAGGTTGTTGAAGAAGAGGGTGACGGGGAAGTGTAGCCATCGCACGTCCAGCCAGTTGAGACACAGCGGTTACAAGCAGGTTTTCCTTCGTCGCAGCGAACCCTGCGTATCCTAGTATTCGTAGTCAGTACATAGATTCTGTACAGCACAGCATCTGAGATGCAAGGAGCAGTGTGACTGACTTGCATGTGCGACATCCCGTCTTGGCCTTGGTGTGATATGCTCTCCGCCGAGGTCGACTTGCATTAGTGGCAACAGTGATCACTTGAGGCCCGACATCCATGACGCCTTAAGGGAAAGATATGTCAGTTTTCAGTTGATACTGTCCCTTCAAGCATATGCATGCATCTGGAAGCTTCAGGTTTGTGATATTTCCGTGTGCAGAAAGGAGTTTTCATCTCAAGTGGCCGTGGCCAGAAGAAGATGACAAGGCTCAGCTCATTTCGCCTAGTGGCGGAGCGAGCTAAAGAGCGGGGATATCCACAGATTGGCGCGAGATGCATTGAACGAGCTGGCCAATTACAGCTGAGTGGCAGGGTAGGTATGCGCTGATTGGTTCGATTTGTTTTGTGCTTCATGACAAGGGCCGGTTGTATCCGGCGCCTTCTTCTTGGCATTTGCTGATCTACTGGGCATTACGTAGTTATGTCTCTGAGGCTCAGTCTCAGTCAAGTTTCTGGAACGAGTCGACCAGTTAAAAGACTTGTTCCATGTCCAGATACCGCGATTGGTTATGTGGCTATATTTGCTTCTTCGCCTCGACACAGCTCCTATCCACGCGTCCGTAGTATAAAGAAGAACGCCTCGCCATGTAGCAAACAGTTATTTCTTGTCTCACAATTATAATTCCACAATTAAGCCGTTCTCAAGTTCTGATAATGCATTACCTTAATCTTTTTCTCCCCCTCAGCCTCGCTGTCCTACCGCAGCAGGCCCAGGCCCAACAGACTCCATGTCCTCTCTTGGGTGCCATCTTTCCACCCGTCCAACACCCACTAAAATCCACCAACTTCTCAAACACCATCGCCAATCTTACCACCACTTTCAATGATCTCGACAAAGATGGCACCCTCGATGGACTCAACACCACTTTCTATGTCCAGGCCTTTTCCGCTTCAGACACTCTCTTCCACTATAAATACGTCCCTCAGGGTATGAAAGGTTTCTTGACCTCTGGCACCCTCAACGAGAACACTGTTTTCCGCATAGGCAGTATTTCAAAGCTTCTTACCGTATACACTCTACTTGTTGAGGTTGGCATGAAGCGTATGAATGATCCTGTCACCAAGTGGGTGCCTGAACTTGCCCGTGCTGCCAAGAAAAACAAGGGTGATCCTACCCGTAATGTCCAGTGGGACGAGGTCACCATCGGACAACTTGCCGGGCAAATGGCAGGAATTAATCGGGACTGTTAGTATTCCTACATCATAGCACCAAGTCCAGCTCTTCTAACCTTGTGTATTTAGTCGGGCTCTTCGATTTGGAGTCCAACTTCGAATCCACTCACGAGGACCCTGAGAAATATGGTCTCCCCCTTCTTGTCAAAAACGATTCACCAAAGTGCAGCATTGCAGAACCTGCTCTAGGACCTTGCTCTCGCAAGCGTATGTTGATCATCGAATTCATTCAAATGCGAGTGCTAATAGTTGCCCGCAGAGTTCTTTCAAGGCGTAACGGCCGAGACCTTTTTACCCATCACATCCACTGGAAACACTCCCGTGTACTCTAACATTGCATACCAGATTCTTGCCTACGCACTTGAGAGTATGACTGGAAAGTCTTTTGAAAAGTCTATCAAATCCTCGCTACTCAGCCCTCTCTCTATGAAGCGCACAACCTTGGAGGCCCCAAATGACAAGAATAACGCCATGATCCCCGAGAATGAGCTAGTCTCATCGTGGAATATGACCTTGGGAGACGCCAGTCCGTAAGTCGATTTCCTCTCTCAGCTTCTGTTTTGCAAAGCTAAGTTTACCTAAACCTTAATAGCTACGGTGGCATGTTTTCCACAATTGCCGATATGACACGCCTCGGTCAATCTATCCTCAAGTCTTCAATCCTTGAACCCGCCACCACCCGCTCCTGGCTTAAGCCTATATCCCATACCTCGAATGTCTACTTCTCCGTCGGCATGCCTTGGGAGATTCGCCGCATGAATCTCCCACTCGGCCGTGGTAAACGGGTCGTGGATCTATACACCAAGAACGGCGCCTTGGGACTTTACACTGCCATCTTTGTCCTTTCTCCAGACCACGAAATCGGTTACGTAGCACTTATTGCTGGGCCTGGGCGTGATAGTCTACTGGCCTATCTTCCTGAAGTCCTCGCCGAGACACTGCTGCCAGCAGCTGAGGATGCCGCCCGTGAAACGGCTGCTGCGCGATTTGCAGGCTCGTTCAAGGGTCCGGAGAGTCAGATTACGGTCGAGATGGACGATACTCTCGTGGTACGCAACTGGACTCGAGCGGGGGTCGATGTAATTGCAACTCAAACCGCGTTGCTGTATCCAGGACTCGATGTATCAGTTGTGCTTCGGCTGTACCCGATGGGACTGGAAGGGAACGGAAGAATGTCCTTCAGAGTCATCTTTGAGGTGAACGCAATGGGTGGTTCCGAAGCAGAGTCAGATGCAAATACGACAGATACAGGCGCTACTCCTTTCACTGGTGGCTGTTTGTCATGGGGAGGCCTGGGCACGCTGAACTATGGAAACATTGGGCTTGATGATTTCGAGTTTGAGGTTGACCAAAGTGGTAAGGCAACTGGACTGAGTGCGAGAGCTATGAGAGAAACTCTCAAGAAGGTTGATTGAGTCTGTTTCTCAATTCGAGACCTAACGACACTGCCACTGTCGGAATAGGCAAAGCAACCTGCTTGTCTACGCTCACTGTACACTATCCTTCTGGTTGTCTTACAAGATCTTCTCTTTGTCTTTTACTAGGGTCTTCCTTCAAGTCGTCTAAGTCGACTAATTGTATTTAGTATTTATTCATCGGATAGTTAATTGTATTTAGGAACTTATAGATTAATTGCTCATATACCTTTTTAGTATACCTAAATAAGGTTGGAAATACATATTCTCATTGTACAGAAATTGAAGTTTAAATAGCTGGAATGGTTGTGATAAGTCTTTAATTAATAGGGTAATCCCTCTATCAGCATGCAAATAGCATGTTCTAGGATCGGGGGCAGTCAGCACACTGTTGCCCCCACCCAGTACTATCCGCAAGGAGGCTTGAATGGTGACTCGCTATTTGTTGGCGTTGGTGGCTGATATTAGGGCTGCATTTCTGCCTTATTTCAACCCAGCCTACTTGAATAAAACACCTCAACAAAACCTCCGCAACTCAAATAATCCAGAAACTTAACGTTGCCTCAAACCATTATGAATCAGCACCGATCCTTCAAGTATGACTCGGTGAAATTACAGACGGCATCCACTGAGACCCGACTACTAGACCTTTATCCGTCCCAACATGAAAGTCTGCAAAGTCAGTTCAACAGGGGCGAAGCCTCGGACCGGCAGAGTCGCCTCGTATGTCGCCTGTATACAACGAAGATTGAAAAGCCTGGGTGTTATACAGCTCTTTCTTATGTTTGGGGCGAGGGCAGGAAAAGCCGCTCAATCTGGGTTACCAATCTATTCAGCGATGGCGGGGAAGCCAGCATCCCCATCACAGAGTCACTGAACACGGCACTTCTATCCCTGCGCAAAGCAGACAAGATAACTACGCTATGGATTGATCAGATTTGTATCAATCAAGCCGATGACGACGAAAAAGGTGAACAGGTCGCCATGATGGGAAGCATCTACTCAGCAGCAAACCAGGTATTGGTATGGTTAGGCCCAGCAGAAGATGGCTCAGACGAGTTGATGGATGCGTGGCAAGCCATTGGCCAAGGGCTCCGAGACTTTGGACTCGAAAGCTACATGACCCCCCAGAGATACTACACGATATTCGCTATGACGAGGAACGAAACCCCGACCGATGAAGCGACAATGTACTTTCAAGATTTGCTCAACCACACGGTGGATGTTTTCGCTCCTTTGATCAAAAACATGGTCCTGAAAGCCTGGTTTGACAGACCATACTTTTCACGCGTATGGATCGTACAGGAATTTTGTTTATGTGCAGACACAGTATTCGTCTGTGGTACCAAGTCCGTTGCTGTTGAGCTCGTTACGCTCGCAGTGGTGATGGTCTACACGATTATCGGCAACAAGCCCAAACGCGACTATACAAAGCTCCAACCGCCTGGGATGCCTTCGCAGCGACTGGAGGAGTTATCAAAGAAACCCATAGCCTCACTATTTGCTTGTCGTCAACATTATCAAAATCGTGCAGACGAAGAGCTGCATATACTGTTGCGCAGGCTGTTTGTAGGTCACGATACACGTGCTACTGAGCATCGTAACCGCATCTTTGCGCTCCTCGGCCTTGCAGTTGACGCGCAGAAACTGGGTACCCAACCTGACTACAGCTCCTTGGACGGCAGCACTGAACGCATCTTGACCCAAACGGCGCGTGCAATGATTGAGAAAGCTGGACTTGTCGGTATACTCTGCTACTCCCAGTTTCCAAAGGTCCCTGCATTGTCCAAACTGCCATCATGGGTCCCTGACTGGCGATCAAACCTGCGTCTATCGTTTTATACCATTAACGAGCGCTGTGACGATCACCTATATGCTGCGTCAGGTCAAGGAAGTAGGGTCGAGACCGTGCAGTCTGGGGAAGAAAACGCAAATATTCTTGGAATACGAGGTTATGTAGTTGATGCGATCGAGAAAGTAGCTGATGGTGGTGGCTGGATGGACCTAGATTGGGACCACGTCAGGTATCTAGGCTTCTTCGCCCAAGTGGACATGCTGTGGCAGGAATCTATGAAAAAGAATTACAAGATCTTCGGCGACACAACGGAGTCTCGCAAAGAAGAGGCGCGGTGGCGCGTCCCGATTGGAGATATTTACTGGACATGGGAAGGCGATCATCACAGAGCAACGTCTGATGCGGCCAAATTCCATAGCCAATTGTTGAGAGAACTATACATGTTTGATGAAATGACTCGGTTGGCAACGGAAGAGAATGGTCAAGGGCTAAGAGACACGAATTGGGATGATGGACGCCAGACAGAGGATATCAAGCACAAGTACCGCGAAAGTATGAGAAAGATGAAAGGCAAGAGGCCGTTTCTCACCAGGTTGGGGTATCTGGGAATGGGTCCAGTGGAAGGACAACCAGGCGATGTAGTTGTCGTCTTCTGCGGTGGACCTATCCCGTTTGTGCTACGTCCCTTGGACAAGAAAGATGAACAAGAAATGTTTTCGTATATCGGCGAGGCATACTGTGATGGAATCATGGATGGGGAAGCGACTGTAGGGCAGAAACAGACCTTCTGGCTCGTTTGAGTGACACTGAGGAGTGATAGATATGGAATTATCAAGATATCGGTCTAATTCCTATGTATCTTCTTTTACTATTCCGCCAATGCGTCGTTTCAAGAGACATTCCTCTGAGTCACAGCCGGTCAAAACGGAGATTTGCATCTGGTGGCCCGCATCGTCTCTATCAGTGACCGTCACAATCAAAGAATCCTTCACCCCATCCAGCCACTCTAGAAGAGCTTCATCTTGACCACATGGATCGAACGCCATTGACATAATAGGACAACCTTGCCCAATCAAACTGTTCAATTGGCCGGCAGTCTCGGGTCCGCACCCATAAAACCACTCAGGTTTGTAAACAGCACGCAACCCGGCGAGACTTGGCCCACTCCAGCTCCGGAGGCCATAGAGCCATACGCCTCGCTCAATCATATCGGGACCCTTGCGTAGCTGGTTGAGAACCGTGTGGTATTCATGCATCTCCTGTCGGTCCCTCAGAACACTTCTGCAATCGTCTACAAGCTCTCTAGCTCTCCAGGCTGAAGATACGAGTTCTTCAAGATCCGTAATAGAATCTAAGAAGATCCAGACAGAAACATCCTTGCGGAGCATCTCAAAGCTCTCGCCAACCTGGACTAGAAACCTGGTACGGTAGGATGCCAATATGACCTCAAGATCGTTGACAGTTAGATTGAAGCCTTGGTATATGTTGGCAAGGAAGTTTCTCTCAGAAGGACTAGCGCCACGCAAGTGAGGATGGGTGGTTCTGGCAACAAAGTCGAGAGTGTTGACAAACATTCCTCTATTCGACAGTTTGTAGTCCACGTGAAGTGACGAGCCTTGTTCCATTAAGCCGCGAAAGGCATAGACATGGTCATGGAAATCTGTGCATACCGAGTCTTCAAACATGTCGAGAAATGTAAGAAGATGTATATTCCGCCCCTTGAAACGATTTGTCTGATATAGAGCCAAAACATTGACGCACTGGCGCAGTCGCTGTTGAGACTCGTTGTTTTCGTAAAAGCAAGTCCCTGCTTCATCTCGCTCCTCCTTAGAAACGTCCTCTTGTACAGGTTCAGTGGGCACAGCATGACTATGAAATGTGCTGTAGTCAACCAAAGAATCCATCAGTGCAAGGAAAATAGAGATCCCAACTGACGCTTGGCCATAGCATAAGATGGCAGTTTTTGGCATTAAGATCTCTTGCTTCACCCACCGACGTGTCCATATTGGAGCATTACATGCTTCAAAGAGTGACGAACACTCAGCCGACGACATCTGACAGCATACAGCTTTTCCAGACGCCAGGCTGATGGACACTGTGTCGGAGGGGAAGCCAGACTCCAGCAGTCTGAATGCGCGTTCTGTGGCCTCTGATCCCTGGCCAAGCCAAACCATGACCAGCTTCGCATCGCTAAATATTCTACTCATAAGCCCAACCTGAGCATTACGTTCCTCCATATCGTTTTGGTTGATGCATATCGAGTCAATCCACAAATTCGTAAGACCCCGGCGGCGAGCCTCCTGTAGGAAGTTGTAAACATTGGATCGCACCAGGAAAGAAACACCGTTTATTGTAATTTCTTTGGTGGCAGGCTCCGTGCCCCATGTATAGGACAAACAAGTCCAGCCTTGCTCAGTTGCATCTGCATAATTCTCAAGCGTGCATGACAGGGGATCCGAGATATCTCCTGGAAGAGGCTGAAGGACGCGAATTGAAAGGTGGACATTACCAGAGTCGAGAGGCTTGTATAGAAAATTCTCATTAACAGTAGGTATTGTCATGACTTTCTGTGTCTTGAAGCTTAATTTAAATTAAAGATGGTGCGAATGGTCCCTCATGGAGACCCCGCAGCTCAAAGCATGTTAGAGGCCACGGCTAAACTTCGCTAAACAGTTGCCCACTGAGGTTCGATGACAAACTGGTAGACTAATCCTCGATGTAATCTTGCCGGGATACGTTTATTACAAACATTCTGAAATAAGGATTTCAAGACTTGGGCAATATATATGAAGAACATGCCGTATAGAAGAGATCACTCGGGCTGATTATTCCAGATCAGGAAGTTCATCTTGGTTTGATAAGAAAGATTTGACTTCAATTAGACAATAATCTTATCTTATCAGAAGGTCGACTAATCAGATAACGGATAAGATAAGGAATGTTTTTCCCAACTACCCTATATAGAGATTTGAACATCCCTATTATGTACCCCTATATACCCTTTTATTAAGTCAAATTGAATTATTATTTAAATTTGATTTGATTTGAATATTAAAACGATAAATTTGAATTGAATTGACTTGATTTGAGAGGATTTTAACGGTAGAAGCACCCACTCTGGCCGTGGCTGTACTTTTTTATTTGCCGCCCTCTGCCTCGTTAGTCCCACATTCATGATGTTTGTTAATACTAATAGAAGAATTGGAAAGCCTGTGCTTGATCAAGTTAGAGGTTAGAGTAAAAAAAGGAAACAAAAAAAAAACCATTTGTGTTGCGTCGTGCTGAACGAATACTCTGTTTCTATTTACTATCCTCTGAAAATTATACAATGCCGGCTTATGTTACGCTCCCTCTCGAGAAGCTGCTATTGATCGTTTCAACGCTAAAGAGCTGCACTAACCCAAGGGGGCATTATTCGGCCTGGGGGCAAGGGGCCGTGCTCGTGGTCCTAACCCCAGATTACCAGACTAATCATGTGCATAGAAAGAATGGGACTCAGTTCCCCATGGGGAAAATGCGGGCACATTTATGGACAGGCTAAACAGCCACAAGCAAGGGCGGGCATTCGTTGAATTGTTTATTGGTATAGAGTATGAGGGGGATGGCTTTATTTGATGAAAGAGGCGGAAAAGAATGCATGTCGGGCCGATACATACACTAGAGCAGTCCAAACTATCTCCTAGCTCAAGTTCTGGGCTGATACCTCATCCGAATAACTTCCCATCTGTCGTGGATCAAATCGTATAGCTTGCTTTTCCGGATATACGAGCGAATTGATGTTGGATGTATAGCTATGTGAATCTATTATTCATGCATATATATAGAGATGCATCTCCCAGCATATTGACAAAACTTCAATTAGCAGAATCATCACATTCAATCACATCATACCTTCTCCACTTACAGTTGCATCAAGATCCGACAAGCATCTCTACACAATGGAGAAGACCGACGCCAGTTCCATCCACCAGGTCGAGCTGGGGACGGCATTGACTGAAGTTGCCAAGACAGCAACAATCCATGACTCTAAACTGCAACAGGCTGCCATGGAGGGCGCGGCAGACGACCATGAGCTTTCCATTGCCGACGCCATCAAGGCTTATCCTCAGGCTATCATGTGGGCACTTGTATCGTCTACCTGCGTCATCATGGAAGGCTACGACACCAACCTCTTGTCCAACTTCTTTGCTTACCGTAAGTATGAAGAACCGCGATGCAGTAGAACATGTTGCTAATCAGGTATTCTTAGCTTCATTCCTGATTAAATACGGACGGTTTGTTGGAGTTTCTCCCGAAGTTCCAACCGGATATCAGTTGACCGCTGCTTGGCAAGCTGGACTGTCTCAGGGCGGTGGTGTTGGCTCCATCTTTGGTTGCCTCATCAGCGGATACCTCGTGACCAAGTACGGCTCCCGAAAGGTACAGCTAGGAGCTCTTGTTGCACTTACGCTCGCCATATTCGTCGTCTTCTTTGCGCCGAGTTTGACGGTCCTCGTCGTTGGCGAGATTCTCTGCGGCTGCCCATGGGGTATCTTGGCAACCACCGCTCCAGCATATGCATCCGAAGTACTCCCAACAAGCCTTCGAACTTACATGACATCATACACGAACATGTGCTTCATCATTGGTCAACTGATCTCTGCGGGTGTGCTCAAGGGTCTCTCTACCCGTGTTGATGAGTGGGGTTACAAGATTCCTTTTGCTCTGCAATGGATCTGGCCCGTATTCCTCATTCCTCTCATCTATATGTCTCCAGAGTCACCTTGGTACTTGGTCAGAATGGGCAGACTTGAGGAAGCTGAAGAGTCTCTCCGTCGTCTACAGTCTCCCAAAGCAACCAACGTCGACCCTCGCAGGACTCTCTCCACCATCATTTACACCAATAACCTCGAGCAGCGTCTCAACGTCGGAACAAGCTACTGGGACTGCTTCAAGGGCACTGAGCTCCGTCGTACCGAGATTGCCTGCGTTGTCTTTGCTGGTCAGATTCTTTGCGGAATTTGCTTCGCCTACAACAGTTCCTACTTCTTTTCTCAAGTTGGTCTCGGCACGAGCACAACTTACTCTCTTGCATTGGGTGGTACTGGACTAGCTTTCTTCGGCTGTCTCGTCAACTGGTTCTTTCTCATGCCCAACTTTGGCAGGCGGACAATCTACATCTGGGGTATGGGTGGCATGTGCTCCGTACTCATGATTATCGGTATCCTGAATGCGTGGACTCATATTCATGCCGTTGCTATGAGCCAGGCCTGTCTCACCTTGCTCTGGACCTTTATATTCCAACTGTCTGCTGGCCAGCTTGGATGGGCACTTCCTGCTGAAATGGGCTCTACAAGGCTGCGACAAAAGACAATTTGCCTTGCCAGAGACGCTTCGAACATCACGGGTACAGTTGGCGGCGTTTTGCAGCAGTACTTCATGAACCCCCAGGCCTGGAACTTGAAGGGTTATACCGGGTTTGTCTGGGGTGGCACTTGCTTTGGTATGTTTGTATGGAGCTACTTTCGCCTACCTGAGACCTGGAACCGCTCGTATCATGAGCTCGATGTCCTTTTCGCTCAGAGAGTACCAGCACGCAAGTTCGCTAGTACTACTGTGGATCCATTCGATGTTGATGCCATTGATGGTATTACTGGCAAAGTTACTACCGAAGCTGTCTAGTTCTGAAGCCGCTTCTGGGTATTTATGAAAGAGCAATCTAATGAGTTAAGCGATTCACTCGCAAGCTAGTATAAACTCAGACGGCGAACTCCTAGATAGTTCTTGGTAGTTATGTACCCAATTGCTCGCAAGCTTGAACCAATTAGGTTAGAATATTTAATTAGCCTAAATACTATTCTAAAACAGTCCCACCTCGCTCTAGTCACAGTTATTTAATAGACAACCATTGTTCCCTATAATCTGGAAGTCTCTTTTCACCATTACTAAAACTTTTCTTTGCCTATACAAGCCAAAACTGCACGCTGGCTGCTACATCAAAATGCCTACCCGTTCCGCACCAGTACAGATCACCACTTATAAGAGGCCTCGGGGTGTCGCTGCCCTCGTCTTTGGTGGTGCAGTACTCTCTTTTATCAGCTTAGCTGGTGTTGTATTCATTCCCGATGATAGTTGGATTTGGCAGATACTTGATGATATCTCCTCAGGTAGAGCAGAGTCGTTCCGATGGATTATCAAGACAGGCGTCCCACCCCTTATCTTGATACATACGATCGAGGCCATAGCTTTTGACCGTACTAGGTTGATACCGCATGGCGTTCCTAGATGGGGATTGCTATGGTGGAAATGGGTTTTGACTTGCTGGATTGAAGGTTTTACATGTTGGCAACGCTTTGCCTCCGTCATCACCACGAAACAAGCGAAGCACTAGGTGTTGCAATATCAGCACTGAGGAGCGAGAGATAGGCTTTTAGATGGGCGGCATCTTCTGAGACTCGAGAAATATGTTCGTCTTTGAGGACAAGGTAGCCACACATTTCAGTAGCGTTGGAGAGTCCTGTTGCATGGCTGCATATGAACAAAGCTCTTAGATCTACAGTTAAGATATCAACATGGATAGGTGTACATATCACACAGGCCGCTAACATCATCCTGTAATTCAACACCTTTTGCCCTAAATGTTCATCAACGTGATTGCTCAAACTGTAGCTGTTAGGCTAGGCTTTCTTCTTCAGTATATTGCGAAGTGTCAACAATGCCAATTGCCGAAACCGGCTGACACCGCATGTTCGCACCATAGAACGCTGCATCACGCACCCGAAGGTACCCCCAGTATCAACCTTGTCTACAGGCACTGTCAACTCATATACTCCGGACTCTTTGGCAACCGAATATCCATTGAACAATATCGCAGATTGAGCATGGTTGAAGGCATCAGTGCCTAGGAGCGTGAGGGATGCACGGGCACTGAAGACAAGCGATGTAAGGAAGCCTGAAGCCAATATCGGCCTGCTCTTAAAGTAGGCCGGAGTAAAGTTGGTTGAGTAGGGCACAGCGTTCTGATCGCTGTCATACGTACGGTATTTAACGACATTGCTGCTTGTGAAGGTGGTCTTGATTACCTAGTCTGTTACTATTACGGTTGACTTTTCGGTGATGCTAGATGTAACAGTACTGACTGAGGTGGTTGTGATCATTTTTGGTGCTGTATTTTATAAGTCTCGATGTTGGCTTCTGATAAGATAGAAAAAAGGAAAATATCAATACCCTCTTGTTGCAGGTACTAATATTTAAGTTGAGAAAAGCTAAGATATATAAATCTATCCTAAGTCCTGAACTGTATTCTTCTACTTTAATAAGTAAGTAAATACATAATTATTCCTCAACTATATGATTAAGTATATTAATCTATAGTATTTCAGAAGGAGGTTCAAATAATATAGCTTAATTCTTAACATAATAGCTATTAATACACCCCTGCATTTTATACCTGAACAAGCTTGCTTAGTTAGCCAGTACAGGTCAATTCAACAAGTAACGCTAAAATGACGCAATATCAAAACCGAGTAAGTATTTAGTAGACTACTGCCCATACAATCGTTTATAATCTCACAACAATTAGTAGCCGAAACAGGATATAAATGTCTTCTTCCAAGCCAACATGTCTTAACTGCCGAGAAAGGCACCTAAAATGCGATGGCGTTACGCCTCGCTGTAGCCGCTGCTCCGAAGCAAGGCTCTATTGCTCTTACATCCCTTCTCGAAGAGGTCGAAAGGTCACATCCAGGCTCAACGATGCAATTCATATACCCTTCTCCACTCCACTACCTAGTACTCCTCCGGTCGTGATTAGCCAATTCCCATTCGAACCATCGGACACTTTAGCCGAGGCATCTCTCTCCATACAATTTGATGGCGGTTTGGGTGCGAGCAGCACGAGTCTTCAGACGTTTTCGGAGGAGGAGAGCTTGAGGGGGGGGCATATCGACTTAACCAGTTTCAATATCTCTTTCACTCCGGTAAACGACCAGATGGGATGGATGCACATCTACTACGCCAACTTTCACAGAGCGCACCCGTTTCTACCACCAATGGCCGCTTTATCTCATTTCGATACCCCGATCTATCTTCTCAATACTATGGAATACGCTGCTATGCACTACTCTTCCATCTTACCCATGAATGACCAGGTGCGGAATCTATCCCTCCATGCCCTTGAAACCGAGGATTCGCTTTCAAAAGTTCAAGCGCTCATTATTCTTTCGATTCTGGCGCATTCGACAGGCGAAGCGAGGTTGTCAAGAGAACTTCTGGAGGAAGCTGCACGCTCATCCTTTCAGATTCATCTTGACAAGAAAGAGTTTTCCAATGCGATCCAGGGGGCCAGAAGAAATACAGTCCAAGAGAGCGCTCGACGGACATGGTGGCAGCTTTTTGTCTTGGATACACTTCTTGCCAGTCTCCAAACAGGAGGGGTTCTCGTCATCAAAAACAACCATCCCGAGGTTCTGCTGCCTGGGGAAGACGACATATTTACCGACATGTCAGGCGGTTTAGCGAACGACTCGATTCAAGATCTCAAGGACCGCTTTCTATTCGGCCAAGAACGCACTTACTCTTCATTCACCTACCTTGTTGAGGCTTGTCTGATCCTTCGAGATACCTTGACCCAGGTGCGCAGTCCTGACAGAGTGAGCCCAGGCGCGCACCAGGCGGTGGACTCCAGACTAGCCTTGTGGTTCAACTCACTACCGGCGGAGAAGCGAGAAGTTGTACGTTACGATGGGAGTACCGATGAAACCATGTTTCTGGCGCATCTAGTTGCCCATTGTGCTGGGATCTACCTGAACTTGCCCTACTCTCGCCTGACGTCGCCCATGACTCACGTGCTACGCCTTGTCTGCAGGGCTCCAGGGCCTGACACTACATCACCGCCAGGGACCCTTCATACCTTCAAGCTTCTCCATGCAGCTAGGGGGATAACGGAGTTGGCTGGCCTCCCAGTGCCTGTCCTTGCGCACACTCCCTTCTTTATTTGTTTTGTGGTTCTTAGCTCTGTAGTTCATGTAGGAGCTTGCTTCGCACTGGAAGCCTCCATCAAGGAGAGTCATCGACACCATCTGACGTTGAATTTGAGTGTCTTGGACAAGATGGCAAGTGTGTGGGTACTGGCGTCGCTTTCCAAAGATAACATTAGGCAAGCGGCACAGGATGTCTTGAGTGTTCGGCAATCGATGGATTCCATTCTAGATGTTACCGAGATATAAAATTAAGATTGTTTAAAAAAACGGAACATTTCATGCCGCTACCTTGGCGTCATACCGAAGACCGTGGCCGAACCGAAAAGTAGGATCTTTAGTGTCAAATGGAACATCCTCCCTAGAGGCGACGACTGCTGCCATAGATGACGGGAGATCAAATGGCAAGGCTCCCTGTGGGCTTGCTCCGTCAACACAAAATATCACGTCCAGAAAGGCTTCATCGCTGCTGCCATAGCTGACAGTTAGTGCAGAAGCCTGGTCGATCAGCTCAGGAACGGCTGCTGGGCGATCTAAATAGATATCAACGATGGAGACGGCCACTGAGGCAAAGATGGAAGCTTGACGCTGTTTCTCTGCGATGGAGTATTCAAGACTCCCTGCGCGATACTGAGCCTCAAATCCCTTAAGCCTCGGCTCAAATGGGCCCTGCAGTCGTAGGATGGCGATATCTGCCTCGCCAATGTCTTCAGTCACTGTCAAGCCGTGCTTGTTTCTAAGCAGCCCAGCGTCGATTCCTTCAATGTAAATCTTTTGTCCCTTCAAAGCCGAAGCATCAAGGGGCAGGATCTGCTCCTTGTTGCTAAGCAGCGTGACGCTTGCGCGCTGAGCTAACTCGCCTTGAGTGATGAAATCCGGCCGACCTACAGTCTTGACAGCTTCATCAGGGTCGATATAAGGAGAGTCAAACAGACCCAACTCGAACTTTTCTGTCAAAAGCTTTCTCGCCGATATGTCGATTCCAGTCTCCGAGACAAGACCCTTTTCAACTGCTTCAACTACAAGCTCAGGCAGCCATTCGCCCCCAAGCTGATCACAACCTGCATCGATAATCTTTACCACTCTCTCAAGTGCACTCAAGTGTTCAACACCCCACGCACGAGCTGGCAAAAGCTCTCCACAGATCCTGGCATCTGTTACCAAGCCCCAATCGGAGCAAACAATGCCTTGGAATCCTAGATCTTTCTTGAGTAGAGATGTGACAACTCCCTTGTGAAACCCAAAGCCGACCTCTTCTGACAGTCGTGGATCCTTCAGTCCGACGGGTTTGCTGTAGTAGGGCATCATTTGCCGTGTCCCGGCCTCAATTGCCTGCCGGAATGGTTCCAAGTGGTAGTCTAGGTTGTCACCTGGATAGATCTGATCTTTGCCATAGGTAAAGTGGGAGTCCTCGCCGTCTTTCTCCGGACCAGCACCCGGAAAATGCTTGGTCATGGTGCTGACACTATGTGGGCCCAGCTTTCCAACACCACCGGACAGGCGCGGAGCTTGGAGGCCATTGATGTATGCCTTTGTTAACTCGCTAGATAGCTCTGCACTCTCTCCAAATGTACCATTGAGCCGTGCCCATCGATATTCTGTTGCTAGGTCGGCCTGTGGGCCCAAAGCTAGCCGTATACCGAGAGCAAGATACTCCTGTCGAACAATGTCGGCGAATCGTTCGACAAGAGCTACATCTCTTAACGCAGCCAATCCAAGAGGTTCGGGCCATTGACTGAGAGAACCTGCGCGAGAACTCGATCCAACAGCCCCTGCATAATGGTTGCGTGGGTCCGTTGAGAGAGTAATGGGTATCCCCAATCTGGTTTTTTCGATCGCCAGACCCTGGACCCTATTGTACCACTCAGCAGTCTGTCGGACGTCTGTAACGGGACCAACAAGGTTGCAGTGATTCAGCAGCTTTTGCACGATCAAGTCTTGGGTGCCAGGGATTGAGAATTCGGCATGGTCACTGGATAAGCTTCCGTCTGGTCCTGGTATAATCATTCCATGGAACAAAAGACCCGACTTTTCTTGCAGTGTCATGCGGTCGATGAGATCATCCACTCTGTGTGGTATTGGCAGGGTGGAGTCCTGATAGGGCAGAGGGAAGTGCTCGCCAGCCTCACGGGAGGAAGGACTCATCTTCGAGGCTGTAAGAATGACCTGAAGTGCGAATGAGATGACACTGTAAAGTACCTAGTTATACCAGACTGCACTACGTTCAGATTTAAATGCGGTTCTTAATTGGTGACTAACCCTACTCCGGTTGACTTTGCGTTTTGTTGGGCCTAACTGACGCAATTCAAGGATAACTGAAGTCTCGGGCCCACTCGCATATCGGCGAAGCTAAAGTACCTAGCTACAGACTTATTTCAGGGGGTGGATTTGCGCCATTTGAGCGACTCATGTGCAAAGCGCCTTTCCCAATACAGACGTGCTTCCAAAAGGCTCTGTAAACCATCAAGACAAGTCCTCCAGCGAAATGAATGAAATCTTGAGATGCAAGCAATTATTCCTATCAGCCACGTCAATATATGAATATCTCATCACCTGGTTCCTGTATGCGTGTGTAGAGGTGTAGCGTGCTTTACTGTAGCAGTCTTAACAGTATCAGCCCAACGGCGGATTTGCATAAGAAGTATGCACTCTTTTTACGCAAACGCGCAGTAATTGGCTTGTAACAACAACAACTGTTGTTTAAATTATTCAATACTTGTTACTGCGGTATCTGAGTCCCAAATACATAAATTTACGTGTTCCAGCTATTGAAAACCCCACCCACCAATTCCTATACACCAACCCCACTCACTAACTTAAGCAGATATGCCACGCAGAAAGGTACTTAAGTCGTTAAAGGCTTTTATACTTGAGAAACAGCGGCCTGACTGGTAGTCTTTTCCTCTGGGGTCATATGTACAGACTTGTCGTGCTGTCTTGTCTGGCAGTTATAGCTAGGGAACTTGCGAGTGGGCACTCGCTGGTTAAAGAGCTCATCAATCTCTGCCAGAGACCTCTTCTTAACTTCGGGAACGCAGAAAAAGACAAATGCCACTGCCAAGACTGCAAACGACCCATAGATAAATCCCACCTTGCCCGAGATGTCGCCCATAACATATGGATTCGCAAAGGTGATGGCGCACCCCACAGCGTATGAGGAGAATGCAGAAATGGCCACGCTCTTTTCTCGAACCAAGCTACCTGGGATCTCAGCTGTTACGATCCAAGCAATCGGACCCCAGGTGACTTGAAATACGGCAAACCATAGCAAAAGCAACGCAACTGCAGCCTTTTGCAGATCAGTCGATAGCCCCGCAGAGCCATTGTGTGTCAGACCAGCGACTACAAACATGAAGGCAGCTAGAAGCGTGGCCGAGTAGAGCAAGAGGCTCCGACGACCAGCAGCATCGATCGTGACCATGGTGACCAGGCTTGCGACGACTCCGATCACGTAAGTGAGCATTACAATGAGAAGCGGCTCAGTAAAGCCAATCTGTACAAGGAAGACACCGAGATAGTTGGCGATAAAAGGAATGCCGAGTGCTTGTTGCAGTACCTGGACGCCCACGATGATAATGGTCCGCCTAAGATTGGTGCCTTTGAAGCATTCCAGGTACGAGGTAGCACTCGTCTTGTGGTTGTCGTCCAAGGCACGTTGCAGCAGATTGATCTCTTGTTGCGTGTCAAATGAAGGTCCTCGCAGAGTTTGCAGCGCATGTGCTGCATCTTCGAGTCTTCTTTTAGTGACTAGCCAGCTTGGTGACTCGGGAAGAACCAACAGCCCAATCAAGCACAGGATCGGGCTTGCCAGTTGAGCTATAACAACCCCCTTCCACGACCACTGGGAGTCGACATGTCGGCTGAGATAGAAGACCAGGCTGGAGGCCAATGCCCCAAGCATCAAGGCTCCGTTGTAGGTTGTCGTCATGAGGCCTCGCAAGGAACCAGTGGAGCATTCGGCCTGATAGACAGGAACGACGTTGGTGGCAATTCCACCTGCAATATAGACAATTACACGGCCGACGATGAGCTGCGCATAGCTGTTGGATGTAGTGGCCTCGATGATGATGCCCACAACGGCAACAAGTGGCTGGATGAGAAGTGTTCTCCAGCGGCCGAGCCTCTCGTTGAGCAGAGTTCCAATGACGAGACCAACAACGACAGCGACTGTGCCCAAGCCCGTGCCAATGGATTGCTGCGTCTCCGACATGGCCCAGGACTCGGTCGCAGCATCGTAATGCCCAAAGGCTGCAGTGAATCGACGAGAGCTGAGTGCGCCGCCCCACCATCCCTGATCGAAGCCAAAGCCAGTCGAGGCCATGGACCCGAAGAAGGCCACTGACAGTATACGCCAGGAGAGCTCGTTCCAAACGGGGGCAACCGAAGCCTTGATTCGGTTCATGGTGACGGTAGCTGGTTGAGACAGCGTGGAATGAGGGTGGTAGATAGATGTTGATGAGTCTGTAAGTTTCAGAGAAGTCAGTTAATATTTATTTCCCCTGGTCGTGATAGTGTTTGTTTGCAATCTTTATGGCGGTTCTGTCAAAATGACGCCTTACGAGCCACCCATAATGAACTACCTAGTCTACCATCCATGGCCAAGACTATTTTGTTTCGAAATCTGTAGACAGGTTTGTCACCTCGCCACTTGCCGGCGAGACTAGTCCTGACGTTCGTTAGTAGCACTAGCCTCGCCGATATGGTGGAGCCGAGATTGAGATAAACAGTTATTAGTCTTCCATCTTGTGCTAACGTTAGAGTCGGCGATATGGTGGGGCATGATAACCTCCCTAAATGCTGGGCGATGGCGTGCTTGCAAGGAGCGCAACTGAACTGCCCTCGTTCTCTAGGAGCTTAAAACATGACGCAAATTCAAATAAAGCCCACCACCATACTATAACATAACCGACACTTGACAGATAAGCATCACTGCCACTATCGACGAAAAAGGCAGAGAAGTCAGCAATGCCCAGCCCCTACCCCTTCAACCTCGGGAATCACACCCGCCCCATCACCACATCTTCACCAAGCGCTCAGCTGTGGTTTGACCGAGGCCTTATCTGGGCGAACTGCTACAACCATGAAGAAGCATCACGCTGTTTTATTCGAGCTGCAGAACACGACCCAGAATGCGCAATGGCCTATTGGGGTCACGCGTATGCCATTGGACCCAATTATAACAAGGCCTGGATTCGATATGACCGACAAGATCTCGTTCAAACCATTCAAAAGGCAAACTCGGCGTTAGATCGCGCTGAAAGCCTCGCGCATCAGTCCAGCCCCGTCGAGAAAGCACTGGTAAAAGCTCTTCGCGCTCGATTCCCCGACCCTAATCACATTCCAGAAGAGATACACGACATGACAAAATGGGATGTCGATTATGCTGATGCCATGCGTCCCGTGTATCGTTCATTCTCAGACGACACGGATGTAGTCGGTATCTTTGTCGAGGCTCTCATTTCACTCTCCCCTCGTGCACTCTGGGACCTGCAGAGCGGCGAGCCGGCCGCTCCCCACACCGTTGAAGCCAGGGAAGCTATAGAACCTGCCCTGAACACCGTGGCCGGGCGTGCACACCCCGCCCTACCGCACCTATATATTCATCTCATGGAGATGTCTCCTTTTCCTCAACTTGCCTTGCCAGCTGCCGATCTACTGCGGCGAGTGGTGCCTGACGGCTCGCACATGTATCATATGGCAACACATATTGATGCGGCCGTTGGTCGGTGGGATCGCGTTATCGAATCTAACGACGTTGCGGCGGAAGCAGACGACGTCTACTTCTCTTTGGAGAAGGGTTCAATCTTGTACACCATGTACAGAGCCCACAACGTCTTCACCAAGGCATACGGTGGCATCATGGCTGGTCGCTTCCAGGTTGCCCTGGAAGCTTCAAGGCGCTTGTACGACATAATCACTCCAGAGCTGCTGTCCATCCAGAGCCCGCCGCTTGCCGACTGGATCGAGAGCTTGCTTGGCACCATTGCACACACGCTTGTTCGTTTCGGTCGATGGGAAGATATCCTCCTGCTTGAGATCCCCACCGACCAAAACCTATTCGTCTCCACGACAGCCATGATCCGTTATGCGAAGGCCATTGCGCTGGCTGTTCTGGGTCGTATTGATGAGGCAGAAGCTGCACAAGCCGTATTTGAGCAAGCCAGAGACGTAGTCCCATTCTCCCGCCTCAACAGCTTACCCGCCAGAGATCGGGACGTTCTCAAGGTCGGCTCCGCTATGCTCAAAGGAGAATTGGAGTACAGAAAAGGAAACTTTGATGATGCCTTCCAGCATCTCCGCGAGGCAGTCCGTCTCGAAGATGCCCTGCCATATAGTGATCCACCATCCTGGTTGCAGCCTTCTCGCCATGCCCTCGGTGCTCTGCTCTTGGAGCAAGGCCGGGTCGGAGAGGCCGAGAAAGTATATCGTGACGACCTTGGCTTTGGCAAGTCCCTTCCTCGACGTCGTGCAAGGATCAACAACGTCTTTGGATTGCATGGACTTTACGAATGCTTAACCGCCCTGGAGAAGTCCGACGAAGCTCAAGTTATTAAAGTCCCGCTGGATATTGCCTTAGCATCCGCCGATGTAGATGTTAAGGCTTCTTGTTTTTGCCGTCTCAATAACCTAGTAAATACCAATGGTAGGATTGAACTCAACTCTTGTTGTTTAAGTATAGATAACTCAGTCTCTAAGAGATGCGGCAAGGGAATTTGAGATGGCAAATTATACACCTTAGTTGAACTACCTATGGTAGAGTAACGTTACATCCAGTTTTATTAGCAGTTGTATAAAATAGTTTTTGTACCGATAAAGTACTCATATAGTGTTTAACAACAAGCTCTGAAGGTCCTCACTATTAGACTGTTTTTATGGATATTAAAGTACACTGTTTAGCTAATACATAATAAGAAGTTTTAATAAATACTGTAAATGCCTTTACCGGTTTATTAATAGGTCGGTACTATAAGGGGGATCCTATCGCGTGGAGCTATATACTATAGGGTAATAAATGATTTGTCTTTATGATTTCCTACATGCAATACAGGAATAAGTATATATAGTAGTAAGGATAACTAAGATTAAGGTATATTTAATTCTATAAACAGGAAGTAATAAGGAGCAAACTATGTACCTAAGAGCTGAAGTTGAAATTCAAGTTTATCAGATTTTGGTCCAGGCTGTAGCCAGAAAGGAACTCGCACCGGGCAATCCTGTTCCACCGTCTTCAAAACATCGTCCTTGGGGGGTCACCCAATGAGGTATACCATAAACCAGCATCTCGTATGTGGGTTTGTACGGGGAATTTCTGTTTTTCTATCTGAAAGACGAGCTCGGACAAGGCAATGGGAAAATACAAATCCACCAAAGCTATGACAGAAAAATATTAAGGGGCGTTCCTGAAGCTATTATAAAATATGGTAGTTTGCACTTGTGTTAAGAAAGCTATAATAGACAAGACAAACCTCTTCTGCCTTTCGGACTTTCTTAACCTCTGCTAGGAAAAGCCGGCCGTACTCCTTCAAATGTCTCATGTTGAAGGCGAGGAGTTTTGAATGGTAGCTATAGATCATAATTCGGCAGGAAGCTAGATCACGAGATAGAAAGTCATGGAGTCGCTGCATGCTGGTAGTACTTTAATCTCTGTAGGGAGTTTTTCTTCGCTTTTTTTCTGATAATGCTGATAATATTGGCTACATCTTTCTCCGATGTCTCTTGGCTAAAACCAGACACTGTAAAAAACAGGCTTTGTTCTGGCGCGACATGAAGATAGCGCACGAAACCAGCGTCTTGCCCACGGCATTGACTTGGGCCGCGTGGACGAGCTTTGTAACCAGCTTCACAAATCACATTGATACAAAGCTCCTATATCAAGTCGCTCGAAGATATCAGTATGGAGAGCTAAGACTCTCGCGTCTCAACCGAATCTATCGGTACACGCCGAGCTTATTTTCTCCGTGGAATTTATTCCGTGGGTTCCTAGCACAGTCAACATGGTACCAGGACACCTTTCATCGGAATTTGGCTGGTTGTTGGGAGTCTTCGCTGTCTTCTCGGTCGTTCTCTCTGGAATGCAAGTTGGGCTCGCAACGGATCAGCTAGGTAAAGATGCCACCTTTCATCGCGTTTCACACGGCTTTGCTCTGTTTTCTTTTGGCGGTAACTGTTGGATTCCTTCTTCTACTGGTCTTGACATGGGTGGTTTTAATGTCATATTTCTATATCTCGGCAAAGCTATACCATCACCGAGTACAAAGTCAAAGAAGGGAAAGGGCCGTTATTGTAATACAGGGTAAGGCTTTTCAAATAGAAGAAATACACATCAAGTCATTTTGTCTCTCATGCTCATATTTACCGGTAGACTCAAACTAATAAGGATTCCCGGCCAAGCCTCCACTCACTAGTACAGACGTGATGACTTTCTTGCTACTAAAGGGAACTAGTACCCGACGATACACACCCTGCAGCCTCTTTTACTCGAGTGTTTGTAGTTGCCTGGGCCCTTGACATTTCACAAGATTTCATAAGTGTGCTCCTAAATTTCCTCATTCAAAATTGTCACGCTGATCAGGGTAGTCTTTCTTGTCATTGTTTTCTCATCACAAAAGTTATATGTATTTCGATCTAGCTACCATATGTACCACGTGGCCTAGCAATTCCACGACGTTGCCTAGTCTGCTAACCCCTAGTTCCCCACGTTATCATTGCTCCATACACTAAATATATGTCGTAGAAGTCAAAGCAGGCCCGAAAGCCTTTCACAGCAGGGAATCAGCTTAGACAGCTGTGGCAAAACCAATGCGAGAGTTGGTGGTGTCATAGACAGAGTAATAGTTCTCAAGGAACTTCTGTCCGATGATAGTGTTCACACCAGAGCTACCTCCATCTGAAACCCAGGAGTAGTACTTGCCGGAGGTGAGGCCAAAGTTGCTGTACTGAGCAGTTGGGACCAAGTACTGTGCGGGAGTAAGGGTGTAAGTAGTGGATCCGAACTTGATACCGAAGTTGGCAGTAGGCTTTGTAGTGAACACAGCAAGACCAGTTGAGCTATCAGTCTTTCCGCCGGCAGCAGAAAGGAACTTGTTGTAGGCAGAGGTAGGAATGTAGATGAGCGTAGTACCAGTGTCGACAATACCGGTGCTGGACGAAGCAAGGGTAGTAGAGCCATATGTGAAGCTGGCAATGGAGATACCCCAGTACGCAGCAGCTGAGCCGCTGGTGAGAGTTGGGAAGTATGTGATGGATCCCGAGTACTTGGAGCTGTCGGTACCACCAAGGGTCAACTCTCCGTTCGTATCATCAGTGTCGCTGCCAGACTCGGGTCGGAACGAAACACCCAGGACCTCAGATGAGATCGAGCCCTGCTTATAGAGGTTGTCCAAGAAGGTAGGAACAGTGTTGACGTTGGATACAGTGCCTTGTGTGAGACCAACAGGACCAAAGCCGATGATTCCATCGACACCAGAAAAGCCGGTTGCCTTACTGGCTGCGCCAATCGACTGCGATGTGACAGTGAGGCCACCGAAGCTCACTTTGTCGGTGTATTCGGTGCCAGAGAATGAACCAGAGCCGTAAGAAACGGAGACTGAGCCACCTGTAGACTTTCCAGTAGATGTTGGCTCGCAGGAGCTTTGAGCACCACACCAGGTGTTTGAGGCTATATCACGCTAAGTTAGTAGGTTCTCTGATTGGTTGACCATATATTTATCACTTACATCCAGTGTCCACGATGAGTTCCCAGGTCTTGCCGCCAATCACGACAGGGGCGACATAAGAGACATCCTCGTTCGTGACAGGACCCGAGCTGGCGTCAACATGCGTGGTGGTGACGGCTTGGCCGTTGACCTTGTGAATACGGGCCTGGCCTTTCTGAACGAGGCCCTTGATAGAGCTAACACTGGTGACGTGCTTCAGTGGCAGAACTGCGGTTTTGGACCTGATCTCAAGAGGTGATGCCGAGATGCCAGTGGCAGCAACAACAGTAAGGGCGATGGAGAAAAGCATGTTTGTAGAGGGTTTGATAGCTGATGGATGAATGTTTGAGTTTTGTGATGTGATGATCCGAGCCGTTATTGTAAACCAGGCATCTATGGCTGTATTTATATCTCTTCAAGTCGAGCTCATGGCTTGATCTTCTAATTTCAACTCGGAAAACCGGCATCGCGAATCGAACAGTCCCATCTAAACTGCAGAAGCCGGACTGGGTAGAGAAGCCTATCAAGTGCCTTGGAAATAATGTTTGACTGGTATCCTAACTCATTGAACAGTAGCTATGTTGTATGTGAAAAGCACTAGTATTTCGCAATAACTAGCACCTACCGCATTGGGAAGCCTCCGTGTCCAACCTCTTGATCTGATAGGGTGTATGCGAGATCGCCGTCTCGGTAAAAGACCCAGAATAAATATCCAAACCTGACAATGCTCCGTTGCCGTCATTGCCGAAGATCCCTGGAAACGGAAGCTGGATATAGAGGTGGTCAAGTCAAACGGGCCAGTCACAACCGTTTCAATTGTTAGCTTATATATGGCGTGACCTTATTCATGGGTCATGACCTTAGTGTGGAGGTACTTATTGTATTTCATAACTATTTGCCATAATATCTTAACTTAGACTAAGTATTATGCTTATGTATTAAAATCTTACACATTAGCTGTGTATTACTATGTATTGTCCCAGTGTACAGCTTTATTCTATTACCCTCTGAATCACTAATTTAGGTTTATCAAGTGACTCAAGTAATAAAAAGACTAACTCATAGGGTATAGTAAGAGTTGAGTTCTTCTAATGAAAATAAATTCTCCAAGTACAGTCGCTTATCGTACATGTAGGTTTCAAAGTCCGTAGTAGTTTAGAGATTGTAGTGATGTCGTGTGATATGTCGTGCCCAAAATGCTAGACATCTTTCGTTAAATACTACTCTATATCGGATAGATGTGCCGTTTCTTATCGCCTACACCAATGTAAAGATAACTCCCTTGTTTTGCGCAATACGCATTGACAAAAGTTCCTCTATCATTGATAAGACAGCTCAATGCCGTATTCACGTGGCGGGAGTGCCCGATGCTTTAATGCGGGGTTAACAGTCTTTAGAGTCGGCATAAGTTCTCTTCCTTCCTATTTGGGCTCTGGCTCATTAGCCGAATTGGGAAAAGAACAATAGTTCTCTTAGATAGGAGCTTTAGATTCCACAACGTAATTTATTCACTTGAAAAATTAAACTGATAAAGAGAACTTGTTAATAATATCTCTAAAATTGAATCAAACCGCTGTCTCAAGGGTTTATCTATTTCGTTCAAGGGTAATAGGATGATAGTTGTACTTTTATCCTTCTTTGCTGAATGATCTTTTTAATCTTTAATAAATCAAGCCGTATTAAAGATATCTCGATGTAAAATTGAACATAATTGTCTCTAAAATAACTCTGATCTCTTAGACTAAAGAGTTTAGCAAAGTGTCAGCTAAATGATAACAGATATTTACAACGCATTTAAAGTAAAATCATCACTCAAGCTAAAGAGAGCTTGAATCCTTTAGTATTGAAGAAAAGCGAGGTAGCTATGGCTTCTATAGGTTAATACCCTTTAAATGTATGCCCCTCCCTCTGAAATTCGTGTTCTCCACAGGGAAGGCGTTTTCAAGCCTTTTTCTATTTAAAAGAATTAAATTACACCACGGAGCAGGTCGAGGACGCTCGCCACACATGTAGAGAAAAAGTATTTATACTATCAAGAGTCTTCCAGACAATTACAATGCCGCTACGCGTTGCTACATACATGGACACGTCAGGTTTCATTTCATGTACATCGCCCTGTTACTTACAGAGTCGTAAGTAAAATGCCAGAATACTTTCCTAATTGATCGTTCCCGGACAACCAAGACAGAGAGAAGTTAAATAGCGACATAATTCACTGAATTTACAAGACACCGGTAGCCTTTGAAGCATTTGCTGGGCGGTGAAAGAAAATTGCAGTCAAGGATATTGTCGCCGTGGAGACGGTATATCGCTGAGTGGCCTTCAACTCTGATTCGGGACTCTTCGCTCGGTGCTTTGACTGATTGCATGGAATTGTATCATATCTACCACGTCTAGCTAACTAGTTTATGAATTACGCGTTGATATTCTTATTGATATCTACAGCCTCCTTCACCATTCTGGGGACCAATTGACCCCCCAGCAATCTTCACCGGAGAAAATATAGTGATATCTAGATTGCTACTACGGCTTTAGATATCTACTGACCATCTGGCGACCACCCTTGCTGGGGCAAATCCAGAGCAGCTTCAGTCGCATCATCGACGTTCTCCCTTTGCAGTCCAAGCACGCCGTTATGCAATTTGTGCTCATAGATTGCTTCGCGACCCGGGTAGTGTAGACGAGCGTAGCAAGCCTTGGCCATTCCACGGTGATTGCCCTGTGAGAATTGGTCTCTACCAGTAGCAACCCTATCGGAGGTGGATTCGTACGTGATATTCCAATCCGAGTCTATGGTTTTGGTGACACGCTCGATACTATCTAGTATCTCGCGTTGGTTGATAAGAAAACTCGAAACGTATAGAGGCATTTTGTGGAATTGCTCTAGTGTTGGCGACACGTCTTTGTCATCGTCGAGCATCTTTTTCAGACTCAAGAACGCAGCTACAGCGCGCCCTAGCTGTGGCCACGTGCTCATATTGATATGGCGCTGGCCATCATCAAACATCTGGACCTTGCGTCCCTTGAGGTCGAATCCCAGCCACTCTGGAGGACTTGCCACACTGAACTCGTACCAGAGCCCTGTGACCAACAAGGTCCAAGAGATGGGCCCGATCGAGTCGATATCTTCTAGTAGTTTCCGAATGAAGGTACCTACGCCGATCTCATCCCCAACAGACTGATGATTCATCACAACATCCGTTGTAAACGCATTGGGTATGAGGTACTGCACTCCTGCCGTGACAGCTGCGCGTACAATCTTGTTGTGTGTCTCGCCCATATCTGGAGTGAAAGCGAGTGTGATGACTAAAGAGTCATGGCCTTTAAGCGCGGAAACTAGCGACGCTTCATCGTTGTAGTCGACCGCTGCGACATTGACGCATTCTGGGAATGTAGCGTTGCCGCCCTTGCGTGTCAAAGCAGTTACGGAATGCTTCCCGACTTTGAGAAGACGTTCTACAATGTGTCGGCCGAGTTGGCCGCTTGCCTGCTCAACTTCAGTGTGGAACTAATCATGCATAGGATAGTTTGCGCAGGTAGGTATTGTCTACTTCACAGATGAAAACTTACCCCGACAACGGCAACGCTTCTGATATAATTGGTAAAGCCCTGAGGCTGATCCTTGGCATACTTCAGTGACATGGTATTTGCTTTTTATTAAAGTGCTTGGCTGAGTTGTGATGTAAATAGAGTGAAGTATACTATATAGACAATTGAGAAATAAGACAACAGGTTAGATCTAATTTATAGATCATATGGAGTTATGTATGGACATTGTGAGAGCTTCTAACCTCTGTATTTGTGTGTACTTGCCGTAATTCGGCCGCGGTTCGGCCGAAACGTTTTATCAACACGGCCGAAACCTCATTGTAACACGGACGAAACCTTCCTTTTAGTGCGGACGAAATTTCGCCAGCAGCACATACGTAATTAGTTATACACTTTTAAACACGGATTCATCAATTAATAAGCACTTACATATTACCAAGCAGATCAAATGATTGAAAAACGCACCTGTTCAGTTCCATGATGACAACAAAGGCTTTGGAATCTCTTGAAATTTAACAGGTATGAGTTCAGTCTCTGCTCGTTGCAAGCGTGAAGTTCAAGTAATAGTATCCTGTTCTAAGTCTAGTAAATATTAAACCTCTTTCGAGGAAGTTAAAGTAGTATAGTAATTGTAGGTAAAATCCGAGTTTTGCTTCATAAATGAATTTATATTAGCTTCCTGCACTATCTGTAGGGTACTCTGTATCTCTCCGAATCTTTTGTGATGGGGCACAGCTTGTGATTGGCCAAGGATAGCCGATGATGTCAGCTACGTCATTGTATTTAACGAGCTATCTGCGTGCTAAAACCGTGCTCTTAATGTAAGGGTCCTATTACCTCTTTAAATGCTCAATTGAGTAAACGTAGCTGCTAATCGTATCTTTACCTGACCTAGGTCTGTTTCTTATCAGACCTAGTCATTGAAGATTAATACATGAAGGTATTACCACCTTAAGTGGAGAGCCGGGTTAATAAATAGCCCGGATCCGTAGAGGTCCGAGCTGGGTGTGCCCACAAAAGCAACACTAAGGTCAGGCCATTTCAACAGAGACATACCACTATTAAATACCTTCGTTTTGCCTTCAAGCTTAAGTGACGGTATTAAAGATGTTGTAGACAACAGGGTAATATCAAATTTGACTTCAATACATTATTCTCACCTATATACCTAGTAATACAAATAGCGCCATACAATTGTATTTTACAACATTTCTGTCCTTAGAGATACTATAATAGTTATTCTCTGGTACACGTCTGTAGAATCTCTTATACCCGAAACTATCTTGGGCTTTTATCTACCTAATAGCCACTTGCATACTCTAGATTGGGAAGCTGGATATACTGCAATCGGCGATAGTATTGTTATGCTTTTTGCATTAAAAGGCTGGGAAGATTGCTTTAGCTAATCTCAAGAAGCATTTTATATCTACCCACTACATGGGCTATAAGTAGAAATCTTTGAATCCTGTCAGACTCGGCCTTTGCCAAGTTTTCCGAAAGGCAATGCAGTGGGGCACTGTACGCAAAGTATGCCATGGCTTAGCCTAGCAAAGCAGCTAAGCTTACTGTATGTAAGAAAATAAGAAAATTGGACAGGGGCTAAGTATCCACCTTACAGTTGCTGTCAGATTCTGACCAGCCCAGACCGTTCTATAAGGCAGAATCAGCCCTTTAGATTTAGTGTGTGAGACTGGTAAAATGCAAGCCTGGGTCGTTCTGCAGCTTCTACGCAGAGATTGGGTGAGAACTAATCTTAGTAGCGCCACAACGGATTAACATTTCCGAAGTATTCTACCTACATTTCCTTTTCATCACCCCATATGATTTTTCACTAATATTATTTCTCTAATGGCTCCCAATTAGCCCTGGAGGTTAGACTTGAAACTCTGAGCGCGACCACTGCTTCAAACAGTTTGGGTAGCTAGGGCTTTCCTACCTTTTATTTAGCTCTACCCTTAAGCTTCATTGTTACTATGGAACACCCAGACGTTGTTTCACCAATATCGCCGGCAGGAAAGAAGCCCGTGAACTCTTCTGCCCATCAAAGGCCCATCGCCCTCGAGCAAGTCTCGCCCTTTACAGACCCCGACCTTTCCACCTCAACCTTCTCCCAGCACGCAATGAAGCAACCGCATCTGCAACACGAATCTACCACCGACAAGACCTTCTCGCCACCGGTAGGCATGTGGGAGTCCGTCTCTCACAGGCAAACCTCTGCAGATCCCCATCGACGACAGAAAATTGGAGATGATTATTCACTTTTGACGAGGTGTAATACTCCAACGCATAGCCCAAAATCGCCCATAGTGTCCGTTGAAGGCGCCCATGATACTCATGCAGGAGCTACTGTTCCTCCACCCTCGAGTCCCGCTGCAGAGCATGACAAGTCCGGCTCTTGGTGGGCCAAAGACTGGAATCCATCGTGGACTATGTATGTTCTCGTGTTCTGTGGAGTCGCATTCGCCGTTGGTCATCACTTCTACTACCGCAGCCTTCACGGTCACCTGGCCGAAGACCAACAGGGCAAATTTCGATATGGAGGCTTGATGGCGTTTTTGTCTAAAGCATGTTTTCTTAATGCTGTTGTTCTCGCTTTCCGACAACGCATTTTAATGGAGATTCGCCGCAAGATGCTCACCCTTGCGACACTCGACTCTCTCTTCTCTGCATCCGAGGATTTGACAGCTTTATTGAATTGGGAGGCTTGGGTGAATGCTAGGTTCGCTATGGCGATGACTATCTTTATCTGGACCTCACCTCTAATTGTTATCTTCACATCTTATACCCTTACCATCGTGCCCTCGACAAAAGAAGAGTATGCCATGTGTCAAGGAATCCACACTCTCAACTTCTCACATGAGAGAACTGTTTATTTCAGGCAGCCCCTCAAGATCAACGGGCTGTTCGAGTCCTCGGTCTCCCTTTGGAACACGACCGGCGTTGGCGGAGAAGACCTTGATGAGGATAATCCCGACGAGTTTGATTACTATACCGCTGGTAGTCAGCAATTTGAGATTCTCGCCTTGAAGACACTATATGGCGAAAAGGCTATCATGCGCGACAATGCCCCCCAAGAGATCTGTGGCCAGGGTTGGAACTGCTCTTATGCTATCGAGTTCACTGCTCCAGGCTACAAATGTCAAGATCTGGCTTCGGGAGTAAATGCAGACGTAAAGAAGCTCGGCGATGCTGAGTGTCCTTTTAATACATCCACTCTTGCCCCAACAGGTAACCACACATACTATGCCATGTTGACTCAAGGAGACTACGAGAACCCACAAATGATCACGGAGCCAGGTGGCAAACCTCGAAGCCAACCGCCCTATCCGAAGAACCTAGGCGTTTTTCGATCAGAGCCAATCTTGTGGTTCGGCTACTCCGATGTGAAAAACAGAAAGGAGGAACAACCCTCCCAGCCCGGGAAGGGTAACTGGGACAAGGCTTATACCCCCAAGATCTTTGGATGCGAGCATTATCGGACAAAATACAAGGTCACAGTCAATCTAACCGGCGAAACTCAAACACACAAGGTCACGGATCGCAAGTTTCTTACAAAGGTCATTGACACAACCTGGACGCCCAAGAAAGATCCCGACAAGAGACTCAAGGACCGAAATCAGGCAGTTCCCGAAAAGAACTATATTTACCCGCACGACAAAGAAAACTATCGCGAAGCAGCTGCCTATCATACGGTTGGAAAGGTCTTACGGAGCATCTTGAATGGGACCACTACGCTGCCTAATCACAATGTCAACAGCGAAATCATAAGAACAAGACTCCTTGACAACATTAATTATCTACCCGTTAAGAACTTTCCTGAGGAGATGCAGAAATTCTATGAGGAAATCTTGATGTCGTTCTTATCTGATTCTCGAATGGCTGCAGTGTCGTGGGCATCTGAGGCTTCAAAGCCGACAGGGAATAGCAAGGGCAATTCAGAAACACTATACCCCTGCGTAAGACGACAGTTAAGGAACACCTTCTCCTATAACTATGCGCAATTATGGGCCGTTTATGCGCTCTCAATCGGTATCACTATTGTTGCTGTTGCTTTAGGTGTAATAGCAATAGAGGAGAACGCTGTGATGCGCAGTACAAGCTTCACTGCGATTCTTGCCGCATCGAGAGCCTCAAGCCTTGATAAACTGCAATGGGAAAAGCAAAGCGATCTGAAAGGTACTAAGATTGGGTTTGGGCTTGTATCTGATAAGGGCGAGAAGACATATTCTTTTGGTGTTGAAGGTGATGTGAGCCAGGACACTGCCATGGCAACAGGGCGTTCAACGACGAATTTAGGCATTGGGACGGCACGAAGAGTAAGCTATGCTGTGCTAAGCAGGAGGGAGAGGGGAAGTCAGAACAACTTGAACACTTCTGTCTAAATAGGGCGTGACCAACCTCAGCGGTTGTAGATTTTATCAATGTCATTTTTCGCATCTCGGGACCTGGTCTTATCTTTGAAAAGTCTAGTTTTGGCTCGATCTCGGCTGATGGTTCAGCGGCGGCTCTGTAAACATTTCCGGATCAAGAGGGCAACAGTGCGGACAGAGTGGACTATGTAAATCGAGAACATAACTATCTGTTCGAGCTCACGTTACCTTCCATTCATTATATCAGCTTGATGAGATGCCCAGAATCTACGTCATACTCCTCACAAGGTAGGTTAGCCTTTCCCTTGGCTGATTTGAATGCATCGTATGACTCTTCAAACTTCCCCGTATCGGTGCGAACAGCACCACTGACGAGAGCATGCCCACACCGCGTAAACACTCCCGGTCGTCCAACGACACCTTGAACAATAATCCCTCGAATCTCTGAACTGACCTCCCACTTTGGCCCATTCAATGACATTGGCGACTGGACGTCAAACAAAGGGATAAAAAAGAGTTGATCCGCTCCGGCAACGTCGGACGAATCAATGTCAGCGGCTCTACCGTGTTCCTCCATTCCCTTCCCCCTTGAACGGTAGGAATTCCCGTCACGTTCGACTGTGATAGGATTGAGAAAGCAGTGCATCTGAAGATATCCAACGACCTTCTCACCACGATTCGGATCAATCTGTCGACAAAGGCTTACCTCTGTGATGGAACATAGCGAGATAACATCATATCCTTCATAAATGTTGACTTGCTGCAGATGTACCGCTCCGTTGACCGATGCCCAGGACCATGTTGGAGCAAGATCGTTACGAGGTGGTCGGTCGCCTTGCAGACTCTGCACGACCCACGCAAGTTGTATCTCCATCTTGGGCCTCCACAGACCAACACAGTATTCCATCTTGAGCTCATCTCGCAGATAGTTGGCTACGCCAGAGATGGCGATTAACTTGTCTCCAAGCATTGTCAAGCCACAAGCTGAGTAGGTGTTGACAATGGTTCCCCACTGGCCTATGCCCTCATCGACGGTTTGTGAAGGCGAGAGTAAGGAGGAGCCCTGCTTGCATCCAAATGTCATGGGCCTCGCCCCATAGCCGGACCAGGCCGTCGTACCATGAGGGAGTGACTCGCAAGCGGTTAATTCGGCGCAGTCCCAAATCACTTGCTCAGAGGCAAAATGCGCGATGCGAGGTGACAGCATGCGTTCCTGGGTAACCCACGATCGCAGGTTGAGCGGGGCCTTGTCAACGGCTTGAGTGAAATACCCCTGATCAACGAGGTGAAATCGGCCTTTGATGGCCTCGGTATCGACGTCAAGTGCCTCAGACTGCACAAATTGGGGATCTCGCTCCTGGAATAAACCTCCGAAGCTGCTGGTGGAGGCCGTAGCTGCGATGTTGAACAGGGCATGTTTATACACTTTGAGCATGGTGTTCGCTTCTTTGTGCCAATCTTGATCCGAATCTTGTATGATACACAATGAGTCGATCCAGATATACCTGAACCCAAGGGCTCTGACAACTTGGATTGCGTCTTGAAACGTCTTTGGCAGCTGGAGAAAGGGAATATCACCTTTCAGGACATTGATATTCTTGGTGGTGAGCTTTAAAATCTCGGCACCTCCCCAGCAGTGACTGAGGGAGACAAATGGCTCAGAGATGGTTGTTTTGGAAGATTCCACAAGCCTCAAGCTGTCCTGTTCAACTTGGATGAGCCGGGTGGGAACCCAGGCAGCACTGGAGCTTGTAGAAGGACAAGTCTGATGTTCAACGCGGCATTTTTCCAGACATGTTTTCAGAAAGCTCAAGCTCTCTGTTGAGCCAGTGCTTCCCGTCATCAGATCACATGTTTCTAAAGATTCTTGGTCAGTTCGTCAACAACAAGATGGGACAATATTTCACACACACCTTTATCCTTGATCTTTTCAAAATGCACCCGGCTCACCCCGAGTACCGTTCCATCAAGCCTTATTGAGCTATGGAACCAAGGATCGGTGCTCTTCCTGTTAGCCACAACTCCATGACTGTAATGGATCTGCAGAGCTAATTTCCGTTGCAGCCCGGCGCTGTCATCCTTCTCAATCTGTCGGAGTATGCCACGGCAACTATAGCAGCGCTTGGCTTTTGCTTGCAAGTCTACAAGAGAAATATCATGATGAAAGTTGGTAATGAGGAAATCTAGTCCGCTTGACTCCTTCTTCAGGGACATGGGCTGTTTCAACACGGCCTTGCACTCTTGGCACAACATTTTGTAATTAATCGATACGAAAAAGAGGGGTCAAGTTGTCAAGAGGCCTCCACTCTTTTCTTTAGCGGTTAACAGTCCCCACCTCTATTCTAATAACAGCATTAGCCGGGATTCGATTACTGTTGCATGGACCAATAGCAAATCCGCTGACGTGGTCTGACATTCTATGACTTTATTTCGCCAGCCCTCTATTAATTAACCTACATCCATAGATTCGTATCTATAATCCATCGAACCACACTTTGAATTCGCTGTCCTCCCATATTCCAGCAATACGCTTTGTTCAACAGAAGTAGCTACAACAACCATCGTATGGTTCATAACTTCTCGACCCAAGAGACTCAATTCCTAATGCTTTACTCAAGGAACTGATCCCTGATTCTCCGAGTTTAGATCTTTTCTTGAACTTTTGTTGTTCTTCTCGCTCCCATTGGGCTTGAGTGTTGTTCAACAATGCCGCATCTCTCATATCGGAGGCTGCTGTCATCTCCATTCTTTCTCCTTCTGCAAGTAGCTTATTAATTGTTTCATTCTCTCCTTATTTTTACCCCAATATTGTCATGTTGGATCACCACAATAGTTAGACCTGCGTGATGTTTAGTATGGTGGTAAATTTGAGATGTTTGTCAAGAACTGCGTTAGGGCATACCTGCATAACAGAAACCATTCTTGTTGCTTTGGCTTGGTAGTGTAATGCAATAAAATGCTAATCAGAGTTCGAGCTATTTAGCCAGTTGATAGAGACTGGTAATAAAAATCTCAGTTTAGCCTCTAACTATGATATAATCTTACGGTTCAAGCTTCAATTCATCATGTATGCTATTTCGTGGTTGAGGAATACATGTACCTTGAATGCAGGATAATGCGACAACGGCTTCATTTGGTTGCCCCTTATTCCAAAGTAAATGAACCAACCAGCTACCTAACTGTGTTTCTGACCGCAAGCATGGTATGACCAGCTGAGAGGTAATTACTTGAGAGGCGTTTTGATAAGCGCCCTTATCTAATCTAAGAGACCGGTTTCGGGAAGATATACCTGCACTGTCTCCTAATACAGCTTTTTGCAGCCCTTATAACCCTCAATTAGAAACCAGCCACACTACGCGGTATGTTTGCCACAAGGGGGGGTAAAAGACCAGATCGACAACACGACATAGTTAACCCAACACTGTTTAACAAGATACTTCTAAATTATCGATATTTCATTGTTTTTCTAAGTGAATGAGGTTAAGCCAGCTCACGTCTTGTTAAGGCTCTGATAGTATAAACGAGTGTTGTAATTGCCGACATGTGCTTGCAATTAAAGCTTTGGCCTGAAGATATGCCTTTCCGTCTGAGGCTGGTCCAAAAGACTTAAAGACACCACTGCTCACAGGTCTGTCCATCTCCAATACATCTAGACTTGCAGTGATTTCCACACCAACGGCAACTGGCATGCTCAGAAGCGTAACAGCTACCATCGCCAATGGTGCAGCGACCACCGAGATGAACGCACTCTCTGCATTGAATGCCAGCCTCAGCGCGGGGCTGTACATATATAGAATTAGACACACTACTCGCTCGAAAGGTCTTGGTTGAGATTACTTACAACTTCACGGACTTCAAGCACACCGTCACGCTCGAAAATGTCAACTGACATCCCCATTGGGGCAGGATTGGCGGCAGCACCAGAAACGGCAGCGAATGCCAGGGCAGCAATGTTGAAGAAAGCGGCCTTCATCTTGATGGTAGGTACAGCGGGTTTGTGTTTAATATATGGTTAAGTGAGGAGAGACAAGAAGCCTGCGGTGTCATTTATCGTAAATCAAGACCATTGGGAACTTTTATACCTGAAGAGGAGAATGATTCTCACCCTTTATACCAACCATTAACACCTGGTTCTCAAAAGGTCTTGTCGTTGCTGACGGATTAAGTTCTCGAACTGGGAACATTTTGCATCCTGTGCCCTCGTATCATGCATTGAGAGATTCCTTACAGGCGGCAAGGCTTCTCAACATTATTCGGAATGATCTGATATCCAAGGCCGTGCGTCACTTTGTGTTGGTAAGCCCAAGCTCGGTTTATTTCGAGCAAATGCACATCTGATCCTGATGACAATTATTCAAGTTTAATCTCATAGAGTTTCAATCTCATATGTCTTTCCGTATACAACGGAAGTGCTCATACAGTCTAAGACAAAGTCCATTGATAATACTCCAGCGGGAAAGGAGGCTGCGCTTACTGTTGAGGTATAGACTTGGCCAATATGATTGTTACAAGGCAGTCTCCCACTCTGGCAGCTTCACTTAGAATTCAGGGTTAACATGTCAGCTGAGAATCGTAAGCCCTGCAGAACAACGCGTGTTCATGAAGATCTTACTATGTGTTGAGGTCCGATAGGTCTCCTACCTCGACCATTGTATTACTCCAGTTCGCCCAGTAATTGATTGTGAAAGAGACCATGCCTTGAAAATCCCGCATCGAATGTCATGCCACTGTTTAGCATCGTTAAGTGAGCCCCATGTCAACGACCGACAGTAAGCCACCATGAGGCAATTATAGCATTCAGATAAATGGTCCAATATACTAATAAGGCTTGTGCGGAATGTAAATCTATTGATAACACTAGAGGACTACTTCACATTCAACTTTAACCGAAACTCACTTATAAAGTTGATAGGCATGGGTATTTTCAAATCATCCCTGGTCTCAGTTCAAGTTAAACTGAGCTTTCGGATTTTCTGGAAAAGCCTTGTTAAATATATCCCTCGTTCATTAAGAGATCTGCACCTGGTAAGCTCAGGTCCTGACATACCCTGGCAGGCGCCGTATGATTGTCACATTTGTTTAATATGCGGCCTCAGTGCAGCAGTGATTAATCAACCTCAAAGTATTTTAGGCGTCCTGGTCGCAGGGCATGTCGCATACGCCGGCCGAGGGACCGAGACAGTAAAAGGAAGGGCCAGTTCAGCTGTCCTCAGATTTAAGGTCAGGGCTTAGATCCCTATTACAGTCAGACTTTTTAATGGACTGACAGCCTACTCGAGCCTGCCACAAGGATTGTGCATAGCAAAGGTTCCTGGTATATACGCGTGGTCTCGGTCTCATTTCCACAACCAAGTACCTGTTGGTTTGGCTTGGTTTTAACTGGACTGTCACCCTCTTAATGGAGGCAGCGACGGGTAGGCCCGGTATTACTTTATCTCGTGTTCAGTGTCCACCTTTTTCTACAACTGTGGGTTATTTTTCTCCAGTTTATTGGATTGTTCGATATTGTAAAACCCCCCGATTCGCTCGCCGGAGGGGAACGGTAGTCATCTAGCTCCCGCGAGGATAAACGGAAATAGTAATCCCCGGTCGATCATATGTCATTCATGCATAAGTAATACCTGAGTGAAAACAGACTTCATGGCTTGTCAATGGTCGCCCTATTAGTGTCAGACCACTTGTGCGCACATTTATTAGTCAAAGAATGCCTCATAGCTTGACCGGTGCTACTGAGTTGGTTGATCTTTATTTTGGTGTGGACAAAAGTACCATCTATTGTTGTTGTCCAGGTTAGCTTCAGCTTGTTTAAACCAATCAAATATTTATAGAGCGCAGGTCCTCCTTTGTCACATTAATCACATCATGAGATGCAACGTGTTGGCTGCAGAGTTTTACGCGTTGCTGGTGCCGAGTTCCGTGTTTAACCAACTAAATTAGATTAGATAAGAAAGATAAAAAAAGCCATAAGCATGTGATCGTCCGGCTCGTTCAGGAGGACACTTTGTTTTCCATCATTCCCGGCCAGATCCATTCAGATCAATCATGGTACCTAAATTGGTATCTAGAACTATCCTGGTTATCAGTCTTTGCTCTCTGTTCTGGTGGGCTTTCTTCAGGTCTACTTCTCACAGTGGTGGTAATCATGAAGTAACTACGGCACCGCTACATTTGTTTGACTTTATCAACGGGGCCTCTGGTGATAGTCAAAAATATTCGGTTTCATACGGCTCTCAGGAGGCGTATGAATTCTGTGCCAGCCATGGGTACTCGGCTTTTGTTCCAAAGAGTGCTTCTGGCCAGCGCAAGGTGTTCGACATGCTCATGATCAACACAGAGCTGGACTTCCTTGAGATACATCTCAACACACTATACGAATATGTTGACTACTTCATCATCGTTGAATCGCCTAAATCATTTCAGGGCAATAAGAAGCCGCTCGTTCTCAAAGAGAATTGGAGTAGATTCCGTCGCTACCACGATAAAATCGTATATCACGAGTTGGTCTTTCCATCCACATTCAACCCACATCGACCTTGGGACTACGAAGACCTGCAACGAGATGCCCCTTTTAATCAGGTTATGCTTGGTCTGGAAGGAGAACAAGCTCCATATAAAGGGGACGTTATTATCGTGGCAGATGTAGATGAGATCCCTCGTCCACAAACCCTGGTCACCCTCCGATACTGCGACTACCCTCGACGACTGACCCTAGCCTCCAAATTTTACTATTACTCATACCAGTTTCTACACGTTGGGCCGGAGTGGCAGCACCCACAAGCGACCTACTACGAAGGGCGCCGAACCCTAAAACCTACCAATCTACGCAACGGAGACGGCGGTTTCCGTCCGTTGCGTTTCCTGGAGAGGGGCGTGCTGAGTAACGCATCATGGCACTGCAGCAGCTGCTTCCCAACAATAGACCAGTTCCTTAACAAGATGGCGAGCTTTTCACATGTATGGATGAATCGTGACCAATACAGGGACAAGAATAAGATTGCTTCTGCAGTGAGAGAAGGGAAAGATCTCTGGGGGAGAGAACATGATAAGTTCCTTAAAATTGAGAGTAATAGTGATCTACCCCCACTTGTCCTTGAAGAGGCGAAACGATTTAGCTATATGATCAGTCGGGATGGACCATCAGCAGGATTTACAGATTATAAGGGGGAAGGAAATAAATAAGACATTATTTCACTGGAATTATGTGTAAGCGTTAGATACTATTACTTTTAACAACTTTTTTATTATTGGATTAGATAGCTATTGATGAATCATTTCGGTCTCATCAGGCTTTTTGAGGACGAGATTGCATTTGACGCAGGCTTCTTCATGGATAAGGCGCCTAAGCCGCTTGATCATGAGACTTAGGCAGTGACAATACCCTTCTCGGAATGTTCAAGATATAAATGACGCAGTGAAGAGGAGCAGTCTGTAGTCAAGCCCTACAACATCAATATCGACCTGGCTATAACATGAATGGGTAGCATCATTGCTAATGCGAGCTTTAATATGACGTTCAGATAATTTTATATCGTTTGTGCCGTATTAAGTATCCACGACGAGTTTCTCACATTCGTATTATCTGCGTTGATTCTTACAGAAAGCGTGTTTATATTCAGACTCACGTCCTACCACCAGCCCACTAGAACCCTTGCTACTGATACTATGAAATTCGAACTAACTGCTAGATAGCCTCCACTTCAGTCTGTCCAGTAAGCTTGCGGTTTCCGTCAATCAATTTAACCTCCCAGAGGATAACATTGACCTTCTTAGTCTCCTCTCCTGTCTTTCGATCAACAGTTCTCCATTTGCTCAAAACAGCCACGACGCCATCCCCCTTCTCCGGATCCTCCCACGAAAGAATCTCGGAGAATTCATCTTGGATCGCGGTGGTAGAGCTGCGGACATATAGAAGACCGCCTTTGAATTGGTCGTATATGTATACGTTGTGGTTCCCAGTTGATAATATTATTGATACCATTATACGTTACATCACGAAGGCATAGTAGGATTTTAATAAGGGTTATATAATATAATTTAATTCCTCGGCCCGAAGTTACCTTTAACTTCAGGGCTGCCTTAACTTTAACTTTAACTTTAAATACGTATTCCTCCTACTAATTTTAACCTTCTATATTTCTGCCTCAGCCCCTTAGCGCCTTATACATAACTTCTCTTTATTTATTAATCTAGAAGACCTTAACTATATAGTTAACCTACATTTCTAAGCTCTTATATTAAGCCTTATACTTTATCTTTAATACCTTAATAAAAAAGGTCTTAATATTAAGGACTAGCCTTTCTATAAGCCTATTTTCTAGGCTTTTTAGGGGTTTAAGTTATTTCTTTACCTCCTGCCTCCTACCTAATATATACTTCTAATTACTATAGTTAGTAATAAGCCTTAGACTATAAAATATTAAAAGCTTATAGCTAAAGGTAATTAATTTAATTAAGCTATAGTTATCCTATCCGGTATTAAAAGGTAATATAAGGCGGCTAGTAAGAAGATCTCTAGTCTTATTCTTAAGTAAGTTTAGCTTCTACCTATTATAATAGCTATTAATAGCTATATAGATATTATTATAGTCTAGGCCGAGGCTTATATTACGGTAGATACTTAATATTTAAATACTTATTATAGTAGCTATAAAGAAGTTAGTAATATAGACCGAAGGGGGTTGATTAACTAACTATAGCTATAAGGGTCGATTAACTAGGTAGTAGGCTTATGGTATGGATTAGGTTAAGGGTATAGGGGGGGGAAGCTAGCTTTTATATATATGGCTATATAATCTACGTATTTACTTAAATAGAGTTTAGTTACTTTATATAACTTCTACTGCCTTAATTATATTAAGTTTTAACCTTAGAAGGGTTATTTTATTATTAATATTATTAGGAGATTTAGAAAGCCTGGGCTTAATAAAGTTAAAGGTTAAAGATAAAATAAAAAAAATACGTTATGGTTGATCCTGGTGTGCCTAATGTTAGATGAACTGATTCGATGATACTAACTTAGGTTGGGGGAGCTTACTTGGTTACGAGGCTTGAATCAACCTGTTCCTCTATGGCCTTGATGGCGACTTCATCTTTGGGTTGGATGAATAAAACATCATTAAGGTTCTTAACCCACTGAGTGAGACTCTTGTTTGGCAGACATCGTGAGTTGCTGGTTAGGAGATAATATAAAATAGATAAATAGTTGGTTAATGTAACTGAAACTCAAGAATGTTAAGCCAGGAAGTCCCTTTTATACCCATGAACTGCAAGGCTCTTTGAATCAGTTGGATTTCTAATCACGCCTTGCTCCGACCCCAAAGAATACTACAAATCTCAACTCCGCACTCACGGTGTGACGACGTTAAAACTATGAATGTCTATGGTAATGACAAGGTGTCTGAAAATATGCATGAACAGTCCGAAAGGCGATGAATAGCTCAACCATACACTGCCGTTAGTTATAGGTAATCTAAAAGTGGACTTGGAGCGGATTTGGTGCGGATGTATGGTGGAGATGGCCCGGAGCCGCACTATTTCTCCACCCCGAAGGCGTGCAGCCACTGTCCAAGTGGGGGAGAGGAATTGATAAGTGCATGTGTTCTAACTAAAAGCAGTGAGCAGTTCTCTAGGCTATGTCTTAAGGCCATGCTGTCGCCGGCGACTTGTCATTGGCAGTCTAGACAATAGACAAGTTTCTGTCTAGCGGGGTATCTAAGGTAGGGTATAGACTACAATAAATGTTTTCAGTTATGAAGTTATTCTTTCATAAATTAAATTTATAAGCATATAGATTCATTCTAGTAAACAACTGAAACCTCATCCCCAGTTCTCACAACCCACGTCTCGACCTTTTCCAATCCCCACATGATAGTAAATAAATGTCGTGCAAATTCATCAACCTCACCAGCGCCAACACCACGATCCAATAGCATCTGGCCCTTTAAGGTATATATAAACAATGGGTCAGTATGTCGCGCAACAGCCTCCCATTGTGCAGAGGAAGAAGCCTCCCAGAATTTGGCTTGGGTTGTAATAGGCATATCGCCTCCGCAAGATTGTATGTTACTGCCTTTCAGACCGCTATAGACACCGGTCGCGATGTTACATATCAGCCCGGTGCGACGAATAGATTCGGAGAGGATGAACGAGCGGTAGAGGCCAGGGACAGGATCCAATTCGCCAATGGCTCTTCTGCTGGAAGACATCAAGGTCGGTACCGGTGAAGCGAGTGCACTATCGTTTGTCGCAGACTCCCATAGCTGATTCTTCCAAGCGTGAAGAAGGCTGATGAGACTTTCGGCTTTTGCACGGCGCTCAATTGAGGAAGAGAATAGTGCGAGCAGAATGTGAATGAGAAGAGCTTGTGTGCGGGCTAAATGGTCCCTTGTTGAGATGGTATTGGTACACCTAGCGGGTTGACCTTTCAGTAAATTCGTAATGTGAGTGGAAGCAATTGCATTGGTGATGGTTTCATTCTCGCTATTCGCAGCATTAGAAACAACGCATGCAGAATACGCATCTTGAATGCATTGTGGGTATCCAGAGTCCGAATACAGATGCCGGTGGATGAAGGGGTTATGTCCTGTCTTTACAAAACGGGATAACCAATTCTGCAAGCCGCGGATGAAATTAGTAAAGGCAGAGGCTGGAGGCATTGTGTCTGGTTCGGTATAATGATATCCTATTGTCCATGATTGAGGGCCGAGAAACCAGCCCAAGTCTCGGGATGAGTGTGTCAGCTGACCCGAAGCCTCAGTCATCCCACTTGAGGATGGACCTGAGATGGACGATGGGTTTGATAGTGAGGATGTCCAGAATGGCGCTGACGGACAATCCAGGCTGGCACTGAAAGTAGGATCGAGCAGCCATGGCTGGGACATATCTCCAACCAAGGCCATACTATTCGCATCGGCTGCAGACGTCCACGTTTCTCCAAAGATCATGTCTGGAGCAGCTTCAGCTTCAGCCTGAGCGTGTTGTCTTGGCAAAGGTGGGTAAGTGCAGACCGACTCCCGATCGAGACAGCGCGAACAGGAGGGATATCGCTTGTCGCAGCGGCGCTTGGTCTCGACGCAGGCGAAGCATGACTTTTGCTTGGATTTCCGACCCATTGTGGATGTGTTTTGGACTGTTTGGAGATGGAAGTGATGGGTTGGCCTAGTTAGTTTGTTTTTGGTAGCGGAGATGAGGTGGAGGTGGAGGGAGGACGGAGGAGCTAGCGGAGTTGGATCGGAGATGCTAAGTTAAGCTTCGTTCGCGCGCCACGCTCGGAGCACATGCTGGACAGGGCGGGAGGAGATGGCAGTTAACTGTTATTGTACGCGTAAATCACATGCTGTAGTATTATTTAGATTAGATACACGACATGCGTCATACATACGCAGAGCACCAAAGACTACATAAGTATGTCTTGAATCGGCAAAAAGTTGCATCTCAGTAGCTTACCATACCTCCGCTCCTTTACTCCTATCCCATCTCGAGTATATTGGCAGAGACCGAGCCTACCTGTAATGGCGACAACACAATGGAATCCCTCCACAGACATGCCTGATCTCGAGGGTAAAGTGGCTGTCGTGACGGGAGGCAGGTAAGTAGTAGCTTACCGCATGATCTAGCATAATGACTGACACGGCCTATAGCTCAGGAATTGGCCTCGAGACAGTTAGGTTCCTGGCTCAGAAAGGAGCAAAGGTGTACTTGACGACGCGCAGTGAATCGCGAGCGCGCCAAGCCAAAGAAAAGCTTAGCAAGACTTTCGATATCAATCCTCACAATGTTCAGTCTTTGGTGATGGATCTGTATGATCCGGTTAGCATCACCAGTGCTGTCGACGAACTAAAGAGGCACGAGACAAAACTCCATATTCTGAGTATGTTTCGGAACTGTCTGTTTACATAATGATAACTGATAATGTTAAAGTTAATAATGCGGCTGCTTCAACATCGTCCACTATGTTGGTTGATGGAAAATATGAACAACATATGGCGGCCAAGTATGTTTACCCCAGTCGATATTGAACCCGATTGCTAACACGCACAGTCATATGGGACCATTCATTTTGGTCGATAGACTCTTGCCTTTACTCAAATCCGCCGCAAAGGAGCCAGATGCCGATGTTAGAATTGTGAATCTCAGCTCGACAGCGAGTATCAGCATGCTGCCAGCCAACTTCAAGTTCAACTTCGACTCCCCAATATGCTTCAACGATCCAGTTCAATCATACCCATGGCAGTGGCGCTACCTAGGTAAATTCATGTTTGGCTTCGACATGATTCGGTACGCTGTGTCAAAGGCAGCCGTGGTGCTATTCACGCAAGAGCTGCAACGACGATTACAGGGACAGAACTTGCCTATTACTTGTATAGCTGTTCATCCTGGAGAGGTACTTACCGAGGGCGTATTGGCTATCAACACTGCTGTTGTTAGGGCTATAGCTCGGTCATCGTTTATGCCTGCTGAGCAGGGCGCTGCTACTTCCCTATTTGCGGCGACAGCAATAGAGGTTAAGAAGAATGCCCTGAAGTACCAGGGGAAGTTTTTAGTTCCGGTGGGAAAGCTAGAGACTCCCAATCCTATTGCCCAAAACGATCAGCAAGTAAAAGGCCTATGGGAGAACACAAGAGTTGAGGTCAACAAGTGGCTTGTGGAAAAGAAGCTTCCTCTGCTAGAGGCCTGTTAATATTCTTGTAAATAGCACCGTATTAATAATCTTATGTTTTCAAGTTATTAAAATGCCATCTTATACGTTTTACATTGTTTCTGTGTCTACCTACAGTGGGTTGTCTTACTTTTAAAAAATGTGCGGTGGTCTTATCGACGACCTAAGACCTTTCGAGTTGGAGTTGAGCGACCGCTAATATAATGAAACCTCAAGTCAGATAAACAGTATGGAGACTGCTAAAGTGATGGCTGACGTGGTTCATTCAAATAGGATCCGAGTACCCAGGATCCCATTAGAGATAGTAAAGAGGGTTATACTTTAGGATCTCGGATCACTACATGATAGCACTGATCATTTCAATACTTTTGCCTTGTCATACAGTCGTTGGATCTGTATGAACCAAGGTACGTACATGGTTTATCATGAGCCTTGTTAGCGGGGATTTTTACACGCCCTTCGACTGACATGCCTCAGACATAAGCAAGGCAGCGAAAGCTTTGTCATCTCAATGACGTGGTACCTAGCCCGTAGAATATTTATGTTACCGACATCCTGCGACAGACAACAAATTGTCACATTTTCCAAGTCTGTGATTCCAGTTTATGCTATCAGTCGCAGTAAGACGCACTGCAGTTATTGGAAGCCCGCTGATAATTCTTTGTCTGTAAGGCAGTATTTTAAAGATTCGTTTACGACAATGAGTTCCGAGGCTCACCCTGACAATACGATCCCATCACAATGTGTTTTTCTCACTGGTGCAACCGGATTTGTCGGCGGCACTATCCTCTCTTGTCTGTTGAAGGCACATCCTAGCATACGGTTTAAAGCTTTAATCCGTAAGGAAAAGGATGCTAAAGAACTCCAATCAGTCTATTCAACTCTCACACCCATCATCGGCGACCTTACGTCTCTTTCTCTCCTGACATCAACAGCAGCAGAGGCCGACTTCGTCATCCATGCTGGAGGTGACAATGTCCCCGCTGTTTGCGCGATGATAGATGGGCTGGCATCCCGAACCCGCACTGGATCGCCCATACCACAACTTATCAGCCTAACCGGCCCGCGTAGTCTTATCGACCTCTCGAGTCCCATCACTGGAAATCTTAGAGAGAGCAGCCGTCCCTGGAGTGATTTTATGGATGGACACGCAATACTCAACGTTCCTAAGGATCGGATACACGCTGGTGCTGATCAAGCTATTGTCGCTCACAGTACTGCGCAAGGGGTGGGCACAATGCTGATCTCGCCTGGACAACTGTGGGGCCGTGGCAAAGGTCATCTGAAGAAGGAGAGCAATGCGGCGTTTTATTATGCAGCGGTAAAGAGCCGTGGACGGGCCTTTGTGATCGGTGAAGGCACAGCTACGTGGTCGTGGACTTCCATTGGTGATCTAGGAGATGCTGTCGTCTTTCTGTTAGAACAAGCACTGCAGAGTGGCAGTGAGAGACGCGGAGAAGTTGGAGTAAATCGAGACGGCTACTATTTTGTGCGTACTGAAGACTTGAGTATGATGGAAAGGGCCAAAGCTGTCAGTGAACGCTTGGGTCTTGGAGAAGTAGAACGCGTGTCGGTTGACGTTGCAAGAGAAATTCATCCGTTTGGTCCCATTATGTGGGGTTGTGGTGAAAGAACGAGGTCTGACAAGTTGCTCGAGCTAGGTTGGAGGCCGAAAGAGACCAATTGGAAGGATTTGATGGAGGAGGGAGATGGACAGAGAGCATAAAGATAGTTCTCAGGAAGAAATGCTTGTGACTGCTTCCGACTTACTACTTAATTGAAAAGTAGATAGTTTATGTTCTGTTGTGAATCCTGTCTCAGATTAGAACATTAGACAACTGAAGGTTTGGATAACGTCAGAAACTACGGCGTTTGACCTAATCTCGGTGACCTTCTGACTCGACGTCACTACAGTCGAAATATTCATTCATATCCTAATTAATATTTTACTTTTGTCCAATATACTATCTTCTCCTTACACAAAGTCATAAACTAATGAATAGCGTACGAGACTATCATAGGAGATTTAAGAATAGGTGTAAAATAATCCGTAAGTTAGTGTTGCAAACTATATGTTTCAGCTATGTAACCGCCTATCTTGAACTACATAACAGTGGTTCCTCGTGCTTGGTAAATGTAAATCAACGTGACAATGGTCCCTAGGAAATAACAAGGATATAGTGGCTATTGGAGTAACGGGACTACTGGTAGTTACCGCAGAGAATGCCACCAACAACAACACCATTGCCAACTATAGCCATTGGCGGAGACATAGTAGCGGCAGTAACACCAGCAACTGTCATCAGGTTGCAGAAGCCCGCGTTTGCATCCTCCGAGAATGAAACACTCATGAAGCTGATCATGCTGTGATCCGCTGCATTGATGCGGACGGTGATAAAGTTTGTGCTCTTCCACTGAGTGGTTTCACTGATTGACGATCCTGCAAATCTGATTAGAAGAGAACAAGACGTTGAACGCGATATTGTGGCATACCTAAGCAGCCGTGGACTTGCCAAGCAGGGCATGGATTGACGACATATTTCTCCACATGGCTGGTGGACGCACCGTTGTCGACGAGGCCTTCAAGGGCAGCTTTGGCGGCGTCGATCATCTGGTTCTTATCGCCGGGGAGGCCAGGCGGATTGAACGAGCCTTGAACTTTCATCTTGATTTTGTGGCTGCCCGCAGCACCCGTGCTCGCGAAGAAGGACTCCGCTTCGTAGACTTTATCGGGAACACAGCCACCATCATGACACTGCTCACGGAGCGTCTCAAGTATGTCCGCGGGGAACTTATCGCCAAAGCTAATCTCCCCGTCTCCAAAGCTAAGCTCGACTGAAGTTACAATCGGGGTTTCAAGGGGGTCTTTGGGGATAGCAACGCCACTTGGTGGGTCGATGGGATCTCGTGGTCTGTCAACCTCATCCTTGGTCCCTTCAGAGCTTTGGGGCGCTGGGAGAGCGAGGACGCATCCGAGCTGACAAGAGAGAAGTGCAAGAGAAATGGGAAACTTCATGGTTTCTGCGATAAGCTTATTGCTGCCGTTTGGGTAATGAAGCGGCTTGAAGAGAGAAGTAGGGGTTTATAGGTAAGGGGACTTAAGGGTAGAGTTGTTGTATAGGCAATATAAATTGAGTATTTTTACAATAGAAATAAAAGCAGAAGGTAGATGGATCCCAGGGTGATTATATACTCAGATCGGAAGAATCCTTCTCTACATTAAAAAGGTGTTTTATGTTCAACATAGCCACTTGCACTTGGAAGACCCTCAGAATCAATTCCACTTACAACGTGAAGGTACTCAATTGTATTCAACGGAAAGTCACACACAGCCTGTATATTGACGTATGTTTATTTCGAAATGGATAGCAAAATGATGTACAAGTACATAGAATGTCGAAAATAAAGTATAAAGGTGTGATATAATGATTAAGCGTAGCTTTAAGATCGGCAGGCTGTCCAGGCATTAATTTAGATGCCTAGTTTATGGTATAGCCATTTTTATCTAGCCGATAGTAGAGATCATCGTATCTAACCGACAACATGGATTTCACTTTATGGCCGATGTTGGAAATCGTAATATTTAGCTGATCGACAATCTTATCTAACCGCCATGTGCTAGAATCTGGGGTAGTTCAAACCCTAAAAAGAATTATGCATGAAACAAGAATCCTACAATCCCATAGAATCCTATGCAATCCAAAAGTACTGAATGTGACGTATTAACAAGTTACTAAGTGAGCGCGAAGGATTCAGTTTCTCAGCAGCTAGGTAATGATAAACGGTACAGCCTCTTGCACTCTTTTTCAAAGCAGGTTTCCCAACCGCAACTGACGAAGACCGCTGATCAGTTGGGTTTGTTGCGACTGCCGATACCTCCCAGCTTGTCGTGATGGTTGCTTGTATTGCTGCTGCCTGGAACTCACTGACTGGGAGATCACCAGCGCATCAAACTGCAAGCCTCTCAAAACTAAAGAAACCTACTCAATTAGTAAACTTAGAAATGCAATAGTAAGGAGAAACAGCTCAGCGCCTATTTTCCATTCTATCGACCTGTGGCAATAGAAAGTCACAGGGCGAGGGCCAAGGGTATAAGTATACGTTCATGCCCTCTCGAGATTCTCCTAGTCAACATAGCCCCGAAAAGAAGCACCACTATCAAAGCATCCCAAAATCTACCAGTAGCTTTACAACATGAAGTCTTTCATCATTATAGCAACTCTAGGAGCCATACTGCCAGTGGTTGCTGCTCCTAATCCATTGACAGGAGGTTTGTACTTCCACTCCTCATCTATGAGGGTCTCCTATATTTGTCCTGGTATCCTTGGATGCTAACAGTTCGGAAACCAGGAGAGTCTGGTCTCGTTTCTCGTGGCACTTGCTCAGTGAATATCGAGGTCAAAAAGACATGGCATGAGGCCGGCCAGACACGCCGGCGCATCCAAGTTCTTGCAGACGGGACGCCGCCTGATGCCTTCTGCCAACACATGGGCGGAGTGAATAAGCAGTGCTACATTCACGAAACCTATGGGCACGTCGTTGATACCAGCTACGAGCTGGGTCTCGGTGGAGATCAGAGGTTCTCGGCTGACTGGAACTATGGCCTGGATGCCTGGAGGCTTGAGACAGGATGCAGGCCGGACGAATGTGCTAACGTGCAGCCTCCTGCACGCCACCGCCGTGAAGACAGACTTAGCGACGATCAGAAAGGCGGCGATAGGCCTGGGCAATGCCTTGTCAATGCCGAGGTGAAGGAAACGTGGCGTGAGTCAGCTAGGACCCGCCGACGCATCCATTTGACAGCTGACGGAGCCGACCTTGCTATCTTTTGTACCCATATGAAGGGAGAGAACAAGCAGTGCTACGAGCATAAGTGCTATGGCCCGGGATACGTTGTGGATATTAGCCACGATCTGGGACCCGCAGGGGATTATACCTTTTGGAAAGACTATAAGCAGGCCTTGGACCTCTGGATGAAAGAGACTACTTGTCGGACTGGCACTTAGATAAATAGGTGATTGACGGGAGTTCATATTATGCAGCTGTAGGAGCAGTTGTTGCCATACAATGATAGGAAACATAAGGCACTTTGTCGTTGCACTATAAACCGCTGACCTTCCATGACATACCGCGACGAGAACTTGGCCTTCGGACCGCGATTAAAACAGATATTTCATGTGATCGACGGCTAACGACGTCCTTCAGCACCTCAGCTAGGGAAAGAGACTTGATTCGGGGTATATTATCCTGACTTAGTATTACACTGTCGCTTAGAGATTTAACTAAAAGGTGTAAAGGCGGGTTCGCATTCTAATAACACCTAGTACTATTCATATCCTACAGGAAAAACGGTTTGATAATGGATCAAAGGGTACTCTGACTTTTTCATGTGCCATAACATTAGAGTATTTTGGGCCGCAATGTCAAATACATCCCTTGTCCCCGGTGTAGCCGAGGACGGATGATGTGCAGACTTGGTACGTACAGGCTCCTTTCCTCTTTCTTCATCCAGCGTCTCGGCTTTCACTAACTATATGTATTCTATAAGGTTACATAATGCTGTTAGCACTACCGGGGATGTCTTGGAAATCCTTGCCGCGATCGTCAGCCTATACCTGATGTACCGAAGAGATCAGGGTGATAGAAATGGTCAAGCTGGTATTCAACAAGAGTCACGAGATGCCAACGTTTTGAACGTGGATGTACCGGAACAGCTCCACGAGTTGCGAAGGCTATTTGAAACAGTAGGTGCCTTGCCAATCCGACCATCAGGTTTTTGTCCATCCATCAGGTGCTAGCGTCATCTCTGACATCGGGGTAAAGTTCCGTGGCCATCTCGTCACCCAACCGCAAGTTCAACTCGCGGGTCTGCAAGAATCATTGAACATAGTCGCCGGTCCCTTGTCAGAATACAGACGCCTTGCCAATCGCATCGAGAGCAGACTGACAAAGCTAGAAAACAATATAAGTGTGTCTCCTTTTTAGTTCTCCACATCATCATCATCGCAATGCTACTTTTCGTACACTCCTCAACACATGTATCACTTATAGTTTCGGGCACTTACGAAGGTTGCTACAGGTATCTCCAACCAGGACCTATATGAGCTCGTCCAGGATGCCCACAATGGAGCAATCCTGTTCTCTACGCTGAAACAAGCAGTGACACCCCTGATCCGTCAGCTAGAAGAGAATTACAGCACTATTATAGAGAGTTCCCAGACTCACAAGAACAGGTGGCAAGGTACCACTGGTGTCATCACGGGAGTGGCAATCTATTGCTTTTGGAACCCTGTAGGCTGGGCCGCATTCGGCGCCTGCCTGATCAGTGCATCTGTTGGATACGCAGCGGGTGAGGTACATTCCAAGTGGGACGCAAAAGGCAAGGAAGCCTCCGGCAAGAAGGATAAAGTTAAAGAACGTAAGTTCTCTCCTCAAATTATTTGTCCTCTCAGCAATTCATTAATCAAGCTGTATATCTGTGTCGACCTACAAAACTCCCATCAATCTTTTTGAACTATGAAGCCCATACTAACAACTCTTCCACAGTCAAGTTAGCCATCAAGGGGGTGGATGAATGCGCCAACCAAGCCCGAGAAGCCATTGCGATGGTGTTCTGTGGCCAGGTTATGCAGAAGAGGCTCGATGAAAACTTGCCTGAGCACGACAGGAGAGCTATTCTCGCAACAGTCGGAGTTGACGTAGATGCCGTGTCCGATTCTGTTTACCGCCAAGAGCTCATCCGCGACCGGGTAAGACAGCTTCGTGAGAAAAACAGGAACTTGTGCAACATAATGGAAAGGGTACTGGAAGATGCCAATGTCGAACCAGAAACGACGGAGCAAGCTATGTAGCGCCATCACGATTGCTGCCTTAGGCGACCTTTATGGTGTGAGAATGCGGGCGGTGGTTCTTTTCTTTTTCGTAAAAGGCGGTATTTGCTTTATAATTTAGAGGTGGCATAATATAATAATGATGTACTGTATCTTTAAAGTAACGATCAAGGTGAAAAGGGGAAATGGAAATGCATACCCTTGAATAACGCTATCGTCCGAGATGTTGTCGCTCTACCTAGCCAGCAAATCAATGTCCCTACTACATCCTAATTACCCTACAAACTCGAACCTCAAATCGAAAATTCTCCCTCCAACCATGGCAGCTTCTGAGGCAATCTCCAAGCTTCACTTCATCATCAATAATCCTCTCATAAAGACTCACATCACAAATGTCCTCCCCACAATCTTCAAGCTCAAAGACACCTGTCTTATTGGACCAGAATAAACTTCTTCCTATTTCAGTGTTGATTAACCATTGATTGTTTTCATCAGGCTGTTCCCCGACAATGACATAGATTTTTCTAAGGTCGCTGTACCATTCCCATATTTCAGGTACTTGGTCGATGGTACCATCCCGTTTGGCGGCGAATAACTCCTCCGATATTGCAAAACTAGTAATGTATGTTTCCACGCCGTGGTTTCGTTCAATCATGTCAGGCTCGAACCCACGGTCGCTGGCTTCGATCTCAAATTCCTCTAACTGGAGCAGTGGGAAATATAAAACATCCAACTCGTTGTTCATCGTGCGCTTAAAGTGATATTTTCCATCGCTGTATCGTGTCGCGATGCTATTAGCGTGAGCCCAAGAGAGTGCAGCGCGGCGCGTCTCTAGGTTGACGTCCATGAACGCGATGGTAAGTGGGGTTGATAGCTTGTCGTAGCGGAATTCCAAGCGTATATTATTGGGGTCTTGATTATCATAATCCCAGTCTTCTGGCGTGAGGTATTTGGGTATCCAGCAGCCCTTTTTCCAGAAGCATATGCTTGGTTTGCGGGGTTCTAACAGTTGAAATTGACAGATTTGATGGCGAAGCTCTGGCGGGAGTTGAGAGAAATAAGTGAACATCTTGAGAGGGTATAAAAGAGACAATTTCTAAAACATAAAAGCACAATTGATAGGGGGTTCGTTGTGCTTTTAAGGCTATTGGCAACGAAAGCGGACTAAGAGGCTGTGATAGTGGCTGAGCTTTTAATCCTGGGCTGCACAACGCAGACTTCAGTGCTCACGCCAGAACCAATCAGGACGTGGTATAATTCCCGAGCTAATTATTGATAATGGGACTGATTAGATAGAACGCAGGACCTTGGTATACCGTACAAGACCGAGGCTAAGCGGGTGCCTGCTGGACGGGCAGGGATAAGAGGCGGTCGGATAAACATTCGACCGAGCTCGTAATCTCTAGATCACAGATAGAGTATAGCTACCCTATAGCTTTTCACTTGGGGCAGTAGGTATTAGTCTCGGTAAGTATTTAACTATATGTCAATGCCCAAGCTGTATTATACATTGCAATTATTATGTTTGAGTTGGCTGGTTAAGTTTCATGATTGAAAAGACACCAATAAACTCTTATCTTAATAAATACTAAAAAATACAAAAGGTTTATAAAATTATATACTTACCTAGCACTAATGCGCAATATAAACAGCGTGCGTTGTGAGGTATCTACTTGACGGAACACGAGACAGAAGCATCCATCACCTGAGATGTGTATGACAATGAAACTAATTATAATCATATCGACGCAGTCGAGCTAAGGCGGTGCTCTGTATCTCTGGATATTACATATTCACACGTCAATGCCTCCTGACCACGCGGCGAAACTCAAAGATAAAACCACTTGAGACAACCCCCTTCGGAAATGTTGTTGGATTACGCAAGGATGCTAAGTGCAGTTAATAACGTTTTGGGTTCTTAGGCATAGCTCAGAGTGGATTAAAGGCTGTTAAGTATAGCTCCTTAAGTGTTACGAATCCTCGAGGCGTCGGCCTAGTTACTGGTACCATTCTGGTTCTGCCCCGTCTGGTTGTAACTGGATGGTACTTTTACGAGCTGACTAAGAGTAGCGTTGGTGACACCCTTACTGCTGCTATTCTGGGAGAAGTTTCTAATCTGAGTTCATATGCCTCGAAAGTCTCGTGTTGGGTCGCTATTAATAACCAGCGATATCAATAAATGAGGTCTCTACAAGGACCGAAAAGCAGTATCTCAAATTCGGTAAGGCTACCTACCATATTGGCTGCAACTCTATTTCTCAAAGGTACGTAAGATAGAGTTTTGTGCCGAAAGTTAAAAAACTCCTCAAGGATGAGTGGAGCTACTTCGGCCATAAGGGAAGCTGCCGTAACTATTTAACTGAGATTACGTGGCCCGACAGACGTTCCCTACAGTGAGATGATAATATAAGTAAGGTAACCAACACCAGTAATGCAACTGAGATATTTCATATCAATATAGACTACTCTATGTATAAAAAATCAGACATAAGAGTTAGAGATAGATAAAAGAATCTCCCCTAGGAGAATAAAAATACTCAAATCTCAAGCAGGGCTTTATCCTTTCAGTACTGGTAAGGGCTGGCCCCCAAAAGCGCAGAAGGGGCAAAGTCGGCTGCAACAGGATTCAAAGAGCCGAAACGCTCAAAGATTGCAGCCATAGAGTTATGTGCTGGCTGCAGTCCACCGTCGACCCATCCGCCAAGGAATGACGTACAGTCACTATTGATCAAGACTCTAGAGCTTGACGTATCATTGAGCTTCTGGTAGTCATAGAACATGGAAGAGATGAGCTTGTCTTGTCCTGGAAGACCGAGGGAGAAAGCGCCATAAGAGTACTGATCGAGAGGCCAGTGGACTAGGTACACGTCATCGTCGGTGACGGGGTCAAGGAAGTCAGCGTAGTCGGGATAGCTGCTATGACGCATAATCCTGGTAATCTGCTCTTTAAGGATAGAGAGCAACTTCTGAGGATCCTGGATGGCCAAGATTGTCTGCGAAAGATCCTCCCAAGCATAGGTGAGAAGGACCATACCATAGTCTGGATGTCCGTAATCGAGCGTGTAAGCCTGGGGAAGGTCTGTGTCAGACAGAATGACGCGAGGAAAGTCGGCTGGCTGATCGCTCCAGAACTTCTTGGTGCGGATAAAAAGTTTGGAGGAGGCAGTCATGTGGAGGTCAGTGATACCTCGGTTAACTGCAGATGACATGATGGGCTCATTGGTGGTGTCCGAGACATCTGCCAAGGCGAAGTTCATGGCTCGGCTTGATGTACCAACAATAGCAAGATCGTACTCGACCTGGTCAGATGCGGAATTGCCGTCATCAAATGCAGGAGTCTCTTGGATAACAACATAATCGAAGGCACCACCGCCGCCACTGGTGATCTTGGCAACAGTGTCAAATTTGGTCTTGAGGCCGAGGTCCGTAGCCTTTTGCCATATGGCGCTGGCCAACTCACGGATTCCGGTCGCTTGGAGGCCATCATCAGTCATCTTAGCAAAGATGGCCTGGTCTGACTCGAGGCCATTGACGATGAGACGGAAGATCGAGTTGAAGCCAGAAGAGTAGACGGCACCAAATCCACCAGAGCCAACGCCGAGCGTACCAAAACGCTCAAAGTCATCTTCAGTCCAGACCTGGCCTCCTGGGACGTCCCACTCGTGCTTCTCTCCGAAGATGCGATGGAGTGCAGTGTAGAAACTGTCGTTGCCAAACTCATCCAGGTACTTCTGCCATTCTGGGATAACTTGATTGCGTGTCTCGGTGTTAGAAGAACTGAGCCACTTGGTGAGTTGCGTGGCCGCAGTAAGAGACTGAGAGCCACCAGTCAAGCCCCCGGAGATCAGCGAGCCCCAACCGTTACTGACTGTCTCGAAGCCCTGGACGGTGACGTTCGAACTGATCCAAGAGGTAGGAGTTTCTTGGTAAAAGACAATAGTTGGAACCTTTCCAGGATCAGGGAAATTCCGAATGAATGTGTAGTTGAACTCATTCGCGTAATAATAGAGAAGGTCTTCAGAAGGAGGGAAACGCATCGCTCCCATCTCAGCAACGTTGACACCGTCAGGGGTCTGGATGGTTCGGAGACGGCCGCCAACATCATCTGTGGCTTCGATCAGCGTGACATCAGCACCGGCCTTGACCAGGTTAAAAGCCAGAACAACGTTTGTGATACCGCCGCCGACAAGAGCAACAGAGAAGTTGGAAGGCAGAGTTCCGAGCGGCTGGTCGATATCACCTGCAGCCTGGTTCCATGCCGAGTACACAATCTGAGGTGTATCGACCCAGGCCTGGGGGCGTACCTTTTGCTCGCCGATCGCGGAGGACTGCCTTTTGGCCAACTGGGAGTTAAAGGCTGGCTTGGATGGAGGGATGGTGCGATCCCTTTTGGGATGCTTGTGTTTGGAGCTGAAAAAACGCATGGTTGATGATATGGGAAGATTGATAAAGAGACTCTTGATGAGGTTGAGATGAGTGGATAAGTAAGAATGATGGTTCAGCGGGAGAGAGATATCTCTTTATCTTTGTAGTCAGTCAGACTGATATATATTTACTGGTGAACAAGTCTGGAAACTCTTATCAAGCTGTCGCTAAGTGTTAATCCTAACTGCCGAGAGTGACTCTACAGTTCTATGGTAGAATATCGATATAGAGTGAGCAGTGATAGGCTATTGAAGACAAGAGTCACTAGCGAGGTTAACCTCCACTGGTATGCCTGTTTGTCCAGCCATAAGTTTCTCTCACTGTGAGAAGAAATTGGAAGTGACCCTTGATAACAATACTCGGGTCGAGACTCATTTCTAAATGACCTGTTACATAACAGTAGATAACTTATTTGCAAGGTCCACAGGTTGTAAAACTTTGTTTTTGTGTGACGTGAGAACTTTGTCGATAGACCCTTGCCTTTGGTGGAAGGAACATTCCAAAAAGGACCTAAGGATGTTCTCTTAATGCCGAAAAAATATTGATGAAATGATACGAGTTAAGTGACACCACTTCTACGTCTGTCCGTTGGACTTTGTGCAGTCACGAGTGACAGCGGGAAGTCCCGTCTTAGATTTCCCAGGCTCACTTGTTAATCTTCCTCATCATTCGGCAATGAACATATCAGCAAATCCCCTTAAACTACCGAGTATCCTGATTTGAGAGCTAGTCCCGGTTGTCAGAGCGGGAGATGCACGGATGTTCATCCGTCTCTACAGATGAAAAGCTAAATATATGGAGAGTGTAGTATTAAAACAAGGATAGAACAGATATAGAACGGGATAGTCTATGTTTTCAGGTGTAATGAAGGGACTAACCCTGGTCCATCACTTAATATTAGCTACTAAAATCGTACGTGAACCACTGCTGGCTTAGCCGGAATGTCAGAAGCAATACCCTTGCTTAGCTCCCCGACGGAAGGGCGGCAGGACGGGAGAGCGTCAGGCTAACAAATTGCCGGGTGGCCTTAAGCATCCATCCTGGCAGGTTAATGGCATTTCCCATTACCTCTTACAGAAGGTGATGTTGCTGCTTGGAGATGAAAGGGACGGCAATGGATCCTCTGAAAGTTTAAATTCTGGACAAGGATTAATTTATTCCTGTCGGCCCGACATTCAATGAATGAGTTGTACTTGATTGGCTAATAATGTCTTAGTTTCCTACCATGCATTCTCGTGAAGTGGGCGGAGTCTTATTCTCTAACTCATTATCTAATTATCCAAAGCCTAGGCCTTTATATAAGCCCCTGTAAACCTGACAGCCACTATGGCACGGAATAATCCGTTTAGCCAATAATGATAATTATAATTATCAACATGTTGAAAACTCTAGAACCTTGTGACATGCGATGATGTTGTAATTATTGGGGTGGACGAGGCGTACTGTCACCCTGCTTGTTGTTAACATTTGCGGATCCGAACTAGGTCATGGATAGCCGAGAATAGAGAGAAAACAAGAGAGAAGGGTCTTCTTGTTCGGTCTACTGTTACCACTAAAAGAAGGAAAGGATGAATGTAAGTCCGAACTTGACCAAAGGGAATACTTAAGTCGAAGGTAATCACCTCTAGAGATTGGTATAATTCTACAACAATTCGAACATCATGCATTCCAAGAACACTCTTGCACTGCTTTGCCCCGCGGCCATTGCAGCCCTTACCATCTCTCACAGTTCATCCCCTTCACTCCTTTTGGATAATCACGATCAAATCTTCTCAGTAGATGACTCCCAGTATCTCGCAGTCACCTCCGATCTCATCTCTTCCATTTCATACTCCTCGGATCCTGTTCAGGGACCTATTACCTACATCTCCGGCTTGCTTGACAGTACTACTGCTGATGAGCTTGAAGATGTCATCAACAGCTCATTGGAGAGTGACGATGTTTTCTCTGAGGCTTTTCTCGAAACCATCCTTGTCAGTGCGGGTGATGAATCGGATCTAGATTCCTCTGTCGTGACCTACCTCGGTAGTCTCGGTGCAACTGTCATCTATGGAGGAGAGAACGGCCCGAGTCTCTGCGGTAACTCTACCTTGACCCCATGTCCCATGTTTGGCTTTGCAGATGGCGATAACCTCAGCCTGAGCAAAGTTTTCCGCCTTTATGTCGATACCTACAGAACATTCATGGTTGGCACTTATGAAGCGGGAGATGGGTATCTTTCTTTAGCGTATTCCAACTCGGAATGGGGCGCTCCATCTATCCCTGTCCCCTCAAGACTGTACAGCATTGAGGATGACAGGCCTCTTGCTGGAAAGCGAATTGGCGTCAAAGACATCTACGATCTGGAGGGCATACAGACAACAGCTGGTAGTCTGGCTTACGCTTCCCTCCACACAACGGCCAATACGACTGCTCCCGCACTCCAGCGCATTATTGATCTTGGCGGAGTGGTGGTCGGTAAGCAGAAGACAGCCCAGTTTGCCTCACCCCAGAGCCCTTGGGATTGGAACGACGCCTCTTATCCTCGTAATCCTCGTGGAGATACGTTCCTGACCTGCTCTGCATCTTCTGCTGGAAGTGCCTGTTCCATTGCTGCGTACGACTGGCTCGACTTTGCTGTTGGTACCGATACTGGCAAGTCTATCAGGGAACCTGCTGCCGTTACTGGCATTTTCGGTAACAGACCATCCCAGGGCATGATTGTCATGGACAACATCGTCACTAACGCATTTAACACGGATACTGCTGGAGTCTTTGCACGCGATCCCACTAGTTGGGCCAAATTCGCAAAGGCCTGGTACGATCCTTCCCTTCATCAAGACACATCGATCAATGGATTGCCTGCTCTGTCGGTACCTGATGTCCAGACCTTCCCTAACCGTCTCCTTTACCCTATCGACCATCTGCCGATGCAGAATCCGGCTGCTGAGGCCATTCTTCAGAAATTCCTTGATGACGTAGCGGATACTGTCGGTGTCACTGTTGATAAGATCAACTTGACGCAGACGATCGAGGAGACGCTGAACCGCCCACTGCAGGGGATGCTCGACGATCTTACCGTGCTCTGGACTCACGACTTGATCTTGGAGACGGCTGAGCCACTTATTTCCAGCTTTAGTCCGGACTTCCCTGCTATTGATGAGCCTTATCGATCATTCTTCCGCAACGCAGCCGCAGATAGTGATGCCTACAAATCTGCCATGGCAAACCGTACTCGTGATGCAGGTCTTTGGCACGAAAAGGTCCTCTTCTCGACAAACAGCTCTTGCTCCGAATCGATATTACTTTACGACATCGGCACAGGTGGGCTCCCGTCCTTCCGCGAAAAGGACCTGAATGACTCCCCAGGTGCTGCGTCTCCCGTCGATCCTCGAGGCTCAAAGGCTGTTTCGACCATTTCATCCTACTTTGGGGACGTAGATATTACTGTTCCGATTGGGCAGGTTACTTACCAGAGCAACGTTACATTCCAGGCGGAAGTTATGCCGGTTACTGTTAATATGGTTGCCAAGAGAGGATGCGACTTTGTGTTATTTAACTTGATTGATAAGTTAGTTAGTAAAGGCGTCTTGAGTGCAGTGGACACAGGAAAACAGCCTTTCCAAGACTAAGTAGTAAGAATATTAAGCTACTAAATGTATAACTATTACTACCCTGGGTAGAATAGTATATTAGTAAATAGTTTAGATATGTGCAAAGTACTTCAGGCCCAGAGGTACACCTATAAAGGTACCACTAAGGTTAGGCTACCTTTAGTAATAAATATTACTAAGCTTTCCTAACTTTGAACTTCATAAAGCCAAGGCTGTTAAGATCTGTGCAATCACTCTATCCCACTTTTCAATATACCGCCTTAATATTTTAGAGCATTCCATTAAATAGATAAATTATCTTTATATCTCTATGCAAGTATATCACTGAGGCGAGGGCGGAGTGGTGGTGGGACATATTACCTGCCGAGACACTGACTTGAGCACAGTTTGCCGGACCGGGGACATGTTGTTATATTTAGGGTAGATTAGTAATGGAATTCTTTAAATGACTTCCCCAAACCATAATACTAACATACTGATTGATTTGTTGACCACCACGTTAAAACATGCGTCACACGTAGCGGAAGACAAGTCGGAAAGACTGTCTAAGCTGCTTCACGAATTAGAATGTACTTTCGAAAAAGTAACGTATACTAGTCAGGCGTGCTCTTGTATGAATGTGACTGAAACAGAATTAGTATTCCGCGAAGAAGTTCTACAAAGTAATGCGGTATCCGAGGTTTCTAAAAAGCTTGTCGATATCCCGAATACTTATTGAAATTGGTGCTTGCACTACTGAGCGTTGCTGTAACCGCTAAACTCCCGCTAACACACACAATTTGTATACTCCTGCAGCGTAGCGACAGTAAGACAGTAATTAAATGTTACAAAAGGTCACGCAGAGCTTTTTATCAACCATAGTTTGACCATAGTCTATGCAAGTGTGTATACTGACCTTTGTCAAAATATCGCGATTAATAGGGTAGACTATGCATTCTCACCATCTGCTAATCTCGCCATTTCCGCTCGTCCAATTGTTCCGTATCGCTGCGAATCAAACATCCACCGAATAATTACCTCCGTAGCCTGGAATATCTCCCGCTGGCTCTCATCTAGGTCTGGCGCTTGTATCGCGCTTACATCTGATAAGTCAACTAAGCTTTGCTGAAGGTTCATATTAGCCATTTGCGACTGTATAGCGAGTGTATCATTCCGTGTCGATAGAAGATCCTTATGCCGCTTCCTGAGAGTCTCTCCTCGAGTAAGCGCTTCGTCCGGATAGTCCCGAGTAGACTCCAATTCGTTGATCACACTTCGCATGTCCTCCAGCATAGAATCTGGTACCGTGTCATTCCAGCCTTCAATGGCGACTTCATAGCAACCTAGCGCTAGATTGGCTGGGGATCCGTCACCAAAATATCGCTGCGCTGGTCCAAAGTCTTGATGGAATCTGATATTAGGATCAGCGCCGTTCAGGAGAAGCTTTCCAACTAGAAAGTGGTTTTGGAATAGGGCAGCTCGGCATAAAGCGGTGCCAAGCCTTGGGTGATCAAAGTTTATGCATTCTTTGCTCGCGAATGGTGAGTCCTCTGAAAGCATGCACTGAACCTGGGCCATGTAGATCTCCGCTTCCACGACGTCCTTGCGTGCTGGTGGTGAGGTAGCAAGGATAATCCATGCACTTTGTTCTTCGGCAGGATTTCCGATGTGATCCACGATGAAATTGAATTGCTCATTGTGGCGTAGTATTGGTTCGTGGCCAGCTATTGTATCATTCGGTCTGAGAAGGGACTGAAGGATTGACAGCGACATCTCGGTTCTTTGTTCAAGCAGCTCCTTGAAGATAGAAATTCGAGGGAGTTCGGGACCCAGCTGGTATGGACAGCCAATTTGCGCTCCATGCTGAATGAGCAGATCCGCTAGATCAAAGTATCCATGCAAGATTGCTTCGACAACAGGCGGTCTAGTGCCTGATGGATGGTCCAAAATAGAGACCCCGGACTCTATGAGATATTGCGCTATGATAGTTCCAGGGGGTGATGAAGCCGGTCTCCCAGCTAGATCGTGAAGCAACGTACGCGGCCACTCAGGGTAGCTTTCGATGTCCACGCCATAGTCTCGCAATAACCGGAACACTTTCTCATCATTGAGTAGTACCGCTTCGCGCATGGGTCGATAGCCAGGCAAGCCAGAGGGATTGTGTCCCATTTTTAGTAACGCCTCAACAATATCACGATTCCCAAGTTTGATTTGCATACACAAACCTTCTCCAGAGTGCCCACTGGGAAAAGCGGCGTTACCTAGATATTCTCTCTGCTCCTTGAAAATGGCAAGTGTTTCCTCGATATCAGAACGATACCTCGGACCGTTTCTGATGAGTCGGCTGAGCAACGAAAACGTATCTCGGTTGCCAAACTTGAGCTCCTGAGTCATCTTCAAAAGAGTAACATCGTCATAACCATTGAACAAACCCATGATCCTTGATTCGGTATGGCCTTGGCTTAAAAATAGTCGAAGGAATTTTGGTAATGCGAGCATGGCAGCAAGCTGAAAGGGTGACTTCCCGTTAATTTCAAACATTGGGTCAGCACCCAGTTCGATGAGGACCTCAGCAGCATGAAGATTCTGAAACAGAACACAACGACCCAAAGGCGTCGTGGAGATAGACATTGTTCCTTCCCAGTCAGCGTGTGCCTTCAGGACTTCAGCCCTCATACTACCCGACGCGGCATCGATTAAAGCTCCAGCGTCCAGTAGACCTTTCGCCATGGACATCATCTCTTCTTTCTCAAACCTCCACAGCCAATGAAGCGGAGTGTCTTGTCCCAAAGGATGTCCTTTTGGGTTCGCGCCATGACGGAGTAGTGCTAGGGAAGCCTCCAAATGGGCATTACGACAAGAGCAGACTAATGGCGTTTCTTCACAGTCCTGATTCGGAAGGTCGATATCCAGCTTGAAGGTGTTAATGAGATGGTTGATTGTTTTGGCTTGTCCACGAGCTGCTGCCATGTGCAGGATCCCATGTCCTCGGCTATTGACGAAGATTCTGTCGAAGTGATTCATTTGTTGCGTATTTTCAATCGTCCCGTGCGAGCTCTTGAGTGACAATTCATAGGCAGCTCCAAGCTCCTCCTTGAGCTCTTGTTGCAGTTGATCTACATTGTCGATCTGAAAGTCCCGTCTCAAGTGTCGCGGCAAGAAAGCAAGTGAGCCAGGTACTCCACTGAAGTAATTAGCAAGTCTCCGCGCATTCTGATACGTTTGGGTCGCGTTCTCCCTGGCTTCATCACTCAAGAGTGGCAGAGCATCCTCGAGATCTTGGGCAGCCTGCCAACCACCTCGAAGGGTAGCCCACTGAAGACTAGACGGGAGGACTTCCAATAGTTCAGGCGGTGTCTGTCCCAGAGCTTGACTTACGCGCCATACACACGATGCAGCAAGATACTCAAAGCCACTTGAATCATCAGATCCGGTTACTGCATCACTTGCTGCTTTTCGAATTGCAGCACAAGCTTTCTCGGGGTTAAGGAACGTGCCAAATTCCGCGACATGACATCTGAATAGGAACCAGGCTGCAAATAGCTTATGTAGCTCGACATCGCGACTTTTATCTCCAGAATCTGAGATAGCCTGAAGATCTCGAAGGATATTCTCTTGCTGCTGCCATGATAAAATGTTCTTGAGCTTTTCAGGCTCGAAAACAAAACCCGGGTCTACAGGAGCCTTAACCTTGGGGCGAAAGCCGGGCCTATAGGAGTTATTAGTACAGCCAAATTAGCTCCCTTTGGCGCATCTTACGTGTTGTTTTGCGGATCATACGTAGCTCCCATTGTGCCTAAGACCAATCCAGCGCCATCTGCACTAACGCCATGCTTTCCCTGTTAGATTATTAGCTCTGCCTATGGAAAATACAACTTGCCAGCTGCAGAAGGTGAAATTGGAAGCGTGTGAGCTGTATGGAATTACTAACAGGAGGTTCGTTATCTTCGACTTCTTTCCACTTGCGATTCATCTGATCGACGTCACTTAGATAGTCGTCAATTTCCGAGAGACTAGAGCAGCAAGTGATCAGTAAAATTGCACTTTGGTAAAGGCAGTTACGTTTTGACATACGGAGCACCTCTCAGAGCAGCCTGCGCCTTTGCCAATGACCTATTTGCCAGGTTCTTTTGTATCGTCTGTTCAAGAACATATAGAACCATTTCCGCACAGTTCTGGTTGATCTCATGCATATCGAAATAATCCTGGATCATAGATGTTGCTCTATGCAAAAGCCTTCCAGATTGCTTCAGTTGAGCCAACGTCACTGATGAAGTTATCGAGTTGCCCTGGGGACTGAACTCATAATGAAGACTCGACAGATCCCCATCATTAAATGTTTCGCAGACAAGTAGGCCAAACGAATAGACGTCGCAAAGCTTTGCAGCTTCAGAGGTGACAATGCCGTCGGTTTCCGGTGCAGCGTATCTTGGTGTCTTGCAGATGAAGCGATAAGAGTCATACTTCTCAGAGCCATAGATAGCGCCTCCAAAGTCAGCCAGCTTGGCCATATATGGGCCGTGGTTGGAGTTATCTGCAAAAATCAATACATTCTGACGCTTGATGTCGCCATGAATGATGCTACAAGCATGAATGATAGATAAGCCTTTACCCGCATCGTACAGCAGTTTCTGCTTGACGGCAAATGGAATTGGTGATTTCGAGTTATTCTGCAGGTCCTCTAATGTTCCATGCTCTGCATGTTCGATAACAAGCTGAGGATACACATTGCCGGATGCTCCGTCGGGACCCCAGTACAGACCGATAAGACGCACGATATTGGGATGATAGCGAAGTGTCTCGTGGAGAAGAGCGCGAATTTCGAGCAATACATGGTCCCAACCTGCTTTAGGTAGTTCGTCCGATTGAGACTGAATCCGAACTGACTTTAAAGCCACGACACGCTTTTGGCGGATGACTGAAGGCGCGAAGCTGGTTGTTTGCTGGTTTGGGATTGCAACAGCCTTTTCGACGGAGAAGGTCGCGCCGCGGTCGATGAAAGAACGATCAGTAAACCCTTGGATATACTCATTTATAAACACGGTTTCTGTTCCGCGTCCCTTCTTTTCTAGGGACGAGAGATGGGCTAGGAAAGCTGGGAACCTGTTTTCATTTCGATTAAGCTGCTCTTTGGCCTGCTCCTCGATAGACTGTACGCTTTCTGACGGCAGTATTGAGGGATCTTGCCAGAGTATCTGGCTGAAAGGGTCTATGATAGTCTCCATGCTGTGTGTTCAAGATGATGCTGTGTGTTCGAGATGATGAATTGTCCAAGATTCGTAAGGCTTCAGATTGGAGATGGATTCTGCCTCGGCCCCGCTATGTCTCGGATGTTTCGCCTGCATAATGTGATAATGCTGATGCTGCGTATCGTGATTGGCTACACTAAGCCACTCAAGTTCAGCTCAACACAGCCCATTCAGTTTTGGGCCTTGATGTGGCATATGCCACGTAAGAGCCCGATTATGCCGTGAATAAAATTGCCTCATATGACTTGCTTGACATTAATCCAACGAACAGCAAACGCACCTGGTTCTACGGCAGACGCCACCAGAAGCCATTCTTGTTCAAGTCATCTTACCCTATCAGTCCGGCTACAAAGCGGCAGCCAACTACAATGCTTGACCCGGGATCAATTATCGCCCTCACGCAAATCACATACGAAGGCGCCAAACGGGCTGTCGAGCTAGTTCTCACAGCAATACACTTTCCCAAAGAGTGCGAGGAGTTATTTGTAAAGCTGAAACTTGAACAATTTCGTTTGCAGTGCTGGGGTCGAAGTGCGGGGTTGGAGCAAGGCAAGCTGATCGAGGCTCTGCACCCAATCTTTCCAGAGATACGAAGTGCGCTTGACTGCATAGGTGTACTCTTCCAGGACTTGAATAAATTACAGGCTAAATTTGGCATCGTATCTACGACTTTAGATGATGTTGGTCAGAGACAAAAGGAGCTGGCGTCCAAATGGAACGAAGAACTCCATAAACAAGGCCTGGCATTTTCCGACAACCAAAGTGATAATGGAGGCCCGTCCCTAATGTCGAAGGAACAGAAGACATTCTTTCCGGCTGGAACTTTCAAAGTCAATCTACCTGTTCGTCTCCGGTGGGCATTGGGAAACAAGTCCAAGTTCCGCGACTGCGTGGCCGAGCTGGAAAGATACACCAATAAACTGAATCAACTCTTACCAGAACGCCAGAGTCTTCAGTATAAACAGGACTGGACAAGAGTTAACATCATAATAGTTGGGAAGGCCGATGACGAGAACACCGTCTCTTTGCTCCGAAATGCCCTTGAGGGAAGTCCGGCTATGGAATCACCGCTTCGTGGCCTAGTAGATAGGAAATCAGTCGCTGCAGCTCCGAGCACGACTAACTTCCTGCGAGGCAATCCCCAGCTCGACAAGAGTGCTTTCGCTATGCCTGTGGGAGCTCAGAACGAGGAGCGATTTGTCACGACGAGAAAGACAACCGGTGAACAGGTTCTCTTTGAGAAGAAGTCATGGGATGATGAACGCTCCATGGCTAATCGCTCCAAGTTACAAATGCGCCTCAGCCGACTTGTTGCAATGCTGCGCCCCGGGAGAAGTAACTACTTTCTTAAAGCAGTCGGCTTCGCAGAAGATGAAGTTGCTAAATGTTGGTGGATCGTATACGAGATGGACCCGTTCATAATATCCGACCCTAGATGTCGTGTGATGACACTCCACGAGCGTTTGGGGCGTCAATCTTTCCATATGGCACCTCTTGAGGTCCGAGTGAAACTGGCCTTTGCCTTAGCCACAGCCTACTCAGAGCTTTTTAGCAGTGGCTGGGTTCACAAAGCTATCAGCAGTCACAGCATTGTGTACTTTGGCTCCCATGCTCCCCTAAGAAGGCCCTCTGTCGTTGGCTTTGAGTTTTCTCGTCAAGACACCGAAGAGTCAAATGTCGATGCCGCCAAGACGCCAGCACAGGTAGAGCGAAGCTTGTATAGGCATCCTGATTACATCGGAAGTGAGGCAAAGAGATACATGACACAGTACGACATCTACTCCTTTGGACTTGTACTGATAGAGATTGGCTTTTGGCAGCCCCTAAAGGATGTCTGCCCCTATGCCAAAGGCAATACATTCGGGAAAGAGGAGGCGAAGTCTGTACAGAAATGGGCGATCCAGGTTGCAGAGACGCAATTTGCGTTCAGAGTTGGCACGGCATATGCCAATGTTGTGAGCTGGTGTTTGAAAAACAGCGCCAGAGTCAGCAGTGATCAGGAAGACTGGCATCCAGCATTGGCGTTCAATGATCATGTTGTTGTTCCACTTTCTGGAATTTAGCTAGTACACCGAAAGTTGTCTAGACAGGCATAATTCTTTAACTGTTTTCGCTTTAGACGAATGCTCAAAGTCGCTTGTTATTAGCTGCTAGAATTAACACATTGACATCTGGTACAGTAATCGCAAAAATGTGGTTCTCTTCAAGCTGGTCTAAACCTTCTTTATACAATCTGCGGCATATCCTAAGCCTCAAGGCCCCGAATCATCTCTGTCTTCACCTCATTCAAGAAGTTCTCTATGAAAACCTTGTCGTAGTAACTCTGATTCCAGCTTGCTGTCAACACAAACTGATCCCTAAACGTCCAACCGTGACACTGAACAGCCTTAGCTATCGTCTGCGTCCCCAACCAAAAGTCTTCCACCACCACCTCTCCTTCATTCTTTCCACCTGAAATAGGATACTTGCGATCCAACACCTTCTCTACCAAGCCCATGCTGGCAAAATCGACAGCCTGAACAGTCGGCATATCGGGAGGTGGAGCGGTATTGACCAAGTCAAGAATCCTTCTGATGAAAGGAGCACCAAGATCAGCAGTGGCCACGGGCTGTCCCGCGTCATCCTTGAATCCAGAGTTTCTGGCACGCTGGTACGACTTTTGCAACTCCTCACACACTTGATCAAACGTCTTGTTCTCATTTACCACATCCAAGACAATGACGGGGAAAGCAGCGCAATATTCGCCAATAGAGTATTGAGGCGTATTGTATGGCGAAGGAAAATCTTTCCTTATGTCAACGGGGGCGAATCTCCCATAAGACTTGCATAGGGGATGTTGAGGATACCTTGCAGAACAGCGAATAATGGCAGCATGAGTCGCGAGAGATATGGAAATGCCTTTAGATTTGCTCCCTGCCAGTAATTGACTGGTAGTCTCTTTACCAAAATTGATAGTGACTCTGGTGGAGTCTCTGGGGATGGCTTCGTCGCTTCCCTCTCGTGGGGGAAGCGCGACGCTGGGGGCACCGGCCAACATGTCAGTGTACATAGTATCAGCAGCTTTTTTGAGGTAGTCTGGGGTGCTGGCCTCGTCGGGAAAGGTGTCTAGGATCCAATCCACATTTGGTGCTATGCTACCATCGCCAACTGGGGAAGTGAAACTATCGAGAGCAGCGTCGACGCCTTTGGAGAGGGATTGTGAGAGAACATGAAGAAAATTGACCGCAATGGTCATTAGTGAACCCCCGTCCATGCGCCAGTGGCTCGTTTGGAAGAGCACTTGAGAAGAGGAGGGAATCCAAATGCAAGTCGCATATTCTTCATCTTTGGCTGATTCAAAGAGAGCTGTAGCGCTTGTTGCTTTGTGATTAACTGTGAAAGTCTTGGCCAGCCATTCCTCAGCATCATAGGTGGGGATGATTATAGCGGGAGTCTTGCCCGACTTGTCAGTGTGATCGTGCAAGTTGAGCACGCTTCCAAGCTGTGGATGATGTTTTACTGTCGCAGCCCATGCTGTGCGGATGTGGGGGACTGGATCGACCACTGAAGAAGGGAATGACAGCTTCAAAGCAGAGTAGATGGAAAGGTGTTCCTTTCCGAGGGGAGCTGTGACGGTCTTGAAGTGATAGAGCAGCTTTTCAACTGTTGAGAAGGGACGAGCTCGAACATCTGGACTAGAGGTGAGGGTGGTGAAAGCTGGGTCTGACCGAGCAGTGATGGGGTTGGGGTTGTGGGAGCCCATGATCCTTGTTTGGGTATAGGGTGATTGTCAAAAAAATCGCAGTCGCTTAGGATGAGAGACCTGTGATGGCTATCCAAATGGATATAATGCTTTTCATGTAAATTCCTGGCTTTAAGCAAGTCCTGCGGCCTTTAGGGAGATAACAACAGCCGTCACTGCATCGTGTTTGTAAGCCAGGTACAGGGACCACATTCATTGACGGCACAACCCTTGCACCATTTCTCATTTATAGAGGCACACCCGAAACTCCTCCAACGTAATCCTAGTCAGATTCACAGCACAAGAGTCCTTAGCGTGATGCATGTCAGCTTGATGAGTCCTTAGCGTGAGTCCCTAGCGTCAATCCATCATCCATGCTTCATTACCTCGGCATGGGGTTTTCGCATCCTTCTGCTTACTGCCAGTACTACCCTAGTTCGGGATCCTTCCGGTAATACGAGTTCTTTTTTGTATGCCGTGGCCACATTTCGCCTTGATGGGCTTCACAGTATATGTATTCAAGACAATCTGGAACGTGTCTCAGCGGCAAGGAAAAGTAAAACCACCTAGTTGACTTTACTCGGAACCAAACCCGACCCATTCCCATTTTCATTCAACCTCTCTTTTCGAAATGTCTGCCATTGCTGATCAAACCGGCACTGTGGGCTTCACCCATGAAGCTCTTGACCAACAAGTTGAGACCTTCTATCGCATCATCGGCGACTTGAAGTCAGGCCAGCGACCCTTGATTGCAGCTCATGGCGGTCCTGGCTCAAGTCACGATTACTTCTTGAACCCTCTTGCGAGTTATCCTGAAGAAACTGGCAGACCTTTAGTGCTGTACGATCAAGTCGGCAATGCAAAGAGCACCAACTTCACCTTTGAGTCAAAGTCGCTGCCCAACCTGTCAGTCGATGTATATACTGCTGAACTCAACAACCTGGTGACAAAGCTCGGCATCCAGGAGTTTGACTATCTTGGTCACTCCTGGGGCGGCATGATGGGTCTCGAGTACGTGATCAAGTACCAACGCAAGATTAAGCATCTAATCCTGGACTCTGTTCCTGCTTCCGTCGAACTGTGGACGAACAAAATCAAGGATACCCTGAACGAGCTAGACCCCGCTGAACGGGACCTGGCACTGGAACTGGACGCCGCCCAGAAATATGACGATCCACGACTGCAAGCCATTCTGAAGAAGCTGCAAGATAAGCATGTGTGCCGATTGGACCCTTGGCCCGAAGCAGCTCAGGGTTTCTTTGGCATCGTCATGGGCAATCCAGCTGTATATGCGACTATGCTGGGACCTAGCCAATTTGCTACATTGGGAGCACTAAAGGGTAAGCTAAAGCAAATATTGTTCTCATGCTATCGTTATAACGCGTGCTAACAAATCTCATCAGGCTGGTCTGTTGTTGGTCGCTGCAAGGATATCAAGGTACCAACACTGGTTCTTCACGGCGAGTATGACTGGGCGGACGAAGCTGGTGTCAAGCCTCTTGTTGAAGAGATTGAGGACAGTCGCCAGGTCACACTCAAGGGATGCAGCCATATGTGTCATTTGGAAGATACGGAGGCGTTTAAGAAGGAGGTTTTTGGGTTCCTTAACAATTAGATGTAGATATAGACAGTTTGTGTAATTTCACAGACAAATGCACATAAGTGCTATTCATTTTTAAAGAATGCTATCATCTGTATAACCAGCTTTACTACGGCTAAATCTCAGCACAATTTTCCTTCTCCTAATGGTTAGAAACAACATCCCGTAGAAGACGAAGTGATATTAGTTTTCGCACAATTTCTATAACCTCAATCACATGGATGTCACCGCTTCGGAGAATAGGCAAAAATGATCGACAAGAGGATCTTACGTCTTACGCTGTCTCGGCCGCCGACCAACCCTTGTTCACGTTACATTGGCTCTGCCGCGGTAACAAAGCTGGTGGATAATTAGCGCAATAGACAGGGGCTATGGCGGGCTTTACTGTGCATAGGGCTTAGCAGCCCATTTCCCGCCCCCTTTCGTTTCTCGCCATTAACCCAACACAAGGACCAATCGGATCCATCGATTCATCTGTTGGGTGGATGCAGTAGGAATAACCAGTGGAGTTACAAAAGAACCTGGTGTGAGATCAGTGAGACATTGTCCTTGTTTGCCTTGCGTCTTACGGCACGACCAACAGCGGAAACCGAAGCATGAGCATGCAAGCGAAAATGTAAGGGCTTTTCTTTTTCGGCAGATTTCCCGCTGATTAATTCGAAATGAATTATTAAGCCGTTGTTCAGTCAGTGCCCGTAGACAAGCGTGTCCACATGTGAAAAAAGACAGCTAGCTAAAAAAGATCACGTCCTACTCACAAACGCGACATTCAACAATTCCCATCATACAACGACCATGTCTACCTCGCCAGGTCCTGACAGAGCACACGCAGCGCCAGTCATGGCAAATGATGCTACCGCGGACCCTTACCCTGAGCCTGCTTTCAAGGTCGAGACCAAGACTGAGGCTAGAGAGACGAATACCGACGATGATGGCCAGACTTCTGAGGTTGAGGTTGAGTATCCTAAGGGACTCCAACTTACCTTTATTGCTATTGCATTAGCTCTAGCTCTTTTTCTGATCGCTCTTGACATGGTGAGTCATTTCTTTCTTATTTTCTCTTCATTTCCATATAACTGACCATGCCTCCCTTTTCTAGACAATTATCGCTACCGCTATTCCCAAAATCACGGACGAATTTCAGGGTCTCGACAAAGTCGGATGGTACTCTTCTGCCTTCTTCGTCACCATCGGATCGTTCCAATCCTGCTGGGGCAAGGTCTATAAATACTTTCCACTCAAGATATCGTTCCTCGCGGCTATTCTCATTTTCGAGATTGGTTCCGCCATCTGCGGCGCTGCTCCCAACTCGAATGCCCTCATCGTTGGACGCGCCATTGCCGGCGTGGGTGGTGCCGGTGTGAGTGCTGGTAGCTATACCATCATCGCCTACTCGGCTACGCCTGAAAGACGGCCCATGCTACTCGGTTTATTGGGCATTTCGTACGGGTTCGCCAATGTCATCGGTCCTCTAGTCGGTGGCATCTTCTCTGACAAGGTATCTTGGAGATGGTGCTTCTACATTAACCTGCCTGTTGGTGCCATCTCCATAGCTATCATCACCTTCTTCTTCCGTGACCCACCTCAGGCGAAGCCAGCCCGAGTCCCCTTGAAGGAGAAGATGCTGCAGATGGATCTCGTCGGTGTTGGTCTTCTCATCGCTGCGACTATTTGTTTCGTTCTCGGTGTTGAGTACGGCCAAGGGAAATACAGCTGGGGAAGCTCCAAAGTCATTGGTCTCCTCGTTGGTTTCGTTCTCATCCTCCTCGTCTGGGCGGCAAATGAGTGGTGGATGGGTGAGCGTGCCATGATCGTGCCACGCATCATCAGAGACAGAACAAACTTGGTCATGTCTGGTGTCGCCATCGCCATTGGAGGTTCCTTTTTCCCAGTCGTCTACTACGTGCCTATCTACTTCCAGAGCATCGATCACGCTACTCCCATCATGTCTGGTGTTCGAAACCTGCCCATGGTCATCGCTGTGACATTCGGCATCTTCCTCTCTGGCGGTCTTATCTCAAAGACTGGTCGGTACCAACACATTTTGCTCTTCTCCCTCGGTCTATCTACTGTTGGCGCAGGCCTCATATACACCTTCAGCCTTCACACGTCCACCGGCGAGTGGATCGGCTACCAAATCCTTGCTGGTGTTGGTTGGGGACTTGCATATCAGATCCCTTTGACCGTTGGTCAGGGTTCTTGCGATCCCATGGACATGGCGCTTATCACGTCAAACATTCTATGTTAGTATTTTCTCTTCCCATAATCATTCCTACAAACACATACTGACAAACTGCTCAGTCTTCCAATCTTATGGCGCTTCACTTTTCATGTCGGCCGCCCAAGCCGCCTTCGTAGACCAAATGACCGCAAAGGTCATGGAACTCAGTGACAGCATCAGCAAGGATCTGCTGGTTCTGACAGGTGCTACGGATATTTACAATGTCTTCAAGGGCGATGAGCTCGACGACGTGCTGGCTGGCTACATGCACGGCCTCAAGGTTGTTTATGCCATGGCTATCGCTACCATAGGCATCGGCTTCCTAATTGCTCTGGCAATGCCATGGAAGAAGCTCAAGCAAGGACAAGCCACAGGTGGCGCTTAAATGGCTATGGTTGACTTGCGGCATTAATTTGAAGCATTCTGTGAAACACTTTGTGAAACATTTTGTTATTTATTAGTGTGTTCGCTCGCATATGCATGGTCAGCACTTGGCGGAAAAGACGGTTCGGGAGGTGTGTATTTTCATAATCACGATATTATAGAGGAATCATTCATGAAGAGAAGAAGAAGATAATTTAATCGAGGATAGAGAAAAGGCCATTTAGTAGTGACGTGGTTAACAAGTGGCGTAGCCTTTTGGGGCGTGGGCTATGCAAGGGACGGATATAACATGCCGTGAAGAGTAAAAGTAGAAGGCATGTAATTTGGTAGAATCAAACCACTAAATTCACCCTACAGGTTGACGACGTGACTGCTGACAAACCAATAGTTATGGAGATGTTACATTGTGCGATCACGAATGCCTTAGCATCCTGAAGGTTGCATCAAAGGATCTTGCAGTTCAAGGACCTGACATTTCATGGTTCCTTGTCAACAATAACACAGACGGACCTGTCACCTTTGACACATTAGGTTCTTTTGTGTAAGGATGCATGCGTGCGTTACTGCCCACCGAAATTGGTTCCAAGATTCTCAACTGTTCAGTCTATTTCTATAGCAAGTGTAAAAAGTGTGACTACCATTCTATTGTCACTGTAAAGTCCCATCGCGCCGTAAAATGTACCCCCAAAATGTCACCATAAATGACCTTAGAGATCAAGTAGGCCCTCCTTGACGTTGCTAAAGCCATAAACATGTACCGGCTGCAACATTGCAAGGTCCTTTACTCTCTTGACATCTTCATCAGCCATAGTTACTGACTCATTTCCACTTTCACTGGTGACCAAAAGACCACGGGGGTAGATATGATCAGTCACGATATCCTTGCCCACAAAGTTGAACAAGTCATGGCGCTCCCTGTAACACCAAGGCTGACCATCCTTGTACACCAAATCGTGGGTATCACGGACATCGCCCGAGTAAACACTCTCAAACATGCCAGCCACGTTGACGGAAATGGATGACATCCATGGCACGCGGAACACGGAAGCCTGGCCTAATCCCTGTGGGACAAGAGGGAACGACAGCTTGACTGCACCAGTGGAAGCGTGAACCGACAGACGCACGTGGTGCGGGAGGGCCTTCAAAACCAACCCTGTAAAGGCTTCAGAGCGGGCCATGGTGGCTCGGGCGAGTTTCTTGGTAATCTTCTTTCCCTGCATGCGGCTGAGTCCCTGCATGACTGGGGTGTACTTGAGATCAATCTCGTAGAAGCGGCTCATCTGGGTGTAGGTACGAAGTGAGTCAGGGTCGCGGGCGAAGAGCTCGTCTAGGAGCTCGACATTGGTGTGTTTTTCGATTTGACCGCGGCAATTGTGTAGACCCTCAATGTAGGATTCTTTGTCGAGAGGTACTGTAGGGACACCCATCAACTCGTGGGGGGAACTGATTCTGACGTTGAGACCGTATTTCTTGGCCATGCGGTCAATGGCTTGGGAATACTCCCAGACCTTTTCGTCCGAGGTAGGGTAGATGTCTGTAATGATAATGAGATATTGTTCCTCTGAAAGATTCAGAGATTTACTAACCATTGAATACTGCTCCATCGGAAGCTACTGTCACTTGGGCTCCGAAAGGATATACTTGACCGATATCCAGTGTCATAGAATGGAGTTTGTAGAGTCCGATGTATTCTCCCATGTCAGGAAGTGAGCCAGTCACTTTGTCGGGGTTTTCCTTTTTAATGTTAGGCCAAAGCCTTCGTAAAAATAGAACAAGGAGAGAAACATACCGACTTGAAAGGGTAGGATGGAATGACAAAGTTGATCGGTTCACGACGACGAATCCAATACTCGACGTGAGTTCTGAACTTGGAGCGTCCCTCCCATTGTCGGACACTGTCGACACCATCATCCGTGGTCTTGGTATGCATACCATACTTCTGGACAACATCCAGAATGGTATCAGCTAGTTCGGTGATATAGGCATCGATGGGGGCATCTAAATAGCGTCAGCATCGTTCTAGAGTATCAAGGTAGAAAGAAAGTGGGTTGACATACTGTCTTCTTCATCTGAGAGCTCAACTTCACGTACTACTACGGAAGCGGACTTTTCAGCCCTTTCGGCAAAAGCAGATCTAACCTCGAACATGGTGTTGGACTTGTAAAATTAACTCAAAGATGCTTATTGAATGTCTTGGAGAATCTGAGGATCTGGGGATTTCAATAACTATCTCAAAGCGTACCTAGCCTGCCTTTTTATCCCAAAAACGACGGACTTCTCTATCTCTACAAGCCCGTTTCGCTTCATCCCATCTGACACCCTCCCTCCATGTCTTGTCTTCGATCTCACTTGAGGCGTAGTGTGTATCGAGATGGGAGCCTAGTCTTCCTCGCCGCGTGAAGACGCTGGTACGGCTACTGCATCTACAAGGCAATGAGGCGGAGACAAGTTGTGGTGTGCCAACGGCCTTGTTCCGTCTTTACCGGATAGGTTATCCAGGGGCCTGTTGCTGTAGGAGCATGGGCAGAGGTATGGTTGTGAAGGCTTGACATGGTTCAACGAACTTCATTCGAGAAAAGTCGGATGCCGAGTCGTGGCTTGCGCTTACGTCGTGGCATGGTTCAGCTCGGGCTTATTAATTGATGGTGTTCTGATTCAGCTGTAAGCAACGATGGACTTTTGGCAGGATTTCACAGCTGGATCATCATCCTGGGTCTAAGGGGTAAGGCGATAGCTCGATCTGTGTGGCGTGCTCGCTTTCTCTCGGTTGACTTTGAGCGTTTATATCTATTGCTGTGTTACTACGAATCACTGCGAGTACAATCGATAGAATCCTAAATTGTCTGTCCTAATGCAATACAAAGGTATATCATCGTCTTGAACTACTGGAGTAGAAACCCACGTATGCCGACTTTTTTGGAGGCTGTAGGTAAAAGCTCTTGTATTCTCCAAATTCACCCAGTTTGATATGCACATTTGATAATGCTGCCATATCCGTACTATGACGGAGAACATTCCTCGGCTAATGCTAAACCGGGAGATAATTAACCCTCTTTTCTTGTAGGGTTACTTTGTCATGTGGCAATGTTCACCGAAAAAACAATGAACTCTGACTGGATCTGGCATTTAGGGATCATACAGTCATACGCAAATGCTTGTCAGACATGTACCTGAATCCCTGAATTTTCCATAGTGAAGGCTAATGTGATATGGCCCTGATTGGCTATCTGAGTACCATATGGCAGGACTTTAGTGGGCTTCCCGCTCCATCACGGAGGATCTGTGTAAACGGAATAGCCAGTAACCAATCGCCATATCCGTTGAACTGGGCAAAATACATGGGGAATCGGACTCCACCGTGAATAATTGAGGCCCCTGGTCAAGGTGTACGAAATTGGCGCTAAAGGACTCGCAGGACAAGCAAAAAAAAAGATCCTACTGTGGAGTAGAATCCTACGGGTAGAATATGCGACATTTCCTGGCGCGTACTGTAAAAGCTACTAACCCGTAAAGTCATTGCGGACTTTTTACCCGAGAGGATCGGAGTAGATAACGCGTTTATGGTCTCATCGGCGCTAGTGATGTCGACATCGCAGGGTTCTACAGCAATTGACTTGCCTTGTAGGGCTCGCGCTAAGGACTCTCAATTTATTCGAATACACAATGTAACATGAATTCTCTCGGGTTTGACCCGCAAAAGCGGCGTGGTCTGACAATGTTTGTTGCAGCTCTGAGTAAGCCTTCCTCACGAGGTCGGTAGGTGACTTTTTCCTTTTTCCTTTCTACAGAGACGGGTACCCCGACGCCATAAGCGGGCGCAAGAATACCTACCCCAATGAGTTCCCGACCATGTGTCGTTGATTTAGCAGTTCTCAGCGGATCTAGCCAAGCCTCTTAGTTAGAACGTCCTAAAATTAGTGGCCGCGATCTAGGTAGGGGTAGCTCTTGGCTATTGGTAACGGCCAAGGCGAATCATTCCCCATGCGGCGTAGTAGCACAGCAGGTTTCTAAGACTTCCCGCAATGGTTGCCACACTAAGGACTTGCATAGCCGGCTACCGTCAGCCTCGAACTCTTGGCTACAATGCCTATCTAGGTGAAGTCAGACGTCGTTTCATGACCCGCCTCTGTCCACGTATGCTAAATAACTGAATTCTACCCGGCAGAGATCCAGGTTGCCTTTTCATCTCACATCCCCTCTAAGCTGTTCATTTCGTGATTCCTCAAGATACCCAGGCCATATTGCCAGTTATCCATCCTTTTCAAGTACCTCTATTGTTTTTCTCTCATCTGTCTTGTCAATCTTTGGGCTTGCTCAGCTTTGAAAATGGGTTCAGTCAATACCTTTAGTCTGAGTGCCGACAGCACCAAGTTCCTGAATGAGTCCGGAGCCTCAGCAGTAGGCTCAGAGATTGTCCAGCGATTTGAGCGCCTGACTGGGAAGAAACCTCATCACTTCCTGCTTCGACAGATTGTGTTTGCTCATCGACAATTGAATGACATCTTGGATGCTTACGAGCGACGTGAGCCCTTTATTATCTTCACCGGACGAGGGCCAAGCAGTACTAGCATGCACGTTGGTCATGCTCTACCCTTCCAGCTCGCCAAGTAAGTACCTTGCTGCTAGCTCATTTATGGAATAAACACTGAAGTACATGTTTCGCGTAGATATCTTCAAGACGTCTTCAAGGCACCCACAATTATCATGTTGACGGATGACTCCAAGTACCTCTTCAATTCAAAGTACACATTGGAAGACATTAGACGCTACACAATCGGAAATGCAAAGGATATCCTTGCGTTTGGATTTGATCTGAAACTCACTTACATGTTCTCATCTCTTGAGAACAGCAATGGCCTCCTTTACGAATCCAGCCTCGAGTTTGCCAAGCGCATTACTCCAGAGGAGGTTCATCAACATACCGGCTTTCAATACGGAAGCATGAACATTGGCATGTTTAACTTCTTTGCCAAACAGAGCGCAGGCTTCATGCCTGGTAGTTTCCAAGACATTCTACCAGACGTCAAGACAAAGGGTTTGCCCAGTCTGACCGTTATCGGTACTGATGTCGATCCTTTCTTCTGGATCAGTCGCAAATACGCATCTCAGGTCGGAGAACGCACACCTTCTTTCATCTACACATCGCTAGTACCCAGCCTTGATCCCAATGACACGGGCAAAATGTCGGCATCAGTGACTTCGTCTGCTATTTTCCTCGACGACACCGTTTCTATCGCCGAGGAGAAGCTGAGGAAGCAGCTTAGCAGCAATGATGCGAGCACTAGGTCAACTATGCTTGATTACCTGCGGGCCTACCAGCCAAATGTTGATGGCTTTGCAACGTTGCAGGATCTGAGTCATGATGAATTAGTGCAGAAGGTCGTGGAAGCCATCAAGGCGTACTTATTGGAGTTCCAGGGTAGACGAAAGGAGATCACCGACGAGGTATTGGCGGCGTTCATGAAGCCAAGAGTCATTTCATTTTCGACTTAAGGGCAAGTTGATCGTGAATAGTAAAAGACATTTCAAGAGAAATGGCTTTTGAGATAGTCGCCGATACTGGTGGTGTGTTTTATGCTGTATAAATACGAGAATTAAAGACATTTGTGCATTCGCAGCCTAGACCAATACAGTGCCATTGAATTTGCGTGTACGAATCCGAAAATTAATATATCATGTTGCTTGGCATATTGACGAAACGGAGAAAATATACCAGCAGTATGGCCTCAGTATCGTGTTGTCGAAACAGGTAGGCAACCAATATCAGTAAAACAAAGAAACGTGTCAGCAGCCAATGAAAACAAGTGCACTGGTGATTACCAATGAAACAGCAAAGCGGATGGATGTTCAGCTAGTAATGCGGCATATCTAAAATAGGCATGGTATTGTGAGACGGTTATGGCCGTTCCGTTCCGTCAAGGAGCCGTCGGCTCTGCAGCTGTAGGTACAGCCTCTAATCTATCCGACTGCATTGATAGGTCCACTCCAGGGCCGGGAAACACGGCACCTGGTTATTCTAGATTCCTAATTGGGCAATGCCGAAAAAAGACAATATGCTATGCAGAGAAGAGGCTATGTACTGATTATCCACTCATTAACATCCCACGATAATTAATGTCCACCCAAGAGGACGTCTTCTGCAACGTGTCTTATATGTCGGTGGATCCTGCTAGCTGTTCAATGGGGCGCGGCTTACACAAAAGCTTCCACGGAATTTTACATGCGAGACGCCCATAAGCAGCCGGCACATGCAGGCCTACGAATGTACCGTAAGCGGCTTCTCTTATGCGGTCAGACATTATGTTGTCCACGATGATCGCCATAATATTTCCGCCTTAGCGATTGGCGAGAATAAGCACTACCCGTACAAGAACGACCTGCTGTCGATTTTATAATACTTCGCCTACTAAACGAGGCCGTCCATTGCAACCACGGATGAATTCGCTGCCCCGTTCTACAGATTGTTCCATCGTCCCCATTTTTACGCCACACACATGCGGTACTCTGGAACCTAAATGCTTGTCATGCAAGTGAGCGTCTCGAGCAGGTGTCGCAAACTCCTTACCTTGTCGGTCCCGACGTATCTTTGTCAAGTCGTACAGCGGCTGGTAAACAAGTCTATGGTTAGAAACGACAAAACTCGGCGCCTGCTGAATCTGACACTATGCACTTGCACCCCTTCTAGGACTTCATCTTATGGCAGTCTGCTCACTAAGCTTTGACTCCCTCACCAAAGACCATTTTTAGGCAATTGCACCGACCCTCCTGTCATCGATTTCAGACCTGTGTCTATTTCCAATCACCTCAAACCCATCTTCTTTTCAGCCCCAATATGACCTGGCAGGGTGACATAAAAGACGGATCAGCACCACTGATGAATACGGAGTCTTTGAAGACACGCTTCCAATCTCCACAGGATCTCCATGATACTGATGAGCACATTATGAGACTAACGCTGCAAGAGTAAATATTTGCTCAAGGACTAAATTAATTACACGAAGCAATGCGATCCGCTAACGGCAATGACTACAGACCAACAAAGTCTCCGCGCCAGTCACACCAATCTAAAGGGCATCGTCCGTTCGATGCCTCGGGAATGACACTGCATTATCAACGCAACATGCAAGATGCTATCTCGGGCGATTTTAGCGTGGGGTTCCCAGATGATTTTCACATGGTGAGTCAAACCCCTCGTCGATCCACAGATCTGGTAAAATAAGTCTGACCAACATGCTCCTAGGGCTACAATCACCCCGGAAATGAAGTTCCTTTCATGCCAAGTCACCAGGACTCTCTAGCCCTTGTTTCAACAATGGGTGGGTGGCAGGATTCTCTGGCTTTCGACTCAACAATAACAGGCTGGCAAGATCCCATGGCCTGCGATTTGACAATGGTTGGTTGGCAGGACCCCACTGCTCTTGACCCAACAATGGGTGCATGGCAACATTCTTCCGTGGAATCTTCCAGATCTTCATCAGTATCTGCCAATAGCGGCCCCTCTGCAAGAGACGATAGCACACAGGAATCATTCATTTGCAACGACGAATGCTGTCAGGGAAGAGCATTTAGCAGCCGTGCTAATCTTCGACGCCACCAGAACGAAAGGAAGGGACTAAGAAGGGTTTACGCCTGTAGTTTCTGCCACCGCGTTTTCACCCGCTCAACTGCTTGTCGGTTACACCAGCAGAATGGCGTATGCTTCAAGTCCAATGGTTGGGTTGGCGCTACACGGTGACATCATACAAATCAGTATACCGAACACACCACATGAGAATCCGCAGCCAGTAATAAGAATTGAGATATGAAACTCTTCCCTTTAGCCTGAATTAGACAAAGATAGATATATAGACAATGAGATACAGAGATATAAGTCATGGCATATCATTCCGCTCAAATTCCACTGCGCAAGTTACGGTTAAAATGAATAGTCCGAGACAAACCCAGTACCAATTGCGGCGATACCGCTCGAGTCAACCTGGACCTTATTGAGGTTCTCCATATCGATGACTACAGCGCCATTACCGCTGCCAGTACCAGTTCAAGTCAACAACATATAAGAACATCTGATCTTTCGTGACTTACATTTGTTCGTGTAATCGTGCCCACCACTTCTAGCTTGCACATTGTGAAAGGTCTCGAGGAAGTGACGCGGTTGGTATTCGTAGGTGTCAAAAAGTTGTAGAATAATGGAGTAGAGTTGACAGGTGAAATCCAAGTTATGGACGATCAGCAGCACCTTCTTAAATTTTGATCAAGTTCATAGTTATCTTTCCCCTCGATCTGCCACGGATGTCCAAATACAAACCGAAAGGCCAAACTGTGGATTGTATCTTGACCAAACACGAGGGTTTGACAAGGCTACCCGGTCGCGAACTCACGTCAAACTTAAATTTGTGTCCGCGCTTGGTTGAGACAAGTGGATTGAGAGCGGTGTTAAAGTGTCGTCTGGCGTTGTGACTTACGTTGTGTGGCCTTTATTGAATTCTTGACGAGGGTCATAATCTGACTTATTTTATTGGAAAGTTTGTAATGCTGTAAGTTCCATGTGCGGAGTAGTACCATTGTTGTTTTGGTGCAGATGCTTGTGTGTTTGCAGCTTGAACTGGATTAAAGTTTTAGTTTGAAATAAAGTATAAATTAGTATCCGCGGTGAAGCATTTTGCGGACTCTGCGGGAGATTTAGGAGCAGCTCGAAGACAAACAGGGCCACAAAGCATGGGTCCCTCAATGTGACATTAAAAGCGAGTATCCGCCATGCCTAAACCGTATTTTGAAGCCTGATTTGCGAATTGTTCCTGTCACTGGCAAAATAGCCGTCACTGAAGTTATAAACTTGAATGCCGCCGAACCACGATAATTCTAACAGCATTTGCAAGCTTGTCTCTGTCCGTGAGATTGTGTTGTATTACTGATGATTGCAAAAGAAATAGTTTGTGATATCTAAAAGGCTCGGCAAGTCAGCCTCTTGGAAGTTTTTAGCTCTGACTTAATCGATATCGCAGTAAACAGTTAGAAAAGAGTGCTTTATAAAAGCTGTAAAGCAGAATCAATTCAATGGTGTACTAAAAACGTGGCAGCTATCTATAACACATACCCTCAACCTCCTATCCGTCGTGTGCTCTCCAAGTTATTCCAAATATATCCATAACAGTCAACATCTTAATACCAAGGAATTGAGCGTCGATGGCTTTCTCAGATGGTAAGTTGAATTCTCCCACAGCCATCAGCCTCTCCAAGGTAGCATAGAGGCCCTGTAAGTGCTCTTTCGGAAAGAAAGAGTATGCAGGTATATGACATGGGAGTTCGGTGATTTCTCCTTTTCCAAGCTTATCCAGGCTGTCGTAATAGACTTTGAAATGAGTACCTATTAGGTTTAGCTAGTGTTAGTAATCTATCAATTTCTCTTTGTATGATGACGTGCCTTTTGCATCTTCTGCTAACGAGAGGAAATCATTCCAAGTAAGCTTGTCCCCAATGATGTAAGTGGTGTCTTGCCACTCGGAAAGATTGAGCAATTCGGCGACCACCTTGGCGACATCAAATGAATAGGAGAACGCGACTGGCTCATCCCCCGAGCCAGGAATCGCTGCGGTGGCATTTTTCATGTCAATTACTGGTGCCATTGAAGTCAAATATGTTTTAATGTAAGGCATGCCCCAGTAGTCAAGAAAGTACCCAGGGGCAATTTCAGTCCACTACAGACTGGTGGTCCTGAGGAGATCTAGGGCTTTTCGTTGAAATATAGCCCACGGATTCAAAGGGCTCTTAGACCTAGGGTCACCATGGGTTAGATACATTTATGTACAACGTTCTGCGTTGTGTGGAATATGAACTTACGTGTCAGCATTAGGTAAGCTCCAATTGCTGGGAATAAAGCGTTTAGTATATTTGGATTGATCCGAGGCGTGAATGACGGCTGCTTCGACCTGAGCCAGTTTGTCGTCGTGAACACCCAAACAAGAAATGACAGTTTCGATTTTGTGCTCTTCCAACGCTGATATCAACGAGCTTACAACATCGTATTGCACCAAGACAGTTGGCGCTTCCGCATCCTCTGTGGCTGGGGCCTATATTGTTCCCTAGGTTAGGGACGCACTGGAAAATGTGATCACAATGTAATCGAACCTTACGGCTGAGTATAATCACTGAGTGACTCGAGTGCTCTTTAATGGCATCCACAATGGTCTTGCCTACGTGGCCGGAGCCACCAAGAACTGCAACGTTAACCATTTTATCTCCCTAAGTTCAATTGAGATTGAGAAAAAGTGCCGTGTACATCCGAAAACTGCAGCCTACTTCGCAGCGATCCAAGGATATATATACCTCTTCTTTTCTCGATTCCACTTTCGATCTAGTCAATAAAAACGTCCGCTTCTATTCCCCTTATAGAAGAAGGGTTATCCAGCACAAGGCCGAATCTACTTCATTACATAACCACCCCGGACATTTAAGAATACCGAGCTCCGCGACGGCTTACCAAATCACCTACTGCTACGGAACCCGCGCGTCCCAAGGAATGCCGCACATCTTATAAGTAGCAGGAGCAATTTGTACATCAAGAACGATACTATGGAATTGACATCCCCGTCGAATCTACAGAATTAAGATGACGATCGACTGGACTCAATTTCTAAGGCTTGCAAGCTTAGTCGCCGCTGCACACTCTTCTGGTAGGCAGCTTTCCAATGATCGAAATTTACCACCGCTGAAAGATCTTAGGTTAAGGGCTTTGTTCAGACAGAGTGGCAGTGTATAATGCTTTACTATCGTCTAACGAGGATACAATAATACGACAATGGTTTCGTGCTTGGGACTTTGGGCGTAAATATGGGCCTCTAGCCGTGACCGGATCAGGCCTAGGGTTCCTTGGCGTTGCTTTACTGGGTAAGCGTTTTTTTTTTGTCGATAATACGTCTGTGTTTGTTCCACTGCAGCTTTAATAGTAACGATTACCAGGTGGTCCTAACGATCCTTGCTTCTTTCTGGATCTTAGTGCAGCATCCTGCATGGGGCTGGTTGTCTTATACACCGCCTTTGTTGTTTTTCCAGTTAACGATCAATTGCTGTGTGCCCACTCGAGGCGTATCAGCCAGACGAAAATTAATATGGCTGTCCAGCCAAGATTGGATGTGCGGCATTTAGCAGCGGCATGGAAAAAGTTGGATATTAAACGAACTTTGCTTTCAACATTTGCGGCATTGTTTGGTTTGATCGCTGCGTGTACGGATTGAAATGTTATATACGGGGTGTCCGCCCCCCGTGCTAAGTGTTAAATATAGAAGGTCTACTAGATAAATTCATAATAGTCGTTTTAGAACTTAGAATAATACTATTATAACCGGAAATTATAGATATGTATTATTTTGCTAAATGTAATTAGTTGTATTACTTATTAACTGACTTTAATACTGCCAGTGTTATAAACCTAGAGTTACTAGATTTTAGAAAATACTAATGTTAATTTTAATAATTATATTATTTAGTAGAGTTTAATATTGAATATGACTTTATTAATACTTTAAGGCTATTTATTTAATTTTATAATATCTTAGCCACTACCAGTAAGTAAATTAATAAATGCTATAATAGTAAAGCTTTTTACTAGATCTAAAAGGGTTATTTTATAACCTAACTAAACTAGACTGACATTTAAGTTATCCTCTACTATTCAGAGTGAATAAAATGGCCACGGTAACGACAGGACACTTACTATTACCACTCTTACTAGAAATACCTACGCACTAGGTCGAATCTTTTACAAAAAGGCAAACAGTGTCTCTTATTAAAAATAATCATTAGCACTATTGATGACTTCACGGGCGGTCTTCTAAGTATGATTAAACAAATCGTTGACTAATCTCCCAATCTTTACCTCCTACTTCCATAATACACATAAGCAACCCACGGCGCAGGCCGCTCATTCTTGTAATCATCCATTGGTATGATATCCCTTGCTGATCGATCAACACTACCCTTCTGGTCCTCTCCAATTGAATCATTATGACCTCTTCTGACTGTGCGCATGTGTACCTCCACTAGCCAGCTATCACGAAGTTTTCGGGTAGCCTTATGCAAACCTCGACACACAGAATAATCATCCATGCTAGAATCTCTCAGCTCTTTATATACCGTCTCCGCAACATCGACACAAGCCTTATCACCGACTTCCCACAGGGTTCCTACCACATTCCTAAAGCCAGCCAACTTGCATGCACTGATCAGGTGAAGACTCTCATCTAACAGCCGTTTGTCTTTGATTTGGCTGGTCCCACAAGCTGATAGGTATGCTAAGAATGGTGGGCTATCACGTAGGTTGAGGTTTAGCAAATCAGATACAGTCAAAGGTTGAGTCTGCCAGTCGTCAAGTCGCAATTGACTTTTGAGTGGATTTGTCTCATCTGTTTCGCCGTGGCCGGCAAAGTGAAAGATTTCGCAGTCCTTCAACTGGGCAAGCACTTGTTGTGTTCTCCTTTCCGGCTCCACGGGATTGAGTTGCATTGAGTTGCAGATGTCACGAACTATCGTCAACTCTTTTGGGGCATATGGCAAGACGGAAGTGGTACCTGGCGTGTTCTGCATGGCAACGAGCACTGCCTTGGTGGAGGAGTCTTGTTGATCTTTCACCGGTGCTTCCAAGATAGCGTTTAGAGACGAGCTGTAGGAAGACATAGCTCTGTCTATAACGGTACGGCGAGAGCCATCAGTGTGATAACCAGCTGAATGCAGCGGAAAGCGATCTAATGCTCCAGTAGTGATCCAGCATATCTGAGGCCACTCATTATTGCAAGGCGTCTCCGTGTAACCGAGGTAGTCAAGAATAGGCCCTGCGACAGCATTCCAGAGCCACTCCAGCGTCTTAGTGCTTCCAAGGTCCCCAGCTCGGAGCCTTTGTTCAATCTGTTCCTGGGTAAGCTCAGGTAAGGGCATAGTCTCAATCACGTGTTTGATAATGAACGCATCGCAACGGAAGCTGACATTGATAATGACGATAGGGCCATTCTTCGTAAGTGGCGAGAATCCGATATTGTCTGGTTTGAGACGTGTGTTCCAGCCCTTCGTAAACTCGTTAACCATTTTACTTGCTTCTAGCCTCTTGGTAAGCTCCACAAGACCAGAGCTAGGTCCGTCAGAAGCAAGGCCAGGAAGGTGGTTGACCCTTGGAGTGACATTTTCGAGTTGTCCTATACTACTCAAAAGTTTCTGTTTGAACTCGGGCTTCAGATCTGCAAACTTTCGACTGTCAAAGTCAAGACGAAGGTCATACAAAAGGTCCGCGGTAATCCCTCTCCCTCTCTCAAGCATTGTAAGACTATGCCCATCACGTTTTCTGCTTTGTAGCGAAAAGGCAGCGCCGAAGGAAGCAAGACCGTTGATTCTAGATAGAAGGGCTTGGGCATCTGAAAATTGTAGAAACCGAGGTGTGTAGGCAGGAATAAGTTCGAGCGCAAATTCAGCAATTTTGCACCCGCTCTCCCAGTTCTGGAGGATCTTGTAAGCTTCTATAAGTCGCTGTGCAAGCAGTAAGCTGTCTGATATTTTCGCAATTGACATGAAATCCCAAAAGTCTTTTTCATCTGCATTAATGGCCATCAGAAGGTCATCTTCGCATCTTGTAACATCGAACTTTGTCTTATAACAGAGCCCTAAAACGCCTGATATGTCTAAGATTTGGAAGGATTCCTATGGAATAACATTCACAGCATCTTGCGCATAACTTATGGCTTGCTCGATATCGTAGAGAGTACCTCCGTAATGATGTTTTGCGAGATAGCAATTCATCAGGCTCTTAAGTACTCCAGTAACCTCAGAGGCTTCCATATGCTTTTGGGCGAGTTCTAGAGCTTCTTCCAAGGTAGAAATAGCTAACCTAAAATCCTTGGGCGCTTTAGTCTGTTCATATCAGATAATATAGGCCCTAAGAATTATTCGCAGACAATTCTAATAGAATTGTCTATATAAATATAATTTTACAGGCCGTATATTATTATAATATTGCTTACTACTAGGCCGAGTTACTAATTAATTAAAAAATCTATTTAAGGTTAGTTAAGGTTACTTAAGGTTAGTATTATATTTAAGGTTTATAGCGGTCTGGTAAAAGGGGTTCGGTAGTATAGAATTTAGGATTATAATAGTATTTACTACTCTATTTTATTTTATTACTGTAATTATTTAAGTATTACTTAATAGTAATAAATAAGTATATAAAACTTAACGATAAGTATTATATACTTATTTATTAAAAATATATAATAGTATTCCGGCTAGATATATTTAAAAAGTATTTTTAATAAATATATTAATTAACTAGTAATATACTATAAGATATTATTAACTATTATATTAATAAAGATATAATAAATCTAGTTTACTTAAAGCTTTTAAAAGATAGTAATATAGTTATTAAATAGCTCCCGGTATTAAATAGGTATAGCTATATTATATATAGATATTTTACAGTAATATATAATAATATCGTTCGTTATTAAAGAGAAGTAAGGTATAAAGTAGTAAAGATATAATAGAAAGAGGTTATATTATAAACTTAAATATATAGGAGATATACTTAATACTAGGTTATTTAAGATAATAATAATACCGGTATTATATTAAATAGCGTCGATATTAAGAGATATAGTATTATAAAGAGATTATTATTATTAATTAGGCCTAGTTAAAAAAAAAGGATATTATATAACTTAAGAAAGGTAACTTAAAAGAAAATATTAACTATAATTTATAATAGGTAAAGAGGCTACGGTAGGTAAGGTATTTTAGCTTTTAGGACTTACTTAGTATTTATAATATAGCTATATAGATATAAATAAAGTTAATAATAGAAAGTTAGGCTAGGTAAGTAAATAAGTAAGTAATTTATAAATAAGTATTACTTAGTTAACTTAGGCAGAGCTTTAACTATAAGGTAGACTATTATTACTGGCAATTTAATAACATATTAATAGAAATACTATAATAACTAGTTAGTATTATAGTAATAAGCCTAAGTGGTATATTATTTAGCCGAAAAGGTAAAGAGGTATTAATAATTAAATATCGTTCTATAGGTTATTACTATTTAAGCTTTTACTAAAGGTTATACTATATTAAACGTAAGGAGGTATTTTAATACTAGGCTATTTAGTTTATAGATAAATAGTAAAGCTTACTATATAATATTAATAAAAAGCTTAAAGAAGATATATTTCTTAGTAATTATAATAGTAGGTTTTATAGTAAAAGAAATATAGATAAGAAAGATAAGGAAGAAAATAAAGACAAAAAGGTTAATAAATATAAAAAGAAAATTACTAATAGTAATATAAATAGCCTAGTATATAATATACTTAACTAAGCTATATTCCGATTTATTATTTCTTTAATTAAAATAGGAATTAATAGAAATATATATATAAACCTATTACTATACTTTTATATAGTACTTAATATTAAATAATATCTACTAGGCTATATAAAGCCGTATTTATATACCGGTATATTAGTAAGTATATTATAGTAAGCCTGGCTATTTTTTTTAAAGGCTATATTTAAGGATAAGCTATAAAATTAGGATAAGGTTAAAGTAAAGGTAGTATTTTTATTTAAGGAGTAATATATTACGTAGATATATATTAGTAGTTATACCGTTATAAATATAATTATTAGGTAAATAGTATATAAAAAAAGGTATTACTAAAAGATAGGAGGGTAGCTATTAATACGGTAGGTTAATAATAAAAAGGTATTATTTTATATAGGTAAGGAGGTTAATATTATAAAGTTTACCTATATACTTTATAGTTAAGTAATAAAGGTATATAAAATATTAAAATAGCTATTTAGGGGATTATAGTAATAAAATATTAGCAGAATAGTTAATATAGGGTAAATTAGTAATAGTATGGTATGGCTTAGAGTAAGTTAGTTATTTATAAGTAATTTAAAAAATAGTTAGTTAGAGCCTAGGCCGGTAAAGGTAATATAGTTAATAAAAACGTTAATATAGGACGTAATATAAAATCGATAAAAGTAATAAAAGGTTAGAATATAGCTTTATAACTTATAGCTATTTTAAGAGGTATTATTTATATTTATATATATATAGAGTAGGTTTCTAGGTAAAGGCCTAGAAATAGTAATGTTATAGTATTATAACTTATAGTAGCTAATCTGGAACATATTTATACTAGATAGATAGGTTATAATCGTTACGGACTGGGATAAAATAAAGGTAATTTATAATAATAGTTAAAAAGTAATATAGTTTTTACTTAATTTAATTAGGTAGATAATTATAATATATATATTATAGTTAATCCTAGTAGAAAGGGTATTAAGGTAGGAATATTAACTTACTAAGCTATATAGTAATTAGCTAAAGTATATATAGTAAGATAGTAATTTATAAATATAAAATATTAAGTAACTAAGTAAGAAGCTTATATATGTAATATATACCGGTATGGGGGTAAGTATTAAGGTAGGGCGGTACTGGATAATTATTATTAAAATAGGGTAGAGAATTTAAGGGCTTATTATAAAGTAGCTAGATAGTTAAATAAAGGATAAGAATAAAGATAATAATATTAAGGTTAATTTAATTATAGATAAGCCGGTAGACTATAAAGGAAGCTAAAATATTATATAGGATTTATAATTAATGTATAGAACTTATATCGTAAGGTAATACTATACTATATGTATTAGCTTTTTAGGTAAGCTTTAATTAGAGATAATTATAACTTTTAAAGAGATTAGTAAGTTTTAGTATTAGTTTTTAAAGGGAATTAGTATAAAAGAGAAAAATAAGGGAAAAAAAAGTAAGAAAAATACGCTAAAGTGTAAGCAGGATAGTTAAGTAGTAGAGAAGTATAGCTATAAGTAGAGAAAGACTATTTAGGAAGTGGCTTAAAGAATAGAGAATAATATAACTAAAGGGCTATAAATACTACTAGGGCTAAAAGTAACTTAATAATCTAAAAAGTAGGCTAAGAGTATATAGATAATTATATTACTTAAGATAGACTAGACGGTAATTAATATATTATTAATAGGGGCTAGAAAAAGTATACTTTTTATATTACCGGCGGTAATATAGTTTATAGGTATAAATATTATAGTTATACTGTATATTATATTTATAAATAACTTAATTATATAAGTAATAGTAATAGGTATTAATTATATTTAATACTAAATATTAATAAGTGCCAGGTAAGAAAAGATACTATAGGCAGTATAATTAGTAATTATAAATATCGATATTATTTCTAGTAATTAGTTTTTTAAGTATATTAATAGATTATTATATATAGGGCTATTAAAGTGGATTTTTATTAATAAATATTATATAGTTATTATAGATATTAACTATTAGGCTAAACTTAATAAGTTAATAGGCTTATATTAATTTAGTTACTTAATAGTATTATTAATAGTAATACTACCTATTATATTAGAAAATTAGTTTTACGGTAAGATATTAATAAAGTTAGTAATTATAGTATAAGACTATATAATTAAGCTTAATTATTAATATTAGGTTTAATAAGTTAAATATAGGATAGGAATATTAAAAAAGTATATAGTTAAAGTAATTAGATAGCTAAATAGGGATATAATAAATTATAAAAAGGAAGTAATATATTACTAATTAAAAAGGTAATATAAGGCTATAGCTAAGGAGATTAGTTATAGGTTTTATTATAGTAATATAAGTAAAAAGGATTATATAGAAATGCGGTTAGCTTAGGTAGATAGTTAAGTAAGCTATTAGATTATAGTAATAATTAGGCTAGAAATAGATATTAATATTAAGGGGATTATAGCTATAGTTTATATAGAGAAGCTATATAGACTGGTAGATTTTATTTAGTAGATAGGTTAAGGAGGACAGTAGGTAGGTAAGGTAATAAAGTTAATTATTATATATAATAGGTAACTAGAGTGATAGGATCTATATTATAACTTTATAGATAGTATTAATTAGGTATAGATAGAGATATTTATATTAACTTTAGGCTGTTAATAAGTTATTATTTCGGTGTTTATAGATAGAATAGTAGGCGAGATATATAATAATATAAATAAGGCTTTACTTTATAATTAATATAAGCCGATTAGGAAATAAGAAAAGAAAGAGGAAAATAAAGAGGATAATACTAACAGTAAGGCTAAGTATAAAATAGATAACTATAAGGAAAGTAAGAAAGATAATAATATAGGTAAAGTAAAGGGGACGATTTAGAATAGGTTTAGTATAGAAAAAGGTATGTAAGTTAGGATACTTTTTCGGTAGCTAGATAAAATTATAAAAAAGTATTTAGTATATTATATTTAATATTATTAAAAGGGATTAAAGGTATTAAATAAATAACGGTATTAATAAGCTAGGTAGTAATATAAGATGGTAATAGAGGAAGGGTATAATATTATTTATAAGAAGCTTTGGTTTAGGGAGCTATTATACTATTTTATATATAAGCTATTGCTAGACTGGTATAAAGAAATATAAAAGGAAAATAGTAGTTATATATATAAGGATAAGTTACTGCCGGTTATATTAATAGGGCTATAGGGCTGGTAAGTTTAAG